ATGGCTCTTTGATGGTGTTCCAATGCTCCAATTTCAACGCATCGGAACTGCTATGCAAATCTGTGGTTCCGAGCATCGTTCATGCTTGGGACCACTTAAAGTGGGAATCCTTTGAAATTTGAATTTCTGCGCACCAGGGCTTGATAACAGAACGCTAGCTGGCATGCCGCAAGGAAGGTTGTCAGCACGGAAAGACAAATGTTAGGTGCGTATGGAAACGTTCAAAAATCCCGAACAATGTACCATGTTCAGTATACTAAATGTCATGGTAGCTCGTATGATTCAGGGACAAAATGCATCACTGTTTTGATACTCGAACATCATTGTCTATGTCTACCTACCTACCTACCTACCTACCTACCTACCTAGGCACCTGCCCTCCGAACGGGCTACCTTACCTATTCCTTTTCAGATGCTGCGGTTTCCATTTTTCTGCACACGGCACCTAATAGATTCCTAGTGCGTATCTGCGTAGTATGATTCAACACCAACACGGTTCTCGTTCTGAGGCCTGGACAGCTGGGGGATCACCTGCACGCCTCGCGTAAGAGAGGTAGGAATGTTGGAGCCTTCCTGAATAAGCTGTCGGTCTGTTCTCCAGGACTTCCTGTTCTAGACTGCGCTTCTGAAAGCTCTTTCCTTTGATGATGCTGATGTCTCCTGATCCGTAAGGTAGGTACGGTGGCAGTGGAGTCGGGTACCTGTCACCCCACAATTCAGCTTGGCCCGGGCTCGGGCTGTCAATAAAGTCCCACCCTGTTGGAATTTCAACTCTTCACGTCAAATCTGAAGCTTCGAATTGGAAGCTCGTCTCCTCTCGATTGAGAATCCAGACCATTTACTGTTGCAAGGGCTGGTGAAATCAGCTTCGTGTAGACCAGAGCAAAAGGCTGCCACCTTTTTATTGCTCGTCACCTGCCCGTTTACTTGACCGACTGAGGTAAAATCAATAAAACGCCTCGGCATAAGGGCAGAAAGCATTGACAGCTTTGTCAAGATATAGCAGAGGCGTTTCAGGACTGTTAGTTCTGCGCTGTAAGGATTATTAGCTCTGATGCCCATCTGCGTTGTCTGATTTCCTTTCACTCCAATAGCGGAACAGCAGATATCTGTAGTTGGCCCAGACCAAATCATTCACAAATGTATCACGGACTCTGTCCGGCTCAGGGAAAAAGGCGTTGAGATTTGCGTAAAAACGACATAATGGCTACATAGACCCACGTGCAGTGTGGTCAAAAAAGAAGGAAAAGAAAGAAAAGAAAAGAAAAAGGCCCAGGACTTCCTGGTTGCAGGTCCTGGCCATCTCCATCGGTCGCCAGTAAATACGCTTAGAAGCTTTGCATAACACTAAGTGCTTGTGCTAGGAAATCCCGAGCCAACCACTTGCGACTGTTCACATCCCTCGCTTCGCGGTCGCGCTGTGGTGCATTGCTTGGCCGCCCAAGACGTAGGTACCTAAGTACTTCATCCGTTTGTCTGCTTTGCGCGGAACCAAACCCCTGATGAAACCGTGGCGCCAGTCCAACCCACCCCTGCCGAAGAAGAAGCGAAGCGCGAAAACATGGGCCTTTCGATCTGAGGTGGCTCTCTGGCGTCTATCCAGCCGACTGCGGGAGTACGGGCTGCAGCGCCACGGCTGCACCACTCGGATCAATATATACACCCCATGGTGTGGAAAACAGAGAGAAGCCTCTCCCGTTGAGCCACATTCCAGCCCCAGACAGACACCTTAGTTCAGCACCCATAACGACCCCAGCAGCAGCTCCAGCGAACCGCAGACTCCATTTTGTCTCACAACAGCTCTTCGCGTCCACCGACTGTCCTGCTCAATGCGACCCTTTAGCTGCACAGCACCCTGCTCCAAGCCTGCTTACAACAGCATCTTTGTTTTCATGCCCTCATTACCGTCGCACCAAACCCCACCAAAAGCCATCTTCACTGCGGTTTGAGACTCTGGGTCGCAACATGACAGATCAGCCTGTGGCTTGTTCGGCGATGCGTCCCTCCAGCTCCGATTTCCTATTGCGGGCGCAGGCCTTTGTCGTCTGATGACTGATGGGGAGATCGACGCTATGCCCATCTACGTTCATAGAGGCGTTTCAAGATGTAGGCTCAATGTTCCCGACGCCCTCTGATGCTGTTGTGTCATCATCTCCTCAGGCGGCAAGGCCGCGCCGAGGCTCATGGAATGCCGCGTTTACCTATGTCAACGTCGCCTTTCTATTTGTCATGACCCAGAGCCCTCAAGCACCTGTTGCCGCCAGCGATCCCAGCTTGCTTAACTTCCCTACTGTGTAGACGACAAGCGACGGGTTGTAAGTGCGTCTTGACGGTCTCCACTCAGGCCTGCGCTGCCGAGTCAAATCCGTCATCTCTCCCAGCTCAGGAGTCAGGCCAGGCACTCTCAATCACGAAGACAGGCAAACCGGCCTCATCCATTGTAGGCCGAGCGCCCTTTTGGTCGTGAACTATGAACGATGCGCCAAAATCCTCAGCGCCGAGATGCCTGTTGCCAGGCTAAATCCTCAGGAAGTTAAGGAGGAGCAACACGGCGGAAGCTGGCGATGGGCATGTGCAGTCCCTTAGCCCTTCATGTATGCTGCGAGATCGACACCATCCCGGGCGGCATTAACCCTCGCCTTACTACTCTCTTGACGCTTTTGGCGTAGCTTCTCAGCATGCTCGCCCCAGAATCTGATATCGGCAAAGGAAACAAACCCGCTCATCGGTGACCTTAGCAAAATCCCTGTCTCTTAAGGTTGACCGGGGTCCAGGGACTCTGGCTTCACACCAGAGTCGTCCTCCCCACCTTCAGCACCACCATCCACAGCCTAGGGTTGCCCTTTTGAGAAGTCACTGTTCGGATCTTGCAAGCTATACCCCCTTGGGTACACTCGGCACTGTCAGAATCCCTGCCGGTACCCTGGTCTCTCTTCGATCCGATCTGCATCCACCCATCCCCTGGCCGCACGAAACCTATTGCTGCCTGCTTTTCTCCCCTCCTCAGGCTCAGAATGCGCATCACAAGATAGGACAGCACATGCTCCTCTCGTGGCTCAGCTTTGACAGCACTTCAGCTGGTGAACAGAAGCTTAAACTAGCGGCCCTACTATAGGGGTCTTCCAACAATCTACCGGACAGCCGAGATTGACTCGTCTGTCTTAGAGCGGGCAAACTCCGTATTCTAACACACATCTTTTCTTCCTGTCACTGAAGGTAGATAGTGCAACAGAGACTGAATCACTATTTAGCCCTCAGAAAAGGCGCTCTCACACGAAAGGCTCTGCAATCAATGTTTCCCTCCAGCAGAAGCCTCAGCTTCCTGCCTAGCTATTCCCGGGTGACCTTTTCAGGACCTCCCAACTCGCGGCAGTTGAACAGGCTCTGTCTCGTCTACTCGCCTTTTAGCCCTCGGATGTTTGCATCGGTGCGATTGGGTCAACACTCCGTCACCTGTCTCTGGTACTCTGATTCTCATGCAGACACACGCGGTACATGCTCGCAGTCCGATGCTTGAGCCCTAACAATGCCTGCTGGCCTACTGTGTACTGCACCTGCACCTTTTCTTCACTTACCTACCATAACTGCCTTTTGGGTGTAAGTAAGCGTTGGCATGGACGACTTGCCCGCCCACCTCTCGGCTCCCCTCTCTATGTGAGCGCCATGCCCTTGGCTGGTTCCATCGAACTCGTGGAGACGGCATTACCCATTCAGCCGAGATCTTGTATGGCACACTGCTCTCAGTATCTAGCAACTTGGCTCGCTTCCGTCTACCCTTGAACGAAAGGGACACTCGCCTCTCAACAAGGCAATTGTGTGGCTCAGCAATCCCATTTCTGGAGGGATACCCGTTATTGTTATAGCGGAAACCATAGCTATCGACTTACCTCAAACGAGGTCTCCCACTGTTACAGCAACCGCTCAACACGACCCCCGGCGACTCGCCGTCAAACTTCCCGTCTTCTGCCAGGTACCAGGTACCCCCCCGGCTTTCGCAGTTCTCTCCCGTTCATTGTTGCGGTTGTCCGTGCGTGCCCTGTCCTGCCCTGCTCTCCTCGATCCTCTGCCCTGTACTCGAATGCGGTCTCGGCGCTTGCCCTGTCTACTCCACCGGTATTAAGCCCACTTGTATCCTACCCAAAAAGCAGAGTGCTGGGGGAGGGGCTGTCTTAATACCACCGACGGCAGCCTTTGGAAGACATCTTAACTCCCGGCCTGGTTCCGCTTCTAGAGGGATCTCCCGCTGACACACTGCTCTACCGACCAACAACTGACAACGCGAAGCTTATACAAAGCCGCTTCCCGGCTCCCACCTCTCCGGGTCAAGGAGGACCTGTTGACTTTCCCAGAGATCTACAATCTTCTGCTCATCATCCGGCAAGACGCTAATAACAAGTTTCTGGCTCGACAGCTGTTTGTGTAGATCACTCAACTAAAAAACAGGCTGCATGACATCGCCTCATCCTGGCTAGACCATTCGGTAACTCTGTCTGATCTTCGCTTTGACTGGTGGACTTGGCTTTGGTACGACACATTCACGCATTTGGCCCAGAGTGCCGTCCACGATCCCTGTTTTACTATCGTGGTTGGCAGGCTGACGGGATTTGGTAACCCAACGAGACTTATGGGAGTTCAGAAGGCAGGTTCTACATAGGCACTCTGCAGCCAGACGAATCTTGTCGGCACCTAATCAGCCTTCCATCTGCCTGTGCTCCCAAGCTGAGGATTCCTAGGAACACATCGACAGGAACCAACAATCGAGCATCGAATGGTGGCCAGTTTTTTTGGAAGGTGATGGGTGTTTGAAGTTCGTGATCATCCTGTGGTCTGTCTCGATCTCAACTCAGCTCGTTGTCATTTCGGTCCTTTCGGTCTCTTCACTTTCTATGCACAAAAGCTCGTTCGACGGCGAATCGTGAATCAACAGTGTGGGTAGTCTGAACTTATCCTCGCCGACGACTTTTTTTTTTCTCTAGCCGACGAGATATAGTCGAGTCCAAATGCTTGTTACCAGGCACGCCGCTACGGAGCAAAACCCTTGGTCGAGAAGCAAGTTTGAGACCGTCTTTCACAAACCTGTGGAAAGCTTACGCATGTCGAGCAACTTCGACCCCGTAACGCAGTCGGACTGGCATAGCCAGTACTCGTTTCTCCCCCCAGGAGAAAACAGCATCTTTTCTCAATCGTATGAGAATGCTTCAACTTCCAGTGAAAATGCCGAGTCCCAAGCGCAGTCACGCACGGTGACTGCATCCAGTATGAGTGTGGATGTTGAAGCATCGAAGCAAACAAGTTCGCCTCTGGGGCATCGCCTTGACCCTCTCGGCTTGCGGCAGCAGAAGCAGCCATCGCCAGCTCCCGAGCAGCCAGAAAACCAGGGCGAGACATACGGGCAAAAGGCTGGGGAGACCACTCATGAAGCGCCTACAGGGTCGAACGAAGCGCCGCATATACCCATGGAGCCAAATGCTCTGAACGTGAACTCATCAGCTGGTCAGGAGTCTGTTTTGGTACAAGCCCAGCCGGCAAGCGAGGAACAGAGTACGGCCAAGGAGGAAGTGGTTGTCGCGGTAGGGGATACTGAAATGACAGAGCCGACAAAACAAGGGGAAGAAGGAGGTGGAGCAGAAGGGCAGGCGCAGCAGCAAACGCAAGAAAGTGCCGATAAGACGATCCCGAGGAGAAAAATGAAGCGCTTCAGGTAAGCGACTATAGCACTTAACCCTCTGTCCAGCAAGATAGAGCGAAAGCTAACCCTACCAAGACTCACACACCAACAAACCAGATTCCTAATGAGTGAGTTTGCAAAACAACCACACCCCGATGCAGCACACAGGGAGCGACTTTCGCGCGAGATCCCTGGGCTTAGCCCTCGCCAAGTTCAAGTCTGGTTCCAGAACCGGTACGTCCTACTATGCCCACTCAAGTGTTAAGAGCTACCTCTTTCCGGGACATAAAAAACTCTGACAACCTCTCAGGCGAGCCAAGATTAAGCGCATGAACGCAGAGGACCGTGAACGAATGTTGAAGATGAGGGCAGTCCCGGACGACTTCGACAGCTTAAGCGCTCTTCATTCTCCGTATGGTGCCGTTCACCCTCTGGGGACGCCAATGACCTCTCCCGTAGATCTTGGCCCTTCCTCTTATACAGATCCTATGATGAGACCATTGATGGTGGACGTGCGGAGGCACGAGGGGGAAGATCACCATCTATCGCCAAGTGGCCTTAGTCCCGGGTTTGGGGGGATTGGCTTCAATCACTCTGGGGCACTTAGCACGCCTGACATCTTATCGCCGCTCTCGCCGACCTCAACAGATCGTTATGGCTACTCAAATCATCTTTCAGCGACAGCTCCGCTTAGCGCTGGGCCTCGAACATCAAATCCATTCACGCGACAAACAAGCCTTGATTCCGGGATCCAGCTTCATAATTCTCACGCACGAGGACAAATTCGGCCTTTACAGCCCCTTCAGTTGCGAGATACAATGACCAGGTCTCGATCTGATACGCTACACTCCCCGCTGCGTACGAGTATGTCCTGGAAAGGTGATGCTATTGACTATACGACATACCACGGGGGAAATTCATCACCTCAAGTGACGAATCGACCTCACGGACTGTATCAAGATCCCGTAGGGCCGAGCTCGGCAAGCACCCTGGGTGGTTATGACTCAACAACGTATTCCGGTATGATCAGATTGCCGCTCCTAAGCTTGACGCGCGTATCAAGCACTTTGAGAGGCTGAAGAAGCTGACACAATACAACAGGTTCCGCTGTTCAGTCCCCACCACATCTGAGCTACCCAAACTTCCAGTCGTCAAGTTTGCCCGCAACTCAACGAACATCGCGATTGCGAGCTGCTTCTGCATCCCTTCCTCTAGGCCTCGATATCCGAACGCAATTCCGCCCTACATTAGGGCCCGGCAGCCTTCAGTCAACCGTTCACTCCTCAGGGCCACGAAGTGCAACTACGTCACAACTGGGCGGCAATGCCGGTGGCGTCTCGTCCAGTTATACAGCAAGTTTTCCCTCAACTCCGCTTACAGCGCCGATCGATTTCTCCCTGCCACGAACCCCTGGCTTCCCCCGTTCCACGACCTCAACGGCTGCGACAGATTATTCGATGCCCCAGTTGAGCGCCCCAATTGCACCGCCGAACGACTTTGCACAGGCTTTCCAACATGCCAGTCTCCCAGGTGCTGCGACAAGGACGCCATTAAGAGATACATTCGGTGGAGCTGGAGGCCCTCTCGGGTTGGGAGGACATGGTGCTGGCTCGTCAGCGGCAGCGACAGACCAGCATCGTCCGGCAGACAGTTACTCATCAGATCCCTTGGGAATGAAGCGAAAGCGTAGTTGGACCGGGCCAACACCTGTGACGACTGCGACAGGGCATGGACCTTATGGAAGCACAGCATAGAGGACTACAAAAAGCACGGAGAATCAACAGGTCGCCCAAAAGGAGAAATCGCCAACAGGGCCCCTTTTATTGCACCCGTAAAAGACCAAGGCAGGTAGTATCGCGCAGCTCTATTTTGTGAGGGAATCATACCCTCGGCTGTGTTTTGAACTGCAGCCATGGTGGTCTTCAACCAGCCAACTGCACCACGGCTTCGTCACACAATTTCAACTCTCTTTCGCCGTCAACTATTCCTTTTCATCTACTCTCCGCACCTCACTGTTGATATTGAAGCGTCAGTTTCGAAGAATCGAACTGCCATCGACCTTACAATCTTTTTCTGGCTCACCGGCCTGGTTCAAGACTTTTCGGGATGGAGATTGCTCTTCAAGTTTAAGGCTCACGCTTCGCCTCACAATTCTTGTTCAATGTTCTCTTTATTTCTTTTTTCCTTTATTAGCAACACATGCCAAGGCTACTCACAAAATAGCCAAGTAGAGCCTCGGGTGTATTGCTCTGCTATCAATATCATTTGGATAACTCCCGAGCAGCACAGTTTTGATGAGGTGCTAACTGGGATCATAACATCAACCCATCTGCCACACCCATATTGGTATTTATTTTTTTATACTTCTGGCTCAAATTTCTGGGAATGATTGCGGGCTAGGGGATGCGCTGGTAACGAACAACAGGGACACACGGCTTAAAACCGTGAATTGGATACGCTTTAAGGGGTTGGGCTGGAATTGGGAGTCTGTATGAACGGACGATTAGGTTGGGTGGCTAGTTCTGTGTAACATGTTTTATGTTTGGGAGGGGCCTGTACGTATGTCGGGGAGACCGAGATGACAATGATGATGGAAATGAAGAGGGTGACCACATTCCCAAGCCACAATTCGTTACATGGATATCGGAATATGGCAAGCACGGACTTAACAGGTAGGATAAAGGAGCTACAACGTCGCTTCTTGACACCATGAAATCCAGTGGCATGGTCCCTTGGAGTACGGAAGCTCACATCTCCCCAGATCCGGCAACGACAAGAACGGGAAGAGGGGTAGAACTGACGAGTTATAGACAGGGCAATTTAGTGCTGTATTTCAGAAAGTTACTGGAAAAACGGCATGGGATGGAACATAGACCCATCCATCACCCTCTAACAATATCCCCCCACATGTTCAGTGCTAGTTAGGCCTGTCATGCGGCAGTCTTGATTGCCTTGCAGCAATGACAAGACGATTGGGGAAGAAGGAGGAAGAATCAGTCAGGTACATGGCACATTAGCGGGGCTGGTGCGTGCCTGCGAGCTCGTCTATGGAAAACGGAACCACAAACGCCCAGCTAATTGTCCAATCTACCACTTCATGACGCTGAGAAGTCATGTTAGGTTCCTTGGTAGGTCTCTCATACTTCCATTATTCTCGGGGGATTGGATATTCTTGCGATCCATCCTGACAGCCAAAGTCCCAAGGCCTGAGTTCAACCATGCTCCGTCAGTTGACCGATGGAGAGGACTCTGCCAACAAAGATGACATTGCCAGCGTGAAACTGCACTGCGGGGATTACCTCTCCGATGGCCACGTCTTTCGGAAGCCATTGCCGCCAGTCTCCAGAGATGCCTGATTGGCCGCGAATGGGAACGTCCTCATCTCGGTCATGGTCCCATGAACCGTATAACGGCCCGTTTCTTATAGCTCACACGGGTATAATATGCATGAATCGGGATTTACATGTACTGCGATCTTTCTGGGAAACGGGGCAAACTACCATTTGCCGATACACCACCTGAGTTACGTTACAGGCACTTAGGTACATGGCGCTATGCTGTGAGTGGTCCAAGTCCCGGACCTCAAGCAAGAGGGCAGCACCGGTCTGCACGTCAGAGGTGGCGCTCAAGCTGAATGTGCTGATGTCTTATCACATCGTTGATTGGCAGCGAGCTCTGCCGAGCACCGCCTAAGAAAGGCTTCGGCGGAGCATCTGGAAGACTTCCATCTTGGGAAGTGCTAAGGCTGATCGTTTCTGACGATCGGGCGGTAAACTCTCACAAAGTTGAGCGCAAGCAGTGAGTAATATCTTGGACGGCAATCAATCGAGATCTTGTTCAATGCTATGGCCAACAACCTCCGGGCAGGGACAGACATCATGACTGGCACCTTGGATCATCGATGCTTACAGTAGCATCCTCTAGTTGCCATGAAACAAGGGTCGCGGGGAAACAATCAGGGTTGCTTCCGTTCCCTCCGCGTCCGGGGAAAAGGTTGATCGGGAATTAAGGCATATTAGAACAACGTGCCCCGCAACGCCAGAAGGTGGAATGGAATGCCACAGTGCCTATTCTCGCTTGTGAAGTTGGCAGAGAAGCAGTCATTAGAATTGGGTGATTGGTCGCGTCTTGATGATGCAACACGACCTCGACTTCTACAACGTCAACAATACACCCGGTTGGCTTGTTGGTGGTTTTGATCGATGCTTTTTGATAATTAAGATTGACACGACTGAAGATCTTTGGTTCTTACCATCCGGCAGTCAAACAAATTACTCCCGTGGGGAGGTCAGGTACCTGACCCACACAGTTCAGATATTACCAGCTCCTGCAAAAACATCCCACTGCATGCTTTTGCAGAACGACGGAGAGCTTCCGATATCGTATCCTCGGCCACAGAGAAGACGATGCATATTCTACCAGGACTTCGGGCTGTGATGGAAAGTGGAATCTTGACATCAAGAGTGTTTGCTTGTGCTGCTGGTTATCTCGCGACCCGTCTCAATAAAAGGAATATCCAAGCTCTTAAAGCTGTTGGTGCGACACTCCTATGGGTACTTGGCCTGTACAGATGATTCTGGGAGGATAAGCAGCTGCAAGTGACGAGGTGTAAGCCGCAAGTTTGCCCAAGTTATCATATATTGTCAAAAGGGCAATCGGCATCAGCAAACGCATTCAGCCGTGGTGTTGGGGAATGGCTGCCCGCCGCCCAGGGAGAGGGAAGAGCCCACGAGTCCGTTCAGTTATCCAAGCCTTAAAGGGCCACCAGGCATGGATTACTAGACTACAACTGCTGGATGACGGTATAGACCTAACCTCGTCCGTTCATTGCTACGGTGGCCGTTGCTACCGGAAGTTGTTGACAGTTGCTTGTGATGCGCACACACACATGCTCTTGGCACTGTACCGCTCTTGACATATTCTGGCTGCCCCCGGCTGACTGCAGTTCTATGCACACAAAGAAAAACTGATGCGGCAGCGAATCAACGGCTGGATGCGCTGTGCATCGGGTGACGCTGCCAGTGAAGGCTCGAAAACCAGCCTCTGTGTGGACCCTCCAGTCTCCCCCCTCAGCTGTTTCAAACAATCAATGATGGATGAAAACTTCGCAACGGCAGTCCGGAAGGTGCTTGAGAAACGTCGGGAACTCTCTCTATTGTCAGGCAGGGATCAAGAGCTGCAATTGGCCGGGGCTGGGCACGCTCTGTACAGCGTAAACACAGGGGCAGGGACCGGGAACCCAGCTCTTCAAAGACTCAGGAAGGCCCTAACAACATCCTAGCCAGGCAGGATGGTATGCGTTCTGGGTGCTCTTTCTCTGTAGACCACATCCAAACACCAACGGGGGGACCGGGGGAATCGCAGATTCAGAGAAGCAGGTATCAAATATGTCAGAAAGGAAAGTGAAAGGGCGGCTGTACATTCGGGTTCCTATAACCACCCCACCCCCCTTATCAGATGTCAAGATGACATTGCTCTCCTCTTGTGAAAAGACAATAAATTCAAAACAAACAAATGGCGAAAAGGAAAAAAAAAAAAAAAAGAGAAAGCCATGACGAGAAGATGGACAACTCTAAGATACTTCTTCAGTGTAAAGGGGTTCTCGGAAGAGAATTATCACGAGAAAGCACCATTTCGGTAAGTCGGAAACCAAAACAGCGATCATTCGGGATTTACGATGGTAAAATACATCATTAAGCGAAGTTTTGCTCTTTGCTGCAGCTACAGCGACCTGGGGAAAAAGTCCGACTCGGAAGCGACGTGAAAGTTTTGACTTGGGCTTGATTTGGGAAGTGTCACCGGCTGTGATGACACGATCTGGGACCCACTAGGGCCACAATGGATCCAGGCCTAAGGGCGCTCAAGGCTTCAAGCCACAAAGTACCTGTCAAGCCCGAGCAGCCCTGCCACTCAACCCCTCTTAGGCTCTTGTTGCTACACCCCATAGCGCACCCCGCGGACACCCTGCAGCTAGCCCACCATGGTGCACGGGCCGCATCGATGGCTTGGGTAAAACACTCACAGCTGCTCCTTCCTGATCCAGTAAGACTGAAGCTTGTCTGTCCCCCGAACCTCGGCCGCTTGTGGCAGGGCCCACTTGCCCACTGGCCCTACCGGCTCCACTAACCCCACCTGCTCCACTGAAATCACAACGTCCCCTGCAAGCCGACAACAATGACCAGTCAGGGGCGATTGACCAATCACAGCTGAGAGCGACAAACAGAGTCTCGTCCTCCTCGTCGGCCATCCATCTTCGATTCGTCGATTCGTCAATCGTCGCTTCTGCTGGCCACTGCATGCCGTGCTACAACTTCGTGCATGCCACTCTACCACTCTACCACTTTGGAGGTTCCAGGTTGCCCTCTGTGACTGCGCTCACTATTCACTGTGTATCTGGACATGCATTTCAAATTTGCTCCGATGGCTTCTGAACTTGATCTGATGGACTCAATGAAAAACCACCTTCCCGTTGCCTGCACCACTGACCTCACGGTGGTATACCTAGCTTGGCAGGTTGGTATGTGGCTTTGAGGCAGTGAATGCCCGCTGGCCTCTAATGATTCTGAGTCTGAGAGCTGACAGACCCGAAGGATAAAGCGGTGGTAGGCCTCACCGCTCTCTCTACCTCAGGTTTGTCAGCAACCATGTCAATCCATCGTCCATAAAACCTCCGAGTATAAATGCGCAAGAATTCGCTTGCTCTAACTCAGTATCCCGACCTAAGACGGCGCGGTGGGTCATGGGTCTGACATCGCAGCAGCCGACCGTGCTTGCTACCTCGTGGAGAGACGGTTCACGGTAGCGATGTCATAACGGTGTGTTTGACCCGCTCATCGAGCTTGTCGGGTGAGCGAGAAAGCGAAAAAGGCGGAGCGCGAGGGAAGCACGAAACGGCCCAATTCGAGCCAACGCCGACAACCACAAAAACATCAGCGCCTACACGCTCTAAGTTGGTGAAGCAAGATGCTGCAGGCAGTAAGCAAGTCGGTATCCGATATCTGCCCTCCCGCACTGGGGCATTAACTGCTGTGTTCCGTTTCGCAGGCGCACATGGTGCAAAGCTTTGCCGGCTGATTTACGCTGTCCCTTGAGTCATGTTGACGACCCATGACCTGGCCGAGCCGTCTCGTGGCCTAGGAGACAATCTACGATTCACTCGGCTAAATTGCCCAGCTGTTCCTTAGGCAGTGCGGCGAGTCGCTTTCTTCACGGGAAACGAACGAAGCCAGACGGCCTTTTGTCTCCTGTCTCCTGTCTCCTGTCGCCTGACCTCGCTAGCACAAGTGACTGGACGGAGTCCCAAGTTGCCCGACATTTCTTGTCCTTACCACTGCCCAGGTGCCGTCAAATCTTGACCCTGGGCTACCTCCACGCAACACTCCCTCGCTCGGTCGCCTTCGTCTCTCTTATCGGCGTTCCAACTGCTGGGATCTAACAGATTGTGCGGAGATATGGCAGGCGACGAGGTGACAACCGAGGAGATGGTGAGAAACAGGTTGGAATCCAGGAGTTGCTGGAGTTGGTGCGGGGAGACTGCGTGAACGGGAAAGGACCAGGTACAGGTTGGGAGGCCGAGCTGTCGATCACACCAATCCAGCTATTTCGCGCAACATCCCGCGTGCGTGAGCCAGCCGGCTCTATCCAGCATGGCAATTTTCACGATCTCCATGGTCCAATCCTGCTGATTCCTGCCATCTGACGCATGAATGCCAGCTCTCAGCAAGACTCAGCTGACTAGATGGCTTCGAAGGGCGACTGATAGTAAAAGCAGCGACAGACGTGTGTGTCTATACCCTCTCCCACCTGCCTGGTTGACATGGTCAGATACTTGCTCGACGATATCTCTGCTCGCTGGATTGAAGTTGTCACGCGTTGGTTTGCTGCGCAGACTTGCCGTTTACCCCTCCTTACGGCTAGTTATCCGAACCCCGCGGCAGATGCGAGGGGCTCGCCATGGTTCACCCTGACGCCACCACGCTGTCACACCCGTTGATCTGGTTGACCCAGCCAAGATCCGCAGTCGGGGTTTCAGTGCCAATCATTCAGAAGCGTCCAGGGTCTCGGCGCTGTCTGTAAGGACCAGTCCTCCGGCTCTGACGGAGTGACAGGGCACGGGATTGGCTCATCGAATTGACGACAGCCATATAAGCGGGCAGTTTGGGGCTCCTCCAACCCAAAGATCCCGACTCGCCACTGCTTTCCTGTTTCTCGACTGCCTTCCTGCCGGAAATCCTTTAGTCATCGTAGTACGGCACCCGCGAAGAGGAGAACGAAAAGAGCAAGAGCCTCGGAACAGGATGTCGGTACGACGCCGTCAGAGAGCGCCCACGAGCGGTCCAACTAAGAGCCGTGGGGGGTTCATCGCTGGCTAGAATATGGCCATGATCTGTCTCCTCGACTGCAGGTTACATGCCGCTCGGTTGGAATGTGGATGAACGGGCAATCACGGAGATGTCGACAAAACGGAGCTTGCTGGTTAGGTCGTATGCCATCCTGTGAAACCTGCCTACAAGCGGGGGAAACGAATGGTGTTGTTGTAGCAACAGAAATCCTCTAGATTTGACTTGTGAGATGGGAGCAAGCACCTCTTTATGCCTCCCTGACTCCTCGCTGAAGGCTCCCCAAAGATCACAGGGTGGCTTATTCACTTGAATCATTCATCTCAAGTAATTCATTTCGATGATTTAAAGAAATATGCAAGCTGAAGGCTTAAATATTACGTTAATCGCTGATTGCCAGCTGCTGATTAGACACACTTCGACGGTTTTCTGGTTGGAGAGCTAAGAGTGGCGCGGATAATAGAAACCAGCTGTTTCAGGTAGGACAACAGGGCCCAACGCCAACGAAACAAATGAGCACGAATCATGAATCATCATTCTTATAGCCGCAAATTCATGATTGTCAGTCAACATTGATGACCGAGTACATGAACCACTTTGTGTCCCGCTCCCGTGACTATCACAAAATCAAGTATTGAATTACATGTGAAACTCAGCTCAGCACTGGCCTGTGAAGCCAAGCTTGAAAGCTCTTGTTCTGCATACTGCCACATTGCCAAGTGATCTTGAGAGCGTCCCATCAGGAAAGAATTTTGCGATGTTCATGATGGTCTTTAACTGGCTGTATATTACACATTCATTTAATGCCAAATCACGACCTTCCAAGAGCCAGTAGGCGTTGAAAGAAGGTCGATAGGCAAATTCGAAGTGGACAACAGTGCAAATGAACGATGACATCGTTCTGGTTGGTCTAAGCCAACCAAACATTGATGTTGCTTACTATTGAATATTACCCATCTATCCACATAGATGTCAGTCTATGCTCTAGGACTGTGAGCTTCTATCTGCATTACAATAACCTCTACACATTATGTATACCTGCCTGTGGTCTCTATGCGGGATCCCCAGCCGTGCGGTTGGCAACGCTCAACCGCCTCCTCACGCTCCCACTTCGACTCTCCCCCCGCTCGGCCAGTTCAACATCAGCCACAGCGCGTTCCTCTTTCTCCTTACGGTTTTGCGAGCGCCGTGATGACACCCGCCTAGCAAGCTCCCCGAGCTCTTCAGCCCCATCCTCTCCAGAGGACGACTCAGTCCCGCGCTGGGCTTCCAGGATAACACCTGAACCGGCATCAGCAACCCCGGCAATTGCGTCCTTTACCGACCCAGCGGCACCCCACGTGCCGCCGACGCTCTCCATTGTGAACGGGCTTGCAGTCGGCTCATCAAGCAAGGCCAGCTCCTGGGGAGTGAGCCACTTGGGCAGCAGCAGCGCGCGGACGGGAATCAGGGCAAAGATGAACACAGGGAATCCGACGGCCGCCACGGTCTGGGTGATGGCAAACGTGGCGCCGAAGCCAATCAGCTCAACGATGACAAAAAGCCACAGCTTCGCCCGCGGGCAGCGCAGCAAGGGGTGCGAGCGGGGTGTCAAACGCCGGTCGCGCGCCAGGAAGAGGAGCTTGGCTGTGATCCCGTTGCCTTCCAGGGCTTGGAAGCCCATGATGAAGAAGAGCCCGGCCAGGACGCCCTGGGGAACAAGATGCAGGACTTTGAGGAGCGGGCCGGACATGGTTCCGAGGGTGAGAAGGCCCTGTGCCAGGTTGGACACACGCTGCTCGACTACATAGGAAGCGCGAAGCTCATACTTGGCATCTCCGTCGTCATCATCGGTGGGAGAGAGATCTTCCTTATCTGTAGAGGAAGATGATTTGACTTTAATGTGTTCGGTCACACAGAGGGAGTTGGTGTGGAAGGGGGCTTGCGGGATCAGGCCGTTGGGGAAGGGCAGACCGAGCAGGCCAGCAACGCCAGTTGTTGCACCGAGGAGGAAGAGATCCCAGTGGAAGCCAGCAGGCTTCTTAAGGGGAAATTCGGTGCCCTGGGCAATGAGAGAAGACACTGTCCAGGGGTTAGATTTGAAATCATGGTTCAGTAGGGGTAGGTTTTTTTTTTTTTTGTTTTTTTGTGTGTGTGTGTGTGTGTGTGCGTGTGTGTGTTGGGTGGAGGCTAGAACGTACCATTGTGATCGAACCAAAACAAGATAGTCAGCAAAAGGGCAAATGGGATGGCGAGGAAGATGTCACCGACAGGAATGTCCCAGAAATGGATGAACCAGCCTCTTTCCGTGACAGTCGGTTCAAAAGAAATGCCAGTCGGGAGAGTTTCAACCTTGACCTGCCTCATCCGGCCAATGTGCACGAAGGCGGTGAAGAATACCAGGGTTAAGGGAGTGCCATAGTCTTTGATGAAAACGCGGATGTGGTGATGAAAGAGGGTGCTCTTGCCAATCTCACCACAGGCATAGGCGATAGCAAAAACAAGCAGAGCGAGAGCGACAGAGAGATAGAAGGGCTCTTCATTGCCAAGGGGCGTGAGAATCTGAATACCCTTCTGCAGATAGATGAAGGCCACATAGAAGCCGAAGATATCGCATGGGAAACGCGTCACGTAGCGAAGCCAGTTGCACGAGTTGGTAATGGCCAGGATCCAGTGGAAGACAAGTGACCACCTGTGAGTGTTAGTCGGCCAGTCTCGAGTCAAAACTCTTGATCTAAGGGACATACAGGCCAATCCAGCACATGAAGGCCAGGTAGTTTGTGCCTCTTGGGGCCATAATGTCATACACAGTACTGCGAAGGTCAGTCAGTCACATATCTAACCCCTGAAAAGAGTGAAGCACACATACTAGTTGAAGACGGTGATGGGGCCGGTGACACCAACGATCACCAGGGGCTGACAGGCAAAGAACGAAAACACTACAGCACCCAAAACCGACGCGAGCAGCACCTCGTTGACACCATAATTCATGTCCGTCTTGTTGAACATGTCCAGAGAAAAGGCAAGGGCAGGAAGGATACTATGTACGACCAGTCAGTTGCTGTCGCTCTCGAAGCTCATTATGCATAATGAGACAAAACTAACTTCGCAAAGAACATGTACACCGTGGCCGGCACAACGCGATAGTTCCATGCATCGGTCCAGTCGCTCAGATAGTACGGGGCGCGCTTCCGTACATCGTTAATCATTCCTTGAAAAAAGTGAATCCGCCACCATGGCTCGCGCGGGCATGATGGTGATCGGCTACTCCTCCTACCACCAAACCATCGTCGCCGTCGTGATCTTCCGGGTTCGTGGCCGTGTCCTTGCTCCGGATCACGGTTCTCATCTCCATCCTTCTCACCGGAGAAAGAGGCCAGGGCTTCTTCGGCCCCGGGGTCAGGATGGGCATGCGACGCGGATGCGCGGTAGCGGGACTCACTACCGGAGATGCCGGGGTTTCCGGGGCCGCCGGAGGTTGTGGAGTTCTTTTCCACACAGGCCATAGGAGACGGTAACTGCTCGTCCGAACAGAAGAAAGCTGACCTGAGGCGGTGTCGACAATAGCAAGAAGGGGGTTCCAATTGGTGGTGATGAAAAAGAGACAGGGATCGGAGAGATACCAGGGTTGAAAAGGAAGATAAGAAGCATAGAGGAATTACAAGAAATATGAAAATAAAGGGGGGGCCTATGAGTCTTTGTGAGATCTGCTCTCGGATCCCGTTGCAATTGGTCAGGGATGGGATAAAGGTCGATGTCGTCAACGACCACTGCAGTCCAACTCCTAGCGCTTCTTCTCACGCGTCGCCAACAAACATAGCGACCAAGTAACCCTGACCGCCTCTCTGTAAAATTTTCACCTGAAAATTCGGGTCCCGCAAGAAGGGTCGAATACTTAACAAACGACTATCAACTTCTCACAGGATCTTCAGAAAAACAAAATACAGCCTCAGGCTCTGGAAGATCTTGAACTAACGATGAATGTGACGGCCAGAGATAAAAAATTTTTTTGTGATGTTGGGCTTCTGGATGATGCCTTGCACTATTAAATCTCGTCATTTCTCGGCAGGCGGCGGCGATGGTATTTGTGGAACCAAGCTAAACTCAACATTGCGCAGGAGACGGCTCGGTCCCCCACAAAAATGCTGGAGTCCGGGCCCAGCAGAGCTTATCCGTACTTGTTACTCACATGGTAGTTCTACAGCGATATAAAAGAGTCGAAGATGGAAAGCCAAAGACGGAAGATGCCATCCAATGTCCGACCCGACGATTCTTATCTCTGCTGACAAGAAAATAGATAACATGCCTGGATATGGCTAGCATCCAGTTGATAGCCGAGAGCCGTGGCTGACCGCGACCTTGCTGTACAACGGTTGGCGAGAAACAAATACAGCAATATATTTACATAAGAAAGGCCCAAGGCAAAAACATCTACACCTATCATACACATACACCACCCATGTTTCATGCTAGGTAGTTACACAGCTTTCTGCATCCCGTCCGTCAGCTAGACAGACATCCTCCCTCCCACCCAAGGTATCTGGCTTCCAGAACAGACATGCAGTGCAGGAAGGAAGACTTCCAAGAAAGAAAAAAACGGGAAGCACAAGAGGAAGGGTCTGTCCCAACCCAGGATCGGCACTCCCCAGCCTATCCCGGTCTACATATACACGTCACGAGAGCTTCTCTTCGGCCTGCTCCCCTTCCTTCTTCGCGCAGCTGCCAGCAGCGTGCATTCTTCGATTTGCTGGCTCTCTCACTCGCAGCTAGAGACAGATGCGCTCCATAGCAACAACCTTGACGACAACGAAGATGCCGAGAACAACAATAACAAGGACAGGCCAAGATCGCGGGAAGATGACGAGGGAAAGGCAGATGACGAAGACCAAGCCAAGCGCATGGGTCACCACAACAAGGCGTAAGACCCTCTCTTCTGGGAAACTCCATCGCCCCAAATTCTGAATGCCTTCCATTCCTTTCCATTCCATGTTGCGCCATATTGTTACATGAAAATCGGGGAACAAGTTGATGAGAGTAGTGATAGGTAACAACCCGATGAAAGCGATGGTGGTGGTGGCGGTGGTGGTGTGTGTGGTATGGTAGCAGTGGTGGTAGGTAGCAGTTGCGGCAGTTATTGCTGCTGTGCAACACTCGGAACAAACCGCGTGCTCCTTTCCATGCCCTCCCTAACGAATCCCTTTCCCGACCGGCTGGCTGGGCTGGGCTGGGCTGGGCCGCTCCTTATTGTAACCCCGCCCCGACCTCTCACCTTTTAGCCTCATTTCCCTCCTCCTGTGGCTTCTGCTCCTCAAAGGCCGCCGGCTCCGGTCCGCTGACAGGCGGCGAGTCGGTGCTCTCGGTAGGGAATGGCGGCGTCGTGCTCTTGCCACCGCTGCCGTCGAAGTACTTGGAAAACTCCTCCTTCTCAGGCCACTGGCGTGGGCCGAGCAGCCGCACAAGGTCGTCGCGCGTCAGGACCTCTTTGCGCAGTAGCTCCTCGGCCACAAGACCAATCTCCTTCTTTTTGGCCTCCAGCAGGTCTCTGCACTGCTTGTAGGCCTGGTCGACGATGCGCCGGACCTCAGCATCGATCTCCTGCGCCGTGGCCTCGGCGAACGGCTTGTGCAGCTGGTTCTGGTCCTGGTTGTAGTGCAACGGGCCAAGCTTCTTCGACATTCCCCACTGCGTCACCATGGTCGTCGCCATGCGCGTGACCTTCTTGAAGTCGTCGCTGGCGCCCGTTGTAACTGTCGGGAAGTGCAGCTCCTCAGAAACGCGGCCACCAAGCGTCATGGCCATACGGTCCATAAGCTGGTTCTCCGTCATCAGGTAGGCATCGCTGGCCGGCAGGTACTGTGCATAACCCAGAGCGCCTTGACCACGAGGGATGATAGACACCTTTAGCAGGGGGTCTGCCCACCGGAAGTACCAGCCGCAGATGGCATGGCCAGCCTCGTGGTACGCAACTGTCCTCTTTTCTTCGGGGCTGAGGATCAGTGACTTGCGCTCCAGACCGCCGATGACACGCTCAATGGCCTGCTCGAAGTGAATCATCTGCACGCTCTCCGCGTTGGCTCTGGCAGCTGTTTTTTTTATATCATCAGCATCGGTGTTATGAAATCTAACACCTACTGGTAAGAAAGGTGTAGCAAGGAAGACATACCAATAAGCGCAGCCTCGTTGACAGCGTTGGCAATGTCGGCGCCCGCAAAGCCAGGCGTCAGGGCAGCAAGACGGCCGCAGAGGTACTCCATGTCTTCATTGGTCTTGATCTTGCGCAGGTGCACCTTGAAGATGTCTTGACGACCCTTCATCGTCGGCCTGTCGATGTGGATGTGCCTGTCGAAGCGACCAGGACGCATCAGAGCCTGATCGAGAATGTCCGGCCTGTTGGTACCCGCAAGCACCACAACCTGTTCGGTTGTATTGAAACCGTCCATCTCGGTCAGAATCTGGTTCAGCGTGGCCTCGCGCTCATCGTTGCCGCCACTACGGAACCCACCGCCCTCGGAACGCGACCGGCCGATGGCGTCGATTTCATCAATGAAGATGATGCAAGGAGCGTTTTTGCGTGCCGTCGCAAACAGATCGCGGACACGAGACGCGCCAACACCGACGAACATTTCGACGAACTCAGAACCGCTGACGCTGAAGAAAGGCACATTCGACTCGCCAGCCGTGGCCTTGGCCAGCAGCGTCTTACCAGTACCGGGAGGACCGGACAGGATGGCGCCGCGAGGGATCTTTGCACCCAACCTCTGGAAGCGCTCGGGGTTCTTGAGGAAGCTGACAAACTCCATAATCTCAGTCTTGGCCTCGTCCATGCCAGCCACGTCGGAGAACTTGACCTTGACCTGGGTGTCATGGTTGAACATCTTAGCCCGGCTCTTGCCGAAGCCAAAGTAGCCGCTGTTGCCGCTCACGCCCTTCCGCGTTAGCCAGACCAACAAGCCGACGAGCAAAAGAGTCGGCCCAAACGCCTGGATCAGAGCATGCATCTGACCCTCGCGCGCATAGGTAACCGGTATCCTCTCGCTAGGTGGTATACCAAGTTCCCTCTGAGCCTCTTCCAGTCTCCTTTCGAAGGCATCAACAGAACCAATGGAGAAGTAGTAGACCAGGTTGGGGTTAACACTGCCGTCAGGATATACGGCCTGAACCGCTTGGGCATTCAGATGCACTTTAACACGGTCCTTGTAGACCGTGAGCTTCTCGACCAAGCCCTTGTCCAGGAACTGAGACCGCACATCTTGCCATGTCATTTCCCGAGAAGTCTCGCTGCCCCAAAGCACCTGCACGGCAGCGTAGATAGCGAGTGCAATGAGAGCCTGGATAATGAAATCACCTCCGCCGCCGCCGCCATAGCCCCCAGGCCCCTCAGGCTTTTGGCCCTTGCCAGAGCCGCCCTGTTGTCTTTGCTGTTGTCGAACCTGTTGCTGCTGCGCAGACCTCTGCTGCTGCTGCTGCTGCTGTGACGGCGGCGGCGACTGTTGCTGATGTTGCTGCTGCTCTTGTTGCCGAGACTGTTGCGCGGCTTGTTGTTCCGGTGCTTGCTGAGCAGGCTGTTGCGGCTGCTGCTGCTGCTGCTGCACTGATGATTGTTCTCGTTGCTGCGCCGACAATTGTCCTTGCTGTTGGTCTTGCGATTGTTGCTGCTGAGGCTGGCTGGATGTCGTTGTCTCACTGTCGTTCGGCTTCGCCCGGCTGATGCTACTGTCTCTTTTGGCAGCGTCGATGGCATCCAGCGTCTGCTCTGACAACTCGTTCACGATCTTGAAGGCGATCCGGGGGATCTGCAGCGCATCCCGCATGCGAACCTCACCATTGAGGGCGCGCTGGAGGATGTCCCGGAGCTCGACCGGAACGCCAATCTCCTTCACCTCTCGAAAGGCCTCAGCCATCTGAGCCCGTTGATTGGGTGAGGGAAGATTGTTGATGAACTTCTGGAGCTGCTGCATCTCCTCCTCTGTCAGATACACCCATCCCTCGGGGAGTTGCCGGCGCGGCCGGAAGTCTTGTGATCCATGGTCGTCGTTCTGATCTGGTCTTTGCGGGTTGTTCGTCGAGTTGTATCTGCGGGCTGCGAGGAAGGCTGTCGCGGCAGGCGCCCGCGGGGCAATGCGAGCAGCTCGGGAGGCGGGGAGCGCAATCGACCTCAAAGTCAACCCGGCGCAGCGCGCCAAATGGCGTCCCGAGGTACGGAACATTATCGCGTCGGCGAGAACAGAAACGGATCGTTGGTAAGGTCAGGTGGTCTAGGTCGGTTGTGGGTGGAGGGTAGGTAGGTAGAAGAGCTGGTCGACGTCGAGTCCCCTTCCGATCTCCTGTCTCTTTGCTCTCGACTCTGGCCTGCTGCTCTTCTCTCCTTCCCCAATCTTTTCTTCCTTCTCTCTTCTCTCAATGCACCTGGGCAATTGGCCGTGTTGCCTAGTGCCCTAGTGCCCTAGCGCCCTTGTCGAGTAGCAGCAGCCGTACAATGCGTACGGACGGCTGGTAAGGTGGTCTTGCGTGCGCTGCCGCTGCCTGCTGGCGTCAGAAGTCGGCAATTTCCGCCTGAGAAAATGCAGCGATGCAGTCCGCCCACGACTCGTGATCGTAGGCTCCAGAAAACTGGGACTGCGGTGCTGGACTGCGGGGCACTTCGCCGTCATCCAGCCATTCAGATCAGCCGTGCTGCTTGCCAGCTGGCCACTCAACGCCCTTATTTGCCCACACCAGCCTCCACTTAGCTGGCTGTAAGTCACATGATCGAAGCCTGTCAGCCTTGCCCAGACCTCTTGATTACCTGGCTGACTAATGTTCGGCTCTCCGGTGTTACGACAGCACCGGAAGCTTCCAATCCCATCCTCGACATGTCGTCCTGGACCAGGTTTGGCCCGTCATGTGTTTGTAAGATACGGATTGCCACCTTTAAGGAATTTTTGACTTTGCCTCAAGTTCCCGAGTATAGACTGATCATGCACTTCTCACTTTCAGTTGTTGATCTCTTGCCCTTCTTCCCGCCCCCGGCCCCCAGAGCCGTCCTCCCAGGGAAGAAGGGAAAGAATAACATATCTAATACCTCATGCTTTTCTTTAGTACAGTAATTTCAAAGAATATGTGGTTCACACATGAGTTCCGCTAGCACACAGTATACGCATACATGTACTCATGAATTGAAAGTATTAGGCCTTAGCCCCCCTCCGGAAACCTCATAACTAGAAAAGTTGTATCCAACAGGGAAATCAAGACTGTCATCAAAGTGGATCAGTGCCAATTGGTGTGTCTAATCCATGCCGATATCCACGTAGTGTATCCAAAGATATTTCCAAACCCAGTAGCTCTCGCAAGTGAGGAGCAGAGAGCCGCTCTCCGCCCACTATCGAGAGCAAGAAAAAAAAATTTAAAAACCCCTACCAATGCAACGAAGCAAATAATACAGGTGTATCAGGATAAATGCTGTATCTCAAATGTCTCAATCATCTGCTCTGAGTAAAGGCGGAATGAATATTCAGCCGGTCGGTAATAGGGGGAGGACCTCCCATACTATCCGTCGTTCCGGGCAAGCTACCGAAGTTCCCATTCTCCACGGTAGGGTACGCGCCTCCACTCATCTCAGCCCACTCCCAGTCGAGAGTCATTGGCAAGCTAAACAAATCTTGCGGCAGCATTGGCTGTTGGTGCTGGAAGAAACCGCCGCCCGAGCCTGGCAAGCCATCGGAAGGAGAGGGACCACCACCGCCGCTTCCATGTCCAGGTCCCAAAGAAGGAGGGCTACCCATGATGCTTGTCAACCCAGCCATTTGTGCATCGAATGCTGCCATATCAGCGTATATATTGTAGTCAGATTGCGCCGTTGTGTCGTGAGGCGTTGCAAATTCACTGGTCCAGCCACCTGTCGTTGGGCCTGGTGTTGGCGATGAGTCCTGGCTCATAGCACCTGCTGTCCTGGGACTGGACGCTTGTGATGTTGCTCGTTGATCCGCCGAAGCTTGCTGTTGCGGTGGTTGTTGTGGGGGTTGTTGTGTGCAGATGGTGGCCGATGTAAGCTGGCTTGGCCGAGGAGTTGCTGAGCTGGATGTTGGGCGAGATGTCGGCGCCGAAGGGTCAGTGATAAAGGATACCGATTGGCTCGTGGAGGAAGTAGTGGCAGGTGCCGTTGTTGACGCTGTTGTCGCTGCGGTTACCGTGGATGTTGTCGTCATTGTCGGATTCGAAGGCTGTTGTTGATCCTGATTCTTCCGCTTTCTCCGTGATGCGTGTTCCTTTTCTGCTTTTTCAATTACAACCCTGGCGATACGCTCGAATTCAGAGCAGACGCCCAGCATGCGGTGTACACCACCTGTTTCAGCTTCAGGACCAAGGCTGGATAAGAAGTTGACGACAGCTTGCATCAACTTCGTATCTGATCGTGCCCTTGGATCGAGAGGGTTTTGTAGGATATTTCCAAACAGTGTTACGAGGGCTGTAACGGGGAAATAGAGCACCATCCTGCATCACCAAGACAACTAGTGGTTAGAATAAACTCAGCAACTGCAAATGTAAAATTCGGGGTGAACTCACCAGACGCAAGAAGCATCACCCGGCGGTATGTACTTGAGAAGTGATATTGACGCCCTTGCGGCTGAAGTGCAAAGAGCTGCAGACGAGAAGATGCGTGGATTGATCGGTCGAGCATTGAGTCCCCGAATAGCAAAATTGGAGAGCCTGTCGGTCCAGTACCCGCGATGAATGGACATGCGATGAATCGTGCAAAGGCAGTTGTAGTAGTTGAAATGGAGCATGACAATATGTAGGATGAGCGGAGTATGGGAAGCCTTGATCTCGTGCTCTGGCCGGAAATCGATGGGGATGCGGTCTTTCCAATCTTCGAGCTCCTTGTCAAGCTCCCCGATGGCTTTCAATAACTCCCCCTCTGACTGCTTGCTCGCCTTGGTCGAGTACAGCCGTTTATAGACCTTGCTTTCGACAATGGCCAGCTCGCACATGACTCGGAATAAGTTCATCTTGCCCTTTCCATCTGCCAAGGGGATATTACCAATGCCATCAGCTGGATCGGCGTCGGGAAGCTCCACGTTCATGTCGTCATCGTCTTGCGCCGGTGGTCGCCCACATCTCAGGCACAAGTCTTTGTCGAGCATATAGGCGATCCAAAATACCCTCTTGCGCTGCTCAATCTCGATCGGATTTAGCTGGAAACCTGTTCCTCGCTTATGCAGGCCGATTGTGTGTGACAGACGGATGGCGGCAGCAATGAGCAAAAACGAAGGCTGAGGGTTAGGTGTTCCTTGCATGAAGAGAGCCATGCCTAGAATGGCTTGGACGCTAAGAAGATCAGTATTGCGCATTATCAACTCTGGGAAAGTGGCCATGGCGTTCTTCATGTAATCCCAAGCCTTGTCTTCTTCCTCCTTAGGGACCAGGTTACTCATGATCCGCAGCCGGTGTGCAATAGCTAGAGCCACATTTAAGCTGGCCCACCAACCAGACCCGGTATAGGGGTCACTTGAGTACTGTCTCTCTACCAAATGCATGAACGTCGGTTGGTGAAACAGCGGGAAGATGCAGTTGAAGTTTTCAAAGTAGTCCTTCAACAAGGACAAAGCCTCTGGCTTTGGGGGAAGTTCGCGGAAGATAGTACGACGAAACAGGTCGCCAAAGACGTCAGGCTTCCATGCTGCCCATTTGTGATCGTCCATCGAGACGTCTGATATCATCTGCTGGAAGGAGGTGTCGCCCATCTTTTCGTTGACCCATTGTATCCCCTTTGGCGAGAAGATGGAGAACCCGGATGACGAGCCTTTCAGCAAGTTAGCAACTCAGCCGCCGGGCCAACTTTTTTATGCTGGACTCACCAATATATCGAGTTTCACCATAGTTGTTTGTGACAAGTGAGCACATCATTTCTGACAGTTCCTCAACTTCTTCCTGCTCTTCCTCGCCATTTTCCTTGCCCGGGCTGCTAGACTTCCCTTTCTCGCCATCTTTGCCAGGCTCGGGAGAGGCTAATGAGCTCTGGGGAGTCGAAGCATTCCCATCCTGGCCTGTTGCTGTTTGGGAAGGAGAAGTAGGATTGGACGCAGTCTGAGAGGCCTGTCTTGACTGCTGCTTCTCTACAAGCTTCTTCTCCAAGGCCCCAAGATCGGTCGCACCGTTATCATCATCACTCAGCAATCCTGTCCATGCCATTAGTGAACAGAACCCCTCACGGAACTTATGTGGTGGTTGGAGGAGCGGGGGTGCGCATGTTAAAAGCCCAAATCATTGGCCCTGATTACATACCTGATAACCGCAACAAATGCTCCATCCGGCCGAGCCGGTTTTCGAGCCCCTCTATATATTTGGCTCTAGAGTTGGGCAGTCAGCAGTCATGCTAAAGTCAAGGATAGCTACTGGAGGAACTTACCCCTTGGGAGGGGCCCGCTTCTTCTCAACCTGAGTGAAGACACACTCGGTCTTGTAGTTCTGACAATGTGTACAAGCAGGAAGCTTGCCATCGCACTTTATTTTCTTCTTCCTGCACATATCACACGCCTGCAGCAGTTAGTGGGATGCTGCAAGGGTCCATCCGACCGCTGCACAGGCTTGGACTCACCCTCGAAATTCTCCTTCGCTTCGCTTCTGTGGTGTCCTCAAGTAAGCCCGGATCCCCAAACATCTGAGCCGCCATTAGATCAGGCGGCAGCTGCGGCGGAATCGGGATGCCATGCTCGGTGTAACCGCCAAAGATCTGTGGAGGCTGGTTTATGATTGGGGGTGGGGGAATGGGCATCTGAAAGCCCGGATGGATGTGGTCCATCTTTGAAGCGTGGTGGACGGAGAAATTAAGACTGAGAAAAGGCGATTTCTTCACGACGGTTTTTGAGCCCTGACTTAGCCTCGACGAAGTACCTAAGGCTATTTGGGAATGAACAAAGCAGAGACGTTGGATATTTCGAGCGCGCAGGGAAATCACAGGACAAATGTAGCCACAGACAATATGTTGCTATTATTATATCGCTGTGCAGACTTCAGGAGTTGTCGAATCAGGAGTGACATGTGCCGGCAGCACCGGGCCTATGGGGGCAGAGCACACGACACCCAAAATAACGGCTCTCAGGTAACGTTAACGTCCAACAACCGAGACTCGAGAATATCAATCCAGAACTCGCCCCTGCATGTCGGTAGGAGGCACGACGTCGAATGCTCCACAAAGGCCACTGCGGCTCGATGCTTAGGTTGTTGTGGGTGCAGCTATCCCGAAATTAGGAACGCTGGGCACGCATGTATCCTTCTCGGTGATATGTGGCACGCTGCTCGGAGTTAAAAGACGTTTCTCTGCAAACGGCCGTATTTAGTGGACGGCAGCGAGGTTGGATGGAACCGCTTAGATGGTGCCGAAGAATAGTAGAAGGAGGTGCGGTGGGTGCTGTGGTGGGAATGTGAGAAAGAGAGGGCGGGACTAGGCTGGCTCGCAGTGGCGTGAGGGACAAAGCGTCAGTAGGGGCAGTTTAAATTGTACCCGTACGAGCGAGCTGTATGAACTCCTCTAACAACCTGTAAGTGTGCCTGCCAACATCAAAGCACGGATGAATGCAGAGTGAGTGGTCGGGTCGGCCTTGAGCAGCGTGATTGTGAAAATAGGAAGAGATGGACGGTAAACTGCCGGTCTCCCTCGTGTATATGGCACCAGGTGAAGCGCCTGCCCCATTCAGCGGTCGAGGATGGGCGAGTGATAGGAAGGGTGGGGCATGGAACAGCAGCCAACGCACAGACGGCAGCCAAACATTCAGGGAGATTTTGACACCTGCTGAAGGGGGTGCCTTGGGGCCCTGGTAGCCCCGTGGTATTGGATGTTGATTGGTAAGCTCCGCTTCAGCACTTCCTGGCCGTTTGGGCAATGAGCAGTTCTTTTGCACTCTGTAAACTGTCGGGTTCCTGATCCAGCCAGTCCCTGACGTTGATCGGAGATGCAGGGACTCGAGGACTACCTACCTAAGGCATCAAGTGCTGATGGAGAGACCCGAGTTCTTCGTGGTTCTGACTGGCTGGCAGGCACTGCCTAGGTACCTCTAGCTGCGCAGTAAACATCAAAGATAGCACTGCTGCGGATATTCTGGCGGACCTGGCAAATGTGGCGGGATCGAAAGATCAGTCCGGGTTCCTCCGTGAGTTGCACCAGTCGGGTTAAGGACAGAAGCTAACAAAACTCGTAGCACGCGGAGCGGCCTACGTCACACACCTCCGGATAGATGTTTGCGATGCCATCCCGGAATCAGGGGACTAGCATATAGCACGCTCCAGAGGGACCTGATCATGCCTACACTGTATAGTTACCTCAGTCCTGGGGATGAGTGTACAGGAGGATTGTCATTCGCTGCCCTACCAAACTTCCCACATACTCCGGCTGCTCACCTCCCCAGCCTGCAGGACGTAGTGATCCCGTAATGCCTGCTTAACGTTTTGAAGAGCGCCCCGCTGTTGCCAACGCCGGGAATCCGGTGTTTGGGATCTGGCCAAGAACGTCACACCGGCCAGGGGGTTGTGTTTGCAGCATCTGAATCTTGCATCATCAGACACGCCGCCAGCAGTTTGTATCTGCAGCCATCGCGCCTGTGGTCTTAGGGGCTCATTGAGATTGCGTTGTATGCTGTATATGCTTAAGGCCTTAAATGCGCTACTCAGGGCTGATTCAAGTCTAGGACTTAGAATCTAGGTACGAACCAGTTCTTGGGCTGCAGAAGGCAGACAGAGATTCAGTTAGACAACAAAGCAGCCAGGTCCTATATTGAAGTCGTGCTTGGCTTCACAGGTCTTCTTGTTCGACATTTCTACAGTCTTCTATGAATTGAGAAGATGAATCGTCAAGCGATCACCGAGGCACGTGTCCGAGCCACATGGGATTCTCCCGATCTGTGGTTTGGCCGGCTGCAGGCAGGGGTCACGACCCAAAGTTCTTGAGACAAATATGAAACGTGGGAGGCAGCCTGCTCACCACTGCTTGAATGCCTTACCAAGAATGACAAATTCTCATACAGACTAAACAGGACCAACGTTGATTGGGAACTTCTCAATCACTATGCAAATTCTTTTTGTTGGGTCAAAAGAACAGGGCTTGCCGCCTACAACCTTGAGATGCCTACCTGGATTGCTTCCGGCTGCTTCCATGATTGATAAAGCAAGGTCATCTCGCATAATTGGTGAACGATAGGTGAGCTAGTATGCTACAATATTTTGAAAGATCCCCGGGCCATTTGGGTAGAGACAAGAGTGATCAGTTCTGCCATTCAGGCATTATCACTTCAGTCTCCTCGTAGTATTCAAGATTGGTAGGACGCTTACGGAATACCGGTAGCACCCTAGCCGAGTAGGTGTGCTTGTTCCTTCAGACTCTTTAAGACAGGGGTAACATTCCCATTTTTCCATTTGCCACGCTGCAAGCACTAGGCGTTACTTCTCAATATCAGAGGAAAGAGGACAATAATGAAATCCATGTTGGTATTCTCTCCTGCAGGAACACAGCCCACATGGAAACAATACCGACGTTAGCCCCACCTCAACAAAGTTCGTGGTGTGCCGGTGCCTGATGGGCTTGACGTCATGTTTTGGAAGCTGTCCAGTGATAGGATCCGGGATTACAGATGTTGTGAAGAACAATGATTCTCCGTAAACTCCATGACACTCAACTAGGACTCGCTGGCGCAACGGTAGCGCGTTCGACTCCAGATCGAAAGGTTATCCGTTCAAATCGGGTGCGGGTCAAAAGCACTGTTTTTAGTCGCCTCTGCGTAAGGGTTCTTTTTGCCGACGAGCTTGGATTGAACAATAGTAGTAAGTCAACAACGACGCTCTTTTACCACCTACCGTCTCACGAGGCCATCGAGTTGTCCTTTGTTTACCAGACGTTTGTCATCAATCCTTGTATACAGTGCGCATATTACGAAACGTGAATATTAACACTGTTCACTCCCCGCCCTCTTCGCTGTCAAACGCAGACGTGCACAGACCAGACGTTCCACATTTATATATTCTCCCTCTCCCCTCCCACATTTTATTTTGGCTTCTCTTTTCTTCCCCATCCCAGTGCAGGGGTATTACGCGTATCAGTGAGGATTCGTCCGAGATCGCGTTTTTGCTAATTGCAAACTATACCCTTGACCGCTCCAAGTTGGCTAAGGCCGGCTGGGGAATTTCTGGACATACTGTTCTCCTTGTGAGAAGTTACCCACCTATTTCTTTCATTGCCAACGTCTGCGTGTCGGGCGTGGTGAAGAAGGAAAAGTTCGGCGTTCAGGTTAAGTTTTGTGGGACATGGAATGCGGCCGTGAAATTATAGACACATAGCTGTCATGTTGACCAGAAGTGGCCTGTGGATGACAAAGAGGCCGAGGATATCTGAGAAGGCAGGGCTGTCGAAGGTCGAGATCACACGTGGTCGCTAACACCGCCTGCAACTTGATACCTTAGGCTTGACTCATGTTCTGTAAGAACCTAATAGAACACTGCTCTATTGAACGGGTCATTGTTGCACTACCCAGCCTGACCGTTATAGCATATGCGTACCAGAAACCAACGTGACGGGCAGTTGTGACGGTTCGGGAGTATTTAGGCGCGGGGCTGGGCGCGTCGCGACCGCGCCTGGAACGAGGTCTTCGGGTCTTTGGCGATAGAACGGACGCCTTGACCGTTTCTGAAATTTCTGGCTGCGCTCGCCGCTGGCCTTGTCTCACGTTCTCGCGCGCCTGTTGTGGGCCAAGCGGGTGGTCGCACCGGTCATCCAGCGTTGGTTCGCTGTGGTTCTACACACAATATGTCCCACTGGCAGGTACGTATCAGAACAAGAAGAGTAGAATCGGGGCGATGCTCTACGTATGCAGTGTAAGTACGGTGTTATATATTCCTGAAGCCTATACCGTTGTCTTCACCATATTGAATCATCGATGGCATGCAAAAAAGAGCAGTGCCAAAGTACATGCAAGAGATTGCAGATCGCGAAATCCGATTGGCTGGGATGCGACGGAGCGATGGGAAACTGAGATTGGGAAACCATCCGAGGCTCAACTGGTACTAATAAGTGAATGTTCCTGCTGCAGCCGAGCGTAACGGACAAGAACGCCTTCTACAATCAGGACGCAGATTATTGTCTTGAGATGACATTTGCCAATCAATCAGTGGTTGTCCTGCATATGAATGAATTGTTTTCATGGCTCCGCTTTTCTTTCTTTGAAGCAACTACATATTTCGGCTTCGTTGTAGGCTCTCGTTGAATGTGAATGTGAATCCGCCGTCGTTGCACAAGGAACCAGAAACGGAGGATACGGAGCGGCTAGGCCGTGCCTGCCACCTGATTCGTACCGTGCAGACAAGACGCACAGACCACAACAGCAAAGCGAAAGGGCAGGAAAGACGGGGCGCCTCCTCTTCGTTCCGCACCTCCCCATCATCATCGACGGCATTCCGTCGCCCAACGCCCTTCAATCGAGCATCAGCCCCTGCGAGTGTCGAGCGCCACGCCGATACCGACTCGAAATTGTTGGTATCGAGCTTATTCAATTTGGAGCAGCACTTTTATTGATATTTCCCGCAGCCGCCGACTTTGAGACGAGCGTTTTGGCGGGATTGGGGGTTGCGTGATTGCCGCTGTCGGCGCTTTGCTCGACGAGGCACATAGCCTCCTCCATTTCTCCCTCCCCTTCTTCCCCCCGCCATCCATTGCCCATCGAACGATCGCGATATCATCTTGCGTCTACTGCCCTCCGTCTCATCTCATCTCGCCTCAATCTTCGCGCGCCCGTTTCGGCCTTCGCGCGCTTGTTGCCCGTTGCCATCGGTCGACCAGACGACGGTCGCGCCAAGCCTTTTCTTTTCTTCATCACTCTCGACCGACTGCGTCATCAAATTCCATCAACCTACCATCATGTCCTTCCACCCACAGACTCCGCAAAGTCCGTCTCACTCTCCAAATACGAGCGATCTCACGACAAGCCAGCCTGGTTCCGTTGCGACTGGCACTACAACAACCTTGCCGACGCCTGCTCACAGCGTCAACGGAGGCTCACTCCTCTCAGAGATGGCTCAGGATACCATCATGGGAGGAGATTCCCCTCACAAGCGCAAGAGAGACGTTAGCGACATCGGCGATCGTGCACAGAAGAAAGCCCACATTGAAAATCGCATGCTGGGCATCACCGACTTGCACTTGGATGTCGGCGAGAAGTACCTTCTTTGCAGAACTCGTAAGGCTCCCTTTTACCCGCTTACAACACCAAACGAGCAGCCGTTCACTTGCATCGCATTTGCGCGCTGTGCTGTTCTTAATCGGTGACTTGGCGTGGCATGGGGAGCTAGACCATAGCACTGCCTTTTTTTTTCTTGTTTTGCAAATAATAAATTACAGAGGCTTGATTAACACGTTGCTTCTTGCAGAGCATCTTCCGCCGCCTCGGCCTCGAGTGTCCGAAGATCTCTTCGAGATTTACCACTTGAAGGAGCTTGCTGGCGAAGTTGCCCGTGTGCTTCCCAACGGCGAGAAGAACGCGCTCAGGAAGACGTACAAAGGTCACATTAAAAGACTCGGCGTGCAAGGCCACTTTGACGAAGTTAAACAGGATCCCTTCCGCGAAGATGGCTTACTCGCTCTCATGAAGATGCCACAGGATGTATGGGATGTCCACGTAACGCGTGGCAGGAACATCCATGATGGTTTCAGCGCCGAAGTGAAGCAGAAGCTACCTAAGGCCATGTCCATGGCAAAGGGCTATGTACCGCGAGCCGTGTGGGATTACTCGGTGCTGGGTGATCTCGCTCCTGGAAAGGGCGACAACCGCGCATCGTCAGTGCGACAGACTGCTCCCAATACCCCGTTGCCGGCTTTGGGAACACAGGGCTTTCCTCGTCCTAAAGTCAGCACTCCCTTTCCTCAGAACCAAGTCAAGCGGAACATGAAGAAGCGAGGCTTTGGCGAAGAAGGATATGGCGAAGGAACCGGCGATGACGAGACCGGATATTCGACCGGAGAGGGCGATATGGCCTCGGGCCTGAAGCGCAGGAAAAAGGTGCTCATCAACGGCTACGATCCTGTCTGATGAGAGACCTTGTGCTGACATGCGAATAACTTAGGCCCACCCGGTCAACCAGCCGTATGCCCAATCCCAAGCTCGCCAGCCGCTCTACGGTTCCGGCACTACTGGGAGCTAAGAGGCCACTGCTGGCCGTCGGGTTCGAGGCAACCCCTTCATTGTAAACCCTTTAAGCTCAACCCCATTCCGACGCATCGAGAGCCCCTGATCCGTTTTCAGGGTGATACCTGGTGAAGCCGGTTTACGACAAACTCTTCCTCAGTTGATTTTGCTTTTTTACGCGCGCAAGCTATCAGAGTTCGGATCATCAAATCCATGGATTGAGTCCTGGACACTTGCCTTGAACGGCAACCCAGATTTCAAAGGTTCGATATCTGGAAACAATCCTATGAGAGGAAAGAAAGGCAACAACCGAGAAGGGAAAAGACGAATCAGTGATGTGTTTGGCTCGCGCGATGCCGACGGGGATTGTTGATTCATTCATCCGTCCCAGGAATGGTGACGGGAGAAAACATATAATGGATCATGGTACATAATGGTGCTCTGGCAAGAGAGATACTGGGCTCTCTTTGCATCACGAGGCATATGATTCGGCCGCACATACGCCCAGCCGGCTTCTTGGCCTTTCCATGGATCTGCTGTGGCGGGTTTCATTCATCTTGCATTTTTCTGTTGTGTGGGATATGCAGCACGGCGTTTGGGTCTGGTTTTCGTTCTTGCCTTTCAGGCAGGTAAAAAGGTAGATGGTGAGCTGAGATATTGCTCGCATTTATTACTCATGAACCTGGGGTACGCGCAATTGGGATGAACTTTGGGAGGTACCTATCTTCTAATGAACCTGGACGAGGAGCGCATGGTTGAATGGATGCGGCTATAGCTACGACCAAATGAAGGTTTTCTCAGCCGCTTAGCTATGAGTTTAGCGTCTCGGGAATGCGGATGCCTTTGCTCTGCTCAGCAAAGTTGAGATCACATTTTTACCATACATGGACAGTGATCAGGTCTGATCCCTTGAAATTGGTACTATTAGACTTTAACCCTTGTTTTGCAATGCATCTATCCCATCGTCAATTGACTTCCGACCTCGACTCACTTAAGGAGATTCTAGTCTTTTGTTGCGCATCTTCTTTCAAGCAGATCCAAGGAAGGTAGGAAGATACCCCGGTAGATCTATGTTTAGTCAAAAATTATACACAATATCAGCGATCAGCACCGGTCTCGGTTACCCTAATATCAAGATGCCCAAACTCGTTGAAGCCTCTCTGTCTACCCATGTTCCGGTATCACCCCTCCTTCAGTTCATTCCCCTCATCCTTTTCTACTTCCTGTTTCTTCTCTGTTTCGCGTCCTTTTTCCCTCTTCTCTTCGCAACCCTCAATTTCCCATTGCTTATTTCCAACATCACCACTCTTCTGACCCTCTTCCTTTGTTGCCGTTGCTGCCGCCGCCGCCGCTGTACCATAACCACCATCTAGACATCCATTACTCAGACTGTCGAGAACAGCCCTAGCTGAAGCATCATCCCACACCCACTGGGCAATGCGTTGCCCAACATCGCCCGCCAACTGCTCGTAGTGTGGCCGGCGAGCGTCGAACATGCTGCAGTGCGCGCCAACCTCGTCGACGTCCGCAATGTAGACTTCGATCCAAGTCTGGTCGGGTTCCCCGTTGATCTTTGTGGGGAGAAGACAGAACTTCCGCAGGCGTTTGCGGGGGGTTGTTGGCGTTGTTGTTAATTCCACGATGCTGATGGTTTCGTCTTCGGCTTCCCTTTCTGCGACCAGGGAGACGTGAGAGGATGATGCTGACTCAGACAATGCGTCATGTTTGTTGTGAGTGTTGTGAGATTTGATATCCGTGTCGCGGTCGAGCACCTGATTGGCAATATCTCTCAGGACGTCTCGGAAGCGGTGCTCTTGATGAGCTTTTGGGGTTGTTGTATTATTTCCGTCCTCAATGGCCTGAAGCAGGGCTTTCTGAGCGCGCTTGAAGAGCCTGGAGGCTCGCTTGCGCACAGAAGCTTCGGAGGCGGAATCAACGGCGTGGGGATGGAGTGGAGGAGGAGGGAAGGAGGGTCCGTTATGGGTCTTGTCTTCGTTTGTGGGCGGCAAGCAGGTGGTTGAAAGAACTGAACCGCCTGAGTCCAACTTAAGGTTGCTAGTATGAGTTGTCGAGTGCCTCTGATCGGTGCTGTGATTCTCGATGGATATTTTTGGTGTGGATGTCCCAGAACCTGTGTTCAGTGATAACGTGCCAGAGCCTACATTCTGCAGCTGCGCCTCCTGCGCCCACAGAACCTCAGATGTGTCTGGCAAGCTCGTTTCTTGCTTTTTCGGAAGCCCGGGACACACAGTGTAGTAGTTAATGAACCTGACTCTACCAGGACGCTTGTCAACAGGATTCTGCGTTTGCGAGCACACATCGATGTCTTCCAAGCTGCGCAGGCGGTGATAACGGGCTCTCAGCCCAGATAGATCGGCGAGACACGCATTGAACTCTAGATGCGACACGAGGTGTGAAGCTGCGGCCTGTATCAGATTCTCTTCCTTGTATTTATTGATAAAATGTACAAAATTCTTCAACCTCCCACGATCTTTGTATTCTACATCGTTGAAGAAAGGAGGATTGAAATAGGGGTCGAAAGCTTCGTGGGTGGTACTCGGCCACGGCTCAGACCTCATAGCAGGAGAAGAAGCACCTAATGCAGACGAGGGCTCACAGCAGATGGATGGATCATGGGAAAGGGACTGCGATGGTTCTGAGAGCTTATGCTCTGTTGGGATACTATTGTCATCAGCGGGAAAGGACTCAGGAGACGGCCGGAAGAGACTCGCTATGCCTGAGACTACAATTCCTGGGTGTAAGCCAAGTAAAGGAGCATCAAGACACACAATGCCCAGGATACGGTGTCGAAAGGGAGAAGTGGCTGTCTGAATGGAAGGCTAGATGAAAGTTGTTAGTCCTCACATCCTCCCGGGTATCATGTGCAAACGCTCCAAACCGACATACCATCATGGCTACCTCCGCGGCCAACAGCCCACCCATTGAATGTCCCACCAAGACCACATCTGTAGTAGGTGATTCGTAAGGAATCAGCCAGTCACTGAAATTATCTCGGGCCAACTCGAGAGACCTGTAAGTCTTGTAGCGAGGGTAAATCTTGGTGTGGACAATATGGGATTCCGCCAGGAGGTTTTTAAGCAGGTTGTGCACATGAGCTGGAAATGACTGGAAAGACGAGTCGCTGCCCATATAGCCATGAATGTAAATGACAAGGAGCTTCCGTTTTTTGCATTCTTCCTCTCCATCTGTCGATGACAGCAGTGACTGTGTAGATGATGCTCGGGGGTCAGGAAACATCGGCAGCGGTGGTGGTCCTTGTGGATCAGGTGTTGGGGCGGCTTGAGACTCCTGCTGAGAAGAAGAAAATGAAGAATTAGTTGCCTGTTGGGAGACTAGCTCCCCAGGTGAAGGGATATCTCCCATTGAGTTGGCATCGGCAGCAGTGTCTGAGGATATGGGATGATCACTCTTGCTCTCGGTTGGGTTTTGGGTTGGGGTTGGCGTTGGGAGCATGACGTCACCGCCGGACCCCGAGCTGACGCGTGCTTTTGGACGGGTGTCTTGATTGGGAAGTGTTGCATCCATCTGAACACTAGCCTGCGTATAGGGATGTAGACAGTCACTTAGATCTGGCTTCTACAGAACTGTTCCAGGTTGCTTGGAAACATCGACAATCAAAAATGTGATGCATGGCTCGGTTCCTGCCCCTGCCCCTGGAGTGTCTGGTAGCGTGGCTGAGTGTGCCTGGTAACCACCTTGGTTTGTAGTCTCCATTTCCTGTTGCCCTAGCGCAGCTGTACAACCGCCCCAATGGTCGCGATGATTGGTTTCTTTGATGATGTGTAATCACCATCAAACTTTCTTTGTATGCAACTCCGATATTCGATTCCGTCGTGTCTAAGTAAAAACGTAGGAAGGAACGTCATGTGGAAATAACAACAGTAGCAGTTTTAAACCTAAATCAGGAACTGGCTGTGATAACGACGCATCTAGTAACTGCAGGTTTAAGACGCACAGCCCTTTAAGGAGCTGTGCCGTGATCTCGAACTGTTTGAATCCACTCCACCTCATTTAAGTACCCCCGCTTCAGCGATCGCGGCGGTTTCTGTCGAGCAAAAATCCAGTACTTAATCCTTGTATGTACAGGAATGGATGGTGAGACAGAGAAGCTACCCTACTGGGCACTGTGTTTGTCCTGCAGGTTATACTGTAGAAAGTAAGACCAAATACGCGGTGGAAGACAGCACCTATAGAGAGACCAAGTTTGGCGTCCGCTCTGGCAGCATGCTGCATGGATTGCTGCAACCGAACACCTGGAAACAGCAGCAGGCCCGCGTTTTCCGCCCGAAGGCAAACGGGGGATCGCGGCACATGTGTCTTAACGGCGCTGGCCAATGAAGAGCTGGCAAGGACCAGTAGCCTGCGGGCCACAGTGGTTGGCTGCATCTCCGCAAGGGGTCTCCACCAGATCCTCTACGTACTTGTATGTACAAGTACATTCATGCCTGAGACATTTACAGTTCACCCGTTGTTTGCTTGTTAGTGAAAAACTTTGGATGGACCCTGTCAACCTCACAATGTAGACCAAGTTTGTTACTCATATTCACATATTCACGAATTTTGTGTAAATAACTATTTTAATAATTCATTAAATGAAGTATATAACCATTTGCACCACTTTTGGCACTGAAATAGTTGTTTCTTGGTTGTGATGTTGTTGGGAAATCCTGGTTTCAAAGTCTTGCGCTAATGATCAAAACGAGATAGGCATTGTACATTCACTGGTAATAACCAGGTAGTCGTAACAGGCCCTGGTATCTACCTTAGGTAGTGGCTCTGCTATTAGCAATCAGAACTTGGGCCCAATCTTGACGACAGGGCTCGTGTGCCGATTCCACAACCTCCTCATATGGGTTCGAAGGTAGTGGCCAGGTTGTAGAACCTGAGGGACTGGGGTCCTCACACAGCAGAGTATGTTGACTACAGTCACCAGTTGTTGGTTGACAAATGTTTTTACTATTACTGACTGAGGAAGTCCTCATTATAGTTCTGGAGATGAGATATTCTATATGCATATCTATACTCGAGGACCATTGGTATACTCGCCCTGCCATTCAGATTATCATCGACCAAACTCAGAATTATCGTCAAGGGTAGAGGTCGATTGTTGGTGGCTCTTGGCAGCGACAACGTTTCCTTGCCTGTGATTGGTCTGTCTTCTCGTCCCACTTTAGCTTCCCTTCCTCATTGGTCCCCACTGCTCTGGGGCGGCCGCTGGTCTGCATCTATGCCGTAAAGAGTTCGGGTGGTCGCTCGGCTGGTTGGTCACGCTTGTCGTTCAGGTGTTGTACGTAGTTCTTTTTGTCGCTTTCTTGCCTAGGTAGGTATGTTTTCATCTCATCTCGTACTCCACACTTCATTCAACATGCGCTATCCAGCCTTCAGAAGTTGAAGCATTAGCGATTTTTGTCATTAAGCCAGTGTTTCTTTCGATTTTACATATATCCATTTTTTTTCACAAATTATACATATATCATCTTGAAACCCCTCATCGGAATCATGAATGCAGCGACAACTACAGGATGCCGTTCTATGGCTAAAACGTTGCATATGCATAAGTCTCAAAATGATTCAAACATCAAGCCAACAGTCGCCCACGCGGTGGGTTTGGCTATGGAGCAGCCAATCTTTTTAAAAGCCCCAAGTCGACTTCTGCATGAGTGTACAAGTAGACTGGATGCAATAGTCTTGCAGGGGGGATACCCAATCAGGACGTGACTGATGCATGCGGATGTCGGCTGATCATCCTATAAACCCCTGCTCCCACAGAATCCGCTCAGCACCAGCAGCCATACGTGCCACCTACTTATACTGTCCTGTGTAACCCAGATCTCGGTCCCGTGGCCACATTTCCCACAACTCCATCTGGCTGTCATCAGGAAGCTTGTCGCTCAAGGTTGCTGTTCTGCTTGATCTGAATCACAACAGGTCTCCCTGCATCCACGGACGACCATGGCTGAGTCATCCGACTCCAAGACGGACAAGCCCGTTACCCAAACTCCTGGACTTCTTCCATCTTCTCACTGGGCATCTGTACGTTAGCTTTTACTAAGCTCATTATCCACAAGCCTTGACACTTTGTGATCACTTTCTCATCACAACGCGCCTCTAGCTCAAGGATGAAACTGCAAACCGCGAATACGATACCAATGACAGTTCTTCAGAGCATACCAGCTTTCTCTCGAGCACCACCTCCGTGACAAGCACTTTACGTCGGTTCCGCAGCCTCCATGGCCGCACATACCATTCGGAGATTGGCATTGCTCAGTCCTGGACACCAAATGACCTGAAGCATATTGGGGCTCTGGAGTTCATGCATGCCTCTTTTTTGGTAGCAATGGACGAGAAGCTTTTCCTGGCGCCTGTCGACACTTCCAAGCTCAAGAGGGTCCTGGATGTCGGTACGGGTGCGGGCCACTGGGCCATGTAAGTGCCATCAGCATGTTCGATCACCAACCAGTATTTCAAAGTACTAAACAATTACTGCTAGTGATATGGGAGATCTATACCCGAATGCTGAAATCATTGGTCTAGATATCACTCCTATGCAGCCAACATGGGTTCCTCCCAACGTCAGCTTTCAGATCGACGATGCTAACCAGCCGTGGACCTTCGCCGATAACTACTTTGACTTTGTCCATACGCGATTTCTTTCTGGCTGCATTGCTGATTGGGATAAGTTCTATCGCGACGCCTTCCGTTGCATCAAACCTGGAGGCTGGCTAGAACACCAAGAAGTCAACATTGCCTGGTTTGATGATTCGGACCCTATTCCTGAGGAGAGCCCATTGGGTCAATACGGCCCGTCGTTCCGGGAAGCTGGCAATAGGTCTGGGCGTACCTTCTGCGTAGTCGCAGACGATTTGCAGGAGAAGGGAATGAAGGCGGCGGGTTTCGTAGACATTCAGGTGAAGGACATGAAGATCCCCTTCGGCGCCTGGCCCGAAGATGAGCGTCAAAAGGAGCTTGGCATTCTTTCTAAAGCGTTTACAATGGCGGACCTTGACGGTATGTTCGCGGGTTCTCCTTAGGAAGCCCTTTTATCCCTGCTTTCCTCCGCTTGAAGATTGGATACTGATTTTGCACATCTAGGATGGTTGCTCTTCACTTTCAATGAAATTCTCGGCTGGAAGCCAGAAGAAACGCAGGTATATATTGCCCTGTTACGAAAGGAGCTGAACAACCCAAAACGTAACCTCTATTATGTGCGGCGTGTGGTGTACGGTCGGAAGCCTGAAGCTTCGTAGTTCAAGCTTAGTTATCCTTCCCTTTTCATGGAGAATCATTGCATCACCATCTTAGCATCTCGTTTCTTTGTCACTGTACTTTGGAATGGATATCTCGAAGGAGTCGAAGTACACCTGATTGATAAATGAGTGGAGTGTCTTGTTCTTCAGGGTTGTACTTCAAGTACGAAGTGTTTTTTTTTTTGACTCTCTTCTCGTTGGGTGAGCGAAGCCTTTGATGCAATGCACACACAGTAGCCCATTTCGGCCAATCAGAGGGGCTGTTCTCCGAGTCGACGACCTCCAACGGTCGAGACCATGACACGAAGCCATGAAGAGCGCTGCAAACCTTCCGATGGCAGAAATATGCAAAGAAGATTACTTGCTACACCCCTGTTCTTCAGCGCCTTTGCCCTGGAGTTTCGCTTCAATTTTCGACCTGTTGCGAAGGGTGCTCTAATGCTGGAAATCAACGTTTTGCAGAAGGCGCGGTGAGCGTGTAACCGTTTAGAAGATTCAGCCGGGCGAGAAATCGTGCCAAGGAGCTAGAGGCAACAGATAGCAACCAAACCCTGGCACTTCTTGTAGGGCCTGCGGGCAGGGGCTGGCCAATGACGGCGCAGGGACCAGAAGGGGGAGGGAAGCGAAATTGCAGCGCCGGTTCAGGCCTGATGTGCGCCGTCTAGGGATCGTCAGCGGAGTTGGATTTGCAACCGACGTAACGCACCCAGGGGCCACCGGAAAGTTGAAATTAAAATAGATGTTGGGTGCCAGGTCGCCTGATGGCGCGTGAATCTGTACTTCTATATCCACGCGCTGCTGCTGCCCGGGATCTTTCCGCCCCTTTTCGCTCTTTTTGAACTCTTTCGCAGGCGAGCCGGTGTGAGGAGACCCCGTCTCGTTGGATTGGATCAGATTGGGACGATTTCAATACGCTCGTTTACTTATTTTTATAATTTGACTCTAGACTCTGGATTCACACTTGGTTTTGCGATTCCCATCGGCTGACCGACGGGAGGTGGGATTGATCGACACAGGAAGCTACCGACACTATTTGACGCCGTTCCAGAGGTTTTGAATTTTCGCCGTTGGGCCCGGACCACGCGTGGAGTTTACGGTCGCTTCAGGCTTTAGTGAGCAAACAAAGACACACAAACAGACAGCACCACGGTACCACAGCACAGCCGAGCAACAGCGGGGAACCGGCCAGAAACGATGTGGATGGGATTGCGACCATGACGAGCCAGCCACGCCCATCACGCAGCACAGCCAGCACAAACCAGCATAACCGACTGAGAGTATACGAGCCGCGGCAGCAGCACTTGTCCCCCGACTCCCGGCTCTCCGTACGCTGTACTTAGTCCCTTGGCCCTTGGATCTGCTTTGTTTCTGGGGTCTTGGATCCAGATCTGCCTGCGAATACGGGCTTTCGTTCGCTTTCTTTGTTCACGTGCACCACACCGCACCGCAACACGATCACCGACCGCCGACCACCGACCGTTGTCCTATCGTTTCTTTCCCCTTCGAGTCTCTGCAGCTTTCGCAGCGCTGTCGCTCGTTTCCATTGCCATCGCCCCGCGCCACGCAAGCTGAGCACTCCAGGCCCGGCGCCATGGCCCTAACCAGCCAGCCCCATCGTTCAGACGCCGACCCCAACGCCAGCGGGCCCTCACCCAGCGAGGCCCCAGTTCTGGCCCCCCACCATAACGATGACCACGACTTCAACCATAACCATCACTTCCATCTGCGTGCAGAGCTGCGCCATCCTCACCATCTTCACAATCCTCACCGTCGTTTGCATTCCGACAGCCCGACACCTCACGCTCGTTCACCATCGCCAGCACCATCCCTGTCTCCATCGCCAGCACCATCCCTGTCTCCATCGCCGTCGCCGTTCTCCAAACCCTCGTTATCCGAGTACGACGACGAGAGCCGCGATCACAATCTGTTTAAGCGTCAGCCAGTCGTTATCATCCAGACTGTGTCCGTCGTCCACTACATTGATGGTTCGGGCGCAGTAACCGCAGTGTCAACCCTGGATTCTTTACTCGATTCTCGCAATCCCGACGCTACAGCTTCGATCCTCCTTGAGACAGAACCCGCCGTCACCCACGACGGCGTGAGCGCTCTGGCCGAACCACTGCCTACTGTGTCGTTCTCCGATGACATTCTTCCCGATTTGCTTGATGACCCCGCATCAACCACGCCCACCGCCGAGCTAGAACCCGAGGTGACTTCTTCCCATGACCTGTCAGCGTCCCTGGAGACCTTGACGCCTGCTCCTTTCACCAGCAGCCCTGAGTCTGCTTCCCCTACCCTCTCTACAGGCATCTTCAATGCTTCATCTTCGTATCATCCGTCGCTCTTTAAGAATAGCACAGCTGTATACTTTTCCAACCATACGAGGACTGCCTTCAAGGCCAAGACTGCGACCTTGACCTCTACGCGCACTAAGAGCACCAGCTCGACATCTGCTCGGCTTTCTTCCGTCACTCCCGATGCAACTTCGTTTCTTGACGTCCCTGTTGGCGGCAACTCTGGAGCTGCCGAAGGGATAATCCCCGCTTCGATCGACTCCGAACACGATTCCGACTCCCATTCTGAGCCTGGGCTCACCCCCGAAACCCGCAACGCCCTCGTCGGCGGCGTGGTCGGCAGCATAGCAGGCATTGCGCTTCTTGCCCTGATGGTACTCTACTACATCAAGTGGAGGAAGCAGCATGGCAAGGGCCTTCTGCTTCTTGGAGACGGCGATAGCACTGCCCGTGGCAAGGGCCCATTCTACGGCACCACGCTTCCCTTCATCAACGGGGGCGGAAGTAGCGGAAATGCTGAAAAGGACGAAACGGGAGCCCAGCAGCGGACGAGTGTATGGGCTATTCCTACGGCACTGGCCAAGCTGACAGGGAGACGCGCGATCGAGGCACCTTCCGCTGAGCCGGAGCCGCAAGAGAAGGGCTTCTACCGGGTCTCTGGCAAGAAGTTAATTTCTGTTCTCGAGTCCGGCGGCGACGGCTATAGTGACCCCCATGAAAGTGTGGGTAGCGCTTCATCACTCTATCGCGAGTCCCGCGCCACATTCCTTGGTGACGAGCCCCAAGCTCCGCTCAAGCTCGGCTCTCCCATGCGCCCTGTGAGTGGTATTCCCGTCTTCCGAAGTGGCCCTCAGCGTGTGGCCGTTCAGGAATCGACCGCTCTGCCCCCAGGCCATCGCCCGTCAGCGTATCCTACTGCCTTAGCGGTTGTGCCGGAAGCGCAACGGGCAAGCATCTCTGTGACAAGGGATGGGTTCCGGGTGTCGAGATTCCAAGAAGGGGAATGATATGTTAATTTAGGGCAAGAGAAGAGTAAGGCGCGAGTTGAGCAAAGCTTTGGCTTTTGTTCGTCTTTTCGGCTCTTCTGCTAAAGTATTTGGTCTTTTTTTGGGTTGTACATGCTTGTTTTTCCGCGTAGTCTCTAATGTCTGGAGCAACGGCGTCAGGGCAGGGGCACCTGGGCTTGATATCAAGAGTAGCTGTTGGGCCTGGAATTCGCCCTGATGCAAGTTTGGGTATTTTGCTTTGGGGAGGGATTCTCTTTTGGATATACTTCCTACTCGTCGTCATATACATTGATTACGGCTGCAGGACTTGGCACTGCAGAAATACATGGAGTTCTTTGTGTTGGAGGCTTTTTCTGTAAGGTTACCTCATAGCTTGTCATCGATCAGCTATGCTGTGCCAGGGAAAATAGTTTAGGCGTTCAAAGGCACACTGGAGTTTGGGTATTTAGAGTTAATTGCACATGTCAATAGATAAAAATAAAATTTGCCATGCCTTGATCGTCAGCTTTTTGCTTCTGGACGCATGCCAATGCCCTGTCGTCCAAGCCAATCCCAACCTGGATAACCAGGCAGCCACGTACCTACTCTTACCGCCCTTGTGGCCTGGGTATCAGGACGTCGCTCAAGTCCCAGCCTAGCTGATCCACAAGACGCTCAACGCCATAAGGAAAACGGAGAACATTATGTTGCCTTTCTTTATCGAGCAACAGTAAACAGCTTTCTTATCTATCGACCCCATATTATACCACATTTTACCATGTCCCAACGACTAGCCGAGAAAGAAGCGCTCAGTTCTCTCGAAAGCTTAGCCCCTGAGTTGATCGACCTCATCTTATGCGAGGTCACCTCCATCTCCGACCTCGCAAACTTCATCCTATCTTCACGGACTATCTACACCCGATTCGAGTTACGCAAACAGATCATCCTTCTCCGTGTTCTGCAAAATGAACTGGGACCTGTCTTTGTCGATGCACGGTTTCTTTACCGATTCCCATGTGCCAAAATCGTGGATGAAAACGGCCGCAGGGACAAATACTGTGCTTATTTGGAAACAATGGGCAATGTCTACCACAACCTTGTTACCAGACATGCCCGTGGAGATGATGAACCCTTGGACATGGACGAATTGAATCAGTTGTGTCGTATGCAGCATTCTGTCAGTAAATTCGCTGAGAAATATCTCTGGTTCATGCTCGATCAGCTATTTGGACGTCAAGTTTCCGAAGAAGACCAACGCAAACATACTGTTAGCGACAAAGAAGCGGCAACATTCCAAGATGCATTCTCTATTATAACAGCTCCGGCCTCTCGCAGTGAGCGCCTGCGCATAATTAGAGCGATCTATCGTCGCCAGATAATCTGCCATGCCTGGGCTCCTTTCGAGCGCCGTAAACTAGACGTCTGGACCTTCCAGGAGGTAGCCGCCTTGGCCGAACCCGTGTTAGGGTCGCAAATCCCCAACCCAAGGCAATCTGGGTTTGAAACATCGAGCAGGAAAGGCAAGAGTCTTCTTGCACAGTTTGAGCCGTGGGAGATGGAGCAGGTTGTTCACATCGACAACTTTATCACAGAGTTATGTATCACACTGACTGAGGTGGCCGAACTGGAAGAGGCAGCAAGGACTGGCGCAGTGATACAGCCGATGCTACAACGGATACGCAAACCTAAACAGCAACCACAGTATGAGGCCCGGCTAGCCGCGTTTGCTGATATCTTCCTCAACATCACCAACCTGGTGCACTATATGGACACTCATCAGGACATAATGGACGTAGCGATAAGTGCCCTGCTGGGCCAAGAACTCCCGAATTGGCCTCTTCTAGGTATGCGCAAGTCCCGCATCCGGGACATGTACGCTACCGAGTTGGAACTCAGGCCGCTGTTCGCTCCCTTCCAGGTTGACCGGATGATATTGGACCCGGCGCGTGATCGACTGGAGCGGGAGCGCAGCCCGCTCGAGTTCGTTGGCGATGACGGAGACAACTCACTGAAGCACCCGCCATTCGGTTGGATTGATGCGCTTGGTGGACGGTACCTCAACTGGTGGGGTAACGCATTCGATATGGTGCTTTGGAGTCCCAGGCCCCCAGACCGCCTGGAGGAGTATGATCTTGCTGAGCAGGAAAGTCATATCAAGAATGTGGAGTTGTTTGTCAATTATGGTTTTGTGTTTTGGGACCAGCCTCGAGTTGAAGCTCTGAAAAGGCTTGAAAAGTGTAAGGACCTTCAACGGGGTTGGATGAACAAGTTGGAGTACGGGGCTACTGTTTATCACCATTAAGGGAACGTGACGAGAAAGTCTTATCGTCTTTGTAATCTCCAATGTTGCTGTGAGGAGCTGCAGCCTAAGACAGTTGCTTGCTTAAGCTTGGTAAAACTTCTTTAAAACAATTGGCACCTCCAGTCTTATCCTGCAAGCCATGTAGAACAAACTTTCTGTCGTTCGTGGAGTTCTTACACTATTCGGTGTCAAGACTGGTAAGGTAACATGGCAAACAGGGATATCATGAGAAGGATGTTTAACAGATAAAAAAACAAAAATAAATTAGAAAAAAAGTACGTGAAGAAACATCGCTTGCGGTTGACACTTTCCTGGCTACTCTGACTCTTCAATCTCAGGACTGATAGCCCAATCGTCTGAAGTGTCATTCATGGCTGTGACATTTCAAGAACTTCAATGCGCTCCCGGTCCCAGATGACAAACCCACCACGCCTGAACTCTTCCTGGGCTCCAAAGTGTAACTCCTTATTTACTTCATTGATATCCGCCCAACCACTCCGGTAGCGGTCCTGATCTTCCTCTTCATAAAATCAAGGCTTTACCATAATTGCCTTCCCGTGATATCCACCATAGATCTGCATCAAATCAACCCCCCAAAATGGAATCTTATCCACGGCATCCCCGGAAAACTTGAGCGAGGATCTTCGCTCTTCCAGGTACTCTTGTGTTGGATTCAAAGGAATGGGACTCTTTCCGGCTTGGAATAGTTCGTATATTATCCGACATGTGAAGACAAAACTGAATAAATTTTGAGCTGAGTTGATCTTGTGGATGATGCTGTCTAGAATTTCGGGAGATAGAGAGAAGAGAGGACAGGCTTCTTTACTGCTGGGTTCTTGGCCATATTGAGAGAGTAAGAGATAATGATGGGTAAAAACGGCAGTCGTGAGTGTTAATGATTAAATTCCCAAGGGGCAAAGGCTACTTCGTACAGAGAAGTTGGAGATGAAGTCTCGTGAATGTAGAGGTCGGGAAGCATTTTCATCTGTTGTACTAAGACGCATAAATTCTTAGGACTCCGAACGGCCCTGGTTACTCAGAATGCGGTGTCAAGACTCAAAACTCTAGGCATCTTAACGTAAAGACCAGAGTACACTGGCCATAGTTCTTCCTATTACACTTAGCGGGATGGGATCTCTTGATCCTCTTCGTGGTCAATTATAAATGTGTACCATTGAGTCACCCTCGGTGGTTTTGTTAGTTAGCAGCCTCAAGAGCGCCTGCTATGGGATTGGGGTGATACAACTTGCGGCACAATTCAACATACCTTGGCTCCATAAGTTCCTGCTGTGCATATGTAATGGATGCTGTTGGATTCCTCGGCAGGTCTGAGAAGCTCTCATGTCATCAACAGCCGCTACATTTGAAAACAGCGACCGGACGATCAGTAATGGCGCTCATCCGCTTCTTTCAACTCTGGTGGTATAGATACGCTGCAAAGAGTTAGGAATGGCATACACCACGCAGCTCTGTACATTGCGTTTCTAGATACAATTTGGAAGACAACTTCAGCGGTTACAAGGGTCAAACTACGACTCTGTATATTACTCGCTTCACAATATGTCCATTACATTTAATCCCAAACAATGATGCTAAACTAACCTGAAGCATGCCTTGAGGCCACATAACCCTTCTACAACATGTATCTAACTCAAAAAATAATATGTAGAACACTGTTCCGTCGCTGGCCTCTCTTTAGGGGTTGACGTCGTCAGTTGCAGTAGGCTTAGCCCCGACTTCTGCTACGCCGTCTGCTGTCATGCCGGCGCCGACTGGGATCTCTCCCGCGGCGAGAGGAAACACTTCTATCGCGGCGACTGCGACGGTAATCCCTGTCTCTGTCTCGATCTCTATCCCTATCCCTATCCCTATCGCGATTGTGATCTCTGTCCCTGTCTCTATCCCTATCCCTGTCCCGGTCGCGACTGTGGCTCCTCGACCGGCTGCGCCGCCTGGTATCTCGCCTCTCCCGGCTACGATTGTGATGACTGCGGTCTCGCGACCGGTCACGATCCCGCCTATCACGAGATCTGTCCCTATTCCTGGGCCGATCACGGTCACCATCGTACCGATCCCCACCACGATAATCCACGATATCACGGCGGTCGCGATCACGGTCCCGATCAGGGAGATAGCGATCAGCCTCGTCCTTGTCGCGACGACGTTTGGCATCCGGCGACCTGTCTCGGTCCGAGGTGCGACGGTCATCTATGCCAGGGACGGGAAGGCCTTTTTCTCGAGCCTCTTTCTGGGCAGCAAGATAAGCCTTGGCCTCTTGTTCGCGCTTCTTGACCTCGGCTTGTTTCCAGGCTTCCTTCTCCTCGTGGTTCATGCGAGAAGGCGGACGAGCCTGTGAGCGGGAGCGGCTTCGACGCCCCCGATCCTTGTCATCCTCCCTGTCTTTACTTCTACCACGTTTGCTGTCACGATCGCGGTCGCGATCACGGCTGCGGTCGCGATCTCTACTACGGTCGCGATGACGTAACCGAGACCGAGACCGATCGTGGCGATCGGTCCTGGGACGGGGTGAGCGGCTGCGATCGCGGGTATCACGACGCCGAGACCGACTCCTGTCTCTCCGATCGTCTGAGCGGGCAGTGCGTGGACGGGAACGACTTCGCCGATCACGAGAAGTGTCACGCCAGCCATGATGGCGTTCATCTCGGCGATCAGACCGCAGACGCGATCGGCTCCGATCGCGTGCTCTTGACCCGCTCCTGAGCCTTGAGCGGCTTCTGCGGCGTGATCGGCTTCGCTCTCCGCGGGGAGAGCGGGAGCGAAGATCCCGACGGCGATGATCGTCTTCTCTCGACCGGTTCCGCTCCGTTGGGCGGTCAGTCCGAGGACCACGCGAAGGACTCCTACTCCTTCGCTTCTCTGACTGTGTTGGCTTGCCAGAGTCGTCGGGCTTTTCCGACCTAGAGCTGGAGGATTTGTCCTTAGAGTCCGCGGTCTCCTTCGACTCAGCAGGTTTCTTAGGCTCAGTACCGAGCTTCGGTGCTGGTCGTTGAATCGGGGCAATCGCAGACCCCGGCTTGGGCTTCTTAGGGGGAGGAACCAAGGTCTCATCAACTTCCAGTTCAGGCTGCTTCTTCTCGAGCCGCTTGCTTTCACGGAGCAAGTCGGCAAGTGCCTCCTGCTCGAGACGTTCGTCATCTTCCTTGGTAAGCCGCTTCTTGACCTCCTCGGCTCTCTCCTCAAGGGAGAGTTTTGAGCGAGCATCACGGCCACTCTCTTGGTTCTTCTCTTTCTCCCGATCCCTATCTCGATCGCGGTTCTTGTCACGGTCTCTTTCCCGATCCCGATCCCGGTCTCGGGCACGGTCTCGGCCAACAGATCGGTCTCGTGGAGTGCCGCGGTAGCTATCATAACCACGATGTTCGCGATAGCGATCGTAATCCCGATCTCGATCCCGGTCTCTTTCTCTGTCTCTGTCTCGCTCACGGTCACGGCTCCGGTCCCGATCCCTGGCCCGGTCACGGTCCCTATCGCTGTTGCGATTGCGATCGCGGTCCCGACTCCGGTCCCTGTCTCTCTCCTTATCGCGATCTCTCTCACGATCCTTCTCCTTTTCCCTCTCCCGTTCGCGTTCGCGATCCCTCTCTTCTCTTTCCTTCTCACGCCGTTCTCGGCGCTCTCTCTCCCTCTTCTCGTCTTCTTCTCGCTCTTTCCTTCTCCTCTCTTCGCGAGCAGCCCTCTCTGCTTCCCGCCTCCTCATCTCTTCCTTGAGCTTAATTTCGCGCTCAAGTCTGCGTTTCTCTTCTTCCACTGCCTTCAGTTCAGCCCGGACACGCTCCCTCTCTGCGCGACGAGCGGCTGTCTCGGCAGCATATTCCTCATCTGTCTTGGCACCACGAATTCGTTCTTCCTCAGCCGCTTCGTCGCCGATCTCAGAACGGCGCAGCTCGCGAATGGCAGACTCGATGGCACAAGTGTCAATTAATGCGCTAATGACCTCTTCGGCCTTTTGGTAGACACCGCTGCGGTCCAATGCACCGTCGATGAGGGCTGCAGCCTTTCCACGTTCAAGGGTAAGTAACTGTTCCGGATTACGCTCGATTTCCTGCTCGGCAACCTCAAGAATCGCCTTGGTGACTTGCTCCTCGTAGTCCTATACATGATGAATAGTCAGACCAACGCTAGAATAACAGACCTGGGACTTCCAAAGAGATGGTGCCATACGCTAGCCTCAAACTTCTCCCAAACTTGCTTGCGAATTGCGTCGTAGCCGCCCTTCTTCTTGAAGTTATGAGCAAGGCGCTCAATGGCGCTGCGTGTAGCCGAGGGAAGCGGGAGATCGGAAGCCTTAAACTTGCGACGAGGAGGGGCAGTAGCTTCGGGTGCAGTCGTCCCAGCTATTGGTACCGGATTGGCCTCCGTGGTCGGAGAGTCCACTGCCGCAGACATGACAGAGGTGTAAAAGCACCGGAAAGCGAAGCGTCGATGGCAGAGGGGCAGTCGAAGTTTGGGAGTTGCAGCGGGCTTTTATGTTGGCGCCAGGCGGCGCGGCGATTGATCGAACAACCGGACGGCTTGCGTGCAGAACAAGATGCACGGGCAGCTGTGTTAGAAGATTTGAAGTTTATAATTGATCAAGTCATTTCCAATGTGTCTGTCGTGGTGCTGCAACTGACAATGGAAAGCAGTTTGAGAGGGCAGCAACAACACACAGGAGGAAGGGTTATCAAAAAGATGTAACCGAGTCGCAACCAAGGTCTGACGCGATGCAACGGAGCGCAGCCTGGGAACTCCCTCGCGTGAACTCTCATGGGAGGGCCCAAATGGAGGATATGGAGCACCAAATTCTTGGCTTGCAGCTCGGTGGGTCCTGGATCCACTGGTTCGCTCAGCGCGGGAGCAAGCCACAAGTCAGTAGTCACCAGCCTCATTAACCCCGCCCTCTCAGGCTGAACTTGCCAAGGAAAAGTGGCTTGACTCGACCGGCTGGGGCAGCCGAGCGCCCGTAAAGCAGCGCAACGTCAGATCACGAAGCTCTGAGCAGTCGAGTCAAGAGCTCACTCCGGGCGCCAATTGCATTCTTTCGACTTCCCATCCCCCAGCAGCTTGAGCTCCCTCCGCAGCTCCGACGGCCTTTGAGTCGCATTCTTCTCCTACGAGCACCGCCTCTCTTACCATCGGTACCTGAACGAGCTATCCAACCGAGTCATAAAATGGTCAACAGAATCCTCTTCTGGACAGGCTTCGGTATGGCTAACCCCTCCTCTATTGCACTCCGCGCAGCGCATTTCTGACACACTACCTCCATTTCTACAGGCCTCGCTGTCCGCTTCTGGCAGCTGGGTATTGAGATGCGGCCCTTCTTCAACCGCAAGTCGCTCTGGGCGTACCCCCTGTTCGGCGGCGTTGGCGCCAGCTTTGGTTACTGGCTGCAAAGCATCGACGAGAAGCAGACCAAGATGCTGGAGGAGCGGAAGCAGGCGATCCTTGAGAAGCGGGCACGGAGAGCGCAGAGGCAGGCAGAGGCCGCGGCAACTGCTCCATCGCCCAGTGCGCAGGAGGCTTAAGCAGGTTGAAAAAAGAACAGTTGTGGCAGGGATGCCTACCTGAAGGTGAAGATTTGCGGCGTGGAACCAGGACGGTAGGCTTCATAGAGGGAGGCAAGAAGGCAAACATATAGAAGGATGGATGGGGTTATGCTTGCTGTGTCAGGGAACAGCAGCATGGCCCAGGGGCAAGAAGCGGCTAGACTGACCGTGGAGTAGATTCTATGTATAAATGCACATGTTTTTTTTTTTTTTTCATTCCCGACCTCAGCCTCTAACTGCCCTACCCAGCAAGACATGCCAGCTATGAAACATGAAAAAAAAGGGGGGGTGGAAGGGGAAACTGACGGTCCTGCGCCTTCCAGAGATACCAACAATAGATGGAGTCCAAACAACCCTTAGTCCAGCTAGCAGCTCATCTGTCGCTAGCAGTTACGGGTGTACTCCTTTCCGATTACTTCTCTTCAGTGAGCACACTCCGTTTTCATGCCTCTCATGCAATAAGAGGATCCTCCTGTTTCCTCAGCAAGGCCAAGATGGCCTGCGCGGGGGAATTACCACCACCAAACTCAATTTCTGTAATGACACCAGTGATGTATCTCTCATGGGTGTTGTCAAACAACAGCCTGAAGCAATCTCCAGTATTTCTTTCTGGGTCGATTTCGTTGTATGTCAACGCGTCAACAGATACTCGCTCGCGGTCAAAGTTAATTGTCTCACAAAGAACAATCACCTTGGCACCCGCATTTGTGGCAGCCATAGCGACGTCAGCTGTGCCAGAGGGTGCATGGAGCGAGCCATTCGCAAAGATGGCCTCCCCGCCCAGAAACACATTCGATGCCGCCGGCACCTTCGACCGCAAGCCACCGAGATTTGGCGAGTATAGCACGGGGATGCCGGCATGGCGCAGAACCTTTGCAAGCTCCTTTCCTTCTCCGACATAAGGGTCATCAAGGACAGTGACGTTGAAAGACTTGCCCTCCTTTCTGGCTCTAAGAAGTGTCTTTTCAACCAAGCGATGTCGGCCGTATGTGACAATTGTGTCTCCGTCATTTATTGACTGCGCGGCGTTCCGAGCAATAACGTACTCGGCTAGTGTAATGCGCTCGTTAATCAGGAAGTCGATCCACTCGAGGAGCCCTTCCTTCGCTTCGTCCTCTGGGGTGTTGATATCGAACTTATTGACCTTGGCCTTTAGCAGCCTGATGGCATTGCCCATAGCAAAGCACATAGGTCTACACTCGGTCAAGTACTCGATCTGGGGGTTAAGAACATGTGGCACAAAATGCCGGGAGAGAGAATTCCCCTTGGGGGTCTCGTATGACTCGATCACCTGAGGATGTGTCAATGAGCGTTCAAGGATGAACTGCTATCACCGTCAACACAGACCTTTCTAAAAGCGAGGAGAGTTGCTTTCAGACGCGAAATGCTGTCTTTCAGAGCAAATGTAGCCATCTGTTGACCAACTGCCAGAACCGCAGGATGGACGTCTTTATGTGCCTGAGACGTCGGTATCCGTTTCGCCATAGGAATATGGCTAAAGCACTCGGGAATACCACTTCTAGCATCCTTCTCAACTACCATGATCGATGGTCGCCGCCCGCTAACAGAGGGGCGATGCACCAGCACACCCTTGGGAGGAACTTGCTGTCCCTCCTGCTTCCCCTTGCCTTTGGCCGCTCCCTTACTGTCGGCACCAGCACTCCCAGACTGCTGGGCGGGCTGGCCTGCTGCCGCAACAGCAGATTTAGCTTCCTTTGCGGCAGCTCGCCTCGCCTGCTTCTCAGCCTTTGCCTTGGCTTTCAACTGAGCTGGAGTGAGCTTCTCTGGATTTGCCGCGGGGGCGGGAGAGTTGATAGAAGCTGCAGGATTTGGGGGGGCGGCGCCCTTTGCGCCATCTTGAGTTGTTGCTGTAGCCGGGCTTGCAGCCCCGTAACCCTCAGCAGCCATGATATGACCGGACGCTCGGTGTCGATGTTGGATGTTGCGTGGAGCTGGTAGGGGATTAAAAACTAATCGGTCTTGTTGGTTGTCGGTCGCAGGTAGGAAAATACTGCTTTTCGACACCGCGGGAACAAGGTAATGTAAGCTGCGCTTTGAAGTCTTTCCCTCAGCAAGAAAAACGACTCCCGCTGAGCTTGACCGCTAGCCTTCCTGTCCACCTGAGAATTTTGGCTGTTCTTTGGAATTGAGTCACAACTAGCATCCAGGCGCGATGCGAGCATAAGGCAAGATGCCCCGCGCCCCACAAAAGGTGGGGCTTACTTGCTCTTGGAGCCAGTTCCCTGCAGCCCACCTGCAATTGTTCTCCTTACACTTCACCGGGAGCTCAAATATGATGCAGTATCGACATTCATGTGATTGCGGAAACTGGACAATCCTGAGAGGTAGCCTTCGGTCTTCTCCAGCCTTTCACAGTTTTGGATGGCAGATATCGCGGGCTCTGCAATCCGTGCAAATCAAGTTGTACCTAGACACTCGTCCATATTAGGGCGAACTAAGCAAAGTGGGCAGCTCTGCATTTCATACTACGGACGAAGAGAGCTGATAAATGTGAAACTCAAAACTGCAGACTACTACCAAATGGCAAACATTTGGGTATATAAGCAACCTTTCCCCCTTCTTTATTCTTTAGCGCCCCGTTCTATATTTACATATTTTGTACATCCCTGGCCACTGTGTAACAAGAGGAAAGTATACATATGCAAAGACATAATTGTAAAAAACTCGTCTGTGTCAACTATCATGCATGCCTGGAGCCCCCAGGCCAATTCCACATGCCACAATAGAACCCGATTCCCCGTGACCCAGTACTCCATTGAACATAGAATAAACAAAACATTGAACAGGGAGATGTGGGTTAGCAGGATAACTACTGAGTAGTCTGCTGTGCCATCTCCGCCGGTGTCTCAGCTGTCTCTTTAGCAGCTGTTCCAGCCGACTGATTCTCGGCAGGCCGAGGAGTGGGGCCCTGGATAAACAGCATGACTGTCTTTCCCACCTCTCCTTGCTCCTTCTTGTACTGAGACGTGCCAGGGACATCTGCTATAGTGTCCCAGACGGTTTGCAGAGCCTTTTTGGCCTCTTCCTGCGTCGCCGCGCGCTTGCCCCGTTTCGACATCAGGGTAACTTGCACCTGGTAGCCCTTAGTTAAGAACTGCTTGAGCTGTTTCATGCGGATTTGCAGATCATGAGGAGCAATGGACCAGTTGATTTCCAGTTGCTTTTGGGTAACTTTGTTCGCTCGCTTTGCCGCTGCCTTCGCCTCTTCCTCTTTGCGCTCCGCGATCTTGTCGATGATGCGTACGATCGCATATTCCGGACCCTTGGACTTGTCATCCTTTCGGGGTGGAGCGAGCAGTACAACACTGTACTGGTTTAGATTGAGTGACCTGAGGAGGCCAGTTGTTCGTTCGGGAGGAGAGAGCGTTCCGTCATCCTGACGAATCTGCACCATGGAGTAAGGAATGTTGTGGTCGCAGATTAGTTTGTTTTTCTCCTTGACCGTGGTCTCAGCTTGAGGCGACTGACGGCGCCACTTCATTTGGGCGGCATAGCCGGTAGTAAAGAAACGGTTTGATGGCGCGGAACTGGATGGATTTGGATACAAGTGCCCTATCGCGGGGGCCAGCAAGAGCCGCAGATGCATTGATCCTTCAAATGCGACGGCATTGCTTACAAAGACCTTGCGGAGGGCCACCGTCGGGTTGAATAGACTATGTGAACCCCTCATGGTGGTGGTAAAAGTTGGATTGTGAATTTTGCGAGAGCTCAGAGTCATGGAAGTCAAGATGTCAGCTTCAGGAAATAGTTGGGTTTGCCCATCTGTGGAGGTCTCAGTCGGAGAATTTTGACCAATGAGGTGCTGGATTTTTTCGGGAGCCGACGATCTTGGCATCGACCTTCGACCTTGGCATCTACTATAGCTTGGAACTTTGCTCGTCGTCACAGCACTTACCCACAGTCCATCACAACTTCCATGGAATGCAGGTCATGACAGCTCCTCGGTAGACCATCTTCAGCAAAGCTCCTAATGGCATCCTTCACCCCACTTCTCCGCGGCCTTTTGAGGCAATCCATCCGCAGGCTTAACTCCAAACCAAAACCACCATCCCCCATATCACCATCCACGCCCCATGCACCCCCACCATCATCAAGCCCCTATCCCTCCCCCGGAAACAACAGCAGCAAGGGGAGCAGTACTTGGCTAGGGCACCCCTTTCGTGTAGTCATAAGCACCCTCAAATTTGTCGCCTTTGCACACCTAATCTGGGAATATGGCATTTCAATGGCTCCTGCATCCGGCCCATCAATGCTGCCTACGTTCGAGGTCCTGGGGGAGTGGCTGCTGGTGTCGAAGTTGCACCGGTTTGGTCGCGGCGTGAAGGTCGGAGACGTGGTGGCTTATAGCATTCCTATCAATGATGAAGTAGGTGTGAAAAGGGTGCTGGGGCTGGAGGGAGATTACGTGTTGATGGAAACCCCGGACAATGGAGCAGGAGGAGGGGCGGCAGGCATGATACAGGTGAGTCTGAGGACGACATTTTAAGATCATGGTTGAATGGATAAATGGCTGATTCATGTTGCTATCAGATCCCAAAAGGCCACTGTTGGATTGTCGGCGACAATCTTGTCGCATCACGGGATTCAAGATACTTTGGCCCTGTACCACTGGCTTTGATTCGTGGAAAAGTCATCGCAACAATCAAGCCATTTTCTGAGTTCAGGTGGATTACAAATCCCATACAGACAGTAGACAAACAACCGCGGAATTGAAACATTGGTCACTGTATTATAAATGTAACTTACGGAGGACACCTGCGTGGTGTACCGAAGGTAACATAAATCTTGAATACAGCAGCCAATAATTGAGCATCTCCTATCTAATTACAGTTTGAAGCGGTGTACAGCTCCTCCCCGACTCACAGATACTGGCTAGGACTAAGGATGGGGTATGTGACATTGCGCAAAGCCACTTGAGGTATGATCATCAAAGGATAGACCAGGCAGATGGAGAGCCCACTCTCTGCGCCGACACACAAAGAAAGTGAAACAATAAAATCCAAGGAAAGAAATGGGGGGGAAAAGCCATGTCATGAAGACGCACGCATCTCGCCCTCTCTCTCACCCTCGCTCTCGCCCTCCTTCCAAACGTCCCAAGCCCGCTTCCCTTATGCTCAGCTACCCGAATCAAATATATCTCCCAAAACAAAGAAAAGCCCTGACACTTCCAAACCCTGTATAATAGAGACGAATAACCGACACGCCACCAACTCCTCGCCGGCCCATATGCGTAGTTAAGGTACTAAACAAGCGACAAGCCACAAAATGATGGTTATGGAGAAGGGAAAACACAGTGACTTTAAGGTGCCAGCTGATGCCCGCATACCAGCATCAGAATATCTTTGATAAGGACAGGCTCAGCCCTCAATATGAGTCTTTGCCGTGCTCTGACCCAACAGCTCCAGACAGCGCTGAGCGAGATTGACCACCTCAACTTCGTCATCATCCTCGCCAATTTCGACGTCCGACTCGGTGTGACGGTGGGCAATTTGTCTGATAATTTCGACAATATCCTCCGATTTAATGATGAGACCAATGAGCTTCTTATCCTCCGACTCAATGAGCTGGAGGATGGTCCAGATCGCAATGTGTTGGAACGTCGCGTCACCGCTAGCAAGGAATCGGCTAAGATAACCATGAATACCGTCGCTCGGTTCTGTCCAGCTCTGAACAAAGATGGAGTAGTCGCCGACTAGACACAGTTAGCGAAACGCCTAGGAAAGGGTAGTAATGCCAACACGAACCTTTTGAAGACAAATTACCCAGAGCAGCCGCGCTGTTCCCTTGAACCTCGACACTGGGCGACTTGGTAAGAGGAATAAGAACCTCAAATACACCGAGCTCGAGTAGGTTCTGTTTGAGATCGTCGCTCAAGGCAAGGACGGCGATCGCTGCTGTCATTTCGGACTGAACAGTAACAGGGACATCCATAATGAGCTGCTTGCATTTCTGTACCGCGCCGGCCTCCAGAACAAGGGCTTTGTTACGATCGGAACTAGCTGCCAGGTTTCGGAGGGTTGAAATAGCGTGGCATTGGATCTCCTCGTGATCTGTGTTGCCAAGCAATTCAACCAATGGTTTCAGGAATCCTGCCTCAATAATTGGTGATTCGTTCTGAGGGTGGATCGAGATATTCCGGATGCAGGCAACAGCTGAAAGTATGAGAGGAAGGTACGGCGAACGGAGGAGACGGAGGAGTGGAGGAAGTCCACCATATTGGACAATTTCCAGCTGGTACTTTTCATCGGAAGCGAGGTTTCTGAGAGCCAAGGCAGCCTGGCCCTGAACTCTGGAAGATTCGGACTGTGTCAAGCCAATGAGCAGCTGAACGAGTCGAGGTTCGGTCTCGGCCAACTTCTTGCGGTGCGCGGCGTCGACAGCGATATTGCTCAGAGCAGTGGTGCAGTAGTACTGCACGTCCAAATCTTGGGATGTGAGAAGCTGGACGAGCACAGGAATAGCGCCAGCATTGACAAGGGCCTGTCGGTTCTCATCTTAGGGGCAGTCAGTCATGAGTGCAGCAATGTGAACGATGCTTGAGCAGTCCTACCAGAATGGGTCATATTGAGAAGCGCGCCAGTGGCATTCCTCTGAACTCTCATATCCTTCGATTTAGCCAAACGCGTCAATGGACCCAAAGCCCCGGATTTGGCAATCTTAGACTTGTTTTCCTCATGTGTTGCCAAATTCGTGATGCACCCAACGGCATTGCATTGAACCTCGACATTGGGTGACATCATCTGCCGGATTAAAGGCGGCAGGCCATTAAGCTGTACGATCAACACTTTATTCTCCTCTGAGGGCATAGTTAGCGGAGGGTTGATCAGTGATTTAGGTCTCGCGAGGGGTCCATACGGTTGACAGCAAGGTTTCCAAGAGCGGCGCTAGCGGCCCTCTGGACCTCGAGATCTGGATTTTCCAACAGGAAGAGGATCGGAGTAATGGCATCGGCGTCGACAGCTCTGACATCTGGAGGAAATGTCAGTCAAGCTTTCTTCGAGCAATCCGCTGAAGTTTTAATTGCTTTCCAACATAGCCACGAACCTGTCTCAGTGATTTCTGCAAAAGTCAAACTAGCACTCCGTTGGAGGTCGATATTGTCTGAGTAGACGAGCGTAGTTAGCGCACGGAGCGGCTCGCCCTCGAAAAAGTTGACCGCGTGGCGCTATATCTGATGTCAGTGCTCAGATCCAGACTTAACAAAAAGCATCAAGATGGCTGGAACTGCAGACATTTTCAAGGAAGTTGAGCAAGTCGGCAACAGCCTCGCGCTCGTTCTCAGCGAGGACATTTTCGTACAAGACATCGCGGGATTTCACTGATTATCCAATCAGCGGCTGGCCGGAGCAGGATGACAAAGGCAGAATGGCAGATAAATGAATACCTCCGCAGCAAGTGGAACTGCAGATGCCCATGGCCGCAGATGGGAGGGGCCCAAAGCGCCCAGCGCTAGACGACTGAGAGGCAGTGTGGTTGCGTGGCGTTGGAGGCAGGCGATTCAGAGCCCAGGGCCGTTTCTCGGTCGATGAAAGTGTGCGGTTGGTTGGCCAGTCGGTCGATCGATCGCAAACAAAGGTCTGGGTCAACAAATGCTGGCGTCGCGCAGCAGGGATCAAAAAAAGACGCGCCCCAGAAGAGATACGGTTTGGAAACGACGGGAATTGATGTTTAGTTTCGCTGAACTGCTGGAAGGCACTGGCTGTCGAGGAGGAGTGATGTCCGAATGTTTGGGCGGGTCGACCGACTGCATCCAACAACGGGAGGAAATTCAAGACGAAGGCAGGCTGAGGCGGCAGCAGTCATGAATGAAGCTGCCTTGTGACGCCGCGCTGGGGTCTGTGCGTCTTATCCTGGCAGTGGGTCCCGTGATCCAGGGGTTCCGGACGCTGCTAGAGGTACCTACTTATGTACGTATCTTACGGTCCCGGATGTCAGCCAATCCTGGCGTTGAAGTTGATTGAGCATTTCTACTCCATAATGCTCCCAAAAACTCAACAACTTCTTCAAAGTTGATGGATCTACTGTATGATAAACCTATAGTTATAGATAGAGTATATTGGAGGTAGAAGATCTGAGACGTTTCTTTGCTGAGAACTGTTGGCTATTTATGGAGGATCTCGGCCAGTTCCATGAGCCCTCGGCTATCTGTGTCGTGTCGGTAAGCTGTCGACCATTTCCTTTGAGGACAACCTGAGTTATCTGTTATGTATAGTCTAACTATGACCCACTCTAGAGTTTTCAAGCGCATGCTTATAGCCGCTGTTCGACTGCCAGTGTGCATTATGGTCCGCCATGCCATTATGACCAATGACAACAGGTATACTGCAATTGGTGCCACGTATGGTTGGTGAGAATGGCTACAACAGCTACATACACTGAATCTTAAAATGCTTCTTCAACAATCCCAAAGCTTGAATCTGCTAATAAGTGGTCAAATATCGAAGCTTATCATTTGCACAATCCATATTGTATAAACATCAAGAACAACCAACTCGCGGATCTGGCTAATATTCAGCTAATGAGTGGTAAGTGAACTGTGGAGTACGGATTGTTTCGGTAAGTTTCAGTGCTGACTGTCAGGTCCTTTACATCCTACTTCTCAATCCAAGCTTCCTGATATGTACGACATAAAGAGTCTTTGGCATTAACAACGGTTTTCTGGTTAGTATCAAACTATACGTTTCCATCTGATGGCGGAGTTGCTATATTCACGATCTTAGGATATCTGGGTTGCAAATTGCGATAGTGAACTTTGACCGTCGTTGAACTGAGACGCGGGGTTTAATGTGACTGGTTATGATGTAACGGTAGTAACGCTCTTCGTGCTATCTGTTATGGCCTGGTTTACTTAGGCATCTACTTATCTAAGGTACCTATAGGCATCTCCTAAGATGCAGATGCACATGTATCTGGTAGGTACATCTGGTAGGGCTCACACATCAATTGTCCGCCAGCAAGTGATTGAACTCCTCGTCGTCATCTTAAAATCACTGGCTTCTCAAAAGCAGCAAATCGTCGTATAATCTGCGGCCAGGAGGAAGTTCTTTTCTAACAGAGCACATGGCCTGGGCAGCTGTGGGGCAATTTCCAGGGCGACAGCCCGCTGGGCCCAGGCACTGCAACCTTGTGGTGCCCCTCACCTCTCAGATTGGAAGCCACCGTCCTGAGCCACAGAGATCGGCGTCCACTGAACTTTCCTCTGCTCGGCCAGGTCACTTACTCACAGCAGGGTCTGTTCTTTGAACCACATTCACCTGCTCGTGACGGCGAGGATAAGGTTCTTTGGTCTTATCAGAGAATTTGCACCTGACTGACCTGATTTTGTGCAGGGGGATTCTGCGCAATATAAAACACACTCCAGTGCTCAATTCATACTTCTCGAATTTGTGAGGTCAAACAGTCCAGAAAGATCCGTTGGGCTTATCCCTAAGGTACCTTTAGTGTGCCGCAGCCGAGGGCTCGAGGACTGGATATTCAGGCTACTTCTACCTGCACCAGAGTCTCGACTGGTGTCTGTGGCGCCAAGTTCCATCTCTAACCTTCTTTTTTCTCCCTTATTTCCATCCCACCGAGAATCAACCCGCAAAACCAGTTGAATTGTCTCTGCAATACTCATCTGGTTGAGGGACAAGCATCTGTTTCGCCGCCAGCTTGTCAGCCAAACGAATCCGTTAGCAACAAGCAGGGCAAAGACAGGTGTCGTCCCCAAACGTCCAGTCAGCATTTGACTCCGTCTCAGAAGCCAGATCCAAGAACTCGAGAACCCAGCACTCAGAAGCAGGAACCGCACGGCCAGGAAGGGTGGCCGATGTATGTTCCACGATCGCGATAATGGACGATTCTCGTGTTCCCGCCGAAGAGGCACATCCCGGCCCTAGCAGCAGCGTGCCAGCTGCCCTCACTCTTTCCCTCCCGGAGGGCGGAGATAATGCCACCGCTCAGCTGTCGCTGCGGCCTGGTCACGAGCACGCCTCTGTCGCGCTTTCGTCGTACCCTAAACCAAACCGTTTTAGTCGCACAATGTCAGAGAGGACTCCAAGCGCCCTGGACAGGGAGCAGATGCAGGGTCTGGTGAGCATTTCCCTTGATCATCCCGAGACAGCCGCCTAACCCGTCATCCGTACGTTGGCTCAGCCCATGCCCGCGCGCCTGTCACCCTTGCGCAGGCTGGAGATGTTCCTGACCGCGAGGCGCCGAGAGTTGCCAGCCAGCCGTAGCCCCGCGCTGTGCTTGTGGCCGCGAGCGCCTCTCCCGTTGGGAGGCTGACGATGGATGCGGGGCTCCCCGCAATAGACAAGCTACCGTCGTAATCGCAAATTCATAGACTTGCAGATGTTATGAGTCGTCAGATGCTGACCAGCTGCCAAATAAACAGAAGGGGATCCGCGAGTTTCTCAAGGTCCGGACAAGCTACGATGTGCTGCCCCTCTCGTTCCGTCTCGTTGTGCTCGACACCGAATTGCTCATAAAGAAGAGCCTCAGCATTCTCATACAAAATGGTTCGTGCCCGTCTTTTTGCCTTTTTCTTCTCCAAGAGGTTGGGCGAGTCAAGCTGGTCCAATATTGTTAGCAGTAACAGCAGTAGCAGGAGGGAGCGATGATTGCTGACCAAGTCGTGACCACAGGCATCGTCTCGGCGCCTCTCTGGGACTCCAAAACTTCGACCTTTGCTGGCTTGTTAACCAGCACCGATTATATCAATGTTATTCAGTATTACTGTCAGTTCCCTCACGAGATTGATCAGGTCGACCAGTTCCGTTTGAGCAGCCTTAGAGGTAAGCATCGCTCTTTTTCCCCAACAACAGCCAGGCATGGCGCTGACGGTATACGTCAACAACAGATATCGAACGGGCCATTGGTGTCCTACCGCTTGAAACAGTGTCAGTGCACCCTATGCGGCCCCTGTACGAGGCCTGCCGGCGGATGCTTAAGACCCGTGCTCGGAGGATACCTCTCGTCGACGTTGATGACGAGACGGGACGCGAGATGGTGGTCAGCGTTATTACGCAGTACCGCATCCTCAAATTCATCGCTGTCAATAACGAAAAGTACACCATGCTCCTGAAGAAGCCCGTCCGCGAGATCGGCCTTGGTACCTACACGGATCTTGTGACAGCTTCCATGAGCAACTCTGTCCTGGATGTGATTCATCTGATGGTAAAGCACAACATTTCAGCTGTCCCGATCATCGACAGTGAGGGAAAGGTTCTGAATGTTTTTGAGGCTGTCGACGTCATTCCCTGCATTAGGGACGGTTTATACGAGGAGTTGACCGCCTCGGTGGGCGATGCTTTGTCCCTGCGTCCAGAGGATTTCCCAGGCATCTACACTTGCAGCGAAGACGACCGTCTGGATGCCATATTCGACACCATCCGCAAATCCCGAGTCCACAGACTAATTGTAGTGGACGATGACAACCACCTGAGGGGAATCATCTCTCTGTCGGACATTCTCAAGTATGTCTTGCTGTACGGCGAGGAGGAAGATGACATTAGGGACACCTAGGGAGCGCCCCTGTAATGTGTCTGGTCCCTCTGGCCTTCACGATGGTTGCATGGGCTCTTCATGATGTTTTGGTTTTCGTGTTCTCCAAGTTTGTGGCTTCTTTCCTGCCTATTATTCTCTCTTCTTTTTACCCCAATTTCCTTGCCTATTCTGCATGTGATCGGCGTAAGGGAGGGTATGTGGACATGAATACCATGGATTGCATCTTGGTCTTTCTTCTCCACACGGTATAGAAGTTTTTTTTTTCTTTTTGGTCCTCTCGAAAGATAGGACCGAAGATCTCGAGGGCCCTCTTGTGGTTCCGAGTTAGCGTCTCCGCAGAATGGCGAATCGCCTATTGAAAAGACTGCCCACATCTTTGGGCATGGAGAAGGGTTATGGATATTGTAGGATGTGGGCTCTGTAACTGATATTATGGGATTGATTGTGGCATGTGGCATGTTGTATGTGGTTATGGATGTGAGGGGTATGGGATAGCAATCATGATCTGGATGGCAGCAGGCAAAGACGTCTGCTGTCTTGGCCTTCAGGTGCTTTCGTTTTGTTCCTTCCTTTTGGTGAAAGGAACAAAGTCTGTGTGAGACAGAAGGGCGCGGGACATGCACGACGGGAAGCAGCAGCGGTAGGTTGGACTGCCCCAGGGAAGTCAGGCATCAGGCACGCTGCTTCTTCCAGGTCGACGCGTCCCTAAAAATCAAATCCATTACTCTAAACCTTCCATCAAAAACCATTCCGCGATTTCGTGCCATTATCTTTTACATGAACCACGCTCTCCAGTAACATTCATATTTTCATACCGATCCCCGACCCCAGCTCAACATTGACATCGTCTCGTGCATGACTTATTTCTTTTCGATCCCCTTCTATGCTGACTGACAGCGGCAAGACCACTCGTCACTCGTCGCAACTTCGTACGAAATGGACGCGACACCTATGCCCGCAGTCGGCACGCCCTCAGCAAAGCATGAACAACCTCCACACCAACCTGAACCAACCAAACTGTCGCGCAAGTCCGAAGAAGGCGTGGCAATCGATTGGAAGGGCCTTACCTTTCCACCGGTTGTTGGGCGCGAAGGACGTGCCAATGGAAGCAGCACTACCTGGACATCGTCGAACTGCGACATGGGCAACATAACCGATCTCGATGAAGCCGATAACCGCCCCGAGTATATCCAGGAGTATAATCGAATTGCAGCAAAGGTCCGGAACACCTGGATCCCCGCGCAGCTGCTCAATCTTGCTGACTGTTGGCAGTATGGCATCCGACTCTTCGACGCTGAGGCGGCCAATGCTCCCAACAGCTCATTGCAAGTAAGTCAACCCTCGTTTTACCCCACTCAGTATTGACATTGTTGCTCAATGATTGTCTTATTCTCTAACATGATAACAGCCAGGCCAGTCTCCGGGACAGAATCGCAGGAGCTGGTTTTCACGGACATTCATGCGCCAGCCTTCGGGCATGAGTATGGGCCACAACGGAGATGTGAAGTTCAATCAGAAGCCCAAGATCAAGCATAGTCATAGTGACTTGGCAGTCCATCTGGTAAACAACGTCAACAAGGACTCCTTAAAGGACGAATACCTTCAGTCACTCGTGCGTCTATGCGGGAAGAGTGTCCTTCATTTACCCTCGGAGTATGCGCCGGGCTCCCTTGTCCTTCCAACATGTTTCCGTGCAACTGCCCACTACTTGTTACAATATGGTAGGCACTAGCATCAGGGGAAGCAGATCTCTGTTTCTATATGCTTACTGGAACAACAGGAGCTGAGACGAGAGGAGTGTTTCGCATACCTGGATCGGTCCGGATCGTCAACGCTCTTTACCAATTCTATTGCGCCGACAGAGATTCTGACAAGATAGCCAGCTCAACATGTTTCCCTAACCTACCTTCCCATATCCAAGCGAGCGCCCACGATGTCGCCTCGACCTTCAAGCGCCTGCTCTCTGGGCTGCCTGGTGGTATCCTTGGATCGCTATCTCTGTTCGATGCATTTGTCGCCATATATAGCTATCTCAAGGGTGAACCTGAGTCCACAGCCACGAGGGTGACAAAACTGAGAGCAAGATTGATCGCCTTAGCCATTGGAACTGTTAGATCTCATCTCCGGCGCGATTTGATCTGTGCTGTGTTTGGGCTTCTTTGCCTCATTGGTCGTGTGGCAGAAAACACACCTCGAGAGGATGAGCATGGTAGGCCTCTCCCTACTACTGATTTGATGGGCTACAGTGCTCTTGGGATTGTGTTTGGTCCTCTTTTGGTCGGGGACCTTCTCAGCTCCTATACCATCAAGAATGAAGATCCTATTACAGGCCCAGTGCTCGAGGCTGTCACCCCCCAACCTTCCAAGGAGAAACGGTGGTGCAAATCCTACGACAACACCCAAAAGTCAGCTCCTTCAGTTGACAAGGTCTTGTTGGCGAACAATATCACTGAGATGCTCATCACACACTGGCGGGAGGTTGTCAGGCATATGAAGGGTCTCGAAATTTCAAGGATGAGCACGGAGAAAGGTGGTCATGGTGCATCCAGGGAGCAGCCCTGGCGTCGATATGCGATCAGGCCGTCCATCACCGAATCTTTTATGAGAGGTGCTCTCGATCACACTCCTTCGAGAACTTTAGCATATACCTTTGACAACGATTCCTCCCCGCCTGGGACTCCAACGCCGAAGCCATGTGAGTGCAAGATCTCCCCCCAAACTAGTTCATGCTGACACTAGGTAGCCCAAGGAATGGGGTCACTTAGCGAAATGCCGTCAAGTAAAAACATTGAGCATTCTCTCACGCTTCCCAGACAGCGGCCCAAAGGAGCACGACCATTGCCAGCCAGTTGCACGAATGGACGGTTAACCATTCACTGCTTATCACCTCCCACCGAAGAGCCGTCTGGTATGTTGGAGTCGCCTGCAGCTCCCAAGCCAAGTGAGCATTTGGATCCTTTCATTACTGAGAAGCCTGACTCATCGTCCTCGGCTGTGACACCCGTGTTGGGGGGGCCTTCATCCCCAACTACAGATGCTACTAACAACGCTGTACCTGACGTTTTCCAGGCTGTGGATGCTCTCAATCCATTGCAACCTACCGAGGAGTTGTCTGGAGAGTTTAACTGTCAACTAGTACCACAACCACCGGATCCTGCTATCATCACATGTCCCGCCGATAATAAGCCAGAACTTAGGATCAATGCTCCGGATGACATAGCCACGCTGAAACAAGATCTGTCTGGCCAAAGCAATCGGAGCGAGCCAGAGGGCATACGGCCATTGTCTCCTCACAAGGCATTTGCAGAAACTGGATCTCCCTCCACGTTAGCAACAACGATGAGTTATGACACGGTACAGACGAAGGAATCGAGTTTCAGCTCATCGGCTCGTCTTTTGAAGTCCAAACTTTACAAGGCAAAGAGGCTGTCAAACATTATCCACACCGGTCACGGGGAAGAAGAAAAAACAGAAACCCCAGGAGAAAAAACTCCGAAGCGTACTACTAAGACTGTAGTCCGCGGACTGGTCAGGCTATCTGCACCAGCTCAAACCGAAAACAAGGTTCTCCAGGATGAAAAGTCCAGGCTCGAGGTTTTTAATCGTGGACGAGAAAAAATTGCAGCGTGGAAGTCGAGGAGACTCTCTTGGAATCCCGTAGGTATTGAGAGCTCCAGCCCCAGCGGAGATGCAAACGGTTGTCATCGACAGAGTATTTTGGTCTCTGGCGGGGCAGACGATCAGATCGGCATTTCAGCAAACTCTTTCAACCAAGAGACCAAGAACATAGAAAACACGCCCCCGATGAGGGGGCAGCAATCGGATCGAGTGATGCCAGCGGCTCCTCGCCCACGACCGCTAAGCCAACTGTTCGGACATCGAGAACAGCTTCGTTACGCTCGTGAGCTTTTTGGGAGATCCACAGCGTCTACAACATTGGATGGCAGCAGATTTCTCGCAAAACATCATTCAACAGAGACTATACCAGACCGCGACATGAACAAGGTACCCTGCGGGCAAAGTATCAATGCATCTTCTGGCTCTTCAACTTCCATGGCATCGCCAGCGCCTGTTACTTCTCGCTCCCGGCAAATCAGGGCTACCGGGAGCGCAGTCAGGGCAATGGCAGCGATGTTCGAGAGATCCTCAAAGGAATCGACACCTTCTGCTCCAAAAGACAAACCCAAAACTAACCATATGCGAGAGGGATCAAAGAACAGTACAGTTGTGTCCGAGTACACAATCAATCCACCACCTCAGAAATCTCCCAGCAAGGCGTCTGGCAGGTCTTCTTTGGAGGCCTCGAGCCCGTCTCGAGCTCGACTTATCTTTTCGGCTGCACAGAGCAGGCGTATAGTGGAATCACCCACTCGCAGATCTAAGGTTTTGGGCATGAGAGGAGGCAGAATGGACGATACTACACAGCCCCGCGTTTTGAATGGCAGTCTCAGGAATGAAAGGAGTGCCGTTTCCCCCATGCCAAGTGGCTCAATTATAAGGGGATCGTTGCAGTCGCCGCCGCGCTCTAACCCCGACGAGGCATCCATGATCCCTACGCCGCTGTCACCGCAGCTGAGTCCGGGCATTAGAGCGTCTTCACCTGAATTTGACAGAGGGCATCAATTGGAGGGTCTGGCTCAAGCTACTTATGAATCTTCAGCTGCGCCCATTACTACTCCAGTCTCAAATGCAAACTCTGTCTCCAACATTGACTCGTCTTCCAGTCACTACCCTACCGCTCGGGACCGCTTGAATGCCATTTTCCCTCCCCTCAATTTAACTCTGCCATCGACCCAGACTCCACTCCCGGCGTTAGAGGATATGGAAGATAAGATCCAGAAAATGGAGCGAGAGATGGCACACATCCGTGCTGAACTGAGTCGTATGGAGCAATCATGCTGGATGTGGCGCGACAGGGCGCAGCGGGCTGAGCTCAAGGTCCGCGAGCTCGAGGCGAAAGTTGAAGCCGATTTCGCCGCTATCGAGGCTGTGCTTGCAGAGCCGCTTCCTCCTCCGCCATGGAAGAGGGCTAGTGACAACGGCGCTGCTTCTCCCTCTGGTTCGCTTAATGATGCTAGTATCGTTGCTGTTGCTGGCTCTGATGCTGAGTCTAGAGATACTGTTGGCATTATAGCCACTGGTCTGGGCTCCTCTGCTGGGCAGCCTAAGGATGAAGATGAGAAAACAGGAGTTAAGGGCCCCAAGGTTTCTGCTTTTGAGGAGCACGACGATTAAGAGTCAGACTATTAGTCCTTTCTCAACAGGCTGTGTGTTTAACTTCATGTTCGATGATTGTATGGATAGGAAAGGACCTACTTTGTGAAAGGCTAACTTTATGGAAGGTTTCAAGTGATGAGCTAACTGAGAGTTGGTAATATTACTGGGACGGCGGGTTCACAAATGGGATGGGTTGGCTTTTGTCTTGCTATCAATCTTTTTATGCTGGGGGGGGGTTTGCGACGGCTTTGTCGGTGTAGGGCTGTTCAGTCAAGGTGTTTGGTTATCCGTTAAAGGATAGAACCGGCGTGTATGGCTTCGGCATATCTAGCTGTGTATGGGTTGTGATAGCAGTTAGCACACTTCGTCTGGAAGGACACAAAATTCAGTTGTTTCGTCATTCCAACACGCGAGTCAACCTCGCCAATGCCCAGCTGAATTGATGGCCAATTGAACAATTTATACGTATTTGGTACATGATGGCTATGGTACAAGTACACAACAACCCCTTTCCTACATAGATCAGCGCATCGACCACTCAATACCGCGGATGCGCTTGGTATACTTCCAGAGATGGCGGTACTTCGGACCCTGGCGCTTGGCTTCCCAACCCCGAGGCTTGCGGGGCGGCTTGGCTGAATGGACGCGAGGGCGCTTGAACTCGATATCCCAGCCAGGGATGTTGTGGCGCTTCATGATGTCGGCCGTGTTGTCGTCCCACTCGGTACGGAACATGGTGAAGCCGACAGGGGTAAGACCGAACTTGTCGCGGAAACTCTTGACGCTGAAGCCGTCGCGCCCGTTGTACAACTCTTTCAGCTTGTTCACGTCGAGGAGCTGGTCCTTGTTGTGGCGCAGGATAAAGACGCTTAGCCGGTGATAGGGAGAACCCTTTTGCGCGAAGGGAGGGAGCCATGGAATAACAAGGTCGCCCTTCTCGGCAGGAACGAGGGAAGAAGAGGGGGTAGCGGTAGAGCAGTCGGAGGATTCGGAAGAGGGCTCCTGGGGAGCAGCCGCCTGACGGCCTAGGCGGCTGAGGGGCAGGGAGTTGCGCGTGGGGTCCCAAGGAATGTTTGTCGCCATGAAGTGCAGGCGACGGCCGAAGGAGTCGGTCTCGATCTGGGGCACGTCGGAGTCGACAACGACAATGGAGAAGAGGCGCTCGCCCTTGTCGAAGACTTGCATGCGCAGGGTCGGCGGGTTCTCGGTCATGGCGCTGTTGAGGATGGCGCCAGGCTGGATCTTGTAGCCGCGGAACTTGAGCTTGACGTCCATGATGGGCTCAAACTTTGGCAGCAGGTCAGGCACAATGTGGAACTGCTCGATACGCTGCATAATGATCTTGCGGTCCATGGAACACCACTTGCGGTGAGCCAGGTAGCGGTAGATAGGCTTGTTCATGTCGCCTATGCAGCCATTAGTAGAGTCCGTCCTGAGCCAAGGAGTGACAAGATTTACCGGGAAGTTCCTCCTCCATACCCTTGCCGTCCTCAAAGCGGCGCTTCACCTCAGGGTCGTTGATGTCGGCGAGGATCTTAAGCTGCTCAACATATTTTCGCAAGCTGGCCAGGCGCTTCTGCTTGTATGCCTCGCCGCCACGGAAAACACTGGGGTCGGTAGCCTCTAGACGCTTGATCTTCTCAGTTTCCTCGATGATCTTGGCCACCTTCTCGGCGCGGTCCTGGGCCAGCAGTTTCCGAGCCTCCTGGAAGCATTGGTACGGCAACTGGGTAAATGGGAGGTCTCCTGTTGTGGCCATGGCGGCGCGACGTCTCTGCGAACCTAAAGAAGGGTCCAGAAACTTGCTCAGCTCGTCCGGAGAGCCAGTCTTGATTGTTGACGGTATCCTCGAGCTCGGCTTCTGGGAGAGCAGGGCGGCCTCGGTAACCGGATCTGGGGTTCCCGCGGGGGATGCTGTTGTTCTTGTTGTCGGCTCATTCTTGCGCGCCGGAGTCGACGAGAACTGACGAACAGCAACGACAAGGGGACAAGAGGGGCTCTGGGCTGCTGCGGTGGCGGTGGCCTGCCGCAGGGTCAGCACGAGAGGTCGGGCAACCTGCTGTGGCCTCGACATGGTGGGGGATAATCGGAGCAGCAGCCTGCCGACGTCTTGACGAAGAATACCCCAACGAGCGTCGAGCACAGCTGCTTCACAAGCAGACGGAAGTCGAGCTGTCGTCGAGCAGAGCGAGCAGGATGCGCGACAGACACTGGCTCTGGCTGTGCTACGGGCTGTGTGTTGCGGGCTGGGTGCTGTCGACGAAAATTCGTGGACCCATGAGCCAGTGACCGGCAACTTCCGCGGCCGGTCCTGTGGTCCTCTTTTCACACTGTGTGTAACGGCTTGGCGCTGCTGACCGCGGGGCTGATGCCAAGCCTCCAGACTGGGCAGCGCCAAGGCTTGATCTCCACATCAGATTCTCACTCAATTCCTGGCTTGCGGCCTGCTGGCCTCTTGTGGTCTGTGCGTCCGAGGCTCCAGATCTTTTTTCGTCGAAACCAAGCAGCAGCAGGCCAGCGGCCAGACACCCAACAACGGACGACCCAGGCGGATGGGGATCGGGCGGCTTGACTGACAAACCGACGACAATCCAACCGAGAAATCGAGACCGACTTCAAGTGCGGAATACTCGGGACCTGGCACCAGAGCCAATTGGCCCGGCAGCCTCCGACCAACCACCGCGACAACGACGACTGCCGCAATGGCCGGCAGGCGGATGAAGAGCCTCACTGAGGCAATGCGCAACCTGACCATCGCTGCTCAGCCATGCAGGACATTGCTGGTTTGTGCCAGTCTGGGGGAGCGAGGGCGGATTTCTATTCGGGTGGACAAGTCGGGCTGACAGTTTGGGGGTTGTGTTAGGTCCGGCAGGCACCCCTCGTGTGTAGGAGATTGATGGCCACAGTAGTTGATGCTAGCGCCGCTAGCGCCAGCGAACAGCCCGCCAATATCACAAGATCTGTCTCTGATGTTTGGACTCCCAGTGAGTCAGCCAGCTGTGTGACACCCTACTCCGACGCCTCCAGTCAGACGCTAACAGGACCTCCCAGTCACAACTGTTCCCGTCACCGTTCACGCTTTCCCCTCGCTCGAGCCGCGCTCTCTCGAGGCTTGGTCGGTCAAACACCTATATCTTCCCCTGCGCCGTGACATTCTGCACCTGGCTGTTGTCTACGAGGGCGACAAGACCCGCCAGGGTACTGCGTCAAGCAAGACCCGTTACGAGGTCCATGGTTCGCGCCGCAAGATCCGCCCACAAAAGGGCACTGGCCGCGCCCGTGTCGGTGATCGCTACTCGCCCCTGTTTGTTGGCGGTGGCAAGACCTTCGGCCCCAAGCCGCGCGACTTCAGCACAAAACTCAACCGCAAAGCCTACGATCTGGCCTGGCGGACCGCCCTGTCATATCGCTACCGTCGCGGAGAGCTGATAGTCACGGAAGACGGCCTCGAGCTGCCGTTGCCTGATGACTTCCTTCAACTGGCCGATGCTGGCATTCTGGGCCGCGAGCTCGAGGACGGCTACGTGCACAAGTACGTCTGCGAGCTGATGGCCCAACTGGAATGGGACCAGGCCCGCGGTGGCCGCACCACTTTCATTACGGGCGACCTCCGTCCGAACCTCTTCACTGGCTTGGAGATTGCCGGCGAGACTGGCCGCGCTCTTGAGCTGGCCGACGTCGATGTCAAGGACCTGCTTGAAACCGGTCGCATCGTCATTGAACGCAGCGCCCTGCGTGAGATGATCAAGGAGCATCAGAGCGACCTTGTCTCGCGCGTATTCATTCCGGGAGTGCCCAGAAAACCGGCTCCTCCAGAGGTGCTCGTTAAGCCTTTGTAAAGGTGTGGTTGAGTAAGAGGGGGCGGTAGGGAGGATGGTGACGCATATGTTATTGATTGTATTATACCCTGCAGGCACCTGTGGCAGGCTGTAAAAATGTCGAATGTACCATTACGGGTCTGATGCTAAATGGGTCATTTTATGGAGACAGCTCTAGAGATCACGATTTGCTAGTACCGTTTAGAAGATGAAAAACAAGCTGAATACCGGGAATGCCCGACCCAGAAACTATATTGACCTTATACACTCTTGTCGCCTTTAAGCCCTAGCACCTATCCGTTATCACGCCGACCATGTTTTCCCTGTCCCAATTTGTGACGCCGACCCTCCAAATAAAAACCCTCCAACCAAAATGGTAACGAGAACTGCCGCCAAGCCCATGGCGGTCCCCCTACGCACAGCAAAGGGGTAGTCCGACGCCGATCCGTGACCAGCTTCGGTTCTGCTTGAAGAGGACAGAAGCTCATATCCACCTCGAGCATAAGTCACCGACGTTCCGACAAGTGCAATGATATGATCCCAGCCGAGCGAGTAGTATACTAGCCCAGCCAGCGCAATGCTATATCCCAGGCACTGCAACTGCGAGATGGGTGTGGCCCAGATAGCAACTGACACCACAACCAGGAGGATGTTCTTCAGGATACCCGTCAATGTCATCACTAGGCCCGAGGTCTTGCCAATTAGGAATACGCTGCTGACGTTGAGCAGGAAAGCCACAGCGGCATTCAACAGCAGCAAACCCCAGCCAGCGCGCGCAATATCGGACGGGTCGAATTTGGCACCTTCCGATGCAATCGCAACGACCAGATTCATGGCAGCGCACACGGGGGCGTAGTAGTACAAACTCACAAGCGGGTCCATGCTCCCACGCTCGTCTCCCGTCAACAGCACCTGGATCAGGACCAACCGCAGACCCTCGAAGACGATGCCGCCCAGTTGGAAGAAGAACCCAGGCCAGCTGAAGTCGATCTCGCCGAACGACGCCAGCGCGACGCCCGCGACGATGACGAGGATGTTCATGAACCGCCGCAGCGAGGGGGTCTCAACGCCCCAGGCCCACGAGATTAGCAGCACGGCGACGGGCGCAGCAGCCTTGAGCATCTGGATGAAGGCCACGCTGAGGTAGAGGTAGACAATGTTGGAACAGACGAGCGAGGCGCTATAGAGAAGGCCGATGGGCACGATGGCGCGCAGGTATGTGCGGCCAGTCATGCGGACGGCCTTACGGCCGTCGAGGAGACGGGTCGTGCGAGCTAGGATCTGGGTCGCGATGGTTGCGAAGAGGAGATGCCAAAAAGTGAGAATGACGGCTGAGTAGGTTAGCTTGGGAAGTATTCTGGAACTGAGCAGGAAGGCATACGGTATCCTGGAGAATGTCAGCAAACTGCATGCAAAAGATACACCGACAGAGGACGAGGAGGACTTACTGAAACCCTTGTTGTCAATGACCCATTTATTGAAAAGGATGGTCAGGTTGGAAAAGAAGATCCAACTCCTACAGATGCACTAATGTCAACATGACGACTTCTCTTCCCATCCGCAAGGGATGACTGACGCAATGTAGAAGACGGCATGGACACCGCGGGACCGAGCAGGGGGCGCCACAAATAGCTTCTCAGCCTGGCGCTCAATGTCATCGTTCTCTGCAGCCATGACGACAGAAGGTTGATGGAAGATCAAGATGACAGTATATGGGAATAAGGTGTGTACGATGGGAATACAGAGTCGCCAACGCAATGCGAATATAAACCCTGCGGGGCAAGAAAACATAAGAGAGTTAAGAGAGCTGCGTATATCGGTTGGGCTTTCGAACAGGCGTTCAAATGGGTTGCCAGGACAAACAAGCTTTTAACCCAAGCCCAACAACGGAACAAAGAATGGGCGGTGCCTGGTCTAGGAATGTAGCGAACGAAGTGCTAGGTATGTAAAACCCTGGCGACAGGTTTGATAAAAGACAAAAAGAGAGATGAGCATCAAGCCTCGTTAGGACGTGAACCGACAAGGAGAAGCGCTAGATCCCGCAGAAGGGAAATCCTATTGACCACTTGCAGCTCGCCACAGCCACCCAATCCTCTCGTGCTGGGATAAGCTTGCTGAAAGAAGTAGATCGGCGACAACCACTCCGACCGAACAGTTTTCGACAGAATGCTTAGAAGAGGAATGCAGGCAAACCACACGCAGCATGCAGAAGGATCACTGTTTTTCTTGAGCGGGATACCACACCATTTTCTTGCCTGAAGACAACTGACAACTCACCTGCGCTGCATGCGTCTTTCACGTCTATCAACTCGTGTCGGGAGCTCGGGTCGAAGAAGCCAGACGCCTACGGCGAGGCTGAGACCCCTGTCGTGGATGGATGTGGCTGCTGGCAGCGCTTTGCTGAATTTTCTCAGCAAGCATTCTTGCATCTGGACACTGTGTGGTCTACATACAACCATCTGTACAACACGCCACTTTGACTGTTGGGGCTTGAGAAAGTGTGCGTTCCTGAATCTGCAGCTGTTCGCGTTTTAGTTTTACAAGCTTCGGTCAAGACTCGCCTTGGTACGGATCCATACACACCGTTTAAGTCGCCGAAAAATACGAAGCTGAGAAAGACCTTAGCAAACCATCACAAAAACAGTCCCTGTCTGTTCATTCTGCAAGTTGGAGACGTTGGAGACGAGGATTGATCTCCAAGGGCGACAATTAGCCCAGCAAGCAAAGCCATGATGCTATGGATCTCTTTAACAATGGACAGGGCATATCAATCTATTTTGCCCCTCCAGTACTTTGAGGTCCCGGCAACACCTAATCGTAGAGAAATCAGCACAACCTTTTCCTTGAAATTGAACTTATACTAGAAGTTATCGCCTCCTTTTTTGGAGCATTGCATAGCAAGAGTGCGGTGCTCGAACCCTGTGTCAAAGTACCAATTTGTAGACTCTTTTGTGGGCTGAACTATTTTGAGAGATATTATTGGTCAGAGCTCACTGATGGGCCTTTCTCACCATTGAAGCGATCTCCAAATCTGTGACCGTGAGCCATAGGTACAGCTTACATGCCTAGTAGCTACAGTGTTGGTTCGCTGATTTCAGTAATTGCAGGCCTATAAGTCATGTACCTCCATCATAGTTAGTCCAGGCTGGTTGATCCGAACACAGCCGAATGCCAGCGTCCTGGAATTCCAATGACTACTCCCCCCAACCCCAGAGGTAGACTTCACATCCCCGCATCACTGAATACGTGTTAATCACAAAGTTGCCAGGCATTGTGCTTCTTGCTGAGCCAAGAATAAGAATAAAAAGAGGCTTACATGCCTAGGTACGTATTTGACGGGTATTTGCTATCCTTCACCAAGACCGACCATTATCTACGGAGTACCCAGTATGATCACAAGACGCTGATAATCCATGACGCTTGTATCAAAACATGCAATCCAGTGCGTTCGTATCATCCATCCTGCTCGCTCCCTATGTTTATACGGAATGAAAAGGACCACGTCCTGAATAAGCCCGGAAAGAATGCAGATTCCGCCCAAGAGCCATCCGCCAACACAACGCCATTCGCTATGCATTAAAGAACTAGAGTTATACCACATCACTTTCAACCAGTGTCCTAGGGTATTATATCAAATCCCATTACCACCAATGCAGCCACTTATTTCTACGGATCTGGGTATTCCCCATTTGCCGACTCGCCTAAACTAAATTCTCGCGCCTTGTTGAGCAATAGCGCTCGTACCACTGGATTGTCTAAATCCAGCTGATTCGCAGCGTCTAATAACTCGTCCGACGTAGTTGCTGAAATGAAGCTAGTAGCTGGAGTAGAAGCAGCGTTGTGCGGCGGCATCTCGGTGCTGCTGCTGGCAGCGCTGCTCGTGGGCGTGTTGGTCAAATCTAGCGTCTCGCCTTCTGAGAGAGAGGGGGTCGAAACCACATCGTCGTCCGTCGTCGAGATCACTGACAATGGTGGCTTCACAACCGACCTAGCATCAATGCAGTCGTAGAATAGCATGAAGACATTGCTGCCGTCGAGCACCATTTTCTCGCTCACAGGCCGGACATCTTCGTCGCTAAAGCGCCACCATTGGGGTTCTGGTTCATTACTGGGCTCTTGTTCCTCTGAGGGTAGGGAAAGGGTTTCACCGTCGAACATCTCCTTAACTCCGTCCAGCTTCGGGTAGTCGTCATCATCTTGGTCTGCTTCATCAGGAGCAGACGTCATGGGTGTTTCCCCCTTTTCGACCCCGTTGCCTTTCGGCTTCGGTGCTATGGGGTGTTGCCGGAAGCAAACATAGTGACCGTTATTATGGTTGCCGTGGTGCGCAACGACCGCACGAAGCTCGTACAAAGGACCCTGTATCCTAGACTTTCCTGGAGCCCCTCCAGCAACCATAGTCTCTGTGGGGCCCAGGGGCCATTGTTCTTCGTCCTGTTCAGCTGGAGCGCCCTTCTTCAGCATTGTGTGGGGACCAATGCTGCCCAAACACCAGGGCCCAAGGTCCAAAAGCTTGGGAAAGTGTACCCGGGCCAGGTTCTTGAGAAGCCGTCCTGTGCGCTCGTCAAATACCGAGCGGTTCATATGCAGCACTAGACACTGGGGCGCCCTGGCGATCGCCATCTGCTTTGTTTTTGTCGTGGTGACTCGTTTCTTTGGCGGAATCTTACACCGCTTGATTGCCTCATCGTCAAATGTCTCCTGCTCAAGAACATCCTCCACGGTCTGGAGCCGCTCGCTCAGCCCTGGAAGGCTCGGAGTCCGCTCTTGCATGCTCTTGATGTTGTCACGCAGAGCGAGAAGCGTACATTTGACGCACTCGACACCCTCAATCTCCTCAATCTTCGTGTAGTGATCTAGTCTCTCCCTTACATCGTGCTCCAAGAAATCTTCGAGAGAGAGCGTCAAGAAGTTGAAGGGAGTTATACTCAAGCCTTCGCAGTAGCCACACTGAACACAAGCTACGCGCTGGGCAATGTAGCCCTCAAGAGGCATCCGTGCTCCAGCCTCCCAGTCGCAAGTCGAGAGGCTAGACGCACTGAAATAGCCGCTGTCTTGGTCGCTACCTTGGCTTATGGGAGAGCTGCCGCGACGAGGACTGGGCGTTAGGCTTGCTGAATCCTTGCGACGACCAAAGCCAGTCTTCACAACCTCCTTTTCTACCTCGTCAAGCAACCGCGAGTAGTACTCCTGAGCATCTTGTTGTTGCCATGTGTTCATGTTCTTCAGCGGACCCGGGGCCCAGAATGTGTTGCCATTCTTGTCCGGATTGGTGAGGTCGGACATGAGCTGGTGGAGGGACAGGACAGTCTTTGGAGGGGGCACCCTTCTGGTCTTTGTCTCATCTGCTACGTCGGATATGTACTTATGCAGCGGCTCGAGGGACGCAAGTGCCTGGAGAATGCTGTTTTGGAAGCATGAGTTGTCCATGTTGACAAGGCCCGGTGGTGGTGCATTGGGGTCGGGAGGCCTGTGGAAGAGCTGGAAAGACTGGGTAACGGGCTGGAGCAAGCCTCTGCCCTTGTCTAGACCAAGGAGCCGCCACATGGCTTCACGCTTTGCAACATGCGTAGAAGCAGGCAATAGCGGCTTGCGCATCGCGTCTTCGTCGGATGGGGGGTTGGCCCATCGGTCAATGGCGAAAAGCAGCCAGGCGGGGATGAAGTGGAGGATAAAGTCCAGGAGCCGTTCGAGGAGGAGCTCCAGCTGGCGCGGCAGCTCACCAGCAAAGACGACTGCGGATATAGCCACAACGATGATTGCTGAGAACAGAACAGTGACAGCGAATGGTTTTTCTCGAGCCTGACCAGGGAAAGCGTGGTGGTAGCCGTTGCTCAAGGTGAACTGGCGCCTGTCAGGACCGTGCTGGACAGCAGAGAGATCGGTGAAGGTCATAGTATTGGACGACATCGTTTCAGAAAACGAAGGGGCGAAAGCAGAAGAGCTGCGAAGGGCGGAAGGAACGAAGAGGACAGATGGGTAAAGGTAAGGCGAGGGTGAGGGGAAATCGAGAAGTCGGGATCCTGCAGCTGTCACTCTCGAGTGTGTACTGAACAGCAAAGAGCGCAGCACACAATCCGTGTTAAAGGGCCATGACCGAAACGAGAGTGCCCGTGACGTGGATTGCACGGGCAGGAAGGCTAAGGAAAATGAAAACGAAAGCAAAGGCCATGCATGGATGACGACGATGCGTATAGCACAGGCAGTTGGATTGTGTCTATGTTAGACGATGGGTGATGGTAGAGAGGATGGCACGTACAAAGAAATCGGTTGCAAGACAAGTATACAGGACGTGCTTGGTTGAGCAGCAGCTGGTCCTGCTTGGATCGCAAAAGAGTGCAGTGTCCAGTTCGAGATTTAGGACCCCGGGGATTGTCGCTGACCTGTGGTGGTGGGCCGTGCGATTTGCAGAAGCTTCCAACCGCAGGGACTTGGCGCTTGTGGGTCCGTGTTTCTCGCAGCTGACGCTCCCAATTGGTCGCCTGTCCGCTCTGGCGCAGGGTGGCTGTCCAGCCCCACTCTTTAGCGTGGCATTGGCATTGGTATCCCCCCTGCAGGCGGGCCCAGCCCCACCAAAAAAAAAGTTCTGGATCGCAACCATCAAAGAAATCGCAGCACCTTCGTCGCAAGAGCACTCACCCAGATCACTGATCTCTGATCTGAAAGCCAGCCCAACAGTCTGCTCCACGATGCCGGTTCGGTAGAGAACCACTTCACGGCGCAAACCTGAAACATGGGCAAGGCAACTGGAACCAAGGGCAAGAAGCGTATGTGACACTTTCCGCACAGCAGCTTTTATCTTGGTCAAAACCATCTTTCACATGAGCTTGGAGCTAGACAATGGATCATGGATAGCAGGAGCCAACATTACTGACGATGCCCCAAAATAGCACCATCCAAGCATTCCCGCGCCGCGCGCCGCGCTACCTCCCCCTCCATCGACCTCGACAAGTCTCTCAAGGATGTTCGTCCGCCCGTGGAGTCCGTTGACAACCGGCCGGCAGTGTTAGCAGCACGCCACAGCGCTGGCGTGACCAAGAAGCCCAAGAAGAAGGTTCTCAGCTCCAAGGCGCGTCGGCGCCTGGAGAAGAGCATGGACCGTGCCGAGGCTGTCATGGACCGGACAGCAACCAAGGTGCAGCGCAGTGTGAACCATGCAAAAGTCATCAACAAACGGAAGAAGGCTTGGGAAGAGATCAATAAGGAGGTTCAAGAGGAGATTGTGCATCAGGTCGGGCCTGCCAGCAAGCTGAGCAAGAAGGCTAAGGCCAAAATGGAGGAGGACGCCATGGTTGCCGCCTTCTATGCGGACGAAGACGGCGACGCTCAGATGGAGGGTGCTGGAGAGTCTGCAGAAGGGGCTGAGGGTGGGCAGGGTGCCCAGCAGACCCAACCGGCACAGCCACCATTCACTGCGAAGCAACAAGAGGAGGACGAGGAGATTCTGTGAGAGACGGAAGAGTCAACTGAAAGTATGATTCCGGACATGTGAAGATCATTTGCCTTACACAGTGTTCTCCTCCGACTCTGGAAAATGTCAAACCAGTCGATGATTCGACTCCTTCGTGCAAAGTATATATACGTCAAAGATTCGGGAATAGTTGGCTTGGGAATATCCAGCAGCTCTGGGCTTGTGGTTCATGAACTTACCGCCGCTCTTTCGGAATCACTCGAACCACTTCAGTAGTACCAGCTCAACGGAGTTGAAATTCACGGGATATGCTACGGAAAGCCATAAGGGTTAAATATGCCAGTCTAGAAGCTTTCTTCTGTCTCCAGCTATCCAGTCTTGCTGGTCACGGGTACCTTGCTGATGATGTAGGATACAGAAATTCACAAAGGAGCACCAGCATCTGAAGAATACATAGTTCTGGATTTATAGGCAGAAGTTAAGTGGCAGTATGATTGTAGTTCTTTCCAACATCAAGTGACTTATTGAGTTGCTTCTTTTTGTGTGTGGGGACGTGCGTATCGAGCTCTTGTTGCCAAAGCTCTTATCAATCACGTACAAGGTACAGTGTTAGACAATGTAACAGATATGCAGTCACTACTTCATTGATGTAGTAAAGGGACCTGGTATATGCCACTCCCTATTCTATTGAGTTGCTAGCTCTAGTTGAACAATTGGTATCCTCAATCATAAAAAAAAGCCAATGTGCAGAAGGAACGTTGAGCCAGCCAAAACAATGAAGAACAATAATGATGCAAGCCTGAAAGGTAGGATAGAGGAAAGAATGTAGAGGGAGAGGCAAGGACGAGAATGGCAAAGCATACAACAAATGTTTTTCAGGTTGCGGGGAACGACAACGCCGCGTAGCTTGTATTTAAAGGTGACCACGCCTCATCATTGCTTGTTCGTGCTTCCTCCTCTCTTCCAGCAGACTCCTCAACATATTTCCTTGCTTCTCTATTGATCCATGTGTCGATATTTGGATCGTTGCAACTGGCATGTGCCATCAACTGGTGCTTCAACTGACCGATTTCGAGAACCAGGGAGTCGCGCTCGAATTGTAGCCGCGCATTTTTTTGCTCAAGCCCGTTTTTGGCCTCTTCTAGTTCCATCACATACAGTTTTTTCTTCTCTCGACACTTACTTGCGGCTATGCGATTGCGTTCGAGAAACCTGTTTCTCTTCTCCTCATCTTCGGCCGAGACCGTTTCCCTCTTGGTCTTCCTTGTCCGTCGTTTTCTGGGAGGATCTTGAGCCTCTTCTTGTTCCTCCTGTTCCCCTTGTTGACGTTTTTGCCTTATTGGCTTCTCAGGTTGATCAGCTAGCTGCTCTGGCAAAGTAATGCCTGTTGAAATACTGCCCGAGGTTGATGTCTGGAGAGACAACGATCTGCTGCTGACCGTTCGGGGAAATGACTGACGGAAGTCCTCAACTGGGCCAGTAGCAAGTGTATACTGCTGTTGTAGTGTCTGATCAACTTCGCTCCCTGGTCCATAGAGGTCTGGGTCGATAAAGAAGGGTCTTTGTTCGGGTCCCATCATATCGCCTTGCTCGGCAAAGCCGTCCCAGACGTCAGTCCGCGGTTCCGAATCTTGCGGGGTCGAAGACACGAAACCATCCAGCACCAGAGGTGCACCCCCAATGTCAAGTCTAGTGTCGATATATGGGGTGCTCAGGTTGATATTGCTGGTATCGACGTCTTGGTCCGGACTTTCGTATGACGGCTGATCGTCAAAGCTAACGGAGTCAGCAAAGAACTGAGATGTGGCTTCTGTGGCCATGAGCTCCCCAGCAAACGACATGACGGTGGCGTAAGCTGTTTCTGACTCGGAGCTGCTTTGCGCTTTCCGGCTAATTTGCGTGAGCTCTCAAGTGATGGAAAGAAGAGTGCAATCCAGTGTTGAGCTAGCTTCTGTTTTAGATTGGCGGCCCCAATAACTGGAAGGAACCCCAATTTTCCCGAACTAAACTCGTTGACACTCGAAAAAACACGGCTTCAGTGGCTTCCAAGCCCAGACAGGCGTTGGGAGGGGCGCTAGATTGCTCGAGTGAGCTTAAGTGCTAGTAACGATGGCCTTCTGTCACGTCCAGGCCTTGATGTGCTGTGATTGGCGACGTCGATGTTGGATATTTGGATTAGAATCGAAAAAATCCCGAGAAGGGCGAGATAAGTGCCAAAGGTAGTGCTGGTCCGCTGGAATGCGTGAGCTACCTTAGCGATGGGTAGATTCAGTTACCAGAGAATATGGCAAAATGTGAAAAACCTTGAACTTGGGACGGAGGTTGTTGTTGTGAGGGACAAGCTAGTGGCTTTTCCTATATATATGCGAAGAGAGCGGAGAGCGCCAGTGCAGTGCCCTAGAAACAAAATACATGTGAAGATCAACAGAGCGGTATCCGCGGTCCTAGGGAATTGGGTGACAATGTTGAGTGGCGTTCGCGTTGCTGCGCACGGATAAACTGCCTGGTCCCTCGTGATGGCACCCTATCCTTGAGATGCTTTCTGCATCTGAACTTCAAATGCCCAGGTCTATCCACATGTAACCGGTACAGGTTGTAGAAACGTATTGAGAACCTTCGCTTGCTCGGTAGCTTGGCAGTTGAGAAGATATATAAGGACGAAGCACAATATGATGGAATGGTGGTGATATCCTCTGATAGTGGTATAGCTTGAGAACAATCAAGTCAACGGCCTAGACTACCCAGAAATTCAATAGGTACCCCAGAATGTTTAGTGGCGTATCTTCTCTACAACGAAAAGATAGACGCCATTTTCGGCCGGTCATGTACAAAGTCTAGAAACAGGAAATCCAGACCGCAGGAGATGCAGGGCAGACATCGACGGTTCCTTGCCTACCGAGGACGGACCTCCAAAGTCAAACGGTTCCGCACTGCGGAGCACGGGGCCAGCCATATACATGGTCCCAAGACGAAGCAAAAAAAAAAAACGAAGACACTATTTAAGTGGCTACGAGACAAAGAGTACTGGCATAGGTACAGAAGTGGGTGAATTTCGAAGAATTTGCGGATCATGTGCCTTGTAGGCTGTGGCTTGTAAGCCGTGGTGCCAAACACCATCAGCGGCGACAAGATCGCTTCACTGGATGATTCTATGGCCACTGAGTCCCAGATCCGAAATTCACAGCTGGCGGCAGCAAGTCAGCTACCAGCAGCTCCAGCATGAGCTTACGATGAGAGCTTGGACCTCTCCCCTTCCGGAATTCTCCGCACTTGGGGACCACCTGGAAAACGGATCAAAGCAGAAAAATCCATGTGTGTGCTCAGGCAGCAGTGGGACGACAACGATTGTCTCGATCAGGCCCTCAGGTGATGCTTGCTTTTTCTAACCCCTCCGCAGGGCCGAAGTCAAGCCAGAGGATCATCAATAATGATGAAGGAGGAGGTAGTGCTGATAGCTTGTGTACCAATTGAGCGATGGCTTAGGGGAGTCATGGGCGCCCCGTGGCTTGCCGAGACGTTATCTACCGGCAGCTTGGTAGATTTACCGTGCCTGTTCCTTTTGCCACTCCGTCTTTGTGCCGGACAAGCGAAGTGGGTGAGCTGCGGACGAAAGCAAGCTCCAATAGCCAGCCTGAGTGTTGGACAACGGTATGTAACCCAAAGAATTGCTTAGCTTGGCCACCCATCGCATGGTAATCTGCAATGTTCCCATGGATCGACATTGACACACCTGCGCCAGAGAGCTTGGCATGGTGACGCTAATGCGCATAGCTTATGTGAGTGAAGCTTATTGGTGCACTTGCATGCAACGCAGTGCATTTCCCGGTGTTCGCACGCCCCGCTTGAGGCTCTAATGGTCCTTGCAACTTTGAATGCCCGGAACAAGCTACCCCGTTACACAGGGTGACTGGAACTGGAACAGCCTAAGAGTGAGGCTGTCAGAAACTGTTTGCAGCTGAATAGACTAAGCTGGAAGTTGCAATGAACGCATACCCTATGGAAAGGACAAAACCGAACAAGATAGGTACGTTGACACTTATTCTGAGAATAGGGGTAAGAAAGGATACGACCCGGACACTATGGCCCGCAGAGAACACGACTCAGGTAACAGGGTATTCGGTCGTTCCCCGGTGAGCTCAGCAGGTTTGGTTTTCACTTTGTCAGAGATTATTTTTTTTTGTCTGGAAGTCGCTGTCACGTTTGAGTAGTAGATGCAGGATTGCAGGCAGTTACAAATCTACCCAGCTTTTGTCAATTCGGAAATTCATGGACGTGATATCTGTTTTAAAGGAGAACCAAACCGACATCCTCAGAGACAAGGACGTTCGCCTAGACACAAAGTTGATTACTGTTACCTCTAGCGATAAGGTCGAGCTTCCCAGTGAGTTTATTCAGTGTTATCCTCTTCCTTTCCCAAGAGATGCTTTAAAACTAGACGTTTCTGTCTGCCGGAACTGGGAACGCGAGACACATCTCAAAATGCCAGATGGAGGTGATTGTGACCATTCTTTAGTCTGAATGCGGCACCATCCAGCCAGGACCCTTTGGGCAGAGAGTCAAAAAAGAAAATCATGGTTATAAAGGCCAAACTTGTGCATAATTTCACAGCGTCCGGATATCAGGCTGCCCTGTAGGGCAACCAGCCGACCGATCGAGCCGAGGGGCGACGTTGATCATGGAGGCTTGTCCAGCACTAGCGAGCTGGCACCAAGGAAGATCGAAGATCATGTCTCCACCCCCACACAACGCCAAACCGTTTCTGGAATAGCCATATGCAAAACAGAGCTACAAGGCGCACAGACCACAAGCCATTGTCAGCCCCGCTGTCAACCACAGCAGCCCGAAAGAATCCAGAGGACAGCTCCACTAGGCCACCACCAGCCAACAGCCCAGTTTAGATACGGTGAACGCGGAGGCTTCCTCATTCTCAAAAGATCGACTTAGCCGCGCTCTCACCATTTCGCATCAACGCCGACGTATAACAAACCACGGCCTGATCAACCTAAATACAATCACAGGTGCATCACACGACTAAAATCGTCGAAAAATGGGCAACATCTCGACTCCGCGTGTAACCTGCAGTTATCTGAACTCGTACCTCGGCAGAAATGTCCTTATCGTTGGCAAGGTCATGGAGCTCCGCGGTGACGAGGCCATTGTTGACGCCGATGGCAACATCACGGTCCACCTGAACCGAGTAAGTGCCGCACGGCCAAGTCCCTTCCATCCTACCCCTCATCTTTACCAGCTGCCCCTTCCCGTCTAATCTCTGGTCGGCGGTCGGTAGTCACTGGCCCTGATGTTGTGACAGCCAACAAATGGACAAGCACGGCAATCATTGATTCCTTCGTCCACGTTACTAACCAGGCTTCTGTTATTAACAGGAAGCCCACTTGTCAAAAGGCAATGGTGTGCAGGTAATTGGCAAAGTGAATCCGGACCTCTCTATCAAGGCGCTCACTACGCTGGATCTGGGCACGGAAGTTGGTGAGTTTTGGTCCAAGACCCTGATTCTCTTTCCCCTTTCCTCCTCAATCAGTTTCCAGCTTCTCTGTTTTCTCTTCGCCTGTCTGTGTGGCGAGTCTACGGCATGGATGGCTGAGAGAAGCCTGGCCATTGAGATGAAGAGAAGCCCCGTTAACAAGAGAGCACCCCTTTGGTCCAATCTTGCTCTTTTTCATCCGTGCTTAGCCGCTCATCTGTTACCGAGTCAAATTTTACATGAGCTACACTGTTATCAAGTAGCAGCTTCGAATCTAACACAATCTTACAGATTTCACTCTAGCCAACACAGTTGTCGAAATCTCCCATCAACACCCTGAGGTCTTCCATTCCTGACTGTGCCGGCGTCATTAAAGCAAATATATCTGAGTAGATAACGTGCTTAACTTAATTGACTCGCCGTGTCCATGAACCTTGTGCACTCCTACGCCGTAGATTTTGCAATTCTCAAAACCACCCTTCCAGCAGGCCGAACTCAAGATTCAACATTTGGCTGCTGGTCCGCACAGGATAAGGAAGGATTCTTCTTTCACCAGGCTGCTACCCGCGTCTAAGCGCTCATCAATTGACCTTGCCACACTGTTTAATGTGTACTGTACGGCGCAAGTACAGAAAATGTCAGTCGCATACTGGCTTGCAACACGCAATACCTCGGTAGGTACACTAGCAATGTATACTACAACTCTAGTCCGTATTGTCCTATCGTAATGTTCCTGACTAACCCTCTGCGTTCCAAGAAAAAAGGCGGGCGTGCATTAGACTGCATGCCAGGCCAAATTGAACCTGACGATTTCCCCCGAACAGTTCCCTGAGTATTCCCAAGCCCCTAAGCAAAAGGCAAGCAAAGAAAGCAACGTCCGCCCGGGCCCTCTAACAAACCACCCATAGAAATTTTGGGTAACCTATGCACCGCTTATGCCCTGCAACCGAACCCAAGAACCAAAGGGCAGGAAAACAAGAGGTCCCTTCATTCCTTCTGTATTCATCCATACATGTATGTCAACAAAATATCAGAAAAGTGGTAAGAAGAGCAAAGAGAAGCGGAACCCCCCAGACGCCGAGGCCCAAAGGACGAATTTGGCATTGCAGACACTGTGTCAGTACCAGAAGTGCCTTGATGCTCCCAGGAGGAAGAGCCAAACAAACAAAAAGATGAGTAAAGCCCGTACGCAAAGGAGTAACCGTCCACAAAGGATCCAACCGAACGATGAAGAATTAAGAGATCAAGCATGCGAAGGATAAAGCCGTAGAGTCGCTCAATAACACCTAGTTGCCTGTCCTCTCACCAGATCGCGTTTTTTTTCTGGTAAATATTTCCATAACTAGTAATTCCGGCTCTACTGCTGCTGCTTTTGAGCCTGCTGCAATTGCTGGCCCTGTAGTGCACCACCAGGTTCTGCCGCGTTCTTATTGCGGAAGAGAGAGGGAGGGGAGCTGGGCATAGGAAAATCTGCGCTACCAAAGAAGTTGCTGAAATCAGGTTGTTGCTGTTGTTGATGACCACTATTCTGTGTGCCTTGGTCCTGCTGTTGGCCTTGCTGTCCCTGTTGCTGTACATGGCCCAGCACTGCGCTCAAGTCCAGATCGTCCAGCCCGTGCGACGGCGACCCGGCCGTAAACTCGTTCGCCTCACTCAGTAGCTGTGTAAGTGTTGCCGTGAAGGGCGAGTCGAACTGAAGCTGAGTAAGCGCCTCATTTTCAAGCGCAAAATGTGCATGTAGGTGGTTGTTGTTAGCATTGTTTGCGCTGCGCGGGGTACGACGCTTGCCCGACCGCGGGGTCTTAGATGGCGTGCGCGGAGGAAGCTGATGAAAAATTTGGCTGGGAGACTTCGGTAGGCTGGCCATTGAACGAATCGACCGCGAGATACTCCTAGTAATCGGGCGGTGGTTGGGTGTTGGTCGGGTCGGGGTCTTAAACGGACCAGCACTTGCAGCAGCCTTCGAAGGAGGAGTGGAAGGGCGGCGAGGAGGAGTACCGAAGAGTTCCTGCTCAAGTTCGTCATGATCTTCGACGATCGGAGTCCCAGGGCGCTCTAGAAGCTGAGCCGGGTTGTTAGTGTTTTCGTTCTCCTTGCCAACCGTCGCGGACTTGGCCTCCTGGCCCTTAGCAGACTGCACTACATAATTCACTGGCAGCTCCCCGAGAACCTTGGGAACACCATCCTTTCGGGGTGACGGGAAGAGCAGCCGTCTTGTGCTTCCAAGGTCGTCCTCAATCCGGATAGGGCTGTCCGCGGTTCCACTACCCCTGGAGTGAGTCGACCCCAATAAGGGCTGTTTCGGGGAGCTGCGCAAGTTTAATATCTGTTCCTCGACCGACATTCCTGATCCTTCGGTGTGCTGCTGCTGCTGCTGCTGGCCAGTAGCGTTCACAGACTGCTGAGGTCGAACCACTTCTTCCTCCGCAGGGCCGATCGGGTCAGTCGTAAAGTACGCCTCAGAAGTGAGATTAGGCGTCTTGGCCGTATCGTTCTTCGGCTCTGACTTCTTGTTCTTCGAAGCATTGTTGTTCTTGTTCCGTCTCTTGCGCGGCTGGTTAAGGCGAGCAGCATCCTTATCCCACCTCTCGGGGGGGCGATGTGCCTTGAACTTGCCCAGCCAGATACCGCAAGGGTTGCAGAGGATAGTTTCTGTCCACAACCTCTTGTCGTCATTAGCACCAAGGTTTTTCTTGACGAGGCGATACATCGAGATCTGCCCGTTGGCATCGCGATCCAAGACCTCGATCATCGTGACTGCGCCTGGCTTGTCTGAGAACTCGTAGAATTGAGGAACGCCGTATTGTTCTTGGGTCCAAATTTTCCGCCATGTTGGGGTCTCAATAGCACCGCAGTTGTTGCAAAATGGCGGTGACTCGCCCTTCGCAATTGCGTTCTCTAGTCGCTCCTTGATGGACTGTTTTTTGATCAAGTTCTTGCTGTATCGCGGCGGGGGATCCGGTTCGCTCGGGGGGCAGGGCGGTTCAGACATCGGGGGCCGAGGCAAGGTAATGGAGGTCTCGACGACAGGATCGCTTGCGGGAGCGGCTGGGGCCGGCAGACCTCTCGAGGCGGGTCTCGAAGCGGGCCTTGACGCAGATTTCGGCACAGGAGCCGTCGGAGCAGTGACAACTGGCTCAGAAACCTCTGACTGGAGGGGTTCCGGGCGAGGGGGAACAGGCATTGGCAATGTCAACACAGGAACTGTGGGAGCCGGCGTTGGCCGTTCACCCTGAACCTCGGTGTTTCCCTTTTCGACGGTCATGTTGTCTGCGGCAGGCTGCCCCGGTTCAGCCGAGCCATTAGCGGTTTGCTCCGGCTGCTCAGGAGGGGGGCAGAGTTGGTCCACAACATCAGCTGGTTCTTGTCCGCTTGCCTCGCTGGGTGGGCAGGGTTGCTGTTGGGGAGCTTGCTCCGGCTGCTCCAGAGAGAACACGGCTGTTTGTGGTGCGGTGTTTGACCGCTTAAAGGTTCGATTCGACGGTCTTATCTGCGTGGGCTGTGAAGATGGAGCAGGATGTGGCCTGTTCAGCGCCTTCACTTTACCCTGAGGGTTGAAGATGCTCTCCCTTGGCAAGAGCTCGGGAGGGCCAGGGTTCTCTTCACGGAACGAAAAATCTCCTGTCGGCAGCTGTGGCTGATGTTGGGTGTTCTTTTTCGGCAGTTTGGTTGGCACTGGAGCTGGAAGAGTCGGAACAGGAAGCGTCGGTTCCTGGGTCTGCTCCTGTTGAGACAGGTCGTGCATTACCTCATCATCGTCGAAAAAGTCCTCGATTCCACCGCTCATGAATCCAGAGTCTATCTGCGACATCCGCATGGGGGGCAGGGTAGGGCTCGAAGGAGGACTAGACTGCGCAATGTAGGCTGCGGTTCGGGGGACAGGGGGCGACGAGCCGATATCACCAGTGCTGTCTTCGGGCGAATAACCATGGTCAGGTGACTGCGCGATAGAGTCGGCAGGAGATTGAGCATCCTGACTATAATTTCGTACCACCAGCCTCCCAGGCTCCGGCGGATCTGTGCTAAGGATGGAATCGGACCGTGACTTAAGGTCAAGAAGTCTCCGCTTCTGTTGTTGCTGCAACATTGACGCGTCTGGAATAGGAGTGGGCGCTCGAGGGACATCCTGGCCGTGGTTACCGGTAGTAACCTCATTTCCAGAAGCGACTGGCCGCATAGCGCGTAAAGAGCTAGAGGTGCTCGCAGCCACTCGCAGGGAATCGTGAACAGCACCGAATGGAGCAATAGGGCTGTACTCAGTCCTGACTACCTTCGCTCTCTTCTTCTGCGGGCCATCATCACCATCAGTCGCTTCCTCTGCGGCCGAGGTGTTACCCGTCTCAAGAGGCTTTTTCCGAGGCCTTCCTCTAGGCCTGCCGGTAGGTTGCTTGCTGCGAGACCTCGACGCAGGTCGAGGAGGGCGCGGCTGCGAAACAAACTCCATCGGCGCGGCAGCAATTGGAGCAGGCGATGGGGTGTTCTCTGCGCCCTGTGATCTGGGCTGAGGGGGAGCCGGTGCCAAAACAGGCTGCTGTTGCTGGTGCAGCTGCTGTGCTGCCGGCTGCTGAAACTGCTGTTGCTGCTGATATTGTTGTTGGGGTTGTTGCTGTCGAGCTGGAGGCTGGTGCTGAGGATTCTGTTGGTGATGGATAGGCTGCACAGGTTGAGGTTGTTGTGGTGGGTGTTGTTGGTTCTGGTATTGCGGTTGCTGCTGCGGCAGCTGCGCGGGTACACCCTGAGGAGGGATGCTACTCGGCCGAGAGGGCTGTTGGTGGTTCATGTCGTTTCGCAGGTCCATCGGTCTGCTCTCGTTCATCTGGGGAGGATACTGTGGCAGTTGAGCTGTAGGGAGTGCTGGGGATGAGACAGCGCCCACGTGTGAGGCTTGGTGGCCTAACATTGGGTTCGACTGGAGGAAGTTGTTCCATTCGGACGCGGGGTCGATGGGTGTCGGTGCTCTCGGCGCGCTAGCTGACTCGATCGCAAGGTGCTCGGCGCGTTGAACCGTCCTCTTAACGGGTGTCAACTTCAGTTTGACCTCCAATGTGTCACGGATGCCATTGCTCAAGATAGCCAAGAGATTACGCGTCACCCGGCCGGTGACAAACTGGGCATGTTGTTGTTGTTGTTGTTGTTGTTGTTGTTGTTGTTGCTGCTGTTGTTGTTGTTGTTGTTGGGGCCCGCCTTGGGGATCTAACACCCATGAGAGCATGCCTTGCCCGACCAGGGGCATATCCGGCTCGGAGAAATCGTAGGCATAGACGCTGTAGTCGGTTTCGGGGTTGTTGACAATTTCGGGACTGCATTGGGCAACTGCCTGCAGACATGTTCGCAGGTCGACCACGCCAATTGTTAACCGATCGTCAATCGGAATTGTCTGAATCTGGAGTATTTGAGGCCACCGCGCCAGGCAGTGGGTGTCTTGGTTGAAAGTATAGTGCACCTTCACTGAACGCCGGGCCATGATTAGGGACCAACAAACAACGCAAGATTAGGCGGAGAAAATCGGGCTTGACTTACGTGCCATGGGCTTAGTCTGCATGTTCAATTCTTCACTCGGAACTTGCTGTGCTGGTCCTGGATGAGGCGAAGGCGCCGACCAGGCTGCTGCTGGAGTCGCCATGTCTGGATGAAGCACGGCGGTGCTGGGTCAGTATTGATGCTGCTAACTGCTCTCGGGACCGTTTTTTGGTGGTGACGCGAAGCAACGACGGTAGAGGAAAAAAATAGTCGACGATGAATATAAGAATGGAAAATACGGCGATGGTTTGTGGTTGCGGGGAGAAGTCCGTGGTTCGTGGTCGGGAAAGGGAGTGAGGAATGGGGTATCGAGGAGAAGAATCGAGTCTGCAATGTGGACGTGGTGAAGTGTGTGAGGTTAGGCGGAATTGTGGACTGGAATGGGAAGCTTGACGTTGGTGGGTCGAAAGTGAGAGGCTGGTCTCATTCCCGGCAACACGCGTCTGGCCAGTCGCGTCGGTGGGTCAACCACGCTCCACGATGCATGTTCCTGCACGACCGCGCGGGAGGGGACAGGAAACCACGGAGCGCAGTCGAACCCTATCCCGTAGCTGTGCCCCCCGTCCTCCGTTACCGCTTGGCGCGATGCAGCCCTGCAAAACAAGACGGGAAGTGAATGGGTCAGGGCCGAAAAAAGGTCGACGAAGTGACTTACTGCAATCAATTTGAAGCGGTTGACTATACCTTTCGGTTTTCTACGCGCTGCCCGCCTCTACCATGGTTTTGCGAAGGCGATGCATGTCAATTCGGCTTTAAATATCCTTGGATCGTTGCGAAAACGCGGTGGGCGTTGGCGCTAAAGCGAACCCGATCTGCTGTTCGATCCTGGGGCATTTCTCGGCCCTTGGCGCGGCGTTTCCTGCCGACGGGATCCTGGGGATGACGCGCGGTGTGGGGCACGCTTTGATTGGTACGCGAAAAGCCGCGTGTGCACGGACCACCTCTTCAACACGGTGCGGCAGAAGAGGGGAAATGCCCAGCAACTGGAGGACTCACTCCGTCCAAGAATTAGAGACAGGAAACTGGTGGGCGCGTTGGTGAACTCAGAGTCACAAAAGGGCAGACATTCGTTGAGCTTTCTTTCCTCTTGGATGGGATTCGGAGGCCCTATTTATACCCCGCAAAAACCCTTTCCATCGTTCCCCTAACCAAGGCAGCAACCAGCCCCGCCCCGGGCTCGAGGAGCGCTTTGATCACCGCGACTGTCTCCCTTTGCGTGCTCTATCACTCGATAACGCGATGAAGCGATTCAGACCATTGCCGTCGCATGTTACCACCGATTCGCCAATGATATCGTGAAGCCATCTACCTTCTCCCCATTCCCTTGTCGCGATCGGGCAACTTCCAAACATAACACTGCGGCAACGCCATCGCACCGAATTTTGTTGTACATACACCACCTGGCTAAACAGCGCCATGCTGTCTCACGTCTCACACCCTAATCTGGCCTGATTGAAACTTTTTTAATAATCAATTCAATTTGAAGTCTACAGATAGAAGAGCAGTCATTAATGCAAGAGAAGTCTATTGAAGCAATCCACAGTCGTTCAAGCACATCATACTTAGACCTATCCGCCTGCCGATTTCATCAATCATCCATCACGCCAGATACAAATGCTTCAACCACAAATAATCAACCTATCAATATTCCGAGGGCAAGCGACCTTTACCATGACTTCATTGTCATTGTCCTCTCTCCCTTTGCGATTCCCGCCGCATAATCCGTGCCAAGGTATCTCGCCTTGAACAGCCACACCATCCAACCCCACAGCTTCCAACCGCCCACTTGACCTGTTCCCGTATTCTTACCGACCGTCACTGCGAGCATGACCCTCTCATCTGGTTGGTATGCTTGCTCCTCTTGACCAAGAAGCCGCGCCTCCAGCAGTTTGGATGCATGCACCGCTTGCTTGTCAGCATGCACACCCTGTGGAGACTCAAGATTACCAGCATCGCCGACCACAAAGATGTTATTGTGTCCTTCGGCCCGCAAGAACTGAGTCTGCTTGACGAAGCCGCGAGAGTCAAGCATCGATTGTGGAAGGAAGGAGGTGTTGGGAATGATGCCGTATGTGGGGATGAGGAGGTCAGCTTGAAGGGTCTCCGTGCTGTTTGATGACTTGTTGGTGATGGTGACCGTGCCCGGGAATGAAGAATTAGCTGGGGACGTGACACGAGCGTTCGCGATAACCTTGACTTGAAGCCGCTCAAGGGCTCTCTTAGCTGCCTCGCGTACGTCCCGGCGAATATTCGTACCCAGTGGTAGCTCATCGTCACACACAAGTGTGATGTGCTTCAGGCCCTTCGCAGCGTACTGTTCTCCGAGCTCGCCGGCAACTTCGACACCCGTGGTGCCAGCACCGGCCACAACGATTGACTTGGCATTCTTGATGCGTTGTGCCCAGTCATGCAGAGCATCCTTGGTTTCCTTGGTCGAGTTGAGGTTCTTGAAGGGCATACCGCTCTTGAAGCTGCTGCCGGTAGCAATGACGCTAAGGGAAGTTAATATCCAGAAGATATTGAGAACCCAAGGTACGTTGAAAGTTTTTAACTTACAGATCATCATATTGAATCTTCCGTGCCGAGCCGTCGTTTTCACGCACCTCGACGATATTCTTACTTATATCGAGATGTTCAGCCTTACCTTGCACCAACTCATACCTCTCAGCCGGGTACTGGGCGAAGCTGGGTGCAATGGGAGTGAAGAGCTTGTCATCCGGCAACATGTCCGGAAGAATGCCGCGTACGGAAGCAATTGGCCAATAGAAGTCAGTGTTTGGAGCGACAACAATAACTTTAAGACCCTCGACTTTGTCGGCCGTGTGCTTGAGGAGATAATGAGCAATGGGAAGCCCCGTTACAGAGGCCCCGAGAATCACGACCGTTCTCGCCATCTTGGTTTGCAATGCTTGCGTAGCCGTTGATGGAGATCGATGGAAGCAACCCTTGAACTTATGAGAAGAAACTTGGTCCGCAGTTTAAGTAACAGCCAAGACCTTCGATGGTTTCTTCGGTGGGGAACTTTGCAGGGGAAAGAACACTGGGTACTGTAGGCTGAAGAGATTGTTAAGCTTGAGTTTCACGATTCCAGATTCCCTGAATGTCTGAGAGAATGCAGTTTATATCCTTTTTCAAACCACATCTATCAACAATTGGATTTAGGTGGCGACTATCATCGGGGGTTCATCCCATACCCCACGGTTTCACTATTTTACATCTCATGCTACATCTTGCTGACAAAGGCGGAAGGTTTTTCATTATCTCGGCAGCACCTGCTATGCCGTGTCATCTTAACCCTGAAAATTTCCATGTGAAAATTTGGAGCTGTTTATCGATGATGACATCTCAGCAAGATCGCCCCTTCTCCAGCATGATGGCGGGCCGCGCGGCATACGAATCGGGTAATCGGCGGTTGATGTTTGGTGTAACCATATCCGCCGCGCGGATTGACAACCGCTCTTGATTTTCAGTTAGATTCCTTGGGTCAATCAGCCATTTTCGGAAGATTAATCAGAGTCATTGTTGGATGTGATCTCAGGGACGGCAGCAACGCGACAGCTGCCTTTGCGGATGCCTGAACCTCTAAAGCACATGTGGCCTGTCTTCCTCAGAAACATCAGAGTCGTCTCACCCACCCCCTACGTTGATGCCCGTTCTACTGTGCAACGCAAACTACACGGATGGTAGGATACTTCTTTTGGTATGTTTTCCAAGTACGTAACAAACTCAGATCATTGTCAAACCTGAAAAAAGGGGTATGCTGCAAAGCTGTCGCCTCTACGGAGAGTTGGCGCCGGCACCTCACTAATCACCATGTGCACCACTTTTACAACCGCAACATCATTGTTCCAATCACGAATCATGCCGCCCGCGCAACACTTAGAAGCCTGGCTTCCCGGCCACCAGCCACCCCGGTGTTGACAGCGCTCGTTTGCATCGAGCCAGCGAACGACTGTATCCCCGTGGCCGATGCCCCACCACCCCCGTGCTCTCACCCGCACCAGTCCCCGACGTCGCACGCAGAATCGCTTCCTGTTGTAATCGTAAGACTCACCGTAAGGCCCGGGTTCATCACATCATAAAAGTTCCCAGCTACAACTTTTCCAGAAAGCCCGGCCCTTTCCAGCACTGCTTCGGCATCGAACCTCCTCTGCTCCGTCCTGGTTGCCTCGCGCAACGTCTCTTCCTGCTCTAACGTCAGGCCATCGCTTATGTCGACCAGAATATGCACGTGTCTGTGACTGAGTTGGATGCGCGCCGGTGGGTTAGGACCAAAGTATGACACGATGGGCGTCGCGGGAGTCGATGGAAGTTGGAGCGAAGTGAACCCAATGTGGTGTTGAGTTGCTGTCCTCTTTCTCCGTTTGTGCTTGCCTTTTTGAAGCATTATGAGCGAAAGTCGATTGGTATACAGATCTGAACGTTCTTAGTTCAGTTTGTGGGACTCTAAGCGTTCCAGAGGAGATCGAAATACTCGGAGTTGACAAATCGATTCTGATTGGTTTAATACGTCTATGCTGGACTTAGAAAGGAGCAGGACAAGCGTTAACGGAGTGGTAGATGAAAAGCAATTTTACAACCACAAGCTGAAGCAAGATTAGTTTCAAGGGTTTACATAAACTTCATGCAAAATCTAATGGCGCTTTGACACACTCAACAAGGGCGGAATGCTGAATTTTCTGGAGGAGGACTGGGAGAGATCCCTGGGAACCGATTGAACATTGAAGAGTGTAAGGTGTCGCTTCCTGATCGGTAAACGGCACCGGCTGCCAACAGCTGCCAAAATTGAGAAGCCAACGATATGCTAGTTCGAATAGTCATCAGATTAGTCAACTTAGCAACAAGGTCATGGCGCTAGCTCGTGGCAAACAGGCATCACTTATTCGATAGATTCCTCGACTTGAATAATGGCCGAACCAGCTGTCAAGCGTATCGAGCGTGCTCCAATGTTGGGCAGATAACAACAGAACGAAAAGATGCAACTGTTTCTGTCCACGAAGTGGGCTGGATTATTCATTGCTCTCGCCCTCGTCTTCACTTTGTTATCGCCGGCAAGCGCAGTCCGGTTACAAGCATTCCCTCGGCCATGGCTTGATGCAAACATTACCTGTGACCCTCAGCATCAGGGCTTCCAGGTTTTCAAATGGCTGCGCGACGGCGCTGGTGGACTCTTTAGTCGACCCTTCAGCAAGACACTGGCGTCAACAAAGCCAAGTCCGGCGCTTTACTCTCGATACAAGAACGATGTTGTGATTCGGTTCAACGTTACTACTCCCGAAGAGGAGCACGCTCTTGCTCAAGCTGCTGACCAGATGTTTCTGGATATTTGGGCTTTCACTCCGGACTGGGTAGATGTCAGGATACGCAAAGATGATGTGTCTTCGCTCCTATCCCTGCTTCCCCGGTCGTTGAGACCGTCGGTTCTCATTCATGATGTAGCCGCTGCAGTTTGGGCGACTTATCCTTCGGAGACGGCCGACAATGTTATGCTTGGCTTTGGGAAGCTCAATATTGCCAAGATGAAGACGTCTTTTGAAAGAATGGGAAAGCTTTTCTTCCGCGATTACCAGACCTTAGCTGTAAGTCAATCTCAACATCCGGAATCCTTTTTTTTTCCGAGATTAGGCTCATAATTAAACACTCCTGCCAGGTCATCACAAACTGGTTGCGCCTTCTTGAAACTATGTTCCCATCAATAGCGGGTCTCGTCAGCATTGGGAAGTCGTACGAGGGTCGAGACATTCTCGCCCTGCGTGTGGGCGCCGGTAACGAGACCAAACAAGACAGGAAAACCATTCTCATTGCCGGTGGTCTGCATGGCCGTGAATGGATTTCAACGAGTACCATCAACTACTTAGTCTGGTCGGTGCTCACGTCCTACGAGAAGGATCGGATGATCACCAAGCTCTTGAAGCACTTCGACCTCATTTTCATCCCAGTGCTCAACCCAGATGGTTATGAGTACACCTGGCAAACAGACCGTCTGTGGCGCAAGTCTCGCCAACAGACCAAGTTGCGTTTTTGCCGCGGCATGGACCTGGACCATGCTTTCGGTTATGCTTGGGAAGACTCACGGCATCAGACAGACCCGTGTTCAGAGAGCTATGGAGGAGACCAACCCTTCGAGGCCATCGAAGCGTTCGAGTTGGCCAAGTGGGCGAAGAGTGAGACAGCCAATGGTGTGAAGTTCGTAGCCTTTTTGGATCTTCACTCTTATTCACAGCAGGTTCTCTTCCCATATGCATATTCCTGCTCCGTCGACCCTCCTAATAAGGAGAACCTAGAAGAGTTGGCAATAGGACTAGCCAAGGCGCTTCGCCGGCCCCACGGCGAGAGGTATCGGGTTGATTCGGCGTGTGAGGGAGTCGTTCTTCACGCCGATAGTGAAGGGGATGCTGTGTCCCGTGTTGAAGCTGCTGGTGGTTCTGCGATTGATTGGTTCTATCGTAAGGCTGCCTCTTCTAAGCCTTGATATTTGCATGACGTACAAGGGTGCAAAGCTGACTGGTTGATACAGATGATCTTCGGGCTCGATATAGTTATCAAATCAAGCTTAGAGACACTGGCAGCTACGGGTTTTTACTGCCGAGCAAGCAAATTGTCCCAACAGGGGAAGAGACTCTTAATGCGCTAAAATATCTCGGCGACTATCTCCTGGGGAACAATGGCATTGAGAGCTCACCGTTCCGGCCGTCCGCAGGCGAGTGGAAGGACCTGAGGGGACGCAGGAGGTAAATTGTCGCTCCAGGCTGAAGATGCTTCGTAAAGGAGTAGTAGTCTGCATGGGCCATGGTGCTTGACTTTATCTTATGGCCATATAGTATGACGTCTGTAATAATCTGTCTGGGAATGCTTCCTGGAGTTTTGGATCACCCTACTTACCCACCTCTACCAACGTACAGTAATGGTTTCAAACTAGATTTATTGGATTTTGAGAGCATCGGCTAGGGAGGACAGGGAGAAAATGGGCGTTAATGGTGCATGTGTTTCCGAGTAGTGTCTGTACGCACAATACATTCATATGCTACACTGCTCCATACACTACTGGACAGCCCTTCATGTCAACGAACCGCGACAATATTTTTAGGATATGGCCCAGCTAATGTCCTCACAGTACGGTTCACTTATAGACGTGTAGCCATGTTGCATCTCGTGATGATCAGCCGTGCAAACCGCGAGTGCACTATCTCGAGATTCCCGAGCCTCGCAATTTATCATTGTGGAGAACCAACAGTTGCAGCGCAGGGGATGTACAAACATGGGCCTGCAGGCGAGTGGGGCCTCATGGCTGATTGGCCGCCCAAAAGGGCCTAGCGGAGAAAGATGGGGGCAGCCGGGCTCAGCTTGGAAGGAGCTGATCCAGCCGACCCAGTCCTGAGCCAGTGCCGGCCAGTCTTGGGCTCCTAGGCACCTGGGTCTTGATCGGTCCTTGGCTCCTTGCACAGTCCTAGGCGCACTGGGGTCCACTAAAGCCCACAGCAACCCACTTCCCACGCTTCCAGGTCCCCCTGCCTTGGGTTTGGTTTGGTTTTGGTAGCAAGCAACTGCTCGCAAGGCACTGCACTTCCCTTGGCGCTTCAACTGACCTGACGGCGTCCTCCAACGTCCCTCCATCACCGTCCCTCCACCACAGCGATCGCAGCGACTGCCCCCAGCTCCTGCTCCCCGAATCTGCCCGCCAGCCTGCTCGCCGTGCATCTTCCCGCGCAATCGTTGACGGCTCGCACGCGATCCCATTGCCCATTGCCCATTGCCGCTGTGGCGCCGCTCTGTCCAACTTTGCTCGCGACCTGCGCGACCTTAATTCATTCGTTTTCTCTCCTTGTACCATCTGCTAAAACACTCGACAAGTCCCGGCCGCACGAGACAGCCCCCCCCTCCCTCTCTCCGTCCGCGCGAAACGGCCGATTGGACGAGTCTGCCCGCCAGCCAAGTTCCGGTTATTTACGCATACACATTTGCATTCACAGTCAAGTAGTCAAGGCACGCCTACAGTCTGAGTGTCTGAGTGTTTGAGTGTTTTGAGAACAAAGTTTGTCGCCGCGCAGTGTTTCTGCCCATTTCTGCGTCCCGATGGATTATGTCAATCGAAGCTGTCTATGATCATGCCCTTCTTACGACGTCGCGGCCATCTGGCCAGCGAGACCGACATGCGGCGCCACTCGCTGCTCGACAGCTTTACCGCATCCGCGTCCGCGTCCAAACTTCCCCAAGTTCGAGCCGAGCCCAGCACTGAGTCGCCAGCTCTGCCCTCCGTTTCCGAAGATTCCCAAGCCCCCAAAACGCCGACTCAGATGGCTCCCCTCTCTTCGTCGGCCCTTCCCCGAGACAGCCTTTCAGCCGCTTCCAGCCATGCTGTCCCATCTATTGTTGAGCCATCCGCGAACGGTCACTCGCACAGCCCCGACGACACAGCACAGAAACATCGACGTTTTTCCATGCTGAGGTTCCGTAATGCGTCAGATTCTCAGCTTGCGGCGAAGGCCAAGCTGCATGCTGCGGCGACAGAGAAGGCCCCTCCCGTGCCACGTCGTATGTCCCCCTTCTTGCCGTCCGGCTCCCCGTTCCTCAGCACAGCATGGACGAAGCTAACAATCTGGGACTACAGCTCCCGAAATCATCACCACTGCTCCAACCTTCACTTCCATAGCTCCGAAAAAGAGGCCTTCTCGTATGAATTTTGCAGCACGCCTACGCCGTTCCGGGGAGCTGCCCAGAGCCGACCAGTTGGAAGAGTCGCACGATAAACTCACTTTGAAAGTCCCTGAAGAGGGATCCAACAGCACTCAGAGCACTCAGAGCACTCCGACCGATGAGCTTTCTGCACATGAGCCTGCCCCTCCGGCATACGGAGATGAGCACTCAACAACGTTGGCAATACCTGCTAACAGGTTATCCGAGTCATCAAGGTCGGATGCCAGTTCGGGCGATAGGATCTATGGGAGTACAACAACGACTACTCACACAATTCAGACCACTACTACTTTTTTTCGGCTTCCTCGCAGGAAGCATAAGCAATCTGAGCCTTTGTTTCCAATTGCCCATCTCCAAAAGAGCAAACAGTCTTTCACTGAAGACTCGAACTTTTCCAGCGCATCTGTGATCCCGTCGACTCCGGGCTCCCCTGAGCAACATTCTGCTGATCATTCACGAAGCCTGCCAACTCCGATTCCTTCCAGGGTGCCGTCAAGAGACGGTGTCAAAACGCCACCCCCTCAAAATCAAGCAGGAACCTTACTTCCCAAGCCCTCGTCACCCGCTACGGCTCTGTTTAGACCCGCCTCGAGGCATTCTGGCCATTCCTCGCCAAGCCGGACTCAATCGCATAGGAGGGGTAGGTCCTCGACTATGAGTTCGCTGGGAAGGAATTCGCCAAGGGAATCTGTGGATGATCATTTGGCCCCGCCAACTACCAGAACGTCCATGTCCACGAGCCGCAAGAGTTTTGGCGACCTCCTAGGGCTGAATCGACTTCGGAATAACGGGGACTTGGCACCATCCCGTCAAGGGACGCTAACTCCCGCGACGCCCGCATCCAACGCCTCGAAGAACAACTCTCTTCAGTTACCGAGGGATTCGTTTGTCCTTCCGGAGCGTCGCGATGATGACACACCTGCTAAGTATCTCGAGCGCTTGCTAGCAGTAGTCAGTCGGAGCGTGGTAGCAGCTGCACTTTCCAAAAGTAACGAGCCTTTTTCGCTTGCCGTTCTGCGGAGTTATATGCGCGGATTTAAGTTCTTCGGTGACCCCATGGATATGGCGTTGCGTAAGCTGCTGATGGAGGCAGAGCTCCCCAAGGAGACGCAACAGATCGACCGGTTTGTGCAGGCGTTTGCCAACAGGTATCATGAGTGTAACCCGGGAATTTATTCGTCCCCGGACCAGGCATACTTCATTGCATTCTCACTCCTGATCCTTCACACAGACGTTTTCAATAAGAACAACAAGCACAAAATGCAAAAGGCCGATTACCTAAAGAATACCCGAGGAGAAGGTATCTTCGATGATATCCTCGAGGTCTTCTATGATAACATTACATATACCCCTTTCATCCACGTCGAAGACGAGTTCGATATCAACGGCGAGCGAATCGTTACCCAAAAGGCACGGAAGAAGTTGCTCTTTCCGAGTGGGCACCCCGATTCGGCCAAGAAGATTCTGAAGGAGCCCGTTGATCCATATGCGCTCATTATTGAAAACAGGTTGGACTTGCTTAGGCCAAATTTGAAGGACGTGATGCAACTCGACGACCCTTATTCATACCTGGGAACCGCTAAGAGTCTTAACGTGAAGGATCTCCAGAAAACCTTTTTCAAGACGGGCGTATTGCAGATAGTATCTGCAAGATCCCGTCCAGATGCTTTCATGACGGACAAGACAACTAACAACCCCGACGCGGCTCATCCTGGCATTGTAGATATCAAAATAACGAAGGTCGGGTTGTTGTGGCGGAAAGATACCAAGAAGAAAAAGACTCGGTCGCCCTGGCAAGAATGGGGTGCCATCCTTACCGGCGCTCAGCTCTACTTCTTCCGGAATACTGCATGGGTCAAGCATTTGATGCACCAACAGAAGGACCATATTAAGAAGGGCCACGATGGTGATCCATGCATATTTAAGCCACCCTTGGATCAGTTCAAACCAGATGCTTTGATGTCGACAGACGGCGCGGTCGCTCTGATGGACTCGAGTTACACCAAGCACAAGCACGCCTTCCTTTATGTCAGGCATGGAGGACTCGAGGAGGTCCTCCTTGCAGAAGATGAGGATGATATGAACGACTGGCTTGCTAAACTCAACTATGCTGCTGCCTTCAGGACATCCGGTGTCCGTATGCGTGGTGTCATCGGCGGAAACTACGATGGTCAGTCGCGGCGGGCCCTTCGAGCCTCGGCTAGCGATAATGTCCAAATCATCCGGACACCATCCGGCGAGGTGACAGTCACACGCAGCCGGATAGACCACAAAATGGCCCAAGATATCCTGGCGGCCCGGCGAGAGATCATGCGGCAAAAGATCCAAGACTACAACGAGAAGCTCAAGGAGGCCGAGACGACGCTTGAACTTCAGCTGCGGAACGCCAGACATCTCCAGATTCTTGCCCCCATCTCTCAAAAGACGCGTGAGCAGATGCTGCTGTCTGCTGCGCGCATGGCTGCGCAAGTAAAATGGACTCGGATGGAAATTTGGAAGCTCAAGTGCCACCGAGATATTCTGCAACTGGATTTAGAGGATGAGCGGCAATCCCTGGGTCTCCCACCTGACCCGAAGACGGACTTGGCCTTAAAGCCCATCACAAGGGAAGATTCTAAGGTCACCCAAAAGCCTCCTCCATCGCCTACTCACGCCACATTAACAGAGAGCCCCAGCACGGCTACCGCAAACTCAGAGGAGGACGTAACTTCGCCAGTCACCGGAACATTCCAGACCCCTCCTGCCAGCGCAACGGAGATCCATAATACCCGGGAGGAGTTGCCAGGCATGTCCTTTGACCATCTTCATCGCAGAAAGGGATCGGTGTCAACAATCCTTACCTCTCAAGCTTCGCCCCCGATGACGCCACTGCAGAATGAGATCAGACTGGCTGAGTCTCCGAAAAAGCCCGCCGAGTTTGATCAGCATGATGATGTTGATGCCAACGAACGTGACTTGCTGGAACAGGCAGGTCTGCTCGAGCCTGAGATCTCGAGGACGTCAGAACATAAGGGCCCTGGTAGCGAGTTGGAGGAGACGCCTGAGCGACGCAGGCGTGGTTCAACTGGCGCTGTTGGAGACCGCAGCGAGCGTAGCAAGATCCGGCGGAGTTTGCAGAGAACGCTGCGCGAGGGTGCCGGGCATATCTCTCATCACCGCCATCGCAAGGGCAAGGAATCAATTTCGAATTCCTCCATTACGGAGGAAGCCAACCGTGATGCACCTGCCGACTCTCTTCCTCGTAGCTCCGGTTCTTTTGTGGTGCACGGCAAGAAAGCCTCTGTCGTTACCCTCGGCAACGAGCTCCAGATCCAGGGCCTCACAGCCGAGGACCGCATTCGCCAGCGGATGCACCGCGATGACGCTTCGAGCGGTCGGATAGGGCCAGCTGAAAGCAGCGATTTCCAGTCGGTGCTCACTACACGAGCTACCTCTGAACGTGAACATCGCGAATCAGCTGCCAGCGCCAGTACGGCGACAGCGAGGAGCTTCCGTGAGCTTCATAGGAAGTACTCGACTGCCAGAGCCGGTGGTGGAAATAGCCTGGTCGTTCCTTCAGATGAGGACAGCGATGCGGCGGTCAGCTTTTCCGACGGTCGACGCACACCGCTCCCTCCGATCGAACATGAGGAGGAGGATCTGCCGGTGCAGTCTCAACAAGAGCTCTCAACCGACACGGTTGTTCCTGCCGATGCTGATGCAGGCGAATACCGGTCTCAATATCGCGACCCGAGCCCTTCGCCTAGTCGGGAGGAGCGCAATACAGTGTTCTTCACCCCTGATCCGCCGGCAACCCCGGTTGATGAGGAGCCGAAGAAGCTAGAGGCCAAGTTGAAGGAGCAGGAACAGCAGCAGGGCCAGGGGCAAAGTCAGGAGGAGGATCAGAAGAAGGAGGGACAGGAGAAGCCTTCAAACCGACTGCCAAGTCCTCCCCTGCAGGCTGTCAAAGCTTGAAAAGACAGTTTGGATTTATATTTTGAGGGCGCTGTTAGGTGCCAACGCAAGACGGACCGTCGGCCGTTCCACTTGCATGCCTTGAGCAGGCCAGCTACATTTCCTCTGATTTTTCTTTCGCCAACTGATTTGTCTTGATGGCCTTTATCGCATTAAGCGATTATGACTGACTCCATTCCTTCCCCCCCCCCCTCTGATTTTTTTTACCATGCTTCCATCCCTTCTTTTACAACGTTGTAATGCGTCTACACTATTTTTACATACTACATTTGTAATCCTTGCTGCGGATTGCGCGCGGAGCCATTCCCTCTCATGTGTTCTTTCCCTTTGGTTCGGCTTATTACAAGCTGTGTACCAAACATTCCCCTCCTTTGGCTGTGTTATTTAGGTTTCCTTAGGGTTGTGCATCGTTATATTCCGTATTTGTCTAACGATCTCGAAGAAGAAAAGAAGCAGGCAGGCAGGTTAAGGAGGTCAAAGCAGGTTTTCAGCAGGCAGGTTAAAGCTGGTAAAGAAGAATAGAAATGGATTGGGTTGTTTTTGTGGGTTCAGGTGCTGTTTTGATCTTGGGTTGATGTTGTGTCTTGTTTGGTTTGCTCGACGGAATAGGACTTGATCCTTTTCCATGATGATAACGTTCACTCTCTTTTGTCTTCTGTTGTTCTTGTTTACTTACTTGTCTAAGGGCACTCGGGTATGGTTCTAGAGCTACCCACGTCGACTGCTTGTTCCATGCTGCCGGCCGTTGGGTTCTGTGGGTTATAGTTGCGAGGATCAAAAGCGAGTACTGTTGGCGGTGCAACATGGGAGGGTTGTTGTGTGCAGCTTTCTGTGTTGGTTTCGTGACTGACTTGCGAGGGTTGTGGCTTCACGAAGCAGGTGGCAGCGCTAGGATATCTCTATGATTATCATTAACCCTTGAAGAGGATGGTCCGGTAGTAGAGAAGTGCTTTGTGGTAGTACAACTTAAAAATAAAATGCGAATCCTCCTGTCCAGCCGCCTCGGTGATTCGGACTTGATAATGACATACCAAATGACTCGCACTGAATCATAGCTTTCCCATAATTCCGGTTTAAATTCATATCTAAGATCCATCTATCTTTGGACTTCTCCATCCCCAGACCCTTCATTTCTTCCCCTTCTTCTTTTTTTTCCCAACCCCCCCACCTCCAGAAGGTGCTTTCTCCACCTTGACGGACCCCGCGCCTGCCACCAACTCGAGTGTCTCATGCTCCTCGCGCACTATACCGCCCTGCATCGTCGCCTCAGCGGCCCGCCCGCGTTTGCCCTTCTTGCCCTTGGGCGGCTTGTAGTAGCTGCGGTCGCGCATCGGCAGCCAGCGCTCTGGATCGGGTTTTTTGTCCGGGTCGTACGACTTGGGAAGCTTGCGCTTGCGCCGCTTCTTGGTTGCTGTTTGCTGTGATGGCTGCTGCTTCTGTACAGCTGGAACATCGGCCTCGGCCAGCGTTCGCTTCTTGCCCCTCGTGGGCTGGGCCACGGGCAGTGGGGCAGCGACACCGGCTGCGAGGAGAGCCTGGACGTCGACGTTCGCGGTTACTTCGTCCGCCGATGGGAGGACGTCGAGGTAAGGCTTCGCCTTCTCTATATCGGTCGTTGCAAAGCTAGCCACTATACCTGCTTGGACGACGGGGTCGTTCGGTCGAGCCGCAATGAGGTGAGAGAAAGCTTCACCCGCGGCAGCCAGATCCGCTGGGTGAGATGAGCGGAGCAGCTCAATGCCGGCTGCGCGCAGAAGGTCGATACCCGGGCCAGGGGCGCCAAGATCAGTCTTTTTCTGCCAGTGGACAGCTGCCTTCGCGAGCTCGCTGCGGATGGAGGAGTAGCGGCCCTGGATCCGGTAGAGAGAGACAGCAAGGGCAACGAGGCCAGGGGCAAATCTCACATCTGCATGATCGGGTGTGTTGGCAGTCTCGAGGCGCTTGAAAAAGGCCTCAAGGAGGTTGACAGCAGCGGCAGGGTTTTCGAGCTGGACGTAGAACTGAATGGCAGTGAGAAGCAGACCTACATCGTCCGGTCTTGACTTGAGCAGGGGAAGAATGTGCCGCAGAGCTTCCTTGCCAGTCTTTAGTTGACTGGCGGCAGCAGCACCAAGGACACCGAGATCGACGTTGGATTTCGAGAGCGATGGAACTGGCTGCTGGGACAGAAACTTAGAAGCTGCCCTCTCAACACCCTCAAACTTTTGAGCTTGGAGGTTCAGGACGCTCTTGTTGTGTTTAAGCACCGAGTCTTGGTACTCGAAGAGCCGATCGTTGCCCTTAATCTCAGGTATTAACTCTGACAGTCGTTGCGCCAGGTATGGATTGATTTCCCCTCGAAGGAAGAGAGCATTCGTTTGTGCCACAACCTTGGTTGAAGACTCCCCGATTCTCGAAGAAGACTGTCAGACCATGTCTTTGGAAGTTCGGTTGGGACAAAGCACTTACTCCTTGAAGTCTAATGACTTTTGAAGGGCTGCCGCTTCCTCAAATCTGCCAAGTTGGGTAAAAACGTATGCCTGTTGGACGATGATTGGCACCAACTCTGCCTTCTTCTCCTCCTCGCTCAAGTCTTCGGTGGTCTCACAGAGGTCTCTCGAGCGCTTAAGCAACACAGCAGCCTGCTCGAATTCTCCCCGTGAAATGCAGCCGCAAGCTGCATTGTACGCGGTCTCAAAAGCCTCTAGATCCTCTCCAGCTGGCTTCTTCTCCTCCTCAGGCACAGCCCAGCTCTTTCCCTGCCATTGAAGCTGGGCATTGGTGGCGGCCAGGTTGATACGCAGGTCGTTTTCCTCGCCGTACTTCGCGTCCTCGTCGTTGGCGGACAGTTCGTGATAAATAGCAGCGGCTTGGTCGAACTTCTCGGCACGGTAGGCCACCTGGCCGGCAACATGCTTGAGACCCCTCTTCACCCTGCCCGCAACGGGGCCAGCTGCCCTCAGAACCACCTCGGCACCCGCTAGATCGCCGGTCTTGTATAGGGCGTAGGCCTTTTCGAACATGCACTGCTTCTCGAGGGCATCGCCGCCCTCGGCGATGGCGCGCAGGGCGTCGTCATAGCGGTCGAGCTTCAGGAGTGCGACCACGCGTGCGTGTTGGACTGCGGCCAGGTCGGGACCGTTGCCCTTTGCAGCGCGTATAGCGGCACTTGCGAGGTCAAGAGCTTGGGCATGGTCGTCAATCGAGGCGCTGCGGAGGAGCGAATTGAGTGCCACGATGGCGGGTTCTGCCATGATGGCGGTGGTAGAGGGGCGGAGTGTCGTGTACTCGGGGTCTTCGTCGTCGTCGCTGACTTGTGCATTCCCAGCCTTCTCCGTCCGTGGGAGAACCGGCTCCGGGTATCTTAGGTCTTTTCGGGGTACACACACGTGCTCCTCTCTAGTGTGGACTGAGGTCCTGGGTGTGGATCAAGGGATGTCGTGTGCTGCTGACTGCAACCTGGGTTGCCTTGCTTGGTTGTCAAGTTCAAACCCTGAAGCCAAACTCAAAGCCAGCAACTGTAGCCTCACCACAGCCTGGTGCAGCGGGCAGCGGACAGTGGGCAGTGGTGTCCTAAGCACAGCGAACTGAGCAATGCGGTGAGCCGTGACAAATTGCGGGGCATGTCAAAGGCTGTGGGGCAAGATACCCTAAATTGAGAAAATAGTGGGGCAAGCATGGGTGAGGTTCCTCGCTTTCCCCTGCCGATCAAATCGCAAGCGCTTTGAATCATCATTATTCATCCTGAGATGTCAGTTCATTGTCAGTCGTCATTCTCACTTATTTGCACAGAGCCACCGCCATGCCAATTCTTCTGACTGTTATGGATTGACGTGCCGCATGTATACATCTAGAAGCATGAGAACAAGCATCTTTTTCCTATGGCGCGGATTGTTCTGCAGTTCTTGCTGCCTTTGAACTACATGAACCTGGGCGAATATTGGAAAACGGACCGAATGCAGCCACTTCAGAATCAAGGTACAGTTCTGATCGTATCCCTCAATAACAAGTGCAATTCAATGCATTTGACTGTTTGGGAAGACTTTGTCAGGAGTGTATCATTGGTGTCTTTCGTTGCTTTCCAGGACCCGAAGTCCTCGAAGCTCTTGTTCTTGTTTTTGACCATCTGAAGACTAGATCGTGTAAGAATCCCGTAACCGTCGATGTAAAAAACGGGAGCTCAATGATTTCAGGACAGATGGGGATCAACACAATTATTATTCTTGAAGCAACCGATTGCATCAGATTAATGGCTCAAGACGATCAGTCTTCCTCTTTCTCCCCATTTCTAACCAAGCTCTGTGGTTCATGAAGATAGATGATCTTATAATCTCTAACAGAAATTTACATTCCAATATAGGAAGGTTAACTCGGGCAAGTTAACCAATCAGTTATGTGGCGAGACAGCGGTACTTAGGATACAGGTAGGCTCTGTCGGTTGCCAGAGCAGAGAGTGTATAAGTTAGCTCGATGTACAATGGTATTTCTATTCAAGATGTCAGGCCATCACTGAGAAGCAGTTATATTCTACCTATAGGGCTTGGTAAGTTGGATGATTGGGGGTTGGGTAGTTCCAAGGCGGCAGATAAAGTGCCCAGGGTGGTTTTCGCTAAGTCTTCTTCAGGGCTGAGTTCATGGGAAGTAAGAAGCATTTTCAAATTTCCATCCACGTCTTGTGTGTCTATCAGAAGAAGAATCCTTGATTGTTAGCTCTAACGCAACCCCCTGATTGTTTCCAAGTCGACCATCTCTGAAAGTAAACAGATGACCTAGGTGGCCCGTGCGTATCAGTTGAGAAATTTCACGGAGTGGCGGATCGAAACTCTCACAACTCCGTTTTATTCATTGCGCTCACTGAAATTTTGAGATCAGCTTCAGTTTCCCAGTAATTTTTCATTCCTTTCCGGGGGTTTGCTGTCAGGACTTCACACTTGACACTATTGGTGCTGTATTCATTCTTTAACCTTGGTACTTCAATCTTTGAAAATGTTGGGTATCACTTCGCTCAGATGTGCGTTCCAGCGCACAACCGGGCCTTTGCCCCTGAACGCCCATCGCTTCATGGCGGCTGTGTCAACAACAGCAACGAAATCTGTGTCTACGGTTCCTCTCGCTTATGACTTGCATGTTCCCGCGAAGCCTGTTTCTGATGAGAAGACGTCTCCCATCATTGTCATGCATGGTTTGTTCGGGTCCAAGAAGAATAACCGGACCATCAGTAAGTGAGTCTCTACCTCACAAACCTACATTCAGTGAGCCTGATTCTAACACTGGATGTGGTGGTGACACAGAGTCCTTGCGCGTGATTTGGGGCGCTATGTGTACACAGTTGTAAGTGGCTACCACCTGACCACTGCGAACATTGCAACTCCCTGCTAACAGTCAACCTCAGGATCTGCGTAACCACGGTGACTCTCCCCATGACCCCCGTCACGACTACCCATCCATGGCGGCTGATGTGGCCGAGTTCATCCGGCAGCACGACTTGAAGGAGCCCACCCTTCTTGGCCACTCTATGTATGTTTCCCCGTCTCCACCTCCGTCATGACACCTCGCCAACCTCTCCTCCACTCAGGGGTGCCAAAACAGCCATGGCTCTCGCGCTCCAGGAACCCGACTTGGTCGCAAACCTGGTCGCTGTCGACAATGCCCCCGTCGATGCACGACTGGCCTCCGACTTCGCCCGCTACATCCAGGCCATGAAAGAGATCGAGCAGGCCGGCGTGACGCGGCAGGCTGATGCCGACAAGATCCTGGAGCCGTACGAGAAGAACGTCACTATCCGCCAGTTCCTGCTGGGCAACCTGTACCGGCCGCAGCCGCCGGAAGGTGACGGCAAGACCCAGCGCTTCCGCGTGCCCCTGAACATCCTGGGCAAGGCACTCGACCATATGGGTGATTTCCCCTTCAAGAATCCGGATGAGACGCGCTATGCCAAGCCCTCGCTTTTCATTCGCGGAACGAGGAGCAAGTACGTCCCTGATGAGGTGCTACCCGTCATTGGCCAGTTCTTCCCCATGTTTGAGGTGGTTGATATCGATGCTGGTCATTGGGTGATCTCGGAGAATCCGGAAGCATTTAGGCAAGGTAAGTAATGATAACAATCTTTGAATTGCTTCAACTGACTTCAATAGCTGTCATCCGTTTCCTGGAGCCCAAGGATTAGCGGCAGACGGCCAGTAGGCCTTAGGAACAAGGCACCTAGAGACAGACCATTGCGGCAGATGTAGACATAGTTACGATACCCCCTTCACGATTTTGTATAGACATATCATCTATAGACATAGACATGCCATTTGACAAAGAGCTCAATACTCAAAACGCTCGGGTATCATGCCCTTCCAACAACAATGACCCAAACCCCTTAACACAGGCAACTCGGGAGTATCCCCTTACCCTCCCTTATCCTCAAGGTCCCTGGATCCCTCACCAACAGATTTTTTGACATCAGTTCAGCGTCTTGCACAATCTGGTCTACTACTTCGATGAATGGCTTTCGCGAGTTGTCCCCCGTCTTGGCACTGACCTCGCAGAACCCACAGCAACCCCAACGTTCCGCCAGCGCCTGGCCCTCTTCAGTGGTGACCTCGCGTGCACTGGTCTGAAGAATATTCGCGCCCTCGGTTGACGACGACAGCGGCTGCTCGGCCTTGTCAAGCTTAGACCCAACCAGGTATAGTTTGGCGCCCTCGACAGAGTTGTGTCGGGCCTCCTCAAACCACTTGTTCAAGGAGAGAAAACTTGCACGGCTGGATATATCATAGACAATGATGACGCCGAGGGCGCCACGGTAGAAACTTGTGGAGAGTGTCCGGAACCGCTCTTGGCCAGCCTGGGTTATGTTAGATAAGGAGGAGGATGCGAGGACAGGAGACTTACAGTATCAAAGAGCATTATCCGGTAAGGAGTACCTCGAACAATGAGGTTTTTTCTCTATTAGAGAGAGCACCGCAAGTCAGTGCCTACGGTCTACAAGCAATTGTTGTGGTATTCCCTACCATAAAATCAACTCCAACCGTCGGCCGACTCCCGTCCTCGTCGAATTCATTTCGACAGTACCTCAGCAACACTGTAGTGACCAGTTAGCTGACCAGGGGCTTGACGCAAGCCTAGAGACCTAAGCATAGTGATGAATCACCCGGGAACAGGAATACTGACATGCCGACTTCCCGACTCCACTAGGCCCAACCAGCAAGACCTTAAGCGGCGTCAGGTACTCGTCCGAGACAGATATTGACTGCACCCGGTTCATTGTGTTCGAGAGACCAGGAAGGTTAGTTTGGGATATGAATAACTTGGATTGACGTAGAAAAAAAATATCCAGGTCTTTAGACTTTCTGTGGTATGTTTGTAACCCCAAGTCAAAGCAGTGTGAGAAGAACGCAGTCGTAGGTAGGGTAGCTGTAAGGCGATTGAAGGCTGTGTCGTTGTGCCTGATGCTCTGCACGTACACAGACCAATCACACGGTAAGCGCAGCACGTGAGAGTCCAAACGAAAGTTGTTTGAGGATGTCGGAGCTCAAAAACACAGGGCCAGAATTCAAAATTCGGTGGAAAGGAAGCTAATATAAATACGGAGGTTACCAAACTCCCACACTGTTAGTAGTAGTAACTAAAGGAAAGGAGCATGAAAGCATCCCATTGCAACATGGTGTCGTGGAGGAAGGCTGGGACCGAGCACATGTACAGATTCCAGGACACTAGCCATTCTCGAAACGCCGAAACGCTCTCCGCGGTCTGCCACTTGAGTGGGTAAACTAACATTTGCTAAGCACCAAGGTGGAACATCAACACACTGAGCCGGGGGGGCATCACAATAACGTGATCCGCGCCATCAAAAGTTGTGGTAAACGACCGGGCAATTTGCTTTCATAGGCGTTGAAAAGTACCAAAAGCCATAAGTACGTCAGTTGCGCAAAGCAGCCGGGTCTTATGCCACCGCAGGTTGGGGCTGCATTCGAACGTTCCCATGCCAAGACTTCCAACCTCCAATGACGTTATGTGTGAAACGGCTAGGGGAACGGAGAATGCCTTTGGGATCACAGGCTGCGCGCTCATGTGGGCTACAGCTGGCAGAACAAAATTGTTCGAGTCGAAGCATACGGCAAAGGGCTTTGATCACCACAGGCACAGGTTTTTTTCAGTTTGACATGACATTGCTGTACTTCATGATTAGAGAAGCAACCAGTGCCATGCCTCCCGCCCATTCCCCTTCCGATCCCTCATCAAACCCACGAACATCACCAGGCGCTCCCGTTCCGTTTGGTATCGCAGACTGCCCATCCACGAGTGCGTTGTTAGTACTCTCGCTGAGAAATGCTGCCAGCCGTGTCACGGTTTGTTTTGTTATCTTTTTGATTCCGTGCGCTCCGTCTTCGAGACGGAGTGTTCGTTACCTTGACTACTGTGCCATAATACCACGCCAAATGCAACGAAAGCAAGCCCAAAGTCCCAGAGAGGTATTGCTGATGAAAACCCGGCCCAGTGCGTTCCCAATAACAACACCCCTTATACCGACTCGAGGACCTGCTCACGGAACTCGCGCTCAACCTTCTGGCCCGCCTCCTCGCTGGACTCGCCGTGGAGAGCCATGAGGGCACCAAGGTCGAACTTGGGCTGCTTGAGGAGCTTGACCTTGCGGATGTGGACCTACCCTGCATGTTAGCCACCGTCGCCGATCGACCCAAGCAACATTATCCACGCCAAAAACCATGGTCCACGTACGTTCTGGAGGGGGTAAATGCCCTGGGTGGCCTTCTCGATCTCGCGGCCAATAACCTCAGGGATGAGCTTAGAGACGAGCTGGTGGAGGGTGCAGCTGGCAGCCTCGCGCTGGATGATCTCAACCATCTTGCGGCGGATGGCGCGGATTTGAGAAGACTGAGCATAGGTAGTCTTCTTGATCTGGTTGGGCCGGCGCTTGGTGAAGGCGATAGCAAAGAGCCGGAGGAGGTAATGGTCGGTGGTAGTGACAGTGACGTTGGCCTCGATGAGGGTCTGCCACTTGCGGACGAGTGAGCGAAGCTTATCCGTGGTGAAGTCGAGACCGTGGAAGTTGGTCAGGCAGTTCTTGCCCTGGACCTCATCAACACGGAGCTTGATCTTGCGGAAGGCGTGGTCCTCATCCTTCTGGAGGTCTGCCAGGCAGACCTCGAAGATACGGCCCTTGAGGGCATCGTTGGCGTTCTTCAGACCAGTGGTCCGGTTGACCAGAGTCTTGCCGACACTAAGCGTACTGTTAGAAACCTTATCGTCTTCAAGTCTTGAGTCTTGCTGTCGCAGCCTCGATCCAGGACGCATCGCAAAGCGAGACAGGGTGGGGGATTCTCTTACTCCCTAACGGCGAAGGGCGCAGGGGCCTGGAAAATGCAACCATTAGACTTTCGCTCACAATCAACCGTGTCGGGCGCAATCTCGACAAACCTTGATATTGTACCAGTCCTTGCGGGTGAAAGGGTCCTGGACCTTCTTCTTCAGGCCCTTCTTGCCCTTGGACAGTCTCTTGTTCCTACGCGGGACGATCAGCCATCGGAAGTCTACCGGTCGCAAGCGTGTCGTCGCTCGAGAATCTTGCAATTCGTGAAAAAGTCGCTTCGGGACGTAACGTACTTGCCAACAGCCATCTTGACGAGCAGCGATGCCAAAGGCGGACGGGATGTGCTGCTTGGTTAGTATGGGGACCGTTCGATCGAGGTCACGAAATTTGGGGTTTCTCTTCTCGAGTCGAAATTGTGATTTCGTTGTGTGGGCGCAGCCCACCAAGCGGAAAAACTAGAATTGTGGGGCTCAATTTGCCGCACATGATTGGCCGATCGGATCTTAGGGCTCGGAGGTCTGTGCTTCTTAGCATTGACGCGAGGTGGAAGCCTACTCCTCACCAAACTCACGAATGCGCAAGCGCTTTCAGCCTTACGGTCTTATCGCAAGCAGTCTCTTCACATCTCAAACTCAATATCCACAAGATGACTGGTTAGCAATTCGTTTCGTCAGACAGTTGGTCTTGATATGCAAGTCACCTTGGATATGTTTCTTATCGCTCCCAAATACATGTGGCTTGATTGGATATGTCGTAACTCCATCTGAAATCTCGTCGTGATATTGCAGCATTTTATTCACCACCTCCATCATCGTGTATGCGGCTTGGCTGCGTTTGCGTCCTTTGGCTACTTTTCTTCAGCAAATTTCCCAGCGATAAGTCAAGAGACGGTATAAGTACAAATTACAAGGACCTCCCAGTTCCAGTGGGCTGTCAGGGTATCATCATTACTTCCGCTTGCTCCTTCTTTCCCTTTTGGCCTATCCTCACTGGTCGGCCACTACAGGTCGTCTCCTCACTCTTCGCCGCAGTTGTTTAAACTACATGGCTACGGCGCTCCAGAACTCACAGCGAGCATGAAGGTGTGATGCTCGATGTCCGAACCATCCAAAATACCTCCGCTCCTCCGCTTCGCCACAGACAAAAAGAACCCAAAATATCCCAGCCTTCATCCCAGCTTCCATCCGAACGCGGGCCTTCAGCCTCGCTGGCGGACTGGCGTGTCGCCGTAGTGCCGTGGATGTTTCGTCGCTGGAGGTGTTCCGGCTGCGCTACTGCGGCGCCGGGGGCTGCTGAATCTGTGCAGACGGAACTGGCGTGGGCACTTCGGAGTGCTGCTGCTGTTCCGCTGCTTGCGGATGACCTAGAGTATCGCTTTGACCACGGCATGGTAACGCGACTCGTCCTTCCGTCGTACTAACTCGCTCCTCCTCATGGCGACTTTGGCCCATCGTCCTTCTCATCCTCCCGACGACTTGACTCGTACAAGTCAAAGCTGGGGAAGCTGAAGTATCTCGCCTCGACTGTGGCAGCTGTTAGTCTCATCTCATGTCGACGACATTTACAAGTGCTTCAAGAAGGAGACATACATCCTTCATGCATGTCACCGAAGTCTGGCTGGCTGACAGGTGACACTGAGAGATCACTTTGGCGGTCGACGCTGTCAAGCGTGGGGGAACGAGACGGAACAGGCTGAGAGCGAACAATGGGCTCGGACGGCGAGCCGGCGATGATGGCGACCCGGGTCAACAGCTCTGATGCCCTCCGAGTCGGCACTGACGCAATTGCATTCCCCCCAGCAGTTGTTGTGGTGATAGTTGGTACTGTGGCGCTCGCCCGCAGCAGCTTCGATCTCCGGTCTGTCGAGTCACGCCTTTGCAAACGAGCTGCGGCCACAAGTGAAGCCATATTTGATGGTGATGGTATTGTTTTGAGTTGATTGACAGACTATTGAGTCGATCGCGAATTGGCTGTGAGAGTAATTGAGTGTTGTGTGGATAACACTGACAGTCGATATAACTATCGCAGGTTAAGCAATGCGTCTTGGATTAAGGCTGTTCGTTGTTGATGACGGGTGTTGGTAGGTGGTTGTTGGTTGAAAGATGCCAAAGCACGTTTGTAAGCGGATGGGGGTGTGGGTGTGGAAGGCCTGATATGCTTGATATCAGAAGCTGGTGAACCATGCGTTTATGAAATCCAGCCACTTGGGCCGAAATACGATCCCGCTCAATGCCGCGCAGGTTGCTTTTGGGCGGTTCAAGTGACGGGACTGTCGGGCAACCTTGCCACTTGTCAGTCCATCGAGCATGAGTTGTATGGCAAGGGATGGGAGGCTTAGCCCAGCCCAGCATCCCCATCTGGCTGCGAGCCGCCATCGCCCAGAACCCAAGACAAGGCACGGGTGGGACTCTCCTGGCTTGGCCTGGCCGATCGGGACCATCAAGACCAGCAGGCCCTGTCACCCACATCCACAAACTTCTCGGATAACCGGGGTTCGGCGACATGCAAAAGAGCCAGGTCGAATTGGTGTTGCTTGCCTAGGTACAAGTAATCCGTACCTGTGAAGGTACTAGACCGACTTGTAAGCATGGACCAGACCAGTTGCATCGGCGAGGAGACAGTCTCACTGCATGTGCAAGCAGAGCGTCTGCAATTGTGCTGTCCTATAGGCAGCCCTATGGATCCATATGGTGGCCCTGCCTGCTAATCGTGAACTGTTAATCATTGGGCTAGCCGCCCGTTCTGTCCGTCATGACAACACAAGCGAGCTTTGCTGGCGGTCCTAACGGATTGCTACGGCGGGTCTACACTGCCTTACAAGGCCGTACACGGCCTTAGACAACGCCACAGGCACGATACACTCTCGTGCTGGAGCTCGCAACAGTGATATGTACTGGCCCATTCTTGGGTTCTTGGGCACCCACCAAGTCATCACGCCGGAATGTCTGCTGCACGCTTCAGACCGGTGTCCTATCCAGAGACTTAAGCAAATCCAGCTGCCTGCTTGCTGGTCGTCTGGCTGCTGCGGTCCCGCGGCGGGGTGACTGTGTGCCAAGCGCGATCCATCAGGTTTCTGGGCCATAACCGTGGTGGGGCTCGGCATCAATCGCCAACCATTCAAAGGATGACACTTCAAGCATTCTGAAGCAACAACGTGCAGCCAGCACATCGCTTTCTCTGGCTCTCTGACCAGCTATTGGTGTTTTTAAAAGAGCAATGAGAAAAAGAATTCAAAAAAAAAACAAGCCAGCATTCCCCCGGTATGTACCACAGCGTGGCAGTCCCCCCAGCCGAACCCAAGAACAGAACACGCAATCCCAGGCACCGAGTCAATGATCATCAGTTGACCATCATCAACCGCCATTTCGGGCGTCCGAGCTGGTTTACAGCCCGCTCCAATGGCTGTAAGGGAGCAACTTTCAATGCCTGTCTTATTCCTGTTTAACACGTCTCGTGACAGTTCAACTCCCAGCGATCGCTGCCTTCGAGCTTGAGGATTCAGCACGCTTCTCCCCTCGGACTTTTTTTGCGTAGATCCGTATCCAGTAGTGAATGGATGGATGCCTGGATGGCCTTCCAGCTTCACCGGTGCCTGCAATGCCACCGCACCTTGTCCTCGTGGAACACGAAGTAGCTGATGACTAGGCCATTAATGGGGACGATAGCTTCCGTCTGCCCTCTATCATACTGTCCTATCAACGTTGAGGCAGTTGGTCGCTACAACTGATCTATGAACAGCTCTCTCGTTACCGTCAGCAAATTTGTACACAAGCCACTCTGCTGTTGCACGTGGGGGAGCTTCAACCCCGTTCGCTGAACCTGAAGGGACCCCCATTCCCTCGACGAATAAACACAGGGGCAGATTCCATGCGACGCACAACTCCAAACATGACGCCAGACTTTCACCCTGAATCCAAAAAGAAACCATGCGCGATTAATTGAGAATGATTGTCCTCCACCTCCTAACAATCACGGAAGATCACACGTTCTCAATGCCCAATTGCAACTGGAATATTCCGCAAGCTGCCCAAAGCGACAGCAGGTCTACTACCTAGATACCTGCCTTCCCGATTCCCGTTCCGTGCAATAAAAAGAACACTCCGGGGTAAGTGCATCTCGACACGTGAAAGACCGTCCCAGCGGCGCTCGTTTCGGGTATCAGCCCGATGGCGGCGGTTCCAGGTTCCGCATCCGGGGAACCTGGATCGTGTCACAAATCGCGCCAGGACAGGTAATGAGTCGAAAGGGCGGTAAAATTGCCCATGGCTAAATGGTATACATAGTGGGAAAAATCGAAGATGTCAGATAAACAACCTCCCCCAGCATTCTGTCTACCTTGGGGGCCCGTGACCCTTGCACCGCCATCCAAAATCTTCAGATCTCCCCGGTGTAAGTCTCCCAGATGGGAAGTCTGCGTCCGTAGGGACGTTAGCTTGGAACAACACCTGCGACCGATCGTCCGGTTGTACTTAGGTAAGGTGGGAATCCTCTCACGGCATATGCAATTCTTTTGCAATTGTCCGACCCAACCCATCCCATTCCACTTTGCCTCGGAAGGGCAAGGGGAATGAAGTTGGACGGATGGAGGTTCTCGAGCGGGACGGGAGCATGGGAAACGGGAGAGTTGAGACCGAGCCGTGACGGGGTGCGCCAGAATACCCACCCATGAGAATTGCCATTTAAGCATGACCTGACAGGGCTATCTCTCGGAGTTCGCTGGCCGAATATCACTTCGCTGGTTCTTCCATCTTGGGAAACTTCCAGAACAAGAGCTTCACGTATCGACCTGCTTGCACAGGCCGATGTACATGCTTTTTAGCTGCGTAGTAGACGCATATCTTTTTACGTTAATTATCTTCAGACGTTGAAACAATTTCCCTTTTTCCACACAGTTTGAATTTTTCACCATAAACTTTTCTCGGTCTCCTTCGATTTGCCCTCTAGATCACCCTATGCAGCTGACACCGGCCTCTTAACTACAGAGGTGACTTAGAAGCAGCTTGTGCTCGGAAGATAGGCAGCGTGGGTGAACATGGGGGCTCAACGGCCCGCCGCGCAAGGCAAGAAACGTGGGCAGGCCCAACGGACCGGGTCGAGTGGCATCTTAGAGGCATATCCCGTGACATCAACAGGCACATAACAGAAACAAGAGAATATCAATGCGGATGTGCATCCTTCCCGTATGCTTTCTTCGTGGGGGGACGACAGGGGGGGGGGAAGCGCCAGAGAATCTGGGGTACATAAGTGCGGTTTTGCGGCTAGTCGAAAATGCCTCTGCAGCATGCTAATACCACTTGGACGAAGGGCAGAGGCATACACATGCCGGTGTTTTGTTGAAGCCCGGACGCGGGGTTGTTTTATCAAGTCCTAAGTGTATGTTCTGCTGTACGAGGGGACAATCTTGCTAATCATGTGCATTTCTCCAATTATCGACTGAGCTTTGTCGTCCTCCTCTCTTGCACGACCAACCAACCTCGTGACACAGGGCCACAATGGCATTGGCTAAAAGGGGGTAACGGGCAGCTCTTGATTCGCAGCCGTAACCTTCCGCAAAGCCGCGTTTGAATCAATTGGTTTCCCACGCAGGTCGGTCTCGCAAACCACAGCAAATGGGCGCTCAGTGGTCGATGCTGTTGTGTCCTCGTCAGCAAATGGCTGCAATGAACCTCCATGAGTCACAACTGCCAGCCAACAGAAAACATTGCTGAACAGTTGGACAGCTCTGCAATGGGAGTGGTGCGGCTTACTCTTCCCAAATGCGACCTTGTACCGACTTCAACTCCTCTTCAGTCATCCGGTGACCAGTCGTAAAGTAGCCTATGGGGAGGAGCAAGTAATGTCAGAGCAAGGTCGGAGTCCGACAAGCAAAAACAAGAGTGTCGTCAGTGGCTCGTTACATACCGGCATTGATTTTGGCATCAATCTCGACTCTTGAGTCGGCCGGGATCATGTGTTCAGGCAACTCAACCCGTTCGTAAATGGGAATGCTGCCGCAGAAAACCGACCATCAGTTTGACCCTCATATTTCGCAGAGTTCAAGTACTGATTTTTCTGGTTTGATACTCACCCTTGCCCAACAATGGCGTCGTGTTTCATGCTGAAGAACGCAAAAATCGATTAGTATCCTGTAAAAAGAGGCGAGATGAACGGTATTGGTATCCATCAGTGTAACTCACTTGCTCATACTGAGCATCCTGTCAATTTTTGTGATGCCCAGCCAATGTAGGATATCGGGCATCAAGGCCTGGAACCGCATATCCTTGACGCCGGCAATGTTCTCGGTTCTCTTGAAGTAGTCCGAGGCACGATCCTGGCCGCGTTTGCGGGCGTTGTACACAACTGCAGAATCTCAGTCAGACAAACCAGTGGGCCCTCAGAGAGGCAGGGACGGTGGCTTTATCTGTGAGTAGCACCTGAGGACTTCTACTTACGATACTACATCAAAGTCAATCTGTGATCGATAGCACACAAAAGGCGAATTGTGGGGAGTGAAACACATACCTTGGTCACTTCACCAAGAGCTCTACCCTCCTTCCGGAAGTAGATGACGACGCCGCTGCCGCCATTTTGTGCCTCCTTCACAGCCTCCTCGATACCGAAGATGAGATACGGTCGGCAGGTACAAATATCAGAGCAGAAGACGTCGCTGCCATTGCACTGAGGAACCCCAAGCGTCAATATTGCGGATCAATCTCACTCAAGATATGACAACATACCTCGTCATGAATGCGCAGTGCAAGCCTCTTCGAAGGATCGGAAACCCTAGCCGGGTCACCGAAGATGTACACCGTCAAGCCACCTCGTGCCAGTCAGATCTCAACTCCCGGAAGAGTTTTTCGTGGAAACTGAGGTTAACACTTACCAATAGGAGGCAGGAAAACCTTCATATCAGGGCGAGTGATCAACTAAAACGTTCGGTCAGTCTCACAAGTCCTGTCTTCGTCGATTAATTCTTCAAGTCCTGGTTGTACTGACCTCAGGATACATGCCGCCCGTGTACTCAAAAAGGGACCTCCGCAGCGTTCCTTCATCGATACCGAACCGCTCAGCAACTCCCGGCAGATACCAGACAGGCTCGACCGCGATCTTGGTGACATTGAGCTCGCCCTCGTTGTTGAGGCAGACTTTGCCGTCAGGAACCAAACGCCCGCTCTTGACGCTGTCCTCAAGTTCAGGCAGCTTCATGTGAGCCTTGGTGATGGCAATGGTCGGACGTAGGTCCACTGGAACACAACTTGTCAGAACGTTGCCAACACAAAACACAGAAACCACACATTGGGGTCAAACGGACCTCCTTCCTTCTCAATCTTATCTTTGAAAATCCAGGGGACTAAATGGCCCCAGGGGTCCATGGCTACGATCTTTTTTGGATCGCCCCATTGAGGAAAAGGACCGATATTTACAGCAGGTTCGGTGTTCGTGAAATCTGGCCTGTGATCGGCCTTGAGCTCCCTGCTGGCGAGGGCTAGAGCATAATAGATGGAATAAGAGCCAGCATGGGCACCAATAGCATTTCGCCTGCCGATCGTGGAAGGCGACCTGAGAACGGTGACAGGGCCACGCTCATGAGGGTCGGCAGCACCCCAGTTCAGCGGAATAGGGTTGATACCGATCTGCTTAGGATAAGTGGTAAGGACAACACGAGTTGAGAAGCCTGACTTGACCGATGATGGCGGCGGTGACTGGGTACCGGCCTCCGCGGGCATCACTGTTGACGAGGACGGCGTGAAGCCACCGGCAAGAGGGGTAGCGGCACGCTTCTCAACATCTGCGTTGGCCCTGGTGCCGTTTGGCTGCTGTTGCCGGTGGTTTTCTTCTTGGGCCTTCTCTAGCTTCTCAACACGCTGTGAAATAGCAGAAACAGCAGACAACACCTGGGCCGTCTGCTCGGAAATAGCCTTCAGGGCCTGCTTCACGTCGTCCAGATTTGATGACATTATTGCTGGCGCTGACTAGCAGTGTGGATGTGCTTGCTTGCTCTATGTCACTGACACAATGTAGCTGGAGGTCTGTATAGAAGTGGGGTGGTGGGATGGCACGATGGGAAGATGTCTATCAGACGGGAAGCACGTAGGGTTAAGTTGAAATGAGTATGATGGAATGGAAGATTCGAAACCCCAACCAGCGGTGTGTAGGCGCGTAGGCACGGAGAATGGGAATATATGACGTGGGCAGCTTGGGAAGCTTTGTAAGTGAAGGACAGCAGCAAGCAGGAGTAGCGACGTAATCACAAGGGGGAGCGGTGAGGGGCACTGGCGCTGAGCTGTTCTTGATTGTGGTTGTTGTCCAACGAATCAAAGCCAAAGGCTCTTTAATGTCGAAGGGTAGATCGGAGAGCCCGGGAAGTGATGGGCGTTTGGTGTTATAAAGATCAGAAAAGAGATCCCATCCCATCCTGAGGAAGAGAGAAGAGGACAGAGAGAAAGAGAAAGACGCAGAAACCATGGCCTTCTTCCTGGTCCTCAAGGGCCCCCCGGGTGGCCTGGATCCATGCGTTGGATGTCCGGAATGCGCCAACATCCGGTGCATGTTCCAGCCTTTCAGGTTCCGTCCCGCTGTCCCATCCCAAGAGCCCTAAGAAGCCCAAGTGAGACCCCGTGATAAGCCGTCGCTGCCATCCCAGACTCGTTTACGTTGTCGGGGGGAGCTGGGGGCGATTATTGGGCCCGTCTAGGTCAGCTACCTCTCGCCATCAGAAAGCCAGCATGCGTGCAGCCACCTCCATAACACCCAGGTCCATATTAGTTAAGCAACACCTACCGTGTGGAACGGACCGCCGGCGGGCAGCCAGAAACCCTGATGGAAAGTATCAGCAAGGTCAGCAGCCCTCTCAGCGACAGGTCAACGCCTTCCCAGGCAGGTGTGCTGGGTGTGCAGGTGATCTCTAGGCCAGGGTTGTGGCGTTCCAAGCTTTCCATTCCAAGCGCCTAAAACCCAACCCCCCTGCAGGGCCCGCCCCTCTGCTTCTCCACCGCCGACGCCAACAGCGGGGTACCGCAATCGGATCGGCTGCCGCACTGTGGATCTCGGATTCCCGCTTGCGCTGTCCTGCAGTGTGTGTGCCGGTGTGCGTGTGGTGAGTGTGCTGGTCCTCTAAGAGCTGCTCAAGACGTCGGTTTTCTGCGGCTGCTGACGCCCAGGCGTCAAAATCACCAAGAGACGGTGAAGAAGCGACGATCCGATTCTCTTAGGTTGTCTGCAGATTTAGCGACATGAAAGAAGACCGTTTGGTCTAAAACCATTGAAATAACACCTACCAAGAATCAGTACCGATATCAACGAGTCAACCATAAAATTACTTGCGGTCAGCAACTTGGCTGTCGTTGCCACTTAGGGGGCCTTCGTACATGGTTCGAACTTTCAGTGAGCATTGTCGGATTTCAGATCTATGAAATATAGCCCATTGTTTCTCACAAATCCTACAAAAATCTACTCTGTCTGATAGCAGATACATTACCAAGTCCCATCCGGAGTGAGCATATTAGACGCTTTATCACCGTATTCCCGTTCCCTGTTGTATATGATAAGACAATGGCCACATACTTTCTCAGAAGTGCCCTCTTCCACAACCCACCAAGTCAGGTTACTACTTTCACCAGATAGCAGCCTGATCGTAGTCAAACCTCGCCAACTCCCTATTGGCATCCTCCAGGTCCTTCTTGGCCTTCATGCGCATGTAGAAGATAGGACAGTCCTTGCTGCTACAGATAACCTCGCAGTGCATGCTGCCCTGGCAGCGCTGGCACTGCGTCCACAGCCGGCCGAACCGTACCTCAAGCTCTGAGACCTTGTCGAGCGTCCTCTTGTACAGCTCAGCCACGCGTGGCGCATCGTCCTTGCACACTGCACCGTTGCTCTCCTCCTTGCCCGTCAGCGGCTTCTTGCATGCCATGCATGTCTGCGTCTTCTTGGCAAATTTCATCAATCCACCAACAGTCGGTGCTGCCACAGAGATCGAGCGGGTGTGGTCGCCTGTAAGCAGGGACCTGGCCTTGGCCTCACCGAGGATGGGCTCGAAGATTCGTCCCAGCGGCTTGGCCAGCTGGTTATCGAGATAGTACTTAGTGTCAATGGGCACATTGTGCTCAAGCACATAGATTGGATCCTCAGAGCGCTCGAAGTTTTTGGAGCCCGTCGCGCCCTTGACCATGACGTAGGCCACGCGGTCACCAAGACTAGGCGCTGATCCAGGATCGCGCTTCTTCATGCGCTGCGCGAGCTCGACATGAGCCTGCTTTGCTGCGTAGTCTTCCTTGGTGAGAGCCTTGGTGATGACAAGCTTCGACATATCAATCTTGTTTTGGAGAAGGTCTGCAATCGTGCTCTTGACGTATCTGTAAATGATGGTCAGCATTCTTTTAAACCCAAGAACTCACAGAAAAGGGATACATACTCTTGAGCGCCTGGTACATCCTGGTCAATAAGAATCATACGCAGGACCTTGTCAATGACAGTTTGGACCAGGAGGCAGTTATCACGGCGGACCGTCTCGATACCCTTGGTGTCCACCTTGTCAAACTTTTCTGGCCTCGTCCAGTATAAGCCGGCATAGCGCTTTTTGTTGATAAGAAGATACGGGAAGTAGACCTTCTCGAATTCAAGCTTGATGGGCTTGATAAACTTGCTCGAGACATACTCCGAGGCATCTTGCCCGAGCTTCATGGCTTCCTTCAGGTCTCTGGTACCAAACTTAACCATGACGGAATCGGTATCACCGTAGATAACTTGGGCATCGTGGGAGTAGCCGTTGGCAATGCAATATCTCTTCTCCACCTCTTCCTTCGTTTTCATAATCATCTGACGACCAAAGGCGGTTGTGCTACTGGCGATTTCCAAGCAAGGGAGTTTGCCGTTGGTTGCACCCGTCAAGCCATACACCGAATTGGCGCTGATCTTCAAGGCCAGCTGCCGACCATTCAACACAGCCTTCTTGAAAGGATCTGTCTCTGCAGCCAGTTCTTTCTTCGCTTGTTTTCTGGCAGCTAGAAGTTCTTCAAGAATCTGGGCCAAAAGACCCTTGCGCTGCTTGGTAGTGACGAACATATCACCGTTGGGGGTAACAATGTAGTCCTCGTCCTTCTTCAAGTTCCACTTCTCAACATCTTTCTTCTTAATGAGTGTGGTGTAGCAGAGGTTGTGTGCCATGATAATACTGGGGTACAGAGAGGCAAAATCGAGGGTCGCAATAGGCACATCATAATAACCCCTGACGGGCTCGATAACAGTAGCACCCTCATACTGCTCCTCAGATGACTCTGACCTCAGATTGGGAATGACGAGCTTTTGTTCAAGGGCTTTGCGGAAGAGCTGGCTCAGGAACTTGACTTGCTGACCTCTGGCCAGGAGGAAGTTGAAGGGAACGCCGGTGACTCTTGCCATTTCAGTGTAATTTTCGAGACAAGAAAGCTTGTCCATAAGTCTCTGAGGGAGATAGGCATCTTTGAGACAGTAAAGGGCCAATCTGCGTCTTGACTCAGGAGTGCCTTCAAAAAGTTCCGTAATCATGGAGTGGTGGACATCTTCCTTCTGCTCCCCCAAGAAATGTTGGCAAACTGAGTTAAGGGTGTAACTCCGCAGGTGGTGATCACGTTGGATCAGCTGCAACAGATCGAGCTGGAGGCGTCCACTGATATTAGTTGCTTTGGTGTCGCGGTTGCCCATCTGTTTGCTTGAGAAGTTGGTGTCCCTGGCCACTGACTTAACGCCCTTGAGACGAGACCACTCTCTAAATTTCGGAACGTTGAGGTGCTCTGCTCGATCCAGAAGGTAGGGAAAGTCAAAGTTGGCAATGTTGTAACCAGTGATGACATCTGGGTCGACCCGGACAAGGAAGTTTTGCCATGCTGCGAGCATTTGCTCTTCCTTGTCGAACGAGAGGATCTGGGTGGCAACAATGGGACTTGTAGTGTCAAGGCAGAAGACGTTGCGCACAAAAGGCTTGTTCTCTCCATATGTAGTAACGATGTTCGCAATTTGGATCACGGCATCATGCTGTGGTTCAGGGAAGATGCCTTTACGACCAGCGCACTCGATATCGAAGGAAAGGATTCTTAACGGGGCCATCTTGGACCATTCGCCAACAGGCTTGTGAGCAATCATGTCGCGGTAGCTCATCTGGGCCTCGATCTGGCAATTTGACTGTTTTTCGTTGCCGGTCATGACAGTGTACTTGCCCGCAGGAGCCTCAACCCAGGCCATACCAGCAAGCTAGAAGCACAGTTAGCTGGTTGTCGAAGCAGTCGAGGGGCAGGGGAACGGAAAGCAAACTTACCGAAGTATCAACCATGAACCGAAGCAAATACTGGATATTGTCGTAAGTCATAATTGTTCCGTCAGAGCTTTTCCACATGCCCTTCCAGTTGGCCTCCCCCCTTTCGATCATTGTGCGGACCTTGTTGATGAACTTGGGGTCTGTCACAGTGATCTTAAGATAGGGGTTTTGGACATTCCCCTGAAAGCCATATATATTCTCGCGCATGGTCAATGTGACTGAGTGTATAACAGGTTGGGTCATGCCCATCTGTTTCTCAAGGTAGGCCTGGAACAGGGGGCAGTCGTCATGGGTGAACGACACTGGGGCCTGAACATAAAGATAGTGCTTAAAGTCCCTGACATGCAGAAGAACCGAATTCCCCTTGTCGGTCACACCAAATAGCTTGACAGTGGCCTGGCCGCCAGCGAGAGAGCCCTCCTCTGCCTCAATGGCCTGGAAGGTAAGGCTGTGCTTTTCAGGGTCCCAGTCCTTTGGAACGGGGGGACGGTCCCAGACTTGATCCTTCTCAGCATTGCTCTCCTTGAGGCCATTGATATCTTGGCTCATTCGCTCCAGCACCTCGGTCTCGAAGGTGCTCTTATGTTGGCTGGAAGCGAGTTTGCCCTTGATATTGGTCTGGGAGCTCGAGAAACGGGCAGTAGGTGAGGAGGATGGGATCTCATCGAGACGACGCTTCTTTGTTGTTGACGGAGGGTTTGAGGCAATGTTCTGGCGGGTGCTAGGGGCCTCACCAAAGACACGCTTCTGGGGAAGAGTCGCGGCGGGCATTCTGTCAAATTCTCAATGTCTTCACCTGATGTTTGCGGGTGAATGCAATGGACTCGGACTGCAGGTCAGTTGACCAAAAGTTAGATAGAGAAGATGGCCCTTCTTGATCAACTAGGGCATGGCGCAAAGGCAGAATATCGTATTTGTGCCTTTGAAAGAGCAATGTTGCTGATAGGAAGTCAGGTGCTGAGGGAAGGTTTGGGGGAGAAGTGGAACTTAGGAAAGTTGGACCCTTGTGATGGGATGAAAGCGCGATTGCCTGGACGCGCTCTTGGTGGTTATTACGTGACGGTCCCACCTCCGTGACGCGACCGTTAATTGATGGCTGCGCGGGGTACGTACCTTACCTGCTCGCGTTTTGCTGGCTGCTGGCACGCGACCTGGTCCACTCAAAACAGTGGCCTGCCAGACTGCTTTGCAAGCCATGATCAAGCGACCCCATCCTCTCTAATATCCTTCAGCGATAAATGTTGTGGTTTCTTCACTTCAGAATTGATCTGATGTCTAATCCATGTTCCACAGCTTTTCTTCTAAGCTCTTATGGATACTCGCTCAAGATCACCTTAGCTTTCTGAGACCCGAACCCTGGTTGCTGGGCTACCCCGCCAACCCTCTTGGCGAGTGTTGACAAACCTTCCAAGCCTGAACCTAACTTCGCCGACTTTCCTCCATCTCGACCTACAATTGCCAAGTTCATAACCCCTACGAATCAATATCTACATCGATCTCACCTCCTTCATTCGACAATGGTCGAGCGACAACTGCCATCATCGCGTGCCTTCGCCTCAGCTCTTCCCCGAACGCGCAGCGCGACGTCGGTCGCTTCAGCACCCTATGGCGTGCGTCGCAACCCGTTCCAGACTCAGCTGTCGCGCAGTCGAGCCATTTCGGCCAGTGCTAGAATGCGCTACGACTACGATGACGATGATAACGACGAGGAACAGGATGGATTTGATGATGAAGACGAGAGTCTAGACATTGACAGCGACGAAGACGACGAGTCATACGAACAGCAGCGCTACTGCTTTCACAATCGCCATCGCTTCCTCCACGGCTTCCGGTCGCATGCGGAGTTCGGCAAAGCACACAGCATCGAAAGGGCGTTCCCGCCTCACCACCAACACGACCTGGAAGTCAAACGCCCGTCTTCCGAGACCGACGACATTGTAGTACGCGATGAGCACGGCGAAATTGAGCTTGAAGACCCTCCTACCCCACCACCGCCGGAGATGGACGAGGCGTCGCGAGCCGCACTGGAGGCACGACATGAGAACGAATTAGAGCGACAGCGACTGGCTGAGGCAGTAAAACAGCACCAGTTGGACCAAAATAGCATGCTGGCGCAGGCTGAAGAAGGCAAGGATTACTACTCATTCCCTGACCCTTTTATGTCACACTCCTCCAACGGTAGCGACAGTGAGAGCACCGCTATTCTTATGTATGGCAAACGCCTCTATGCCGTCGCAAGTGGACGCAAGCGGTCTCACTCAGAAATATCATCTGCTCAGCCTTCTTTTCCTTCCCCTTTCTCGTCTTCTGCTTCTTCCGGTTGTGAGCCTCAAACTAAGACCAAGCCATATGCATCGACTACAGAGCTCCTCGAGGCGGTTAAGGCAAGCTTACGGCAAAAAGTTGCCGCGCTAGCAGAAGACAACTGGATGTTTGAGCGAGAGGAGTTACCACACCATCAATGACAAGCGAGCCTATAATCAAAAGCTTGCTGCTTGCTCCTTCCACGTAATATTCATGGAATACTAATCGAGTCAACGATTTCCATCGGATCGACCTCCCTGGCCATCAATCCTCTGACCATCCTCTCGAGGATACCCAGTCTCGGGTATTAATCCAACCCCTCAGCAGCCGGAGTGTCTATGCGACGCAGAGCAGCCTTACTGGGTGCTCCTCCACCACCGCCGAACAGACTACCCATCATGTCCAGCAAGGGGTTACTTTGTCTTGGGCGCTGGATGCCGAAGTACATCTCGGCGATCAGCTCGAGTGCGGTATCCCAGATGCCGTTAAGCTCGTTCAGATTAGCCTCATACTTGCTCTTGAGCTGGCGGAAGAGGTCAGGCGAGCCCTTTTGTACGGAAAGAAGGAGCATGCTGATAAAGTTAAGAAGTGGTAAGCTGGGGAAGATACGGAGCTCTGCGCTCTGGGACCCGATATTCTGGACCGTCAGGCCTTTGTTGTCCTCAACAAGGGCACTGGTGAAGATGCGATAGGCGGTATTGGCGGCGCGCACGTTTGCGACGAGGAGATACGGCAGCACGGCGCGGGCGCAGTAAAGCGGGGCTGTATGCGACTCGTCCTGCTTGTACCACTCGTACTCCATGCGGGCGAGCACCTCGGGCGATTCTTTAGTGCCCAGCACCAGGTGTTTCTCAGCGGCCTCGAACTCGCCTTCCTCGACGTAGAGCGTTCCGACAACGTGATGCAACTCGGGGTCACCGGCGGGGTAGTCGCCAAACTTCTTGGACCAACTGCGCGCAATCCGTCAGCCTAGAATCCACATCACCACAAGCATACTCGTCTCCGAATCCTTCCTAGGTAGCGATAGTGACGAATCATAAATAATAAATAAATAGAAACTTACTCAATCATCTCCTTCACAAACCGCTTCCTCACCGGTTCCCCAGGCTGAAACAACCGTAGACAACCCAGTAATTTGCCCCTCGACGCGCCATCGACCCTCTGGCCGGCTTGGCGGAACGTGTCGACCAGCAGCACCGCCAGGTCGCCGCCGCTGCCTCCTTGGCCGGAGCGCAGCAGCGTCTGCGAGACGCTGGCCAGGATGTCAACGGCCGCGGCCCAGTTGCCCTGCTTCGAGTACCGCGCGGCCACTAGCCGCGTCTCCTGTGCCGCCTCATACTGCTCCTCCGGCTGGCCCTCGGCAATGCGCCGCTGCAGGCGGGCTATGATGCGCTCTATTTTGTTGGACATTTGTGTAGTTGTGTGCTGGCACGGGTACTGTATGATAGTGGGATTTGCTAGACGCGGATGTGGGGTGAGAGGGATGAGGGGCTGGGATAATTACTGGGCTGAACCAGCGCTTCAGCTCGAGCTACTGTCCTCCTGTTTATGGAGAGAGAGGAACGGAGAAATTGAAGTACAAGACTATAATTAGGTAGGCACTTTGCTGCGATATTGTTGCTGTCTTGGCTCGGATCGGGGGGAAGCTTCGGGTTCTTCAGCCAGTTCGACAGAGCGATTCCTGATGGAGGGATATCGAATGATGCTGCCTTCGGTCCTCAAGAGCTCCTTGTTGGCTGAGGTTAGCTCGGCTGGATGGAGCTTGCAGGCGGCGAAGAGCAAAAGCTTATCGGTCTGGTTCCTGGAGCTTTGCTGCTCACGAAGTCAGGCTGGAGTGTCGATTGGTGATGCGGTGGTGGTTAACGGAAGGTTCCACAACAAGCTCACAGAGGCGGCCGGGTCTTGCTTGCCCGCAGCCCACCTGCTTGGTCCCTTGTGGTGGGGCACTGGCTTGGCGGGGTAATTTGTAAGCTGAAAATCACGTGATAAGGTCACAGAACGGAGGGAAGCACCAGGGCGTTGTTGACAAAAGATGGGAAGCCACAAACAATGCCTGAAGTGCATTGAATTGGATCCTATACTTCTCAGTCAGTCCTTCGGCTGTAGACAAAGTCTATGTCATTGTCGGACACAGTCAATCATCAGTATCCCTGTTAGTGTTGGTAGATTTGCTCTTTTCCATTGTGTCAACAAAGCGAGTAAGACAGCAAATCTGTGCTGCCATTCCCCAAGATAGAATGAGATCACACAATCATTGTTCAAGTCATGTTAGGTACCCGTTCTTGGGCCATTTGCATAAAAAATCTATATGGTAGGTACCTACCTAGGCTACCTACCTTACTGGTAGGAACCTAGATTGTGATGCCACGTTCAATCAGTCACTTGCCAGCTCCATACCATATCAAACCAGGCCTTGGCCCTGCCTTGGCCTGATCAGTGAAGCTCCGAGTCCAAGTTCTGAAACCTACAAGAACCACGCATAGTCTACACCAACCCATCATCTATACAAAATGAAGGTAATGGGCTTCATTCTTAGGTATATCCTATCTGGGTTGGGCCTTGAGACACCTCGAAGTGTCACCCAATGAGTGATGCTCTCTAGTGCAATGTGTGTCATAGGTTTCATGCTTCTGCCACGATGCCTTTATGGTCCCCTTTTGGTTATCAAAAGGACTCCCCATTGATCACAAGCCACTGAATAACTTATCACAAGTGAAAAGCTGACAATTGCTCTGCAAGTAATGATCACAGCATGAACTACTGCGGACTATCGATTACTGTGCCTATGTTCATGTCCAACCACAGCTTGCTTGCTATCCTCCTGAGGTTCCCTAGAGGGCAACTGGTACCGCCGATTCCATGCGTCGCTGACCCATTGGGTCAGGAAAGCAGTTGCCCAGGCAATGGCCAAGAATGCAATACATATTTTGTACCAACTTCCGCCGATGGGGTTCCGGGCGACTGGTTTGTTTCTCGCCTACTAAGAATCAAACCTGACCTGCTCCGGGGCTACAGGCGGAGTCTGGTTATGTTCGGCCTTTTGTTCATCAGTCGTATTGTCGGTATCACAAGGATCAGTACGGCCATTGACAGCATCACTTTCCTTTGTTACCCCATCCACGCTTCTATCAACTGCTGTTTTCCTGGGGCTGCTCTCATCCAGTGCTGTCGATACTTTGGGCGGGCTGCTAGCCAAAGACACCTGCGCAAGGCCATCCAAACCTGGGTCAAGCGCTGGTGGGTGTGGCGGCGGCGGCGGAGGGGGGAACGGTGGCGGCGGGGCAGAATGTCCAGGGGGAGGAGGGAATGACGCATATCCCATGCCCTGCATCTCGACATCGCCACCGCTGATGCTATCATACGGCGGAGGAGGAGGAAGGTTGGAACAATCTCCTGACAGGGAGTGAGGAAGAGCATGTGGACTCAAAGGATCTTGGACGAGGGTTGTAGACTCGTCGTCTTCAAGGTCAATGAGGTTGATCGAAGAAGATCGGGGCTGGTAGGCGGCGAAATCACCGGTACTGAAGACCGAGCCGCGATTGAACACTGGGGCATCGTGCATCTCATTGTCCGAATCCCCCATCGATGCACGATTAGAAGCCATCGAGTCCATACTATTGGACCTCTGCAGGCGTTTCGACTGCGAATTGAGCGCCGGCATGGCACTCCGCTTCTTATCCATAGAATGGCTCGACTGCGCAAGTTCCTGCTTAAAGAGATGATTGTCAAAGCGAACAAAAGTTTTAAGGGCATCTGGCAAAGGAAGGGGCTCTTGCTCCAGGGCTTTTTCTGTGGCGTAGATGAGCATGGGTGCAGGCTTGCTCCCACAGCCTTCCCGTTTGACAACTTCCCACGAGACTTGCTGCAGCGAATAGTCAGCATTTATATCTGATATGTAATTACGTTCCTCCCAGAACCATTTCTTACATTGTGCTCAACACCTTCTTCAGCATTGTAAGACACCTTCCACCAACGGTCCATAGTGAATGCGGCAGCCTCGTCGTCAAGCAAGTCATCTGGCTGAAGAGGCTCCCGAATCCTGATAAACACTGTATTCGGGTCGCTGATTACTCCGCGAAGACTGTACTTGTGAGTAGGGTTCCAGTTGTGGTCAGGTTCCGGTTCGGTCATGGACGACTGCATGCGACGCAGCAAAGCCTGAAGCTTTTGTTTCTGGGGGACGACGCGTTCTGGGCATGATATTAGTGACAATCTCTGGATGCATTGGTGTCGAGTTGACCTACCGTTCAGAGAACTCTCAATATTGGCCAGCTCTACCTCAAATTCAGTAATCTTGCTCTTGTAGTATGCCACCACCTTGGCTTCTTCTTCGGTGAATTGGGGCTCTCCTGAATGGTCTGGGAGGTAGTACTCCTCTTTTCTAGTGGAGGACCCCTCCTCATGCTGCCTCCAAAACGCTTTGTTCTTGATCTTCGTTATCCTCTCCTGACAGCGGCGAACAGCGGCTTTAAGGATCGCCCTACGATCGTAGGCCCTGTTCGTCTTAGGATTGATCCACCGCACCAGCGACTCCTCCTCTTGGAAGTACGCATCGAGCAGTTTGAGCACCGTCATCATGTCCAACTGCAGTCTTTGGAACTGGGTGCCGTTGTACTTCAAATACCGGTCGAGATAAAAGGTGTCGGGAATCTCCAGTTGTGAGGGGAAAGACTCATCACCTGTGAAGCGTAGTGTCAAGACTTCTGATGGGTTCAGGATCCAGGCCATTCGACCTGTGGATGGGTCGTCCATGTGGTACCGCAAGTTCACCATAAAAATATAGTCGAACACTTCATATAAGGACCTGGGGGCCACCGGGTTGATGGGTGAGCCCAATTGAAGGTCCAAGATGCCGAAGAATTCATTCGTCTGGGGAACCAGATTATCGAAGCTAACAACCTCTGCTGATGCAACTAGCACTTCCAGATCCTTGCCAGTGCCTTGGGCGTTGTGAGCGACCATGACACTCTTGATGAAGTCCTTTTCGACATCGCCCGTCTCATCCACATCAGGATGCTTCGCCTTCGCCAGCATGTCGGCTGTCCCATAACTTCTGTCAGTAGAATCCATGAATGCCAAAATCCTTAAAAGCTCGTCTACCCAATTAGGGGATGGCTCTGCGCCCCAACCATTCGAGTCGGGGGCCATGCCGGGTGGAAAGATGGTCTCGCCTTTCCACCAATCACTCTTGTTCCCCAAACCATACCCAGGAGGGCCGCCACAGCGGAGTAGAAGGTTTCGGGCAGCAGGTATTTGGTTGTAAACCATGAGCATGGCACCGAGACGGTGCTTGTTCCAACCTTCATCTCGGCAACGGAGCAGGACAGGTGCCCCAGGTTTTCTGACACGCAATGCGGGATCCGGATCGGGCCCGTAGGTCTTTACCCGCACCATGGCCCATTCATCCGGATCGTAGTCTGGACGGTTTGCAGGACCAAAGTAGACGGGATTGTCATTGTTGGATGTGATGCCAGACTGCTGGGAATGAGGGGCTGGAGGGGGAGGGAATGCCATCATATGCGGAGTGGGCATGCCCGAGGTCTGTAAGGACTCGTTGATAGCCCTTTGTAAGTGGTCCTCTTCCTCCTGTCGACTGGTTGGGGCATCTGTGGTATAGTCGCCGGCTGTAAGGTCGACAACACGGCTCATGGGCGACCTGTTATTCGCCCGCGATGGGGGGCGTGAAGGGGCATAATAACCGCCTGGTTCGGTCCCGTATATCACATCATTATCTGGCGGATGTATGACAAAAGCTGCAAAAGAAGCCCGAGACAAGGTCAGAACCAGGACACACAACAAGCAGATCAACTTTGACAAGAGGAACACCTACAAGGACCTCCGGAGCCTGCTGGTCGATCGCCCTCGCGATTAGAGGCAAAGGCGCTTTCATCCCAGGCATACTTGCGCCTGAACTGCAGGAGGGAGTCAGCGCGCACAAGAGGAGAAATCAGGAAGGGTCTTGCTGACCTTGTCGGAGTCGTCAAACCACTCGATGATGACAGTTTCAACATTACCGTGGTTGGCTCTCAGCGCATTTGCAATCAAGCTTTTATCAATGTGCCCGATCACCTCCACAACCATGTCGATAGAGGCCTGGTCGACGGCGGCCATGTTGGCACGTCCTCTGCCGGCGCTCGCAGCACACCCGGTGTCACGACCGCTCTATTTAAGCGAGGCTATCGAGGCTTTGAGGCAGAGCTTGGGAAACTTGACCGACCGGTTCAAAGGTCCGGATGTAAACGCTAGACAAGTGGACAGGTCGCCCTGAATTAGCAGCGCCAGAATTAGGGAGCGCAACAAGCGTGAGTATAAGATGTTTGGGGTAACAGCAAATGTAGCTGCGCTCAGGTCGGCAAGTCCAGGTCGATGGTTGAGGTGGGGGATGGGAACGGGGCATCAAAGTAACAGAGCCCCAGTGTGTCGGTACTCTGCGGTCTCCGTACCCTGGTGTATCGCAGGAGACTGAAGTCTTGGCTTTTACAAGGTCCTTCTGGTCGAAGTGTTTGAAGTAAACACCGTTGGGAACTAGAAAGTTAAAGATGATAGTAAAGGCTGGTAGTGATACAGGCAGTCAGGCTTCCTGAAATAACATTCCCCAGAAAGTGCTTGATCTCGGCGGGCGTTTGTTCCGAGTTTGTGGCTCTAAGCTCCAAATATTTTTCCATTCTTTTGTTGCCAGGAGCCAACTGACAGCATCTCTGGGGAGGTACCTGCAGGTACTGTTTGGACCCCCTGGCTGCCACGGGAAGGCAGAGTCTTGGCACTGCATATCAGCCTTGGGCAACATGTGCACGGACCACATGGCAGCTACCCCGCGGCATGCATGTACCATTGTACAAACCCCGCCATAGCAGAAGCATTTTCATCCAAAATTGTAATCAATTCGAGCCTCGTAGGCCCAGTAGCATGGTATATAGACTCACTCTGGTGATTGTGATATATGTGTATTTTATGGTGCTGCTCTGAACAAATATGTAGCAATCAAGATAACATCTATGACTTTAATCGTTGAGCGTGTGATCTACCCAGACGTTATGTGTGTGGAGGAAAATGACCTTCCACACTTCAACGCTGAAAGCCACCTTAAGCTTTTCACGCAGGAGCAGAGTGTTAAAAGTGGAATTCAAGTCTGGTTAACGGCGAATTTCTCATGATTCAGTAACCTATGAAGTGGTATGACCTGCTACCTAACCGGATTCCCATGCCAACCACCCCACCTACCAGATACGCCACCTCCTGAAACCAGATCTGTCCGTCTACTGTAGGCTTTATCAGATCCCCTAGTGCGGCGTGAGCCCATGCAAGTACAGCCAAATCAAATGCCCCATATTTTTCAGATATTGCAGACCATAGAACGCCCGCACTCCACAGTGTGAACTCTCCCAGCGCTATGCATTAGAGGGAGAACAAAAGTAAAAGCAAATAACCGAAAACAAACAAGGAAAACAAGTGAGCAAGAGAGGGAAGAGCAGGTAGGAACCAGAGTCTAACTGAGTGTGTCGGGGTGCAGATGCTGTAGTGAGGGCAAAGAGTGCAACCTGGCATATCTCAGTTAGAGCCTTCCTGATAATCAGATTCAATGCCCTCCCCATCCTCATCGGACCCGTCAGCCTGTCCGTCACCGCCGTCGCCGTCATAGTCTTCCATGTCCTGGTCCTCGTCACTATCGCTGCCACCGAAGTCGAAGTCCTCATCGCTCTCAGCCCAGAAATCGTCGTCTGTTTCAGGCTTCGGAGGAGGGGCGGAATCGAAAGTTTTGGGAACCTCAAAGCCCTCTGGGATATCCTTCTGGGAGCGTTCGACAATCTCGCGTGCCCTCTGATTGTATTCATCGCGACGGTCGCGGTAGATGACACCGGCATCAACATTTGCGGGAGAGTTAATTTCGGGGTCATCAAGCAGGAGGAGGACAGAACGCAGTACGCTCTCAGCACCCTGCAGCGGCGACCAGCGCTCGCTTGCCTCTTCGCCAGACATGATGTCCTCTCCGGGCTTGTGCAGAATCGAGATACAAAGCTGGCCGTCCGGGTAGACGTTGGGGTGGAAGATAGGGATCAGGAAACGGAACTTTGGCGGTTGGTACGGGTAGTCCTCGGGGAAAGTCATCTCGGCCCGGAAGTAACCGCCATTAAACACACTGTCCGAGTTGATGACCATCAGCGCGAAGCGCCACTTGAAGATGTTACTCGTATCCTCCTGTCAAGGAAAAGCCGTCAGCATCTCAGCATCCATGGCTATTCCTTTTCAGCTTGCGCGGAAAAATATACCTCTTCAAAGTTGATCCACTTTTCTTTTCGCAAAGCCTTCATCTCACTCATCAGACGCTGCGCCGCGCCCGACGCGCCTGCCCCACGGCCTGCCATTGTCGTAGTAGTAGTAGTAGTAGTAGTAGTAGTAGTAGGAGGAGGAGGAGGAGGAGGAGGAGGAGGAGGAGGAGGAGGAGGAGGAGGAGGAGGAGGAGGAGGAGGAGGAGGAGGAGGAGGAGTGGTGGTGATGGTGGTGGTGGTATCTGGAGTCGGCTGTCGGTCTTGGGCTTTGGTGTTCCGACTTTGCAGAACGTTGAGGCGGGTCGCCGGCTGCTTGCTGCCTTGTCACACGAGATCGATGTTGACTCTGATTCGGAAGGTTAAAGAGGCTCGTACAGAACCTAAAAAGAGGGAAATCCAGAAGAAAAAGCGAGTTGCTTTACGTCGAACGTTGGTTCGGGGCGTTCGACAGGTGGAGAAGTGGCCTGCAAGAGTGATGCGGAGGAGAGCCGATTGTGAGTTTGTCAGGTATTAGCGAGCGGCGTGGGCTAATGACTACTCAACGGCGGCCAAAGCGGTCAGCAGGCGCTAGTTATCTTATGAGAATTAGCAGAGAAAACAATGGCACAGAAGGGAAGGCAGCTACAAAAAGAGGGAAAGAAAAGAATAAAATTGAACATCGGCGCCGAAACCGCCCTATTATACGCCGGGGTATGGAACATGGAAGGAATGGGCTGCCGTGCTTTGCTTGTGACCAAACCTCAGGCAATGACGGTGAAGCGCCCATCAGTCACCTCACCCTGGTCATGCAGCCACTGCTGTCGCTTCCTTGCGCTGGCGAGCCTGAAGCCAAAACATCCGCTGGCCATGTGGGAGTGGGTCCGAAAGTCGGACCGGCACGCGATTGGCTGCACGCCGGCACACAGTCAAAGGGGAGACAGGTTCACCCCTAACCCTGAGATGTTGTACCTGCCAGCGGCCTGGGCATCAAGTCTCCAGAATTTGTCCTTTCCTTGCTCATAAAGTGATATCCTGAATAATCACTCTGGACGGAATCCCATAGCGTTCCTATCCTCAAGGCCTTGATTCATCTCATCGTGGTTGGATCATAATACCTAGACTTGATCCAGATCACCATGACAGTATCTTTTTTTTGTAACGAATGGCAAGCACGAAGCGGCCTCGCCGAAAGCTCGAACACACAGTTTTCACAAGAGTGGCAAATCCAACGAAAAGCGAAATCCTCTTCTGACCCTGTTGTTCTCTCTTGTCATAGTCAAATCTTGTGTTATGTATTTGTTTGTCAGCCGAAGACTTCTCACATATGCATCTGGAACTCAAGTTCTCGAATATTACAAAGTAGGAAGGTTTCCGATGCAAGCACAAGTATTAGTTTTCAACAACAGTATTACCGATATCTAAAATCCATCGGCATCTTCGGGTATCAACAATCCTCAGTCATGCCTATTTTTTCAAGGGAAATTCCCATTCATCATCCTGCTCAAGCCAAAGCCAAACCAACATGAGCCTAGCCTCACGATACATTAGTACGAATAAACAACACCGCAAACAGGACAACAATTAGTCCGTAAATGTTCCAGAAGGAACTCAAACATGGCATCCCCTTTACACAGAGGAGAGTCTCCTTCCACCCTTTGAGCCACGCCTGTAGCGATGGAGCTCTGGCGACTTCGGCGGCTTGTCACCTCCCTCTTGGGCCTCCTAACCACCCAGATCGTAGTAGATGCACTTGCCCGTCCGGAAGTTGTAAACAAACGCATGGCCGGGTCCTTTCTTCTCTTCAAATTCCCATCTCCATTTGGTCAACATGTCGTGGATATCACGAACATAGTTTTTCTCTGCGGTCCCAACGCTCTGCTCGACCTTACGCCAGCTCTCAGAGTCTGATAAAGAAGTGTTCTTGATCATATCGACAACCGTGTCTGATGTCTCGATGGCAGCAATAGGACCCTCGAGGAAACCCTGTACCAACCGGGCAGCGCTAGCTTGGGCCTGCTCCACGACTGCACGCCGGTTGAACTTCTTTGATTTGGTCTGAGCAACCAGCACATGCACATCCTGCTGCTGTTCATACCCGCCAGCACCTCCGCCGCCCAGGCCGGCACTGGCACCTGGCATCACACCGGATAGCTCGGACTGTGGGATCAGACCGGCGCGGATCTTGAGTCCCGAGCGGGATTCACGCTCCCGGATTTCGGCTTTCAGCCATGCAAGGAGATCTTTGGCCTGGATATCAGCATCTGGAACGTCCTTGCGATGCATAGTCTTGATCTTCAGCTGGCTCTCCTGTTTGATGATTACAATCCAGCTGTACGATTCGTCACGGTAAGTCGTAAGCAGGTCTTCGGGAGATCGGGCATCTCGGGCAAGCTCAGCGCTGATACCGTGAGCCCAAAGCATCTGAAGAAGCTCAATGCCCGAAGACCGAAGAATTGAAGGGTCAAAGCTAGCAACGAGAACGTCACACTATGTGCAGAGTTAGTATGCAACCCGTATTGATATCATGAAAACAGGTAGCATGGGGAGACAAACCCGTTTGGCACTGAAGATGCCCTGGGCTTCCTCCTCTGCCGCTTTCTTGAGAAATGCTTTTCCAGTTGTCTTGGGGACTGGTTTGGCCAGCTGCTTCTCCCAGTTGAGACTAAAGCCAACCGCATGACGTTCCTCGAACCGGCTGCCAATCCGGGGTCGATGTGCTTTGATCAACCCATCGTATCTGCCACCGGCTGCGAAAACATCCATGACCTTCCTGTCATAGAGACAGGAAAAAAGAATTCCACCACGGAAAAAGGCCTCGTTGATGCTGCTCAGGGGTGCGATGTATATCTTGGTGTTGACCTTGAACTTCTTGCTGTATTCGTACACCTCCTTCAAGTGGGCCAACGTGGAGGAGACCTTGTCGTAGTACTCTGTCCCCTCGAACAGGTTCCTAATCTTTGTGAAGGCTTTAGTAGGGGTGTCTGTCAAAGGCGTCAGCAAACTAACGGAATGATGTGAACGGCTAGCGATGAAGACTTACCTCTCCAATCAAACCTCTGAAGTTCATCAACACTGGTAGCTGAGATACCGACGAGGGGAGACCTCAGTTCGCTCCGGACCTTCTGCCAGGTGAAATTGCGGATATTCAACTTGCTGAGGACTTCAGCAGCTGCCTGCCTTGCACCGTGCTCAACATTGCAGAAGTCAAAGATTAGCTGCAGCAAATCTGAATGGCCCAACTGAAAGCACATTGGAGTAGAGCTTGTTGTAGGGAATGCCGCAATAATCTCGTCCAAGACCTTAATTACCTCGGCCTCCTTCATGGCAAGGTCCATAGCATCAGTAGTCACAATATCGAAGTCCACTTCGCCATAGACATCCGGCTGGCCTCCATCTTGGCGATCGCGGAAGATGTTACCAAACGAATAAGCACGCTGAGGCACGGGGCCGCTAGCAATTCTGGCGAGAGACCGTGCATGGCCCATGACCAAATCGAACGGAAGCTGTAACACCGTTCCATTACGGTCGAGGAGATGGACAGCGTTTGGTCCATAATGAGATGACTTAGGATAGAGCGTCGCAGTTGGCGCCTCAACAGCACCATGGCGCCTGAAAATGGTGATCAGAGTATCCTTGACAATGAACCGACGCATGAGATCATCTGGAGTTGGGAGCGTAGACCCCATGTCCCAGGCATAGTCTTTAGCTGGTTCAACTTGGCGAGCGAAAAGGCTACCGAGCACCTTCTCAAAATATGGAGAATTGGGATCAGTCATGCTGGCGACAGCACGCCGGACTGCTTCGCTCTCCATCTGGACGGGCATCTTTCCGCTCCTGAGTAGCTCAGCGCTGGAAGGACGCTCCTTGGGGTTGTGGTTCAGGAGAGACAACAAAATCTCGGTTTGGTTCTTGTCGCCCGGCTTAAAATCGGACGGGAGAACAGGAGGGTTCCGACGGAGTTGCTCGAGTGTAACAGCTCGGTGCATGCCGACCATAGGGGGATACGACATCTCGAAGAAGATGACACCCAAGGAATACATCTGGCAGAAGTTAGACACCAAAGCTCAGCATAATCGAAAGAGAGATCACTCACATCGACCTTGGCAGTGTACGAACCGCTTCCTCCAGTCCTCACTTCAGGGGCAACATATACCGCGGTACCAACGCTCCGTGTCATGTCACCCGAGTCCACGTTAGCCACCGGCTTATCGATCACCAGCTGACTGCTAGTCGCCAGACCGAAGTCGCCAATCTTCACGTTCTCTACGCCGTCGACATCGGCAGTTATGAAAATATTTTCTGGCTTCAGATCTCGGTGGACGATGTTCAAGCTATGAATATGGGCCAAGCCTTCAAGGATTTGGCGGAACAGACGCCAGATCTCCTGGGTCTCTTTATACAGGTTTCTCGCAATCAAGTCCCGAAGAGTCTGGAACGTCAGTGTCAAAAAAATTGATGGCAACAAGAAACAAGAGAGTGAAACTTACCCGCTTCTCGCAATACTCCATGGAAATGTACATGATGGTCTTGAAAGGACGTGTGTTTTGCCTGCGGAGGCGGGGCACAACCAGTTGATTCTTCCTAACACTGCTCAGACTTGAGTTGTCTTCATCAGATGACTCATCGTCATCATCATCATCGTCGTCTTCCTCAGAACTCTCGTCCTCGTCCGTGTCGTCTTCAATAGCTGACTCATCGTCAAACAACTCAAGGTCGGGGTGTCCACTGGAAGACATGAAGTCCAAACCCCTGCTCTTGCTCTCGCCAAATTCGATATTGATGTTCCGAGATACCGTAGAGGTTGATAACTCCGCAGTGGTTTCCCCTTCGTCAGTCAAAGAATCGAAATCCTCGCCGTCAGAGAGGTCAGGGACATCTTCAAGCCACACATTGAAATACCGAACCACAGATGGGTGGTTCATTTGAGAAAGCAGCCTGACTTCCTTGATCATCTCCGAGAGTGTTTCTTTCGAGCGCTGCGTAATCTTTTTGATGGCATACAGGCGGCCATCAATCATCTTACGAGCCCTGACGACCTCACCGAAGCCACCTTTACCGAGCCTTGCCTCTTCGACGTAATCTTGCAAGTACCTCGAAGTGACGGCGCTGCTGCGGTTGATGGATTCGCGGCGACGATGCCTCTTAGGCAATGACGACGGAAGAGATATCACAGAGCCACTGGAAACGGCAGACTCGTCTTCCTCCAACACCGGCGCGTTGGTCGCCAGAAACTCACTCGAACAGAGCTCAAAAGCCCGTGGCCGCTTCTTAGGATCGGACTTGAAGAACTTGGAAACTAACTCTTCCAAAGACCTTGAGAGGGACAGCGAGTCCATCAAGGCAGAGGGAGAGGAGTACTTTGTCAGAACATCTAAGCCGAAAAGCATCTGTAAGAAGACGATCCCAAAGTCCCAAACATCCGCCTTTTGCGTGTATTGAGGCTTTGACACGCCGGCAATTTCGGGCGGGAGCCAGTAAGCGGACCTGGCCGCCCGCAGGCTGGTAAGAATGGCAACTTTAGTAGAAATATTCCGTAACTCGCGCTGATAGCCGGCATCGGCAAGGCGAGGAACAATGTCTCCAGCTGGCTCACGGCAGATCAGAATATTTCCGGGGTGGATATCTTGGTGAACGATGCCATGGTTGTGCAAAAAAGCGAGGGCATCAAGAAGATCTGTTGTCCAGATCCTGACTTTGTTGACGTCAAGATGGCCCGCCAAGTCCAACAGTTCTTCTAATGGCCCCTTATCACAAAGAGGTGTGAGAAGACTGATGGTCCAGACAGATGGAAAGGACGAATCCGTTTCGCTGATGGAACGGTCGATCCTAAAGTCCATAAGTTCCAGCAGATTACGGTGACGCAATTTCTTCAGCTCCTCCAACTGAACCTCGAGTGCTTGGAGTTGCTTCTTGAATTGCGCAGAGTCCTTGCTGTGGCATTTCAGATCGACCTGCTTAAGTATGAGGGCTGGACGTACTGTCCTCGCACTCAAAACAGGCTTCACCTTGTAGACAGTCGTGACAGGGCCCTCACGGTAGACTGATTTCCCGATAACTGTCCGGAAGTATAAGGGATTGCCGAACTCATCGGTGAGCTTACACGGCTGATCCAGAACGAGAGCGATGTCAGTCTCGGCCGGGTCTTCGGCAACGCGATCTGGAGACATGTGCTGACTTCTGTTCTTCTTCCTTGATTCCTTGGCCTTAGTTCGCTGACGCTTGAGCTCTTCTTGGACCATATCGCCGAGCATTCTCTCCTCCTCTTGGGTTTCCATCAATTTCCTACGCTCTTCTTGCTCCTTCTCAGCTTGCGCTTGTTTTGCCAGTGCAGCTTCGTGGGCAGCTCGCTCTTCTTCCAGGGATGGAAGCTCCAAGCCCTGGGCCTTTTTCATGGCAGCTTCATCGAGAATTTCACGGATGCCTTCGACTAGCCCATCAATCATCACCTCTTCCAAGCTCGCCATGGCCTTTGGCTGCGTCTCAAGAAACTTCTGGATCTTGAACCTAGTTGACTCACGGAGGTGGCCGTCATTCTTGACAGTCAGGAGAGGGGGTGACTTGGGATACGTAGCAACTAGGACAACACCAAGAGTAACTGAGAAGTCGCCATCTATGTGAGACTTGATTTTGATATCAAAAGATGGTTCCGACTTCTGAGAAAATGATTAGACATTGCAACTGAGAAGGATGGTTGCGATGTACATGGATGTGGGTTTCCAACTTGCCTGCCATGCTGTGTGCGCAGCAGTGTGCTCAACAAAGTCTTCGCCGTAGATGGCCCGTAAAGCAATCAACTCGTTGTCCTGAAGCTCCTTGTAGCGGGTTGCCGGATTAGTTGCGGGCGTCGGTGTTCCCGGGGTTTTAGGCTCTGGATTGGCGGTGTTTGCTAGTTTGTTTTTATGTTTTTTCTGTTTCTTCCCGGCCATCTTGTGCGATGAAGAGAAACTGTTGCTGTGATTCAACAGCAAACGAACCAGCCGATCCTGAGATGAATGAGTGAACGAGCTGCACTACGCGAACCGAAGCAAGAAGGTTAGAAGAGGTCAAGAAAAAAAGTCGGTGATGAAAGAAAGTCGATCAGGAATGAGAATAAATCACGACCATGCTATTGAGTAAATGGCTGTGGAAGTGTATCGAGGTTGCACCCATGGGAGGCTGGATCGCTAATGAGTGGCCACGCAGATTTCAGGATTCAGAGCGAGAGTGAAACAGTAGAGGGTGGTGGTCGAGTTTTTGTGCTGTGTGTGGCCCAGGGACTCGAGTGCAGTTGGCAGGGCTGGCTATTGGGATGGTTATGGTTATCGGAGGAGTTTTTGTTGATATGTTGATCTGAAGTTCCAAGCAATCGGGTTGGTCATCAGGAGCATTCTCATCAATCAATCCATTGACTTAGTGATGGGAATCTCGAAGCTTGTCCGCTACGTTCCACTGCGCCAGGCCCAAGATCGCGGTTATTGCACCACGAGTGCCCCACTGCGGGCGGTTAGGCGGGGCTGCATGCACCCTTGTGGGCACTCTGGTTGCTGGGACCGGACCCACTCGACCGCTGGTTGATGACCAGTCGCTGTTGCTGGGGCGCTTCCCAACGGTCCCCGCCAGCGGGTCCCCTACTCTGCTGCTGTGGTGAGCCCGTGGTCAAAAACCCTGCGCTGCGTGACACGATCCAATCAACGAGTGTCTTGTTCTGGCAATTAAGTAAACAGCGGCCCTCGACCCTCGACCTTTGATTCCGGGCAGCACAACAAAGGGCTCGACCACGGTCTCGGATGAATTTACCTTGCGCACTTCGTCGCCGGGTCATCCATTGAAGCATAACCGCAAATAGAGGGAGAAACGATATCTTTATAAGCATCCACGGGCAGCGCCCTGATCGTCGCGATCGCTTGGCCCGCCAGTCGCAGTCGCGATGATCAGCTGGGCGCTGAGGCGCGGGGCCGACAGTGCGCGCGACGCGCCGGATCCGGGTATGGCAGTAATTGAAAACCATAACAAGTGCTCACTTCCTTACTGATCCCATTGCAGACGACGCGAGCCAGATTGATGCCCCCGACACCCCGGCGCCGGTTTTTGCTGTTCGCGCATTGAGGAACGCTATCTTCGGCACCCCCGCACCAAGAGAGCGCCGAAACACGATGTCCAAGTCCGATGATGACCGCGAGAAGACCACCCAGCCTATCACGACGACAGCCCGTTCCTCTTCATCCGACAAAGATAAGACTCCAGCCAAGCCCCCCGGGATTCTGCTCACTCCCGGAACTGGCACAGCCAAGCGAAAGCGCGTAACATTTGGCCGCGATGTCAAGCAGGGTTCAGGAGGTCGAGACAAACCTAGCACCAGTGGTTTGCCTGACGACTGTCCCGGGAAGTTCCCTAGCCCATGGGTCGATCGTTCTACCGACGGGAGCTCTTCACGGCCGAAGACTAGGCTGCAGCTGGCCATGGAGAACGCGCGCAAAAACAGTCGGAAGGGAGGAGTAATTGATGGGAAGGATTTTGACAACTCAGAAGATGCCGATTGGGATGAAGAGGACGACGAGACGGACGACGCGGACGACTCTGGTTGCGATACCGACGTGACCGTTGACCTCGCCGAGCCGAAGTCACGTTCTGGAAAGTATTGGAAGGCTTACTTTGAAACTTACCACGCCGATGCGAAGGCTGAGATGGAGAAGCTTATTAAGTATAAGCATCTTGCAAAGTCTTATGCGAAAAAGAAAGATGCCGAAGCTCTTGAACTGAGTCAGAAGCTTAGCGAGGAGCAGGAAAAATCCAAGGCCTTGGAGGAGAAAGTCGCAGAGCTCACCCGCCAACTTAATATGGCAGGCCGGGGCAAAGCTGGTGGAAATAATGCCAAGTTGGTCGACGAACTCGAGGAACAGAGGGCTCTGGCAGCCGAGTACAAGAAGCAACTCGAAGCTTTGGAAACACTGCTAGAAGACGAGACCAACGATGCTGCAGATGGGCGCAGCAAACGTCGCATTGCCTCGCCCAAGACGCAAAAAACATTATTAGAAGCGCAACGGGAGTTACGGAAGGCGAGAACGCAGATCCGTGAGCTTCAAAAGCTCCAAGAGGAGCGAGACAAGCTGAGGTCCCAGCTCAGATATGTCGAGCAACGGGCCAGCAAGCTTGAAGAGGAAAACAGCAAACTGACCAAAGAGCTGTCTCAAAGCAAGTCCAAGTTGAGCGACCTGGAGAAGCGACTGGCCGAGTCCAACAACGAGTACGAAACCTTGAAAGAAAATGCAAAGGCTCGGTATATCGAGGCCAAGCAGGTCTGCGACGTCAAGAACGAGACCATCGCGAAACTGCGGGCAGAGATCGATGCGCTCAAAAAAGATGGGACAGACGCCGAACGTGTGGGCCGTTCAGCAGCAACAAGCACCACTGAGGAAAAAACGGCGACCTCTCGAGCAGGACTGTCTGAGACTCGGCATCGTGAGAGGCAAGGGCTGGAGGGTTACAGGCGGACGACATCTGGCGATCGCGTTCTCCCTTTGTCTCGCGCTTCGACAAGCAGAACTCAGGCCGAAGTTGACGCCAAGTTGGAGCCTGCCGATGATGTGCTTTCCGATCGTGGAAACCTGCAGGACAGCCGAAGCTCGGCCTCCAGCGGGCGCTCTGCGCATGCTCGGGATGACGACGATGATGTTATTCTTCCAAGCCGGACCACCCACACCACAACTGGCGGTCGTTCTCTCAACCAAACTTCAACTATTACATCTGAGAAGCGGTCTGTGGACGACCTGCACAGCAGGAGGACCTCTACAACAGCGAGACCCTCCGCAACCACCCTCTCCAAATCGAATCAGTCCAGTAGGCCCCTCTCCCCTCCATCCGACAGCGAGGAAGAGCAGGCGAAGCCCAGCACCCTGCGCAGCCGACTCGACCGCCTCGGAAGCCGCGTCGGCATCAGTGCAAGCAGGTCTGTCGCTGCTACCAGCGCCGCGCCCGCAGCTGACAGCAGTGTCATGTTCAACACGACTCGAACCTCTCTGCCTGCGGATCGTGCATCAGCTGCCAGAGCTCGCCTTGAACTCAAGCGCCAGGAGCGTTTGCGTGAACGGGAAAGGGCACGGGGCCTGATGAGAGAGCGCGAGCGGGAAAGAGGGCTGGCGATGGAGGAGAAGGAAAATGCAGAGGGGTATTAAGTTGACTAGAAGTCATGCTCTTGACGACACTATTATCCATTGTCACATTGTTGTATAAAGGTCTCTTCGTTTGTTGTTTTTTTTCCTTTCCCGTAGCGGTACGTGCGGTTTTCCTCCGGCTGGTTGGGCATGGAGAGTTATTCGGGATACCTAGGGGCCCTACGGCATATGATAGGTTCGGATGGGTTTCGTTTAACATCAGGGTCGAGCGATTGGGGTATGCAAGGGTTACATGTGGGAACTACGCTTTCATTCATTGTGATAATTTGTAGGCGTATGTTTGGCTCAATTGATAAGCTTATCAGCGATATTCTCATGTCTCTCCATCTTGGCCTCGCTTGCAAACATGAGACCCCTCTTACAATTCAACCACCAAGTTCTGAAAAGAGCGAAAGCAACCATGACGGTCTCCAATTCGACAACGAGAATTCCACAGAGTGAGGCCGATATAGATGATGAGATAGCTGATCTCGAGCATAAGCTCGCCGAGGCGAAAATCCGGCGCCAGCGATTCAAGTCCTCTGCCTCTCAACCCCGGATTCCATCGCCATCGTCAAAAAGTGAGCTTCAAAAAAGATAAATCGTCTCTCACCTTGATGTTTGATCCATTCTCCATGACACTTTGAATACAATCAAGCTGACAAGTACAAAGTGCTGACTCCCAACTTAATCTGCTCCCTAACTGCTAAGACACACCACCTTCTCCTGTTAGCCGACTCAGCCCTCCCCCTAGGCTCCTTTGCCTTCTCCTCCGGCCTCGAGAGCTACCTCTCCCACCAGAAACACTACCTCCCCTCTTCCCCCCAGGGCCAGCCATCTCCCGTCACAGTCTTCATTTCCTCCTTCTTGCCACTCTCCCTCTCCTCTTACGCAGCAACCTCCTTGCCCTTTGTGCTAGCCGCCGCAAGATTAGTATCACAGCCGTCGCAACTCACATCCGCTGCGCTCACGGCATTGGATGATGCCCAGGATGCAGCAATCCCGTGCGTGGTAGCCCGAAGGGCGTCGATCGCCCAGGGCAGAGCACTACTTGGGATTTGGGAAAGGTCGTTTGATGGAGTCGTCAGACATCCTGCAGCTGTCACTGAGGAAGGGGCAAAGCAAGCGGAGGAAGCTTTACGCGGGTTTGCGACGCTGGTGCGAAAATCATCCTCTTCAACTTTGGCGTCCTCGTCAGCATCAGCGGCTGCTCCTACCACGATGGATGAGGATGCCCCTCCTGCATCATCCGCGCATCTAGCCCCGCTGTTTGGAGCCGTGGCGTCGCTGCTTGGGCTGGCACCCGAAGAAGCGGCTTATGTCTTCTTACTGGGCCATGTCAAGGCCTTGGTGTCTGCAGCGGTACGCGCAGGGATGTTCGGCCCGTATCAGGCACAAAGAACATTGGCAGGAGGGGAAGTGCACGAGATGATCACGGCTATGGTCGAGAGGGAGTGGGAAACGGAGGTTGAGGATGCGGGACAGACTGTGCCGGTTATGGATTTATGGGTGGGCAGACATGAGCTCTTGTACTCCAGGATATTCAACAGTTGATGATCACTACAAAAGGAGAACATGGCGTTTGGGGAAAAGATTCGAACAGCCAACATGGCATTAATTGATGAACAGTTGCGCTTGTAAGCCGAAGAGTCTATATAATCTTGCCCTCTTACTCATCCTCCTCATCATCACTACCATAAGCAACCAGCGGCCCAGAAGGCTTCTCTGGTTTGCTGTCTTTTGTGGCGACAGCCACCTTTGCCCCTTGTAGGGCAGCCAATGTCCTGCTCGACAGGATCCCTCCTGCCAATTTCTTTTCCTGAGCCTGAGGTGGGGCCTCAATCTGTGCCGGTTGTGACGTTTCGGGAGGAGCTTCGAGCATCAGCTGCTGCTCGCGCTCCAGTTCGAACCCTTCACGACCTCTAGGGTTGACCGCATTGGGTCCCCGAGCAAAGTGGACTGCGTCAGGTGCCTCGTATCCTTCCAACCCGTAGCTGCTTTCTAGCTTTCTTCTTTTGCGCGCCTCCGGATCTTTGCCCTCGATCTCGGCGACAAACTCTGCCGGCAGTGCTCTACGTATAGCCTCGGCGGCTTGTTCTTCGATTCTTCTTTGTTCGCGCTTTTGGGCCAGAGGATTGGGATCTGCTGTTGCCCATCGGACGTTGAGGATCTCGTTGTGATCAAGAGACCTAAAAGACGTTAACTATCTGTCCTGAACAACGCTTCAGCGTTGGAAACATACTGATGCGCCATCGCCTCCTTTGCAAACTGGGCATTAGCTTCATTTGTATAAGTAATGAAGGCAACTCCTCTGTTGTTGAGCACGCGAATACGCTCAATCTGACCCCATTCGGCAAAGTGCCGAGCAACAATCTCTTCAATATCATCCGTCACATGGATGCGCCCAACATATATTGTCCGGTTCTGACGATTGAAGCTGCCGACACCGCCCATGTCGTCGCGGTAGTCGGCAAACTTGTCGCGCCCGAAGCAGTCAACATTAGGATTGAAGATGTCATGGATGGTGGGTAGCCGGTGTAGATAGTCGCAGTCCTGGCCCTTAGGGCAGATACCACGGGCGAAATAGAGGCAGAAATAGGAGCCTGGCCGAGAATCCGCGCGCGTATATCCCGAGTCGCGAGCGATATTGCATCGCCCCTTGGCGTGTGTCTGAGAAAGATATTTGTCTTCGCGATCGCCACCGGACCACTTGTTGTACCAGATGTTGAAGACTGTACCAGTCTGCGGAGGGCGCTCAGACTTGACGAGGGCAGGATCGATTTGCGGCCGCGCTGGACGCCTCTTCTTCCGGATGATCTTCTTTACTTTCTTTTCTATCGGAGCCGCGACTTCATTGTTTACGGCGACAAGCTGGTTCTCTTGCTTCTGCTCGTTCGAGTCCTCGGCCACAGCGACGGCCACATCAGGGTTGGTCTCAAGCTCAGCCATGCCGGAACTGCTCGCTCTCGGGCGCGATTCGAATATCCCGGTTAAGATACGTCGTCGCTGAAGAAATGTTGCAAGTCGACGAAAAATTGGAAAGGCGCGTTTGTGGGAAAGGTTGATGGAGAATCGAAGGTTGGGGCTTTTCGTTGTTGTTGTCGCTTCCAGGTTCTGCAATCCACCGCCTGGCGCTTTTTCGAGATACACAGCCCAGCAGCCGCCAAGCTTACCCGTGCTGTGACCCACATTTAGATCCACCACAGGTACGCTCTGGTGGGTCTGTGAGCGGAGCAGTCAAGGCGGTGAGTCCCAGCGGTTCATGTGCCCCGCACTCGATCCCTCGAAATTCTGCCGGTTGAAATCGCAGACGTGGGGTCCAGTTCTCACTGAAATCAGGCGTATCAGCCAGGTCCCGGACCCATACTTCGTCTCACTCATGATAGAGTGTGGTCTTAGTTATTCACCAAATCGTTACTACAGTTTTCGTTTGATCCGGTAACGAGGGCTCGCGAGCCCCAACCCAATCAAGATGGTAAACATCACAGAAAAGATTAAGGAGTGAGCGCCACGTCACCTTCATGAAACCACCATCGCGGCACTCTACTGACGGTGATGGCGGGTAGGATTGAGGAGGAGATGCGGAGGACCCAAAGTTCGTCTCATTATGTCATGCTCCCTCAGCTGAAGAACTGTAACTAACGACGAGTGCAGAAAACAAGGCGACAGGTGTGTGCAGTTTTGAACTTGATATACACAGGGGCTGATGACTGACAAGTTTGACACAGAATATCATCTGGGTCTTCTGAAGGGGTGAGTAAGTTTTAGCTAATCCACGAACAGCAATATGTGCTAACTGTATTGTAGAAAGCTTGCTCGACTCCGCGCACAACTACTTGAGCCAACTCCTGGATCTGGCAGTGGTGGTGGTGCTGGCTTCGATGTCAGTAAAAGCGGCGATGCTCGGATAGCGTTGGTTGGCTTTCCCTCAGTCGGCAAGTCGACGTTCCTCTCCAAGGTCACAAAAACCAAGTCGGAAGTCGCCTCCTATGCCTTCACAACCCTCACAGCCATCCCTGGTGTGCTCGAGTATGGCGGCGCCGAAATCCAGCTGCTCGACTTGCCAGGTATCATTGAAGGGGCTGCCGAAGGCAAGGGTAGAGGGCGGCAAGTTATCTCGGCAGCTAAGACAAGTGATCTTATCCTCATGGTTCTGGATGCGACAAAACGGACTGAGCAAAGAGCCTTGTTGGAGGCTGAATTAGAAGCCGTTGGTATTCGGTTGAATAGGGAGCCTCCGTAAGTCTCTACGGCCGGCGTTCAAATCTATTTGACTGCTGACGCATCCCAAGGAACATCTACCTCAAACCAAAAAAGGCTGGCGGCATGAAGATCACTTTTCAATCGCCACCCAAGAACCTTGATGAGAAGATGATCCAAAACATCCTTCGCGACTATAAGCTTCTCAATTGCGAAGTCTTGGTGCGCGACGAGAACGCGACAGTCGATGATCTGATTGACGTGATTATGAAGGATCACCGCAAGTACATCAAGTGCTTGTACGTGTACAATAAGATCGATGCGGTCTCGATCGAGTACCTTGACCAGTTGGCCCGCGAGCCCAACACGGTTGTCATGAGTTGCGAGCAGGACCTCGGCGTGCAAGACGTCATCGACCGTTGCTGGAAGGAGCTCAACCTGATTCGCATCTACACGAAGCGCAAGGGTGTTGACCCCGATTTCAACGAGGCACTTATCGTGCGGGCCAACAGTACTATTGAGGATGTGTGTGACAGAATCCATCGCAATCTCAAGGACACGTTTAAGTATGCACTGGTGTGGGGTGCCAGCGCAAGACATTGTCCTCAGAGAGTAGGCCTTGGGCATGTGGTGGCTGATGAGGATGTCGTTTATATCTGCAGTGGGTGGAAGGCATGAATCCCTGGTGACAACAGTACCATCTCGTCAAATGGATAACCACACAGTCCAGAGCCACAGTTATGTATAGGCAATTCAGATATACGACTTGCACCAACTCTTTTGGGTTGAATCACGACTTTGCTTGGCGTTGGGGACGGTGCGAAAAATATTTGCTCTGGTGTTATGCAAAGCAATTAGATGTAACAAGCTTTCGACATCTGGCCATGGACGATACTGCGGTTTAAAGCCAAACCTATGTTCGGATATTTGGACTGAACTAACCCGGGTAGTTAAGACTCGGGACGAAAGCAGTTGTTTATAACTCTCTATTTCAGGCTTTCGGCCCTATCGTGATGATATGTTAGGGGAAAGAAAAAGAAAAGAAAACTACCCTACAGAGAGATCAGAAGGGCTGGTCTTGAGACATTTGTTTCCCTGATGTAGTACCAAAACGGAACCACGAAAGATTTACACACAATGTATTTCGGGTTCGCACCCATGATGACCCAGTCGTAAGGCAATTTAGTTCCATACAGCTCCCCACAACACGATATACCATACAAGTAAACCCATCAAAGAAAAAAAAAAGCAAACCGTCCAGAACGCCGCCTTGTTACCAACCCAATCCCGGTAGTCCAACAAACCCATTTCTCCACCCAATGATAATAAGGAAAGTGATTGTGACCCCGCTCTTTGCCCCTCCTTCGACCCGAGAAGAGATATCCTGGGACAAGGTAATAAACTGCAGGTGAAGGAGAACAAGAGCATAGCAGTTTGCCACCAAAATCAGTGAACAGTCGGGCTGAGGGGAACAGTTTGGGCCAGCCTGCAGAGACCTTAGTTGGCCTTCGGAACGGCTGGTTTGCTACCAAAGACATCTTCGCCGTTGGCGCTGGCCTGCAGGCTCTTAGCCGAGGCTTGAGCGAACAACGACTTGGGCTTGACCCTGCAACCAGTTGTTAGCAATTGCCCTACAATTTGTGTGTCGTTGACATCGGCGCGCAGTGGCGACGTACTTCCCAACCTGCTTGCTACGAAAGGCGCTGAGCTTGGCAGTGCAGGGGCTCATGATATTGTCCGAGGGCGAAATGTAGGTCTTGTTCCTGTTAAGCAATTCAGGGTCAGCCAATCTGTTCGAATGCTGGAAGAGGATACTATGGAGTCACGAGATGGGGAAACGCACTCAGTAGCCTCCTTCATTTTGGACTGGAAGACCTGGCGATGGTACTCCATGCTCATTATGTTGGGCTTGGTGTTGGTAGCCATCTCGGCGTCGGTGGGAGCGGGAATGGCAGTGTTAGCGTCACGGGGAGCGAGGACGTTGCCGGACATGATGATTGTTGTACTGATTGGCGATAGGCAGATCTGATGTGGTGTTGTCTTGACGAAGCAAGGACAAAGCGAGCTCAGCCAGTGGTCGTACTGTGCAGGGAAATGCAAGAGAGTCGGAGATGCAGCAGAATCGAACTCTGCAAATTGTGCAGCAATATGGAGTTGTCTACAACAGTGAGAGTAGTTGTCGAAGGAAGATGGGAAAGCTCTGTTGTGAGTGTCTGTCGAGGCTTTAAAGAGCGTAGAGAAATGAGATGCAGGAATGCGGAATGTGGTGCTGGAGTGATGTGTGTGGTCAGCCCCGGGAAAAAAAAAGGCAAAAACAAACTTCCTGTTCCGGCAGGGTCTCCTGGGCAACAACAGGGCTGGCGGGTCCCACAACAGTTAGCACCCCTGGCAAGAGGAGGGTGGACCCGGGATGCGACGTCACTTTGCGGGAACGGAATCACCAAAAGAAAACGATTTCGGGTTGCTGACTGGAGGCATCGACGATCAAGTGAACTGAATGAGTCAGAACTGCAAGCACGCTTCATTGGCTCATTGGACCACATTTGACCAGTTAACAGTGCATAAAACCATGGATACACGACGAAGTACAGAGACAAGCATTAGCTACCACATCACCCCCCCTGTCCAGCCCTCTAGTTCTTCCCATACCGCGTCGCCTGAATGTTAGCACCGAGCTCCTGCTTCTTCGCCCCGTACTGCTTCATCAGTTCCTCGGTCTTGGCCTTCTGTCGGGCAATCTTGGCAGCAATCTCCTTGCCCTTGCGGCTCTCGTTACGGCCCATCTGGCGCAGGTGCACCTCATCGGGGCCATCAGCCAACCGCAGGGTGCGAATCTGAGCCCACATGTTGGCGAGAGGTGTGTCTTGGCTGACACCGGCACCGCCAAATGACTGGACAGCACGGTCAATAACCTCAAGGGCGACCTTGGGAGCAAGAACCTTGGCCTGAGCAATCTCCTTCAGAGCAGCCTTGGGGCCTTCTTCGTCCATGCGGATGGCGGCGTTGAGGACGACCATGCGAGCGGCATCGATATCAATGCGCGAGCGGGCAACCCACTCGAGGATGACGCCGTGCTCGCGCAGCTGCTTGCCGAAGGGGGTCTTGGCCGGGTCGTTGATGCGAGCCAGCATCCACTCGAGAGCGCGCTCAGCAGCACCAATGGTGCGCATGGCGTGGTGGATACGGCCGGGGCCGAGACGGCCCTGGATGATCTCGAAACCGCGACCCTCGCCAAGGACGAGATTCTCCTTCGGGACGCGGACGTTCTTGAAGCTGATGTGACCGTGGCCGTGAGGGGCATCGTCGTAACCGTAGACCGAGAGCATGCGATGGATGGTAATGCCGGGGGTGTCGGCCGGCACCAGGATGACGGACTGCTGCTTGTAAGGGTCGGGGTTCTTGGGATCGCTCTTGCCCATGACCACGTAGATCTTGCAACGCGGGTCACCGGCACCGCTGGACCACCATTTCTGGGTGCACAGTCAGACGAATTTTATGTCGGCTATCTCAGGGCCAACCATCACTCACCTGGCCGTTCAGAACATAGTAGTCGCCATCGCGCTCAATCTTCATCTCGATGTTGCGGGCGTCTGACGAAGCGACCTGAGGCTCCGTCATGAGAAAGGCCGACCGGATCACGCCGTCCATAAGGGGCTTTAGCCACTTGGCCTTCTGCTGCTCATTACCGTACTTGGCTAACACCTCCATGTTGCCCGTGTCGGGGGCAGCGCAATTAACGGCCTCAGAGGCGATGCGGGACTTGCCCAGCCACTCGGCCATCAGGCCGTACTCGAGGTTGGTGAAGCCGGGAGACTCCTTGTAGTGGCCAACCGGCAGGAACATGTTCCAGAGCCCAAGTGACCGGGCCTTCTTCTTCAGGTCCTCGAGAATCTGAGGGTGAGACTGCCACCGGGCGTCACCGACGCCGATCTGGGCCTCGAAGACAGCATCGGCGCTATTAAGGGGTTAGATATCAATAAGTGACGATCAAAGCATTGTACGAGGGTGCACGTACGGAATGCAGTCCTCCTCAACGAACTTAGCAACAAGGTCGAGGGTCTTCTTTGCCCTCTCGCTGACCTTGTGACGGACCTGCCAGCAACCATTCGTATAAGTCATGCACAGCACATCAGACATGAAAAGGCAGGTATTCTTACAGCAGCGGGAATGTGAGCCGACATGGTGGTTGTTCACACAAACTACTTGAATAGGAAGTGAGGGTATAGGTTGGGCCAGAAGGTCGGGGCGGTCTCACAGAGAAGCAAACGATTGGAGCTGGTTTGAACTTGATGAAAGGAAAAAGGATGTCTTTCTTCTCAACAGCATTCGATGGGATGGACGGGAACTTTGTTGTTGTTTGAAGTAATGGCTAAAGCGAGGTTCTGGACTCGAAACTGGTACGATTACCGGCGCATGCCGAGGTACCGCGGCCTCGGTCCCTGTCAAGGTGTTTTACCCCAACCTCCAGTGGGGTTACTGGCTGCTCCGCTACCCGCCAGCGCGCCGCCCAGTGCTGTTGCTGGCTCAGTGCGGGGGAGCGCCAAGCAAACCAGAAGCTGATCCAACGTCGAGGCGGCTTGACTTGGCTGTCTTGTTAGCGACCGTCCGGAAGATGACATCCTGGCCTTGTATTGACCCTGTCATAGCTCCTAAAATAATTTTACGTTCCTCGCCATTCTTCAAAGATGGAAGTGTTTTTGGATCAAAGCATTATCACAATGTGTCAAACCGCTATTCGCCCTTCACTCAACCTCATGTTCTCACCAGCACTGATCAGCGGTGTCCATCTCTTGATGTCTTCTTTGGGCGGGTGTGGTCAGCCTTTCTCCATTCTGACTGGTTGGGGTCAACTTCGAAACGTGCATGTGGTATCCAGGCTGGGAGGATGGGCCGAGATCTGCAAGGATCAGAGGGAACATATGTTAAAGATCAACCTGGGGCTTTAGTGCTTTGCCTTGACACTTACAAGTTCCGACTGGGAGCCTAGCCGACAACTAGTCAGCGTCTAGCTACATGACTGTTTCTGATTACTACGGAGCCTCTATAAGTATCTAAGTAAGCCGCTGCGTGGCCCCTCTCGGACATCCAGGTGCTCACGCGGTGTTCCCGCCTGACGCAGTCCTGGAAGCGCCGGGCCGGTATTTTAAGGTCGGCTGATCCGGGGGTTGACCGGGGCCCGTCGATTTTTCGACGGCTCGGCCCCAGCCCGATTAGCACAACTATGTAACGCTGTCTTACTCGTACATGCAGGTCATCAATTTGTACAAGATTATGCTGACGAATCCTAGATGTGTACTTGTTTACTAAAGAAGGAAGCATCCACATGAACGAGCATACGTTGCGTCAACATTGACTTGGAACAGTTCTCTTGGGAGACATTTATTGTGTACTCAGTGATCATCTTGAGCAAACCAATGCTACAGTTCCTGCTTGTTTAGCTGTTTCAAATCCATGGATTCACACCATGGTGAAGATGACTGGCTACACCATATATCTGTCATACAGACACACGGTATTAAACATGAGCAGACCAGGCACGTGGAGTTTAACAAATTCACACCATCACGGTTGGGCACGACGTTCTCCTCTAGTAAGGTTCTCAAGTCCTTTTAATAATTAACATGTATGTTGTTGATACGAAGCTCATGAGCAAAGCTCGCTGAAGCCCTCCCATCCACAGTTGGCTGCCAAAGCCCCGTAAAGTAGGCCGGCCGCTTCTATACTTGCCATCTTACAGCCTGCGGATTATCGTTGAATCAACGCCTTGCTTGTATATTGCGGTAAACTCTGCCCAAACAATTATTTGGTTGACAAAAAGAGAGTGTCCTTGCTCATATCTGTGGTAATATCAAATCAATTACATAAAAGCCCTGATCCGATTATGAGAGCAGGCAACGCTAGCAGACAGGTATATCTACAAGCAGTCCTTATGACCGACTGTTTCACCTATCCACTTGACAACACATTTGCGTCAAAGTGAATGCAAGATCCGCCAGGCTGGAACAGGTTGTAGGAGGAATGAAATAGAATGATAACCACACCCACGGGAGCAGCAGGTCATGAGTGTTAAGGCCGCGTAGACCAAGATCAGGTGAGAGCCTGGCAATAGAACTGTCTCCAGTATGGACTAGTAAACTATGGCACCTTTTGCTGCTTAGTAGGCACTGCTAGGATGACCAAAATCCAGGACAGCGCGGGTTGGCCACTGGCAGGGCGTCGTCAGCCAGTATTATCACCGGCGTCGTAAGTGTTGCAGGTCACGCAGTGCTGTTTCGTTTTGAATGCACAGAGACAAAATTGGGTGATTCGATCCAAGGCAGTTGTGTGCGTTTGCCTTACTGCTGTCTGGATCTCAAGCCTGATAACCCATCATGATCCATTCTGCGCTGTGCGCGAGCTGCGAATTGCGAGTTGCAAGCATGAGACACCACTGTGAAAGTACTCGCTTAGGTGCCTCAGAATGTGTAGCGACGTGGGCCGGCATCTGCAAGCTCCTCCAAATCGACCCAGGAAGACCCGTCTCATTTGGTGCTGTTGCCCCTCGATGCATCTTTCAGACATTGGTTTGGTGGGAAACTGGTCTTGACAGATGACTTGCTGGCAACGTGCAGCGGAACGACATGCTGCTTGCACAGCCTGCACTAAACTCGGGCAGGAATCGATCTCAAGGAAAAAAAGTCCGCCAACGTTGCTCAGTTTGCCTGGTTAGGCTAGCACAGCGGAGAGAAGGCTACCCAGCTCCTTGGGGGCTGCCACCCTTAAGCCCCACTGATGGCTTGGCAAGTTGCGAGCTTGGATGCGACTCCATTTTAGGAACCCACTCGCAGATATGTGGTTGCCCTTCGCCGCACTGAATACAAGCCTTCCGCGCATCTCAGCGCGAATCTCCATCGCCCAGTCAATGTCACTGTCGCCATCGACACTCGATTGGATGACCTCAATTACCGGGTACATATCTCCTACTGGTCATTATTGTTCTGAGCATCCCACTCGAGGTTCACACCAGATCAAAGCCAAAAATCCTGGACTTCAGGATCCAGGTGACGTATCTATCGTGCGGTCGTCCGATCCAGCGGTACCCGTTCAATCCCAGGTTCCCAAATCCCCGAATCCCATCGACGAGCTGCAGCAGCTGCGCACCGCAGTCTGCAAAAAAAGGCAGCGCAGCGGACATCCAACGTTACCCCAGCTCCGCATCCTAACACGTTCATTCAAGGCCACAGGAGCACATGGCTTTTCAACTACAGCTTAAGCGCGCGTTGCCCATCCAGTTGTCTTATCCAGCTTTTCCCCGGTTCTCTGCAGACGCCCTTCACACCTTCACAGTTCACACCCTCCCGTGCTTCCGTGAATAAGGTCCCGTACATGTACCTGAATCCTTGTGTACCGCCATTCCGAGCTTATCCGCCCTGTCGATAACACAACTGCCGCTCCGCCTAGAGCTTGCCTTGTTCTGAGATTACGCACCGCAAGACCAGGCTCCTTTTCTGCTTTCTGTTTGATAACCAACACCAGGGGGCTATACCCATTCCAGGACCGGCTGTGCCTTGCATTGGTTCATGGTGCCAAGATGCCTTTTCGCTAATCCCACGTTGGTCTCTGCGTCGCTCAACTACCTGCCCTATCAAGAGACCCTGCCGTGATTTGTGCGCGATCTGTCTTGAGAGCCCGAGAGTTCGCCGCAGCTTCTTTTGTGCTCGACTCTTCCTGTTGTTGCCCGCAACAGCTTCGCCTTTCGTGGGATAACAGCCACTTGCTGTTGCTTTTTCTGAAAGAAATGGACAAGATGAAGGCGGCCAGCTCTCTATTCCGCAGCGTGCGGGAACGAAATGGGGATAAATCCAGCAGTCACCGGCGCAACAGATCGTCAGAGCCAGTACCAGGTAGAGTACGTACAATCGCGCTCCTACAACACAGTTTTGGCCGCCAACAACTGCTAACAGCATGCTCAGCTGCGACCCCTGACAACCGAATCATGGCTTTCCATCTTCAAACCCGAGTCAGCAAAGCAGGCGCAAAAGGAAAAAGAAGAGGAGGAAAAACTGTCAACAAAGGCAAGCCGTATCGCAACCCCTGAAGCCTTCTAACCCCCAATTGCTAACCATCAACCATAGATCGAGGCTGTGACCAAGCGGCTACAAGAGCTGAATTACAATGAGGTCTCAAACGAAATAATCCGACGTGCACTCAACTCCAAATTCGCCGCCGGTGACTGCGACAAGGCTGTGGAATTAATACAATTACAGCAGCAAGCCTTCTCAGGGATCATACTACCATATGACCCCAATGTTGAGATGCAGGGAGCAGAAAACAGGGGGAATGTCACATGTTACCTCGACGCTTTGCTGTTCGCCATGTTTGCGAAACTTTCAGCCTTCGAATGCATGCTGAAGAACGATCTGAATGAGGAAGCTCCGAGGAAACTAGCAGCTTTGCTCCGGCTTTGGGTGAACATGTTGAGGAGTGGAAAGCTGATTCACACGGACTTGGTAAGCCGGGGCTCTTCCCCCTTGTATTCCTTGCAGCATTTGTTCTTGATGCTAATACGTCCCGCAGACCCAAATGATTCAAGAGACCCTAGCCGCCTGCGGCTGGAAGGATGCAGAGCTTTTAGAGCAGCAAGATACTTCCGAGGCATTTGCGTTCATCACCGAAACGTTGCAGCTGCCTTTGCTCGCCCTGCAAGTTGACCTTTTCCATCAAGGGAAGAAGGATGCAGACGACCACAAGGTTGTCCATGAGCGCCTACTCAACCTGGCTGTCCCCCCTGATTCCGACGGAAAGGGGATTAAGCTCGAAGATTGCCTAGAAGAGTATTTCAACAACAAAGTTGACGTCCTGCGAGACACTTTGGAGGAAAAGAAGTCCGTTGATATTCCCACCCCAACACCTAAGACTACAATTCGACTTGTGACCGACGATGATTCCGAAACGCCGGGCGAAAAAGCTCCAGGCACACCTCTTCAACGGCGCTGGACTTTGAATGGCATTACTCAATCGCCAGTGTCAACAGATCCTTCTGCCGTGAACTTTGATTCCCCCTCATCGTCTTCCACGTCCCGTACAAGATCTACGAGCATCATTCAGCGGATAGTGGTGGATGGTGAACATCAGTCCAATGACCCCGAATCAAGGAGTCTACTTCAACGAGCGAAACGGACGGGTTCCAACGTGGTCAAGGCCGTGACCATCCCCGCTTGGCAGTTCTTCCGATTGATTCGTAAGTGTTCACCCCGACGGTGACAATAAGGCATTCTAGCTAACCTCGACTCTAGCATGGCATGCTGCATCCAATGGTCAGCCTAAAAGCGACCTAGAGGTTGCTCAGCATTTCAATCAGCGTCCCATGGTGGGAATCTGCCTGAAGCGGTATACCATGACTCCGGAGGGCATTCCCAAGCGGCAGAACACTCTCATCGACATACCTGACTGCATGCGTCTTCCTCATTTTATGGTCGTTGATGAGAAGGAAGGCCAGGCATCAAATGGACTAAGCCAGGAGTACAAGCTCGTCCTGCAGTCGGTTGTCTGCCATCGTGGTGATTCCCTCCACAGCGGACATTATGTCGCTTTTGCTCGAGTTGCGCCTAAGCTACTCACAGACAACCGTCGCCATGATCACGACCCCCCCCCAGATTATGAAGAGGAGCAATGGGTAATGTTCGATGACTTGTCCATTGACAAGCGGGTAACCTACGTGGACGATATCAGGAAATGTCTACGTGAGGAGATGCCGTATCTTCTTTTCTACCAAATCGTTCCGATGTTTGACTTTGCTACAGCATCAACGGATGGATCCGTTGGCGACCCTCCTTCCTATGTTGAATCGACGACCTATATCCCCGGAACGCCGAGCGTCGAAACGAACCCCAATTCAACAGCTTCACGGCCACCAAGCAGCTACTTCGATTCCTCTACAACGATCACACACAGCAACTTCCGCATGAACGGCCGGCTCAGCTCCGACATTGACCGCCCTCCACGCTTCAGCCTGGATGAGGATCCCTACTCGACCAGTACGACACTTTTCCCGCACGACGCTTCAACTCCAGCCCGACGCGGAAGCATCTCCTTCTCAGAGCCCGCCAACGGTCCAAGTATCACTTCAGCCGCGACAGCCCCCGTTTCCAGCACACAGCCAGCTTCACCAGCCATCCCCCCACAAGACGATGCCGGCAGCAGCTACAACTCGACACGCCTCTCGCGTGCCGCGGCACGTTTCACCAAGTCGGGCAACAAGTCTCGACCGACGAGCCAGATGGGAGAGAACAGAATCAGCCTGACCATGTCTCGGCTTGGATTCTCACGGCGTAGTGGCGACGCATCGGCTTCGTCGTCTAATAACGGGGGTGAGGCTGCCACTGGGGCCGGGGATTCCGCTGATGGGACGATTGTCGAAGGTGATGAAAACGGTTCCGCTAGCGTGAGCAAGGAGAAAAGGGGGAAGAAGGAAAAGGACAAGAAGAAGGATAAAGATAAGAATAAAGAGAAAGAAAAAGATCAGGACAAGGAGAAGGATGCTGAGAAGGACAAGGAACAGCATCGTCAGGGGAACAATAAGAAGGAGCGGAAACCGTCCAAGAGCCGCGACCGGTCGGATAAAAACAAGAGAAGGGGGTCTAAAGAACCCTCAAAGAGCGATAGTGAGCCGGATCGGGAGTGTATTGTTATGTAATGGAGAAGAAGGGACTCGCTACATGGTGTTCTTCGACTGGAGCAAACCGCATGTTTAAGGTCATCAGCATGGTCATGACTATGAAAGGGCATACATGGTCATGGGTTTGGTTCATGTCCATCGCGGATTGGTTGGGTTTTGTTGGGATGGAGTTCAAGGGTTGGTGAAATAGCATGTTGGGTTGACTGAGACCTGAGTTTGGTTTTCTCAAAGGTTTCTATCCTGTACTAGTGTTGATAACCGCATGGCCTAAGCTACGGGTCCTGCTTCCCTTCATCGCTTCTTCCCGTAGCGCAAGTGCATTGGTGAGGGCTGGAGAGGAGAAATAAAAGCCAAAAGGGACTGCAATATGTTTGGGGTCTGGGTAACTAAAAACAAACACAGGGGTGAAGTTTATCTTTCAGTCTCAAAGCTTCCTGTATATCATTTTAATGCTTGTATGAGGTTACAAAAAAGCTGGCAGGTGAAGTTCAGAGGGGGGGGCTTCGATACCAATACCCGGAGGAATTTGATATTTATTACTTCTGCTTATCCACACCACGAGCCTTCATGTTGAATAATGTATGCTCATCCTCCCTTCTTGGTCGTCAACCCAACATACGAAGCAAAGGACTTCCTGCTCAACAACCTTGTCCTCTAGAGCAAATACACCCAAGAGCTCACCACAATTGAAAACCGGGAAGTTCCAAGCGATGACCGCCTTTCAAGCACTCAATATCATGCCAGACGAAACTAAATCATTCCAGCTCAAATGTGATTGCCAAACCCAACCTCACCCAGTCGTCACATTCCGTCCGTCCCTTACATGCCTACGTTGCTGTACTGTACAAATACACATGTCCCACACCGAAAATTTCTGACCACTACTATATTTACAGCCCATAACCCGTTCGTCCTTCACAATGAATGTGTCGACAAAACAGCCAGGGGTTGGGGAAAGAGGTGGTGGTTTCAAACATCTCAAACCACGTTCCTTCCCATTCTTTCAACCAAATCTTTCTCCCTTTCGTTGCCTTTTCAGCTTCTCTGCAAATCAGACCGACCGGCCCAGCCCAACAAACCGAGGGGTAAACCGCTTCCTTTCCTATTCCCTCTCACCACAACCAACGCCCGACCTTTGCCCCGATCTCTTTCTTGCCCAACCCCATCTCCACGAGTCTATCGTACACATAAGTTTCGGAACTCCCATAAGGATTGTTGCCCCTTAAAATCTTTCCCTGCCGGCTCAAATCCCACACCTTTTACCCAGTAGATGGATGAAGAGAGGAGGAAAGAGACAGAAAGACCGCCCGGGCATATGAAGCCGGTCGATAGTTGGAAGGATTCAAAGGGGCGATTATGTGGGAGGAGTGTGGTGATGAAGTCTATTGTTTCGTCCAGAAGCCGATTATGCAAGAAACCGGAACCGGATACGAATAAAGGGATTTGTGACCTCTTTTCCTTCATGGGCCGTTTTTTACTAGGACCGTTGAACCGATGACCAGAGGTTTATGAAAACATGGAGATGAAAACATATAAAAATGACATTTGGATGAGGAGCGCAGCGATGGGATTTCGGCGATACGTCCCCGAGGTGGATCATTAGATTATGGGGTCGAGAGATTGGAATTGCAAGGTGAGCGGAGCGGAGCAGGGTGAGCAAGTACGAGAATCAGGACTTGGTGCCCTCATGCCGGCCATTCCCAGCGCAATTCGTTTAGAAAGGAATATTGGGCGCAGGCTGCTGGTCCTGAAGCTCCTCACCGCCAGCCTCGATCGAGATACCAACACCGACCTTGGCTTGTTGCTGTTGAGGAAGTTAGCATTACTGAAAGGAACGTTCTCAGGATATGAGGGATTCGTACCGTGAAGTGATCCACATCAGCGGCGAAGGTCATCATGACAGGAGCAGCAACGCGCTTCTCGAGCACGCAACTGAGCTTGCCCTTGGTATCGATCTGAGCACGGAAGGTGGACATGCGGAAGTCGTACTTGGCACCGAAGGTGGTGATGCCCTCCTTGGTAGGGCCACCCATCATGGCGGCGCCAGGATTAACGGAAAGGGTCATGTCAACACCGGCCTGAACCTTCTCACCCAGACGCTGCCAGTAGGAAGCGTTGAGAGCACCCTGAGCCTGCAGCTGGGCGCTGGCAATCCAGTTCTCCGTCTTATAGCGACCAACGTACGAGATAGCGGTATCAGGGCCCTGGGTAAGGCCGGCGCGCTGCCAAACGGCCTCAAGACCGAGGGAGAGCTTAGGGGTGATGGACTGAAGATACTGGCCAACGAAGATACCGGTCAAGCCACCCTCAAGGAAAGACGGGTTAAGGGCCTTGATAGTTGCAGTGAAATCGGCGCCGCTGTATTCGTGTTCGAACTGGGCCATATCTTGACCGGTAGCACCAGGAGTGATCTGGAAGCGGGTCTTGGTGGTGAAAGAAGGGGTCCATCTGTAGTTGAAAGTAGTCGAAAGGTTGCCTTGGTCATCGATGTTACCTTGGGCAAACATCTGAAACAATTTTATTAGATGACACTGGACGCTTGTGGTTCAGCGATGCGCGCATACCTTGCTGGTGCCATAGAGGGCAGCGAAGGTGTAGGGGCTCAACCTCTCACCCATCGCAAACTGGTGCGACACTTGGAATCTTCATGATACTCGATCAGCAAGGGGCGAAGCGGAAGAGACGGCAAGGTAGAAGCCCGGGGCCAGACAGGCGCCCTCTACCAGGACTGGGAGGCTGGGATAGAGGCGACTGAGGGGTGGTCGCGGACTAGCTCAAGGAGAAACGTACAAGGGGTTCAGGCTGAAGGCCTTCGTGAGATCAGCCCGCAGGCCGGAGAACATGAGGTTGGTGGTGAGGACATCGCGCTGGACCTCTACATTTGGACAACAGCGTCAGAAGTGAACTTGATATGGAAGTCATGCACATAGCACTAGGACGGGCACAGGCTACAAAGCAACCCCTCTGACAGTCGTGACGTACCCTTGGCGATGTTCTCAACGAGACCGGGGTTCGAGAGACCCAACTTTTGCCTCCTTTCTTGGAAGGCATCGTAAAGATCTGAGAGACTGGCAAAGACCGGATTACTGCGCAGGAACGCCAACGGCGAATTGGTGGAGGAAGCCATGGTGATAGGAGTAGGTGTTGTCGCGGCTGGGATCGCGCGAAAGGGGTCGAACTGTCGTTGAAGTTGGAGGCGACTTTGTGACTTCGACTATCGCGGTTCTGGGCAAGCGGGTAGCCGAGACGAATCAGAGACTCCTAGGGACTATGGCAAAAAAATCCTCCTGCCGTATACTCGGAGGAGGGGCTCTCAAAATAAATGAGAGGCCGAATGAGACGTTGGATCTGCTGGACGGTTCGTTGGCGTCCTGTTGCCTGCAGTCGATGAAAGAAGCAGCCAAAAATTTCGCGGCCAACAGGACTGCATCAGCCCGCCCGAGGCCCGTGCACCCGTGCAAAACGGTGGAGGAGATTGACTTGCCAAGCCCGGCACTCCAGTGACCTGGGGAAGTGCACGGGCTGGTGACGACAAGGCCCACAGTGAGAACTAAGAAGCCCCTCGCAATGACGGGGCATCGGAGAAATCAGCAACCGAGTGCGGCGGACACATCGATAAGATAAGACCGACAAAAGCTGCTGACTTCGCGGTGTAAGCCTACGGTGTGGTAATCAGGCAACATACTGTCCAGGTGAGAGCAAGATAATTGGATAAACAGAGATCTACGGTCAGTACAAGAAGTACGTGTAGTGCTTTGAACTGTGATAGCTTCAAGGCTTTCGAGTATATGATTGCCATCTTACTGGGACTTTGGAGGGGGTTGAGGAGATTGTTTATGACCAGAGATCTTGGAACCATATCGACGACATACAGTATGTACATCACTCCCAGAGCGGGGTATCTTCTCCCGCCCGATCAAACCCGAGATCCATGCATCTTGCCCCAGGACTTGGCCGAGAGTGGGAGCTTAAGGGCTGAGAGCTGGGCATTATCAAAAACATCCATCATCGCGAAACTGGCGATAGCGGCATTGGGCGAGGCTGTGGTAAATAAATTGGTGTCATTAGCGTCTTCTGATGTTCTTGCGTCCAGAAACACTGGAAAATTTTTGTGGAATCCCGCACAAACACATAACTCACCTCGCATCATCCATTCTGCTCACAAACCAATCCCTGTTTCCTTAGAGCCCAGGCAACACCTACCATCAGTTGAACCGTCCATCTTCCTCCATCAACTCAGATCTGGACATTGGTGCGCGTTGGTTGAAACGAGATTTACTAGGACCAAAAGAGCTTTATTGTCCCTCGTCGTCAGGCAAGCTTTGCTCGGTCTCCGCCACGAGGCGTAGCCAACCACGGGAAAGCTTTCATACTTCTCTCATAAGCTCACTGTCCCCGCGATGACCCGCGGACTGTAGTACACCCACAAAAACATTGAATCGGCCGTACAACTGACCTGCATTCTTTTGCAACGAACAACCCCATCTGCCATCACGACCTGCAGAAAGGCGAACCTCCAATAGACGCCATGGACACCTTGCTGTAAGTGTTCCATCATGCCTTAAACCTATCCTGTCTTGTTACACTTTTCATTTCTTATCTCTCTTCTAATCAACCAATTCCGGGTTTCTTGTCGCTAACAATGTTGAGGACTGCCGAGATCGCGGCGAACTCTCCTCGCTACCGCCGCCGGAGTTCTACCTTCATCGATGGCATCCATGATGTATCTGATGACCAGGGCCAGATGGCCCCCGCCCAGCTTTACAGCACCATGTCTGGTCGCCTGTTTCATTCAGGCAGGATTGCCATCATCATGGTTGGCCTTCCGGCTCGTGGGAAGACGTAAGCTTCTTATTCCTCCCACTTACTAGATGTAACTAACATGGCATGAGCCATATCTGCGTCTCGCTGGCTCGTTATCTCTCATGGTAGGATTGAGACCCTCTCGTCTATGATGTTTTGATGCTTACTTTTAGTCAGGTTGGGCGTGAAGACGCGAGTCTTCCACCTCGGTGACTACCGCCGTGCTACGGTGCCCGGTGGTAAGGTTCCTGAAGATTACTTCTATCCCAATGCGTCCCCGGCTTCTCAAATGCTCCGCCAGAAGATCCTCAAGAAGTGCAGAGAGGACATCTACGCCTGGCTGAATCATGAGAATGGTCAGGTCGCCATTTATGATGCCGTCAACCCAACTGCTGCTGGCCGTCGCGCTCTGGCTAAAGAATTCGCTAATCACGATGTTCAGGTAAGAAGATCAACCCCAATACTGAATGTATTATCTGCTAAACATTATCGTCACTGGATAGACCTTGTTCATTGAGTCATATGTCGACGACCCCGAGATTCTTAAGGAGAATGCTCGCAATGTCAAGATCTCATCTCCTGATGTAAGGCAGCCAGTTACCTGCCTAAGTTGCATTATGAGTGACTATGATGCTGATCGCCACAGTTTCACGGTATGGATCCTGATGAGGCAGCAAAGCAGTACCTGAAGCGGATCGAGACCAAGATCCCCGTCTTCGAGACGATGAATGAGGAGGAGCTGAACTACGTTAAGATGATTAACGCTGGTCAGTCCTTCTTCTACAACAATGTCAGCTTCAACTACTTGTCACACCGCATCGTTTTCTACCTGACAAATCTCCACATCAAGTCTCGGAGGACTTTCTTTGCTCGCGCCGGAACGACGACGGATGAGGACTCTTACAAAGCCGATGCTCCCCTGTCCGAAGAAGGCAGACACTATGCAAGAAAGATGGCTGAGACGCTGCTGCGACACCGTGAGCAGGAGCGTCTAGCAAGCATTGCAAACGGCGGGCCTGATGTCCCTCTGCGTCCTCTGACAGTGTGGACATCGACTCGACTGCGCACCGTCCAGACAGCTGAGCCACTTAAGGAGATGGGCTTTAAGGTTCGGCAGCGTTCTCAAATGAGCCAGATCAATCCTGGTGTCTGCGAGAAGCTTTCTGAGCGTGCTATTCGTGCCTTGTATCCTGAGGAAGTTGAGAAACATGAGAGGGATCCCTATCATCACCGCTATCCCCGTGCTGAGGTATGCTTAGATGGTTTTGATCATGCGCTCCCCCCCCTCCCCACCCCATATATGTTTGACTAACACAACTTAAGTCCTACCACGATTTGGCCGTTCGCCTCGAGCCCATTATTCTCGAGCTCGAACGCGAGCAGAACGACCTGCTTATCATCGCCCATGAGAGCGTGCTTCGCGTGCTCTATGCTTATCTGATGCACTGCAGCACAATGGACATCCCCAAGCTAAAGTTCCCTCGCGATGAAATCATCGAGATCATTCCAGCTGCCTACCAAAATGAGGCCAAGCGCATCCACATTCCCGGCCTGGATCCTAAGACGATTCCTAGCTCTCCCGAGGACATTCGCATTCCCGTGCCTAGTCCGAGCGGCCAGGCAACTCCTGTCCCTGCCATGCCTAACCTCCCCGAGTCTGCCGCTGCCAATGTCGAAGAAGAGCAAGCCGCACCCGTGCAGCATCCTCCCGAGAAGATTGTGAACACCGCGGTAAAGGACATGGTGTCGGACAAGGTGACTGATGAGGATTGACGGAGAGTAAGATGTGTGCAGACTGAACATGTTGTTCAGTAGGTAACAGAACATTGAAGTCATGAGAAATATCTCATACGTACGCTTCCGTTTGCATGTATCGTTTGCATGTAAAATATATGCTGGGGATGAGGTCAAGGAGAAGGAGTCATTTAGGGACCCTCGTAATTACCGGTACCTGCATTTGCTGTATGTAATTACAACATCTGGGCAATGACGTTATGGGTATTGACATGGATGGTCTTGGCAGCCCCGCGGATATGTAATACCAGGAGCATACTGCATGTTGAAGCTCCCCGCAGTTGACCCATCAAAACAAGCTCCATCTTAAAAGGAGTTTGCTTATCCATTGAGTCGATCATACTCACTCCAAGTGACAATTGACCATGGAAGGCACAAAGACAGCCCTTATTACCGGCGCTACCGGTCTCCTTGGCCGTCAAGTTGTCAAAACCTTTGCGGGTCGCGGCTGGTCCGTCAAGGGGACTGGCTTCTCACGCGCCGACGGCAAAGAGATACTCAAAGTTGACCTTGCAGACCCAGAGCATGTTGAGAACACGCTGGATGAAGTCAAGTGAGTGGCCGGCCCTGGATTCAGAGCCGATTGACCCATGGCAGCTGTGTCATGGCCCTTACTGACCATAACACCGAGTGTTGGGGTGATGGAATGGGGTTAGACCACTAGTCGTTGTACACTGTTTGTGCTTCCTGTTCCTGGATAAGCCTGGCATATCAGTACTGACTTTGATCTCTAGGCGCGGCAAACCGCTTCCCAGACAAGGTTGATAAGGATCCAGATGCAGCACGCAAGATCAATGTGGAAGCTACGCGGGCTCTTGCCAGTGCTTGTGCGCAGCGCTCTGTCTTCTTGATTTACATCTCGACAGACTACGTCTTCCCCGGAAAGCCTGGGGACGCGCCCTATGAAGCTGATGCCGAACCTGCCCCGACCAACCTGTATGGGTTGACCAAGCTCGACGGGGAGAAGGCCGTACTGGCAGAGTATGAGGCAGCGGGCAAAGTGGGGAGCGCCGTGGTGCTGAGAGTGCCGGTACTGTATGGACAAGTGTCAAAAGAGGGAGGGAATGCAGAAAGCGCGGTCAACACCCTGATGGACGTGGTTGTCAACTCGGCCAAGGAGGGAGCAAAGAAAGTCAAGATGGATCACTGGGCGGTTCGGTATCCGACAAACACTGAAGACGTGGCGAGGGTGTGCTACGGTGAGTTTCTGCTGCTCATTCGACTGTTGGCTGAGACAACTACTAATGTTTTACAGACGTGGCAGTCCGGTATATCGAGTCGGGAGCCAAGCAATCACTCCCCCGGATCCTGCAGTTTTCGAGCGAGGACAAGTACACCAAGTATGAGATGTGCCAGCTGTTCGCTGAGATTATGGGGCTTCCGATCGATAATATTGAAGCCAATACGGAGGGGAACGATCCTAATGCCACCGTGCAACGACCATACGACTGCCACTTGAGCACCCGGGCACTCCAGGAGCTTGGCATCGATGTGTCGACTCAGGACTTCGTCGGCTGGTGGAGGAAGGAATGCGGGGCGTTTCGACATTAGGCAAGGAAGACGGATTGCGTCGTGCTCAGAGGATAATAGACAGCCTACATTCAATATAAGTAGAAGCATTCAATACCTTCCATGTCTGGCTCGGTCTGGCAAGCATTGCAGAGCGGCAAAGTACGTGGTGGGATGGAGAAAGCATGCTTCTCAGCGTGGAGAAATTTAAGCTCGGGGCTGGCGCAGTCCTGCCACATCTGGTTCCTCCCTGGTAAGGCAGGCTTCAGGAATACCCGAGGAATTCCGCAACAACCCTTGCTTGTTTCAAGCCCCCGACCGTGACCGGGGCGCAGTGAGATCTGGTGCTGCTGCAGATCATCATCGATCATCCGCCGGTCCGGGGAAAAACGTCGAGGATTGAGGGGCTCATTCCTCGAAGAGGTAGGAGGAGGGGCATTACCGCAGCATTTAACGGCAACCAGTCAAGGTCACTCAAGGCTGGCGATGAATGTGACGGGTACGCGTGCCGGGCACGCCTAGATGTCTCGCATGCGACATCATTACGATAAGTAGATAATATATGGTTTATTTTGCCGCGTTCCCAGCTATGAGTCTCTGGGAGAGCAGGCTTCATGGAAAGTGTTTTTCTGCTTACTGCCCTTAAATAAATTTCAAACAGCACTCGGCCCTGCAAGAAGCCTGCAATTTAGGGACCCCACATGTTCACCGAGGCGCTGTTGCCGCTGGAAGCTAACCCTCGGCGATTGATCAAGCTGGGCAAGAACAGCCTTGCAGCGTTTAATAGCCCCAGCAGGCCCAGGAAAACCCACCATAGCGTCCCTTCCCTCACTGACAGGAGAAGTGAGCGAGCCGTAGTGGCTAAAGTGGCACGCCAAAATCGTGGGACTGGGCCCACTCTCAATCTACGGGAGCGTACTGACAGGGCCGCGGGGCTCCCCGGGCCCTGTCACGGACGCTGCAGGGATGGAAAAGATGTCTGCAAGCTGCAGGACCAAGACCACCAAGATCGCCAGGACCTCCCACCACACCACCGCATTTTGTGCCGAGCCCGTGGTAGGTCCAAGGTTCCCAAACCGACAGGTGTTGGCGGTCCATAACGGCTGGTACGCGGCAGCAACAAGAAGACCATCACAGGAGGGTTGACGAGAAGACATGTGGGCTTTGTACCGGGCTCGCCACGGGCCTGCGATGCCAATCTGCCGGGCGAGGTTCGGGGGAGCAGCAGAGCAGGCTGGCTGGCTTTCAGCCCGCCTGTGACTCCCGAGTCTTTGCTCGCGGCGCTGCGGTGGGCCAAAAATGCGTATGTGGGTAACGGGGATGGGGACGGGAACGGGGACAACCATGGTTGTCAGGGTCGGATGCAACGCAGCAGCCCAGTCGTGGACTCGGGGCCAGGCACACGCGCAGATGGTGCAGACCGTGCAGACACAAGCACATGGAGCACAGGAACTGGCACAGGCACCGCCGGTACTGATGGCCGCGGTCATGGTGGTTGCGGCGATCCCAAATCTAAGGTTCGGGTTCAGGTTACCCTGCAGCAGCACAAGACATTGCAGAAGCAGCAGCAGAATGGACGTCAGCTCGGTCAAGCTGAAGCTATTGCTGTTAAGGTCAATGGATTGAAATTTCGTCGCTAACGACATCATCCCGTTCCCGACGACCCAGTCGAGCCTCTTACCGTTGGCGCGCCACCAAGAAGCCTTCCCAACCCTGGTTCTGCCCTGTCGCATGTCGCGCACACCAGTCGGTCGATCCGAACGTCAGCAGCTGTCAGCCGCCCCAGAGACCCCCCCGGGACCCTGCAGTCGACAATGATAAAAGTACAAAGGATGCAGCTCGATAGAGGTTCAGTAGTCACGATCACAAGCTAACTCTGACGTCGCTGGCTGCTGGGCAACGAGAAACACGGTCCATCGAAAACAAAATAGTTCAGGCAAACGACATAGTGTCTGCCTTCACCCCGCGTCCCAACACGCCCGCGTCTCTATCTCGTTAAATAAAAAGCTTAATCATCCCGCTTTTCCCAGCCTCCCCGGCCCGACTTCGTCGGCTACAATATCTGACCCTGCTCTCATTTTACCATCGTTTTCCCACGACACTCCATCTCGCCAGCTCACTGCTTCTTCTTCGGGCCCAGCATCTTCACTCACTGGTTCAACTTTAGTCCGAGATTCCTCCAGAAGTCTCAACGTACCACGAACTCAAGCTCAAACGCCGTGCGATCAGCGCTTACCGAGGACTTCCTTCACACTACCACCAAAAGCTTCGAGAACGATTCCTCAGGACCCTCAGGTGCAACAGGTTGCACACGAGGAAGGCCCCCTGCAGGCTTAACAAGGTGGCACAGCTGAATCGCGAAGCCGACGGAATCTTAATTAGAAACGACCAAGACATCCACGAGGAAGGCTTGAGCACACCCAGAGATCTCACAGCCACGCCGCAGTCTCAAGCCATGTACTCATCCGCTACACCTCCAACAAGTCCGGGCCGAAGCCCGGCAGTTGTTTCTCCTCGACCGAGAAACATATTCACGAAATTTGCGTCGTCGCTCCTGGGTCGCAAAAAGAGCGTCTCTGGTGACCGGCACAACAAGCTTACCAAGCACCGTGATCAGCATTACGTCACATCTCCCACCTCAACTCAATCTTCTCACAGTGCATTACCTACGCCTGGGAACAGCCCACTTCCCAATTCAGTATCCTACGGAAGCAGCCCGGCCATTATGAAGTCGGATCAAGGAACCAACCAAGCCAATGACGAGAGAAGGGTTAGTTTTTACTACCATATCCTCTAAGTCTTGTCTGTAATTGCTGACAGCTGTACTACAGACGGTGCGGGTTCGCTGCAGAGGTGTCTCGCTGAGCATCCCCTTTAGCCGTGACACTACTGTCGAGGACCTTCTGTTAGGCTGCGCGGCAGAAATGCTGCGCCAGGGACATCACATCGATCTTAAGACTAGCATCCTCCTTGAGTCGTACGCCAATCCAAGTCTTGAGCGCAGGCTCCGACGTTATGAGCCTATTTCCGTCGTTGTGGAGAGTTGGGATCAGGATTCGCAGAACATGCTGATCTTATTGCCAGACGCAGGTGATCCAGAAGGAGAGCTGACACTTGACTATGTGTCAACCAATACCCCGGAGCCCCAGGGCTTCTGCCTACCACTGTATCACTCGCAGCGCCCGGGCAAATGGAGCCAAGTCTATGTCAGCCTGGCGCATAATGGACAAATCTTCGCCTCGAAGAAGCCGTATGCCAAGCGGACCGACAAGGACTCCGTGAATCTCTGCCATCTGACGGACTATGATCTCTACTTCCCGACAGAGGCCGAGTCGAGAAAATACCTGAAACCTCCGAAAAGGTACTGCTACGCCATCAAAAGCCTACAGAAGAAAGTGATCTTCATGAACGCGGACAACTACATGCATCTCTTCTCCACCGACGACCCAAGCATCGCCCGCCAATTCCGCAGCCTTGTTCATCGCTGGCGGAGCTGGTACCTGGCTCACAGACAGCTCAAGCTGTTTGGTGACGAGGACCAGCGGCCGTCAAGCTCGCACTCCGTCGGCTATTCGTCTCGTGCCCCTTCGCCAAGTCGTGCTCCTCATCCGAATCGGTCGCGCTCGAGGTCCCGCAGTAGCAGCCTCGCGGGTGGTGCCACAAAAGACTTGTCAATTCCTCCGTTGCCACCGATTTCGGGTACGTTGCTCGACTTCAATGTCGACAACGCCTTTTCATCCAGCGGTCTGCTTGGTGATGCCTACGAGCAGCGGAAAAAGGAAGCTCAACGGCAGGAAGCCAGGAAGTGGGAGGTCACGTCCGGTCCCAACCCATTCAGCGAGGGCCCGACCCTTCTAAATTCGGGCATATTATCCAACACACGAGCCAGGCCCGAGACATCATCCAACAATCCCGAGGGGTCCTGGTTCCCGTCTGCCGTGGAGCACTCGGCTCTTCAACGCACAATGACCCAAAACACCGGATCCCTCAGCCGGCATCCTAGCAGGTCCGGCCAGCAATCTCCGCCGCTGACCCGGCGGCCGAGCACATCCTCTCGCTCGGTCGCCCCCTCCCGAGTGCCCTCCATTCGCGGCGGCAGAACCCGGGACGACCAGGCTCCGCCCCTCCCAACCCAACAACAAGGCTACTACCCTCCCTCATCCAACGGGTTCCGTCACCACCGCAGGAGCAACTCCCAATGCTCCACCTACTCCCAGTCCAATATCGCAAACCAAAACCATCGTGTCCCTCCCCTCCCGCAAGCCCCGCTCATCGATCTCACGCCCACATTCAAGGAGCCCCCTCAATGGTCCCGGGAGAACAAGGGCCATGGCGTGCAAGCTCCGCAAGGGATGAAGCTTGTCGACCTGGCTACGGGACCTACGAACCATTATGGGCCGGACCCAGACCGGTTCGGCCCGCCGCAAGCGCCGATCCGGAGACCTTCTCCGGAGTCGGTCAGGAGCGGTCGTGGTGGGGCACAACAACAAATGACGCTACTTCAACGGTACGAGCTGAGTAAACAGCAAGAGGGGTTTGCGGGTCGGGCAAGGATGAATACTTTTACAGCAGGGAACTCAGATGAAGGGATTGTGGGGGGGTTGGTTGGGAATATGATGATGAGAAGGAACACGGTTAAGGGGCCCGTTCCAGGGAGAAATGTAGACGAGACGTTGATTGAGCAGATCGACAGAGGACGCGGGACGGACAGGGATTTCGACAAGGCTCGGTATAGGATGAGGAGCGTGGATGGGAGGATTGGACGGGAAAGGAGAGCGTACTATTGAGCAGGTTTTTTTCTTATTATTATTTTTGGGTTTTGGGATTAGGCTTTGGAAAGCGATTGGTTTGGGTTTGGTTTGGTATAAACGGGTCACTGTCGACGGAATAGACAGGGGTCTTCGCATCACAATGGCATCGTGCACGGCGTTCACGACAATTAATTAAAATCACAATTTACCCTTTGGGGTCTCCATCCCATGTTTTGTTCCAATTATCTTTTAGTGAACCTATTAAACTCTGGATTAAAAAGGGGTATTTGGAGGAAATGACCAAGCCAGAATCAAGTCAGCTCCTCAGGGCCCAGAACGCATTTACTTGCTGCGCTTGTAGATCTTGGCCAGGAAAGCCTCAAAGACGCCCTTTTTGAGGCCCTGGCTCTCGTCGATATTGTCGATGAGGGAGCGAATCTCGCCGACCACCTTCTCCTCGTAGTCCTTGTAGCGTTGCTCGAGCTGCAGCTCGTCGTACAGCTTCTTGACGGCGGCTTCCTTCTGCTTGTCCTTGCGGCCGTAGTTCTCCTCGAGAATACGACGCTGCTCGGGCGTCACAATCGCCAGTGCCTGGTTAACCAGCCACGAGCACTTGTTGTCCTGAATGTCGGTGCCGATCTTCCCGATGACCTCCGGGTCGCCGAAGTTGTCGAGGTAGTCGTCCTGGATCTGAAAATACTCGCCCAACGGGATCAGGATGGCCTCGGCCTGCTTGAGGTTATCGGGAGTGGCCAGGTCAAGCAGGTACAGGGCCAGGGCAACGGGCAGGTAGAAGCTGTAGTAGGCAGTCTTGTAGATGACGATGAAGCGGTACTTGTCCATAGAGAAGTTGTCCAGGTCGACCTTGTCCTCGGGGGCGGTGAGCAGGTCGCACAGCTGGCCAATCTCAGTTTGGAAGGTGACCTCGTGGAAGAGCTCGATCATATCGACGTAGCACGGGTGGTCGCGGAAGTATTTGCGCAACAGGGTGTAGATGGCCGACTCTAGCATAAAGGCGTCGTTGATGGCGATCATGCCGACGCCCTCGTGACGGTACCAGCACGGCTTACCGCGGCGTGTGATGCTGCCGTCCATGATGTCGTCGGACACCAGGAAGAAGGCCTGCAATAGCTCCGTCATCCAGCCCAGCGTCGCCGCCTTGAAGTACTCCTCCTCGGTCAGGGGCCGGCCCAACAGCAGCGACGCTGAGTCGGGCACCGACATGCCGCGGTTGCACTTGCCGCCGACCGCATTGGTTTCGAGGGACTGTACGAAAGGACTGTTAGCTTCTTAATGGTCTCTGGAGAAGCTAAGGAACGAGGTGTACGCACCTTCTTGTACCACTCAAGAGCCTGACCAGGGAGGTTGTAGGACTTGGCGTGCTCAAGCAGCACCTCCTCCAGTTTGGGGAAGACGGACTCGAACTCCTTGAGCGTAGTCTTCTTGGCCATTTTGGTGGATTATGAGGTTGGGCTTGGTGGAAGGGGATGTGAGGTGAACCGGAGAGGGGACGGGGACTGTTGAGGGGGACTGGCGGTCGGGAGAGATTGTGTCAACAACAAGGGGCCAGAACTCAGCAAGATAATGGGGGTAACGGGTCCACGAGGGTCCAGTAGGGTCCTTCGGGCGAGAGACAATTGGGCAGCAGGCGGCGTTAGGACCCCTCTTTTCTCAACTTTGTTAACGTTATCCAGTGGGGCAGCTCTCGATAACAATACCCCTGGATCGACCCCACCCCCTCATTAGGCGGTGAGAACTGAGATGCAGGGACAAACAGGCCGCGCAAGAGCGACAGCGGCAGGATTCCGTAACTTACAGATCTTGTTAAACTATTACAGCACTACGGTAAGGCTTATCGATAAGTGTAACCATCTTGCTGGAAGCGCGTCTGCCAGCTGCCATCGCGTTCGTCAAATCTGCCTTTCTGTTACATTTACCATCTCACTTAGAGAGTCGACAACAAGCGTCCAGGGTGATAGCCAGCAGGCTGGCTTGTAACTCATTGCTCTCGTCATTGCCAACGGCGTCCATCGAGAGCGAATCAAGAGATCTAATATCTGGACGTTTATACACAGCCTTGCAGTTTAACCGTTGACTGTCGCTTCTATAAACCCATTCGCTATTTGGCCTTAACTGAACTTTCATTGCCCCTCCAACGGCTGATCTGTGTTTACTTTTTCTCCAAGTAATTGCCCATCATGGGCCTCTCTGCAAAAGATGCTCTCCAGCTGCGGGAGGCCCTTCAAATAGCCGTCGTCAAGTGCTCTGAGAGATGTCTTTACCAAGCAGCAAAATGGTCAGTCGGCTTAAGATATTCCTTGTCCCTACGTTAGAAGTCCCTAACACTTTGTCCAGGGCTGCCGAACTTCTTGATGCGCTTCCCATTCCAGATGATCCTTCAGTGACCAACCAGTCAGGGACATATGTGCATCCCGCTTTGATGCCAAACCATGACCCTGCTGAAGCTGCCCTAGAGGCCAAGGAGCTCAGCCAGTACCTCCTGGCCAAGTCGTACTTCGACTGCAAAGAGTTTGATCGTTGCTCCGCCGTCTTTCTTTCGGACTCCATGCTCTCCAGCTTGCTGGCTACTAACCCAGATGATCTCCAGTCTCCTCCAAGCAAGGGAAAGGGCAAGGGCAAAGCTACCACTTCCATCGACTTTGACCAGGGGTTGCCAAATATTAGCCAGAAAAGTTTATTCCTTGCCCTGTATGCCAAGGTTATATCAGGAGAAAAGCGCAAGGACGAAGAAACGGAAATGATCATGGGGCCACAGGATCTGGGTACCGTCGTCAACAAGCAGCTGATCGTTGTCAGCCGCTTCTTGTCCAAGTGGTTTGAGGCTCGCAAGGCCGACACCCGTGGCGAATATCCTGCCAGCCAGGGTTTCCTTGAGTATCTGTACGGCATGGTACTAGCCAAGGAGAAAAACGACTCCCTCGCGATCGAGTACCTTGTACAGAGCGTCCATCTGTTCCCATGGAACTGGGGTGCTTGGCTCGAGCTGACCAACCTCATCGGCCGGGTTGAGCAGCTCAAGAAGATTGCGCCACACCTCCCTCAGAACATCATGTCCTTCATCTTCCATGCAAATGCTGCTATTAACCTCTATCAGCAGGGTGCCGACCTTGCCGCCTCCCTCAACGACCTCCTGAGCATTTTCCCCACATCTTCCTTCCTCCTAACCTGTAAAGCTTTGCTCTTCTATCACTCAAAAGACCTTTACGCCGCCGAGCAGGAATTTAGCAACATCCTGGCACTCCATCCTCACCGTTTAGACTCTCTCGACCACTACTCAAACATCCTCTACGTCCTCAACATGCGGCCGAAACTGGCCTTCTTGGCCCATCTATGTTCTAGCATCGACAAATTCCGTCCAGAATCCTGTGTAGTTATCGGGAACTACTACTCGCTCCTCTCACAGCACGAGAAAGCCGTGCAATATTTCCGTCGTGCCCTTACCCTCGACCGCTCATGCCTCTCAGCCTGGACGCTCATGGGCCACGAATACGTCGAACTCAAGAACACCCACGCTGCCATCGAGTCCTACCGCCGCGCCGTGGATGTCAATAGGAGAGACTATCGCGCCTGGTATGGCCTCGGCCAAACGTACGAAGTTCTCGAAATGCATGCCTACGCACTCTGGTATTACAAGAAAGCAGCTGGCCTCCGACCCTGGGACGGCAAGATGTGGCAAGCTGTCGGCTCCTGCCTACAAAAAATGGGCCGCGACCGCGACGGTATCAAGGCCCTCAAACGAGCCCTCCTCGCAGACAGCTACTACGACGCCGGCGCAGCAAGCAGCTTTGGCAGCGGCGCGTCCATCGACCGCATGGGGCAGATGGATCCCGACGTGCTCCTGCAAATCGCCACCATGTACGACCGCCTTGGCGAGCGCGAAGAAGCTAAAGCCTATATGGAACTCTGCCTTGCCCAAGAAGAAGGCACCGTTGACGCAGATAACACCACCAATAACAACCTCAACGACTCAGTAGCCATGCAGCACGACTCTATCGCGGATGATGGTTCCGATGCAGGCGGTGCCGGACCCAGCGGCTCGCGCGAAGCAGGCGGCGGCGGAGGCGTAGGCACAGGCGTGACCATCGCGACGAGCAAAGCCCGCATGTGGCTGGCCAACTATGCCATGGCTGCGGGGGATTACGAGACGGTCAACCGCTTGGCAATGGAGCTGTGTCAGGATGGCGTGGAAGTGGAGGAGGCCAAGGCCCTGATCCGCGAGGCGCGGTCGCGGATGGAGATGACGAACCTCATGGAGCGATAGGGGAGGCTGAGGGTAAGAGAGTTGAAGTTTGCTTTGTCAGAGGAGGATGGGATGGGACGGGGGAGGAGGGGGGGGGGAAGGAGGGATATGGGGAACAAAGGACGAGGTCGTCGGGGACGAAGGAGGAGGATATTGCTGGGATAGGTCCTATGGAGGAGAGGTGTGTTCGAGGATGAGGTTAAGAGAGCTCAGCAGCAGCTGCAGGCTTTCCGGCTCGGACTCCTGCCACTTCTAAAGGCAGGATTAGAGATACAGTGGCCGAGGATACAAGTGATGCTGACAGATCGAGGTACCGAGCTTGATGTGGTCAACAACCTCTCATCTCCGGAACAATGTCTATGCGGTTGAGATTAACTCTACATTCGTCCCGCTCGTTTTTATCGTTTGTCTAGAGGAATCGAGGGCTTGCCGGAGGGATCTCGCCGCTTTGACATGAGAAGCATGTTTACTTACTGAAAAAGACTATATCATGAATGCCACTTCGAGCTAGAAACATGAACTGGAAGATCAGTGAATTGCTATTGATACCATTAGATAAGAAATATTTTTGGGGGCTGTGGAACGGCAAGATGTTTTTGTTTAGCTACTCAGTTTGACTAAGGATACAACTTCAAGATTGGGTTTGGAACTCGGGCATCCCTGCTGAAGCAAGAGGGCAAAAGTCATTGATGGTTACACATCGCGATTCACGGGTGCCCAGGTTCTCTTGACATAGTCATTTATGCTAAGGCATAGACCGCAACCACATCACTCATATTCATCATGACCCTTAAACTGGAGTCCCGACAACACAGAGAGACATACATGCATACTACACAAACCGCCCTAGTCTAGCTTGATATACAACTCCCCCTAACCTTACCATCAACAATGTACTGTCATCACGTCACTGAAGAAGAATCATTGGTCTGTGCACCACACCTTCTCATTACTACGTTACCATTCCCTCCCTCACTCCCCCTCCCCCTCCCCCCTTTTTTTTCGTTTCTTTCTTTCACCTACGACTCTTATCACTGGCCCGCTCTCTCCGGAGTAACCCCTTCTGACTTTCCATTACCACCTTCAGGAGAAGGGCTTGCCGCTGGCTGGAATGCCTGTTGCTGCTGCGGTATTGGTGACGGTGCTGTCGACGATGGCGTTGGTGCTGGCGCCTGCTCCCCCGGTAGTGGCACAGGAGCAATAATTTCTTTGGCCTTGATGACCTTGGTGAGGTACTCGGCGGTGTCGTCGAAGCCATCAATCTTGTTGAGGCGGGATTGGAAGAACTCGACGTCGCGAAGCATTCTATAACAAAAGTCAGTCTCAACTCATGTAAGAATATAAGAGTGTTTTGGGGAGAAAAGGGGGGGGGGTAAAAGGAACTCACCTCTCCCTGCCCTGCTCAGTCCTCAACTCAACCGCCCCATATGCCGCCCCAAATGTATTTTTATAATTCCTAAACACCGGTACCATAATCATCCTCACTGTCGTCTCCGGCAAATGCTTGGTCAAATTCCGATGCAGCGTCGTTGTCTCCTTCGCCAACGTCTCAATATACTCGTTCGCTCCGGTGCTACTGCTCGGCGGAGCGGGCTGGTCCCAGACGATCGCTTTCAGCTTCTTAGCACCAGCGTTGGCGCGGCCAGTCATGATCTCGACCAGCTTGTCGTAGATGTTATTCTGGTGCTCCTGCAGCGAGCGACGGACCTTGTCGAACTCGCCCGTAACAGTTGACGCCGGGGTACCAGCACCACAATGACGCCGGACGAACTCGCGCATGTGAGGGATGATGGCGGCGATGAAGGCGACTGCCTGAGAAGCAAGCGCCAAGTGCTTGGTAGTGATGTTCTTGAGGCCCGCAGAGCGGGTGGCGCCGGCGCCAAGGATGAGCTGGGTGCAGCGCGAGTTGAAAAGCTGGAGGTAGGCGATGAGGGAGGAAGAGATCTCGGCTGTCATGGAGGGGATGGCGGCGATGAGCTGGAGGAACTTGGCTATGCCGTGCATGCAGACAATAGCAGAGTTGGGGAGCATGAAGGTCTCCGACTCGACCACGGCGCTTCTGGTCTTGGCTTTGCCTGCGCCGTTGGCTTGTGTGGCGAGGGGATCGACGTCGGCTGTTTTGGTATTGGCATCGGACGTTTGCAGCTCGTGAACTGGAATCCAGATCTGGACGGCATCAAGCCAGGCAGGATCATCCCTCGTGCTCCCTTCCAGTATCCGATTCAGCAGCTCGGCATCCTTTTCGGAGAAGTCGGCGGCATTCCACTGATCTGACTCCATGAGCTGGGCGAGCTTCTTGCTCTCGGAGTCACCATGTATTTGAATAAAGTCGGTGATGTGACCGTTGACGACGGTCTTGAGATTGGCGCCGCCACGACCAGAAATGGCTTCGCATTCGTTGGCGAAGTGGAGGTTGAGCGTGAAGTAGCGCAGGAACCAGATGAGCTCCAGGCGCTTGCTCTGTTCTGACCGGACGCGCAGAATCTTGACTACCTTCTCCTGGGCGACATCGATGGCCTGGCCCATGAGATTGGAGATGTCCAAGGCCCTATGGATCTCCTCCTGAGCCTCCTGGGCGGCAGTCGATATTTGTCTGACCGTTGGGCTGAACGGAGGAGACTTGAGGGGGGGCGACCGGAGACCAGATGGGGGGAGCGGTTCACCGATGGAACTCGCGACATCCAAGAGAACCTTCACCTGGGTGCTGACCCTCCGCAAAGCTTCTGCCACGCCGATGTAGATCTTCCTCAAGAGCTCCTCGGCATCGTCGGGTCCCATGGCCCGTAGATTGCGGGCCAGGGCTATCGAGCGATCCTGTTGAGACCTTGTGCGCCCGCCTGCCCTCGTAGAGGATGACATTATGGATTCAGCATCGTCGTCGTTTGAACTCGGCATGGGCTGCCGGATGATAGTCTTGATTTCACGCAGCACCGTGTCACGGTAGGCCAGGGCCGCAGCGGTGAGGCACCTTGCTCGTTGCAAGCCCGTAATTGTGGCATGGAGCTCAGGACGCATTAAATCGGTGGCAGCCATGTAGGATGGGAAGGTCGATGACTCCCGGTTATGGGTTCCGCGGGCACGCATCGAAGCATTACTCCAACGCATGAGAACCTCTTGGGGAGAGACGTTCTCGACATGGCTCCTGAGATCAGTGAGCAGGGTCTTGATGAACCTAGCCTCAAAGGTTCTGCCGATGCGCAACCGCAGGGTGTCCAGATCGGCGCTGACTCCTTGGAGGGCTGTGGCACCCCTGAGATCACGTAACTGGACCCCTGACAAGCTGGTCTCCGCCGGTTCGCCAGCCATCAGCCTTTCCAGGTTGTCAATGTTGTCGAGGGCTTGATCAACCTCGCCAGCATCAACCAACGACTCGCAGACGGTAACGCCATCGACTATTTCCTTGAGCTGCAGGACAGTATCCTGGAGCTGTTTGATGTTCTCTCTGCGTCGTCGCTGCTGGACAAGATTAAGACCACCGAGAGCGATCTCCTCGTCCAGCTTCTTTAGCTCCTTCCGGAGCGCCCTGATTCTCTCTACCGAGTCGGCGGCCTCGGAGTGAAGTTCTCGAAGGGCACCGAGGGCGCTGAAAAAGGTAGTCGAAGCGGTTGAGATGGACTGGATGAGATGCATCTCAACAGTATCCATATACCAGGAGAGCTTCTCCTGGAGGATGGCATTTGTCGCCAAAGCCTTGCGAGGAGCGGCTGCTTGGCCGTTGGATGCGGCACCGGCCTTGTCATCACTACCCTGGGCTGGCCGAACAACTTCGGAACGCTCGCTAACCACGTCGAAGGTGCGTGGGTTTTCAAGATGAAAGTCTTCTTCAAAATAGACGGGCGGTATAGTAGACAAGGGAGGGGGTCCGTGTGCCGGCCCCCTTCTTGGGCGGGAACTAGAAGTTTTCGGTTGTGTCACAATCTCCATAGAAGCCAAGGAGGATATCGAGGCGGTCGACGGCCGTCTCGACGCTATCCCCGAGCGTCTGTTCGGCCGCAAGTGACCATCATCTGGAGCATCCGGGGATTCGTCTGGTTTGACAGCCTTGCGACTGCTTGATACTTGCTCATCCTCGGCCTGAATCCGGCGAAGCTGTTCATACAGGGTGCCGACCTGAGAGAGGTATGACTTGAACTCCGAGGGATCAACGTGGGGGATATTCGTGAGGGCGACGGGAGGGATGTCGCGGGCAGTTGGGGGCTTGTGGACGCTCGACGCAGGCGGGGCAGCATGGGGGAGCATGCCCGTTCGCACGATTGGCGGTTGTAGGAGGGTCGAGATGGCATTCTGGCCGGATTCGAAAACGGGATTCCCCCAGCTAACCGTGTCCAGGGCGCCGCCAACGGAGTGTATGGAGCTGGCGGTCGAGCCCCTCCGTTGGGTTGCTTTTCTTGTAACTGTTAGCGGGCAAGGCAAGGGTCACATTGAGAAACTCTTCAAAAGGGTGGAAAAAGGGAGAGAGAGGGGAGGGAGGGGGGGGGGGAACCGGCAGTCGGCATGCGCACCCATGGAAGGGGAAGTCCCCCCTATGGCCGGCCGAGGGGAGTGTCGGCGACAAGCTATCGACCGACTTGCGCGCCCCTTGATTCGAAAACATAATGGCTCACTCCGGCTCCCCAGCCACAGGACAAGGACCCAAGGTTGTCGGCGACCATCCAGACCATTCAGGCCGGACGAAGAAGAGGGGAAATCAGCACGGCGTCGAAGTCGGGCAAGTTGGTACTTTTAAGTATAAGCAGGACGGCAACTGCTTGCTACAGGGGGGTCATAGTCCGGTTCGCTTGTCGCCTTTCATCCAAACTCCAAAGCCGCAGCTCGGGGTGAAGGGGGGGTTTTGTGGGGAGAAGGAGGGGGGTTTGTAGGTTGTCTAAATAGGTCCGTTAAATCTGTCGAACGTGCGAGGGGGAGGAGAGCTGAAGAGCTGATGTTGAATCGTGAATGTGATCGCAATCGGGTCAGGCCGTTCGGTTGCTCGGTCGTGCGGGACTGTGCTGGCGCAATTCTTCTGCTTCAGACTCTCGAGATCACGCGCGGCGCTGTCGAGCTTCTCTCAGCACTCTCTATTGTCGCTCAGCTTGTGGTAGTGGTGCAGCAACCGCATCAGCGAACGAGTCCCCTGCCCTTCGACAATGCCACGATTCGAGCCGGGACCCGCCTGCCAGGCGCGCAACCCCTGCGGTCTAACACAATACGGAGATATCTAATAAGTGGATATCGGTTATCAATCGTATTATCGGTGCGATGCAGACTTTGAGCACAGACCATCTTGGCATAGTGGGGTATCAATTAAAAAAAGACCCTGCGAGAAAGACGCGACTCGACGCGTCGATTTGGCATTTTACGCGTTTGGGCGTGTTTGCCTACCCCATCCGGTTTATCGGTGGTCCCTGGGCCTGAATCTGCACCTGGTCGCAGCCCCTCCACAGTCCGCATCATAACTCGGAACCTCCTCTAGCAGGTTCAGTGTTGAATTTCAGACGGGGCGACACTTTTCTTTGAGCTTCTTTGAACTGAACATAATACATTCTTCCTAATCTGACTTCATCGTTCCCGTATCTACCCACGATGGATCGCCAGTCCGTCTTCAGCACGCGGCTGTACTACGACGCCGCTAGCGAGCGAGGGGACACAAATCAGCAAATCCGCCAGCAGCTCGAGTCCTTCATCCTCGACTTCCGTCTCGATAACAGCTTTATTTACAGGTTAGAAGCGCCACTGGACCTTCTACAAGACTCTTCTCTGACCTTGGCAACCCAGAGACCAATTGCGTGAAAATGCCCTCCTCAAAAAGTACTACTGCGATGTCAACATCGGTGACCTGATCAAGTTCAACGAGGAGATTGCCCACCGTCTCGTCACAGAACCCGCGGAAATTATTCCCCTGTTCGAGGCTGCGCTCAAGCGGTGTACACACAGAATCGTCTACCCTACAGATCCCGATATTGAGCTTCCTGACCACCAGTTGCTGCTGCACTCCAATGCCGAAGAGGTCTCGATCCGGAGCTTAGACTCCATGACCATCTCACGCCTGGTCCGGGTGCCCGGTATTGTCATTGGCGCATCCGTCATGTCGTCCAAGGCAACCGAGCTTTTCATCCAGTGCCGTAACTGCGGCCACACAAACCGGGTCCCCGTCCATACTGGCTTCACCAGCGTGACTCTGCCCCGCCAGTGTGGCCGAGTCAGAGCTCCCGGTGACCCGACGGAAAAGTGCCCGCTTGACCCTTACTTCATCGTGCACGAGAAGTCTAAGTTTGTCGACCAGCAGATCATCAAGCTACAGGAAGCCCCTGATCAGGTCCCCGTCGGTGAGCTGCCGCGCCACGTTCTGATCTCGGCCGATCGCTACCTGGTAAACCGGGTCGTGCCCGGCTCGCGCTGCACCGTCATGGGCATCTTCTCCATCTACCAGAACAAGGGCTCTAAGAGCTCGACCGGTGGCGCGGTCGCCATCCGGACCCCTTATCTCCGTGCTGTCGGCATCCAAACCGACATTGACCAGACCGCCAAAGGGCAGGCAGTCTTCTCAGAAGAAGAAGAGCAAGAGTTCCTGGAGCTCAGCCGGAAACCAGACCTCTACAATGTGCTGGCTGACTGCATCGCCCCATCAATCTATGGCAACCGCGACATCAAGAAAGCCATTCTGTGCCTTCTCATGGGCGGTTCCAAGAAGATCCTCCCCGACGGCATGAAACTCCGTGGTGATATCAACGTCCTGCTCCTCGGTGACCCCGGTACAGCCAAGTCCCAGCTCCTCAAGTTCGTCGAGAAGGTTGCCCCGATAGCCATCTACACCTCCGGCAAGGGCTCGTCAGCCGCCGGTCTGACAGCCTCGGTGCAACGCGACCAGTCCACACGCGAGTTCTACCTCGAAGGCGGCGCCATGGTTCTTGCCGACGGCGGCGTAGTCTGCATCGACGAGTTCGACAAGATGCGTGACGAGGATCGTGTCGCAATCCACGAGGCCATGGAGCAGCAAACCATTTCCATCGCCAAGGCAGGCATCACCACCATCCTGAACGCCCGTACCTCCGTGCTGGCGGCGGCCAACCCCCATCTTCGGGCGATACGACGACATGAAGACACCGGGCGAGAACATTGATTTCCAGACGACCATCCTGTCCCGTTTCGATATGATCTTCATTGTCAAGGATGAGCACGCGCGCGACCGCGACGAGCGCATCGCTAAGCACGTCATGGGCATCCACATGGGCGGCCGGGGCGTCGAGGAACGCGTGGAGGCCGAGATCCCCGTAGAAAAGATGCGTCGCTATATCAGCTATTGCAGATCGTAAGCTTGCTCCCTCCGTTAATTCTCTCATTCACCCCCTTCCCCCCGCCCCGGCCTATCTCTCTCTCTCTCTCTCTCTCTCTCTCTCTCTCTTTTCTCCTTTCAGGAGAGACTAACCGCATTACCCCCAGGCGCTGCGCCCCCCGCCTTTCCGACGCCGCCGCCGAGAAACTCTCCTCCCACTTCGTCGCCATCCGCAAGCAAGTCCACGCGGCTGAACTCGAAGCCAACGCGCGCTCCTCCATCCCCATCACCGTGCGTCAGCTGGAATCCCTCGTCCGCATCACTGAGGCTCTCGCCAAGATTACCCTCTCCCCCGTCGCAACTGAAGAACACGTCGACGAAGCAATCCGGCTATTCCTCTGCTCGACCATGGACGCAGTCAACCAGGGTACGGGCGGCGGGCCGGGAGGTGGTGTCCCCGGTGGTCGGGAGCTGAATGAAGAGGTTGCGCGGGTGGAGGCTGAGTTAAAGAGGAGGTTGCCGATTGGGTGGAGCACGAGCCTGGCAACGTTGAGGAGGGAGATGGTGGAGGGGAAGGGGTTTAGCGAGGCGGCGTTGAATCGGGCGTTGATGATTCTGCAGCGGAGGGATACCATTATGTTTCGGAATGGCGGTGCTCAGGTGTACCGAAATGGTGCCTGAAATGTTTACGGAGGGTTTGTTTGCTTGGGTTATCTTTGGGCTGGGCTTGTGGTGCATAAAGTGTACGGTTTCACTTAATGGACGAGGTCTGGAGCACGGCGCATGTGGGATAGATATGTTTCAGAGGACTGGTTGGGTCATTACTAGCAATATCAAGGAATATATATTATCTCAGGGCAAGAGCCTAGTTGATGAGAGAGGTCCTAAACCAAGCAAAGTGTCCATCTCTCTCCTGTGCGTTCCGCGATGAATTGCTGTTCCCCCCCTCCTCCCCCCCTACCCCCCCCCCCCCCAAAAAAAAAACCAAAAAAAAACAAAAAAAAAACAAAAAAACAAAAAAAACCCTATCTATACCGTCCCAAAAAAGTCCATAACTTTGGCTAACGTATCCTTCTCTCTCTCTCGCAAAAAAGAGCTTGGCTAGACAAGTGGCCAAGCGATCAGTTTTCGACATCATCATCATGGAGAATTTCTCCATGAGGGGATCCAAGAGTCCAATCTTCCCTCATGATGCCCACTTCACCAAGGGCAGCCTCGCCACCAGCGACGGCCGGACCACGAACGATAATCTGTATATCCTAGTCAGCAACCAGCCACACGAATATAGAAGCTCAAGATAAACTCACCTCTCCCTGATAAACGTCATCACTATTCTTGTACTCAGGGGTATCCCTCAGCACGATTACCACACTAGTAACAGGAGGTCCAAAATGCGTCTCGGAGTTCGTCCTCGAGGAAGCAAACAAGCGGTAGTCGTAGTAGAGGGTCTGTGTCACAGCGCCAGCGACCTTGGCAGCCGTGAGGGCATACATAACGCGGGCACCAAGCCACATGCGAAGGTCGGTCAACAGGCCGGTCGAGAGAACAGGATCCTTGGGGCCCGGAGTGACACCAGCACGCTTGGCAGTCAGGATGAGACGGAGCTTGCCGGTGCCCTTGAGGTCAGCCATGTGGCCGATACTAGCCCAGCGGCGCATGCGTTGAACCTTGTATCTGCGGGCGAAGTAACCGAGGTTCTTGAACTGCTGCTTATGCCACCTGGCAAGAGCAAGAGGGGTAGCAACGACGATAGTGGGGTTCACACCCGTCAGAGCCGCGGACAGATCGTGAGCTTGAGCGGCGGCAGAGTTAAAGGCGACAGAAGCATTGGAGTACAGAGCCGTGAGAGTCCAGACGAGAGTGTAGCTGTTCGCCAGCGAGTCGGCTGGGAGGAACAAATCCGACGTGTCAATGCGTTGTGAAGCCGGAATGGCGGAGAGCTGGGCGGCGACACCAGAAACAAAGTTGCCGTGGGTAAAGGTAACCATTTCGTCGCGAAAAGGGCGCTGAGACAACCAGAAAAGTGTGATGTCACGGGGCGGCTTCTGGCCTTCCAGCGGCGGCAGGGTCTTGCCAGCATCTTGCGGGCTCTCCTTGACGATGTCTTGCCAAGTGAAAACGCTAACTTGGCTCTCGCCCTGAGGAATATCATTCCAGTTGAGGTGCTCACTGCCCGGGTCGACCACCCATATCAGCTGGCGCAATGCCGGGTAGCTCTTGACGACAGACTCGAAGGGGAAGACGCCAGGGGCCGTGACAACAGTGTCAACCTCAGCACGGCGAAGCATAGAAATCACCACATCCTCGGACTGGTCGAAGGGCAGGATCACGGCAGCCAGGTCGTAGAAGGCACAGGCAAAGAGAGTCGCCAGCAGCTCGACCGAGTTCGGAAGATATATGGCCACGCGATCGCCCTTATTTGTCGCGATGTGCTGTCCGATTAGGTTGATCTGGCGGGTGATATCGTCCAGCTTGTGCTCTATCACTTTCTCCGTGCCCAAGACAGTCAAGATGCGGCCCGTGGGGCCCTGGACGGAGCCCGAGGCATCCTCTGGCTGAACGCCGGCCAGAACTTGACGCCAAATGTCACGGAGGTCACCATCACGGCCCTTAGCCCACCTGGGCGTGCCTGGATCCTTGACGTTCAGACCAGAGGTAAGCTGACCAAAAGGAGCAGAGGGCGAGCGGTACTCGGGGGATTCGCCGGGGAGGCGCACTGCAGACCGTTCGGACTGACGATAGAGGATGAAGGGATGGATGTCTGGCTCTTTGTGGGTAGCGAACTGGTATGTGATGATGCCGATGATGGCAGTGGCTAGCAGGGTCGTCCAGAAGTTCCATTGGGCGAAGAGACCGACGAAGCCCTCGTCGAGGTCGTTTAGCACGTCGTCGATGAGGCCCATCCTGGTGCTGACTGTTGACAGCAAGTCTCTAATGCATACCCAGATGCACCGCTGCTGTTGTTTCGAAGTACGTAAAGTGTCAAGATGGGTTTAACTTTTAATTTGATAAGAGGGGATAGTCTCGGTCGGAGAGAGTGGGCGACTCCAGGAGAAGGCGATGGATTCGCTCCCGAGATGCAGTTGCCAAGCACCGAGCCGCGGGGGAACAATGGAGACATCGAGCCAAGTAAGTGGGGCTTCCATCGAAAAGGCAAGCATGAGCTGCTCGGTCAGTGGGGAAGCTCCGACCGGAGTGTTCCCGGTGGGGCCCCGATGGCCGACAGTGGACAGCTGGTGACAGGTGCTCGCCGCGGGCGTCATTCGGACCCCTGCCGGCTGGCCGTTGCTGGTGGAGACGACCAGACGCTACGGGCCCGCGTCCTTGTCCGAGCTCGCGCAATGCCGCCATCCTTTTTTGGTCGCTTCCCAAACAACGGCACAGCGACAAAGCGACATCATCACCACCAGTGACGACCCATCCGCGCAGCGATCTCTCGCTCGCGCGCACCGAGGCTTCGGCCACCTAGTGATACTAATCAATAGCAACAGCAGAATCAGATACGACAACACTTCGAACCGCGACCGACTGCAGCCTCGACGCCGGCTGCGCAATCTTTCTTTTTCTTCCGCTCCTTTGTTCTGGGAGCGCTCCGCCTCTGATCGCGCTCGTGGTTTGAGATACTTATCACCTACCATTCAAACCAACATCCTCGACTTCCAATTGCAGCGCGACTCTGGTCGCATCGCCAACCTCATCATGTCATCCACATTATCCGTAGCGAAGGCCGCGTCCACGCCCGTCAAGCAGATTACCAGCGCTGTCGGTCCTGTCAAAGAGAGCCCCGGTAATTGGAAGCACCCACGCCTAGCAGAGATCACCCGCCGGCAGAGTAGGAACATCTTCGGCGAGAAGAACGTTAGGCAAATCGTCTATAATGTTGCCGCCATCGTGCTGCTGGAGATCTTCCGCGTCTTTGCCTCGCCATCTATCCCATCTCAACTGTGAGCACTCCTTCTCCCCCTAACAGGCTGGCCGTTTTTTCTTCCCTTCAGCGACGCTGACCACAAATCAACAGAATTCTTCCCAGTTTACGGCCCTACAGCCTCTGGATCCACGCCGTATTTCTCGTGATCCCCCTCACCAACATCGTCATTGCCCTCCTTCCCCTCTTCCGCCCCGTAGACGACCTCTCCGACATCCCCCTCACTCCCGCGCAGCGCAAGCTCCTGGGCCTGCCTCCGAGTTCAAAGCCCGCAACCCCCAACTCCGTCTATAGCACTCCTCCACGCTACTCGCGCACCCCCTCGCTGGCCGGCTCGCCCGCCAGCATCAAGAGCTACACGAGCTCTACTCTCCCAACAGCAAGCAGCCCGACTCCTGGTGCAGCCGGCATCGGCGCGGGCTCACCCGCCGCACCCATCTACCTCTCCCCCTCCAAGTTCACGACAAGCACCTCCTCGCAACAATTCAGCCCCTCCCCCTCAGGTGCCAGCCCCCTGCTGCACCGCGCCATCAGCAACACCAGCACCGCGAGCGGCGTAAGCCCCTACGGCTCGCCCAACAGCCCGTCCAAGTTCGGCGCCAGCACGAATTCTACGCTAGCAGCCAGCACAATCAGCACCAGCACTTTCAGTGTTAGCACTACGTCTTCGATCGCGCACGTGCTGAATAACAGCCGGCTTAGGGAGAGCGTGATCGAGGGTGTGCCGGCGACGCCGACGCCGGTGGGGAAAGGGGCTAGCGTCAAGGCGAATAGCAAGTGGTTGTATCAGCGGGGGAGGAGGACGTCGAGTAATAACTGGGTATACTAAGGGTGGTGATATGGATATGGGATGTGTGCGAGTTTGAGGTGGTAAGGGAGGGAAGGGAGGGATGGGGGTAGAGTATTTGGGTGTATATTAACTTCTACGACTATGCGTTTACGATACTACCCACTGAGAACAAGTTTTTGTTGGCGTTCATTCTTCTTGCCTTCTTCAGACGTGATGATGGGAGTGCCCAAACTCAGGGGAAGCCGGTGTCAACCAGATGATATGACCCCAGTGTGTGCAATGTTCCCAGTAAGCAATTTAGCCATAAGTTGGTTTGAACCTGACTGATGCAACTCAACGACTACATCCGTAACACGCCGCCAGCCTTTGCCGCCCAATGCGCCCCGCCTTTTCCATGTTAATATACTACTGAACATCACTGTACAAAAGAAGGCAAACCCTCTCCCCTTTCAAACCCCCCATCACTCTCACACCTCCTTTCAGGAGAAGTCTGCCCTTGCCCTTGCCCTTGCCTTTGCCCCTGCCCTTGTCCCTGGACAACCCCCCTCCCAATCCCCCCCAACGTAATCCCCCCCAAACCCGTGCCAATTCTCTCGACAATATTACTCCCCACTGCATCAACCGCGCCCCTAGGACTCGTCAGGCTCGGCCCCTGCGGCGCAGTCTCCTGCACACGAAACAGCTTTATCCCCGCCTGTGCCGCATTCCACACGCCGACGGTGCCACGTGCCGTGACCTGCATTTCCGCAAAGAAAATCAGCCCCCAGAGGAGGGACTCGTACCAGCCTAGGGCGAGGGGGGACCATTCGAAGGAGTGGATTCTGATGGGGGAGGGGTCGATACCGATGAGGTGGGTGGTGCGGATTTGGGAGAGGAGGGTGGATGATGGGATGGCTGGGGCATATTCGGGGGCAGTAGCAGAAGAGGGGCTCTGAGAAGACGGGGTTGTTGAGGAAGTAGAAGAGGAGATAGCCTGCCGCGGGAGTAGCGCCGACAATTGCTGAAGGACAGTCAAGATGGTATGCAGCGGGAGTTCAGGCAGCCAACTATCGATCCACTGCGCCGTGGGTTCGAATGAGCCGCCTGCCTGGTGATGCATTCCGCTCGTAGGCCCAGGCCCAGACAAACTCCCCAAATTTGTGGTGCTGTTTTGCCGGGAGAAAGTAAAATCGTGCGGGCATGAGCCGGCCGGCAGCTTGCCGCGAGCCTTCTCCGACATGCCCTGCAACTGCCGGGGCACGTCGTCAACGTCGCCTGCGGAGGAAGCTGCTGCGGAGGGCGTGTCGTTGGGGGTCGATGTGGCGGGTGTGGGGCGTGTCTCCTCGGTTTCGTGGTCGTTGTCACTGTCGGACTCGTCGCCGATGGCGAACGTGCCATCCTCGGGGACATCGCCGAGGGTTGGAGCTCGAGAGAGTGGTGCCGTTGGGCTTCTAACGCTGTCGACCGAGGTTCTTGTTGAGCTTGGCTCGAAGGGGTCGGCACCGCTGTCCTTGCGATGCCGGTTGCGCCGCTCGATCTCTTCCTGGCCGCTTTCAAGAGTGAAAGATCGCAGGGCTTCGAATCGTTTTCTGTGTCTGAGGATTGAATAGATGAACTGGGCGTTTTCTGTGGCTTGTATTAGCTCTTGGTTCTGAATTGGAGGTGAGCATCATGAGCGTACTCTCATATTGATGCTCGATAATGGCATTCATAGCCTCGAGCAACGACCGCAGTAGGCGATGGTTCGTCTCGTTGGCCAACAGGAAGGAGGGTGAGGACATGGAACTGAACAACTGGATGAGCTTGGAACATGTGGTTGCACTCAGCCCTTCGAGATAGGCGGCGATGTTGTTGATCACAGCCAGGAGTGCAGGATAGATTGCTGTGAGCTTTCCCTGGCTTGTGGTGATCAGATTGTAGATGGACTTGGATCGGTTAGTCTGGGTTCAGTATAAACTATCGAGCTCTGAAGCCTCAACCTACCTGGATGAGGAAGTCTGCATATGTGCCCTTAAAACCGGCAATGCGTATAGCAGGAGGTAGGGTATCCTGTGCCTCAAATGCCTTGTTAAGGTTGACACCAAAATTCTTTTCCACGCTGAGTGTCTGTAAGATGAAGGCACACATTCGGACGACTCCTTGCTTGGACGTGTCCGTCTTATACTCGAGAGCATAGAAGAGGATCAAGACGATAAAGTCATGCGCCCTCTCCGTGTCCACGATGAAGGCCCTGAACCGCTTGTTGCACTGCAGAATTTCCCAAAAGAGCATGATAATCTCAGGGGCGAACCGCACCGTGGTCTGGGAACCAGGAAGTAAGGCTGCCGTAGTATGAAGGGGTTGGTTCAGGACACGGGTGATGCCGTCCACGACGAACTGGAAGTCTTGGGGCCGGTGAAGACGGCCGAGGTAGTGGCGGTAGTAGTTCTTGGGAGTTGGGAGACCCGGCTCTTCAGGGATGGGGTAGAGCAGCGTCGTCAGAAGGAACTGAAGGGCATATGTGATAAGCACCTCCCTGGGGTCTTTGAAGACGAGAGTATTGTATGGTACCCTCCAGCTTGCTGGGTTGTACTTGAGGGTCTAGTCAGGGGTTAGCTTACACCATGCCTCCGAGAGGGAGAGAAGGAGAGAGAGCCGGCGGGCGAGGGAGACTGACGGTATTGAGCAAAGAGCATAGCACGGAGAGAACGGTCTGCTTGTCAGGACAGGTGCAGATGTAAGTGAGAGCCTTGACTCCTTGCTGGGGCAGGACACTCGGCGACAGGTACATGCTCTGGCTGGCCAACGTCAACAGCAGACGCAACACCTCACACCGATTATTCTCATGGTCCTTAGTAGTAGGTATTGACGTGTTGCAACCCACACCGCTCTGCCAAATGGCATAAGTGACCTTCGGCTTGCCATGTGGTGCCTTGGGGACGGTCAACTCCGAGAAGAAGAGGAAGTCCAGCAGGGTATCGATGAGCTCTTCTGCCAGCGGCTTCACCTCCTCATAATCCTCTGCCGGTGTCTTGATATTCCCGTCTGCATCCGCAGCCCCTCCATCAAACAAGACCTCACTGGCAATGGACGCCTTGCGTGTCTTCCTACGACGAGGAGACCAAAACACACGGTACTCCCACTCGCGCAAGGCTTCCTTCTCATAGATAAACGGGAGGATGCGGGTCAGGACACGGATACAGTTGAGCGCCTCTCGGTCTGGAGCTAGTTCTGGGTCAGGAAAAGAGGGATGGTGGCGAAGCATGAACAGATGCCCCGTCACGGTCTGTATCAATGTCTCGAGGTTCTCAAGGGCATTGTCACGGGTGCGCCGGATGTCGGCAGGGGCGAAAAGGCTGAAGATGTCCTCGGCTGACTCGGGAAGCTCCCAGAACTGTCAAAATATCTAAAGTCAGTACAGTGCATCTCACAGCAGCTACTGCGACAACAAGCGGTCTCTGCAGCTGTGACAACGCGAAACTCACCGCGGCCCAGGACGGGTCGTCAGATGGAATGTGGCGTTCTTCCGACAAGCGGAAGATGCCCTTTTTGAAAACGAGCTTAGAATCGCTTGCGCCCATTGTGCTACTCGGCTGGATGCATTTTGTTCTGACACGGTTAAGCAGGTGGTTGTAGCTGCAAAGGCGGAAAGGTAAAGCGGCGGCGACGACGACGACGACGACGACGACGACGACGACGACAACAACGATGACGATGATGCTACAAGGAAGCTGGTCCATGTGTTAGTTGCATCACTGCCTTCTTTGCAGCCTAACACAACCCTAACCCTTGAAAATATCCCCCACCATCTGGCGGGGAAATCTGCAGCGCCAAGCTGATACCCCCCGGGTTTCATGAACCTTGCTGGTTTGGACCCCCGATTGATGCATGGACCCAGTGTGCGATCTGGCCTCATCGTTATCGCGAGCATCAAACAGCGACCCCCAGTTTGCAGTTAACAAATATCCCAGACCAAAGTCACACGACGACCGTTCCGGCGCCGTGCTTAGAACTGCAAGTTGGCCCATGACAGGGCCAAGGTGATGATCGCCATATCTCTCCTATGCATACGGATTACAAGTGGCCGATTCTACACTCAACTAAGGCCCCGAGCCCGTCCCCGAAGTAAGAAAATCCAACCTTTTGAAGACTTAGAGGCAGACATTCGGTCATACCCCGTCGCCCACCATGTATTCATCCCTCGTCCGCGTCCAAAACACCTTCGGATTCTTCACAACGGTAGTCTGTGTTGTCGCTGCCCTCATAGCTGCCACGGACTTCCTTGCGCCGCGCACCCCTAGCGTGGGCGTGATCAAGCCGACCAATGTCCAAGTGTAAGTTGGCCCGGCTCTTTCTTGCCAGTCCAGGCTCTCTGTGCGTAAAACCGGGCGCTAACATTCTTCTCCCCTCCCAGAGTCAAAGGCCGACCACACTACTACTCTCCCAAGAAGGAGGAATATGCCATTATCAAGTTCTCTCTCGACGCCGACCTGTCATCGCTCTTCACCTGGAACACCAAGCAACTCTTTGTGTACGTGACGGCCGAGTGGCCGTCCGCTCCTGGCCAGAACGCCACCAACCAGGCCGTCATCTGGGACAGCATCATCACGTCCCCTAGCGCCGACCACCTGGCGAACCTGGGCCCCATCGCCAAGAAAAAGCTGATCCGCAGCGCTCAGGGGAAGTCCATCGACCCTAGCCGGTACGTTTGCCCCAATATATCACGCGGTCAGAGTGAGGACTATAGACTAACAACCAATTAGCGGCAAGCTCTCAATCAGAAACCAGCGCCCCAAGTACCAAATCACCCACCCCTCCGGCAAGATGGCCGAGATCGAGGACGTGGTACTGCGCGTGCACTACAACGTGCAGCCGTGGGTCGGCGTCCTAACCTGGAACCAGGACACCGACTTCTTCAAGTGGAAGGCTATCAAGAAGAATGTTAGCAAGAGGTTCTCCTTGCCAGCCATAAAGAAGAGGGAAGAAGGAGGGGCGAGGAAGATCGATGCGAGCCATTGAAAGCAGGGAGTTTTAGGGGTCTAGGTCAGGTAGATCAGTAAGCAAACTACATATAAACGTGTTCTTTTCTGTTTGTTTAGGAATGACCATCGCTGTATTTCATAGGACTACCTCTCTATCCATTCCACGCTCGATTAATGCATGTTCTCGAGAGAATGCCGCCGCCGGGGTATCGTGGTGTCGTGTTCGCTATCCCTGCCCCCTTGCGCCCCCCCCCTTTTTCCTCCTTATGAGAACCTTTTTGCAATGATCAAGACCGGTACAATAGCCTTACATGCAATATCCGTACATTATCATGACACCCGTCAGCCAAGTAGATGAGTGAAACAAGACTACTCCCCAAAACGAGCCACAAACTCCTCCCGAGAGAGACTTTGGATCTCACCCATATGATGACGATCGACTTGTGTCCCGACATGCCATGAACGACAACTTATCTCAACATGCCCAAGTATCTGAAGATCATGCCACATTCTGTTCTTAATCCATCTTCAGACCACCATCGCCTTCATCCGAAACTCTTTATATCTCATCTCCAGCCAGGCCACTCTCTTCAGCTGCCTGCCATCCCGAGGCCCCCTAACCCTGAGAGGCGGACGCCGCAACTTGAGGAGGTTGGGACGCCGCCTGAGCAGCCGGCACACTACCGCGACTAACCCCACCCCTACCACGACCACCTCGGTTACCACCCCGAGCAACGCCGCCACGCCCACGTCCTCGACCACTTCCACGAGCAGGAGCATCCAGGCTCGGCGGGGGCGGCACAGCAGAGTACATAGGTGGGGCCGACGCGGGGTGCGGGATACCAGCACCAACGTTGCCAGGGAGGAAGCCAGCGCCGCCCCGTTGAGGCGTGGCGAACCCGGCGCGGGGAGCGCCACCTCCACGGCCTCCGCGGAACGGGAGGGTGCCCGCGGGGCCACCACGACCGCCGCGGGCACCGCCAGGGGCATGATGGCCGTTAATCTGCTGCTGTGGATGGGATTGCTGCGGTTGATGGTTTTGGTGCTGAGGAGCAGGACGATGAGGGAGGTTGGCGTGTGCAGGAGAACCGTTGCGACCGCCACCACGACTGCCGCCGCGAGGGGTATTGGCACCACCACGGGAATTGGCTGAGCCGTTGACAACGCTGCGGTAAGGAGCCTGCAGAGGGGGCGGAGCGGGAGCATCGCGATACTTCTTGCCATTCAACATGTAGCCGCCGTGAGCAGTCAGAGTTGTGACCGAGGGGTTGATGGGGGCCCTGCGAAGTTGCCCTGCTTTGGTCTCCACGACAAGCTGGCGGTTGGTCAGGTTAAGAAGAACGTTGGATGGCACAGTCTGGCCTCGGAATGGCGGGCAACGATCGCCAAGCGTGGTGCCGCTGAGGAAGGTGACGTCAAAGACGACGTCGATGAGCTTGTTGGTTGGCGTCCTACTAATGCCAACAACCGTGCCCCTAAACGCGATCGGGACCTTGCCCTTCCGGGCGACATAGACAACACGGTCGCCCAGGGAAAAGACTTGATTGCCAAGGCGATGCTCGGCATCCTCCGGTCGGATGACGGCATTACGCGGGACACCATTCATCTTCTTGGACACAGTCTGCTGGTTGCCCAGGCCGAGTTCATCGGCTTTCGCGGCAAGCCGCATAACGACATCAGAATCAAGCTGCTCTGCATCGAGAGGAACACGCTCCATCGAGCTGGTCTTCAGCGTCTTCAGCCAGGCACCGATCTCCTTAACTCTGGCCGTCGCATAGGCGGGATCAGGGAACAGGTCCGTCTCGTTCAACTCAGAGCCCGATGGATTCTTCACAATAGCCGCAAAGAAATCAGGAAAGCGCCGCATGTACTCGCTGATCAAAAGCACAGCTGCTTGGCTAAACTCCCAGCCGGTGGCAGACTTGCTAGAATAGCCCAGCACCTTTTGCTTCTTGCTCTCAAACTTTAGGTTCAAACCCAAGTTGACCCGTAGATCACCAACCGTCCGGACATAATACGACGATGTGATCTTGCTGAGAGTCAGAGGATGGAGGCCCAACTGCTTTGCGACCATGTATGAAGGTTGGTAGAGCTGGCTTCTATGTGCCTCGTGGATAATCTGCTTGGCGAATTCTGGCTCGCGCGCGGTTGGAACGGCCAGCCAGATGGAAAGCTTGCCGTCTTTAGTGTAGCCAACAACTTCCAGAGGCTGGCCGTAGTTGTAGTCGCCGACGAAAAAGCCATTCGACTTGACCGGGAACTCTTCCTCGATCGGGAGCGCGGCTTGCTCAATGAAGCGTTCATCTTCGTTGACGACTTCATCGACAATTATCTGAGCGGCGTAGTCGGTCTCCATTCCCGGAACCTCCCCATACTCCTTGACTGTAGCGCCTTCGTCGGTCTTTCTCAGGCCCTTGAGCATATGGACAGTCACCAAGGACTCGACGGGCCCGATCAGGATGCCCAAACGCTTGCTGTAAAAGTTCTCGATCCTCTCGGCCTTCTTCTTCCACTCTTCAATCTCACGCGGGGTGTGGTGCCTTTCAATAACTTGGCCACTGCCATCGCTGGCCAGAGTGTACTCAAATAGTTCATCAGACACGGCAACAACCTTTGCTTCTTGCAGGAACGGATATCCAACAAAGCACCGCTGGCCGAGCTTAACTTTGGCAGTATCGATCTTGGTGCGCAAATGAGAATCGGTCAAGCGCACAATCATGCTCTCATTGCGGCTTTCTTGCTGGAACACATTGACGCCGTGAAACGCAAGGCTGGCCGTGTACGGCAAAGTAGCCAGCGTTGGAAAGCCAGCCAGAGCCTCCACGTTGAGCAGTGCGCCTTCGGCCAAGCCGGCCCTGTACTCCAGACCCTCCATAGGAGGGAGATCGAAGATGTTCTCGACGCAGTGGCAGTGGAAAATAGGAGGGAAGACGTCAACAAGCGAAGAGGGATAAACAAAGTCCACATCCTCCGAGTATGTGAACTTGAGGGGCACGCCAAACTCGTTGCGCGCCTTCTCTTCCTCAGTGAGCAAGGCATTTCTGGGGGCCATGGCCTCCAGAAGCCTCTTCTCGTCAATGAAGGGGATCTTGACGACGGCTTCCCAGTCCATCTTCTTGCCGTTCAGATCCAGCTCAAACTCGCGAGGGTAGAAGTCGATAATGGGCGAGTTCGGGTCGGTCATGAGATCCCAGTAGACCTTAGGGACGATCTTCTTGCTGCGATCCGGCAAAACGCCCATAAGCTGCTCATTCGGCCTGAACGGCTGGCCAAGCTTGAAATTGAGGTCCGCACCCAGACCTTTTACGACGTCCGAGATCATGGGGGCGTAGTGGTAGCCGTAGAACCAAGGCCAAGAAGCAATACCACGGTAGTAATAATATAATACCCACTGAAGCCCCTGTACGTAGTTCTCGGCCATCTTCTTTAGCTCCTGCTCCAGGTTCTGCGGAGTCCAGCCGTCCATCTTTGAGAGGTAGTACTTGTCCTTCCATTCCTGGAATTTCTGCTTGTACTTCTCCTGGACAGCAGCCTTGGCTTCCTCCGAGGAAAGATCGAGCACCTGGGCGTTGTCGTATCTCTTAGCAATGCGGTAAAGCGCCGCGTGGGCCTCTTCATCCTCTTCGTCATCTTCGTCCATGACCGGACGAGACAGGACGAGATGCCGAATACCGTCATCGTCTGGCTTGGTAGCCCATTCGATATGAGCGGCCTCAGCAAGGTCCTCGACAAACTTGCGGTCGGCCGCATTGAGATCGGCGCCAAGATCCAGAGTCGGGGAGGTACTGTTGAGCAGCCATTTACGAATCTTCTGCTTCCACAAAGCCTTCTGGCTCGGGCTGATGATGAGCTTTCCTTTGGCTTTCGCTTTTGCCTGCTCGGCCTCATTGTTCTCGAGCATCTTCTTGCCCTGGAGCCACTTGGTATCTTCGTGCTCCTGTTCAAAAAATCGATATTCCTCTTGCTCCAATTCCTCCAGGAGAATTTTGAGACGGTCAAGGTTAACCTTGCCATTCTCGTTAATGTAGCCATCGCACTTGGGAAGCACCTTTTTGTATATTTTGAACATGAGGGCCAAGGCGCCTTCATTGATGTGAAGGCGTGGCAGGTTCGGCAAGAAGTCGTTGCCGACGAAGAAAGCCATGAGGATAAAGTCATCAATAACCCGTTCCATGTCAAACGGGAAAGGTATTGCACCCGGCTCTTTCAACTCCTGAAACTCGAGTTCCAGGTACTCTCGCACTATGCAGAGGTGCAAGAGATAAAAATTCTGATGCTCGAGCTCTTTGGATTTGTGCTTTGCTTGGCGGCCAAACGTCACCTCCTCACGAAGAAGACAGAAGTGGGGATCATGGCTCAAGAGACCGAGCATAATAAGGTCGGCGTCGAGTCCGTACAGACAATGACGAGTGTTGGGGTTGTAGTCAGGCTGGGCACGGGCATTACGAATGTACTCCATAATCTTGTGCTCTCCCTCGCCGGGGACTTCATGGCCGGAGAGAACAATTTCGGGTCCCTGCCAATCCCTGTCCTCGGAGACCTTCTTGTTAATGAAATACTTCAGCTGCAGGGAAAGCTTCGCCATAAACTCGGTGCCTGGTGGGAAAAAAAAAAGAAGATCGAAGAGTCAGCGGCGGACAAAACACAGAATGGGAACAGCAATAGAAAGACCGAGCAGGGCATGCACACCTGGCGTAATGCAGTTGCTGTCAAAGGGCTCTTCCTTTGGGAGCTCTTTGCCTTCGCGGAGGGCCTTTTCACGGGCCCTCTCAGCATCCAGAGCGGTCCGGAAGCGCCTTGCGCGCTGCTGGTTCATTTTGGCGCGCGGGGCAACACCGTCGACAGCCATGAAGAAGAGCTTCTTCGGCTTGATTTTCCCAAAGAGGTGCTCGATGTAGTTGAAAATGGCAATGAACATTTCCTCCTCGGTAAGACGGAAGTGCACATCGTCAACATCCTTGTGTGTGCAATTGTGGATGATGCCATTCATGTCCAACTATGAGAGACGGTCAGCGGGGGAACTCTGGGTCAAGAAGCAATTCGGGCTTCCGGGAGGCTCGCGCACGTAGAGACAGTCGAACTCGGGAATCCGGTTCTCGGCAATGAGCTGCGAAATGGCAGGGTAGCGCTCAGAGAGCCACCTGAAGAACTTGGGGACACTGAGCGATAGAAGTCAGCAACAGTTTGCAAGATGGCGACAAGACCACGCGACTGCCTGTAGTCGTGTAATCGACTTACCCCATGGCTGCGACGAGTCGCGCGACACTGCGCTAGAATCCTTACAGGCGTCGGAAAGTTGTTGGGAGAGTCGGTCAGAGACGGCGATGACGAGGGCGAACACTGCTCCTCGAGTGGCAGACAGGGAACTCGAGAAAGCTAAGAAAGTAGGATACGCAAAAAGGTTGTACGCGATACCGGCGCTGAATAAAAACGGCCGGGATGCTTGTTCCGCTGGGTAACTCGAAAACAACAAAAGCAAGGAAAACCTTAGGTGAGTGAGTCGATCGGTCGCGGAACGTCCAGCGAAGAGAAGAGGGCTAGACAGTGGAGCGGGTCAGCGCGGGGGATGGAGGCCTGGGGCAATCAGACTCAATGCGCTGCCTCCACGTAAATCGTCTTCTGGAAAGAAATATGTATACGGTAGCAAGGAAAAGTGGCAGCGAGGCCGACGATCGCGACTAAGGGAATGTGAGGGAAAAAAAAGAATTACTATCGCGAGACAAAAAGTGGAAGAAGGGAGGAAGTCGAAGCAAAGAAGCTGTCGAGAGGAATGTAGGCACAGTGCGCGGGTAGGTGTGGTAGGTGGTACAGGACTTAAGGACACCCACTGGGCTCTGGGCTGTTCTGTGCCCCTGCTTTTCGCCTTCGACAGCGGCTGGGGACGGCAGCCGGCCACTCACAAAGCAAGACCTCTGCCGGATCAGTCACCGGCGACAACACATAGGACCACATGCCTGACAGGACTGCCCGACAGCTGCCAGATGCCTGAAGAGGCGCTCTCTTTTCTGCTACCCGTTGGCCGCTGCACGGCTCACGCGCTGCTGCCCGACCTGGCAGCTTTTGGGGTTCCAGATTGCCCCACTTTAAATCTGAGGCTTGAGCCTTCTGCGGCGCTGCCCAGCAAAACGGCGCCCGCTGGGCCTGCCTCATGATGGTGTGGGTATCCGTCAGGGTTCGGGTTCCGCTGACAACTCACTAAGCTTGATTCGGATTGGCGCATTCGAGCGGCCGAAGATCGCGTGGGTGCGTTCTATGCTCCACACACGCCGCCGCAATTAAGATCGCGTCTCGCGGTGCGTTGTCGTGGGCTTTGATCTGCGTTTTTGCCTACCAAGCTTTGTCCTTGCAACACCACTCCAATTCAATTCCAACCATCACCCCGCAAACCATCTAAACACTAAAACAGCGGGTGTTGACCACGCTTTCAGACATCCGTTTGCCTAATATCTGCCCTAATACAACCACAGAGTTCCGCGTTTCGCAGAATCTCTTACAAAGCAAGCCTTATACCGATTTTCTTACAAAAGAGCAGGATTCACAGCCTCGCCGCCACAATGCCTCCCGCCGACGTGGTTGATGATCATGACGGTCTGGCTCGCCCTTATCCTTTTCTCAATTGTCCTAAGGTTGGGCTCTTGATTTGAGACGAATAAGCTAACTGCCTGTACAGTCGCTATCGACGATCAGGATGATGCCGACATGGAGCAGCGGCTCATCAATGAGGGTAAGTGGTTTTCCCAGGGCAACAGCCACTTCAATTAACAGGCAAATACTGATCCAAACCAGAATACAAGACTTGGAAGAAGAACAGTCCGTTTCTCTATGACATGATCCTGAGGTCCGTGAGCTTGCTGCCCTCCGTAGAGGATCAAAGCCTGCTAACTCTTCCCAGCACGGCCTTGGAGTGGCCGACCCTGACTACACAGTGGTTTCCCGATGTCAAGGACGTAAAAGAGAAGAACTACAGGGTCCACAGGCTACTTATTGGCACGCACACTGCAGAGGGCAAGCCGAATTACCTCCAGATCGCCGAGGTCGAGATTCCGAAATCGGTCGACCCCAACCCGCGCGATTATGACGACGAGCGTGGTGAGATTGGTGGTTATGGGGGCAAGGCGTCATCAGGCGAGCCGCCTGTCATCAAGTTCAACATTGTCCAGAAGATTGATCACCCTGGCGAGGTCAACAAGGCACGCTATCAGCCCCAGAACCCTGATATTATCGCAACGCTTGCCGTCGATGGCAAGGTCCTGATCTACGACCGCACCAAGCACAGTCTGCAGCCCACTGGTACCCCCAATCCTCAGATCGAGTTGGTCGGCCATAAGGAGGAAGGCTTTGGTCTGAACTGGAACCCGCATGTGGCTGGTTGTCTCGCATCTGGTAGTGAGGATAGGACGGTGCTACTTTGGTTCGTGCTCATGAACCCAGAAGTTTAAGTTGTACAACAAAACAGGCTGACTTGTATCGCACAGGGATCTCAACACAGCGCAAGGCAAGACTCTGAAACCGTCACGCCGGTATACACACCACACCCATATCGTCAATGACGTTCAGTACCATCCCATGGTCCCGCACTGGATTGGCACCGTCTCCGACGATCTGACACTTCAAATCCTGGACGTTCGGAGTGCCGAGACGACGAGGGCTGCTGTTATTGCTCGTGACGGCCACAGCGACGCCATCAATGCCCTTGCTTTCAACCCGCGCTCCGAGTTCCTCATCGCCACCGCCTCGGCCGATAAAACGATCGGTATCTGGGATATTCGCAACCTCAGGCAGAAGATCCACACGCTCGAGGGCCATAACGATGCCGTGACCTCGCTGGCATGGCACCCCGTCGAGACCAGCATTCTAGGCAGCGGCAGCTACGACAGGCGCGTCATATTCTGGGACATCAGCCGCGCGGGCGAGGAACAGCTCCCAGAGGATGCCGAAGATGGCCCGCCGGAGCTCCTCTTTATGCACGGTGGCCATACCAACCATCTGGCTGACTTCAGCTGGAACCTAAACGATCCCTGGCTCGTGTGCAGCGCCGCTGAAGACAACCTGCTCCAGATCTGGAAGGTGGCTGATTCTATCATCAGCCAGGACGACGTTGAGATGCCAATGAACGAACTGGACGCGTCCAATTAGAAGGGGGACCGCAAGAAACAGCCGATGCTGCGGCAAGTTGTGCGCCAGCACCAGCAGGCAAAGTTACCTCGGCGCCCAGTTGCTACTCCGGAGACCCCGGTGGTAGCGCGTCCGGTACCGATGAGCAAAGCTCTTCTCGGTGACGTCGCGGACCCTGAGCCGGACAGGTTGACGTATGTAACGACCAGAAGAGCGTGGGCCGAGTTTCTCAAGAGTACAACCCGACAAGTCAAGGGTTGAGCGCAGTAAGACGGAGTTCAGGAATGTTGGGTTTGATTTTTATGGGGGGATCATCATGGTCATGGATCTAGGCAATGGAGTCGCTAGGCTACCTTTGGTAAGGGCCGAGTGGCGCAAAGGCATACATGATTTGTGATATGTTAATAGTAAAGTTACAGCTTTGATAGGCCAAGCAGACTCCCCAGATATGGTATTGTCCGAATGGAGATGGTGTCCATCATCCATCATTGAGGTGATTTCGGTCTCTCCTCTCTTGCCCTGCCCTTGACCAAAATACTACGGGCAGCAGCAACAAAAACGTTGTGTCGAGTCCAAAATCCAAAGAGCGAGAAGATCTAATCCACGCATGATTCATGTGATCAACAGAGCTACCGGCAATTTCCAGAGCGATTGCACAGCTGGGTAGGTAGGCAGCTTAGTATTGTTCTCAATGGTTCACGATCCTATTGTTTGTTGACTTTGAATAGGAGTTGAATGCCCGCAAGTTGAGGCAATGGAACACTCTCCCCCTCACACGCCCAACCTCTTTCCCCTCGAGTTCGCAGCTGTGCAGCTGTGCTCGCAATCTGAAGTTATTGCGAGGTCCTGTAACTTCTTTCCTTCCTGTATCGCCCTGTTGGCTTTTTTTTTCCTTTCTCCTTCTTTCTCCCTCGCCGCCTTCTGGCCATAGTTACGAATGATCACTGCCAATATCTCTGTCATTCACAACAGCCAGTATTTCATAACCGACCCATCTTCACTCTTTAGCCATCAAGCTGGCTGGCTGTAGTCTGTGTATTACAGACAAAGTCATCATCATGGCTTCTCCTTTCAACCCAAACAACAGGCCGGCCAACCCGGTCAGCCTGATCAACCCTGCCAACGTAGGCGAGGATGGCAACCCTCTGCCCAGCATCGCCTCTCTTAACCTCAATGGATTCATCCCCGACGAGCAAGCCAGGCTTGCTGCGGCCCGTGCTTCTCGCCAAAGGGCCACTTATGAGGAGATTGCGGCCAGGAGTATCAATCCCGATGTCCAATCTTTCATCGAGCACATAAACAAGAACCCCACCCACTCGTTTAAACGCAAGAAGATCGGCATCGATGCTCTGAAGAAGATCTTTGAGGAAGAGGAGGAGGAGAAGGAGGAGGAGGAGGAGGAGGAGGAGGAGGAGGAAGATAGTGAGGACGAACGTCAGGCACTTGCCCGCCGCCTTCAGAAAGAAGAGGAAAAGAAGCGTTGCGAGGAAGAGGAGTTCCAGCGGGAGTGGAATGCTCTCATGAAGGTATCCAAGGTGCAGGAAGTCGATCCTGAACTTGTGGCCCGATTCCAGCATATCGCTCGAGTACGCATTCAAATGATGAGGAGGGCTACCGAGGAGTGGGATAAGTTGCATGTCCAGCCCAAACCAAAGCGCATCAACATCCTACGTCGTCTCTGCCGCATCCCAGAGCTGGTCGTAGAGGTGGGCAAACACCTCCGCCCAGTCGATCTTGTGAACCTCTACAGCGTCTCCCGCGACTTTCACGATACTCTTAACAACCAGATGCGTAGCTTCGTCCTCGCCTGGGCAAGCCATATGGCTCCCATCGGGTCCCACATTTATTCCAGCCCTATGTACTACAAATACTTTACCAAGGATCCGGCTGGCAATCTTGTGACTGAGCTGGATAAGGAGGCAATGAAGCCCAAGCCAGGTCAGCCATCGTTGCCCGACATGTGGCCCTTCAACCGAGATGGCGTAGTCCGCAAGATCCCCGGCCTGCAGTGGCTGCAAATGGTTGTCAATAGGGAGATCCGTGTGCGCGATATCCTAGCTGTGCTGGCCAGGAATGGTCATCGCATGCCCAAGGGCTCTCATCTCACCCTTCACAAGCTCTGGGTTATCATGGACATTGCAACTAGCGAGACCCGGGTCAACCTTCTCAAGGACCAGGAGTTCTTCACCGACGAGGATCTCTACATTGCCCAGCAATTCATGGTCAAGCTTGTCTTGCACTTCAACAGCCCATACTGCGGTCCCCAGACCACGCGACTCATGCGCTTGATGATGGGCCAGCCCAGTCTATCTGTCCTGTGGGCTCTGCTCCGCCGCAAGAAGTATACAACGCGCGAGGAGATCCGCGCGCTCAAGCTTCGGTACGACGTTCCCCCGGAGTCCGTTCACGCGAACATGAGGCTCTGCGGCGTCCCCATCGAAGAGATGGGAATCATGCACTTGGAAGGCTGGGGCGCCGGCGACGGTCACCTTCTGCGTCCAGACGAGCTGATCCCTCTTGAAGCGATGAGGCGAATGCTCCCCCTGCACCAGTACATCGACGACATGATGATCTACGGCCACATTAACCTCGAGACGGGCGACCCTGAGGTCCCTTCGGTGGAGGAGATGTACATGAGCGACGACGAGCTCGGACCGATGTATAAGTGCTGGGAGCCCATGCACAACACACCTATCAACGGCGGCTGTGGCAACGTACCATTCGAGTGGAAGAACTGGCAGCCTAAGCATGCCAGGAAAGCGCGCTGGGACGAGCTCACTGAGGAGGAGAGACAAATGATCATCGACGACGACAAGCGCGAGATGAAAGCCTGCAGGGACATTGAGGGAGCCCAGCATGAGTTCGAGCGGGTCCGCGACAAGCTCCTGCGCCAAGTGCTGGCATGTCGTACCCACAAGCGGCACATGAAGAGCAAGACGTTCAGGGTGTACGAGATCGCCCTCGAAGACATGGCCCAGGAGCTGATCGCCGTCCAAGTGGCCGCTACCACCAGCAACAATCCGGACGCCATGGACATCGACAGCAAGCCGGTCATCACCACCGTCACGAGCCCCAACGACATCTCCGACTCCGAGATCGATAAAGACCTCACCCTGGAGCCCATCCCACAGAACGACCCTGTAGCCTTCTGGAGACGTCGCAGCACGACCCGCCGGTACTACGACTACAGCCAGTGGGACGACGATTTTGAGGAGTCGTTGTCCTCGTCGTCGGCCAGCGAGGACGATGAGGACAGCTTCCGCAAGAAGTACAAGAAGCTGCTCGACGAGATGTCCGAGAAACTGAAGCAAAAGATGCCTGCTCACGTCACGACCTTCAGCATCGGGTGTATTCCGGCCATCAAGCATTCCAAACGCCCTGCCCAAGGACCAAGTAGGTCTACGGCCATCACGGACGAGGAGCTCCTCGCTCAGGCGGACCAGGAGTACGCAGATGAGGAATTAGATTTAGATAGCGATGGCCTCTGCGAGAACGGCCTTGCGACTCCGTTCGACTGGGATGACTATGTCAGTCATCCCGAGAAATATTTGGCTGGCGAGGCGGATCTGGACGAGGAGAAAGAAGAGGAGTATGAGGGTGATGAGGAATTGGAGGGCGATGAGGAGTGGGAGGGGGATGAGGAGTGGGAGGGTAATGAGATGGAGAATGATTTTGAGAGCGATGGCGCCGGTAACTTTTCAGATGAGGATGAGTTTGGGGAAGAGGAAGAATGGCAGGACGAAGGCGAGGAAGACGAACAGCATGTCACTGCTGCTCATATTGAGATTGAGCATGACGTGGCCATGTACTTCGCCGCGGAGGAAGCTGAAGACCAGGAAAGTGAGCGGATGATGAACTGGTATCGGCCTTTCTGAGAGAATCACCACCAACGTTCCCTTTGTGTATATTCCTCCCTCCTCTTTCCCATGCTTCTCTTTTATCGACATATTTTTTTTTTTACTTTCTTTTTCCCTTTTCCATCGGGTGTCCACACCTCCAATCTTGATTGTTGTTTTCGTCTCTCCCTCCTGGTTCTTGTTCAGACTCCCTTTACCCTGTTCCCTGCAAACTACTTCACAGTTTTCCCTTCCCAGTTGATCTTAGTCCATTCAAGTTCAAGTACATTCCCCATGATTTCAACAGTATGTGTCTCAACTTCTCAGACATGGCTAGGATTTAAACTAGGAAAAGGCTTCTGTGATTTGACACAGACTTTGTTTTAGGACAGGTTTCAGGGAAGAGAAAAATGGCGTTCTGGAGGAGGGAACTGGTATCGCTGTTGCTTCGCATTCCTCTCGTCTTGTTTCCCTGACATCAGCAATATCCCACTAAACTACCCCTAGGTACTCTTTGGGTAATTCCTCCTCAATGGATGCTTGCGCCGATGCTCAACTTCATGTCCAACATGATGTCCAACATGACGTGTCCTGTCCTTCAACTCCTGTCGTAGAAATCGAATACGCCCGATCCTCATTGGGGGGGTGGGTAAAATAATAAAGGTGAGTAGAAAGTAGCAAGACACTGGTGTTGTGATCCAGACTTTGTCTCTTTCTCACAATGCTAAGGCTCGACATCGTCTCTATCGACACTCCCGTGAAAATGCTGGCTTAAAACATTTTATTTCTAAGAATCTTACTCTTACCTTCTTTAAACCCCCGAAATCACGATATGGTTCTCAACCTGACGATTCTCAAAAGGTATTCTCAGTAGCTCACGACCACAGGATATACAATCAGCCTTCATTATATCTTCTTGATCCATGTTATCCATGTTGGGAGATGCGCATGCTAGCAGCTCTGTATACTCATATGGATCCCAAGGCAGTTAATCTCATTACTCAGTGGCGCAAGAAACGGGCAACGACACAGTCTATAGATGATCCGAAGAGAGGATGGCCTTTTCTTTGGCAGAAAACAAGGAGAATCAGGGTACAAACCCCATTAATTGACAAACAACCAAAAGGGATAGTGATGACAACCTCCCATATGTCCCCTCCTAACCTAGCCTGGCAATAATCAACCGACCAACCTACCCATCAGCCAGCCAGCCCAACCCCATGGAACCTGGAACCAGAGCAGCCCAAACCACCGAAACCCAGCCAGCCCAACAGCCCTTCCGCGGCCCCTTTCGAAAATACCAATGGTGTAAATTGTGCTGTTGTTGGTTGACACCCAGTTCCCGCCGCCCCCTCCAAAACAACCAGCCGAGTTCCCTTTCCGAATCCCCCAGCAATTTTTCATTCCATCCTCCTTTCTTGTCATCATCATCCCAGAAAAATAGGAACGAAACGCAATTCAATCTGGAGCAAACTGTTTGTGGTGTAGCTAGTAGGTAAAGGTGGATAGGTAGATAGTGATCGATGATATGTGGATCATAATTGGTAAAGGACCAAAAAAAAAGGAGCAAAGAGAAGAGATGCCAACATAATGGCCTGAATCAAGAGGTGGAGGGGGGGAGAGAAAAAAATAAACAGATTAAACACACAAGCTGCAACTGGTAAGGGCAAGGGGGGTTGATTATCCCCTAACCGACCCAAACTATATACCTTCACGAGCATCAACAACCACACATCATCCAGGGAAAAGAAGGCCAGGTATAACGGAAAAAACGAAAAGAATAGCCCCATTGTGACACTCCCTCGCTATGCACCCATTCACCAACCCCTTCTGTTCTCCCCCGAAAAACTCCACAACCTTCAATTAACCATTCTTTTTTTTTGTCTTTTCCCTTCCCTACGGGACCAACCAGCTAACCAGTCAACCAACCGACCAACCAACACCCCAACCCCTAACCGTTTAGATGGTGTAAACGTGCCAGCACCCGAATCCCAAGCAACCTGAGCCCAGCCTATTCCCATCCGTTCATCCATCCATCCACCAATTCCACCCATCCCAAGCAACCTCTGAACCCCTATACCCCCCAAGCTCCCAGCACCAAGCACCCATTCCTACCCATACCGACAAAATACTTCCCGGATTAGTATTCCTTTTCTTAAGGGTTCCTTGAACAAAAATCGGACAGATCCGACTAACGAGGGGTTTCGTTACAATGCAGGAAAAAGCGTGGAGTGTGCCGTATGCGCCGGGCAAAGTCTGAGTTGAGATGATGATATGGAACACATTAATGAATTGCCTTGCCAAACCAGCCCAACCCGAACCTCCGCGTGTCATGCCTTGTCTTTCCCCCCTCCCCCGTTGCCGAAACGAAAACGAGCAAAAAAAAAAAAAGAGCAGTAATAATAATAGAAAGAAAAGAGCCAGAGCAAAACGAAGATTGTCAAAAGAGCAAGTCCACCAAGATTGAGAGAAAAAACCTCAGGCCTCGTAAGTATGGCATGCTTCTCTTGACGCGTTTTGTTTTCCCCCGGCCCTTTGCCTGTCAATTTTTTTTGTTGCCAATCCATCCCATTTGCCGCCGCCGCCGCCGCCGCCGCCCTCAAAAACAGAAAACCCAGTTGAGTGACACCCGGCCGCGCGTGCTTTAACTTGAACCCCCTCCCATCCCAAATGCCCCATTAAATAAACTGCGCACCCTTGAGGTGCCAGATTTGCTGAAATATTGCCAAAGCCTAAATGATCTCTATCCCTCATTCCAAAGTTTGCCTAAGAAGAGAACGCTGCGAGGTTGAAAAGAGCCGGCAGAGGGGTGCAACTGCCTTCAGGCATTAGGCGAGCGTATTTGTTGACCCGTGTTTTACGCCGGGGACTTGCTCGGAGGAGCAGAGCCGCCATTCTGGCGAGCATCCTGGTTGCTGACGGACAGACTGCTGATGCCCGAGGAGAGGAAAGCGAACGGATCCGACTCGTTCTGGGAGTAGAAGTTGTTCGCTGGGCCAGCAGATGCAGGACCATTGCCAGCAGACTGGAATGCAGCTTCGGCCGCACGGCTGTCAAACGGGCCCGCCGAGTGCGAACCCGGAGCCGGGCCGAAGTGAGCGTTCAGGGGAGGGTAAGGGGCAGCACCGCCGCCCAGGCCAGACGGCAGGGCATAAGTGCTCGGAGGGCCGCCGAAGTGCTGGTTGTAGCCAGCACCAGAGCCGAAGCCAGCGGCGGCAGAACCGAAAGGCCCAGGACCCGGAGTAGCACCAATGGAAGACTGGCCCATACCGTAGGCAGAAGGGGGATCCATCGGGGAAGGATAACCTGAATCGGCAACGACAGCAGCACCAGCACGGCTGGCGCCGCAACGCAGGCAACAAACGTTCTTCGCGAAGTTGTGATAGCCGCAGACCTCGTTACCGCACTTCCAGTCACCAGCACGGAAGGGAACAACACCGGAACCGCCCATGCGACCATGGCCACCAGCATGGCCGTGATGGGCCATGTGGTGAGGGGGAGGAAGCATGGGAGGAGCATAGCCGTAACCGTAGGCAAGCTCGCCAGCCGGGCCAGCAGTGACGGCTGGGAACGAGCAACGGAAGCAGGCAGTACGGCGCTGGAAGTTGGAGAAACCGCAAGAGGGGCAGGTCCAGTCGCCGGGACGAGGGCGGTTCTTGCTAGGAGGGAACGGGGTGAGAATCTCAGCCGCGCGATCCAAGACACGACTCGACGACGGAGAGACCTCGATGGCCTTCTCGTTCAAAGCACGACCGTTCATGCACAGACTCTCAGCTGCCTGATCGTAATAGATTAGTCTCTGGATCACTGGCAGAGAACAAGGGAGTCAACTTACCTCTTCATGAGAGGAGAAAACGGCAAAGCCAGTGCCGGTAGGCTTGTGCTGCTCAGGCGTACGCAGCGTCCAGAAAGCGATGGGGCGGCCACCATACTGGGTGAACCAGCTCTCTAGCTCCGACTGGGTGGTATCATGAGGAAGGCCAGAGAGGTGCAGGACCTTGCTCCGTTCGGCAAGGAACGCACGCACATCGGCGCGGGCGTCCATGGGACGGGTGAGCACATCCGGGTGCTCATGGGGAGGCTGTGACTTGCGGATCAGACCACGCAGCACACGAGCCAGAGTCAGGGCCTCCTCGAGGGCACGACGAGGCGAGGCCGGAGCCAGCGACTGCAGATGGAAGGGAAGATTGTGCTTGATGGGGGCGCTGGACTGCACCGGCTCGACCTCAAGGGCAGCGCAGATGTTGGCCAGCGACGAAGGACCGAAGGGCAGCGACTCTGGGTGATGCTGCTGCCAACGCTGGTATTCGGTACGGAGTTCGAAGGCGCGAGAGTGCTGCAGATATGGAGGGAGCACGACCGACTTGTCACGGGCCTCACGCGGGAGCTGCACACGCAGGTCCCAAGCCTCCAGCGTAACAAAGACGAAGTCGAGGTTCTGGGAGGTAAGATGCTCGTTGACAAAGGCATCGAAACGGTTGATGGCATCCCTGAAGGTGCCGGCGTTGCGGACATGTTCCCATGTGAGCGTGGTCAGGCTCGCTGGAGGAGAGAGAAGAGCAGATAAGTCAGCACCAGAAACAAAAGGCACTAAGAACAGAATTGGCCACTCGCCAGACCGATTGGCGGCGATAGCCACGGGCTGTACTCACTGCATAGGGGAGTAATGGGGGTATTGACGGGCTTGACGAGGATGCTCTCGCGGTGAAGCTGCAGACAGAAGCAGAGTGTGAGCAGATGGACTCAGACTCGAAGTCGGCCCCAGATTTTTTTTTTTTTTTTCAGGGGTCGACGATCAGGCAAAAGAGCAGCAGCATGCGCACCTCTTCCAGACTGTTGGCATCCAGCAGGATCCAGCCCAGCTCAATGACCTCGGCCGAGTCCTTAGTCACGTAGACGCCGTGCTCGTCGCAGGTGGTGGCGACGTGGATGACGATGTAGCGGTCGGTCTTGAAGGCCGGGGTCTGTTGATGTTGGGAAGCCATGGCTGCGGTGAGTCGGGAGGGCAGCGTCGATGTCTACAATCGATTCGGTGCCGCTTGCCGAGGATGCCGCCTGTCAGCAAAAAACAGAGAGACCAGTGTCGGTTAGCCAGACGGCCATCAACATCGGCGATGATACTGTGTCTAGAGAAGGGGCTGAGGTTGAAGCCGAGTGCGTACCTTTTTGTTGCCCGGTCGGTGGACGCTCGCTGGACGCAGGACGGGGCTGCGGCAGCAAACAGCGGGTTTTCGGGAAAATGTAGCAGCAGACGGGGCGGGCTGCGGACTGCGGGTTGTGAGCAGACTGCACACGACTGGGACTGGGAACTGTGGATTGTGGGTTGTGTGGACTGTGCTGGGATGCACGAGGCCCACGGGTCCCAAAACGAGTTTACCGAGTCCACCCTGCTAACGGAGCAGAAGTACTTGACCAGACCCCAGTGGCCACAGGGGAAGTGCGGAGCTGCGCACGGGTCGAAGTCCCCTACTGGCCCAACACCGCCAGCACTGTTATCCAGACCCAAAGGACGCACCTGAAGGTTTGTACGAGGACTGCGGCAGGCGCCAGGAGTCACTGATCGAGACTGTGATGGTGCTGACCAACTACCAGCGTTGAGAGTTGTGCACAACACCCGACCGCCACGGGACTGCCTTCAACTTCCGTAAAAATACGCGCACGTTAAAAATGATTGAACTCTTACCCTGTCAGCCTTGGGAGGTAAGAAATCCTAGAAGAAAAAGGATCCAGGCAGAAAACGTGCCAATGGCAAATCGCTCTCGGCTGGCAAAAAGAGGGAAGGAGCACGGCTCGGTGGTTGGTGCTCGCGCAGTTTGAGAGGCTTCTCTTCCCGGGTTGCGTGTCTCGGCGCAGCCTCTTCCACGATTGAGAGATCGGGATTGGGAGAGGCAGTGGAGCAGCAAAAAGGAAGGTTGCGATGGCGGAAGGCCGCAAAGCTCCAAAAGTCAGACTGCCAATGCAGAGAGTGGGTTATGACCTGGTCACAGGTTGAAACGGGGGCTTCCACTTGGGAGAATTGTTGAGGAAATCGAAAGCAGGCAGACACAAGTTCCCCAGGGAGCAGATACCAGATACTGGGAAATGGCAAGTCAGGCACGTATCAGTCTCCGGGCTCTGATCTGAATTCTCGCATGTTCCCCCGCTGATTCATCCAATCTGGCGAGCACGGAACAATTGGTAGGTTTTTTTTTTTTTTTTTGTTTTGGGGGGGGGGGGGGGCGGAGAGGGGGCGGGCAGGTTGTCAGGTTGGCCTGAGGATAAAACTCTCACGAGTCCTACCATCCATTCTACGAATTGCTGCGTCCATCGCGATATCATGGACACGTTTACCACATAGCAGCTATACACCCACAGCAGATGGTCAATTCCAAATATACTTATAGTTTATAGATATTTGTATCTCCGGATGGGGCAATCCTGATCCTTAAGCAACACAGATCTCAATTTATGCAAATAACTGGCTGCGCTTTTGGTGCATGTCTTCGCTCTTACGACACAAGAAATGCATCTTCTGCCTGCAGAAGTCGTGAGAGCCAAGGCCTTGGATCTCTAAGGGAACGGTCCGCGGATTGGTCCGAGCACCAGGTACCTTCAATGTGGCGTCCAGTGTAGCTCATGCTACGTAATATCAGCACAGGTAAATGTACACACATCCGAACATGGCGATTTGATATGGAAGATGCCTTAGGATCTCGTTCGAACTTCATGTCCTAGCCAACATGGCTCTAGGCACAGCAGACTGCAATCAGCGACTCAACAATCCAGTCCCTTGAGGTTGTGGCTTGCAAAAGCCTGCCAAGAGCGCGACATGTTATAGCCCCACTCTGGTTGTCTCACCTCAGTTGACTGGCAAGCTTGATCTGGGGAACGCCAAGAAACGTTAGAGAAGCAGGATGTGCCAAGTCTTGGCATTTGACAAGCATGCTGTGAAGATTTCGCAATCATCATACTGGGTGTGGCATATGAGCTTGATTGTCTCTGGCTTCTTTCTCTATCCACTTTATCATATGCAATATTTTCGTTTATTGATGATTTTATAGAAACTCATTTTCACACGCGTGTAAAGGAGTTGAGCTGTCCTCTGAACGTGTGATCAGATCTCTCACCGCTCTTACTGCAGACCAGCATGGTGGAACAAAGGAGGTAACCCCCTCCATCCGTACCTCCCTAGCCTCACCGAATCGATGGGCAAGCTAGCTTGAAGCTTTGCTCCAAGATAACGTTTTGAACTGTTTTATGACATGATCGGGAATGTCAAATATGGATTTACTTACCTGTTTAGTGAGACCACTCAAGTTGCGCCTATGTGTTGGTTTCGGGCATTCCCAACGCTAGCTATTGGGATGCATGCTTTGACCGCTGATATTGATACAAACTACGAGTTCAACATAAGATACATACAGTGTTCATTATTTGTATGTCCTGAGAGTCTTCAGGGCTCTGTCACTTCTGCACAGCAGCCGCTCCCTCTGCACGAGGGCTGAAGGCGCTGTTCTGGCACCAGAATCATTCTGGAGATCTCTATAGCGTTTAAGACGACAGTACTCGTCTGTTAACTTTAGATGCCTTGTGATTCTGCGTTCTTGCCGGCATATATTCAATTTAAAATGATCCTGATCAAAACAACCAATTGTCCATTGAGCTGGTCTAAAATTCCACAAGTAATTGAAGCAGGCATCATGTTAACAATATGAAAACGATCTGCGTCATACTGTGTAGCCAAATCCGGTGTGAGATTCATGGTCCCTGGAGCGAGTCCGACAAGATCATCTGTGCGTGGACGACGTCATAGGTATCAATCATTCATCTAGAGACGGTGTAGGTGTCATCGAGTAAAGTAGTCCCAGAGCCTTGGGGCTTGCACCATAAAATTACCTACTTGGCCATTTTGAATGAGCTGAACCCGACGATTAAGTCTGGTCTCAACAACACTCAGACCCCAGAGCCTGACACAATGGAGGGCTTGACAGCGGTTCTCCTAATCCTCCTCAGCATTGTTTGTGCGTGTTCGTCAAGCACTCCAGGCTTCAGTTGACCTTAATCTAACCAGGAGAGACAGTCCCTCCGCTTGCAGTTGTTATAGTGGCAGGCTGCGGAGCCGACTTACTCATCAGTGTTCTCCTTACCCTCTTTCTGTAAGCCCTGAGCAAGACACTCTGCGGACTTTGGATAAATTCTACTGACCAAAATGACCTTCGGCGGGTAGTTGGATTCCCGCAATTCTCCATGCGCTGTACCTCATTTGGGTGTACTACGATCGTCGAGAGAAGTATCGCCAGGGTTACCCACCTGTCGGCCACGCACCGTTTGTCTTCAGCAACAAGATTCAAACTGGAGGAGGGCTAGGTCGGTGGACTACGGTTAGATCTTATGAGTATCCAAGGACCTATTAAGGTCTAGAGACACGGATGATTGTTGGCTCTGGGTCCTGGGATGGAATTCCAACCCAGAAGAGTTCCCAAAGCATCAGATCCTGAGTCTCGTAGCGAAACAAACCAATCGACTATGCTCACGATAGACAAGTGCCATAATATGGGGCAAGGGCTAACTATTAACCCAAGACACAGTAATATGCGATGACAGGGCAAATCCCATACGAACGGAAGGGGGATGGCATTGATAATCAAAAGTTGAATGTTTGATGGGAGGGGCACCAGTAGGCCCGTAAGTGGGGCTCAACAGGACCCCACTTACCCCAGCAGGATGCGGGGCACAGCTTGGCAGACAGCAAAGAAGTTCTCATCGGACCCTTGAAGACGAGCCACGACTGTCTGCAGAACGCAAGTTGCTCTTTATCCAATGGGGCTGTCGGTGAGCTTTGATACCTTCGTCGGCCGGTCGGCCGGTCAGCCAGTCAGAAGCAAACACTTGATATAAAAAACAAATAAGAAACCCTCGCACACTGGCTCGGCAAACGTAGACATGGTGCAAAGTGCGGGCCAGCCCTGGGATTGCATTGCGTATCGCATCTTTCTCGCCAGAGCATTGGGACTGGTCGTGAGACTCTGAGCAGTGAAGTAACTCGATCATTCAATTGGTGCGTCCTCTCTACATGTAGCAGTGACCTTTCCCTAATCAACCTGGGAGCGTACATCAAATCGGGAGAAAATAGTCGCACATGCAAGAGTGGCCGCGCAGCGGCAGATAAGTGGAACACGGCTCTTGATAGTCCATATCCAGATGCCCACGTCAACTCCCCCAAGCTTCAACGCCCAGCCCGTTCTCGCGACTGTCATGCATTCACCCCGCTGATTCTGCTGCTCCCTTGACGCGCGCTACCGCTTCTCGTTGCCTTTCCGGTTGCCCCTGGTGTCGCGCGTCTTCCTCTCGCTCATAGAACGGCGTGCTGGGCGTGCATGGTGCGACCCCTGCCCAACCTCGTCATTCCGTGGGCCTGACCACATCCCGACACTCGACACGCTTTTCCTGTGCATCCAGGCCACACATACACTGCCTCGACGGACATGCCGGATGCACGAGCGGATTCTGCGGCCGCTGTGGCCGCTGCTGCCAACTCAAAGCAGCCTCTCCGGGACCCTTCCCGAGAGCATGATGCCGGCCGCTCCTTATTAGCCCCTGGGCCAGCTGCCCAGGATTCAGGAGGCCTTCTCTCTTCCTCTCCCACTTTCTCAGATTCCCACTCCCCCTTTTCCACCACCTCTGTCATAGCCAGCCAACCGCCGGTTACCGTCGCGGCTTCTTCGACAGGGCCTCAGTCCAAATCGGAGCCTGGTCCCCTCCAGCCGAACCACATCACTCAGAGAGACAGGCCTTCGTCTTCTTCTCTGGCTCCATCGGCCGTTGAGGCTCAACCAGTGCCAGCCTGCAATACCACAGGACAAAAACAAAACAAAAAGGACTCGTCAAGAGACAGTTGCCACTCCAGCCAAGCAGCAACATCAGGCTCCCAGCCTAAAACTTACTCACAGCCCGTCCTGGTCAAAACATATAACGGCCCTCCCACATCCCGGGGATCTCGAGGCGCCCGTTCTCACTACCGCAGCAACAGCCGGGACTTCTCGCGATCCGTCACTCTCCTCTCTTCCTCAGCACCAGGCATAGACGCCCTCGCCGGTCAGCCCGCTCAGCCCACAGTGACTGGTGTCGGTGTCGATGTCAGCAGTACATACAATCGGGTCAGTCTCGACGACGGCGCAGGTGCGAATGCTCGAACAATCAACGACATGTCAGTCTTCTACAGACCGAGAAAGTCCTCCTCCAGCAGCGGGGGTAAGCTCGCCAAGTGGTGGCCGTGGCGTGCCCGCGAGGAGCCGGATGAACCGAGACTCCCTCCCTTAGAGGCGTTCTCTTTCAAGAACTTGTTAGCAGATGCGCAGACCCGCGGAAGCGAGTATGATATCACTGCCGATTTGGATCGTATTGCTGAGATCTGTGCCCGCTCACGGTACTCATTGAGCAATCAGTATGAGGTCCACGTTGCGCCACACGGCTCGGGGGCCTCATTTGTGTCAGGCACGGCCCCGTCAACTACCTCAGCGCCTGTTCGCAGGAAGACGGGACCAAGTCACAGCCGGAGCAGCAGTGCCGGCAGTATAGCGATGAACACAATCCCCTCGGAAGACGAAGGATCCGTTTCGTCCGCCCAGTCCAGGAGAAGAGCCCTTGGCCGGCGCAGGAGCATGGCAATGTGTACTCTGGAGACCATCATGTCCACGAGCCGCTCGTCGGACGAGGATAAGTCCAAGAAGATGTCAGCGTCCGAACTGATCAGCGAAGTCAGGGGAAGAGCAGCACGAAAGGCAGGAGATAGCGGGGCAGTTGAAGGATCGAGCACTCAAGCACCAGACACTGCTCCTCCTTCTAGCAACAAGCTGGCGCGCAAGAAGTCTGCCTCGTTCGCGACGGCCATTATCAATAATAGCAGTGGCAGCAACGAGTCTGTCACAGCCGCAGCTTCCTCGTCCACTCTTCCTAGTGCCGGCGCGGCCTCGCTACACAGCGATCCTGCGCGTCCGCAGACATCGCATAGCTCACTTGGCATTGGCACAACCACTTTCCCTGCACAGCATTCCGATCAAGGACCGGCTACAACAGGACATCACAGCAGTGGCCACGCTAGCGGCGGGCTGGGCTCATGGACCTCCTGGCTTCCATCGTGGAGCGGAACGATGCACACGACAGCTCTGCGCCAAAGGGCCACCGGTATTGGGGCGCAGCCAACTGATGCCGAAGCAAGCTTGAGACAGCTGCTGGCAAGGTAGGAAAGCTTCGTGGTGTAAGCTTCGTCTGTTATAGTGTCTGGTCTCTTGGTCGATATCACCTTTCGGACACCGTCACCCATTCGCAGAGGAGGAACGGCTTAAGCCGTAGATGGTGATCAAAATACCTAGGTACCTTGTCAAAAAAGCTCACCGCCCAGCCCACACCCAGAGCCAGGTGAGGTGGCCGGCTACGAAAACCCTCTTCAGGAACGTCAGGTAGGGAAACAGCGGGTGAAACCCGTCCATGTTTTCTATGCGTTCTTGACTTCATTACATGTTGGCAAGGATCCTTTTAGAGCTTGGGCTCGTTTTTAGTATAGAGCTTGCATGAGTTATGAGGGCGGTCTGGTGCTGATCATTCTTGGATTGGGCCTGGGTCAGGCAGTTTTGCTTGCTTAAGACATATACCCCTCGAGGAGATCGAAGCCTGTCGGTTCTTATCGTCATATAAGCATGCACTTTGTTGTTGGCTTGCATCCCCGGGAGCAACATTAACGATATCTCAAGATCCAGCAGTAGAGTCCTGTCACGGCTTACGGTGAACTATTAGTTTCCCTGAAACACGATAAATAGCCCATAGGTCATATTTCTGCCCTCGACAGGCGTCCCTAAATAAATACATGCCATATCCACCACGCCACGCCAACCCTCCCTCCCTCCCTCTCTCTCCCCCTCATCTCCCTTACAAGTTCCCATCCTCCCATTCCCGAATACTGTCCCCCAAATCCTTGTCTATACATAATAGTTCCCGCCTTACACACAATTTAGGTGATTGATTCTTATGCCCGCCCCAAACGTTCTTCCAATAAGCTGTCTGCCTTTCTTTTCTCCACCTCTAAAGAAGGGGAAAAAGAAATGAGGTTTACCTATTCCTCAGGCTTCCCAAGCTCATTCCATGAGCAAGATGTGTGTAGATGTATGTACAAATACAAGAAAAGTTCTTCGTTCAGCCTTGAGGGGAGGAAAGAAAATGCCACCCGGATCCGGTCAGTGCACCATCCGTGCAAACGAACTCATCTGACCTCAGTTCGAAAAAAAAATCAAGTTGATTCCATTCCACAGCTACATGCTGCCCTCAACCAACCTGCTGCCTTGATGAAGGAGGGGGCGGTGGAGGCGGAGGAGCAACAATCGGCAACCTCTGGCCTTGTGTTTGAGACGAAGAAGCAGCAGTCTGATCAACATGCAACCTCTTCGCCTCCCGCTGTAGAATATCACCCTCACCAATCCCGCCAGCACCACTGCTATCCGGGTTGGGCCGTTTCCTATCGTTGTCCCTGGGTTCGGGCCCAGTGGTAGGAACTGGTTGAGATATCTGAGGTGCTGGTTCACCTTTAGACGATAAAGCCGGGGCCGATTGCCCCGCGGCATGAGCCGCACGCTCTTTCTGTTCCTTCTCCCTTTGCTCGCGCTCCTTCTTTTCTCTCTCGCGACGGAGAGCTTTCGACTCGAGCTCGTGCCACTCGCCGCCAATGTCTTTGAGCCTATTACATAGTTAATGTCTTCCATTAATAAGGGTAACACCAGAACAAGAACATACTCGATAGCCTGCCTAGGAGCCGGCTCCTCTTCAGTGAAGTACGCATGCTGCAGGACATCAGCCGCAGAGGGACGCTTCGCCGGATCGTAGCGGAACATCCACTTGAGCAGTTCGAACGCCGCAGGGGTGACCAGGTCCTTGTACTTTTGCTCAAAAACGTTGGGGCGGCGATATGTCGGGCGCAGCAACTCGAACCAGGGCATCTCGACAATGTTCGGCCAGTCATTCTTGGTCGGGGTACCCAGAACGGAGTAGATCTTGTCAAGCTGGTTGATTTCGCTGCCGTCGCCAGGGAAGATGGCTCGCTTGGTGAATATCTCCACTAGCACGCACGCTGCGCTCCAAATGTCGACTGCTGGACCGTATTGAGTCTCACCAAGCAGCAGCTCTGGCGAGCGGTACCAGATGGTGATGACACGGTTGGTGTAGTCGAGCTGGTGGTGCTTAGCATAGAAGCGTGCCAGACCAAAATCAGCAAGCTTGAGGATACCCTCATTGCTGACCAGGATGTTTGCGGCCTTGATGTCGCGGTGCAGGACACCCCTGGTATGCAGGTAGTCAAGACCCTCGAAGAGCTGTTGTGCCAAATGCTTCTTATGGCATGGCTCCAACTGGTATGTCGGATGATTGAGGAGACCCGTCAGATCATGGGACAGGTACTCGAATACCATGTAGCATTCATTATTCTCAACCATGACCTCCAAAAGCTTGACCACGTTCTTGTGGCTAAGCGAGCTGAGCAGCTTGATCTCACGAACCGCGGTGACAGGGAAGCCATCCCTTTCGCCCTCCATCCGGATTCTCTTCAAAGCCACGAGCTTCTTAGTGTAGACATTCATGGCTTTGAAGACCTTGCCGTATGTACCCGAGCCAACAACCGACTCATTGCCTGGTTTCCGGAAGAAGACGGATTTGGAAGCAGCCAAGTCAGGAGGAAGCTTAGGCTTCTCCTTTAGTCGCTTCACGATCTTCTTCACCTTGCGCGTCTTTGGTGTCGTATCGGGCGGCGGTCTTGCGGGCTCCGGGGGTCTCCTATCAGTCATGGCGCTCGGACCAGTGGGGATACCGGGACGTGGTCGTGCAGAAGCCGGCTCTGTTGGAGCATTCTTCGGAAAGCCCCGGTCTCGGTCCATTCTCAGTAGAGGAGGCGGGGGTTTCTGTGCTACTGGTTTCTGAGGAGGCTCGCGAGGTGTCGGAGCAGCATTGAACTTTGATGAGATTTCAGGCCTTGGGCTCGCCACTGGCGGTTTCACCGCATTCTTCATGCTAAAACTAAACTTATTAGAAGTCTGTGACTGCGGCCCCGTGGGAGGTGGCCGGGCAGGAGGTGGCATCTTGTCATTCTTTTGTTGCTCCTCCTTTGCGTTTGCGTCTTCGACCTGCAGCTCTTTCGGAGGTCTGAACGGGTTGTCGTCGCTATCTTTCATCTCCACATCGCCCTGACTGGCCGGCTGTTCTAGCCTGGCAGCAGAGGATGGCTCGGGAGCAGCATGTGCCGCCTCAGGGGCTTCACCTTGGCCATGTTGGCCGCGGCCATTAGTCGGTTGTGGCTGCCACTGCGTGCTCTTAAACCCGCTTCTAAACCCTCCGCGAGGGGGCGAGAACTGATTGCCCCGGAATGGACCCGGCGCCCCCCTGCCATTGCCACGGTAAGGTCCTGTGGGAGAGTATTGAGCCGAAGGCCCAGTTGGAGGATAGGGAGGGGAGTGGGCGGGAACTTGATGATAGATTCCCTGAGGGCCAGCTGGTGGTGCGAAGTTGTTATGAGGAGGTGGATAAGGAGATGCATATTGGCTTCTGTAATGTCAGCCTATGAAAACAGTCTGATTTTCGCATATGAGAGCATAAGGGGAAAAAAAAAAAAAAAAACTCACCCTTGTGGGGAATATTGTGGCTGAGGGTTCCAACCACGACCGCCGCCACCATATGGTGAATGAGCTGTCGGGGAGCCATGGAATGAGGAGACGGGAGTGCCATGTCCCGACGACGGCCCATAGCCGCGTCCATCATATGGTCCCTTTGGTGGATATCCGTGCTGCAATTGGGGGTTGAAGCCACCGCGGAAGCCTCCCCTTGCTGACATGTTCACTTCGACACCACTTGCACCAGACACAGGCTCGGCCTTCCTGGACGAGCGGGACTCGTCGCGGCCTCTACCTCTCTTGGTAGACCTGGCAGAGGGCCTGTCCCGCGGGGAATCGGGATGAGGTTGTTCCTGTGAAGCACTTGGCCCAGGGCTGTGTCTTCGACGCGAACCTACGTCAGACGACGTCGGCGGTCGGCTGCTGGAGGCCTGGGGGCTCCGAGGAGCACGGGGACGTGATTTGGACCGGCGTCTAGATTCAGGATCTAGGGATCTGTCCCGATGCTTCGACTTGCTCCTGTGACGAGAACGCTCTTTCTGCTCTGTTGATGCGGGCTGGCGGTCGTCACCCGGCGAACGAGACCTGCGGCGACGGGAATGGCTCCGAGACTTTGAACGGCCTCCTCGAGCCTTGGAACGCCGCCTTCGAGAGGATGAACGACCGTGACGGGAAGGGACAGACTGATCACGACGAGTCTTTGACTCAGGGGGCCCAGATTGTTCTCCCTTATCTCCCTTGTCGCTCTTCTCTAGTCGTGATGGGCTAGGCTCTGAACGGGGTTTCTTTTGCCGCGACTGCTCGCCAGAAGACGGGCTCGGGCTCCGTCGACGCTTGCTAGGGGGCGATCGTGATGATGCACGAGGTCGAGAATGTTCCCGATGGTCCCGAACGTCCTTCTTTCGTTCAGCCGAGCGAGATGCCCGGCGCCCACGATGGGCAGAGTGATCACGCCGACGATGTGAATTGGGAGACCGAGAACGGTCTCGACGGCCGCGGCGATCGTCGGCACTACGGGAACGGTCGTGGCGCCGATGGGAATGGTGTGAGCTCTGCTGAGTCTGCTGAGATGGCTCGGCAGGCCGGTCGTTCGGAGCCGGAGCAGCTACGGCTGCCTCTGCAGCCGTCGATGCTGGAGGAGGGGGGGTCGACCGCAAGTGGTGGTGATGCTTGCGGTCTCGATCGCGGTCGCGGTCACGTTCCCTGTCCCGGTCACGTTCCCGATCCCTGTCTCGATCCCGGTCTCTGTCGCGGTCTCTGTCGCGGTCTCTGCCTCTATCTCGATCTCGACCTCGCTCGTGCTCACGTTCTCGTTCTCGTTCCCGGTCTCGAGCCCGCTCGCGGTCGCGGTCGCGATCACGCTCTCGTTCACGATCTCTGTCTCGATCGCGGCCCCGGCCCCGATCTCGCTCTCTCTCTCTGTCCCTGTCCCGGTCTCGCTCCTTGTCTCTGTCTCTATCTCTCTCCCGGTCGCGGTCCTTTTCGCGGTCTCTCTCACGGTCCCTTTCCCTGTCTCTGTCCCGGTCTCTGTCTCTATTTCTATCTCTGTCACGGTCCCGGTCACGATCTCTGTCCCTGTCTCGTTCTCTGTCTCTATCTCGATCTCGTTCTCGCTCTCTGTCTCGCTCACGGTCAGCCCTGTCTCGCGCACGATCTCGATCTCGCTCTCGGTGGGCGTCGGGAGATCGATTCACGGCAACAGCAGGAGCAGCAGGCGAGGGGGATCTATGTAAAGTAGTCATGCCGAGGTCATTCCTGTCCCGGCTGTAGCGATAGGTGTCGTTGTGGGCGTGGATGCCATTTGGTGATGCAGCGTCGTGGCAGCGTCGATGTTGTGCTGAGTCGTCCATTACAAAAAGGAATCGAGCGTCCGTCGACTTTTGCGTTTTGGGAGCCGGGGTGGTCAAGGCGGCGGCCTGGGTTCCAGTTGCCGAGCTGGGTGCCAGTGACAGGGGGGTGAGCCCCCGCTGAGAGCGTGCTGCAAGCCTGGGCTCAATGCTGCCACTGGCTTGTCTTCTGGGCTGCCCGGCCTGTCTGCTAGGGTCCAGTGGCCTGCAGGCTGCGTGCAGTGACGCTGCGAGCCTTGTGACCTTTTTCTTGGCGCGCGAGTCCGCGGTGCGCTGGTAAGCCACGCAGTCCGCGAGCACGCAACAACCTGGGTTCCGGACGCCTCGTCCCTATTATTTAGCGCGAGGAGTTGGCTCTCTCTCTCAATGCAGTCAGCCTGCTTTGCCCAAGACCACTCTGTGTGTTTTGTATCAAGGTGAGGTGGCCGTCTGGTCGTGGGCAATGGCATTCATATGCACCTCAATCTGAAGTCCTAGGCGGGGCACCTTCAAAACGCTCAACCCGACTTCCAGGCAACTGCCGAAGAGCACAGGGCTGGACGAAAGTAAAAGCAAGAAAAAAAAAGGTGTGCTCAAGGTCGTCAAAAGCGGGCCGCTTGGACGCCGCGTGTAGGAAAGAATCAGAGAGGCCCGCGAACCACTCTCAACGGAACGCAAGCTTCCTTGCTAATGCTGTCCGATGGCTGCCAACCACACCTCCCCCGGTCAGAATCAACCTGCGAAGTCCCGAATAGTCTGTCAGTCAACCACCTCGTTAGTCTCCTCTGCCACCTGCTCATACCCTGAGAGACTTTGACAACATGACGATAGCGAATATCAAGACCAAAAGCCCCCCGTCTTGTCCCTAGGAAAGCGTGGAAGCTGTAGCAGGTCTGCGCTTGACAGGGTCAAGTGGCCAAAGTCTCAAACTGGTCTGACTGTCCGTTGGTGTGTACGCTTGCTGTGATTGTTGGGCAGCTCCTGTACTTTCAATGTGCAATAAGTAAGTCCCTCCATCAAACTTGCGAAATATCTCCCAGTCTGTCCGAGAGTTAATGTAGGCTGCTAGCTTGCTGAGACATAGCGTTGGCTTTGCGAAGGAAACCCGCAGTCAAAAGAGAACCGCCACCACGCAGCCCACAGCCTCGTGGGCGGCAGGCTGAAGTTGGATCCCGTTCCGCTCCATCCCACTGTCTTTTGTTTTGTCGTCCACCACTTGAATCCCGCCAGAGTTTCGAAAGCAGTCGCTCACCAATCGTAACAAACGACCTAGCAGCCCCGTCTCCTGAGTAGCCGCCGGCCGCTTCCATGGATAATAGCTCTGTAAACCTAGACTTGTGTGTATCCTAATCACACACATGCCACAGGTTTACGGTCACTTGTATCCAAATAGAGATCACTACCATACGATGATATGTTTTACGAGTGCACTCAGACCTTGCAATGTCCATCTCTGAATGGTCCTTGGCCATAGCTCCCCATCAAAGGCAGTGTCACCCCTCGTTTCTCAACGAAGGGAGTTCGTTGATAACTTCCATAGGAGCTCTCTTCTGTATTGCCGTAGGAGAAACAAGAGAGGGGGCGGCAAGATGCTCAGATCGTTATAGGTCGCAAAAAGCAGGAGATGATGTTGCCGAAGACTGTCTCAGCCAAGCAGAAGCAAATGAGCCCGGCAGATTCGGCGACGTGGTGCCGGAGCAAAGTAGAAGACAGTTCAGATGGCTTCTGCGATTAAAGCTGGGCGAGTACTCATAGGGTTGTCGACGATAGTTGTTTAATGCGTAGCAAGCAGTAGCAGCAGTGTAAGAAGCCGAACCAACTGCAGAGGAACGAGGCACAAACATGTAGTTGTTCCTCCGAAGCCCTGAAGCCAACCTCCTACCCTAACATCTCCTGTAGCTGTATGTTGTTCCTATTCCACGCTTGCCAGGACAATTCACTGACAATGAAGAATCGACATGTCGCCAAGTGGAATATTGATCCTGTCTGAAAATACCCAGTTCTGTTGATGCTGCGACGAGCTTGGTGCTGTCAAGAGTCGGTCGAACAGCGAGCGGGTCACCATTTCATGTAGGTGCAAGCGGATACTGCTCGCAACGGCCGCCCTCCGAAATTGCATGTAAAGCCAAGTATTGCTCCCGCATACCTTGGTCCTGTTGGTACAGCCAACATAACTTAAGGAATGGTTGACGAGAATGCTGTAAGAGTCAGTGATACCGACGGGAAGTTGGCATCAAGGCGATCGCAGCGAATGCTTTCTGGCCAAGTTGTTCAATGAAACAGCTTCGTCCGGCCTCTGCAAAGTCGTCATGTCGGTCCGAAAATGGGTCTGGGGTTGGAGAGATGGACTTCGCAGAAAGCCGATGCAGACAGACAGCATGCAAAACGGCAGCTTTCCGCTGCGCTGATTAAGTCGTCGAGGTGGCTTTCCGAGACATAACCGACAGCTTATATTTGCCCAAAGGGCATCATCATGAAACTTGTCTAGCAGCACCACGCCGTGATCTAGTTAAATGAGCCTGTAGGTAGAAAGAGGGGTGTAGGGAAAGGGGCGATGTTGGGAGAGGTTGCAATGATCCAGCAAGCTGTAGGGTTGCTGCAAACTACCCGGCAGCAGACCTAACACCAGTGGTTCTTGGAATGCCGGGGTGCTTTTTTTGGGGGGAGGTGCGCACGGACCATCTGCTTAGCGACGCTACGGAGAACGAGACTGACCAATTTGAAACTTCGCGACATCCGCTTGTTCCAGAACTACAATACCCAAGACAGGAATGACAGAGGTGTTTCTTTGATCACTTCAACTTGAATTATGATTTTTGGTGATTGTCACCTTGTATAATTCATACAGATACCAATTTCTACATAAATTACTTTATTGAAGGTTTCTTTCCCTCTATCCTCGATTTCTGCTTTTTATCGAAGATCGTAATGTTCAGACCACGTACAACCTAGCTGTTTACTATTTCTCCATCTCAGCCTTCAGTCAAAAACGTATCTTGTAGACGAGATCCGTTTATAAGTATTTACGACTGGACTTCTTGTATCGGAATTATCACCCTGAATTGTGGACAGTTTACTTACTCAACAGTTACGGAAATTTGGTTCAGTAACAATTGGCAAAGAGATCACTGCAGATATCATCGAGGATGCCTACCTGCCTTATAAATGCTTTTGGTCCTTGTACAAACGCCAGCCTACAGGAAATGATATATAAGCTGCTCACCAGATGGCCACATGATCCTGCATGAGTTGGTGGAAGAAATGCTTGTAGGGGCTCTCCAGGTTAAGCCACCACCTTAGTGGACTCTCAATGCCCCCCCCCATCACCGTATCCCCCCCATCACCATGAAGCTGAGCAAAACCGTGTGCTTCACAAGGATATTCATTCATTCAGCAACAATGATGGAGCATGTGGAAGATTCAGATCACAAAATATCTGTTCAGGAGTCTTGCCTTTATTGAGTTTCCGATCAACGAGGCACTTGAGCAGCAGAGCAGTTACAGACACCAGTTCACTTATCCTCGCCATCAACCATTCGGTGTCGCCCATCAGATAGGATTGCACGATGGCTTGGTGCAAAAGTCCAGACCAATTGTGATACATGGATTTTGAATCAAACAAGAACGCAAATTTGTTCTTCCCTTAATTCGTATTTCCATTGTTGTCATTGGGGCTGTTGTTCTGGCAGAAGTCCCCATTGTTGTTGTTCCCACCACATTTTTGCCTGTTGTTAAACCTCTTATCTTGGACATTGAAGCTTTGGGTATCTTTCATCTCAACGTCGCTATCACCATCACACTGCTGACGCGTATAGTGATCTTACCAGCCACCACCATGCCCCCCGCGGTTGTTATTGAACTCAACCCTTCTAGCTTCAGCCGTACTTTGCGTGATTCTGTTCATGGTAGACTAGGTTAGTCAGCTGAGATCTGGGAAATTGAAAATGGTTCTCCTACCCGAGACGCTGGCAGCAATATATCACCATATGCTTGGAGTGAAGCACTTGTCAGCTTTGGCAAGTGTGCCAAAACCTGTGGGATGGGGGCTTAGATACCACATGTAGTTCATCTCTCTGATTGTCGAACAACTCTTCACAAAGAAATTGTTCCCAACAAAGAACTGCAGACCGAAGAATGCCGAGATATCACAGTGGTTTTCCAATGGACTGTCCTTTGTTGAAACCCCTTGAACTTGGGGACATTGCCCTTGTGACTCGCCGGCCGAGACTGTCCTCCTAGAAAATAGTGTTGTCAGGTCTTTACGTTGGTTGATGGAACCTTCCACGTAATCTTCAAAGTAAACACTTTCTGAGCCTGTCATATGTAACTGCGATGTGAGAGCCCATGACCACCACAAACTGCGTCCCCATCAGCGGCCAGGTTCTTTGTGGCTTCTTTGCACCCTTCCAGTTTGAACCCGAGGAGGTTGATAGGTGCGCACTGATCGTCGAGCAACCATCCGCATTCCTGAATCCCAAGGCACACAAAGATAGGGAGAAGGGAACTGGACGATGTCCCCGACGCATCTCCTGGAAGGACTAACAACTCAAGCATACCAGCCAAGCTCCTGTTCACCTGCCCGACATGCAACATTCATGCCGACCCAGGTATTATTGGGCATCCTTCCTCGAATCCAGGCGCCTAAGCTAGCTTCCATCGAGCTCTCAAGCTTAAGGTAAGGTACCGATGGACCCATGGGCCCCGCCAATGTCTACTGTTAGACCCTGCCGATCTCGGACGATCTGCAGATCGTCAACAATTCGTGGGCATTTTGTCGGCGGGAAGCTGCCTTAGGCTGGTGGCTGCGAGCTCGAGATGCATATTCCTGCAGCAGCGTAGAAGCATTGTTGTTGAACATGTTGTTGCATCAGTAGCTCGGCTGATGAGCCCGATTATGCACAGAAAAGATGGACGCCCAACGCTAGATGCTGAGCTCTCTCTATGGGGCACCCAACGTGCTCCATCGTCTCCCGCTGTATGGCTGTCTGGCCGGGCCATCCAGCCTCTAGCTTCTTGTCCAGCGGCCCTTGGACTTTGTGAAGTGGATGACGCATGGCGGGGTTGGTGGGGCTTATCTCAGCCCCGCTCCCCTGGCGAACTGGCCCCTGCGGCTCGGTACGGCAGGTCAAAGTTGCACAAGTCGTGCAGATGGCACTTGAGGTTGGGGCCTGTCAAAAAACGTCAGGTCTCAATTATTGGCAAGACCTAGCAAGCCTTGCCGCAGTTGCCGGACGCTCGAGACCCAAGTTTACGGAATGCGATTGTGCTGCGTCGAATTAGAGAGCTTATCTGCCCTTTTTCCGGTTGGGTGGCAAACAAACGGCTGCAAGTCATATCGAACTGCTGGGAAAACGAGCGAGACGTTGCCTCACGGCGACGCTCAGGCTTACGATATGGCGCGAGAAATTAAGATAATCGCCCGTCGAGAGCAGAGATTAGATAGAAGGTTTGTATGGAGTACGGGGTTAGAACAGGGTCTGGAAGATTCGCAGCTCTGGTGTTGTGTCTGGAGCGCCGACAGCCGTACTCGGGCATTCAGAGAAGGCTGGCCAGGTTTCACAACGCAAGTTGTACTGTCCTGCCCTGGGCGTCTCTGTCCAGGCTGTCCTGCTGCGGTCGCCTTCAGTGTCTGGGCATGGTGAGAGAGGCAGGAACTCAAGGCATGGATGCCTCCGCTTGACGCCATGGAAGCCCGGGCAAGCAGTTGCTTTCCCAGCCTGGCAAGCAGCAAGTTCCATGCCGATCGATGGAAGCTCCCCGCCTTCAGGTTGCCGTGCCTCCCGGTTCCAGGTTCGTTGTGCTCCCCTCATCACTCCATTGGCACCCCGCTTCTCGCAGCTCCGGACTAGCCTTCGACCACTGATGGCCGGTCGCTGACCCGTTAGACGGGACTCGGGAAGTCGGAGCGTACGTAACATCGCAGTTGGGCAGCTACTGGAGACACCTAGCTCGCAGTAAGTACATCCATGTTTGATCCATCCGGCCATCAAGCGTCCATTAGATCCATTAGGTGCTCGGGCGTAATGCGCAGGTGTATGTGGTGTACCGTATCGTACGAACGAACTTGTGTAGCTTAGCTGTCCTGGTCCTGCCGATAGGTGATGCAATGGATGGCATGTGGAAAGGCTGGGCATATGCAAAACGATTGTGAGCCAACAAGTGTTCAAGTTAGACATCGACCTGAGCCTGCGGCAAACGCCTCCCCCTTTCGCCTCGCCAACGTCGTTTTCTTCTCGACACCCTGCAGTTTTAGCTTAGAAGTTAGGTGACGGTCTTTTTTTTCCCCAACGGCCGTGCTGTGCCGCGCGACAGACTAAGCCTCTCACCAGCTGTCGCGATCCGACGTCACCCAACCCTCACGTCTCCTCCCGTCGCCTCTCGTGCATCCCGTCCCTCCGTCCCTGCCCAACCGCTCCAGGATTCTAGCTCCAGCTGCTGCTGCGTCAGATAAGACTCGGCTCGCCCCAGCAAATTTGTTCTCAAGCATTCCCAGCATTCCTGTAAAAAAAAAAAAACCTTCTCTCACCAAAGGGTGGGTGCCTCTCGACGATCCGGGGCCTTTTCTTCAATTCCCATTTACTTCCCAGTTTCCGTCGCGTAAGCTCTCGGCTCTACTCCAACTTTTGTACTGGGCCGCGATCCACTACAACTACCACGCCTTCTAGACCCCGCCATCTAGAAATCTGGCCACTGAGCCCTCCAGGCCTGCCCGTCAATCTATCTACGCTAGCGGATATTTCACGTCCAGAACACCTGCAGTTGTCTTCCGTTCTCATCTCATCAATTCGCAGAAAGCTAAGTCACAATGGCAAGCGGAGAGTCAGAACGCGAAGGTCGCGACGTGCGGAATCACATCCTCTTTGAGATCTCCACCGAGGTCGCCCATCGAGGTACGTATGCTCAAGTGTCCTTCGCGGTGTGCTCCTGGTACGTTCGAAGCAGGAGACTGACAATCGGGCAGTTGGTGGCATTTACTCAGTCATCAAATCCAAGGCGCCAGTGACCACAGCAGAGTATGGCGACCGCTACACCCTCCTTGGTCCCCTCAACCACCAGTCGGTATGTTGCGATCATTAGCCTCTTGTTTAAAGGGCAACTCGGATGAAAATGGCTGACTCTTGTTCTCCAGGCGGCTGTTGAGGTCGAGACCATTGAGCCGACCGTCCCGGAGCTTGCTGAGACCATCCAAGCGATGAGGGATCGCGGCATTGGCATAGTCTATGGCCGTTGGCTGGTTGAGGGCGCACCAAGAGTGCTCCTTTTCGACACCAAGACTGCCTACAATTACCTGAACGAGTGGAAGGCCGATCTCTGGAACGTTGCTTCCATCCCTTCTCCCGACAACGACGAGGAAACTAATGAGGCCATCGTCTTCGGTTATCTCGTTGCTTGGTTCCTTGGAGAGGTCAGTATCTGGTTTCAATGAAGCCCCGAGCTGAAATTAGCCGGTTTTGTTAACACAGCTGCAGTTCGTCTGCCATGAGAAGAAGAGGGCAGTCATTGCGCACTTCCACGAGTGGCTTGCCGGTGTTGCGCTGCCTCTGATCAGGAAGCGTGCCATTGATGTGACCACCATCTTCACAACTCATGCAACACTGCTGGGTCGGTATCTGTGCGCCGGCTCTGTCGACTTCTACAACAACCTGCAATACTTCGACGTTGATGCTGAGGCCGGCAAGCGCGGTATCTACCACAGGTACTGCATCGAGAGGGCGGCGGCCCACACGTGTGACGTCTTCACCACCGTCTCCCACATCACTGCCTATGAAAGCGAGCACCTGCTCAAGCGCAAGCCTGACGGTGTCTTGCCTAACGGGCTGAATGTCACCAAATTTGCCGCTGTCCACGAGTTCCAGAACCTGCACCAGAAGTCCAAGGAGAAGATCCACGACTTCGTTCGCGGCCACTTCTACGGCCACTACGACTTCGATCCAGAGAACACGCTCTACTTCTTCACGGCAGGCCGCTATGAGTTCCGCAATAAGGGTGTCGACATGTTCATTGAGTCCCTTGCTCGCCTAAATCACCGGCTCAAGACCTCCAACAGCAAGATGACCGTTGTTGCTTTCATCATCATGCCCGCTCAGACACACTCGCTGACGGTCGAGGCTCTGAAGGGCCAGGCTGTCATCAAGTCCCTTCGGGATACTGTGGACACAATTGAGAAGAATATCGGTCGTCGCATCTTCGAGCGGTCCCTGAAGTGGAAGGAGGGCGATCCCATGCCGGATGATAAGGAACTTCTCTCGAGCCAGGATCGTGTGCTGCTGCGCAGGCGTCTGTTCGCCATGAAGAGGCACGGGCTGCCGCCAATTGTCACACACAACATGGTTAATGACCATGACGACCCGATCCTGAACCAGATCCGCAGAGTACAGCTGTTCAACCATCCCAGCGACCGCGTCAAGGTTATCTTCCATCCCGAGTTCCTGAACTCGTCCAGCCCGATCCTGCCGCTCGATTATGACGACTTTGTCCGCGGTACTCACCTCGGCGTCTTCGCGTCCTACTATGAGCCGTGGGGCTACACACCGGCTGAATGCACTGTCATGGGTGTTCCCAGCATCACCACCAACCTTTCTGGTTTCGGCTGCTACATGGAAGAGCTGATCGAGAATTCGAGCGACTATGGCATCTACATCGTCGATCGTCGTACCAAGGGTGTCGAAGATTCGGTCAATCAGCTTACCCAGTACATGTTTGAGTTCACGCAGAAGAGCCGCCGTCAGCGCATCAACCAGCGCAACCGGACTGAGCGTCTGAGTGACCTTCTTGACTGGAAGCGCATGGGTCTCGAGTACGTCAAAGCTCGTCAGCTGGCCCTCAGGAGGGCTTATCCGAACTCGTTCGTTGGTGACGAGGAGGAGGACTTCATCCCGGGTGTCGAGCAGAAGATCTCGCGGCCATTCTCGGTGCCTGGCTCTCCTAGGGATAGGACCGGCATGATGACCCCCGGTGACTTTGCCAGTCTCCAGGAGGGTCGTGAGGGCCTGAACACCGAGGATTATGTTGCTTGGAAGCTCCCGTAAGTGCCGAGTCTCCTTGCTTACTAATTTTGCAAGTACAACCAACACATGACTAACCGGACGCTTCATAGTGAGGAAGAAGACCCCTATGAGTACCCGTTCCCGCTCACGCTACGGACGAAGCGTGCTGGTGGGAGCCCCAACGGCAGCAGCCACAACGGAAACTAAATAATCGGTGACTACCAGATGTCTATATACCAGACATAAAGGTTAGGCTCGCGCCTGAAGAGTCTGCGAAATCGTGTTTGCGGTTTCCAGAATGGCTTCCTCACCGAAGAAAAGCATTGTTTCTCTTTTCTTTTGACTTGTCCTCTTTCACAAAGTACCTTGTATATTCCACTCATGGGCATTGGCATAATCCGAAAAGGAAGGCTTGCATGATTTATGGACTGAAGAAAAAAAAACAGCACAACAGAACTCTCTAGGATTTTGGTCAAGGGTGGTAGGGAGGCATGTTGTCGTTGTACTTAGTGTAGGCCTGGCAGGCATGAATCAAAGTCGAATGTTTGTTCTGGGAGCTTATGTGGCTTAGGGAAATCTGCGCGATGATGGGGCTGATGGTTTTCTTGTTGTTGAACAGCTGAATTTTGCCTCAAGGAGCTTGCGTGTGCTAAGACCTGAGGTTGAATCTCTCGCAGTTGCATTGTTGTCTCCCCCCACGGTAAACCCGACCCCTAGTTTTTATATCCAGGCTGGTGCGGCTTGTTCGACGGATTCGGGGAACGTTAGTTAGAACAAAGGGCAGCCTCACTGAAGTTAGGCTAAGCACAGCAGCACAGCAACAAAGTCCTTCCCCAAAATGGTAGAAACCTAGTCTGGCGGTGGCCTCTTTTAGGAAGAGCTGAGGGCAATTGCCCTGCTCAGGAGCATGTTCGCGTTACGTTGCTACTCCAAAGCCAGTGGGAGGTGTTCACACGTACAACCCCTGCCCCTGCCCCCGCAGATCTCCCTTCCCCACAATTTTCAATGAAACAGCCGCCCAGGACCCAAGCAGCACTCTCAGGCTCACGGCAACACTTCACATCCAAGAGCTCCATCCTCCGCTCCCGTCTCATTTCAAAAGCCCTTATTTACCTAGGTACCTTACTCATAAAGGTGCTACGTACTTACATCTATGAAGACAGCTGTGTAGCAGGGCCACCGATGCCTCGCTTCTTCCCGCCTTTTTTTCTCTTTCAAACTAGAGACTTTCAACCGCCCATTTTGGTTTTGAAACTTGCGTTACTCAGACTCCCGTGCTCGCAGCGCCTACAGGTTTGATTACCTTACGTACTCCCATCCGCTTTACTCAACAGTCAACACACGCAAAACCCACTTCTCGCTCATCGCAGCCAATGGCCCAGTCGGCTGTTCTCATGTCCTCATTCTCATTTGTAAGTGCCCTCCAGGTTAGCTCTGGGTGATGCCCTGACTTTTTTGCAGATTTGATATCGACAACGCAGAATATAAACAAAGAAACCAACCAAACAAGCCACTCAAGCAAAGCAAGCAATTCTTCAAGTTTTGCGTCCGTAACTGCCATCGAGAATCCCAGGGTCAACAACATTCCTGGGATTCTCGCGGATTACATACCTGAGCATCGGAGCTTAAAAGCAGCCACAGACTTGGTGTAGGTCGATACAGCTTTTCTCTGCAATCGGGGTTGCGATCACTTCAACAAAAAGTCTTGTCATGCATAGTTGCGGCCTACCGACTTTGCAGGACCACTGAAGAGCCCTGGGCATCCGCAACGACGGGACACCAGATACCTATCAAGCAGCAACCGTTTGACCTATCATCTGCTGTTGCTGCTGCATCTGTACAAAGCTTGCCGTGCAGCGAGGGGCGCCACTGACACCCTACGTGGAGGGACCCTGGAGGTCGGCGACGCACAACGGCGGCTAGGTACTACCGACAGGGACTCTGAAGACCAAGCCGTGCCCTGCGACAGCCGTGCAGACCTTATTTTCCATCACATCCCACCCTGCCGCGTGTCCATCTCCTTTTCACTCCTTTCTTTGTCCATGGGACTCAGAGACACCATGAGGTTCTTCAGAAAGAAAGATAAACCGAAGAACGGGAGCGGTGACGGTAGGCATGGTTGGCGGCTGCCCGGCTTCGGCAGCAGCTCGAATAAATATGGGGGGCCCAGACTCCCGGGTGTACGGCCTTGGTGGCTCACGGCCCGAAGGCTACGACTCAGGAGACGTGCCGTATGGAGACTACTTCCAGCCCCGGCCTACCTATGCCTCGGCTGCCGTACTTGCTCGCTTCCCAGCTTCAGTCCTCGATCGCATCTTTGGCTTTGTCTGCCCTCATAGTCGCGATGAGAGCTACTCTACCTGTGAGCAGAGCTCCGTCGACGATGCCTGCATGCTCTGTGACCTGCGCGACCTGGCACACTGTGTTGCTGTGTGCAAGAAGTGGAAGGAAGAAGCCGTGAAGCTATTGTATGTGTTTTCGGGTTTCCTTTTTCTTTAATCGACCTGGAATTTTACTTGCCTAACCCATCGTGTCCAGATATCATAGCATTCGGATCGACAGTGTCCATTACTGCGAACTCGAAGCTGTCCTCGCTGAACGGCGAAAGCGGCGTTCGTCCATTTTTGATCGGAATGGCGAGCCAGAAGACCCGGCGCAAGCTCGTTTGAAGTTGCTCTGCCGGACTCTCCGTGAGGACCCGGTTCGCCGCGGGCAGCTTGTCCAGTTCCTCAAGATGCCTTACATGCTTCGCGAAGCCTGTCAAGCCGATATTGCTCGGACGATAGCCGTGACACCAAACCTTCGTTATGTAGACCTTCCCGAAGGCCTTTTCGCCGATGAACCCGGCTGCATGACTCTTCGACTCGAGGTTCAGGCCCGCTGCCTTGACTTACGCAAAATGACCTACATGAGGGGGGCTGAGAACAGTCTTCAAGCCCTCGCAACGGGAAGGGTCTGGACGAAGCTCGAGGTTTTGGAGTTGATTCGAATCGATATGGAGCCTTCCATGTTGCGGCAAGTCTTGGGCTGTCTGAGCAATCTCCGTGCTCTCAAGATCAGCGAGACTGAGTCGATCACTGACGAGACCTTGATTTGGAGCGATACGCTTCCTCCATTCCCTCCGCTGGAAGAGTTCATCCTTACTAAGGTTCCGAACATCACGGCGGAGGGACTCAAGGAATGGCTAATCCTCCCTGAAGCACGCCAGTCCCTGAGAGTACTCACCCTGAACAGCACTGGTGTCAAAGTCTGTGATCTGCCTGAACTCGTGGGTTACACGCCCAACCTCAAACACCTGTCTATCAGTGACAGCGTAGCAACTACCCTGCAAACAGCTGCTGGCCCCCAAAACATCCGGCTCCTGAACTGCACGAACCTGGAGTCGCTGCACTATGAGATCACGGCTGCACCGTCGGCTCCAAAGTTTTCAGGCGCCACGGCCAGCTACTACCAATACCTCGCCAACTCCCTCCTGTCCGGCGGCCTGCCCAACCTTCGGGCTCTCTATGTCCGCGACCCTCACTTCCCCGATCTACTTCTCGGCCTGCCCCCGCCGGCTCCTGCCTATGCTGAAGGCCGTGTCGCCCGTCCAGCAAGCAGCGGCTCAGCCTTCCCATCATACCAATCCAATAATAGGGGCTCCCTTGGCCTGCCTCTCCCTCCAGCTCCGTCTGGTGGCCATGGCAGCGGCCATCGCCCTCACGGCTCGCTCTCTACGATCAACGGCCTCAGTGGCTCGTCATCTACAAACAAGTTACCTACCTCGCGAATCAACCATCGTTTCAGCAGCAACAACCCCTTCGCATCCCTGGCTGCTCAACAGCAACAGCAACAGCAACAGCAACAACAACAACGACAACAACAACAGCAGCAGCAGCAGCAGCAGCAGCAACAACAACAACAACAACAACGGCGGCGGCGGCAGGAGGAACTCATCCGCGGCCTACCCCTTCCCCCTTTTGCTCCCTCTGCTACAGGAACTGTCCCAGCTTTCATGAACCTCCCTTCTAAACTCGAAGTCTTTACGAAAGGCGACGATGATCAGCTAGGCTGGTCCTTCGTGCAAGTTGGGTACGGCGATTACTGGGGTGGCGGGGGCCGTCACGCTGGTGATGCATATACCTTAGGCGCTGCGAGCAGATCTGAGCGTCCGCTGAGCAGCTACGGTCTTGGAGCTGATGTGCTAGGTGGGAATATCTCCGGATGGAGTAGTGGCGCTGGTGCGAGGAGGAGTGTCCTTGTTGCAGGGGGGGGTGCGGGTGGGGGGTTTACGGCTGTTGCTGATACTGGTGCTGTCCGAAAGAGGACTGAGGGAGGGTTTTTGTCGCCTATTCAGTCGCCTGTGGGTCCGCTGTCACCGAGGAAGGGTAGTCTCAGTGGTAGTGGGGATGAGGATAGCTGGCCTAGGCCTAAGAGCAGCTCGGGGGAGAAGAAGAGGGAGAGAATGGATCTTTGGCGTTGAGGGGTTGGTGTTGGTTTCATAAGTCCGGTTGGTAATGAGGAGATGAATAATGCAGCGTGTTTCAACTGGCCTTTGGTGTGTTAATGAGGGTTGAAGCTTCTTCAAGTATATTAGTTTACTTTTTTCTTTCTTGAGCCTTGGTATCCGTTGGTATCGAGATCATGAATCGTGTTTAGGATCTTGTCTGGATGATGTAGTATACCCCATGGAAATTTGATTTTCAATGTCTTATGTCCTTTCACCTTGTGTCCTCACACATGGGATGTCTCTATCTAGTAAAAATACTGCTTTCTGAGTGGCATGTGAAGAACAGTCGCTTAAAACTTGGTCACCTAATCCACAAGCACTGTAGTCACATACCCGGTTGAGGTCCCTCTTTTCCATCAGGAAAAAAGGTCTCGCAACCTCTTGCTTTACAGACCTCATTGGTTTCTCACTACATCCTCTTCTGAAGATGAAGGAACGATGGAAGAGTAAATACTGTAGAGCACCCCCAAACCTTTTCTTCTGAAGCAATACTCGTCCAATCGCTGTATGAATCTTACTGAAATTGGACCCTCTCAGGTCTATGACGATTGCAGACGTTCAGTCATGCACCTTCGAAGAGGTACATTACATGGGGGGGCTTAAATGACAACGTAATACTGAACGCTCGATGTCGCTCGATGTTATAACTCGGAGTCATTGCGATATTTACACCGTCACCTTACCTACTGTAATAGTCTTGGAGACCACCCCGGGAATTAACCTAGAAGAAACAACTTCCTCCGCATCCTACATTTCCTCCACAGCACATCCGATTGAAGTCGTCGCCTCCATCGTTTCTATATTGCTCTGTTGCGCATACGGTGACACCACTGCGTCTTGAAATCAGCTGGATAGCTGCACCTGCGGCTGTATAGCAATTGACGAATCCGCGTGTCTCTGCCTTTCGGACGCCCGAAAGCCCGGCCGAAGTGGCGGCGGCGGTGAGGCATTCTCGAAATGGCCAGAAACCCCTGGGCGAGCTTGTTGGTGCTCATGGTCCGCCATCCCGGAACTATGGAAGACATGATCTCAATCCAACTCAGTTATTGATGACAAAGTTAGGGATGATGAATGCTCTTCAATTCGTTGATGACTGGTTCCAGCATATCTGCCCCAAAAACATCACACAGCAGCTTGGTATTCTCATCCTGCCCTTAGGAAGGAATGGAGGATGAACACATTTGGTTCAGATTTGCCTGGATTCTGGATCTCTATCATACCACGGATGTGCCGCGCCTCGTTGCCAGTTGTAAACGTTTTATTGTTAGTGACAGCAACAAAGTGATTGGAAAGGAAACTATTGCTAAAATGCCACAGAACATTGGCTCCAGGGGCAAAGCCTCTGCAGCTGTTAGTCTTGCATAAGGTGCTGATACACTGACCTACAAGCTATTACTCGCAGCCTCTGGATCTAGTCATAGCTGTTGGTCAGGTTTAGCAGATTACAGAGTTAACAATTTCGTCACTGTCTCTCACACTAAGTTGTCTCGGCCCATTCCGTACCTCAAGAGCCTTGCTGACTGAAGGAATGGACCTCATATCTCTGTGCCACGCAACTGCACTGGAGCATCGAGAAAACCTTAAAGCTCTTCAATGTCTCATGGACCGATAAGATGGCCGGGTATCCAGCTCTGTAGAGTCAAATGTTCAGATTATGCCGAGGAACGCGAGCAAAATTTTATGTCTGACGGACATCCGGTCAGATCCTAATGACAGCTTACCCCAGGCACGGAGCATTAGAGCACGGTAAGCTTACGGAGTGCTACGCTACTCGGCACCGGCCCGGCACACAGATGACGTCCAAAGCCGGGGCCGAATGGTATGCTAATTGTGGAGAGGCAATGACCTTGACCGACCGGCTGAGCCTCTCTTGGAGGGTCCAGCCGCACACCAGCATACTTATTTTGTTGACAAATGCCAGTCATGTACGCACCTCCCACACCTCGGTCAAGCTCAACGGAGTTCAACTGTTACGGAGGAGAAAACGGAGCGCTTACATGCAAATGCCCTTTTGCCTAACTCTGATCTGCCATGATGAACCAGCCGGCGGCGTGGCGGTTCCAAGTTTCGACCGCCAATCAGTTAGTGCATGCTATCCAATTGCTGTGCCACACATCCTCCCGCCATGTCTGCAGCCTTCACCGATGAGATGGAGGGGCTGCTGGTGATCACACGGCAGATCAGAGAGTGTGCCGTTTCGAAATCGTCAAGACATGGCACCAACACTGCTAACATTTGTCAAAAGATGCGGTTTTGTGCTTTTACAACAAGATATAAAAATATGAATGATGAGGATTCAAGGGATATTTCTATCTCAAACAAATATCTTTCATCAATAGAACACTGGATTCATGATTTATTTTTGTATGGCCCTTGGCGGAGCCCCGCCCTAATCCGAGTTCGGAAAGATTTCTGACTTCCTTTAAAGTGGGGCCTAATACAAGGCCTGTGACTGGTCACCGTTTACAAACGCTCGGGTCAACAGACCTTAGGTCCGGATCAATGACGCAATGGGCCCCTCTTCAAAAGTTCTGAGGTCCCCAGAGCTCCGCTGCAGTTCACCGTACGATGCTCTGAAGCTGGAGATGGCGCAACTTGGATAGTCGAAGGCCAGATCAACATAGGCGCTCCCGCTAGTTTGCCTTGTCCAGCCTTCAGCCTCATCTTACAACTTCGAGAGGGAAAATTTGATTGTAGTCTACGTGCTTGCGGATTCTTCATGCAGGGAGTACGTCTAGCCACCCCCCTCTCTCTGGCTAGTTATGGCAGATAGATCGAGCCTTATTTTCGTAAATCGCTCGGGAGCAGCCTCGCCCGAGGCATCTGAAGCGTGTCTGATGTCAATCACTTTCCAAGCTTGTTCTGCATGTCATTTGTGACACACAAAAACCCGGGAAAAAAAAAGCTTCTTTGTCGACGGAGCATGGGACATGACTTACTTCTATTGCGTCCCGAGCTATCAGCTGTGTGAGTGTGCAACAGCATCAACAAAAGGCCCACTCGGAACGTGGTTCATGGACTTTGTGTGGCCAAATAGTCGCGCTGCACGATAACTTGGCATCGTGGATAACGGATAACGGCAGCAGCAATCGTGAGATCGCCAGGGGTTCGATCTGAGATCAGGCGATGGACGAAAACAAAACATCTCACTCGTAGACAGGGGCATGCCTGAGTTTTTCGTCGCGACTTACAACCCGTACGTGCAAACTTTTGCGATCCTGCATCTGCTACTCTTGGTCGAGAAATCAGTGTACAGAAAGGCATCAGATGCTTTACTGTTGAGAATTAATCTACAAAAGACACCAAGGATCAAAAGTCGGTGAGTAGCAACTGTGGTGTAGGTCCTTCTGTACAACATAAGGTAAGTATATCAAGTTTGGGCTGCATGAAAGAGCGCCACTGCCGTTACGGGCACTTCTGCGGCTTTGATTTGAGTTGTGGAGCAGTGCTACAGAACAAAAAGCTATAAAGCCATGCCTGACCAAACACACAGAGGCACTTGGAAATCAGCTGCAACCGACGCTCGGAAAACTCTTTAAACTTCAGCAACGCTTGGCTGCCCGAGGAACGCGAAGGCCGTGGGGTTTGCAAGCGATAATCATCCACAGTGTAGCCGGCTCGTTCCATTATGACGATGACATCGAGAGCCCGACTGCATGCCGTAACCGGAAGCGGGAGACCGTCCGCCACCACAGCGCTGTTTAGAATTTCAGGTACCTTTTGGGTCCTGTAACCGGAACGTCCGCCGACCCGCTCTGTCACCTCATCGGACCCGAGTAGAGTTACATAGCTATGGGTCTTACGTCGGTTCTGCCGTCCCTTATCTTACACAACGGAGCGGGTCAGTCTGGACCTCTCCAAGCTCGCCGCCGTCAGAATCGGCGACAAAAGTGTTATTGTCTCTCAACACACACATTTCGACAGGCATTGGAGGGAAAATACGACGCGTGCTTGGTGTTTATGCGCCTGAGGTTCCAAGAGCCACTCTTCCGTTTTGGTTCCGGGGCTTTGGGTCCGTAGTGTCTGCGTTTCTCAATGCAATCTGTACATTCATGCCGCAGCGGGACGAAGTGCGCGTAACAACGATAGAAACAGGTATGCGTAACCGAGCAATCGGTTGGAGACAGTGAGGATATTCCGCATCTATACATTACTTGTTGGACTTCTGTGCCAGCTCGGCACCGGTAGAAAGAGTTTGCTGTTTATCTTTCCAGCTTTGATCGAGTGTCAGCTGTGTGGAACAACCGTTGTAAGAGGCCAAAGGCGGCTGTGGCGAGCTAAGTAAGCTTATCACTAGCGAGCTGGATGGTAGGCCAAGCAAGAGCCCTATCAATAATAGGGAAAGACTATAAAAAGATAAAAAGGGCGGCCCGGCCATATCAAGGCCAGTCATATCAACGAGCTTCCTCACACCTCCGTTTCGCAAAAAAAAAAAAAAAAAAAAAAAAGTTAGGACAAAAGACGGGATAGAGCGGAACGGAGTTGTGCTCGTACTGTTTCTAGCGCAGCGCTAAAAGCGCGGCAGTGAGTCGACAAGCGCAAGTTGACATAGGATTTGTCGACAACGTGACAGGCGCATGGAAAACTTTTTGCCATATCCCAACGAGGTGTCATAGTGGTTCGGTTCCTACCTTAGCGTTCTGCTCCCGCTTCGAATCTGTGGGATACATCCGGTACGCTTGTACCAATCGCTATCGCCTAGGCAGTCGGCCCCGTGGAGCCATCGATACTGCCAATGACGATGGGTTTCTTCCCATTCTTCCATCGAAGTGGTAAACGTAACTAGTGACCACGCTTCTGGTGACGCTAACGTCAATCCACCCATCCGTTCAGGCAAGCCGAGCTTCTCGACTTCCTGGTCAGGGCTTTGCCAAGCTTGGCTTGCGGCTTGCTGGGCTAGGATGACAAGCCTGTCTTTTGGCAGTGTTGGCAAACTTGGGTGTGTTTTGCGCGTCGTGCATGCAGTGGCTGTGGATAAAAATCCATATTCTATTTTTTTCCTTTTTAATTGGCCACGTAAACGGATGACATTAGAGTCATAGCGACAAGTCGTGACTCTTGTCTTGTGTGTCTTTCTGTGGTTACTTGATTCCTCAAAACCTTTGGGGGAATAAATTTCGGAAGCCGTTGTTCTGCGTTACGCCAAGCAAGCACGCTAGTCTATGACGCTAGTCCCAAACGGGGCATAGTCTTGGCGCTGTCCACGTCGAAGAGCTCTGGTGGATTTGCTCTGAAATATGGTGAACATGGGCCAACCAGCGTCCTCGTCGCCCTTCATGGGCCTCGCCGGCTGGCCACGATCGCGTTTTGAGGATCGAAGAGTTGCTGGCCACTTCTCCAGGGCAGCCATCTGGGTCCTCTGGGATGGCTTAGAAGGTGTCTCTTTTTGTCTCAGAGAACCGCATTTGGTTCCGCAGCGGCGGCAAGCTGCCCTTTCACAGCGTCTTTTGCTCCGAAACCACCGACGAAGGACAACAATGCAAGCAATCGTGCAAGCTCGTGTCTGGCACACCAGAGCAAATTGTCCTTTGTCCCCTTCCCCCGCGATCCTTGTCCACGATTCGGTAGCGCTCGCGGATTGTCTGTTGTGGAGACGGCGTAGACAAGGGTGAAGGGATCGCCGCGACAAGGGTGACAAGGGTCCTGACGGTCGGGGGTCAAAAGCGAAGCGATGTTGCCATGCAGACGCTTGTCATGCGAGGGCCTGCCCATTCACCCGTTTCCTCCCAGAGGTGCACGCGACTCTCCAGTTCCTGCTTGTCCGTACGTACAAAGTGCGTATATGTACAGGTTGTGCAGTGTAGGGGACTGTAGGAGAGGCGCTAAGCGTTGGCTGCATGGAATGAGTGGTAACGGACATGCTCGAGCCGGCCAGTAGGGACTGACGATGGCCTTGGAACAGGAAATGCATGCACATCCTGCGCGACCATCCCACCTGTAAGCCAACCAAAGACGACGGCCGATTCTGACGGCGGCCCTAAGGTGGCTGCAGACCGTTATGACCGCTCTTGGCGTGGCTCCGTCTTGTGTTTCTTGACGCAGGACGCCATTCCTATCGAACAAGGGCAGCAACCAAGGGGGGACCGCCCACTTTGGGCACCACCCTCCTGCTTTCATAATAAAAAGATGCTCCCACCCTCGGCGATCCTCCCTTCTTGAGGGGGGCTCTGCCTGAGATGCTCGTTCATTATACCAGCCTCCACCACATCTCATCTCGCGACCCCACTGCTCCCCACAAACCAAAAAGAAAAAAGGCATTTTGCACCCTGGGACCCTGACGACCTCGACTCCCTGGGCTCTCCCAAGAGCGGACACGGTTCGCGACTGAGACATATCAACGCCGAGGCCCCCTGTCTCCTTTGGTCACGGCCTATTTCCACACTTCTCTTTCTTCCTCCTTTCCAGCCCGGACTCCGGAGTGCCTACCGGTACGGTTGTAGAGAGAACAGAGCACACTAAGCAATCTCCCTCATCAAGGCATGTCTCCCGTAAACAGTCTCCTTCCCGCAAGGGAGTCAGCCATCGGTCTTTCAAATACCCAAGCCCTCGACAAGCACGACTTCCCTCTCACAGCCCAGCCCACGGCATTCGGTGAGCCCATAATTGACAAGTACTACGAGTTGGACGCCCGAGACACGATGGCTGCCAGCCCAAACCCTTCCCAATCGAGCACAGAGGTGCCGGAGCTGCCCCGAAAGAGCGTCCTCAGGGCCTCGCAGCTCCTGGACAACCTCACGTTGAAGATGAATGACGGCGTCGAGACCATCGAATTGAGGGAAACCATCCCCCCTCACGATGTTTACCTTTCTTCCGAGGAGGATGCCTCGTCTGATACCGACGATTTCTCTGACTTCGACTTCGATTATGACGACTCGAGCATCGAGGATCCCGCTTCCCCCACGACCAGGAGTAGCCAGGAGAGCACAGCCAGGAAGGTGTCGGTGGTGTTCTCGGGCAAGCCATCTCTTGTGGACCTGCCAGCGACAAGGAAACGTCCGACGTCAGCAAGTTCTTTGGCGATGTCACCTCTTACAAGATCAAGGACCACTTCTGCTGCCTCATCCCAAGCACCAACAACGACAACGACAACAACATCATTAGCAATTACTGAGTCCTCCCGGCCAGCCACCCCGGCAAGCAGCTCCTCCAAGTCGCTCCAGCGGAAGAGTGTCCACCTGGGCGAGCTTCTCGGCAAGAAGAGGCCCCCATTCCTCAACATCGATCCTTGCGCAAGCAGCTCTCGTCACGAGCCACTCCTCGAGAGCGGGCAACAACAACACCATGTTGTTAAGACCCCACGCACTCCGACGACCCTTCTCAGAGGTGTGACAAGGTCAATAAGCCTAGTCCGGAAGCGGAGCCGGCCGCTGATTCATACGGCCTCTGCTTCCCATACCGCTGTTGGACCCTCGCCTCTCTCGGCTACTGTGCCTTTGTCGGCTACCGAGCCCCCGTCGCGGTTGAGCTCTCCGTTCCAGCCCGCGGACTCCATTAACAACTACAGGAACTCGCTACAGTCGCCTGCTACAGTGATGCATGTCGAGCATAAGCCCCAGCAACATCAACAACAGCGCCGTGAAGAAGTTCATCTGCCCAAGCGGCCGAGGACCCCATCGACGCCAATCCTCTTTACCGAGATGATTCAGGCGGTTCAGCGCAGCGCGACCATGGTCGAGTCTTCCTCCAATGTTATGTCACCGACCGAGCCGACTCCGAAGAAGGGGCTCCTTAGTGCCCTGGCGATGAGGAGAAGAAGTATCAAGATTATGGGGAGGCCATTTTAATTTGGGTATTTTTTTCTTTTGGTCTGGGACTTTCGGGGACCTTATTAGAAAGTTCAGGAAAACAAAAAAGCTGGTTGGACTGGTTGGTTGGCAGTCTGGGTATTGGCGTTTTGGTGGTTATTTGCTTGCTCTGGATATCCATCTCCTGTCATTTTGACAAGGAAATCATGGGAGGAAAGGCGTTTTGGGACGGGTATAAGGCATCACAGTACCACACGTCACGATTGGAATATGGCATGTTTGATGATACCACAGAGCTGCCTTTGTCTAGCAAGGTGGCCGGCGAATGGATGACATTGCATTTGCTTTCCTTCCGTACTCTCTGTTCCCCGCATGAAATCAGTGTGATATGCATTTACCTAGTGTTGAAGCCCATGTTACCTTTGCTTTTTCTTGCTTTGAAGTTTGGAGCTCAGCCTTGCGTTTCATCCCTGCAGCTTCTTACACTTGCACTTGCATGGGTCGTGACACGAAGCGCCTTCCGAAGCATTACATGTCTCTTTCACATCGGATCATCTCAAACCGAAATACTTTGGTTACGATCACGCTCAAGCACCTGTCACATTGTCTTTTGGAGGACTCAAATATGGACAAAAAAAAAAAAAATTACATCAAAAGTCCTCTGAAGTCGTTGAGAGCCCTTTGCATTCAAGACTTTCTCCTCGACCAGCCCACCCTTTGCCAAGGATCCAAGTTCAGAACAGCGTGTTTCATTATTGATTTTTTTCACCCTGCCGAAGCGAGTGGGATGCCGGCCCGTCAATGTCTCGACTCAAGCGCATGTTTCGAAGAGATCCATTCCTACCTGGAGCAGAGAACTTGTTATCGCAGATCGCTGTCCCGCTTCCGTACCTTGCTCGTTATCCTTTTTGAGTATTAGAGACGGTATGAAGATGCATCTTGTATCCCCAACCCCATCTATCCCGTCGGAGAGCGAGATCAAAGGATGATGAGCACATATCCAACCCTAACAAATCGGAGATACTTGCTGTGTTCTTCACTTTTCCTTCTCCGATCTCCATTTTCCCCCTCCCCAATAATTTTATTTTGGCCTGATTTTACCTTGCACTTCACCTCATTCGACATTGCAACGGTGCAATGCAGGAACGCCATTGCAACCTTTCCCACTGACACCTTGATACCCAATCCTCAAGGTTTCCATGTTCGCGAACCCCCACCCTAGTCACGTTACGTTGCATGTGCGATGCGTCTCCTCTCCTCTCGCGTTCGAACTCCCGGCCGATTATCCAGGTTTTTGAACGAAGGGGTCAGCCGAACGGGCCCTACGACGAGAAACCTTGTAAGTACATAGATGACCCCGGGACGGCCCATCCTGCGTTGCAGCTGCAACTCTTTGGTCGTTAGAAACTTGGGAGAGATTGGGTTTAAACTACTACGTTGTTTCGAAACGGAATCTTACCTCGGCCAGGGCTCGGGTCCGCAAGATGACAATGGGGTAAATTCCAACGGCGTTCCCGCTTCTTTGGGAAACTGGGTCAAGGGTGCCATCTAATGGAAAATAAGCAGCTGATCTTGTTATGATGCGTTGGGGAGTTTAAAAACCTAAGATCCTAATCCTAGAATGGGACCAGTAGGCTTTCAGCAGTTCCTGACAGTTTAAAGTTGGGGTAACCTACACTGCCCCGCCTGGTCAGAGCATGCAACGAGGACCGATCCTGTTATTTGGAGATGAGATGCGAATGAGCAGGATAGAGAGGTTTCGGTGGGTTGCACAAACGCAGCAGACACTGCTTTCGGGCCGGGCCACCATTTGTTGGGCCATGATCACTGTTAGCGATGTCAGATGTAACCGTCTGCTCGGGGTGGATTAACAACCATGATGTCTTATGTTTAGCGACAGATAGTAAGCAGGACAAAAAAAGTAGTGAAGCCATCATGAATTGTCTCTTCTGGTACTATTAATCAATCAATGTGAAGCACTTGATCTTATCACTTCTGCGCAGCACTATGGTCAAGCCGGAGGAATGCACGTGGTTGGAGTTGGCTGAGATGGCTGCTGCTTACCTGATGTCTATCCGTAGTAATCTGAAATAAAGAGTCATTGCTTTTTTTATCTTTGAAGTTAGTAAGGAGATGGATAGAATGTCAGAGGCAAAAACTACTTCTAAGTTGGGATGCTGGAAACATCGCCATATCAACCCAAGTGTTAGCTGGGAACCTCATTTCGCATTGAAGTCACAACTTCGGAGAAAGGTTAGCCTAGCAGTCATCTTCATCACTCTCAAATTCCTCAATTGAGAAGGGATTTGACAGAAAAGCCGGGAAGGAGCCTGACAGCAAAGTACTCTCGTCATATCTAACTTCAGATGGCGTTGGGTTAGAATTGTGAAAAACAGTAAGTGAGGTCCCTTTATCCCACCAGGTGCTCAAAGAAAAAGCTGAGTAGGAATGACCAACGTCAGCAACAGGTCACACATTATCTGGGGACATTCACTTCCAGTTTCTAAGGGCAAGAACGGCCTTGGATGGGTGAAAGGGACATCCTATGATCGCAAACGCAACCGCTAAAGGCCTAGGCCACAGCTCCCCTGGCTACTCTTAGTTTCATGTTCGGCTTCCTCTTTCATGCCTACCTACCTAGGCTTACAACAGAGGGAACGTCTCTGGCATTTTCAGAAAACGTGTCTCGTCACATAGCATAGTTGCACCTAAGTTTTTTTTTTTTTTTTTTTTTTTTTTTTTGCAATCATATCATATTAGATGGTCTGATTATAATGATTCTTAGTTTTAATGTCTTGTTGGCCCATCCACTTTCATGTCCTCAATAACTGGCCCTCGTAATCCAACAAGCAGTTGTTGACAGATACAGAGCGTTACCCCATTCGAGTTTCAAGGCCAACAGTGGTTATATTATGCATTGAGTTCAGAAAACAAAGTAGAGGCAAAGCCAGGGCAAGAGACATTTGGCTGTTTTACGTGAAGGTTAATGGTCCAATGCTGATGCAAGGATGACCTGGGAAGACTAGCTAACTACTCCTAGGACACCATCCCGTGAAAGGGTCTCTTGATATCTGCTGTTGGCTCTTGTTCCATCAGGTTTTTTGAGAGAGTGGTGCGTGATAGAACTACTGATGGTATGCCGATGGACACTTGGCATCAAGCTTTATATGGTTGATCACAGAATGCCATGCTTAAGGAGGGGTCCAATTCCATGGTCTATCATACCATATATGGTTTGCAAGTTCATCACTGCCAAGCTTCAGTCACTGACAGGAGCTAAAAGTCATGAACTACACTATTAATATTGCCGATATTTCTGCCCTGCCATATAAAGCAGAGCATTTGGTACAGGACCAAAATGTATACACACAACAGAAAGACAAAGACAAAAAAAAATACGACTTGCCAAAGGACCTCGGGCGTGACTAGGCAGGGAACCAGGCACTTGCTCATTTCCTCTGCTCAGCCGAATCGGACCGGCCCTGCCTGCCCTTGACTGATCCTCGAGGCCAGCCAGAAAAGGCGATCCAGATCCATATATGCCGCCGCCCATCATGCCCAAACCTATTATTATTTGTATTTTTTTTGTTCCCATCAAGCCATCCGTCCATCCATCATACACCCGCCATCCCCACCGTGCCATCATTCATGATACCATCACCGTCACCCATATAATAACCCGCAGTCCTGGTGAGAAGCGTTGCCGTCCCGTCAAATCCAGGCTGTGAGCAGCCGCCAAAATGTCTGTCATCATGAGAGAAGCGTGCAAATACCTAACCCCATCATGAAATGCCCCCATGTCTAGAAAAACTCCATGAATACCGAGATGCCATTATCGATACACCGAGGATCCCGCGCAATCAATCACAGTAGCTATGGGCCGCTCGAGCAGAGGCCCGGCGCTACATCATCACGCCCTTTCTTATCTCAAACATGGAAAGCTCTTGCGTGGATACCCGAGTGCCAAACAGCACTCAATCGTCCTGACGCGAAGGCTCGTCCCATGACCCACCCAATCGTAAGTCAGACATCGGGTAGGTAAAATGGCATGCATCAGCTCCGGCTTGCTTAAGCCCTGCGGGAGCGGGTAGCAGTGCCGTTGGTCTTGATGGCTGTGGACTTGGCCTCACCGTTGTTGGTAGCCAGAGCAGCGTTGCCATTAGCAGCCTGGCCGTGGAGGGGATCCGGCAGAGGGGCCTGGCTCATGCGGCGGACGGCCTTGCGGCTACTAGGGCGCTTGCCGTCCTTCTTGTATGTGGCAAAGTAGAAGGAGATGAAGAGGAAAAGGTATGAGGTCAGAATGCCGATACCAGCGAAAGCGGCAAACTCCTCACCAGCGCAGGAGCCAACGTTGGGAAGCCAAGGCCAGTAAGTAGAAGTGAAGTAGGTCCAGGAGGCGAAGTAGACAAAGCCTGATGAGATATGCCGGTTAGTCTATGTTGGTAATGCAACTCGGTGGGATTTATTGTAGACTTACCGAGATCAATGAAGAACTGGATAATCTGCAGGCGGGTGATCCACTCCTTCCACCAGATCTTGATACCACGAGCGCTCTGGAAGTAGTACCAATACATGACAACGTGGACAGTCAGATTGAGGGTGATAACGACCCAGGAGACAGCAGTCGAGCCGATGAGCTGGGTGTAGCAAAGCAGAGCAGTCGCGCCATGATGGTAGCAGTGAAGGAAGGTGAGCGGCTTCTTCTTGAGGAAGAGGAAGCACGTGTCCAACAGCTCGAGGTACTTGGTCAGGTAGTTCAGCTGGAGAGGCTTGTGTTAGCATCGCTAAGGAACTCGACATGCACGATGACGGGACAAGAAACTTACGTAGTACAGGACGACCAGGGGCTGGGTCCAACCGCCCTCAGCATGGCAAATGGCATGGAACAGACCATGACGAACAACAGTAGGCAGAATCTGCTCAATGAACAGAGCAAGCAGAATGGCGCTGATGGCGGTGAGGTAGAAGTTGTGGATCAAGAAAAGAGTGCGCAGCTTGAAAGGCTCGCGGTTGCGCATCACCTCGCGGCCGCCGAAGATGACGAGATAGTAGAAGGCAATGAAGATGCCAGCCTCCTTAAAGGTTGACAGCGGTGTTTTGCCAGGAACGAAACGGAATTCATCGGCAGGATAGCCAACGACCTTCTCGAAGGCCTTGTTGAAAATGGGCCAGAGATGAACGCCAAAGGGGCGGTCAATGGTAGGCATGGGCAGCTGCCCAAACAGCGACACGGGAGAAGCGGTCGCCATTGTGGGAAAACGCGAGATAGATTGACGACTCTTGATGGCGCAAAGCGTCAGCACAGCACGTTCACGATGATACCTCGATGTGATGTGTTTGGGACGAGGACAGCAGGGTCTGGCTTTACCTGGTGAAACAGAAGTGTCGACGCGCAACACGGTGGTCGAGAGAGAAGCGGAAAAGGATGCGTGTGCGCAGGGCAGAGCAACCAATCAGGCCGTTCGATAAAAGGGAATGCAGCAGCGGCAAGTGGCCAGCTTGGCAAGAAACGAAGACGAAAAAAAGAGAAAGAAAGGGAATAAATCGCAGGGCGACACCCAAGAATCAGGGAGGCGCAAGCGATGACCTTGGGATGCGTCGCCAACAAGAAAGACGGATGGAGAGTTTGTTGAGAAGTTTTGTTCTTAAGATGAAGGCGGCCAAAATAAAGATTTCCCGCGCTCAGCCCGCCCAGGCCAACACGCCGCCTGTCCGCTCACTGCTGCTTGGCCACTGGCTGCTGTCCACGGGTCTGCAACAAAGGGGGAAGCCATGAATGGCTAGTGTCGACGCCTGGGCCTCATTTCCAGGTTCCTGCATGTGAATTTTTGCCAGCCAATCACCCCCTGGCAGCCACCGGTGAGATCTGCCCCACCCGCCATCCTGGCAGTCAGCGCCAACCTGGGCCTCGGAATCCTCCTGCGATCTCGTGGCCCCCGAGTTTCCCAGCAATTCTGGGATCTGGGACGGAAGACTGGAGTTTGCGATACAAAATCATTTACACCGGCTACAAATTCTGTGTTGCAGAGCTCCTGGGCGACCTGCACAGCAATCGTAGCTGCCCTTTCGCACTTCAGAGTCCTCGAATGCATGATAAGTGGAAATTCTGCTTGGAGGACGGGAACGACCCCTGAGCCCGTCACGGGACCCCTCGTCTGCGGGCTGCCCGCGCCGGCTTGCTCGGCGCCGATTGCCAGCAATCCCTCCAGTGGCAGACTCGCAGCTGCGAGCGGGAATCCACCGACTGGTGGTCCAGACACGTTGACACCGCAGCAAAGCAAAAATGGTCTGGGAGATGGTTGGAAGGAAATGGGCACCCACCCGACCGCGATGTATCCCCAGCCAACTAAAAACCACTTGATACTTGTGTATTTGCTGGCATTGACTATTTTCTCATATATTTCTCCTCTCGACGTCGTCAACGCTGATAACTGGCCTGGAATTCCGATCCGCCGGTCTTCGGGCGTTGAACCATCTCGATGGATCTCGGGCCTCGGCGCCGTAAGTGACATCGCGCCCCCGGACTCCGCGGCCCTCCGTGTTGGGCGACGGCCTTGCCACTGCCATGACGCAGCACGTCGCCCGCTGCGCTCAACACCGCACCGACGGGCAGCGCCGGCTATGTTGATGATATAAATAACTGATGGGCTTCAAACTCTCATCTTCTTGGATTTGCGCGGATGGACTTTTGTGTTGACCAGCCCTGTGTCTCAATTGAGCGCATGACTAGAAGCTTTGGGCCTTTTTTTGTTGTTTGCGTCCCTGGGTTTGTCAAAAGGTTTTTTTATTAGAAGTCATGCGTCAAACACCGAGATGGAAGACAATGTGCAACATATTGAGGCAGTGTACTTAAAGCGGGAAGACCCTGGAAACGGCAGTTGGTTAAGATCTGGGGTGAAACTTGGGCCAGGTCAGTAGGATCGGGTCGGGTCCCCGATACAGGATCTTTGTCTCGGTGCCGGACAGTCCCGGATCCAAATCTCTGACGGGGCAAGCCACAACACTCCAGCCACGCAGGTGGATCCTCTGAAACCAATGGGTTAAGCCACACGATCTGCTGGTGGCGCAAAGCGTCCACCGAGGCGCAAGCTCATTGGTGGGGTAGGCAGGCCCAAGCAAGAAAAAAAGCGCGCTAGGCAACTAAGCGGGCGAAATTCCACGCATAGCCGAAAGATCATTCGATTGCCAGTATCCGTAACTGTCCAAGGCTCAACACCACCCACACTGTCTGCTCTGGCTGCAACGCACGCACCCACTTGAATCAATTGACTCGAAGCTCCCTCCCGGGCCATCCCATCGCCGTCGAGCTCCCCGACTTTTCCGCCAATTGACTGCCTTTGACCCCTTCCGGCTCGGGATCCCATTACTGTCGTCCATCGTCGTCGCATCGACACCAGTAAATTCCAGAAAAAATGGCCTCCCTGTTCCGTGTTGCCGCCCGCGGCCCCTCCAGCTTCCTCCGCGCCAGCATCAAGGCTGCCCGGCCCCAGCCGATCGCTGCCCGTGTCTCCCTGCCCATTGCCAACTTCAGCACCTCCGCCCGTCGCCTCGGCGAGCATCACGAGGAGACCTTCGAGGAGTTTACTGCCCGGTGAGTTGAGCTCTGGATTGACCCTCAACCGTCCCGGTGCATTATTGTGCTTTTTTCTGGAGCCCAGCAGAGCTTTCCTGAGCTCCGCTCCAAGCTTCGCCCCCATGACGTGACCCATTTTCGGGCCACTACTCCGGCCCAGGATAGCGCCCACGACCGCCTGCTGCGAACATCACTGCTGATTTTCGAGTGTCGGACAGCTTCGAGAAGGAGTTTGACAGCGTTCAGGACTCTTTCGAGCTTCAGGTACGCCCGCATCGGATCGTCCCGGCTGCGCACCCCCCAGCAGCCCAGCTTTTTTTATCTCTCGAGAAAACACCTCGCTGACCCGAAGCTTACCCGTCGCAACAGCGCAACCTAAACAACTGCTTCGCCTACGATCTCGTCCCCGCCCCGTCCGTCCTGGCTGCTGCTCTCCGGGCTGCTCGGAGGGTCAACGACTTCCCTACTGCCGTCCGCATCTTTGAGGGTACGAGCTAATTTTGCCCCAGACAACCCTCCTCTTTGAAGCTTCTCGTGGAGTTCTCGAAGCAAGGCTTGGAAACCTCCTGATTCAGGCGAATGCTGACCGATGTGTTTTTACCAAACTACAGCCATCAAGGCCAAGGTCGAGAACCCCTCTCAGTACCAGCAGTACCTCGACGAGCTCAAGCCCCTGCGCGAGGAGCTGAGCATCCCCCTCAAGGAGGACCTGTACCCTGATGCCAAGTGGTAAACAAACTACTTAAGGTGTAACTCTCTACCCCCCCTGGAGGGAATGCTTCCTGGTTTTTTTGGGCAGCCCAAGAGGCTGGGAAGCTAGCTGCTAAATCAAAGACATTTGTATATTCTTCTAGTAGACATAAAGGAATGATACCGAGGTGAATGTGTGAAGGAGTGCACAACTGCAAGGGTAGAGGGGGGGCAATGGGTTTGACTAGATGGAGGTTTGTGTGAATGCAACAAGCTGGCTCAAAATGCTGATCCTGCTGCTATGTGAGATGGCGATTGTGATAGACTGGCCCAATCTGACTCCAGAACCTTCAAAGCCCAATACAACTGGACACCCGGGAATGTGTGTAATGCTGTATATTGTTTACCATTGTCGTATAATGTACCCATGCAGGCAGTACACTCATGTATGTATATACATCGTCTAATGCCTGTTGATGTAAGAGAAGGTAAATGCCCTGAAAGGAAAAGAAACAGATATCAAGCCCCTTTGTGAATCCCAACTCCAAAAGAGAGCCATGCTAAGTAGTATAGTGCATATGCCCTTTCACTCTTATCCGCAATCATTGTTTTCCCAAATGTGAAACATGAACTGGGGGACAAAAAGACATAAGTAGAAGAAAAAGATCTGAAACGGGACATAATACCAAACCTGACTGTATTGTGCCAGCAAACCTCCTCTCCAGAAATCCCTTCCTTTGGTATATTCCTTTGCAATTACCACACCCTGACATAAGAGAGAGTAGCAGCCCACCTCATATATCGATTACCCCTTCCTCTCAAAACTAATCCCGGAGGTGCCCCCATCTCCCCACACCGGCACCACCACCCCCGGATGCCCCAGCCGGGGGGAAATACGTCATTCCCGGAATAATTGGAGTATTCGCCGCGGTGGTCACATCCGATGAGCTGACCGTATACGGCGCGGGACTTGTGCCTCGACTGCCTGCTCCGCCAACCGTTGTTACCGCACTGCTACCCCGCGGCACGCGCGGGCTCATCACTGACCCAGGACCTGCCGTCCGTGGACTGCGCGGGACACTAGCCTGTCTTGTCTCACGGCGGCCGTTCTTCAGAAGGCGAAGCTCTTGCATGGCGCGATCGAGCTCGCGCTCACGGTTCTCGAGAGTGGCGCGAAGCTCGTCAATTTGCCGGCTCGTCTCGCGCGCCTCGTTCTGGGCGTGGGTCTGGTGAATGCGCAGGAGGTTGTCGTTGGCACGCTTTTCGAGGTCAGTGATACGTGCGCGGAGCTGGCGGTTTTCGTTGTTGAGCTCGGTGTGGGCATTGGAGGCATCTTGGTAAGCGCGGCGAGAGTATTCGAGCTCGTTTTGGGTGCTCTTGAGCTTCTTTTCAAGCTTTTCGATTGTGGAGAGGGCCTCGTCGCGGGCTTTCTCGGCCTGGGCGAGACGCACGAGGTCGGGATTCTCATGGTTCTCGAGCGCGCGCTGGGCATCGGCCAACTTCAGTTTGAGAGTCTCAATCTCGGACTTCTGGGCTTCCAGACGCTCTGCCGTGGCATTGGCCTTGTCGGTGGCAGCCTTGCATTCCTTTTCGAAGTTTGCACGGTCCCGGAGGGCTTCCATGAACTTTGGCTGGATGGTATTGATGGTCTTCTCATATGAGCGAAGCTGGGACTCGAGAATCTGTATATGCTCGCGCAACTTGTCCTCGACACTGGCTTGTGTTGCCAGCCGTGACTCCAACTCGGCAATCTTTTCTGCCAGCCGCTCAAGTTGACCCACAGGAACTTCAATAAGGTGTGTAGGCGAGCCCGGGTCCGGCGGCAGATTTACAAGAGTTTTCTTAAGGAGATCAGTCATCGGCACAGCTTGATAGGAAGATCTCTCCACTATGAGTCGTGGCCGCTTCTGTGTGACCTCATCGCCACTCTCCTGCAGGTAAATTAGCCTCGAAGTTTTCCAGTACATCATCAAAATTGCTTACTCTTGGGCGCTTGCGACTGATGGGGTCTGTTTGCAGGTCATCTTGGACTTCTTGAATGCGCCTTTGAGAATTCGCCCATATATCAAAGAACTGAGGAGGTAGGGGCTGAGGATCCCAGTTCAAACCAGCCTCTGGGCTCCTCAAAAAATTGGCGAACAGCTCAGCAGCTTCGTGCGGCTCAGGATACCCCCTTTGTGGATGCTGTAGGTGCTCTAAAGTAGCACCAGTCGCCAAGTTGAGGGCGTTCTTCCGCTCCAATTCGCTCAGGTTAGGCTCGATCTCCTGCAAGCGCAAGTCAAGGTGTTCGAGTGAGTATGTGGTAACCAGTGAGAGTATAACGGGTAGCATAGCATCGTAGTTCAACTCTGGAGGAACCCGTGCTGTCCTTGCCACATGGTCAAACTGGATTACGACGTCGATGTTCCGCAGGCTAGAGAAATCATCAATCGCAGACGCTAGAATAATCTCCAGACCCTCAGCAGGTGACTTCGTGTTCCTGGAACTCTCAAGGCGGCACACCGAGGCATGAAGTTCCGGGTTTTCCGAGACAGCTTCCAAGTAATCTAATACACGACCAGGCTGAGAGACAATCAGGACGCGGAGATTCAGATCGGAAACTCCGAGAAGGAACTCATAGACGAATGAGAACTTGCTGTTGGAGTTGACGGCATGCTTCCGGATTTCCTCAGTCCCGATGTGCCGAAGAGACTCGTCATAAGCAGGGAAGTCGCAGAGATTTAGTAACGTCTCAAAGATCCTGTCTATCTCTGTCACCAAGCACTGTGCAGGCTGCTGGGACATCGATTCTGCGAACACCTCGCCAAACTCGACCATGGTCTTCTTGTTCTCCAAGATGGTTTTAAGATACATGGCTCGCGTGTTGGCAGCCATGGGCAGTGTGACAATAAAGGGTTCATTACTACCCACATGCGCGTCTTGGTCCTCAGATTGATTGTCACCTTGCTCTTGCTCTTCAGAGACAGCTTCAGGAGACTCGCGCCGCTCCAAAGGTGACGAATTTTGATCGTTGTTCCCGGCGCCAGTGTCGAAGATCGGATGATCACCGGTAGAAAAGTCATCATGGGAGCTGTGGATGTGGTCGATGGAACTGGTAAGATCAGAAGGCGCCACAGTCTGAGGCGGCTGGTCGAAGTTAAGATGGCCTTGGTCATGGCTCAAGTCGGCTGGGGAAACACCAACGCCCACAACCATGTGGGGGTTCGGCTGCTCAACAGATGGAGTAGTATGCTCACGAGAGCTTTGCTGTACCTGCTCAGATGACGTCCCCTCCCCAAAAGTGGTCGCAAAGCCTTCGGAGCCTGAAAGGGGAGCCGATGGAGAGGTTAGATCAAACATACGCGAAACCTCACTATCATGACCAAAAACTTGTACATGAATCTGCCGTATCAGTTCAACAGCAGATTGTGGAGGGCTTTGCTCGGATGGCTCCATGATTTGACGTTGTGGAGTTGATGCAATCGCTGCAATGTCGACGTGCGCCGAGATCGAGGACAGATGAGGGGGATGTGAGATGGTGCTGAGCAAAGCAGGAGTTCCGACACTGTCCAAAATAACCAAGCTCTCAGAGAGTAGCTGCCCCCGGTTGCTATCCAAGAGCGTGGAGACTCCCTGAGCCGGCTGTAAGCCAGTTCTTGAAATTGTCGTACAATGCGAGTTGATCTGACGAGTGTCCTGGCTCAGACCCTCGTTGAATGAATGGGATGAATGCTCAGATGATTGAGCTGAGTCCGCAAACAACGACGAGGGAAGGGGTGGCTGACTGAGAAACACGCCGGAGAAGGTATTTTTCGCGGGCTCCTGGTTGAAAAGATGCTCCTCTGAAGCCTCCTCAGGCTGGGAAGGCGACAGATGGTCCGAATGAAGAGGGTCGAGCAAGGGACTGGGAGGATGCAGTGGCTCCTCCAGTTGGCGAGATGGGATCTCAGAGATGGAGTGGTTCAGATTGACGTCAATGGTAGCCACCTGCAAAGCTTCTTGGAGAGTCCGAGAAGTTTCCTCAGCAAGATTGGTGTTAGCAATATCGGTATTCGAGTGGGTGGCCGACGACAACGTGTGCAGGGATTCGAGCCACTCCTGAGAGTCGGGAATGGTGGAGGGGGCGGTAGGATTTTGCGAAGATGACACTGACTGCGACGACAGCGAAACGACTCGGTACTCCGAACGATCAAAGTCAGGAGGCAACGTCAGCTCACAGACAAAGTCGACTTTTTTCTTCGGCGAGCTCTTTAGCAAGGTCCACTCAAATTCTTCGTTGTCGTCGCCGTCGTGGGAAGAAGTGTAGCCGGAATCGATGGACTGCCTGGGCCGTTTCGAAGACCTGGCGTCGTCGTGGTCGTCGTCCTCCTTATCACAGATCTCCTGGAAGGATCTCCGGCGCTGGGCTCTCCAATTTGGGGGGAGCACTGGTTGACCGTCCTCCGACTCTCCTGAGTTCTCCCGGACTTGGCGACGCCACGCTTGTTCAGCAGCCTGTCTCTGGTGCTTTTGCTGCTCCCAGTCGATCAAAGCCGCCTCGTTGACGTTCTCGGCGGGTTCCTAGAGAGCAGGCAACCGTTGTGTGAGAATGCATTAGGCGACCGGAGAACAAGGAGAGTCAACCGACTCAACATACCCAAGTGGGTTCCCAGGGCAGTCCAGTAGTGGGGTCGTAGCCGTCCCAATCGATCTTATATAAGACTTTACCGTTTTGAATTTTCTCGTCAATGATGCTCTTGACGGTGTAGTACTCGCCCTCGGACGAGGAGTTGCGCGGAGGGGGAGAAGGTTTCCGGCGTGGCTGTTTTGCCGTCTTGCGGCGTCTGTGTTTGGTTGAAGACGAAGGGTCCCGCCTGTTCATGAACGCGGTACTCCGACGTGACCGTGTCTTGCCGCCGCGCTTCTTTTGGCAGCTGGCGGGGTGCGAACTGCGAAAAAGACAAAAGATGTTAGCACACGTCAGGTCGTGCTCTTGGGTGTCCGAGTGTCGCTTTGTATCTCCCCCAGCAGAAGCGATTGTCCCAGTGGCCAGGATACCAATTTCACTCAGACCAACCCGAAACCGCCAAAGGTGCGATGCGATCGCACGTCTTGTTGAATCGTCTGCGCTTCGCTGTTGCTCAAGTGATCTCCAGGGCCAAGACTTTCCTGTTGCAGACTTGCGCTGGCTTTGTCTGCCGTTGCGTCAGCTCCACTAAAATCTTACCGCCTATTGGCCATCAGCTTTGGTAACGGATAAGATAAGAAAGTCTCGGCTTGGGTTGGCAGCGAAACAGCCGAAAGATGTTTTGAACCTGGAAGAGTCAAGAATGGTTTTTCAGAAGTAAGCTGTGGAGGTTGTGCAAAGTGCAAAATTTGTTGTAAATTCAAAAAGAATGAAATTAAAAAAAAAAAAACTCTTGCAGGCCGAAGGGATTTGTTTGCACTGTGATGAGGTTTCTCAATAGTGCACCGCGCCAGAGTGTGGCTGGTGATCAATAGACGATGATCAAATCTTCCTATTACAGTCCTCACAGAAAAGCTTTGTACTTTAGTTAGTTACAATGCGAAATGGGCAATGACAGGAGGGGGAATTGTAAAACTGGTACTGCCATCTGCCACCGACCACCAGCCTAGCAAAATTGTCCCCTTTGCCATCGCTCTAAGCAAATATAGCATTGAATAGCTGGCTCATAGTTACTCCATTCAGCTGATAGAGCACGTATGTATTTTTCAATATTGCTAAGTCACGGATGTGTGCACAGCCAAGTGGCATGAGATTGAGATACAGGTATTCATTCCAACCTCTGAGTTGTGAAGTTGCCAATGGTGCTTGGTGTGAGCCACAGCCAATCAAGCTAAACTATTCAGGTGCTCTGGAAGCTGGCCTTCCATATTGACCTGAAGGGAACAACTTCAGTGAGTAATGGCAACAGTAGAGGTCGGAGACTCCGTCCTTACACCTTGGTGCAGGATTGTACTTTCTTAAGGAAATCCCTATGCCTGAGAACCGCAACCGCACTTCAACCATTAGAAACAAGTCATGAAAGAGTTGCCGGCAGAGCTGGCTACAGTAAGAGCAAGTAAGTACACACCGCTTCTATTCGCTAGTTCTATTATCTACTTGAGGTATTCATCTAAACTTCCCACATCACTTTCTACACTTCCCCGGACGTACAACATGTGCCATCTTAGCTAAACACGGGGCACATTAGTAACTGATACTTCCTTGCATAATCCGAGACATGACCTTGTTCACTGGGACCTTGCTGGGGAAACATCAATGATCGAAGGCTGTGGAGCAAGGATCGACAAGGTAGCACGAGGGAGTTGTTTTTCCCGAGAGCCCGGAAACCTTTCCTCCTGTGACATTGACATGGCGAAGCTTGATGATGTGCTGAGCTCATTCGACGTCAAAACATGGGACGATTCTCAGCTTGTTGAACTGAAGGGGCCAGGGCAACCTTAAGGCTGAAACTGTAAAGGAAAAATATGGGGCGCCTCCTGGAAGCTCTGCCACTCCGAAGTTGGATTTAACCCGTCTAACGGTACTTGGTCTCCTGTTCTTTCAAGGACTCCCCCCAAGAGGATGAGATTCTGGGTGTGGTCTTGTAAATTCTGTCAATCTTCATAGCGCTGGGAATCCAGAAAGCCAGCATCTCGCGAAGGGGTCAACCTCACTTGTTCTGCCACATGTTTCCTTGTTTATTTTCCTTCTAGCCAATCGCTTTCGGGTTAAAACTCTGATGTTGCTTTTACCCTTATCATTCTTAGGAATTTCATAGGGGTGTTTCACCTAGACAAGCTGTTTTAAGAGACGCAAGCACACGGGTATGTGGTGTGGCTGATGCACTGGGTGGCTACAGCCAATGGAAACGGAGCTTGGCGATCTCTTCCAATCCCTCGAGTTAAGTTCTGCCGAGACCCACAAGGGCGGAGCCACACCTTGGAGTTCCTTGTTTCGTTCTTTGCCATTTCTGGCAGTTGTGACAGGCCCCCACACTTGGCGATGTTACCTTGCGCATCCCGCCTTCTGCAACAGGGGGCTGTGAGGGGCTTGCCCGAAGCGTGCCAGAACAGCTTGCTGTTTGAGCATCTGGGATTTTGCGACTGTGCGCGCCTGCGCACGGGGGCTTGGAGAACCCCTGGAAACGGAGACCGACCAAGACAGAAGTGCTCCGGAACGCGACACAAGCTGCACCTCGGCCCAGTTCGTCAACTAAGCCCGGGTGGCAGCGATGGTAGACGCCAAAGAGGGTCGCTGAAGTCTAAAGTCGACAACAGCAGCGTAGGTCTTGTATATAAAGAAAGGTGTCAGCCGAAGCCTTGTTCACCATGTTGATCTTATTGCGCCCCCCTCGGCCCCTCCGCCCTCCATCCAATCTCTATTGGCAGCATCCCGCGATTCCCACCACGCATCGCGGCTTATGATTTTTTGGTCACGCCCTGGACGGCAGCCACCTCCAGATCTTGGCACAAAGGCCGCAAACTCACTGGCTGTCGCCTTGAAGCCTACGCCGCGGTCGTTCGTCCCATCCAATCCCGTCCTGAATCGAGTAGCCACGCGGATAGCCAGCCAGCCAGCGATACGCCCTTGACACGCCGCACCCGTTCAGCGACACAAAGACACCGCTTCCCGGACACAAAATGGAGCCGGATCTGTCCAGTAGCATATCTTTGCACCCTCATCCCTTCAAAACCCAGTCCGACACAGCAAACATCCCTCGCGTGACAGGAGGCCCCCGTTCGCCCACAGTCGCTTCCATGGCGTCCATGTCCAGAGAGCGTGAGGGTGCTAACAGTACGGCTGTTGAGGCCAACGATGGGGGCGATGACGTTGCTGTTGCCCGTCATCACACAGGTTCCGCAAATCCTGACGTCGAGGTTGAGAGTCAGCGTGCCGGCCGCTTCACCCTGCCCGATGCCGGCAACGATCCATACGGCCTGTCGCGTCGCTACAAGACCCCTTCTGAGCTTGCCGAAATCAAGGCAAATTCGTCTCGCAAACGCGATGCCGCCCAACCAACTTCCGGCAATGTCAAGACCTCCAAGGTCGGCCGGCTTGTGCGCTTGCTAAACCCCTTTGGCTCCTCGGCCTCCAGGGCTCGCCGGCTCCACGGTTTCTATGAGGCCCAGAATGAGACCATTGAGCGCCTGCTCAAGAGCGTCGATGAACACCGTGCTGCTGCCCGCCAGGAGGAAGGCGAGGACCACCTCAAGTTTAAGATCGCCGTATGGGGTTCGCTGGCCGCCAACATCATCTTGTCGGCCCTGCAGCTCTATGCGGCCATCTCCTCGGGCTCTCTCTCGCTCTTCACTACCATGGCGGATGCCATCTTTGACCCTCTCAGCAACGTGACTTTGATCCTCACCAACCGCGCCGTGCGTCGGGTTGACCCGAACCGCTTCCCCTCGGGCAAGGCTCGTCTGGAGACCGTCGGCAACATCACCTTCTGCTTCCTCATGACGGCTGTCTCACTCATCATCATTGCTTTTGCCTCTCGTGACCTGGCTGAGAACACTGGAGAGCTCAAGAAGTTCCATCTGCCCTCCGTCATCTCGGTCTGCGCGGCCTTCGGCACCAAGTTTACCCTTTTCCTCTACACGTGGTCCATCAAGAACCGCTACAGCCAGGTCGGTATTCTTTGGCAGGATCATCGCAATGACCTGCTCATCAACGGCTTCGGCATCTTGACTGCCGTCGGCGGTGCCAAGCTTGTCTGGTGGCTCGACCCTGCCGGTGCCATTTTTCTGTCTGCCCTCATCTCCGGTCTTTGGCTGCGCACTGCGTTCACCGAGTTCATGCTCCTCGTCGGCGTCGTTGCGTCGGTCGAGATCCAGCAGCTCATCACTTATGTCTGTCTCACTCACTCGCCACTGATCAAGCAGATTGATACGGTCCGTGCCTATCACTCGGGTCCTCGTCTCATTGCTGAGGTTGATATCGTCATGGATCCCGATGCTACTCTCGTCGAGACCCACGATGTCGCTGAGGAACTGCAGATGAAGCTTGAGAGGTTACCCGATGTTGAGCGAGCTTATGTCCATGTGGACTATGAAACGACGCACAAGCCAGAGCATGCTTTCAAGAAGGACCTGTAAGGCCTTTTTGCCAAAAATTCTGTTTAGGAGTTTGGGGGTTGTATAGCGAAGCGCTGTTTTCAAGGAAAGGTAATAGTTAGTGCCTTAAGAGGGTTAGCATGGAGAGGGTTTGGTCGACAGTGTATACTATCTACGGCTTACCAACATTTGCATACTTGGTCTTTGTTTTTTTTTTTATTCATCTTTTTTTTTCCCATTAGGTCATTGGGTTATGCTATGACTCATGACTTATGCTATGACTTATGCTTGATGAACAACACGGCATAGTGAGTTAGGGTCATTCTCGTGGTCCTCCGATAGACAGAAAATGGGATGGGTATGACATAAGGAACCAAAAAAAATTGGATGGCAGGGGATATCCTGAAACTAGAGTACTAGAGTTATTTTAACTAATCGTGTGAAAGCAAAAGACTAATTCTCTCTCTATTTTGTGCACAAGAAGATGCGTTAGACTCCATGCAGCTTTTCCCCTTTCAAGACTAGCTCCCCACCACTTCTACTCTCTCGACTGACCGAGAAGAAATGTGAGGGACATCCCAATGCATACAATTGGATGCTTCTCAACATTGCACGGCCGACTCCGGGTCAGAAGAATCACGGGCCGATCAGGCCTCGGGACTTCAAACAAGGCTAGGCTTGGCTAATGTTCTAAGCTAATGTTCTAATACCACCATGTTTATGTAACTCTCTTGATGGCATGCGTGGCCAAGAGGCTAGACATACTCAGTCAGATCTCCTCGACATTCGTTTTTCTTATGAACCCAGATACGTCTACAAACGCCAAGGAACAGTGTTGGTGACAGCCAAGGGACACAGGAGGCCATTTAGCAGAAGGCTTGGCATAGAGATCATCGCAAGACGATGATGAGATCTCAATATCTGTAGGACAGACCCGTTTCGTGATTTTGTGAAGCTGTAGGAGAGGGCATGTATTTGTTAGATGGACCTACAGGTCAGGTCCAGAGGCTTACTTTTTTTTTTTTGGCTATCCTCATCGACTGGGGATTGAGATCAGGATCGAATCAAGACTTGTTCTAGATACCTAAGATTGGGTGATGTATACCTGCTCTATGAAAACCGACCACTGCAAGCTCACGTCAACGTGCATGCACCCGCCGACCAAGTAACCCATACAAGCGACCCCAGGCCACTTACGCATGGCAAAGGCATGATAGTCGACTTGCCAACTCAACTCGACCCACAGGGCGTGCTTCTTTGCAGGCATTAAAACGCCCAGTTATCGTTCTCAGCGACCATACTTTCCCAAGAGTCAGCAGAGCCGGCTCAATCAGTCCGCTGCCCCAGCCTGCAGAAGCCCGTCAACTGAACCTTTGGCCTTTGATCAAGCTTTGGGGATGAAGGAGATAGCGTGGTTTGCAATATTCCCACTATGCGTATCAACTTCAATGGGACATAACAGTTGGTTGCAGACAAGGAACGGAGAACCAAGCACATTGGAGAATGGGTTCGACAATTCTCCGGTGTGCTTCCAGGCCACAGGACGTTGGGCCCGTCGAAGTCATCACAAACGGCCAGGGAATCCGGAAGGCGAACGGGCCAGACAGCCAACACGCAAATAAGTGTTACTTCACGAATAATACGGACTACAGAGCTAAAAACCGACGAATGAAGTTCCTGCCACAACCTTGCCAAGCGTTGGGCCTCAATCCACAGCACTTTCGACACGGGAGGAGGAGAGAGCCTGTGCCGTTTGCTGTCTTCAGTGAGAGAATTTCAGCTTGGTCAAATGCATATTCGTGTTTCTAGACTCCGAGAATGTTGCGCGCCTTAAAAGCTTCGAAGACTGACAGGATGGAGGAGTTGCAACCCCCCTAGACGGCATAAACGTCGTAGGACGGGTGCTTCGGTGCTTCGCGGCAGAATCGTAGCATTGACGATGGGTCAAGTCGTGTTCAGCTAAATGCACGAGACTGTACGCCAGTATGAAGAAGTTCATGTGTTTGTGATGCAGCTATAGACAGCATCAGACGTTTTTAATGGCGGCGACTGAAGTACGTCTGCCCAACCTTCACAGAGAAGGTTGATATGGAATGATCTCTTCCGTGTCGAGGTAATTATTGGTTTATTGTTCTCCGGAGGTTCAAACTAACAACGATACTTTTTCTGCGGTTATCCAAGATCAGATCAGATGCTGATACTTCCAGAAGAATAGTGTTTCGAGTCGGAGAATTTTGCAGTTTGGGTTGGAAGTTGATCATTGTCAGATACTGATTTACTGGTTCAGATCTTGAGCTAGCATTGCATGAGAGCCGCGACCAGCCTGGAGCCATTGGCTGAGTCGGTCCACATCTCGACGGTGGGGCTTGGCAACGGCCTGGGGGCTCCACAACGCCACTTTTTGGGCCGCTATCATCTCCTGCAAGCTGCTGCAAGCCCGCAACTGGGGACCTTCGCAGGCTCCGTGCTGCCAGGCTGGAACGCGTGCAGAACAGCGAAATCGGCCACTGCAGCCGACGATGGATGTGGATGGCAACTAACATCTGCAGAATGCGACACGAACTCGACTGCGTCGTCTCAGGGGACCCGCTGTGTATTCTGTGCCACTGAAGACCAGATGCCAGACGCGCCTTACAGAACCCGTGCAGTCTGGATTCTTGATACCCAACCGGCCTGGCCTCGGATCCATGATTCATCCATGGTGCCTTAACCTGTGTTAGTCCTCTCGCAGAGCTCCGGGCTCAGGGTCGGGCAATGTTGACTAGCATCGCTTCTGAATGGCGAATACACTTTCCGTGGATGAAACACGAACCAGCGGCGGTCTGCGATGCATATGCTTTGTGGCAACGGAGCAGGAAAAAAAGTCTGATAGAAGATTAGAAGAGGGGTTCAATGTACAATCCTGGACAGTCTCTCTCTCTCTCTCTCTCTCTCTCTCTCTTTTTTTTTTTTTTTTTTTTTGGGAGAGGGGGGGCAAGACTGTGATCGCGGGACATCTCTTCCCGCCAGAGTACGACCAAATAAGTGTAGAAGCTGAAGAACGAAGCCAACCTTGAGCCTACTTGTATGCAGCGATGATTTGGTGATAGCATCCTTGCGTCGTCTCCCAGAGCTTAGCGGACGATCGCCGCAGCCACCCCTCCATGCCCCTCTCTGCCATGCCAGCTTGATACTCGTCACACAAACTGCCAAGCACATGGAATGCTCCGGCCCCAGCCATTTTCAGGTTGTAAACATCCACTGTATCAATGGCGGTGACAGCCTTAGCTACCTAGGTAGGAGCTAATGCATATTATCTTAGTTTTTTTTTGTAATTCTTGTGACTCAACGCCATTACAGACAGGAGTGCACGCATTTCGCATTTCGCCGAGATACCTGATGGTACCTGGAGCCGCTGCGATTACTTTTAGCGGGCGGTACAAGCTTGGAAGTTTCCCGAGTTCTCTGCGTCCGTTGATTCGCCCGGGCTGAGCAGTTGCATCCATCTTGATCTTATCCATCCACTCATATCCACACGGGAGTTCACATCAACATCCACCCAACCGTCCGTCCAGCCATCCAGCCATCCAGCACCTAGCGTCCAAGTGTCCAACATCCCCTCAGGACCCTCAGGACCCTCTCGACAGCTCTGTTGTCATCCACAGCGCCTGCGAACCCTGCCATTGGGTTTGGTTTGGTGACTTTGGTCTGCATTGAGACCCAAAGGGGGTTGCGGTTGCGATTGCTTCAAGCATTTAATTCCTAATCCTCACTCTGTTCTCGGCGCCGGCTTCTCGTCCTTCTCATCGTCGTCATCGTTGTCGTTGTCGTCGTCGTCGTCGTCGTCGTTGTTGTTGTTGTTGTTGTCATCGTCGCCGTTACTTTTGGCGTTCAAGCTCTGTTTTGTTTCGGTTTCTTGTCTTTCTGTAGCGGCAGAGCAAGCAACATAATCCAGACACCATGACCGTGCAAACAAAAGGCGAGGATGTCTATGCTAGCGTAAGTATTCCCGTCTATGCCTCTATTGCTTGTTCATTTCCAGTCAATGTATGGCCGATGAGGGCAGATGCGGCCATATGAAGTGTTTCTAGTCGGCTATTCATGGCCTGTTCAGATGCTGTCATCAGTCGCTTGGTTCCATGAACAGTCACACAGAGGCTAAGGCATCTCACCCACACAGATCCTCTTGACAGACACCTATCTACCTGGTAAGCTGACATTCTTAAAAACACTTGTCAATCATCAAGCTTGTTCACTAACTGTTGCCCAGGTGCTCTTGTGCTGGCACACTCTCTCCGGGATGCTGGGACCAAGAAGAAGCTGGCCATCCTTGTCACCCCGGACACCGTTTCCCCCGAGGTCATCACCCAGCTGAAGGCAAGTACACTAAACCAAGTACACCAACTACTTTAATTCTGTCATGGACTCATGTGCTGACTGATGTGCAGACGGTCTACGACTACATCATCCCGGTTGAGCGTATCCGCAATGATCACCCGGCCAACCTCTATCTCATGAATCGTCCTGATCTGCACTCTGCTTTCACCAAGATCGCCCTCTGGAAGCAGACTCAGTTCCGGAAGATCGTCTACATCGATGCTGACGTTGTCGCCTATCGTGCTCCTGATGAGCTCTTTGAACTGCCTCACGCCTTCTCGGCCGCCCCTGATATCGGCTGGCCTGACATCTTCAACACCGGTGTCATGGTTCTCTCCCCGAACATGGGCGACTATTATGCCATGATGGCTATGGCCGAGCGGGGCATCTCCTTCGATGGTGCCGATCAGGGTCTGCTGAACATGCACTTCAAGAACTCTTGGAACCGTCTTCCCTTCACTTACAACGTCACCCCCTCGGCTCACTACCAGTATGTGCCGGCCTATTTGCACTTCCAGTCGAGCATCAGCATGATCCACTTCATTGGTGCCGACAAGCCTTGGAAGCTGGGCAGGAGCCAGCATGTCGGCAACAACCCTTACGACGAGATGATTGGCCGCTGGTGGGCCGTCTACGACCGTCATTATCATCCTAATGTATGTAGTAGCTTTCTAGGAGTTTTTCTGTGAAAGGTGCTTGAACTAACTGTGAAGTTAGGCCAACAATGTCCCGGACATCGTCCGGTACTTCGTGAAGGGCGAGTTCGACCCTACCAAGAGCTTTGTCCTTGGCGCCAATGGCTCCTGGGATGCCCAAAAGTTCGTCTCAAGAGATTCTGACTTTTACCGAGTTTCTTACTAACTTGGACCCAGGAACCCCCCGCCCCCTTACTCTAAGCCTGAGGGTTACAACCTCCCCCAGACCTACTATGCTATGTCTTCTGACCCGACTCCATTCGTGACTCCTGACTCTGCACATTATGAGAATACTCCTAAACCCATCTTCCCTTGGGAGATGAACCGCTCACGGCCAAAGCGTGTGTTCGGCGGCTACGTTGAGTCTGAGCCTGCCCCTGCCACTACCCCTGCCCCTAAGGCTACTCCCAAGCCTGTGGCAACACCCAGGGCTCGATCCCCGGTTAGGTCTTCGACTCCTAAGCCTTCCGACTCCGACACCCCGAGGACCCCATCTCCGGCTCGCCGAGCCACTCCGGGCCCTACCCCCTCGAGCGCACGCTCGGATGCTTGGAACTCTGCTACCCCGACTGCCACTCCTGGCACCACGGCCACTACCCCGGTCGCCCAGCACCACAGCAGCGTCTGGAACCGCTTTACCAACGTCTGGGATGACATCCCCGAAATCACACGCTATATCGAGGCGCTGCAGAGCAGGTACCGCCGCTCTCGCAGTCGTTCCAACGTAAACCCGACCGGCACCACGAAGGTGACGGAATTCCCTAGCGAGGACGAGAGGCCTAGCCTGCCTGTCACCCCGGCCCCGATCAAGAGGACCGGCAGCCGCGCCGGTACCATCGGCCGCGTTCTATCGTACGGTGAGGACGAGAAGGCGTTTGCGGCGACGGTGCCGAGTGCGCCGCAGGAGTGGGTATGTGTCCATGGCGTTCAGTGGTCGCCGGCGGACTGTCCGTGCGAACTCCTCCAAAAGGCTAACAACCTGTTGCCTGGGTATGCTGCTCCGCCCCGCTTTGACGGCAACGTAAAAGGACCCTGCCGAGCAACTGCACAAGTTGACTGCCATGCAGACTGGGCTGTTGCTTGGGGAGGGAGCGTTCAAATTGGACAGAGGAATGAACACATGATGCTAACCATCGTTTGAACTGCAGGAGGGAGTTTGGCGCTGAGCCTGTCCACCACAAGCTGATCGAGAAGGCCGAGCCGGAGCGCGCCGATACCGCCACGCCCATCGTCAGTCCCATGCCGGTCAAACCCGTCGTCACAACCGTCGTTGGCAAGGGCCTCGAGCCGAGCCCCGTCGACAGGATTCTCAGCATTGGCAACGAGGAGGAGGTACCCGCTTCGCCGACCATCGCCGAGTCCTGGGCTTCGAGGCCTGGCTCGACCGTCCCGCTGCCGAGCTATGCTGGCCCGGGGCCAATGTTTGAGAAGGGCGAGGTGCTGCCGATGCATGCGGTCGGCTCAGCCCTGCCCTCGGATGAGGTGAGGGAGGAGCTGGATGTTTGAGGTGAGATGAGATGACTTGGCTGGGGTTGTTAAGTGCCTACCTACTGTAGTGCATATAGCTGGGCGGCAGTTTTTGGTTTTAGACGGGTATTGTCTTCTTGCTTTCTTAGAGAGGGAGGCAGTTTGGGCTTGCATTGAATAAAGATTTATTGTTTTTGATATAACATTCAATGAGGTAATTGGCAGTGTTCCTGTTGTGAAGATGAGATTGCAGTGCATGCATGTTGCCCTGAACTCGTTGTCTTTACCTCAGTTGTGGTGTTTGGGTGTTCTGCAGCCCGTGAAAACGAGAAGCGAGTCAAATTGACGGCAATTCTTTTGGCTGCCTGGAAAAGAAACTTACAACCAAAATAAATCATACTTTAATCTCTGTGCCTCAAATTTACTGAAATGCAAAGGTGATTGGAAGTACGGATACAAGTGGGCAATGTATGCAAGCATGACGATTGCATAGATTGTATATATGTAGACTATAAATCTAAGCCAAGTACAGAGCTGAACACCAGAAAATAGACAACCAGCATGATGGTTCCAACGAAATCATGTACCTTGATTGACGGACACCGATGTCGTTTGAAAGTCCATAGATCCCGTCATGTGGCTTCGAGGCTGCCAAAGCCGCAGGGACGGGTGGAATATTTTGTAACTTCAAGGGTATGTAGATCGCCGTATACCAATATAGAAGCCATATTAAGCCAAAGATGCAATAAGAAGCAATAACAAAATTCTAACGTTCGCTTGCTGTGCTTCAAGTCTCACGGTGATCTCCCTAGCGCTCACATCCCTACAGTTTGGCATCGACCTTTCCCCCATTGTCTGCAGCTCCCTCCTGAGCCGGCTCCTCACACCGCTTCAAGATCCAGTCCCCAACGTCCTTATAAAACTCCTCGCTAACCTCTCCATCCGCATGCAGCTGGTGATACCAACCCTCATACGCCTTGAACTCCTTATCGGGAATCTCCCCACAGCACTCCTCAAAGTACTTCTTGCTCGCCTCGAACCATGTCGTCTTGTCCTGCGTGCCGTGACCTAACCACAAGCTCTTTACCGCGCCGCCATTTGGCCTAACCTTCCCGGTTGCCAGCGCATCCGTGCGATCCAGCAACCCAGCCAACCCCTCCAGCGTCCCGGTGTTGTGCATCAATTCATCATCCTTGATACTCTGCACCACCTCTGGATCGCGACTCAGATTCTCCGGCAAGATGGCATGCCGCATCTGCTGCTTAGGCAACAGCTTCCCCGCTAACCGTCCCGCCATGACCTTGAGCGCACTTGGCTTTTCCTCCGGCGAGAACCCAATAAACGGCGACTCCAGCAACCAGCCCCTTACACGCCGCACCACACTCTCTTGATACTTCGGATGCGAGGCAAACGTGAGTACCTGCCCGCCGCCCATGGAGTGGCCCATGACAAAGACGGGGAGCTTGTCCGGGTTGTCGTCGAGGTGCGACGAGATGAAGGCGGCCATGTCGGCGAGGACGCGCTCGGTCGGGCCCGTGTTACCGCGGTCACGCGGGTGCGAGACCGAGCGGCCCCAGCCGCGTTGGTCAATGCCGTGCACGGAGATGCCACGTGAGGCGAGGGCGGCGAAGAAGCGGTTGTAGCGGTTGATGTGATCGCTGAAGCCGTGGATGAAGAGGAGCTTGGCTTTGGTTGGGGTGGTGGTGTCCGGCTAGTGGCAAATTCAGCATGTGATTGAGCATGATGAAGAGGGCCTCAGACGAGAAACATACCAGCCAAGACTTGGAGTACAGGGCTACATTGTCGACGGTGAAGGTGCCTTCCTTTTCGACTACCATTTTTTTCTAACTTTGGGCGTGACGGTATCACGATCGCGTAGGTTTTCAGGTTAGTGGTGGTGTCGTGTGACGCTGCGCTAAGCGTGGCGGTTAGACTGACAAGTGAGACAAACAGCAGAAAAAGATGGACTCGATGAAACAAGAGTGCTGCAGAGGGGAAAGTCACTGATGAGACGACTAAGTTGCTTGAGGTGAACGAATGATGACGATGCAATGCCCGTGAAGTATAAGTACTGTCTATGATATACCTATGCTGAGTGGAAGTTGTTGGTGAAGACTGTGTTACATCCGAGGTCCTCAGGTTGGGTGTGTTATACGGGCCACTGCAGTCTTAGAGGGGTTGCAGACAAAGAACAGCAGCTCTCTTACCTAAGAAATTTATAAGGCGACCTGGAGTGGACTCTGAGGAAGGCCAGAGTCCGACGGAAAAAATCAATGATGGATGGAGAGGCAGAGAGGAAGGTTGAATGGAGGTGAGCGGTTCTTCTCCAAGAAGGGATTTAGACACCAAGGATCTGGGGGCCTGGACGACGCATGGCTCTGGGCGTTCCACGCCAGCCCAAAAATCCCCTGGGTGGGCGTCGCTAGGTCCCTCCCAGATCCGCTCTGCCCTCCTCGGGACGACGCCATTCACATGCTCCATGCCACCAACACCAATACCACGCCAGTCATGGCGCCACAATTCAGCCTTCGGACCTCGTCAACCACAGTTACAAAGTACACACCGCCCGACAAGGCAAAGAAAAAAAAAGTTGTCAAACATAACTTGTCATTAGGCAATAGGTAAGGTAGTAAGGACGAACTGCCCCAATAGGTGCTGCATGACAAAGGTATATCAAGCAAGAGATATACAGCAAGCAATATAACTGCCTAACCGCCGTCCGGCCATGCATGATTCCAGCCAGTGCTAACGGATGCCTGCAAATTCATAGTCGCAGCAGCAGCCCGTGAGAGAGTCAGCCAACCCTAACACCAACCACCGCCCCAAGCAAGACAAAACCTAGAGCTTGAGCTGGTCCTACTAGTACCTAGGTAGTTGTGGGTGAAAGCAAACCAAACAGTCGAACCCCCCTTTCCTTTCTTCCCTCCAGATCCCTCTTCCCCCTTTTCCTTGAGAACAATGCCCGACCAGAGAAGACAAAATCCGTACAGAACATATTAAGTACATCGAACCAGAACAAAGAAACCTTCATTGTTATCCCGACAGCCATGAAGTAGATCGATAGCAAGAAAACAAGCCCGCAGAAACCGCAATCGCTTGTCCATCGTTCCAATCATCTCATCGTTACATGTGGAGATTCAAAACGATCCCCCACCCGGTATACTGATCCCGCATGACAGACACGCCGCCGCTGCTAACTCAGGTTGAGTTGGCTCAGCCCCCCTTAAGCAGTTGTTAATAACACGGGAGTCGTGATCTTAGAAAAAGAATGTACCCCTTTATCATATCCCGCTCATCTGGTCTTGAAGTTCCGTGCCAGCGAATAGATCCTGACTATTCGCGGAGGTCAACGTGAACTTGTCGCCAGGCAGATCTTCATCGGGCGTCCTAATCCCGATTCCACTGTCATCATGATTCGTCTGCGGGTTGTTCGCCGTCGCCGTCGTCGACGTCGGTGACGGGTTCGAGGGGAACGGCGCACGATCCGGTTGGGGCTCCGAGATGCGGGACATGTTGAAGTCAGCCTCGCTGGCACTGCTATAGCGCGAGCCGGCATTGCTGAGCTCCTTCTCGGACGCAGGCCGTTTGGGCACATGGAGGGGGATCTGAGCCGACCTCTGCTGCATGAACCCTCCTTGCTCGGCCATGAACTGGATCATCTCGTCCACCCAGCACTTGGTCACCCACCACGACCCAAAGCTCTTACCCTGGCCGATCGTAAGGTCTCTCAAGATGGCTGTACCAAGCCGCTGGACACCCCAGACAAGGTCGGTCGCTGACGCATAGGGAAACCGGTTGGGCAGGGACCGCAGGAAATTAACCCAGCGATCCAACACGTTACTGTTCTCGCTTTGCCCATTCACTCCTTCCTGCGGTTGCTTTCCATTACGAAGTGCTACTTCTCCGTGCATCGTCAAACATTCGATCTCCCAAGGCACGTTGACCGGGTCGAGTAGATCCCGCATCTCATTGAGCAGGATGTTGACCACATCATCCATCCCCCGTGCCGGGATGCACTCGGCGACTTTGCGGACATTGATCATGGAGATGAATTCCATGTACATAAGATCACGGTTCGCTGGATTGGATAACATGTTGGCAGCAGCGTGAGCGGTAAGGTTAACCCTCAGGGCGCGGTCGAGTAATCCCGCAAAGAGGGTCGCTGGCGCCTCCTTGGCTCGGATAACATGTTGCGGCTGTCCTTGAAAGGCTTCTCGGATGTGTGAGACAAGGCGTTCCGAGATATTGCGCAGCGTGTCAAGTACCGGCTTTGGCACAACCTGGAGTGTTAATCCGGAAACTATCTTCATCATGCGCTGGTACAGAATGAAATCACACTCCTCGATCCATGGCGCGACAGACGGGTGCGCAAACAGCTTCTGCACCGGCATTGTGAGGGTCCCCTGGAAGGATGTAAACAAGTGGAAGAAGGTCTTCTCCTTGCAGTACCGAATACACTCAACAAGCGATGTGCAGTATGAACGGTACAGAGCCATGAGCGACTTTGCCGCGTCTGGGTCAGTACCACTGGGGAGATAGGGCTCGATTCTCGGCAACACGATGGGGTCTGATTGTCTGAACGGCTCTTCCGGCTCTGTCGAGAAACGAAGTAATTGAGGTGTCTTGGTCGTTGTAGCTTGTAGCTGGTCATAGCTGGCCACTTGTGGTTGGTTATAGAGACTGTGCTGGTATTCATTTGACCGCACCGGTCTCATGTCTGATTGTTGGGACGGGGGAAGCGTTGATAGGGGCTTGTCAGGTCGCGATGCCGAGTTATTGTTGTTATGAGGGAGAGAGCTGCAGCAGAGCTCGAGTTAACATCCACACATGCATTGGTAAGGTTGCTTGCTGCTTTGTTGTCGGGACAGGGAGGACCTACTTGAAAGACTGGTTGAAAGAACCGTTCTCCGGCATGGGTAACGGGGCCGGTAACGGGGGCTCGCGGATGTCTGGCTGCTCCTCCTTCAACTGGAAATTGACATAATGGTACTTGGACTCGCCGCGGACACCCAGACGGCGTGTCTTGAGCCCAGGGAATAGGACGCGCACCAGCTTGCCAAAGCTAGCCGGATTCAAGACGGTGATCCTTTCTGTAGCACATCGTGACGCGTAGTTCGCGTACACGCGACCCCTGGGAACGGAGCCCTTACCCGTTGAGCACACCTGGCTGATCCAAAGCATGGCGAATACCTGACGTGTGCGCTCGCTGTTGGGGCCGCGCTCATTGCCATGCAGCTCTGCGGCAACCTCTTGGAGAGTGCGGTGTTTGTTTGCAAGGAACAGCTGGCGCATCTCCAGCTCGTTGTTCGCATTGGACCGCGAGCTGGACCGCGGCGGCGCAGTCAGCTGGAACGAGTTATTGTGGTCGTCTTGGTCGTCACGGTCCATCTGGCTGTCGTCGGCGAAGCTGGTGTTTCCGGCGAACGAGTCGGCTGACAGAGACTGGCGGCTCATGGTATGACCGTGGAATGATACATTCTGTACGCTTTGCACACTCTGGACGCTCTGGACGCTCTGCACTGGTTGCACGCCCTGCATGGTGTTCTGCATGGGCGCGCTCACCGAGCTCACTGCGTTGACTTGGCTGACAGCGTTGACAGCAGCAGGGTCCATGGAAAAGTCGCGGCTGGCTTGGAGTTGCGAGGCCAAGATGAGGTCTTCGGGGGTCATTTGCGACGATCCATTGGAGAGCTCGCGCTGATGAGACGGCTCATTCGGAAGCCATTGAGACGAGTAGACGTCGGCCGACTCGGCAAAGCTGTGCTCGAGGTTGCCCTGGGTCGTGGCACTATGAATGCTGGCCGTCGAGCCTCGCGAACGCGGACGTTTTCGAGTCTTGCCTAAGGCGAGGGGATCTGTAAAAATGATCCGTCAGTAAGTCAGTTGCTCGGTCGATCGGCGGCACAACAATGACGACAACATCAACAACATCAACACCAACAAAGCACAGGGCCGGGAGCCATGCAGAATGATAAAGAAATAAGAACAAGCGGGGATGTCGGGCCGTAGTGCGATCCCGGATTTGAAAATCATGATCGATCGGTGTGTGGGGATGGCATCTTACCGTGGCCCGGGTCCATTGCCACTCCTGCCATGGCCGAGAGACAGAGGGTGAGCAAAACACTGCAGGCGCCTGCTTCAAGACACGACCGGATGCGACAAAAATGCGACCAAGTCAAAACTAGTGCTCGTCCCGCAAGGCACCAAATCCGTAAAAAAAAATGTCAATGAATGATATAAATACGGGCAGTTAACTAGGGCGAGGCGGCACATGGACAGTCGTCGGCGGAGCCAGGCGTTGCGCGGTCGGTCCGTGGACGTGCCTCAGGTCAATTCCACATTTTCCTTGGAGAAGAGGAAGAAATCAACAAACATGACGGGCGCTACCCGGGGCAATGCGCTGCGCCATTGGGGGGCCCCGCACGTACCACCTCCCAGCCCCACGGGTCCACAGGCTTCTTCTTGGCATGTGGCGCGGCTACTCTGTGGCACTCCGGCTTGCCATTGGTCAGCCTGGTGGCCTTGGCCGGATGCAGGCAAACAGCCGTTGGGAGGGGAGCTCTGCGAGCTTTGTGGGAGCTTGGGGGCGTGCGTTGCAATTGGGAGTCTTCGTCTCGTAAAGGTCGATCGGTCACTTCAATCCAAAATATCCACTGCTCTTGATTCTCTCTACGTGCCTCAATTCTGTTTGTCTGAAATGGCTTTTCGTCTGCTGCTGCCCAATCTTGCATGCACCGAAGCCAAGTGCTCCGCGTTCTGCACATCAGCAGGCTGCACATTTGCCTTTTGTACACGAGCAAGTTACATACATCTACATATACAAGCCTGCGTAAGATTAAGAAGCAATTGGAATGCCTAACAGCGGCACTGATGCCCTCACTGGTTTCTTGCCGCGTACCACAGAGCCTCCACAAAAGACGGGACCAGCCCGATGAACGGTCTGAGGGTCAAACAAAACCGTCCCTCCACGAAACAATGACCCGATTCTAGTTGAGTTGCTATCTCTACCTCCTTAGGTCGACGGCCCAAGCACGAACAGTTCAGGTTGGGCCGCAAGATAAAGAATCCCTCAAGGCCACATGTTCGGTACCTAACGGGGAGGGTTGACGACAAAAATACTCACGTCTTCTCCAAGGCACCCACCAAGGTCGATGCTCGGCGCCGGTCTGTGACTCAACCTGACTTGTCAGCTGGCACACGGTGTCATGAGCTCCTGCCACCAATACCCAAGTTTAGTCAAACTCAGCATGTGTTATATTGAGCCAGTGATAGGTAGAACAAGAGCCGAATTGCAAAAAGACAACGCAGCAAAAGACGCCCTTGAAGTTCTAGGGGAGGACTATCAAGGTGCAAAAGAACAAGCAATTTGATCCGACCCAGGTTCGAACTGGGGACCTTCAGTGTGTTAGACTGACGTGATAACCAACTACACCATCGGACCTCCTCACTTGGTTAGCGAGCAGGTGGCTTGGGATGGCTTAATAAAGGTCACCAGCCACAAGAGTCACGTGATATGACCCCTTATCTGCTGCGTCATTCCCCTTTCTTGTGTGTCGGTTTGAACAGCAGAGGGGGTGGGAGGAGGGGTCAGAGGGGTTAGAGGGGTCAGAGGGGCTCAAAACCAGGAGTGCTGCAGTTCTGGGTGTGTGGGCAGTCCCAAGACCTGCCAGGGCTGGAGCTTCTGACCGGGGGCTGGTTGTGCACACGTATCAATCGTCATTGCCTCGCCAGGCCTGTTGCATCCACCTGCCAACCTGCGACCAGCGAGCGGGCAGCGGCACCAGAGAGGTCCATCAGGCCCCATACAATATTTAAAGCCAGGGCATTTTCCACCTCGACCACCGCTTCTCCCACCTCCCTTGTTTCAAAGTCCACTCGGCCGCCTCTTTGTGCATCAGCCAACCAACAGTATTTTGCTGTATTTTCCAGCTCCACCAACGTGAGTAGCCTCTTTATCAGCAGTCAACGTCCAGCTTCCAGTTGTTGGTGAGGGCAGCTCCGATGGTCTCGCCGAGATTGCCGAGAGCTCCAGAATTGCTGCCAACACAAACGCGCACAATTAACACTCTTCTGCTTGCCCACACCGACACCGACTGCCAGCTCTCTGCCCATCCCAAGCTCGTTCTGACGCCTTCCAGGTTGCGCAACAGCTTTCAAGCCCAATTACCACATCCTCAGCCATGTCTACTCCCCAGGATCGTGTCCAGCAGTACATTGGACAGCTCGATAAAGAGGTGCGCCCTGGATTGCCGAAAGCGACCTGCTTGCTTCCCAACTGTTCATAAAACACCCTGGGTCTGACTGATATATCCATCTCTAGCTGTCTAAGTATCCTATCCTCAACCAAATCGAGAAGCAGACCTCGGTGCCCAAGGCTTATGCCGTTGTCGGTGCTGTTACGCTGTACTTCCTTATGATTCTTTTCAATCTTGGTGGTCAGCTCCTCACCAACCTTGCCGGCTTCGGTATCCCGTGCTACTACTCGCTCAATGCCCTGTTTACTCCGTCTAAGGCCGACGACACGCAGTGGCTGACTGTATGTGGTTCTCAAGTCCACTTTGTTGGGCTTAAATTGCTAACTTCTGGCTAGTACTGGGTTGTTTTTGCTCTCTTCACGTAAGACTAGATTTTGCATTCAGAGCACCAGACTTCCGGACTGTAAGCTAACCACATCACAGTACTGTGGAGAGCCTGATTAGTGTCGTCTACTGGTTCCCCTTCTACTACACTTTCAAGTTTATTTTCCTGCTGTGGCTGTCTCTGCCCGCTTTCCGGTAAGCCCTCGCGGTGAGACGACGCTGTCGCTTCTTCTGTAGACTAACAAATGTTTCTAGCGGTGCTGAGTTCATCTTCCGCTCCTTCCTTGCCCCGGCTCTTGGCCGCTACTTCCAGACCCCCGGCTCTACTGCCAGTGGTCTACGCGCGAAGGCCGATGCTCTCCACACCGAGTAAACAAAGCTCGGGCTGATTAGGGACGTTCTTCGCGTCAATGGAAAAGCTCGTGGGCTTTCAAGAGCGGCCCGTTTATTTGAATACCAATCGGGTCTCGGTGTCGAGCCGATTACAGGGGACGTGGGGGAGGGGTAGGCTCCCTCCGGCGTTGGGCAGGACCCACGACCACAAAACCAACGGCGGGAGCGGGAGCTACCGGAAAAAGTGGGAGCAGTGTGACGTGTTTCCTTTTTTTTCTTACTACACGGGTTAAGGGGACGGGTGTATATGGGCGTGGATTTCCTTTATGTGGCCTTTCTGGACTGGATCGTGTTCTCCTGGAATAGAGATGGGTTCGGAATGTCCCTTGCTTGTGTGCCGGTTGTGCCCTTAGCGCGCCCTGTCTCTGTTCTTGTTTCATCGTGAAGGATGAGTGTGATGGAAGGTTGACGTTGATGTACGTGTCTTGGCCACAAACTCAACCCGATGTTCTCTATGTTCTGTGGGCACTCGGTGGGAGGAGTGTGGATGGAGTCCAATGTCACACTTTCAAAACTCTAGGTCCCTTATATGGGCTGATCGCTTCCTCGGTTATGTAACAACGTGCGTGCACAGTAGTGCTCACCCGATACACACATTCTGTGAGATTCGGCATTTGTCCCGAATGTTGCTCTCCTCGGTAAGGCTCTGGTGATGACTCTAGCACGAGATTCTTGGCATTGCCCAGAGCCCACTGATGGAGATGGACCCCGCTGGCTTCTGCAGGGGGCTTCAATGGGTCAGGGCTGCTCCCATTGCCACCCGCTAAATCGGGACCGAAGGCCACCGATTGCAGCGCGCCTTCAGCTGGCAAGGGTTGCAAGGCGCATCCGCGCAACACCCAAAGTGTCACAACACCCCAACTTCCACTTTCAACTTGCTCCGGATTCTGCTGGATCAAGTTTTCTCGACTTTGCTACTTCCCGAGAGCTACTTCCCGAGAGAAGCAGAATTTGACTTCCAGAAGATCATGGTCCTACGATAACATCCTCCTATACTAACTGGTCCGTAACGGGCTGGAAAAGTGTCAGTCGCCAATTCGACGTCCAAGCAGGGGACTCGCCGGTTGACCGTGTGCAGTGGTGCTGGCAACGATCTGATCGATGGGAATAGATTGACAACCACTTTAAACTATACGATCCCAGCTCCTCCAATACCGGTTCCATCATCCTAGAATTGATCAGCCAGCCGTCCGTCCGCGGCCCCCCGGGGCCGTGATCGCACGCAAACGATGGGGCTCACACCTCTGCAATCGCGACTCGTAGGGTCTCTCGCTGCTACCATCCTGCTGATACTCCTTTACCTATTTTTGTTTCCTCCCAACTTTGCCGATGCCGCCGAGATCGAAGCCGACCCGTCGTTATCAATACTTGGGAGAACCCTCGATGAGCCGCTGGATTACTCCCCAAACGATGTGGCGCTTGCTGCCCGCAGCCTGCTTGACCCAACGTATGAGCCCGAATTTATGCCGTTCGGGAGGACCATTATCGGGCGCGCGCCGGCTGAAGTGACGCCGTTGACGAATAATGAGGCTGTGCCTATGAATGTTGAGGCGGGGTCGACACAGCGGTTTGTGTTCATCCTGTCCGACGACTCGGAATCTGTGGGTGAGGAGAAGCGCTTGGAATTGAGGAGCGAACAGAATGGGAACAGTTCGGAGATACTAAGCCCCGGCACTGGCGCTGCGGTTCGTGAGATGGCTCCGGACAAAGAGGGGGTTCAGCTGACGCGCAAGCTGGCGCGCAGGCAGTCTTCCCGGACCGTGTACATCTCTGCAAACACCTGCCAGCAGCCACAACCGATTGATCCGGTCAAGACGACAGTAGACCCTCCTCAGTTAACACTCTACGTTTCTATTTCACCGGATAATGACGATCCCAACTCTCTCGCCAATCCGGATATGCAAGCCGAGATTCCATTTAAGGAGGGGGCTGTCATGTACAACATCACCACTGATCGAGATGTATACATTGGCATCCATGCCCCCAACGTGTCAAGTGTGTTCAAGGGTATCTACAACTTCGAGGTGGCGGCGTCGATCGACACATACTACTTCAGGTACGAAGATGACGCACAGCAGCTAATTTGGGTAGACAGCGACTCCCAGGGTGCTCTCCTGATCACTCACAACTTAACCATACCCCCTGGTGTAACGGAGGAGGCAATCATGAACAACCCTCCTTATGTACTCTTTGCGCACAATAAAAAGGATGCGGCCATCAATGGCTTGAAGCATTCATACTGCGGACTCATGAAGTACGCTCAGATGGCAGCTACCAACAATGGTAGGCACGATACCATGGTTCGGACAAGCATGACAAAGAGGGGACAAGGGAGCCATCCGAAGCAGCAATTCTTTTTCAGTGGGCTCAACTCTAGCTCCGAGTATATCGGCATCTTGGCGAAAGACGGACCGTCACTGTTGAAGAGACAGACGACAGGGCAAAGCAGCGGCGGAATCACGGTGTTTGGAGCTACCGCCTTCAGCACCAAGTCTGGTAAGCCAATTAATCTCTTCTGAAAGGTTGCTCCTTTACTAATGGGTTTCCAGACCATGGCAACTGTGCCCTGATCGTCGACCTCGAGTTCTGTGACCAAGTTGCCTATTCGGTTCCCTTCAACCCCAGCTTTGGCAACACCACTCAGCTCGCCAAGTTCTACGACTCCTATGCGGCCGCTATCTATGCGAACTTCAACAAATCTCTGGCCCAAATTGCCTGCGAGGCCCCACCCACTCAGCGCTATTCTCTTGCTCGCAATTGTAATGACTGCGCCGAGGCCTACAAAGACTGGCTCTGCACCGTCACGATCCCACGCTGTGAAGACTTCAGCAACAACGCTTCTTACCTACAGCCCCGCGCCGTGATACATCCTTTCCCCAACGGCGAGACCCTAGACCAGATCACGCTCCAGAAATTAAGGCCGCTCACAAAGGCCCTCAACAACAGCCGGAGCACGCACATTGATGAGTTTATTCGCCCGGGTCCCCACAAAGAACTCTTGCCGTGCGACTTCTTGTGCTATAAGCTTGTGCAAAGCTGTCCTGCTGCGCTCGGGTTTGGATGTCCAGTACCTGGTTCAGTTGGGTTCGAAGGGAATTATGCCAAGTATAACCCCACAAATGGGCTGACGTGCAATTTCCCTGGTTCGGCGCACTTTCCTTCGGCTGGATCGAAAGCGGGTGTTCGGGGGGAGTGGTGGAGGGTATTTACTGTTCTATTGGTGATTTTGTTGGCGGTTGCAGGACGGGTTTTGGGGTTGTGATGAGTTTTTTTTTTTTTTTTGATGACCACAGACAGGAGGAGGGGCTATTAGGTGTATGGCGTTCTTGTGAGTTTGGATTTTATGATGATAGCCACTTGATGAATGGCGTCACAAAAAGATTCTGGTTAAGTGATGCTCTGTTGGACTTTGGCGTTATTCGGGAAGACATAAAGCTAACCAACTGGTTAATGACATACGTTACTTACTAAGAAGCTTAGAAGTAATCAGATAAAATGAGAATAGAAACGCAATTTGCCCATTCACTGGAAATTCGCGAGATCTTGGTTGATCCAGTTTTTCTCAAAATCTCATGGGTCCCGTTACCCCTTATTTCCCATAACCTTAGCTGCAACACCCGAGCCAATAACTTATCAAACTCCAAAGATATTGAATCAAAGACAGATAATACAATCATAATACATTTACAACGACGTCAACCAGCCCCTTAACCTTTTCCCGGTCAAGACGTATCGGGAGCCTTCGGGTTCTCGCACAAATCCCTGACTAATTAATCCATCACCATGGCCACCACCACTTCTTTCCAGCTCCCTTACTCCTTGCATCGGCCACATCACCACTGCTCGCCATGGTAGCGGCTTGTTTCTTAGCAGCGAGAGCCGCGGCATGTAGACTCCTGACTTCGGCTTCGAGGGACGCTATCTCAGCTGTTTTTTTTCGATGTGCGACCCGAGGGGTCGCCTCGAGGAGCGGTGATGTTAGCCATTGTCTTGAGTGTGTTGAGTCTTGCATTTCTGGGGGGATAATAGGATCAAAGTGAGGGATGTGAGAGGAGAGGGAGGGTCGTTTATGTGAGAGGAAGATGGATAGTGGAAATGCAACTTTGGACGATCTACAGTTGAAGCCATGGCTGGTTTTACTTACCCTGTCGCTCCTCCTTGATCTCATTGTACTCGAGCCTTGTCCAAGCATAATAGACCATCTGGTAGACTAGCACAGCAAGCAGGGCTGTCTTGCCAACTGGACGGGCAAAGGTTCTATAGAATTCTTTCTGTGAGGAGGGGGTCTGTGTCAATGAATGTATTTAGAAGCAGTGGGAATGGTACCAGGCCTATGTTACAGTTGGTGAAGGTGGTTGTTGTGTGTTGTAAAACCGTTTTGATACTCGAAAATGGTTCACTTGGGTCGAAGTGAACCGTGAGGTTGTCCTGGGAAAGACCGCAAGGTGTCGAAGAATGGTCATCGTTTGGGAGCTTTTGAAGTCGAGTTACAGGCAGTTCGTGACTTGTTTTGTCCTCTAGTTTCACAACCAGATGTTGTTCTAGAGCTGTATCAGTATCAGATGACTCAGCCCAAGTGAGCTACTGGTGATCAAGCTCACCTATGCATGTACGTAGAAGTGGACTTGATGAAAGCTCTCTTCCGGGCCGACTTCGATGCCAAGACCGTTCCCCACGATCAGCATTGGCTCGTAATAAGCCCCACTTGGCTTCCGTGGGACCCCTGTCCTGCATGCTGCGACAAGGGGGGATGGCCCACATCATCCTGGACGCCTTTGTCAACGACAGATGGCCAGAAGACACGAAGGCCGATTCGATGGTTTGCAACTTGTCCCATTCGCATTCCCCAGGCCACTCTTCTTCTCATTCTCTCTCAACGTACGCTTTCCGTCCATTGACACACAACAGTGCTTTACTATACTTCCCGTTTTAATACGCTTCTATCCTTTCTCTACAAGACTCGGTCTCAACTTCTGCCCACCGGCTCCAGGGCCAAAGATTATACCCCTGAACCGCAATTCCAAACCCAACTTGTAACCAGACACATACTCGATTCACAATGGTAAGCATACATCGGCAAAGGACAGCCTTATAGAAGACCACAATTAACCGACGCGACTCTTACGACAGGTCCAAACGCCGCAACAACGTCGCGCGAACCAGAAGTTCTTCAAGGAGCAGGAGGCGCGCCGCGGCAAGTCCGAGGCGGAGCTGAAAAAGCGCCAGAAGGACCAGACCAAACCCCCAATTTCGAAGTTCTGGCTCTGTACGTCTTTCTACGTCCTTACTCGCACACATGCGCGTGTCTGAATGCTTGGGGAAAAGCCCAACTGACACCCAATTCTTAGGGTTCCTTGGCTTTGTTGTCTTCGGTGGCCTCTTCTTCGAGGTCCTCTCACGTATCATCTTGCGCTACATGTACTAAGCGGTTGCGGCAAGTGCCTGATATGCAAATAAACACACGCGAGCATCATATTACCAAGAGGGATGCTGGGCATTACCCCTATTTCCCTGCATAGACGCAGGGGTTGACGGCCTGGGTTGTTAGGTATGGAGATCAGACTGTGCTGCTTGCGCGAGCACATTGGGTCAGCGTGTGTGCGCACCAAAAGTTGTTAAAGTGCTACGTGTGTTATATACGGACGGACGGGGATGCATCCGAGATGAAGCACTCGGCGGTTGGGTGTTGGCGCTTTGACAGTCCTGGTTTGGGGCTCTGGGAACTAAGGTTTATTATACTGTTCACTTCCAGAAATACGGGCATATACCATTTTGTGTGTTTATTATTACAGTAAAACTCTTCATAAAAAAGCATGGGTGATGCTGAGTAGAGGAGACCGGCACTTTGGTATCATTACTACCCCCTAAGGGGTTCACTGACGAGAAACGACAACCTATGCCTCAGGGTATCTCTCACATAAAGTCCTCTCAGAATCCTCCATACCAAGTAGACGAGTTAACCACAAGATCAACAACTAAGCACCCAAGCCACGGCGTTGACCGCCAGTCTCGTACTTCATCCGGACGCTCGTGTTGAACTGCTTCTCCAGCTCGTTCGAGACCTGGCCCATGTCAAGTCGAGGACGCGAAATGTTAGCAGCGGGGGTATTGTCAGTAGAGACACCAGCCTTGCTCGCGCCTAGGAGTCTCATGAACTTCAGCTGGCGCTGGGCGCCGCCGAGGAGGCCTTGGACGTTCCAGTTCGCAGCCACATTGGCAATCTGAGTAGCCAGGGCTGGTGCGGTGGTCTCTGGCTTAGGGGCTTCCTCCATGGCCTCGGAGGGCTGGGCCTTCTTGGATTGAGACTTCTTGTCCTTAGACTCCTCCTTACTAGCCTTGGTCTCCGTTTTCTTTTCTTTCTTGCTCTTCTTATCTTTCTTCTCCTTAGGCTTCTCCTTTTCGTTGCCATTCGTCTTCTCATTTTTCTCCTGCTTTTCCTCCTTACTCTTCTTATCCTTCTTGCTCTTCGTGTTCTCGTCTTTCTTCCTCTCAACCTTCTCTTTCACCTCTTTGGTAGTCTTGTCCTTATCCGCTTTCTCATCGGATTTTTTGATCTTCTTTTTGTCTTTCTTCTTTTTATCCTTAGACTCACTCTCCTCCTTCTTCTTTGCAATCTGGTCCGGCTCTGGAGGAGCAGCGCTCGCATCGACCATCTCCACATCCTCTGTGTTCTGAGCCTGCTCCTTGCTCTTGCTCTTCTTGTCCTTCTTGTTCTTTTTGTCTTTGGACTTCGTCTTGACTTCAACCTTCTCATTCTCTTTGGAAGCAGAAGCATCATCGTTCTTAGAGACAGCCTCGCTCGGCTCGGCCTTCTTGCTGTCGGCCTGAGTCTTGGTATCGATGCCCTTCTTGCTATTCTTTTTCTTCTTGTCGGACTTCTCACTACGCTTGCTCGAATGCTCGTCCTTCGCTTTCTTCTGGGGGCGCTCAGCCTCGTCGACCTTTACAGTATGCTCATTCTGTGCGGCAGCTGTCTTGGGCTGTGCAACAGTCTCATCGCCCTCATGCTTGCGCTTGCGCTCCTTCTCCTTTTTGGATTTCTTTTCGTTTCCATTGGCCTGGTTCTCGGTGGTCTTGGCGGTCTCGACTGAAACAGGAACTTCAGCCTCAACAGCCGTGTTCTTGCTGTCGGGTTTCTTCGACCTTTTCTTTTTGTCTTTCGCGATCTTGCCCTCATTTATGGCAGCAGAGGCGGCCGCATTGTCGAGCTTCAGCTCATTGGCCTTTTTCTTGGACTTGTCACCCATGATGCCGAATGGGTGTAAGTTGGGTCTGCCAGTGACGGGCTGAGATTGTGTGATGGTTTTGGATCGCACAGTCTTGCGAGATTGGAAGGAGAGTTTGCGGCTTGTTGACAGCGTCGGCCGCAACTTTTGCGATTGAACAGGCCATCAAGGTGCCCGCGATAACTGATAAGACGGGAAAAAAATGTCTGGGTCAAACCCTAACCCTGACGCTGCTCCTGGCACAACGCTTGCAAGGACACCATTGACGCTGAATATCTTGGAGATTGATCCAATCCTATGCCATACCGTTCTCTATCTGCAAGAATGATTCTTATTTACACATGTTACCAAAGTCTTTGCTGGTGACACTTAATTACAAGTGCAAACATAGGAGCCTCTCCATGGTCCTTCTAAGTTCCAAGCTATGTACGTCCCCTGCATACAAGCATGGTAGATCGTAGCGAAGACTCGAGTCCTCCGAAGCTAAGCTTTTGTGTTCTTACATTATCTGGGTATCAAGACAACCATACACATGTAAAAGAAACTCCAATTGCACCTCGTAGACCCCGACCAACATCTCAACCATTTACCTCGTTGGACTAAGGGGCCTGTTGAAACCGCCAATACGATTCATGTACTGGCGGTACTTGGTCTTCTTCTCTTTCCGCACAGCATATACATTGTTGCCAATGACATGCTTCCCCTGGGTCGACCCAAACCCGCTGAAGCCCATCATCTTGGCCATCTCGTCTAGGCCCTCCTCCTCAACCACAACCTCTTCCTCATCTTCATCCATCGGTTCGCCATCGAACCGTCTGGAGTCTTCGCTGTGCTGATCTCCGGTGCTTTCGCGCCTTTGATACTCCGAGCCGTGATTACTGTCCTTACTCATAACCTTGAACGACACGTGCGCTGGGCCGTGACCGTGGGTGCCGGCACCAGGCTTGGACCGAGTTGGAAGTTGTGTGGGCTCGTCGCCATCACGCTCAAACATGCGTTTGGTCGGACTAGCAGAGCGGTGATGAGGCGGCAGCTGCTGGTTCTGGCTCTGATCTCTCTGTTCCCTGCCCTCGTGGTTGCTACCAGACTTCTGATTGTTGTCTACCCGGTCAGACAGCTCTTCTCTCACACTCCGATCACCATGATCCCTCGATGGCGTCCCTCCACGCTCCCCGCGCTCATCATCCCGCCGACGATGTGCCTTCTCATCCCTCTCCCTATCGCGCCGATCATCCCTCCTATCCCTGTCGCGCCTAGGTGAGCGTGAGCGCGAGCGCGAGCGACGATGGTGGCGGTCGCGATCACGATCTCTGTGCCTATCTCTGTCGCGGGACCGATCGCGCGACCGGGAGCGCGAGCGGTATCTTCTGCTGCGATCGCCTCTGTCCCTGGAGCGTGACCTGTCTCTGTCGCGGCGTCTGATATCAACGTCGTCGTCACGATCTCTCCGGCGATCACGGTCGCGGTCGCGCCGGCGGTCTCTGTCGTCGTGATAGGATGATTTGTCGCCTCCGCGGCGGGAATGCCCGTCACGACGGTCGGCCATGGAAGCGTTTAGTTGTGCGATTAAGGTTTGGAAAGGAAGTGTATGGATTGTTGGAGGGGATCGGTGGCGGTTGGGGTTGTCGATGACGACTCGAGGATGGGAAAAGTTCTTGGGTCAAGAACCATTGCGGCTTGGGGAAGCCCCAGGCGCGAGCGGCGCTTTCCCAAGGCAACGGAAAGTGGGTCCCATTAGTCTTGGTTGTAACTTACGAAAATTCCATACGCGCTTTGTATCAGATACGTACCCGTGGCACCTGAGGGTTGAAAAGTTGAGCTTCGAAGCTCACGGAGGAGCTGGAGGGTCCTTTTGCAGAAACCTTGTCAATGGGAAAGTTTTGGATACTGTATTAAGGCGCATTCCGATTCACGGTACTGAGAGGAAAGGCGATAAGGCAGCCTATATCTCATCCTCTTCTTCATCAAAATCATCCTCCCTCCCCATCTCATACAAAATCCTTCCTCCTTCACCCCCTCCCACCTCCACCTGCGCGTCAAAGTACGGCAGTACCACGCCCTCCCGATCCCTCCTTTGCTTCTCTGTTAACCCTAAATCAAACGTAGCCTCAGGCTTCTCCTCCTCTTCCTCCACAACCTCCTTCTTAAACGCTGGATACTCGCCCTTCAGCATGACCCTAAGCCCAGTCTCTTTGTAATCCTGCCCAGCTGGCACAAGCACAAACTCCCCTGAGATAGCTCTTCCGCTACGCCTTCGCACCTCCATCTCAACTACCAACCCAACCGCCCCGCCACTGTCATCACCCTTACCGTTCCCCTTACGCAACCCGATCAGCACACCCTCTCGCCCCTCTTTCAACCCCCACTTTGGTTCAATCAAACTCCTCTCGCGAGCCCGATGTGCCGCAATCTCATGGTGCAGGCATGAGACTCGCAACACGGCAGTAGCCAGATGGCAGAGCAAGGTCTCAGGGTCTGGGGAGTAATCGGGATTGTACCCTGCGTCGAGGGCAGAGCGAGAGGGAGGAAGTACGGGGATGTCGGTGTGATAGACAGCAACAAGGGTCGTGCAAGGTGAGGTAATGACGGAGGAGAAGAAGGTTGGGAAGAGGTGCGGGGTTAGCGAAGCGGGGGTGTTGAGCGAGTCGATGACGATTAGGTGTTCTGTTATCGAGAGCGATGTTAGCAAAGATAAAAAAAAGTGAGTTTTGGTGTAGGGAGACTTGCTCTCTTGTTTGTTCGTAATGGCAGTAGTGATCTCTGTTGCAATGGTCTGCAGTGTCTTGCTCCACGCTCTGACGAAGACATCGGCAAGGGCGGGCTTCTTGACTGTTGAAAAGGAGACGAATATGACTTTTGCCCGTTTTAACTGAAGAAAATTAGGCAGCATTCTTCAGGAGGTTTTTAACTAGTCAGACGGAGAACCTACTGTTTTGGCAAGCCTCATGAACTCATGAGTGAGTGGTTGAGCGCTTTGCTCCAATGAGTCAAGAACAAGTGTGAGCGGGCTTGCATTGTCTTTCGACTCAAGCAAATTCTTGAAGAGCAACAAATTATGCGCCCGCTTGACAGCTTGATGTTGAACTCCCATCTTTGGTTCCCTGTGTACTATTTGCTTTATGATGGCTTTGAGCTTTGAGTACCTGGAAGCGCGAGTGGACCGAGGGCTAAACAAGGGCACATGAGAAATTGGCCGTGAAAATTGTAAGTTACAAACGTAACTTTCAGCAGTTGCAACCCCCCCCCCTTCGAAAGTTGCCTACGGTCAACATCCTGTTACGTCCATCATGAGCTTCTCTGTCTTTATGTCCCGTTGCATTTTTAGATTATTTGAAGTAACTCTTGGAGAAAACCGTCTGTATCGCGCTCAAAGTTATCCGAAGGGTATCTATATGCAATTCCTCTTGAGGCTCGTCCCAGTTATTCCATCCGCAGATTACCCTTGAACAATGAAACCCTTCATGAGCATCAGGCTTGAACTTTTCACAAAGCTTGTGCCATACGATTGGATAAAAGTACACTCTGAATGAAGTTGCTTTCAGGAACCTTAACTCGACTTTGTTTGATTTCCAAATTCTTCGTTCGCACTTTCGACTCGGGTTCTCTGGGCTTCTGCATTCGAATCTTAACATTGCGAGGCCCCTTCTAGGCTGTTTTGTTCTATAGCCCCTGGGTTAAATTTTCGTGCCTTTTCAGAGGTCAACTTGTCCGAATTTTTGTTAGCTACTGCATCGGAAACCAGTGGTTGTTCTCGTCTTTTCTGTGGATCAATGTTTAACATTAACATGCTTTTGCTAGAAGACTGTAGGTCTTTTGAGGATGGCTCGGGAGGTTGTAGAGACTCGGATGCTGCTTGATTCTCTGGTTGGCTTATTGGCTGAGTCTTTCGGATTGACTCCGGTTGCTCACTATCCCGAGGGGAATTCCTTCTTAACGCAGTTTTAGGTTCTTCTGCGTCTTTGGAGCCACCACGCCCATTCCTCGCTATGGTCTCCCCAGGAAGCTTAGTGATGTCCTTGGGCAGCTCGATACCCCAGTCCTCCTCAAACTGCTTGCGAAGGAACTCATCATAGTCGCCCCGCTTGTGCTTTTCATGGGCAGTCCATGCCTGAGCTAGCCATTCTTCGTCATGCCTGCCCAGTTCCAAGTTTTCTCGGTAGCGAGCACAATCATACCGGAAGTTGTCATCATTCCGGAGCGAGACTGTATTTGGACGTGCATCCGGAGTTCCAGCATTCAATATTTGAGTCTTATCTGGAAATTTGGAGAGGACATCCGATCTCTCTTCTGGTGTTAGCACATCCCAGGCTTCTGGGAGAAGTAGTATGGCCTATCACTCATGTCAGCAAGCATGTAGTCCAGAAAACTGATGGGAACATACCCTTATGTCTGCATTCGTGAGCGGTGACTTGGAATCTGTATACACAAATGGAGCTTCCCATTTTCTGTCCTGAGCGGACTTCCTTGGAGCAGCCTTTCTGGGGGCGGCTCTCTCCTTGGCAGGTATTCTGGCGGGAGCAGACCGAGGCTTCTTCGCAGAGGCCGAATCGCTGGCTGACCGAGCCCTTCGCTTTTTTGCATTGAACTGACCACTACCAGCTGTCCCATTCTCTGAAGGCTGTTTAACCTCATAATCATCTTCGCAAACTGTATCCCAGGAACCTGTTGATCCATCGGTTGACTTGGCTTCTTCTGCAAACTTGACCATAGTTGGGGATTTGTTGTTGGTAAACCCTCGGTTGTCAGTAGACTCACCAAGAGGTGTTCCAACTCTGACCATTGGGTTAGAAGGGGGGGAGATGTTGGAGATTGACTTTTCCATGGTGATAACAAAGAACAGATAGTGAACGAGTCTCTTGTCGACCAGAACAACACAGGATAGATATGATATGCTGAGTGGATGTAGAAGCCAGGTACGATAGAGTGATAGTCCACAATATGAAAATCACACTTCGCAGATTAAACGGGATTGGACTAGAGATTGAGGTATGACAGTGGCGGAACTGTCACACAGGGCGCAGTGAGCTCTATTGATGATATTGTGCTCATGTCCAACCTTTTATTGGAGAAGTTGAACAATAGAATCAAAAACTGGGCCTAGACTTAAGAAGGTTGGTGAAGCAATGGCAAGAAGTAAAGTCAAAATAACCTGAACAAACAAGGCGGATCGTCAATGGCAAGGCTGAGCTCCAATAATGGAGGTCAACCGCCCGACCGTCACAAGTTCAGGTAGCCCCGCTAAATTGAACCGACCCCCTGTCAACACAGCTGATGGGCCCACAGACGACAGGGGTTTTTTGTTTAGCTTCTCGGTATCTAGACCCTGGTCTGAGATCTGCGCTTTGTCGACCGTCGACAATAACGTTTCAACTCCCAGCAGAAGACCGGCCCCAACTGCCATTCTGCTGGTCAGAGACGGTGCAACCAACTGCTTTCCGTATAGCTTTGAACTTCTAAGAACAAGTCTGCCTTGGACTGCTCTGCTTTTACGGGGCCTAATTGTCTTGCCACCTGAAAAACAGCTAGTGACGACAGCTCTGCCCAGCTGAGAAGCCACGTTACGAACACGTCCAGTCTCCACGAACACCAGGCAGCTCAAAGCCGGTATCCAAATAACTTCCCGTCTCCAACCACAATTTTAACCCGTGTTTCCTACATCAGATACTTCAATTTCTTCTCTCTAATATAATCAACATGATTCGCTCCACACAAATAGCGAGGCTAGATGGTATGCCCACCGGCTCGCCCTCCCTCTTGAACCGCCAATATGCTGACCTCTCTCTCTCTCTCCTCTCCGCAGGCCTCATGCTCTGCGCTTCAGTAGACGACTCCGAGACTGAGCGCGCGCTTAGTGAAGTCAAGGGTCAAGTGAAGCTCGTCCTGCGATGCTTATCACGAAACTCCGAGCCCCAAGCATCCATCGAATCGGGCGCGTACACGATCCACTACCTGATTGCGGGCGAGGTGGTGTACGTGGCGATCACGGACCGCTCGTTCCCGCGCAAACTGGCCTTTACCTACCTGTCCGATGTGTCGACCGAGTTCGCCAACACCTACCCGCCGCAGCAGCTCCTGTCGCCGGTGCTGCGCCCGTACGCGTTCATGGAGTTTGATACGTTCTTGTCGCGCACCAAGGCGACATACAGCGATGCGCGCGCCGCTCAGAGCTTGGATAAGTTGAATGACGAGCTGCGGGATGTGACGAAGATTATGACCAAGAATATTGAGGATCTGCTCTACCGCGGTGACAGCTTAGAGAGGATGGGCGAGCTGAGCAGTAGGCTGCGCGACGACAGCAAGAAGTACCGTAAGGCCGCCGTCAAGATCAACTGGGATCTGATGATCAAGCAGTATGGGCCGTTTGGTGCCTTGGGGCTTATTATTCTTATCTTTATTTGGTTGCGCTTCTTTTAAACTTAAAGGATTAGATGCTAGTTGTGATGGTAATATCTCTCAGTTTTGGTCATGAGGCTCAGCATGGGAGTTTGGGACAGGAAACTTGAGCGGCCGTTTTGGTGTTATTTCCATGTATCTTTCTGTGTCTACGACTGTAATGCCTATATATATATCAATTCTAGAATCGCGTCCCGCAGGGACTGAGTATATCCATGAACTGACAAGTCATCGATTAGTTCATGCTAGATGCTTCATATCTCGTACCATGCACTCATCCTTTCTGTGGTATCTTGGAGGAGGCTCCTTTTAACGCCCGCTTCAAATCCAAACCCAATCCAAAAGCCCAATCTCTTCTCACATTACATTACAACTCTCCCCTGGGGGCAGCGCAGCCGCCAACTCGGACAATGACGGCACGGCCGCCGTATGGTACCACTCTAAATGCTCCTGAAAGTGCCGTAGGTCTGCAAAGCCTTTCTCATCCTGCACGTACTTCACTTCTGAACTGTCCTCCCCCGCATCCAAGTATGTCGCCTCCTCGCAGTACGGGCACACTAACCCCGCCTGCCACTCCCCCGGCTCAGGCGCCGTGTGGTTCGCGATGGCAAGCGGCGCAAAGACGATTGTTTTCTCCTCGCCAGTGGTTGCGCTGTGGCCTCGGGCTTGCCAATGTGGGTAACCGCCGGCGGCAGCGTCAGAGGAAGCTGTGCGGGGCGTGCGTTCGGACGGCATATCCTGCAAGTCGGACCAGACAATGTAGCCGTTGCAGAAGTCGCAGACGAAGGCGGCGTCGAGGAGCTCGCCGTTGCCACCGCTGGCTAGACGCTGGAAGCGACCAATGTAGTTGCAGTGTGGGACGAGCTCTTCTAAGCTTCCCCGTCGTTGTAATGAGCCACGCCGCATGCAGTCGTATGGCATTTCCTCGCTTCCTTGTGCTCTCAAATTGTCGGGATACCCTCCATTCATCGTCTTTTCGTGCTGTCGAACATCCTGGCCCCGATTAGAAGGTAGTTCCTCCAGCTCTAACCCTAACCCTTCCCGCTCTTCCGCCCTATGTCTACTTTTCCTTCTCTGTCTCTCCCTGCTTCGTTCGCCCTCCTCCCCAACCTGATGCCGCCGCCTGAGTTGGCGATACACCAGCCATGCACCCAAACACCGAGGCTGGCTTTGCTCCTCCTGGTGCTGAGCAGCAAACACGCGGTGCGCGGCCCGTCTCTGGGCACGGTGAAGTGCCTTGCGAAGGCGGGGCGTCATTCGCGGGTCGATTGGACTCCCATTACTTTGGCTGCCAGGGCTGGTTGGGCTGGACAGGGCCCCGTTTGAAAATTGAACTTGCTTAGACGGATTGAGGTAAGAAAAAGCCCAATTCTGAAGTGCAAGGGAGTGTGAGGTGAAATGGGTTAGAAGAATTTCCAGCTCTGCGAGGGATTCTTCTGTATCCATGGTTAAAACCCATAACCATAACTCTCGAAACGATAGAGGACACTCACCACTCCGATCATTCTCATACCAACCCCTCCCATGCACAAGCGGCGCCAGCTCCTGGAAATCCTGCTTTGCCTCATCCAGCGCCAGCTCCATCTCGCGCAGGTGCTCGTTGCGCTCAGCCAACTGCTGTGAATCTGCTGCCACCGTCACCTGCGAGAGGGCGTCCAGGGCATCGGTCATGCACGTGGCGATGGATGCGAGGAGCGTGCCGACCGTTTGGGGGATGTCATCTTGGTCGTAGGGGGCCGAAGAATGGGAAGGCGGCGGCGGTATTGATTCTCTCTCTTTTCCTTTCCATCCTCCTCGGCCGGTGCTGGTGTTTGTTGTTGTGTTGCTGTTGCTGCTATTTCCGCTGATGCCGGCGCCGCCGGCAGCGCTGCTCATGGCTTCTCTCTGTCCTGGTCTGAACAAAACGTAATCCGAGAATAGAACTCTTAATGATCCCGAATGGTGTCTTTTATATCTTCCGGTGTCCCAACCACCAAGAAGGGATTTATATTAGAAATGTGGCTGTTTGCGGTAGGGAGTCTGTCCGTTGATTGCTTTGGAGACGGTGACTGGTCGTCACGATGATGGCTGCAGGTGTTGATTGGAACCAAATGTGAACGTGAAAGTGAGGGGGCACGAGAAAGACTCTTGAGAACACTTGTAGCTTAAGCCTAAGCTGACCCTTGCCTATCACCCGGTATCTCTCGAGGGGCCGTGATGAGGCTGTTCGACCGAGTTGTTACACATTGGGTTGAGCAGCCAAATGCGGTAAGCAGTGCTTAGACTTTTTAAAAAAACAGTATAAGGATTCCTTTGATGCATAGAGCAGCAGATCTCTAGCTTCTTTCTATGCTGAAGCCGACAGCCGTGGATGCAGGCTGGGACACGCTGAGCCAGGGTCCACACAGGCGTTGCGCCCAGGAGGTTTAGCGTGGGGTTTGGGTCCTTTGGGCAGCGCTGATGCGGTCGCTGCACTACTGCGGTGGAACCGCCTTTGCGAACCCCTTTTTCTCCATCAGCTTAGCCCGTACCGTTCAGCCCTACTGGATGCCTGGGGTTCGGGACTACCGGCGACGGTGCCGGTAAATCCTGCTACTGGCTTCGGTACGAGTTGAGATGTGCGTCAGCGTACCTTTCTCGGAGTAGGCTTGGATCTAAGATTGCCGAAGTAATCCTTCAGTCTGGACCGCATAGTCGGTCCCTGCTTGCTCCGGACTTATCACCGATCGCCAGTTTCGAACCCTAGAGTAATAATCCAAGTGAAACCCTCTTTTTTCTTTTAAAAAAAAAAGAAAAAGATCTATGTGCCATTAATTGTAAGTAACATATTCTAGATAGGTCTCGGATTACGCTCCAATCACCAGTCCAGTCTATTTCCGCTTCGTCGCTTTGGGAGCATCGGCACCGGTAGACTTCGCGGTCTCCTGCTCCGGCTTCTCGGGCAAAGCATTCTTCTTTTTCTTTTCCTCTTCTTCCTTGGCCTTCCTAATCAGCTCCTCATTCTCATCCTCACCACCTTGGCCAAACTCGTTGACACGAGTGTAGTCCACACGATAGATCCACCGCTGGTACAGGTAAATGAAGAAGATAACGTCGTCACGGAAGGTCGCCAGACGATGCAGGATAGGCATCTTGATGGTAAAGGCAAACAGGTCGTCGATGAAAGTGTTGAGGAACTTGTACATCATGGCCTTGGCCGGCATGTGTGCCACGCTCTTAAGTTTGTAGTTGATGTATAGCGACGGCACCATCATCAGGAAGCCGTAAGCGTACACAGACCCGACCAGCGTCGTAATGATGTACGAGTACCAAGACTTGTGCGTCTCGTAGAGAAGCGAGTAGATAGCGTAGGCAATCAGAAGCGGCACGGCCGCAATATACATATAACGGAAGGCCTCCTCGTCGTACTCCTTGGTCTTCTGCTCGGTCTCGCTGAGCTTGTGCTTGTCTTCGAATTTAATGCGGTATGGAATCAACGACCCAGGAGCCGGACGAAGGCGGACGTTGACCACGGTGGTGATCTTCCAAAGCTCAATGATGATACCAACGGCCTGGCCACCAAGGATCATCCAGCTAGTGTTCTCAGACTGGTCGATCAGGTAGAGGAAGATGACCGTTTGCATAAAGACGTTGCCCAGAATCGACCGTAGCGAAATGCCAACGTTGTCCTTCTTCTTACGGTAGTGCTGGATGTCGGAGCCGAAAGCGAGCGTCTCAAGAACCATATGGGCAATGCTGACCACAATTGTCACGCCTAGAAGGATCGGATTGGAGTCCATGAAGATCTCCTTGATCATTTCGATCTCGCTGCCATCACCACCACCCGGAAGGGAGTTTCCATAAGCGGCCTGACGTGCCGCCTCCTTGGAGCTAAACTCAATTGATGCCATGGTCTTAAACTTCCACTCCGACAGGTTGTTGAGGGTGATGCGTATCGGCAGCGTTTGGACGGTCTCGTTGAGCAGCGTCATATGCGACCTGAGCTGCCAGAAGGTGTTAACAAAGAGGATCGGATAGTACCATGAGTGCTGACCGGTGCCGTCGCGCGCCCCCGTGGCCTCCAAGTGGAGGAAATGCCGAACAATTGGATGAGCTTGGGTATAAGAGATAACGCCAGTGTTCGGAATAAAGGATAGTGACACATTGGGATGGTAATAATTGGCGATGATGGGGCCAGTTGGCTCTGGTTCGTCCTCCACAGGCTCAGCTTCGCCCGCTTCCCCTTTATCAGCCAGCAGATTCCTGGTCTTGACCTCTTTCTTCTTGGGGAGATACTGAGTAAGCGGGTAGACGAAGTGATAGGCCGAACCGGGGTCGTAGCCTTGCTCAGTGGGATCCAGAATGGCGCCAGGCAAGCCGACATAAAAGTGTCCCCAAAGAGTGCCATTGTGCTGGACCGGCTCCGGTACAGTAATGGTGCCCTCGACAATGCGGGTATCCGACCAATTACCAATCTTGAACTTCTTCTCCTCGAGCACAATTGACTCCTTGGAGGTCTGTCTGAGCGGAGTCGGAACGAAGGAGGACGAAACGGTGACCACGATGTCGACGGTGCTGTCGTCGCCCCAGATAGGGCCCAGAAGCTGAGGGATCTTGCTGTAGGTAGCGCCGTCATTGAGGCGCGTAGGGCGCTCGTGGTAAGGAGGAACATGAGTGGAGACCTGGACGACGTTGCCGTTGGCGTCGCGGACCTGTGCTGTCTTCGGAGGACCCATGAACTGCTTCATGAGGAATTGCATGGCCATGTACATGGCGACGGCCTGGAAGACCCTTGAGAAGAGGGATGGCTGCAATAATGTGTTAGTTTACCTTGGTCGCCATCACAACAAAAATCAGTTGCTTGGTATGATTGTAACACATACCCCTTCATCTCGTTGCTGTGGCCGAGCAGGCTGACGGCCTGCCACGGCGTTGGCCTGGGGCATGGCGTAGGTTCTTTATCACCTTGCGCTTGTGCAAAGTTTAATTCAATATAGAGAGATGCCGATCAGCCACGGAAGACAGAAGCGCTTGCCTGTGCGGTTCTGCGCAAACAGCAAAGACACAGGGTTGTGTTGGGTGTTACCACTGATGTTGGCGACGGTGGACGATGATGCTTTGGATGAAAGCTGGGCGACGTGCTCCAGAACTCCAGAAAATCAATGAACAATGCCACGCAGCCCCGAGTCGCGGCGTGGGGCGATATGGACCTTTTTCCCAGTGCTATCAGGCCAATGATAAGGCGAGGCTCTTCCCCACCAGTTGATGACATCCCACTGGGCGCGGGTGCAACGCCCCCTAGCGATTCAGCAATCCCCAGCGCTGCCACCAAAAAACCCAAGCTTCAGGGCCCCTCCTCCCGCTGGCCAAACCCGTTGCGGTGCCTGTCCCGCATCCGCTCCATGACGGCAGCAGTTCAGCGGAAGCAAAACACCACCATCGGACTGGTTATTGGGCCTCTTGTAACCTACCCGTAATGATGCCTGTACCTCTGCAGCTCCATCAGGCCCCGGTAGGCAGGTACCGATCGTTGCAGTTGATTCGGTTCCATCGATCTGTCCTGTGGCCCTGTACTACCGGACAGGCTGTGTGGCCCCTCGCAAGCGTCGTACAGGGGCTGTAGCGGCTGTTGGACGCCATTTTAATCAAAAACCTGTGCCCGCTCAGATGGCTTCACCATGAGATGACCTCGCTCGGTTCTGTGTTTCCCACATCGTCTCCATCGCCCAGATCGCCGCCGCTCCCTTGAACCGTCCGATAGCGACCGGTGGTGCGGGCCGCCATTGTGTCATACGCTGGGCTCCATCGAGGTCCACGGGCGGGTCACGAGGCGGCGCAGTCGGCGACACGATGCGCAACTGAGAGCCCTCATCGGTCGGCCGATCCAAAGTCAGACCCAGACGCTGTCAGGTTGCGAGATAATAAACTTTGCAGGGCAACAGCGTCCCTGGACCCAGTGGAAGCCATAAATCTCCGGGGACCCTCTGGTTCAATCACATCTTCCTCCTGCTCTCCCAGTGTTCAGAATCTTGGCCCTTTTCGGCTGTGTCATCCCGCCGGTTACCAGAGCAAACACCGGTTCGCTGCGCCCCTCGCTTCGTCCATCAGCCATCCGAGCCTTTGCTGGGAGTCTGAGACGGCGGACACGACATCTTGTCCGACAAGTTAGCCGCCCGTGGCCCAGGTCAATCCAGCCATCCAGACCGTAGTCGGTGTTTGGGAGCAACCAGTGGCTAGCAATAAGGCGTCGGATACGTGGCATTGCCCCTCGCAGCCCCTCGCCAGGTAACTCGTGGGCTCCTACCAGTCGGTCAGTGCAGTCAGTCGGTGAGAGCAATCGCCGGCTGCTGGCTACAAAACACCGCCATCTCTCCTTTTACCAAGCGAACCGTCGTGCTCTACGCCTTTACTCTCGTCTGTTTTTCCGTTACAACCAAAAGCTATGTCGACCAGCGAGTCCCAATCAGCCGCGACCCCGCGGACCAAGATTTGCGTCTACTGCGGTGCTCATAGGGGAGTCAATGAGAAGCACCTGGAGGCCGCGCGCTCGCTAGCTCGGGCCATGGCGGCCAACAATATCCAGTTGGGTAAGTACAGAGGCCGTAAGCATGGGTGCTTACACGTAGACAGCATGCTGATTAGCTCTCTCCAGTCTATGGCGGTGGGACGGTCGGCATCATGGGTGAGCTGGCCAAGACACTGGTCTCCCTTGCCGGTCCCGACTCAGTGCACGGCATCATCCCCGAGCCGCTCGTCCGGTACGAGCGCGACCTGGCAAAGACCAACATGAACGGCGAGTGCAGCAGCAGCAGCAAGACCGAGGACAAGGTTGTTCTTCCGGAGGAGTCGGTATTTGGCCGTACGACCGTGGTCAAGGACATGCACACGCGCAAGCGCATGATGGCGCAGGAAGTGATCGAGGGCGGTCCCGGCAGCGGTTTCATTGCGCTGAGCGGCGGTTATGGTACTGTAGAGGAGCTGTTTGAGACGGCCACTTGGAACCAGCTGGGCATTCACAGCAAGGGGATCGTGCTGTTCAACGTCGACGGATTCTACGACGGCATTTTGTCGTGGATCAACAAGAGTGTTGAGGAGGGTTTCATCAGCCAAGCCAATAAGAAGATTTTGGTCGAGGCTAAAACGGCTGAGGAGGCTATCCAGGCGCTGAGGGATTACAAGACGTCAGAAGGCGTGTTGAAGCTTACATGGGGCAAGGAATAGGATTTCTAGATTGGGTAGAGAAAGGTATATGGGACTTCATGAAAAATTCTGAGATGGGCGTTCTGGCGGGGTCAGCATAAATCCTTGGCATCGTCAGGTATCAATTGATGGTATTTTCCTCGGGTGGTGAAAAAGGAACGGGAGCTTCCCGTCCAGAATGCTTCTCCACGGTGAGATCACAGCTTAGGATGCGCTCCCCCCCTCCCCCCCCCCCCAAAAAAAACGCCGTCTACGACATCGTTCCCGTGTTCATACTCGTCGTTAATACCATCGTCGGGATCATCCTATGAGTCGACCTCCATGCCTTCGCCCTCGGCGCCCCTTTCGTCAGACACGCTCTCTATCCACTCTGCCACATCCTGGCCATCGTAGACCCGGAATGGCTCAATCTTTGCCGCAGCACCGTCCTCTCCTTGCTCCTTAATGCCGACCACGCCGACACTGGTGTTGTCGATAGTCAGCTCACGGTCCTGGACCAAGCTCTCCTTAAGGGCGCGTAGGCCATGACGAATCAGCTCGTCGCGGCTGCAGTCGGCGAACTTGTCCAGGTGCTTCTCCAAGTAAGTACGGGCCATCTGGCTGCGGGCGCCTATGGCGAAGGCGATCATCTCCTCGGTCATGCCGGACGGCTGGAACTCGAACAGGTGCGGGCCGTGCTCGTCGACGCCGGCGATCAGCAAGCCCACACCGTAGGGGCGCTTTCCGTAGTGCTGGGTGTTGATCTGAGCCTTAGACCCGATCAGGTCGACCAGGGTCCGCACGGGCATGCTGCGGCCGTAGGTCAGGCGGTGGCCCAGGCACTGCTGCTTCATGAAATTGGAGAGCACACGCGCATCCGATGTGAGGCCTGCAATAGCGATTCCGACATGCTCGTCGATGGGGAAGAGTTTTTTTGGTAGGACGAGAGTTCTTCGGCGTTGCGCTGGTTTGGGGTTCTGGGTCAGCGGGTGTCTATGCGATCGAGGGTTGGGTTGAAGAGGGGCAAGGAGGGGCAGCAGGCACCTTGATCGCGACCAGCACGGCGTGTGTCTTGCTTGCGATGCCTACCACGACGGAGCCCTGCTTTACTGCCTCGGCCGCATATTCGACCTGGAATATCCGCCCTTGCGGGGAGCTTTGCCGGGGGGTTAGCGAAAACGGAGAGAATGAACGCCTAGGCAAGGCAGAGCTTACAATGTGACTGAGTCGTTGTCGTAGTTGTTCCTGAACATGGCGAACTAGAAACCGTGCTAATTCGGGTATACTCCGGTCTTTCGGTCGACGGCGGCGCAATCAATTGCGATTCTGGAGAGGGGATCTGGAGGCAGGAGGGGCAGACGTGGTGTTCAAGATGTTCTTGTTGGAGAGTCGGTGTTGAAGTTGGATGACAGCTCTGTCCCACTGTGACCGTGCCAGGCAGCTCCAAGCTGCGTCGCCTGGCCGCCGCCCAGCGCAGGGCCGCTGGACCACTAGGATGTTAGGCCGGGGCCGTGGGCTGCCCTGGGGTACGTACCGCGATGCCTAGCCCGCGCTAAACCAATCAAAGATTGGCGCAACGACCCAGTCGACAAGGACCCGCCAAGGCTGACGCTGCGGGTTGCGTGCTCGACCCACTAGCAGTCGCATGCCGCTGCCCGCCAGCAACAGCTCCGAGCTGCAACTCCAACCTTCACCACCCTTCCCGTCCACCCTGTGCACTTTGCAGCATACGCCGGCGTCGACATCGCGAAGCTGACAACCATCCACAGACGAAAACTCGATCGCGCCGGCGCAATCATTTACGAGACACGAAGCGACGAGTCATAGACCAAACGAACGGAAGACACTATCATTCTGACTAAGCTGGTTTGGGCGAACACCCCGCATTATCACCACCCTTGTTGTCCTTAGCCACCGTTGGCTTCAACCAACCGCCGTATCACTACGATCGCCTACGAGAAAAATATCTGAGTTTCAAAAGAAAAATATCATTCTATTATTACAAATACGCAACATAGACCGCAATCATGCCGCAAGCAGGCCTCAAAACCATCATCTCCCTCTCCTTCGTCCTCGCCATCGGCTTCCTGCTCGTCATCCTCTCGTGCGCCCTCTGGAAGGCCTACTACCCACTGCTCGTTGTCGCCACGTATGTACTGGCGCCCGTACCGAACTGGATCTGCGGCCACTGCGCCAACCCGGATGACTTTGTTGAGAGCTCTGGCGCCGCGGTGCTTGACCTGGGAAGGTTTTGCACGGGGTTCCTGGTTGTGATGGGTGTTGGTATGTTTCGAGTCTACCCTGTTCTTGGAATGGCGGACTTTGGACACTAACGGCTTACATCACAGCCCTCCCCGTACTGCTCTGCCACTCTGGACTCATCTCCACACCGGCCATGATCATGTCCATTATCGGCGGCTTGCTCATCTACGGCACTATCATCAGTTTTGCAATGTTTTTCCAGGAAGACCAGGATTTTTAGCAGCCTGCACTGAAGCATGAAGGAAATATTTTATCATCATCAGCTGGTCCCATGAGTCTTTTTTGGCGGACGGTGTTTTTTTACTACTTATTCTCCTGTTTGGTGGTGTACTATGTGTATACATGGCTCCATTCCGGACGTATGACGCATGACGGGAGGGTAATGCCTAGACGGACGGACGGGCAAGCGGATGGTACTTAATGCTTTGGGGGGTCTGTCTAAGCTGTGTTTGGACTCTTTGGACACGAGCAGGGAATGTTAAGGGCATGCCGCAGGTTCCATCTCTATCTTTACATGTCCGATATCCCGGGTTCTATTATGATGCCGTACTCTCTGTCTAGGATGCGTTGAGACCCTGTTTCCCCAGACTCCATTATGCAATCCAAATCGAAGGCAACCAGAACGCCGGACACGTTGAGTGTCTACCAATCCATCTGACCCCCTTCAAACCCAGTAAATGTGTGGATATGAACATCCCAAATCACCTTGCTTCACCAAAGACCCGCAATGGCCCAGCAAGCTTGGTAAACATTTCCTCCCTCTCTCCCTCAGGCGTGCTGAGTGCTGTAACAGCACCACCAGCTCCTATCCTCCACACTTCATGTACCACTTCCTCCTCCCCAACCTTCACGACCACGTTCTCATCCTCCCACCGGAACAAACTCCGAATCGTCACGCTCCAATCGCCCCTCCCCGTCGCACACATGTACCCAACAACGCCAGAGTACAAACTCCTCTCCAGATGCCCTTCAATCTGCTTCAGCAACTCACAACTCCTCTTCTTCGGCGCCCCCGTCATGCTCCCAGGAGGTAAGCTCGCAGCCAGCACATCCAGCCCCGTATACCCACCCCTCTTAACATCCAACTGCCCTTCCACAACGGTTATCATCTGAAACACGCTCTGGTACTCCTCGACCTTCATCAACTCGGGCACGCTCACTCTGCCAGCGCCGCAGACACCGTGAAGATCGTGCCGTACCAGGTCGACAATCATCAAGTTCTCTGCCATCTCCTTCGGCACGTGCAGGATACGCTCCGCATCGGCTAGAGTGGCACACGTATCGGGACACTTCCGAACTGTGCCTTTCATCGGCCTCATCGAGCAGAGCCCGGACCGGGAGTAAGTCAGGAAGCGCTCGGGGGAAGCGCTGACGAGGGTTGCGGCGCCCAAACGGAGGTAGGATGCGAAGGGGGCAGGTTGACGGGCCCGGAGGTGTTTGAAAAGGATCCAGGATGATGATGAATAAGGCTGCTTTGGGATAGTTTTGGGGTTTGTTGATACTGTTAAGGGTCTGTCGCTCAGAGGACGGGTGATTGTTGTTTGGTCGGTGAGGCAGAGCTCGTAGGACTCGCCGGCGGCAATGTACTCTTGGCAGATGCGGACTTTTTCTTCGTATTCCTTTGTACGGGGGGTCTGGATCGTGGTGCTCCAGGGCTGGGGTCGCTGTTTCTGTTGATAGCCCTCTTTGAGTGAGGACCTCGGGCGGGTGTTTTCCAGGGAAAGGAGCTTCTCTACTGTCCCGTCAAGCCAATTGTCTGTATCGTTATCACCACGGCCCTGGAGATGTTGGATATGGATAAGCCCGAGGGTGTGGTCGACGACAACGCTCTTGGTAACCCAGGTCAGGCACACATCCGGCCGATGGTGCTTACGAAACTCGTCTAGGGCTACATTAATGTCGGCCAGACCCTGCTCGTACGTGATGTAGCCCATAAAACCTCCCACAAATGGTGTACTCTCCTCAGCGGCGACCTCATCGCCATGGATGCTCCTCCGCTCATGGAAAGCGGCCAGAAACCCCCAAATCCCTCTAAACTTCGCAAGAGGGACCCTCTCTCTCCTGCCACCAGCGGTATTTCCCCTGAGAGCACCTGTCCTGACTATCGCGGAGTCATCGCCCGTATGATACTCAATCCTAACAGCTTCACCAAGGCAGGTAGCGATGATGCTAAACCTTCCACGCACGTCGGGTCTGGATATCGTGGGCGAAGCATTTGCCGAGTCGAGCACAATTCTCTCCAGGGCATCTGGCTCAACAACCTCGACGATATCCGTCACCTGCACCCCACGCGGCAAGGGGATTGTCCGGGTATGCAGTACCGGATCAATGCCGACAAGCTCCCACCATTGCGCCAAACCATTTACCCTCCTCCCATTGACCGAGGTCGGCAGCTGCGAAAGCAAACTCGGCCGTTTGGCTGCCCTAGCCAACCTCTCCTCTGACTCAACCCTGACCCTTCCCCGTTCCCGATTCCACTCCATCGCCCTCCGGAACCAGTTCACGATAACTTTATTCCCCTCCTTCTCCGTACAAACCGACTCGGGATGGTACTGCACGCCCCAAAATGGCTTCTTCCTGTGCCTGACAGCCATCAATATCCTCTCTTCTCCTGAATCATTCTTCTCATCCGCCCACGCAAGCGGGACCAACTCCGGACATCTCTTTAACGGCTTCCATCTCCAATCATCCCCCTCTTCCTCATGATCTTGCCCAACGTCCCCGCACAAACTATGATACAACGTTGCCCTAAACCCCCCTACACCGGTGAAAACGTCTCCCTTAGAATGAACGACCTCCCTGATCATGCCGTGCAGTCCGCCGTACCGTAGCCGACGCACCTCTCCGCCAAAGGCATGCACCAAGCTCTGGAACCCGAGACATACCCCCAGCACGGGGAGCAAATCTTTCTCGGGCAAGTGCCAGACAAGACGCATCAGCCCGACGTCGGAGGGGATGGTGGGGGAACCGGGGCCGGGACCGCAGACGAGGGCGTCGTAGTGGGATAGCAGACGGGCGAAGTTTTGCAGAACAGTATCATCGTTGGTGCTGGAAGGGGAAGGTATGAGAAGCGGCGAGTCGATGGGCAGGACAGAGACTTCGACATCGAGGAGGGTTGTGAGCAGGGAGGTGATATTGTTGGAGAAGGAGTCGAATGCGTCGAGGAAAAGGATTCGGGGACGATGGTTGCCCCCGTTTGTAGTTTCGCTTGTCATGGTTGTGTTTCACTTCCTCTGATTCCTGTTTGACTCTTCCCTCCGTTACGGTGAGTGAGTGGCTTATCGAGGAGACTCGAATGGAATCATACATAAAAATCTCGGCCGTGAAAAAGTAAAGTTCACTTCACTTCAATAGATTTGATTCACAACCTTCAAGAGGCCAAAGGGCATTCCCAAGCAAGGAAAATAAGAGGAAAAAATAACCAGGCCATCAGCACCCCAACCACATGTATGGAAGATGTAAGCAACCAACCGTGCGGTTCAATTGAGTGAGGGAGAGCGGTTTTCATCGGATCTGATAAGAAGCGAGGTCGGTGGCAATGACTTTCAGATGAAAATCTCAGTTTGTTTCGCATATCCAACCCTAACCCTGTTTATCCAATTCGGCTTCCCTTAACCCAAGGTGGGATCGAGCTCGATGATGAAGGCTTGGCTCGGGCCTGAAGCGACGTCAATATATGTGACATGTAGATATAGGAGGATCGATGCTACAAGACGTGAGATGATCTGATCAAGATCAAAATTGACGGTTGGTGGACTTAGGACTCACCTGGCGAACGATAGTAAACATTACCCCTTTTTTGTACAACCTCCACACTCCCAAGCGCATCCCGTCACAGCATTGCCCTCATCTTGGATGTCTTCAAGTGTTCTTAGATATTAATTATTCTAAACCGTGTACAGATATCCATCCCATCCGTCTACACATGCCCATCCCCATTCCATAGCCGGACTCCATCCATCTACAGGTAAGGAAGGTAGATATCCCTTACATATCCCTCACTACAAGCCGACAACCCCTCCTAGCATGCCACACCCGTCTCTCCCTCTTCCCAATCGCATTCCCCAACAAAATTGCCTGCGCCTCCATCTCCGTGCGCTGCTTAATCTCCTCGCGCTCCTTCTCCTCCTCCAGCTCCTTCGCATCAACCCAAAGTCTCGTCTCCTCCACGCTCGCGGCAATCTCAAACTCGCCTCTGCACAGCGCCGTAACGCCCATAACCACCTCCATTGTGCCGCCGTTACCAGGAAGGAGAGGCAAAGCCTGTTGCAGCGTGCCATTCCATGCGAACTTGGCGAGCTTGCGGGTGAAGTCGAGGGAGACGTTGAAGGGGCGGTGGGCTAGCGAGGGGGTCAGGCGTAGCAACGGGTAGATGGGGCGTGCAGAACGGTTGGTCAGGCGGACGCGGAGGGCAAGGAAGGAGTCGAGTGGTACGACGTAGCGTTTTTCGGGAGATGCGGTGTCGTCGCTGGCGGGGGTGATTGGGCTCAGCTCTGTCGAGTCAGAATTGAGCGATGGTGTGGCCAGGCTGATGTCGATAGCCAATTCGTCGATCTTGATCGCTTCGATCATGCGCGGTGTGAACCGAATTGCACGTAGTTCAATTTCGCCCTCGCGCGTAGCACAGTTACCCGGCGCCGTGGTCCTCCAGGTCCCTTTCAGCGTGTCAAGCACCTTTTCGCGATACCAGAACGCCTCACGGCTGGCACGTTCTGCTTCGGGAGAGATCTTGGTGCTCACGACAAACTGTCGCTGGCGGTTGGGATTGATCGCAGGGATAAAGGCGTGCGGGTCCTCGAGGTAGACACGCCGAATCGGCAACATAACGCGAGACGTGTGTCCGGGCAGTATGTGGTCCTCAACACGCACTCCGTCCGACGCCTCGAGCGCTACTGTCATCTGACTAGGCCATGAGTTGCGCAGGTCGAGGAGCAGCAGGCAGTGGGAGTCGGGGGCGAGGCACTTTTCTGCTGGCTCGCTGCTGACCCGGGACCACAGAGGATCGGGGATACGCCCCGTCAGCGGCAGCACGTCGACACGAGTGATTTCGACGCTAGCGTTCACCGTGACAGTCAGTTCCATGGATACCTGCCGCGTGTAGAACTTCTCTGCCACCTCATCGTGTGGCACACCAAGGTAAGCATAGTCGACCTGGATCAGGCCGTGCGTGAGGCCTGGCCGGCCGAGGATTTCAAAGTCGAACGTGGCTGTGCCGCCCGGAGGAATAAACCGCTTGTTATCGTTGCGGCTTCGCAGCCGAAACGCATGCTTCTTGGCCAGGATGAGCTCATATTCGTACAAATCTGTGGCTGTGGCATCGCGACTGTTGATGGCTGCTTGTAGCGGTTCTTGTGTGGAGTCCTTGAAGGAGAACAACAGAAAGTCTACGGGTGTCGTGGTCGACAGATTCTCGAGGGTAATTGAGAAACGTTGGCGCTCGCCTTCCAAGATCATCACTGACGACTGAGGCAGCGTAGACGACTTGATAACCACAAACGGCTGGGGCGCAACTACATTAACCTCGATATGGTCAGGCTTGAGCCGCTGGATGGCTGGCGTCACCACCTTCGCATTTGTGTCAAGCGCCCCCAGGCCAATGGACTTAACCTTGGTCACATCCTCAGGGGCCCAGGGATCAGTGAAGATAGGGAACCGCCGCTCACGACAACCGCGCGGCTTGATAATGGCACCAGTGATCTTCACCGTGCCCGCGGCCTTGGGCGTGCCTGTGATCCTCATCGTCTGCGTGCGGTAGGGACCAATGACGGTGCTTTCAATGGCAGATTCAAACTCGGCGCCCTCAGTGTCGAGCCGGATGCTCTCCAACTCAACTTCGATCTCGTACGGGTTCTGAAGCGTCAGCCGGAAGGTAGCCGGCTCGCCAGCGACGAGAGTACGGTCAACGGCTGCTGTGTCCGGACGCTTCAGGAAGGGATTGTAGATGAAGGGGTCCACGTCCTGAGAGGCGCGCGCGGTGGCCGTGATGCCGGGAAGTACCGTCTTTGCGTGTGCAACGGGAGCCCTCATCGGGGGTAGGGGCTCCAGGGAAATGCCGCGGAGCAGAAACTCGTCCCAGTACTCAGCCGTCAACGGTCCTGCTCCCAGCCTCCTGGACAGGTTGGTGGTCTTCATGATGTTAGTGAACAGGCGAACTTGTTCCTCTCGGCTAATGACAGGAAATGCATTTTCCCTCCTCGGGCCCGGGGCGATGCCACTCCCGGCGGTCCTCAACAGGTCGCTGGAGTACTTCAGCACGCCGGCAAAATCAGGCAATGCTTCCGAGAAGTTGATACAAGCCCGCAGGATCTCAAGCTTTGTGCCTGGAATGCCAAAGAACCTTGCAGCTGACTGCTTCCGTATCCTTGCAATAACAGCCTCATTCGAGTCGTCTGGTGGACGCGACGGATCATTGGGATTAGCTCCCTCAACAACGCCATACGTCTTGAGTAACATCCCCAAGAAGGCATCCATGCCATACTCAATATCCCCCTCAGCAAGTTCCAGAGCACCAGAGCCGCCAGCACCAGCACCAGCAGCCCCATTCACTCCCGCCAAGCCAGCGGCAGGATGAATACCAACATCGGCAGCGCCCCTTGTACGGGCCTCGACCAAGCCACCAACCAAAACGGAGACCAGCTCCTTCAGCACAAGCGCCTTTTTCCTCTGGAAGCCAATCTGGCCCAACACGGCCGCGATGGCGCTCAACAGGACGATGCGATCGGCAGTGGTGAGCATTTCGGACGGAGACGCAGGGAAACCGCGGAACAAGGTCGCCATGATCTGGGCGCGAGTCGGGGGCACGGTAAAGCGCGGGGATGTGGTCAGCTGCTTGGTAGGTAGCTTCCCGAGGACCATCATATCAAGCGATTCACGGCCGAGCGTCCCGCCAGCGATGTGAACGGCAGTCAATATCCTGCTGAAGCGGATGGCGGCTTCACAGAAGGGCAGAGGCGGCAGGTTCTCGGCGGAAATCCGCGAATACAGGCCCAGGATGCGGTCAACAAGCTCCAGGATAGAGACCTGGAGGTGGCGCAGTGCCCTTGGTTGGGATGGGTCACGAGCCTCGGCCTCCTGGACGGCCTGGGCAATGGCAGCGCCCTTCTCAGGCGGCGGGTGGAGGATCGCTGGCACCTGGAACTCGAGGTTGGCCCAGCCAAGGAGAAGCAAGCTAAGGAGAGTCAACTCGAGCGCCTTCCCATGCCACAGATGGTCATTCATGGACTTTGCGACGACAGCAGCCTCGCAAAGCTCCTTGAGCGCGTTGTTCCAGAGGCCAGCCTGCAGGTAAAGAGACCCGATGACGATTTGGATCCGACACCGGCCCTTGGTCCTCCACCTCTCATTGGAGCTCCCCGAGCCAAAACCTTGGACAGGCACGCGATCTTGGCCTTTCTCCGGGCTCATGGGTTCAGGAGGGCCTATGATGCTGTCGAATGTAGATGGAGGGGCGGGAAGAGGCTTGTTCTCCCCCACGGGAGTAGATGGCCGTATGGGAGTGGAGCTGCTCGAACCCGACGGCTGCCTGCTGGACGGGACTGGGGGCATGGACATGCGCATGTTGCCCCTGTCGGTAAAGCTACTTGAAGGGTTTGAGCGACTCGGGAGCGTAAACTGCGAGTTCCGACGGTTCAAGTAGTCATCGCCCGGTCCTCCGTTCTGGTATCGACCCGATGAATACCCCGGTGAGTCGATGAAAGCGAGTCCTTCATACGACTTGGCGAGGGTAGTCATCTCGGCGAGTATCAGGGAGGAGATATCACACATGACTGTCTTGATGGTTGCTCGCTTCGACTCCTCGGCCGGCGGAACAGTGACAATTCCCTCAGGAATTGGGACTGGATTCTCTTCTGCTTGCTTGTAGTCGAAGATCACCACCTGGTGAGCCAGAACCTTGGGGTAGCGGTCCCGTAAATCCTCGAGCTCTTGGTACAAAGTGCGGATGTTGGCCTCCTCGACGGAACGACCGCCCGAGTGTCTCTTGCTGAACACAACATTGGGTAGCTCGACGCCGTCGGCGATGGCAATGACGGCAAGAGGCTCGCGCCACAGATCGAAGGGAGACAGGGCAAGGTGCGAAGGGGTCGGATGGTGGGTGATGAGGTCGAAGAACATGAAGCCGTCGGGGAAGACCAGCGGCGAGAACATGTCTGGACGAGAGAGGGAACGTCAGCATGAGAATCGCAGGGCAGCACGAGGTAATAGTCTCGTCGTACTTCTGTGTGGGCGTGCATCCGGAGTGACATCGCGCAGGGCGACAACATTTTCGGTGTTCAGGTGGTCGACGAAGGAAGTAAAGCGGTCGTGCCTGATGTGGCCTATGGGCAGCACCAGGGCCTTGACCCTCGCTGGGGCGAGGGGCAGGAGGGGGTCCAGCGTCATTGTCGGGATGACATGCCAGATGAGGGACGGTGATGTTTGGGAAGTTGAGCAAGTCAGAGCAGAGCGTCGAGTCACGTTTTGAGGGCTTTCAGGGGAAGCCGATTCAAACTGGCGGGGAGCAAGTTATCCCCAGCTCCGGAAGCGCAGTGCGATGTGATCTAAGCTGGTAGCTCTAGATTTTGTCCCCGTCGGGAATCCAGCTCTGTTTGAAAATAGACAAATTAAAAATAAAAAGTTACAGAGAAACAGCGATGTTTCTCCACAAAGCGGTGATCGGTGATGCGCAAGGGAGAAAACCGAGACAAACCGACGACGAGGGTCGCGATGTCCAACGACCCCCAGTCGCAGGCGAAAACGGTCTTGGAGCTGTAAGCTTGGCTCCCGGCTGTGGATGGCTGTGGATCCTCACCTGTAACCAGGGTACTGTGGGGAAGGGAACTGGTTCTTTGGATACCTACCTTTGTAGATACGGATTACTACTATTGGTGGGCTATGGTGGGGTTATGGGCCTGACAGGGGGATTGGTGGGGCTGATCTGTACATATTGAACTCTTATGATTTCAACTCTTGTAGTCGCTATCTAACTACATCTAGAGCAAGGAGCCGAACATCCTTTGCTCCTTTTAAGAGCCTCTTCTATCTAGACTGTCGCATTTCACTTTCCACTATTTGTGACTGTAAATTACGCCAGGATCAAGTTCTGCCGGAACATTTCTAACAGGGCGCGATACGATGCCAGCGGCTGATAGTCTTCTGGTAGTAGACATTTTTCCATCTTCAGTCCCATGATGAACCTCTCCCGTCCACAAAATCGATTACTCTGGAATGTCAGACCTGAGGCTTATGATGGCTGAGAGGCATTGACTGTCAATAACACCAAGAAATCAGCCATTAACCCCAGAGCAAAAGCGATATCCGATGCAAACTCACATTTCAGCAGATGGCCCTCGAGCAGCGCCAGCACTGTAGACGTCGAAGATCGACCTGGAGTCGAATCGGACTTTGCGAGGGCTGCAATTCGAATTTGGTGTTACCATCTGAGGTAGTAGGACAGCCATGCAGCCTTTGTGTTGTTGTTGATGATATGGAGAAGCTCTTCCTGGATTAGACTTTCATCCTGCGTCTTAAACCGATGGTCCTCTCTTGCGCCATATGTCATGGACATATCTGACTGGTAACGAGACAGGCGCAGCAAGAAGATATATGACAGACGGGTAGCCTGGCCGACCTGACCATACGATCAGGCCGGTTTCTACTTAGGGAGTTCGGATGGAGTAGAGTGCAGGCCTTCCCAAAACGAACCTGCGCTCGGCCAAAATATCCATCCGGGTGGTTATCACTTCACCTGTTGCCGTCGGAGGAGCAGCCGCAGCCGCTCAACCACCGCGGTGGCGGCGGACAAAGCGCACCATACGCTCAAGCTCCATCGGTCAGAAGAGGTGGCCGGGACCAAAAAGAAACGTGGCTGCGATGACAAGCCAACACATCCATAGCGAAGGCTGCCTGCTCAACTGTCTTCCGTAAAAGTCAATGTGGACACACGAGAGTTCGCCGGAAGGAAATATACGCCTTGCCAGTTCTGCAGCTCGCCGACTGCAAGCTGGAGGTTCATGGCCACACTGTCGGAGTCTTCGGCAAGTCTGCGCCGGAACTCCTAGGTGTGTCCCTCGTAAAGGTCTCTCATACGAGGCCGGCCACGGAAAATCCGAGGGGGTCGAAATATTGACATCTTGGGTGTGTATTGAATCCCTAGATGTATACCCCAAGATGTATATTGAATTTCCTTTCTTTGAGAAGATTGGGAAAGAAGGAAAAAGTTCGAGCTGAAAAGAAAGCCTGTCTATTTATATGTCTTGCCCCCTCCTGGGGCTGCCTAAGCGCTCTCAGTCAAATGATGGGCATATAAAGATCTAGTTAATCGTGATGGCGAGATGGCAAAATCGTATCTGAGCATTGGACGGTTACACTGTTCGAAATGTCATAATGCGACTCAGATGAAGGTTATGCAGCCCATTCTCACATTCTTAGAGATGACGTCCTATCACTCTACGTCGGTTGAGATTCAGCGGAACAAAACTGACTATCTAGCGTCCTTGGAAAGTTGTGCATCATGTGACATGTGCCTGGGCTGAAAGAGCCAACATGCAAAGCTGCTGGTGTTGATGGCGATGTGCTTGCATGCAGGAATCGGGTTGTAATCTTGATACATGCATATCAGCATATATTTCATTGGCCGTTTTTGATCTCGCAGTTTGCAGTATGAATGAGAGTATTCACATTCGGTCCAAAGTTCCCATTTCCCATCAAACATTTGTGATGAGAGTGTTATTCTCATCCGATTTTATCGCCAACAAACCACTACTTAGGTTATCATTCAATACTTTTCTATACCTTAAGGTTGCTTATCTCCCAACCGCTCAAACTTCCGACAATCATCAACCGACAGCCGCCAAGCAGCCGTCGTCACTACCACACTCACCAACCCGCTGACCACTAAACTCATACCAATCCTCCAACCATCCCAACTCATCTTCAGCAAACCGAGATCTGCTCCATCATCACCATGACAACAACAAGCCAACACCAGCACCCCACCAACCGCTCCCCGGAAGCGATGGACATCGATCTTCCCCCCTCAACCTTCGACAAAACGAAATTTATCAAAACATCCAAAACTCGTGTCCTCACCACAGCAACTCTGTCCCATCCCCCCTTCTCATACGCCCACCTCGCTGTCACACAGCTCCCTAATGATGAAAAACAACAACAGCCCGAGTTAGAATTAGACGCCCTGCAAGTGAAATCATATCTGACCTCCGCGTTACGGCAATTCCTTGGTGCCACGGGCGCCGCTATCCCCGTTGACATCTTGCTTGTGAAAGGGCAGGATGCGTGGGTGCGTGTGCCGCGCGAGGATTTGGCGGCTTTTGCAGCGGCGGTGACTGCGTTTCCGGGGACGAGTAGCGATTCTGGGGGTACATTGTTATTGCAGATTAAGGCGTGTGGTGACTGGTTGGGTGCGTTGATTGCCAGGGCGAGCGAGGGGGATGTTTGGACGAGATGAGGTTGATGATTTTTATTCTTTTTACAGGGATATATCTGCTCTCGGGAGAGAAAGAAAGAAAGGGAGAAAGAGAGAGAGTGAGTGAGAGTGAGAGAGAGAGAGTGAGAGAGAGAGAGTGAGTGAGAGAGAGAGAGAGTGAGAGAGAGAGAGAGAGAGAGAGAGAGAGAGAGAGAGAGAGAGAGAGAGAGAGAGAGAGAGAGAGAGTCGTCGTATAGAGAAGACCCAGAGACGTGTGATATTCAAAAAAAAAGTGGTCTCCGGGGCCAGAACTTAGAGCCCAGGAGAAATCTTGCAGCATAGGTAGCTAGTGGCCAACTCTCGATCGCCAGTCCGACACGGGAGGAAATGTCGTTGGCAGACACAAGATGTCTTCGATGCGTAGCCGCAATTAGGGTTGCCCTGACTACGCGCGCAGCAGCGGGTATCCTCTACTACTACTACTCTAATAGGTAGCCGTAAAATGCGCACCATGAACCCCCCTCCCCTTTCCCCCGGTTTCCCTCCCCAACGCAAATGTCCATGTCGACCTTCCCCTGCCTGCCCCTCGCTCCCATGACGGAACAACACTAAACCCATGCTGGATTGATATGCTAGTACCACGACCAACGCCTTGAATGCCTTTTTTTTTCATGACACATATCTCATAACCGTCTGATGGATCGTACCGACTTCGTCCTTTCCGTTCCGTTCCGTATATCCAACAGCCAGATTACATCAAGGCAGAAAATAGAGCGTTGTGGGCATAGGCCTGCATGTGTTAGTCAGACGCTCTTGCTCTCCACTCACAAGAATGCTAGATGGCTAGGCTGGCTTACCATCGGCTTGATATCTGGGTGAGGAACGGCCTCGAACTGCGCGAACCGCAGCTTGTAGTCAGAACCGATGTTGATGTACGCACCCTTGTTCTCCGTCATGTCGCAATACTTGGGAGCCGAGAAGACTACACAACACAGTCAGTATGACACTCATCACGATTTGTAAAGCGCAAGACAACGTACCAGTAATACACTTTCCATCATGCTCTTCCTCGTAACCCTCCATGCGCACCTCGTGACTGCGGATGATAGCCTCGAGGCCATTGCGCTCGCAGAAGCGCTTGGTCACGTCAGGGCCGAACTGCATGCCGACCCCGCGCTTGCTGGGACCGCGGCCAGGCTCGGGCTGCGGGTCTGTCCACAACATCTCCATCATCAATCCGGACTGGCCAGGCTGGCGCTGCTTGTGCCGGTCGAGCTTGCGGATGTCGTCGAGCGTGACGTTGTCGTCCGAGAAGAGACCGCCATGTAGCACGAGGTACTTCTTGCCGATCAGGTGAGCCAGCGGCAGGGCCGAGAAGCTCTCCGAGAAAAGCTTGAAGACGCTAGGGAAGAGTTTAAGTTACGAACATGCTATCACGGTCAGAGGTACACATACCGCTCGTTGTACTTCGCCTTGCACTCGCCCTCGAAGCCATAAATCTTGTTCATGTCATCGGTCTCGTGGTTGCCACGGTTGATAAAGAAGCAGTTCGGCCGCAGCCACTTGTTGGCATAGAGCACGAGGGCAATCTCGGTCGACCACGAACCGCGGTCAACGAAGTCGCCGTTGAAGAGATACCAGTGCTTGTCGCTCGGCTTTCCGTTTAACCTGAAGAGCTCCATTAGGTCGAAGTACTGGCCTGGGTAATCGTCAGTCTGAGAGATAACCAACTCGATTGGGGTTGAGACGGACCGTGTGTATCACCGCAGACGGTAAGCTCGACGCCCTCAGGAACATCGACCTCAACCAGGGTAGGCTCGTCATAGACAATCTTCTTGACGGCCAGGATAATCTGGTAAACGTATTTCTTGTGTATGGTCTTGCCCTTCTTGAAGCGCTCCATCATGTCGTCAATGAACTCCTGCGTCATCTGGCCTTCTAACCGGACGCCATCATACGAGTCATCGACGTGGATCGAATCGACATCGAGGCCCTCGGCGGCCGACGGCTCATCGCCGATTTCAATAGCGGCGAAGAAAGCTAGTTGGCGCACAATCTTCTCGCACTCAGCGAGCTTCTGCTTGGCATCGCGGTTGTTAGGGTCGAGCTTGACGCACTGCCGGAAGTCCTTGACGGCATCTTTGGGCCTCAGGATGGCGGCATAGGCTGTCGCGCGGCGATAGTAAGCCTAGAAGAGTGTTGCGATGGGCTCGTCAGCCTCGGCGAGGGGTAAGTCAAGATGACACAAACGGCGGGATTGCGCACCTTGACGAAATCTGGCTTCAGCTCGATCGCTTTCGTGGCATCGCGGATCGCATAGCCGTAGGCTTCCGTCTTCAAATGGGCCTGTACCAGATTCAACCCGGATCAGCGACGCGACCTTACGCGCAGCCATGGAAGGGCATTGTGATGAAGGTTTGGCGGGGTAATGCATGGCGGGGCATCGCGCCAATGTGACGGGACATGGAACAGGGCAAACCAGAGTACGGACCTGCGCTCGGTTGGCCCAGAAAGTCGGCTCCTTGTCATTAAGCTCGATGGCTTTAGTGTAGAAGTCAATGGCAGTCTGCCAGTCGTGAACTGCAAAGGCCTTGTTGCCCTGGTTCTTGAACTGGATCGCCTGCTCCTCGGGCGTCGCCATCTTTGTTCGTTGTTAAGGTGGGCAAGGAGGTGTGTTTGGTGTCGCGGCCGCTACCTTGGGCGGACAAAAAGGGTAAACATGCGCAAAGCGAGAGGAGATATATAGGAGAGAGAATAAGACGCAACAGGGCCACGGCAGTCTCGGACAAAAAGCCGATCACAGGTGGCACGACGGGGAGAGGGGGTCCCGATGGTGGCAAGCTCTCGTAGATGAAACCTCCAAACAGCGAAGTAAACTGAGAGGAGGGTTTCGATTCTTTTCTGCCTTATCACAGCAATCGGGGGGACCCAAACTCGCTGGCGGAGAGGCCGTCATCCTGGATACAGCGATGATGCCCCGCATGCTTGTAAGCGGGAGACCCCTTATCGCGCCTTATCGACCCGGTCCGGAAAGGGCTCCATGGAGGAGTCTGCGAGGTGGTTGTTTTTCTTTTTCTTTTTCTTTTTCTTTTCTATTTTTTTTTTGAAACTTCGGGCAGCCACAGCGCCACAAAACAAGACAGAAGCTAAAAGAGAGATATTTGCCGGGCGATACATTTTGCTTGTCTATCCCAGCTGTCTTGATGCAGAGATGGGATTGTTGACGCTGCCAGCCTCAGACAGCACCCAGCGAAGCATGCCATCGACGGGCACGCGACCCTTTAAATGTATTATGTCGTCACTTGGTTCCTGGTCGGCGCTGGGTCACAACCCGAACCCTTGGGTCAGTGGCCACAGGCCCAGCGAGCCCACGGCGCTGGACGGGCCTGGGAACGGGGGACACGGTGCGGACGGAGTGGGATCCCACGTGGTGCGGCTCTCGCCGAATGGCTTGGCAGCCAGCAAAGATTCAGCTGTCAGGTCATCAACCAGCACTCTGACTCTCTGAGTGAGTGACCGGGTGTGGTGTTGATACATATAGCGTAGTGTTTTTAGTAGTACCTTTGGTATCGCAGAAATCTTGTGGAATCCCAGTATCCCTTCAAAAAGGCGCCGGTTCTACGTGCAACTCCTGCAAATGCATGGCTGTGCAAAATACGTTCTTCCAACCCAAGAACAACGGAAGACACGTCGATCATCATGTACCTCGTGGACCCCTTCGCCTTCCTCCTCCTTCTTCTTCTTCCTCCTCCTGCCCGTCTCCGTCGCTAGAATCCATGAATCCCTCCTCAAGGCTGCTCAGGAGTGCAAACGTTAGCGTACACGCTTCGAATAGGAAGGCTGATATTATAATACTGACTCTCTGCTTAGCCTCCTCGTACTGTCGACACCGCTGCGCCCTCCATGCTGGTTTCTCATTCTTCTTGCTGTCTCCTCGTCAACCGCACCGAGCTCCTCGCCAGCCTCCGAGTCAAATGACCCGCGATCCGCAACGACCACGCGGTCGGCGTTTCGCCTCGCCCTCCATATTGACCAGGCCATTAGTCGGCTGAAGGCACCATGTAGGCGGCCGCGCAGGGACAGGGTCTGATTCTGGAGGGTGTCGAGCGGGAGGTACTGGGCATAGCGGTTGCGGTAGCGCGTCCAGCAAGGGACGATGACATAGGTCAGGATGAGAAAGATGATGAGCGAAATGAGCGCGGGGGCGAAGAGCGCCTGAGTCGTCAGTGGGCCTGCCTCTGTGTTGTTGTGCAAGAACGTTGCATACCTTGATGGTCGATAGTGTTGTGCCCATGTTAGCGGCTTATGTCGAGGCTGACTTGGGGTAGAATCCCGCTGTCAGCCAGAACTAGTGACGATTGGGACGAGGAACTGAACTCAAGGGGAAGTTTTCCTCAGATGCTGTTATCCGCAGACATGGGATTCCGCTAATCCGCTCGTTGAAAGGCCGTCAGCAAGTCGCCATGTAGACACCCTAGTCGCAGTCCGCACTCCGCAGTGCCTTTAAAGAAAGTCTCAAGCTGGCCACGGTCGCAGTGAAAATGTTTGCGGCTCAACGACTTCGACAAATCTCGATACGGGTTCGTTGGTGTCGGGTATCGATGCTTCGGCAGCGGAGAGGCTCTGCCCCCAATCTCCAAGGTTCTCGTGTTTGCCTGTGATGGAAGATGACGATGGTGGTCTTGGCATTTGGGGCCGTCTTGGCAACGAGGGCGGACAGGGGACAGGGGAATGCACAGGCTTCGAGAACGGCGATTTCCGTTTGGATCTGGCCTTGACTTGATTCGAGGACCCTAAGATTTTGACAGGATGTTGTTTTTAGCATTCTTCGATATTTTCCAATTCTTCTATTCAGTTAAAGTGGATAATCTAAACGAAGGGCGATATCAATGGCGGTTTCAGCGGGTTGGCTGGTCTATTTCTCCCCCTTACCCCCCCCCCTCCCCACCCTCCTTCCCCAAATTCAGCATTGCTCCTTTCATAGGAGTGTCCACGGTTGTTCTGGCAAACAGCCCACTAGCTTACTATGTAGTAGCTGTGTCGTCCTGTAGCCACTTTTCCCAGGTTCTCATGTGAAGCTCAATATGGAATCTAATCCCGGCTGCGAGGTTGTGTTGCAATTGGGCAGATCTGAATGCCAATCACTAGTGCAGCATTGCCAACAGCATTATCGTGTGATTACCGATTCATATCATGAATCACAACTGCCAGTATCAACAACAACATCTGGCGCAGCGGAAATTAGCCCTGTGTGCTCCGCGGGGTTAACCTACGCGTTAAAGTTCTCCCCACTGATACCATTGCTACATCGCCCTTTGTCAAACCATTGTATTTGGGGAGGGGTAATTTTTGATGTCATTGTTTGGTCTTGAGACAGATCAGAGGCATAATAAAAAAACAACCGCTGGAAAGTCACATCATGGATGACCATCGACCTGGATTGGACAGTGGAAGCAGACTGTGAACTGCTGGAGAAGCGCAGAAGTGTTGACAACTTGCACCAACCACAGCTATGAAAAAAAAAAAAAAAACGGCTTGCATTCATGAGATGCACGGACCGCAAGGTGTTTTAATGGACTCCAGCTGCAAACCCCTGCCCGCCCTCACTGGGCAGTCCGGCTGCAAGCCTGGTTACGCTCGTGTGGGGACAGTGCGACCATCCAGGGGGGCTTGTTGCACGCTAGGCCCATTTCAGCACCGTAGACGCGGGATCCTCTGTCGTTTTTGTTGGCCGGCCCCGTTTCTTCCTTCTGCTGCTTTACTACGAACCCTCTGCTCCCCCTTCTGCTTATCGATTCGTAGCGGCCCTGGCAGAACCCGGAAGCTGCCCTGTAGATTGCTGCTTTCTTGCTGCAGCGCAAGTGCGATTGCGGCCACTGCCCAGAACACCACAGCACCACAGCACCACAGCATCATCACCCACACACGAGTCCCCCGATCAAGCAGGTCTCCTGGCACAGGCTTGAATGAGTGAATGACCTGACAGCCCGAGGTGAATGGATGGGCGCCCTCGCACAACCCGAAGGCACAAGGCACAAGGAGTGTCCCAGCACACAATCACGCATGCAGTCACGCACACCACCCGGACCTGGATCCTGGAAGCTTCTCTGAATCTTACCGAGGAGAAGAAATAAATCACGGATCACGGATCCCGGATCACAGATCACACTGGTCAGTTAATTAACGATTAACAATTGATGCAGACGCGACCCTCATCAGCCTCTTGTGGATTTTCCAAGCGTCCAACATCCAGCATCCAGTGTCTATCATCCATCCATCATCTAGGTACCTACACACAGTACATACGCAGCTGCATTCGCGGATAGTTTTGGGTTTTCTGCGGGGCTCCCTGCCGGCCTGATCCTTCTGATCTGATTGCTTTGCTTCTGCTTCTCGATCTTCCTGATCGCCTCCAGCTGAGACTCACTTACCTGAAGTACCATACCTTCTTCACCTTCGGTGTACACCACTGTTTCTACACGCCCCTACCCTACCCTACCCTACCCCCTACGAACTACCCTTAGGCTACCACCTGACTTCACACTACGGACGTATCAGGTACCCTACAGTGCTGCTGCCGCACCTCCAGCTCTGTTCCCTTAAGTAGTGATTCACGGCTGCACAACGACAACCACAACCACAACAATCCTTTTTGACTCTGCAGCCTGGACTCAGCTTGGGCCACGCTGCTGTATGTGCGCCTAGTTCCCCTGCTAGGGCTGTCCAGTCCTGAGCAGTCCCCGGTGTTCCCGCGGCGACAGTTTGCGGCGACCTCCTACAGACAAAGAAATAAGAGCCAGGGGACGAAAGAAAGACCTGGAGCCCTGAAAAACTGTCAACTGACCGTCGAGCGTGACGACCAGGTCAATCAATCAAGACCTCGCCAGTCCAAGATTCAAAACGGCCGCTAGCTCGAGCAAACTTTGGGTTCCTTCGACAGAGACCAAGACCCGCAGCGATTTGATCGAATCGATCTATCGAAGCGACCTATCGAATCGAATTGATCTGGGCCCAGAGAATTACACTACCCTGACCCTAGCCCGCTGCGCAACGCTACCACGAACACACCCACCACACACACACACACACACGCACGGGTGACGGAGCACCGACAAGAGGTTTACGGCTACGGTCGACCCTCCGTCCGTCAACCTACCTACCTACGTATACAGTAACCCAAACGTCAGTCAAGTGTCAACCCACGGTAGCAGTGGCCTTCTCATACCATAACATAGGTAGTGTCATACATACTGTATGTATGTTTCGTCGGGCTGTTCCCGAAGCCGAGCAAGGGCTATCGACCCTCAGTCTTCCTGTCCTTATGCTAAACATTACCCTCGATTATGCGCAGGCCCGTTCCCGCTCCCGCTCCCACTGCCGACACCCCCCCCCCTCCTCTCTTTCTCTCTTCCTACCTCCTCCTCCCCTGACATTCTGCGACAGCGACCTCTGTGATCTCTACCATCTCGACCATCTCTGCGACGACTCCTCGCACACGTCACTCTGCTCCCAGAACACCCAAACACGATGCGATGCGCCCTCGGCCTGAGACAGCGAGTCCAGTAGCCGCAACACCCATCCCACGATCCCACGCTCCCCACGTTCCTCCGAGTCGGCTCACAATCACATCGCCCGCATCGCAGTATCCACGCATTGATTGACAGCTGCCCTCCCCAGCTTTGCTGGCAATCCTACTCTGCCGTCCTGACAAGAAACGAAACACCTCTTGCAGGCAGCTTGCTGCCCGCTGCCCGCTGCCACCACAATGTCTTCCTACGACAAGTCCCGCGGCTCGGCCGGCGGGAAGACCTCCTTCTTCCACAGAAACAAACATAAGGCCGACAAGCGACATACCGACGACAGCTCTATCCACTCGCGCACGTCGCGCCACCACCGCGACTCCTCCGTTGTCTCCATCGACCGTCCTAGCTCTGCCGAGTCAGGAGTCAATCAGATGGCCGGTGTTATTAGCACCATCCCCTTCGACGGCTTCGGCCCGGACGGCCGCTCTCCTGTCTCGGTCGACTACCTACCCAGCAGCGACCAGGTTCCCGTTCGGACAAGAGAGCCCCTGCCACACCATCTTAACAATGCGACGAGCGACTTCCATCAATACCCGAGCATCGACCCCTCGACGATTCGCCCGACGAGCCCTTATTCCTCGGGGCAGCGGCCGCCCACTCAACACAGCCATGCCCCTCCTAATCAAAACTATGTACCCCCGCATCAGCAGAATATCACAATGGCGACGACGGGACGTCAAAGGGAACCCGTCTACCAGCAATGGGGCCCCGCCAGGGACAGCAATATCTCGATATCTTCCCGGTACAACTCGTATGTGGCATCCACAGGGCGTAGCTCGGCCGACAACACGAGCATGACGTCAGGTAAAGCAGGACCCTACTACGAACAATACGCGGCCTATCGCTTATCCAGGACAGCTCTGCCCAGCGCCTCATCACAATCCTCTTACCTCTCGCCTCACTCTCCTAGGGAGCAGAACCGGTTGACCAAGTTCCCCTCGGCGTATTCCTACGGCGATAGCTTCCACTTCCCCAAGCCCGACGACCCCCGAGTGATCGAGGAAATGTTCCTGGAGCTGATGCAGAAGCGCGGATGGCACAATCTCCCGGACCAAGCCAAGCGCCAGATGATGGCTTACCCCTCCGACAAGAAATGGACCCTCATCTACCAGGACCACTTAACCGAATGGCAGGGCGAGCAACGACGCCGACAGACGGCAAAATCTGGTCAGTACAACCCCTACGACCTTGCCCATCTCCCCGAGGAAGAAGGAAGTCCAGAATGGTACGTGCGCAAGGTGATGGAGAACGCGCTGGACAGCAAAGGGCTGGGCAGTCTCGAAGTCAACTTGCGTACACAGCAAATAGGCTGGGTCAGGAGATTCCTTGACTGTCAGGGGCAGGTGGCCCTGACCAGCATACTACTCAAGCTCAACCGCAGGACCGGATCCGGGCCGACCCCGGGCTCGACACAAAAAGGAACAAGGGCGATAGCGATCTCGATCGGGAGTACGATATCGTCAAGTGCCTGAAGGCATTGATGAACAACAAGTTCGGCGCCGACGATGCTCTGGCTCACCAGCAGGTCCTCGTGGCCTTGGCCACGTCGCTGATCTCGCCCCGGATTACCACACGCAAGCTCGTCAGCGAAGTCTTGACATTCCTCTGCCACTGGGGCGAGGGCAAGGGCCATCTTAAGGTGATCGAGGCCATGGACGTTGTCAAGAATCAGCTGGGCGAGAATGGCCGGTTCGACGCCTGGATGCGTCTTGTCGAGGTCACCATCGATGGCCGCGGCAAGATGGGCAGCCTGGTCGGCGCCAGCGAGGAAGTTCGCAGCGGAGGCATCGGCATGGAGAACTTGCTGATGGAATACGCCGTCGCGACGCTCATCCTCGTCAACATGCTGATCGACGCGGCCGAGAAGGACCTCCAGATGCGCATCCATATCCGCGCGCAGTTCACTGCGTGCGGCATCCACCGCATCATGAAGAAGATGGAGGCCTTCCAGTATGAGCTGATCGACAAGCAGATCGAGAGGTTCAAGACCAACGAGGCCATTGACTATGAGGATATGCTGGAGCGCGAGAACAGCAGTATCAAGGATGGCGTAGACGGCGAAACCAGGGACCTCAACGATCCCGTCCAGATCGTGGAGGCCATCATGCAGCGTCTCAAGGGCACCAAGACGCAAGATTACTTCGTCTCGGCGCTGCAACACCTGCTCTTGATCCGAGACAATGATGCCGAGGAGCGTCTCCGTATGTTCCAGCTGGTCGACTCCATGCTGAGTTACGTCGCCATGGATCGCCGGCTGCCCAATATGGACCTCAAGCAGAGTCTCAATTTCACTGTGCAGACCCTGCTTGACAAGCTACACACGGACTCGGAGGCTCGCCAGGCCATTGAGGAGGCAGCTACGCAGAAACGTATCGCTGAAGCTGCCCTGGCCGAGCGCGATGAGCTCAGGGAGAAGCTTGAGATGGGCGCCGACGGGCTCATTGCCAAGCTCCAGAAGCAGATTGATGAACAGGCCAGGTTCATCGAGACGCAGAGGCGGCAGAACGATGCCCTCAAGGCAGAGATTGCGAGCTTGCACACGCTCCGGGCAAAGGAGGCCCAGCGCTACGAGCTCGAGACTCGCGAGCTGTACCTTATGCTCCGCGATGCTCAAGACATTGCCGCTTCGCAGGCCGCCAAGGGCAAGATCAGCAGCGAAACCGCTCACCAGCAGGGCATTCTGGATCGCGAGAAGCTTATGGAACGTCTCCAGATGCAGATCGAGCGCCAAAAGACCATGTACAAGCTGGAAGGAAAGGTCTGGGGCGAGCACATCGGGCTCCCGGACCGCCTGCGCGCCCTGCGCGAGGAGATGGACGGCTACGGAGGCCCGGAGCCGACGCGCGAGGGCCTCCCCCGCGATCTCACCAACAGCATGCTCGGCAGCGTCAAGCGGTCGGCCCACGGCATCCCAAGGAAACCGATACGGCCGCGGCCCGCGGAGCCGGAGGAGGACGTTGTCATGGAAGAGGGCGGCGACGAGTCGCCCAACGAGGACGTCGGCGAGCTTGTTTACGAGAAGCCGCGCTTGGTCCAGATCAAGCGGCCGCCCCTTGTCGATCCCAAGCAGCAGGCAGCTGGCATGCTCAGCGAGCTGCAGGACAAGGTCAAGAAGTACGATGCCAGCGACTCGGAAGAGGGCGATGGCGTTACCACGGGTCCTTCCCATCCGAGCATGGACTCGCAGACGCCGGCCACGCCAAGCGACAACGAGCCGCCCAAGATCGAGGTCACAGACACATCCGGCCAAACAGACGGAGCTGTGGCTTCAACGGAACCCTCTACGCTGCCAAAGCCTGTCGAGCCGCCAGCACCAGTATCCGGAGGGCCGCCACCGCCGCCCCCTCCTCCCCTACCGGCCCATATCCCTGGCGCCCCTCCCCGGCCCCAGGGGCATCTGCCTCCCCTTCCCCACGGCGCCGCCACCACCACCACCACCTCCTCCTCCTCCTCCTCCTCCTCCGGGAAGGCTTCCAGGAGCCCCTCCCCCCATTCCAGGAGCAGGTGGCCCTCCGCCCCCTCCTCCGCCACCACTGCCTGGAAAGATCCCCGGCGCCCCTCCCCCGGCAGCCGGAGCACCACCACCGCCTCCTCCCCCGCCTCCATTGCCCGGGGCCAACGGTATTCCCCCGCCGCCGCCGCCTCCTGCTCCCCCGTTACCCATTCCGGGCTCCATGTCAGGCCACTTCCTCTCCCGGCAGGCCGACATTGCCGTCTCGTCGCCATCTCTTGGCTTGTCAATTGTCCGGCCTAAGAAGAAGCTCAAGGCTCTCCACTGGGAGAAGGTCGACGATGCCCTTACCACACACTGGGCCGCTCATGCCCCGTCGGCCGAAGCAAGAGAAGAGAAGTATCTCGAGCTGCGCAGGAAGGGCATCCTCGACGAGGTCGAGAAGCTCTTCATGGCCAAAGAGACCAAGGCGATCGGCCAGGGCGCCGGCAAGAAGAACGACAAGAAGCAAATCATCTCAAACGATCTGCGTAAGGCCTACGCCATTGCGCTTGCCAAGTTCTCGCAATACTCGGTCGAGAAGGTGGTGCAGATGATCATCCACTGCGACACCGAAGTGCTGGACAACCCGGTCGTGCTGGAGTTCCTGCAGAAGGAGGATCTCTGCACGATTCCGGACAATGTCTCCAAGAGCATGGCGCCTTACAGCAAAGACTGGACCGGCCCCGACGCCGACAAGGTCGAGCGCGAGCAAGACCCGAACGAGCTTACAAGAGAAGACCAGATCTTCCTGTACACCGCCTTCGAGCTGCACCACTACTGGAGAGCCAGGATGCGGGCGCTGGCGCTTACTCGCAGCTTTGAATCCGATTACGACGAGATGACGGAGAAGATGCGGCAGATCGTCAGCGTGTCGGAGTCGCTGCGCGATTCGGTCTCGCTGATGAACGTTCTCGGCCTTATTTTGGACATCGGCAACTACATGAACGATCCGAACAAGCAAGCCCGCGGTTTCAAGCTCTCATCGCTCGCCCGGCTGGGTATGGTCAAGGATGACAAGAACCAGTCCTCGTTGGCCGACCTCGTCGAGCGTATCGTGCGCAATCAGTACCCGGAGTGGGAGGGCTTCACTGAGGATATTGCCGGCGTGACGACTGCCCAAAAGATCAACGTCGACCAGCTCGAAGCCGATGCCAGGAAGTACATCGAGAACATCCGCAACGTGCAAATGTCGCTCGACTCGGGTAACCTGTCGGACCCCAAGAAGTTCCATCCGCAGGACCGCGTGCTGCAAGTTGTGGCTCGCTGCATGAAGGAGGCCCGCCGCAAGGCCGAGCAGATGCAGGTGTATCTCGAGGAGATGCTACGCACGTACAAGGACATCATGGTCTTCTACGGCGAAGATCCGACCGACGAGAACGCGCGCCGCGAGTTCTTTGCCAAGCTGGCTCAATTTATTGCCGAGTGGAAGAAGTCACGGCAAAAGAACATGGAATGGGAAGAGCAACGGCGCAAGAACGAGGCTGCTCTCAAGCGCAAGAACGCCCTGCTGGCCGCCCAGGCCCAGGAGGCCGGCTCGACCAGCTCGACTAACACCGGCGCCATGGACAGCCTACTCGAAAAGCTACGAGCCGCAGCTCCCCAGGCCCGCGATCAGCGCGACCGCCGCCGTCGTGCTCGCCTCAAGGACCGTCACCAGCAGCGCGTTGCTTCAGGCCAGAAGATGCCCGAACTAGCTATCCTGTCGGGCATGAACGCCGACGGCACACCCAACGGCTCCGGGGCATCCCAAAACCCCGATGCCTCGTCCGACCAGCTGGCCGACCAAAACGGCGCTACGTCGGCCGATCCCAACACCAGCAGTAGCAACCTCCTCAGCGTGCCCAACGCTGGGAACCCATCCCCCGCCGGTGATCTTGGCGCCAATGCTGACGGCACGGCTACGAATACGATTACGGCAAATGGTATTACGATTACCACGACTCCAGCAACAACCGCAGAAGACGACGTCGCTCAGCGCGCGGCGCTGTTGCTGCAGGGTATGCGGAACGACAGTGCCGGTGCCAACGGCGAAAGTGCCGGTTTGAGTGGGGCGGATGGGGATCTGAGCAGTAGTAAGCGTGATTTCTCTGTCAGGAGATCGAGAAGACAGACTGCAGACGAAGAGAGGCGGATGAGGAGACGAAGGAGAGAGCTTGCGCAGAGTACAGCTAGTAATTCAGCGGCCAGGAGCACCGATAGTGTTATTAGTGCTGCTGCCGCGGGCAGTGAAGTTGGAGAGGGGCAAGGCGAGGAGAAGGTTGCTGGTGTTGATGGAGCAACGAGTGATAGGCCTGGGGATGAGGGATCACCGGAAGAGCCGGTGGAGGGTGTAAGTAACTGAGGTTAATGGTTCTGGGTGAGGAAAGCAGGTTTGAATGGATGGATGGATGGAATGTTGGGTAACAAAGGGAAGAGTGTGTTGGGTTTGGTCTGGTGGGATTCCCGCTATTACTGCTGCTGCTGCTGCTGCTGCTGCTGCGGCGGCGGCGGCAACAGTCACTGCTGTGATTTCTTGATTGATTGGTTGGTGTTATGACAGGAAGGGGGGGGGGGAGGGAAGGAACCGGTTGTTCACTCTCGTGTGATTTTCGTTTCTCTGTGTTGTTGTGGCATCCAAGATACCTATCCACTTCTTCTTCTTCTTCTTCTTCTTCTTCTTCTTCTTCTTTTCTTCTTCTTATTCTCATACCATACCGTACACGATACATACCATTTTCCTTCTTCGAATATCACGTTCAAGGTTTCGTTCTTTCCGCCCCCCTTCCCTACGAGAGAGAGAGAGAGAGGGGCAAAAAGAGAAAGGCAGCAGCAGGAGGATATCAAGTACATTAATGTCTAGCTGAGGTTGAGTTACCAAGATCAAGCGCCCGCTTGGTTTCAATTTTTCCTTTTTACTTGTAGTCTTGCTTTAGGTCTACCTTTTTCATCATCATCATCATCATCATCATCATCATCAGGATCCGGGAGGCATTCTTTAAGGTTTTTCTTTTTCCTTTGTGTTGAGAAAAATAAGCATATTGTTGTCTTGGGAAACGGATTACCGTGAGATATCATCATCATCATCATACCATAAGCTCAAGTTGGTGCTGCTATGTCGGTTGGCCTGGCCTGCCTGTCTTTTGAATGAACTTGTGGTGTTGTCTGGTGTTGAGCATTGAATGTGTGATTTGAGGGTTAGAGATGGACTCAATTGAGAAAGTTTAAGTTAGCTTGGATGGAGTTGTCGTCTTGAATATTGATACGATGTCCAGTATGAGCTTTCTTTTGATAAACCATCTCTCCAAGGTCCATGTGGATTGTCCAGGTGGCACAGCTCGAGCTCTCGAACGGAAGCAAGCCAACCGCCATCATGTCCATACACCACATACCCGCAGCGGATACTAACTCACCTCCAATCCTCCCATGGCATCCCCAGTTGTCGGCTGAGTGCCATTCTCCAACCGGAGTTTCACAATTAGCCGCGACCCGCCTGTTGCCCAGGTTTTTGTTCCAGATCGCTTCTGAAGGAACCGTTTCCTGCCGCTCAGCCGATGCGATGCTACCCCAGCTTTTTGTAGCAACAGCACGTAAGTAACCCCTCATTCATCATCCAGATCCCAGATGGATTTCCTTTCCCCTCATGCACCGTCTATGTGTCCCCACACGGATAGGTAGGTAAGTGATGGGAAGTAGTAAAGTACATACAGTCACAGTCATATGCGCTAAGGGAGAGCAGCCTGGTTAAGTTTGCAGGCGGGACGACACCGTGCGAGACGGAGAAATTTGGGATTGGCCCATTATTGATGGGATGCGTAAAGTGTCCCGAAGGAGGTGTAGAAAACGAGGTGGTATAAAACGATAGCATAGCATATGAGATAGCTGCCTGTCAACCAGAGGTCCGGTTGTACGTATAAGTATATACACGTCGTATCTCTTATTCCCCGTTTTGATTCACCTTTCTAGAAGTCCAATCGCCTCTTTCATCCATCCTTAGGTGCTTACATCAACCGCCAAAACTGATCCTCCTCACCAAGCCATGGCGACCTTAACAACCCCCCGAACCAACACCGGCCACACCGGCCTCGTCTTAGGCTACTCCTCCGCTCACCCCTTCTCAACGATCCCCCTCTCCGACCGCACCTCCGTCCAAGACCTCCTCAAAGCCCTCCTCGACCCCCTCGAGCCCTTCTTCTCCCCTCTCAAAGCCCGCATCCGCTGCCCCGGCGCCACAGCCGTGCGCTTTGACCAGACCGCCTCCGAGGTTGAGGGCATCTGCCGTCCGCTATGGGGTCTCGCATGCTTGCTGGCTGGGGGAGGGGAATATCGCGGTACGCAGTGGTGGATTGATGGGATTCGGGCGGGGACAGACCCCGAGGGGCCAGAGTTTTGGGGTTTTCCAAGGGATAACGATCAGAGGATGGTGGAGATGTGTCCGTTGGGGTTTGCGTTGGCTGTGGCGCCAACGATTTGGGAGGGTCTGAGTGAGAGAGAGAGGGAAAATGTCGAGAGGTGGCTGGGGAATAGTATCAATGAGAAGGAGTAAGTGTTTTCGTGGACAGGTAATGTTCAGGAGAAGGGGGATGCTGATGCCGTGGACAGGATGCCCAACACCAATTGGCTCTGGTTTCGTGTGTTTGCGAACTTAGGTTTGAAGAAGCGTGGCGCAAAGTTCTCTCAAGCCAGGCTGGATGCTGATATTGAGCACCTCAACACCTTTTACCGCGGTGATGGATGGTCCAATGACGGTCCCGAGGGCATTCATCGTGCGTCTTCTACCCCTAGATGACCTCTAGGCATTCGGCTAACAATAATGACAACAACAACGACAACAGAGATGGACTATTACTCGTCTAGCTTTGCTATCCATTTCCTGCAGCTCCTGTATGCAAAACTCGCTGGCGACGAAGACCCTGAGAGGGCCGCCGAGTTCCGTAAACGGGCTCAAATTGCCGCTTTGGACTTGGCTCACTACTATGACGAGGAGGGTAAGTTTCGGCCCTCCCCTCCTTCGAGAAATCCAACAGGCTAACCGTGTAGGCCGTTCCATCCCCTTCGGCCGGAGTGTGGGCTACCGCTTCGCCATGGTATCCTTCTGGGGAGCGCTGGCCTACGCTGATGTCGAGCTTCCGGCACCACTGACTTGGGGCATGGTCAAGGGCATCGTGCTCCGGCATTTGCGATGGTGGCAGACGCAGCATGACATCTGGAGCCCCAGCGGCACGCTGACCATCGGGTACTCGTACCCGAATATGTATGTAAGTAGACTCTTAATCCTCCCAAAAGGACACCAGAAGAGTTACTCACAACCACCCAGATGTCCGAGAACTACAACAGCCCCGGCAGTCCTTACTGGGCCTGCCTAGCCTTTATCTGTCTTGCCGTCCCGGAGACCCATCCCTTCTGGACCTCCCCCGAAGAAGATCACTGGACAGTCATTCCCCGCATCAAAGCCCTCAAGCACCCCAAGCACATCATGAGCAACCTCGGCGGGCACTGCATGCTGCTCTCCTCTGGCCAGGCTTGCTCGTACCCGATGAAGGGAACCCACGCCAAGTACGGCTCGTTCGCGTACTCCTCTGCTTACGGTTACTCCGTACCTCCGGGATTGTTCACTCTAGAGCAGTACGCTCTAGCCTCGCAGCTCGGCTTCTCCGATGATGGCGGCGAGTTCTGGAAGACGCGTCGCGTGTCCAAGTCCACGCTGGAAGAGCGCCCCGTTACCGGGCCGGTGCTTATCTCGCATTGGGAGCCTTTCCCTGATGTTCATGTCACTACGTACCTGCTCCCCCCAAGAGAAGAGACGCCGAACTGGCATATCCGTGTTCATCGGATCTCTGCCGGGCGTGAGGTTCTCACCGCAGACGGCTCGTTCGCCATTAGCAACGAGAGGGCCCTTGACGGACGGTATTTGGACCCCTACAACCCTGCCACATATGAAGGCACCAAGCCCAGGCTGATGGGCAACTATGACCCGCCGACCGACGAGGCCGTGGCACCGGCAAGGGAGGGCGCATTCGCCGTGTCTTTGAAGGCTGGTGCCGTTGGTATCAAGGCGCTTCCCGATGAGAAGCCTGGCAGCGAGGAGAGAAGGGCTGTCATGGTTAATGCGGACCCGAACTCGAACTTGGTTGCAGCTAGGACGACTATCCCGACGCTGCAGGGTGTTATTAAGAAGGGTGAGACGGTGTGGTATGTAGCCGGTATCTATGCGAAGCCGAAGGGGCCTAAGGAGCAGGCTTTGGATGGCTGGGATAAGCTGCCCGAGGTTCCGGCATGGCTTAAGGAAGAGATTGCAAAGGACAGTACTTGAAGAATATATGGGGTATTCTGTTTTATTGCAATGTAACCTGCTCTGTCGTTGAATGAGCTTACATGTTCCTGTTATGATATATGCTTGTTGAAATCGAAACATGTCCTTACTACCCCCCCCCATTTTTTGTCTTTTTTTTTTTTTGAATCCACTATGCATATTCCAAAAATGGTATCTCAAGAAACAAATAACACGTTTATGCCTTGGCAAAGTCCTCGATGAACTTGGCCAGATTCTGGGCACCTTCCAGGGGAATCGAGTTGTAGTTGCTGGCACGGATACCACCGACGCTGCGGTGGCCCTTGAGGCCAGTCAGGCCGCGGCTGGTAGCCTCCTTGAGGAAAGCCTTCTCGGCCTCGTCGATGTTGCCGCCCTGGGAGAGTTAGCATTACTTGAGGAAAGAATGTGGCCGAGGTCGACCTACCTTGGTAACGCGGAAGCAGATATTCATCTTGCTGCGCACCGACTTGTCCGGCACAATGCGGTAGACGTCCGGATGAGCCTCGAGAGCAGCATAGAGCAGGTTGGCCTTCTGCTCGGCAACCTTCTGTTGGCCATCAACCTTGTCGGGGAACGTTCGCAGAAGCTTTTTGAGCACCTGGCCGGCAATGTAGACGCTAGGGACCGTTAGCTTACTGATTCAGTCGAACAAAGCGACTGATGACATACTCGAAGATGCTCAGAGTGTTGTACAAGCTGTTGTTCTTGGCGATGGTCTCGTACTGAAGGATGATCGGAGGGATGGGCAGGCCGAGCTTCCTCAGCAGGGTAGGGGTGGGCTGCACAGTATTCGGCGGCAGCAGAGACTTCTTGATAACAGCAACCGTGACGCCGGTGCAGCCAAGGTTCTTCTGGGCACCGAAGAACAGCAGCGAGTAGTTACGGACAGGAAAGCGCCGGGACAGGATGTTGGAGGACATGTCAGCGACGACAATGGGGCCCGAGCCGTCGGCGCGTGGGGCCAAGACCGAGGGAAACTCGGGGAACTCGACGCCGTCGACGGTTTCATTGTCGCAGTAGTAGACCAGAGCAGCATCCTCGCTCAGCTTCCAGGTAGACTGGTCGGGAATCTTGCCGAACTTGCCATCATTGATGGTGCGCGCGTCGGCAGCCAAGTTGACGTACTCAGGGCCCAGAAGGCGGACAGCCTCCTGGTAAGCCTTGAGCGACCAGCCGCCGGTAACGATGTAGTCCAGCTTGAGACGGGACTGGACGCGCTTCCGCAGAGCCTCAACGACCTTGGCCTCGTCGGCATCTGCGCCCAGCTCCTTCAGCACGGCGGCATGCTGCCGCGCAACCCAGGCGCCTACCAGGTTGTAGACGGAGGCGGCGAACTCGCCGGTGCCGCCTGCCTGCATGAAGATAGTCTCATACTCGTCCGTGGGGATGTCGAGGAAGGTAGCCAGGTCGGCCTTGGCCTCGTTGATGATATTTGTGGCCAGCTCGGAGCGGTGGCTGTGCTCAGCAATGCCCAATCCAGTGTTGTTGTAGTTCAGCAGAGCCTGGGCAGCGGTCTCGAGCACATCGGTCGGCAGCGCAGCCGGGCCAGCGCCAAAGTAGGTGATGTCGGCGCGAGTAGGCATGTTGATTGGCTTTCTTTTTTCTTTTCAAGGGATATAGTTATTCCTAGGACGAGACGATTGACTGTTGGGACCGTCGTCTTGAACGATGTATGAGCCTCTATCCTACCTTGTGTGTATGAATTGGATGAAAACACAAAGGCCAAACTGGCATACTTACCTCGGGGTATATAGAGGGACAACAAAGTCTCCGATGACTCTGACTCGACTGCTAGATTTTTGTGACTGCGACTCGGGGTGTCGTCGGCGAAGCAATTATCGATATCGGATTGCGGGGCAATGCGCCCCTTTATCGCTGACGGCGGGGCATTGGAGGGGCACTTGGTCCCCTGCGGTCGCTCGCTGCATCCCGCCTTCACTCCTCTTTTGTGCCGGGACATTGGGAATTGCAATTGGAAATGTGCTTTTTCGACGTCAATGGGCGTCCAATTGGCTCCCACTATTTCCATCTCACGAGGCTATGCACGACATGCTTGCACGCGCCCTGCCATTTGAGGCAGACACCATCCCGTGAGGGCATTGGAGTGACTGCTGTGTCCCGGTGTCGGCCCTCTTTTGCTGCCTCTGAGTCGCTGGAGTGACGTGATTTGTAGGGCTTTGACAGGGGGCCATGCGCTAAAACGTGGGGTCTTACAGAGCCCCGCATCCATGTGGATGGGGGTGCCGGGGCGCAGATCTGTGATGGGCCTGGGAGATGAGGGGCGTCATCATGGGTTTCATCCACTCAAAATCCGAATACTGTCACTTACATCAACAAGTTCTACCAACAATTTCAGTTTGTAAGCCTGTAATGCATTAGAGCCCAGCATTAGCTGTTACACCTTGCGTTAGTCTGTCTAACCCCCACAGCTTCATGAACTGCTCACAGATCCACAATCTATGCGGGGTGAAGACCTTCATTTTTCCTAGGGGTTAACAAAATCATGCCCTTATGATATCCAGAGGTTGACATGAGGAGAGAAACCCGTCTGAGTTCTGTTGATGCAGGATACTTGGTGGTTGCTTTTACCAGCCGACTTCATTATGAAGGTAGGCCATCCATATCATACCTCTCTCCCCTTAGGATATCGATATACTTGGGACAAAATCCTTGCTCGTAATAGGCAAGCTCGATGTTTCTTACTATTCCAACCCAGACAATGCATGCGCCAATCATTGTGAATGAATCCCTCATCTTTGGATTTTAGGCTTCCACGCTCCAATTCCATCTTAGTTCTCCCAGCAGGTATTAAAAGATGACAGTTGGCCCAATACTACCCACATGTTTGGAATCGACGCAAAGCTTTGTTCCGAAGGAGGGTTCGAGATGAGGCAGATATTCCATAAATAAGAACCATTACATCATCAATGAACATAGGAAGAGTCGCTTGAAAGATCGGAGAGAGATGAGTCAACATTAAGGTAGCTTGCTAAAGAATAGTGCTTAAAGGGTAGGGTTAGGGTTCGATATAAAACCAAGCTTTGATCTCTCTGTGTCCACTTTCACTCATCTGTTCCGTTTGTACCCGTCAGCAGGGATGAGCTACATGACCCGGATTGACCAATTTCAAACATCACCAGATTCTTGCAAGAATGTAATGACTAGAAAAACATGTTCGTCCGTTCGGTCCCGCGCCGATTACATCTGCCGTTACTTCCTGAGATATTTCGGTTCTATCTCCCGCCCGAGCGCGGCTAGCGGCCACGGCAGCGGGCGGTAATGCAGGGATGTTACCGAAGCGCCAAACCTCCGCCCTGGCCTAAAATACTCCGTGGGCCCCGCTCCAGCGCCGAATCTATGGATATCTGGATCAAATCATGGAGCATTCATCTCTTACACACTGAAGTCTCTGCTTTCCGCTCATAGATTTTAGAGCCCTTGCTGTTTTGCTTTTACTCTGACAAGAAAACGTTACACTCTATCCTTTCGACCGTCAACGGGTTCTATGAGTCAGGGTCCTGCAAACTGCTAGGCCGCTATTCTCACAGTTCACGTCTCTTTTTTGTCTTTGCTATGACGGCATTGCCTGTAGAGCTTTCACTAGAGAGGCGCAATTGTGCCGTGCAACCGCATCCTTGACAGAGCTGAGAAGTCTGAAGTGGTCTGGTTTTCAAACAAAAGGAAAAAAAAAACAACCACGTTGTTGAGGTGATAGAAGCCGTCAATATGGCTGAGCGGCCAACGACACAGACGGGGTCGTCGCGTCACGGCCACTCAGTACCTCAACCATCATTCCGTGGGCATACCCCTTTTCAGTTTTCAGTTTGCACAGGATCTCCCTTATCCATAGCCCCGAGTCTCCCTCACTGCCCATCATGATAATCCCCCAAGAGATCTTATCGTTTCCTCCAATTCCCCACATCTTCGCGCCAAGGCACGGTTCGATGATCCTCCCCTCCCCCCCCCTGATCACTTACAAGTCACATAGTTACATGGAAGGACTCGTAATCTAATTTCTAATGGACAAGCCAGCAACACACAACTCGCCTCGGACCTGGTTCCTGACATCGTCGCTATCGCCGCTCTGCATCCGCTTGATCCGGCAGCTGCTGGCGCACGGCGACTACGTGGTGTGCTGTCTGCCGCCGCAGGAGGTCGAGGATGACGAGCGCAGCGCCGAGTTCCGCGAGCTCGTCAACGAGTGCAAGAGCAATCGCAAGGACCGTGAGGGCTGGAAGGACCGCATACGCGGAATTCGCTGCGATGGCCGGACTATGGGCCAGTGCGGCGCTGCTATCGCCGAGGCGGTGCATGTCTTTGGCAGGATAGACATCTTGCTGTGCTGCAAGTTTGAAGGTGAGCTGGGCTTCATTCATAACTCATGAGACAGTTCCTGACTGTGAACAGCCGTCATTGGCACCGTAGAGGAGCTCTCCGCTACACCGGCCACGCGCAATCTCATTCGCGACCAGTTTGAAACTATTTTCTTCTCCCAAGTAAACTTCATCAAGGCCGCCCTCCCCCAGTTCCGTGCCCAGCACACCGGGCACATCATGATCCTGACCAGCATCGGCGGCCACATCGGCACGCCTTGGATGTCCATCCACACAGCAGCGACCTGGGCGCTCGAAGGCTACTGTGACTCGCTCGCCTACGAGATTGCCCCCTTCAACATCAAAGTGACTATCGTCCAACCCAACAAGGAGATACAGACTCTCACCAACAAGATCATCTTCTCCCCTCCCTTGCCCTGGTACACCGACCCGGACATCAACCCGCCCACAGTCCCGTCCATGCGCGACATGCTGGTCAACGTGCTCAACGCGAATCCAGATACTACCATCGACCGGCCATATGAGCACACTGAGATCCTGTACCGCTATCCGCGCTTGTCGCCCCCGGCTTACGACAAACTCGTTACTGAGACTGTTCATGCGCTGTGTGCCATTGGCGGGCACGAAAACCCGCCTGCTAGGCATATCGTTGGGTTTGAGGGCGCTGTGGCGGTCAAGGAGAAGCTCAAGACCGTTATGGAGGAGCTGGAGGATTTTGTGGAGGCAAGTCTGGCTGTGGATATCTTTGATAGTGAGCTGAAGCAGGAGGCGAGGCAAGGGAAGTCGAATTTGGACGTGCCACCACCGCCGCCGTCGGTAGCAAGTGGGTAGCTGAAATGGGTTTCTGTTTTCTTTTTCGCTTCGTCTGGCCTTCTTTGTTTCAAGTTCGGGAGTTGTCATGAGAGCCAGTTCTTGTTGGATAAATGCGTTGGAATACCAGGAACCCGGGACCATGAGTTGATAGCCGATGAGATGTTCTTTGCCGTCTATGAGTAACAGCTTACCGTTCGCTCGTATGTGATAAGGAGTTACGTTTGGCCACCCTTTTGGAACATGGTAACGCACAGAAGAAGTCATAAGTAGTTGATTTCAAGGGGAAAAGCACAAACACCATCATCTCCAATGCATGCTGGAGGCATCAGGCATCGAAGCTCCTTAGAAAGGATGACGGAGCAAGAACCATGTTTTGATTCCCCCGTCCACCAAACATCCCGGCTCATGTGTCAAGCGCCGACATCGAACTGAAGCATTTAGCAGCATCCTTCTTGTTCATCTGGTCGAATAACGTGACGATGAGCAATATATACAATCTTGCCCACAGCAATCAACTCTCTACTTTCTATTTTCTTGCTTAGTGATCCCAAGGGTGCTTCCAGCCGAGGAGGACAGGGCCTGGTAGCGACAAGGTAACTAATGTCAGCTTTTGAGAAACTTCGGAGACACAAAAGAGGAATAGGCGAGCGAAATAGGTGAGCCATACCGTCCTTCTTCGCGCGGTAGAAGATCTGTTCCCGAGGTCAGCCAAAAGCCCCGCACTCAAAGAGTCTCTTCTGCCCGCCAACAGGCAAACAATACGCACCCAGAACCACATGGAAGCACCGAGGCCGGTGGCCAGGAACCGGTGTACCCGGGAGACGTGTTGTCCACCGCCGGCCATTGTCTCTTACTTGTCTGATGTTGCTTGCCTGTGCTCCGAGAGATACTTGGTCAGGACTTGCTTGCTTGCCAATTGCAGGTCTTTCTTGGGAAGTTTGAGGGGTTTGCTTACCCTGCCGCTCGTCGAATTGCAGGCTTGCACGAGAAAGGGGGGAGTTTTGTGTCGCGGAAGGGTGACAGTGGTCGAGCGCTGTTTTGGGACCCGAAGGTGACGTTGAGCCACTGCTCTGTTTGCCTGTTGCTTGAGCTGAGCGGGATGCTGCTGAGACCTTGCATAGTCATCAGGGTTCGGGTTGTTAACCGCTCGGAATTTAGGGTATGAAAGGGCCCACTCAACTGCCGGTGGTCTGTGCTGCGGAAGTCCCGTTTCCCAGCAAAGTTGCAGGAGGTGGCTTGTGCGGGCCTGGCTTGGCGCAGACGGTGGGCAGTTCGCGGGAGTCGCTAGACATCAATATCGAATCTTTTATGACAACTGCTAGGTGTAAAGATGAAGAAAACTGCCTTCATTTTCAGTAAAACGTTAATTTGTTAGTTATAGAATACCTTCTGAGATTATTTTAAATGAGATGCTTGCCAGATACTGGTCCTAGGTCACATAACCTTACGTGGTGTGTCTGGATTCTTGACCCTGTAAGTAGATAGTACCGCTTGCTTAGTCATCCTCCCCGCTGCTGCATAATCAATGAGATCGGCCATGCCTTCGCTTCAGCGGCTGCGTTCCTGGGGAATGGCAGCATCGCGAATGAAAACGCATCGCAACGCTTTCGCACTCGGCTTGCTATTGTGATTCCAACTCAATAGCAAAAGGTTGACTCGCCGCACACTTGGGCCATGCTCCCGGCCACTTCCAGTTGAGAAGCTAACGTCTTCTCAATTTTTGATTCTCAATACATCCGCTCTTAGTCTTACTGTTCTTTTTTTCTTTTATCCCCATCCATCCATCGAGCCCTGTGATCCGCATCCATTCCTCCTACGAACTACGAAGTTCACAGTGTTCGAAGCAACACGGCTCCATTCTCTCAATTTTACAAGCAGTTAGACACTCATACATCATCACAAGCCAACCACAATGAGCGTTCTCGAGTCTCAGGAAGGGAGCGGTGCCCTTTCACCGCGCAGCTTCGCCCTTCAGCACGCGCGTCCTCGGAATAGCTTTGTCGGCTGCTCCCGCATCAGTGATTACGAAGTTCTGGGAAAGCTAGGTGAGGGTACCTTTGGGTATGTCGCCTCGACCTCAGGCCGTTGTGCGCTTGTTCAATGGCCTGGTTCCGACGTCCTACTGACGCTGTTACCAGCGAGGTCCATCGCGCGCGCTCAAAGAAGACAGGCAAATTGGTCGCCCTCAAGAAGATCATCATGCACAATGAGAAGGATGGGGTCAGTGTTGTTTGACGGTCTATGAACCTGCTGCACATCTATGCTGACATTCATCCAGTTTCCCATCACAGCCCTCCGTGAAATAAGACTCTTGAAGCTGCTCAACCACCAGAACATTTTGCGATTAGAGGACATGGCGGTCGAGCACCCGGCCAGGGGCAGTAAGTCATCTTTTTTTGCGCGGGCAATACTGCTGCGACCATGCTCACCAACATCCACAACCTAGGCGACAAGCGCAAGAGGCCCATCATGTACATGGTCACTCCCTACATGGATCACGACCTGTCTGGCCTGTTGGAAAACCCTTCTGTCCACTTTACCGAACCCCAGATCAAGTGCTACATGCTTCAGCTTCTCGAAGGCTTGAAATACCTCCATGCGAACCGCATCCTCCACAGAGACATGAAAGCTGCCAACCTTCTCATCAACAATAAAGGCATCCTTCAGATTGCCGATTTCGGCCTAGCGAGACACTACGATGGAGAGACTCCGAAGCCTGGGCAAGGTGGCGGCGAAGGCAAGCGTGAATACACTAGCTTGGTAGTCACGCGCTGGTACCGTCCACCAGAGCTGTTGATGCACCTCCGGCGCTATACTACCGCGATCGATATGTGGGGTGTAGGGTAAGCCGCATTTCACCCTTGAGCTTGTTCATGCTGATCGCTAACGCGGCATGATTCAGGTGTGTCTTTGGTGAGATGCTCACTGGCAAGCCCATTCTTGCCGGAGAGAGCGATGGTCATCAACTTGAGTTGATCTTCGAGCTCTGCGGGACCCCTACCGACGACAACATGCCTGGTTGGCGCTCTCTGCCAGGCGCAGAGAACCTGTGCCCTAGGCCCCGCCAAGGAAATTTGGGCTATCGGTTCAGGGAACATGGTCCCCAAGCTGTCTCGCTCCTGAAGGAGCTCCTCAAGCTGGACTGGAAGAAGCGCATTAACGCCATCGATGCGCTGCAGCATCCCTACTTCCGCACCCCACCATACCCGGCCAAGCCCCACGAACTCCCAGCATTCGAAGAAAGCCACGAGCTTGATCGTAGAAAGTTCCACGACCGTAGGGCGGCCATGCCACCGGCTCCCAGAGGCGGTACCGTTGGCCGCGGACCCCACGACGACCGTGGCCCCGACTACCGCAACGGCGTCAACGGCGCTGGCCGCTACGGTCCCCCTCCCCGCAACAACCGCGGTCCTGCCCCTCCCGGGGATGACCGAGTCCCCGCCTGGTATCGCGACCGTGGCCTCCCTCCTCGCCCCCCGCCCCCCGCCGATGGTGGTGACTACGCTGATCCCTACCGAGATCGTGGCCGGCCCCCTCGTGGCGGTCCCGGCGGCGGCACACGCCCCGACGTGGACACGTACATCCCAAGCTACGATCGCGATCCCAGGCGCGATGATCGCCGTCGCAGGGACGACATGATGCGGGATGACAGGCGAGGAGGTGCTGAACCATGGGATCGAGATCAATATCGGGACCGCAGGCGCGATTGGGACGATAGGAGCCGGACTAGTCGGACGCGGAGTAGGAGCCGCTCGCCCATGCGCGACAGGGATAGGGACAGGGACCGCGATCGGGAACCCCGGGATATGTATCGCAGATAGGAGCAGTGACCCCGCCGAGAGGGGTCTGATGGTAAGCAGTGAGGGTCGCGCAAGAAGGGCAATATGTTGAGGAGCACTACGGGCACTACATAATGGCATTGTATGGGTTTGCTTCTAGCTGATGACATTTTCGGGACACTGCATGCGTGTACGTTATTGAAGGGAAAAGGAGTCTTCTTTGCTTGGAGTCAGCGGTGGGTTGTTTTTCTGTTGGTAGCAAGAATACCCTAATGCAGTCACGTATTTCTATCATTTACCCAACCTACATTTCCTGCTTGCTGTCACTGGGAGAGTCGGAAATGAAATTATTATGAAAGCAAGACCATTCCCTATGTCAGCCGTATCCCTCTAACACAGGATCCATGTAATCCAAAAACTCCATGACAATGCAAGTGAATACAAAAAAGATTGCGATTTGAACCCATTGTCCAGATCCGTTTCCATGTCCCCTCTAGTCAGAAAACTAATTTCTCCTTCACAATCTTGTACAGCTTTCTTTGCTTTGGTTGTTTGAACAGTCGCTGCCGCATACGGCCCAGGAAACGTGCCAGCCACAAGAACAGATAATGCTCGCCTGTCCAGGCAATCAAGAAATAGACGAACCCGAAAGCAATCAGCGTGATCTTGAAGGTCCAACTCATCCAGGTGAGCTGCATGAACTCGAAGAGCCAGTAAGGAGGGACGAGCAGCATCAGCAGCGTGGCGATGAGGGTGACGGCAACGGCAGATAGGAATGGCCCTAAACGATCGTCAAGATCAGTAAACAGAACATTTAGCAAAAGCGTGGGGGAGAACTAGGGGGTTGTGAAAACATACAGGTTTCCAGCGGCGACTGTCGGAATGGTCGTCCAGCATTGAGCACGACGCCCGAGAGGATGTACTCGAAGCAAGACGCGAAGAACAGCGTAGTGTTCTCCGAATTCTCGATGTTTGACTTCTCCGTGTCGACGATCGGCGGGATATACCACGGCTGCTGCCGCACCGCGACCCAAGCCAGGGCCTGGATCATAACACAGACGAAGACGTGACTAAGCAGCGGCACCAGAACCTTGCGCGAGACAAGGTCGGAGACGGGCCGCTTTGCACATAGCTTCGAGTGTGGACCGGCCCAGCTCATGAAGACGGCAATGGGCAGGATCAGCATCAGGTCGATGTAGAGGAACTGAAAGTCTCCCAGGTTGGAAGCCGACACGTACAAGAAGCTCACCGAGGTGAACTGGATGAACGAGTACAGGCTCATGTACTTGAAACAGGAGAAACTAGTGACCAGCGAAGCGCGACCCTCGCGGATGACTTCGGGCACGCAGCGGATGTCGAAAATCTGAGACGTGAAGGGGGCTGCGACCGAGGCCTCGGCTTCGGAGAGCGAGATGCCGACATCGGCCGCTTTAAGCGCAGCGCAGTCATTCGCCCCGTCGCCGCAGAAACCGCACGAGTAGTCGATGCTCTGGAACTTCTTAACCAGCTCTTGCTTCTCGTCCGGTGACATGCGTGCGTAAACCTTGCCCAATACCAGCATGCGATGGAGCACATCAGTAGGGGCATGATCGACAATCCAGCGGAAGACGTCGCCAGTGACAGCGATAGCGTAGTTGCGTATGTTGGACACGTCATAAGGGAGAGAAGCATCCGTTTGTGGTGGGACCGGCATAGGAAGCAGAGTCCAAGGATCCAGCTCCAAGGCTGGGTTGTTGATGCTCTCCCATCGAAGCTTCGCGTTGCAGTCGTCGGCATTGCCTTCGATAAAGCGCGGCATGTAACAATGAGCATGTTCTTCGATGATTCCACATTGGCGAGCCACACTGACGGCAGTCCGTATGTTGTCGCCAGTGATCATCACCGTTCCAATGTTGGAAGACAGCAGCTCCTTAATAACTGAAGTTGTTGTTGGCTTCAGCTTGTTTTCGAAGATAATGAAGCCGACGAAGTCGAGTCCTGACTCAACCTCGTCTCTTGTCATTCTATTGACCGAGACCAAGTTGAGCTTGGGAATACGTTTGGTAGCGCATGCAATCACGCGGTATCCAGCATGGGTATAGTATGACAAGAGCTCGTCGAAGTCGGAGGGCACTGAGTAAATGTGTGTCAGCATTGTGAACAAGCGACTTAGGCCTGCCGCGCAAAGAATGCTTACATGTTTCCGGCCTGCAGATCTCAGGCATGCATTCGGGCGATCCTTTGACAAGGGCATATCCACCGCTGTTGCCAACGACTCTTGCAATGACACTCGATCGACGAAGCAGGGGGTTAAAGTCGAACGCCCGAAGAACACCGACCGCTGGAGGTGCCTGTTTCATTTCCTTAGTTGAAGGAAAGATGAGACGGTGAAGCTTGTGCTGATGAAGACAGAAATTACTAACCTCTCCGATGCTCATCTCTTGGGAAGTCATATACCGAGGAGGCCTGGCAATCGAAGGCGAAATATCCCCTCGACCCTCCGTGCTGATGACCTCCCCTGCTATGAATCCTTCCTCGTAAGACCAGCCTGTAAACTCAAACATTTTGACCTCCAGGGGATCCCCGACGGCCACTCCATCCACGATACGAAGGGAATGGCAACTTGCCATCACATATAGAGCAGCTCGGTATGGATCGAGTGGCTTTGTCTTGTCTTTCTTGAGGCTGCTGCCGTCGACATGATCCGCCGGCTTGACTTCATCACCATTGGAAACCGAATCACAGCTCCAGGTGAGATCGTCGACATTCGTGAGAAGCTCCGTGAAGCGATTGCTGACTCGCGAGGCAACACGGATACCAAGAACGTCAAGACCCTCTTCCGTCAGGGTTCCAGTCTTGTCGAAACACATTAGGTCAATCTTGCCACCGACATTGACCCTCTGAGGACTGGTGCAAAAGATTTTCTTGCCCTTAAGTCTCTGAACGGCGAAGCTGGTGCCGATGGTCAGAGTTGCGGGCAGAGCCGGCGGGACCACAATAGTAAGAAGGTCCAACGCACGGAGCAGGATCAGAGTCCAGTGGAGCTTGAGCCGAATGAAGTTGACCAGGGACACAATGAATGCCAACCCTGCCAGGCAACCCATGACTTTGAGGTACCTGAATGAATCCTCATAAAACTTGAACTTCGATGGCTTCGGAACCAGCATGGATCGGACAAGGGCGCCTCTGGTCGTGTTGAAGCCAGTCCGAACAACGAGCGCAACCGCTGCCGCTTCGTCGGTATCCGCTAGGCGCTGCCTAGCACGGATAAGCTTCGTCCCACAATACAGGAAGTGTTTGTCGACATCGTGTGAGAATGTCGAAGCAGCAGGATTCAGCTTTGCTAGTGTCTCGTTCGTCGCCGGGGTTTTGGACACCGCCACAGATTCTCCCGTCAACATGCTCTCGTTGACAATACAGTCGCCCGTCAGAAGGAGACTGTCTGCTGGAATCTGTGTCAGGCTTGGGTCGCTGACTTCATACACATCTCCAGGGACCAGATCGCTAGATGGGAAAGTCCGCCCTGCAGCAAAATCAGCTGGCTAATCCGTTTACAAGTTGAGATACCGGAAACTTACAGAATCCACCCCTGAAAACCCTCACTTCGCATTCGAAACGAGACATCTCACGAAGACGCCTCCTTGTCTGCAAGGTTGTCGAAGCTGTAAGCGGCTGCGATTCATGGGCATCTGGAAGCGAAGTCGGCTAGGGAGACATACCTCCTTGGTCTCCAGGAGACTTGTGATGATACTGCCTGCCGAAATCAGGAGTATGGCAGCGGCATAATAATAGTACTCATCACAAAGCCATAGGATGAGGCTGAAGACTTGGAAGGCATAAAAAGGCGTAAGGATCTAGGTGCAGTCAGTACTGGTTGCATTCCTCGAAGCACCCGGCAGCTGACTGTAAGAAAGAGCCATACCTCACTGACAAGGAGTTGAAGTATTGACTGTTCATCAACATCGATTGAGTTCGGCCCAAAAACAGCCTCACGGTGTGCTTTCTCATCACCATGAAGCCCGGACCGAGCGTTTTGCATACTGTTCCACTGCGGATCTTTCCATCCATTGCAGCAGAAGAATTTGTCGAGAACTGGATGGTAGTAGAACTTGTAGTAGCAATAGGTGATACTACGAAGCTCCCGCAGCACCGGATCTGGGTCCTGAGCCAGAGGCCAGGAAGTAGCCCTTGAAGGAGTGCCGAAGACAGTGGACAGAGGCCTATTGTAAGGCTTCACCCTAATGGACAGGATGGTCATTTTGTTGAAATGGTCCTCGATAACTACCCACTGACAATCGCGGAAGGGTGTCGCGCAACCGACCAGTTTAACGTAGTATTTAGGATACCAACGCAGGAAAAGCCAAGCAATGCCTCCAGTGAGAACACACAAAACGATGTAGATGGCAAATCCGATGCGGTTGGTGATGAAGCCCGAAATGGCGATTGTGAGGTCGTCGTTATCCAGGCGCATCTTTTGAGAAGATCTTCCCCCGGTATAGCCACTAGCAGCAGATACGCCGCTCTCCCTCCTTAGCAGTCGGTGGTGAGCCGAAAACTGGGAGTGAGTCGAGGACCTGCGAATGAGAGGATATCCGTTGTTCATGGAACCCCATTCGAGGTCGATGCCGAAGGTGTCGAGCTGTTCTGGCATTTCACTTTCTGAAAGCCCTTCTTCCTCGAATGGTAGTTCGTCGAGATCGTCTATTGATAGGCGAGCCCCAAGCGAGCCGGGGGGAGCTTCAAGTTCTTCGCGTTGATCGTCTTGCTCGTGGTAGAAAGAAAAGCTGGCCACAGACTCAGCGCGTCCATGTCGATGACTAAATGCAGAAACACTTGTCGGGACGGATTCTGCCACGGGGCCAGCAAATAGCTACAAAAACGAATGCGCGTCAGCAGCTACTAGGGTGGTTGTAAGGGCAACCAACAGATCACAAGGGGGCGTTGGCCTGCAGAAAGCCACAGCACTAACCTCATCATGTGCCATTTCAACTCCCTCAAGAACACTTGCGCTACTGCTGTTGACGTTGTGATGATAGAATCCAGAGCCTCCTCCATGGCCCTGGCTCTGCTGATGATTACCATCCTCGAGGGCGCCCAGCAGGTGGCTGTCCTCCCTATCCTCCCCTTGATAAGAGTCGCGACGGTCGCCACGAAGGTCATCGCCCCCAGGGGCTGTACCCCGCGATCCGTCCATGTTGGAAATGCGAATCAGCACAGAATACGACCTGCAGGCATCTTTAGACGAAGGTTAAGTGTAAACAAAGGCACATGCAAGCGGAGGTCAGTGGGAAATATGAGTAGACGCGATCCGATGCACGCTCGACGCCACGAAGTCCGATGTCTCATGCATGTGCCACACATACAGTACCTGCATTTGTGGGGGTACCTCTCCATATTAGCATGAATGACGTCTGGGGAAATAACGTTACTCTGATATCTGCAACGATAAGGCTGAGATATGATTCTAACCGGGATCATTTGCCGCCAGCACCCTTGCTGGCTTGGCGTCCCAAAATCTTGGAACAATCCCGATTTGCCGTGACAAACTCGCAATGGGTCTCTCAGTCTCAACTGTTCGTCATGTTGTGGCTTTCACAGTACGTTGACAGAAACACAAGATTTGGTTTTGTCGTGAAATATTCTTCCAGAATTGTTTCTCCACCAATTGATTGCCAAAAGTGCGATCTGATATGATCAATGCGCCCTCTTCTAGGTGGCTATGAAAAGGACAGACTGAATACTGTGACCGGCGAGTTATTTATAGCGAACTGCTGGAACTGGTTAGAACTCCAAAGGATAGATTGCTGCATTTCTTTGCGTGTGTATTATGTTGGTAAGCACAAAGTAAGATGTTGGAATGTTATGATGAGCTGTAGCCTTGAGCTGTTCACTTTCAAACGTTGCATGCAGCATCACCTATGGGTAGCGATGTTGATGATCAGTAGATATGAAGCCGCAGCCTGCCAGCCAGCTTATTTGGTTAATTCTTCAGGCCACAATAAGGCATCAACCCTGACGCATGCTTTTCAACCAAACTTTGTCTTGAGCACCCTAATGCCCTTATCGGACCTGTTGATTACAGCGTTCCGGTTCCTGAAGCGTGGTTGCCACTTCAGATGACCCATGTTGAGCCTCTCGGTCTTCAAAGCATTGAAAAATCCTATCGAACAGTAGTATCCTGCCATGACAGGTGGGGCAGGAGGCAACAGAAAAATTCATCCATCCCTGACTCTTTCTGCTGTCAGAGTGGATGCTGGACGCGATGTCCGGGTTTGTCCGGCCACAACAATATGTCCAGGAGCGGTGAAGGGCTGTGCTAGCAGCGGAAGAGCCGAAGAAACCAAACGCGTGTAGCCATTTTTCTACACAGTAGGGGTTTCTGTACACTGTAATAGAGAGTAGCACCATATTTTGAATTCCTGTTGAGCTTCCAAACAACATTCCTCAACCAGGGTGAAGATTTCACAAAGTACCATTTTTTGAGGGAGAGAGGAGGTCATCCATGGCTTTTGTAGATCTCAAACGGTTGGACGAGATGGAAGATTCGATCTCCCAAGTCTGGTCGACCCCATCGTGTCCCAACAGCAGGGCTGCTATCGAGACTGTGCACTTGGGAGCCAGTGAGGCAGGCCAGCGTGACGAACAGCAGAAGCCCCCCATGTCGCCTTCGCACGAGCCAAGTGAACTGCCCCGCAAATTTTCCCTAGGGACCATTGGCGGCTTTTCCCCTCTCAACATTTCTGAGCACCAGGAAACCACGGACCATCCATCCATCCTTCTGAAATTTTACAACCGCCCCCGTCCACAATAAAAATCACCGATCTGCTGCCTGTCGACTCTGGACGCAGATCTCCGTGTGCCTCTTTGAAATCCATCCCGTCAGCCATCGAAAAACCCACCATCACCATGGCTGAGCCCATCAAGAACAAGCGGCCCGACCCCGCTGTCGCCCCGTAGGTTTTCTCTCGGCAGTGGCATTGTCACCCACCGCGGGTCGCTCGCGATAAGGCGTGCTGACCCAAATCTACCCGCAGTACCCCTCAGAACACTCCGGCGAATGCTGCCCCGATCTCGTCGCATGCTCAGCAGCCTGGTGTTGCCAGCATCAAGGAAGGTTAGTAGTCGGTTGCCTTCTGCTCGCTGCCCAACCTTATCCATTCCATCTGCCCGACCGACCATGGTATGGTGACAGTGATGGCAGTGATGATGCTGATGATGATGGTGATGGTATCAACATGATCTTGTCTTGCTAACCTCTCCTCACAGAGGATCTGGAACGTGTCGCTGCCACTTCCATCTTCGCCAAGGACCCCCGCCTCGTCTCCCTGATCCAGAACCGTCTTGGTCACCTTGTTGGCAAGTCGTCCGGCTATATCGAGTCGCTCCCTCCCGAGGTTAAGCGCCGTGTCGCTGGCCTGAAGGGCATCCAAAAGGAGCATGCTAAGCTCGAGGCTGAGTTCCAGGAGGAGGTTCTTCAGCTTGAGAAGAAATACTTTGCCAAGTTCACTCCTCTTTATGAGCAGCGTGCGGCTATCGTGAATGGCAAGGCCGAGCCCACCGATGAGCAAGTTAAGCTGGGTGAGGAGGGCCAGGAGGGCCCAGAGGCTACCGAGACCCAGACCGAGCCTGCCGAGAAGAAGGAGGAGAAGCCTGCCGAAGCTCCGAAGGTCAACGGCATTCCGGAGTTCTGGCTGTCCGCCATGAAGAACCAGATCTCTCTTGCTGAGATGATCACCGATCGTGACGAGGGTGCCCTCAAGTACCTGACCGATATTCGTATGGAGTACCTCGACAAACCTGGTTTCCGCCTCATCTTTGAGTTTGCCGAGAACGAGTACTTCACCAACAAGATCATCACCAAGACCTACTACTACCAGAACGAGAGTGGGTATGGTGGTGACTTCATCTATGATCATGCGGAGGGTGACAAGATCGACTGGAAGCCGGGTATGGACCTCACTGTCCGCATTGAGCAGAAGAAGCAGAGGAACAAGAGTAAGTTCGAGTTTCAGTCCCGGAGCTCTTTAGGATGTGGGCTTAGTCATTGACCTCAATACAGCCACCAAACAGACTCGCATTGTTAAGAAGACTGTCCCTACTGAGTCCTTCTTCAACTTCTTCTCCCCTCCCAAGCCTCCGACGGACGACGATGATGATGCTGCCTCTGACATCGAGGAGCGCCTGGAGCTCGACTACCAGCTGGGTGAGGATATCAAGGAGAAGCTCATTCCCCGCGCCATCGACTGGTTCACTGGCGAGGCTCTCGCCTTCGAGGAGTTTGACGAGGATGACTTTAACGAGGAGGACTTTGAGGATGATGATGACGAAGACGATGATGCCAGCGAAGACCATGACGACGACGATGAATCTGAGGAGGAGGAGGTAAGTTGTGCGCTTACCTAGAGAGTTGAAGCCAGACACTGACAACTTCTAGCAGGACGGCACAAAGCCTAAGCAGGAGCCTACTGAGTGCAAGCAGAGTTAAACGTCCAATTCCCCCGGACTCTGCACATGGCTTCCTGCATGCGCTCTAATTTGCGGGCAATGTACCGCTCCTAGCCCACTCCCGGGGTCCTGAATCACATATATTTTCCCCCATTTGCACAAGCTCCCCCGACTAAAGTTTCCCAAGGCGAACTCCACGCTCCACGAATAGGATGGATTACACAATAATCACAAGCTGTTGAGGAGGGCGTTTATGGGAAACTGACTGGCTTTTTACCTGCATCGATGTTTGCTTGTTCTCCATCTCGCGCTATTCCGGGATTCTAGCTTTGCACGCCTTGCGTGGCAATCTCCAAAGATGGCATAGATGGTAGCTAAAAATGGTACCACGCGAGGGGAATGACACGGTGACTTGCGAAGTGGCGGGTTTGATACTCAGCTCAGATATAGTCTAACACATCCATGAATCTGATCGTAGTGTCATGGCCCATGCTGGTGAGCTGTGAGGCATGCTCGCTCGGGCCCCCTGCAAGGCTCCGAAATCGCAACTGTGGATCTGGCTTGTTGGTTAAGTTCTTGGATGAGCGGGAAGTCTGCCTAGGATACTTCTCCGCTGTTACAGATCCATATTGATATAAGGATGAGGCTGTCATTCTAATATCCCATAAATGAATTAAAACAAGTCGTCGGCGTCGTATAAAGCATGCCATAACCTTTACATAGCTGCATACCTGTCTTAATGACCAGTAATACCCTGTTCGATCAGTAGGCTTCAAAGCTTCTTCAACATGCATCTGTAAGTACGTTGAATGGCATAGATGGCTGAATTGGCCACACCGAAAGTTGGCTGGGACATGTAAGTTGGTAGCTAGCAAAGTCCCATTCGCCAGCAATGCTACATATAGAGCAAAATTTGCAGAAGGAACCGACAGAGGACTAGCCCCAGCAGGGAATCGGGGAAAAAGATACAGCGGTTAAAAACGAAGACCACTACGTAAAAGTTGCGGACAACGTGGGCAGACTTTGGAAGTGTGAGCTTTTGGGTGGCGCTCCCTGATTCCGTCATCAAAGATTTTCCACCCACTTCAGTGAGTCAACCCCGCTATGAGACCAACAGCCCCACCATAAAAAAGTTACAGCCCGCAGTACACATCCCGCCGCGGGGCCTTTTGTGACAGGCAATCCCGCACACATACATTTACTCGTCCACATCTGCCTCCTTACTCCTTCCTTCTCGTTTCTTTCCCCAATTCAGAGTATCGAGTTAAAATTTCTGAACTGCAGACGATACCCTTTATCACTACGCAACCAAATGGCCGCCCCAAAAGACATCGCGAAGCCTTCATGGACCAGGACGGTCTCATACAGCCCAGCTGGTAACCTCAGCGTTTCTCCGACAGCGACTTTCCACTCTCCTCCCTCTGGCCAGGGCAGCTTCCTCACGGGGTCTCTGGCGCATCGGACTGTTTCCCAGGCAAAGCAGCTCAAACCCTTCAACGCTGAGGAGATCAAGATCCTTCTCCTGGAGAACGTGAACCAGTCCGGTGTAGAGATCCTGAAGGCTCAGGGTTATCAAGTTGAGTTCCTCAAGACCTCGCTACCCGAGGACGAGCTCATTGCAAAAATTAGGTGAGTTATTGTGGCTGTGATTCTTGTGGTTGAGTGAGCGGTTTGTTGTTGGAACGCGGGCTTCCGTTTTCGGAGGCCGAAAGTTGGGCGCCCCTGAAAAAAAAAAATAAGATGGGATGAAGGGTTACAGGGGATAGTTGTGAACATATATGTCAACCTTTCAGAAGCTACAGTCCAAAGACTTCATGAGAAGCTTCAATCCGAGGATTTTGCTGTAATTGGGTTTCTCAATGGTGGCTCGCGAAGCTCTACTGTTTGGCAGTTGTTGCAAGCTGGAGGAGGGGCCAGATGAGAGGATTCTCTGGGGAACATGCATAGACTCAATACCGGATATCCTGACGACAAGGCTGACACTCAAAACAGGGATGTACATGTCATTGGCATCAGGTCAAAGACAAAACTCACGGCGAAGGTGCTCGCTGAGGCCAAGAACCTACTGGTCATTGGCTGCTTCTGCATTGGCACCAACCAAGTAGACCTGGAATATGCCGCCAAGCACGGCATTGCTGTCTTCAACTCTCCCTTCGCCAATTCGCGCAGTGTGGCCGAGCTGGTCATCGCTGAGATCATCTCCCTGGCGCGGCAGCTGGGCGACCGCTCTCTCGAGATGCACCGTGGCACCTGGAACAAGGTGAGCAACAAGTGCTGGGAGATTCGCGGAAAGACCCTGGGCATCGTCGGTTATGGCCACATCGGCTCTCAGCTCTCTGTCCTGGCGGAAGCCATGGGCATGAACGTCATTTACTATGATGTTCTCACCCTCATGGCCATTGGTACGGCGCGCCAAGTACCGACTCTGGAGGCCCTCCTGGAGGAAGCCGATTTTGTCACCCTTCACGTTCCCGAGACTCCCGAGACCAAGAACATGATCTCGACCAAGCAGTTCGAGCACATGAAGAACGGCTCCTACCTGATTAATGCCAGCCGCGGCACCGTGGTCGACATTCCTGCGTTGATCAAGGCCATGCGCTCTGGCAAGATTGCTGGTGCGGCCCTGGATGTCTACCCCAACGAGCCGGCTGCCAACGGCGACTATTTCACCAACGATCTTAACACTTGGGCCGAGGAGCTGCGCGGGCTTAAGAACATCATCTTGACCCCGCACATTGGCGGTAGCACGGAGGAGGCGCAGAGGGCCATTGGCATTGAGGTCGGTGAGGCGCTGGTCCGTTATATCAATCAGGGCATCACTCTGGGCAGTGTCAACCTGCCTGAGGTGACGATGCGCCAGCTGACGCTGGACGAGCCCGATCATGCCCGCATCATCTACATCCATCGCAACGTGCCTGGTGTGCTGCGCAAGGTCAATGAGATTCTGGCCGAACACAACGTCGATAAGCAGATCTCGGACAGCAAGGGCGACGTTGCGTACCTCATGGCCGATATCAGCAACGTTAAGCCTGAGGATATCAAGGAGATCTACGATGCGCTCGACTCCCTGACCTCAAGGATCTTGACTCGCATTCTGTACTAGGCGTGATGAGGGTAGGGCGATAGCGGTTTCGGTGGTTGTCTCTATTGTCTCGAGCATTTCTTTTTCCGGTTTTGTTCTTGCATGGATTTGATGACAATGGTACGAAGGGAATAGCTGGCGGGATTGGGAGGAGTCGTGGAGTCCATGAGAAATCATTTCAACATGGAGTGGGCTCATCAATAGTCTGGCTGCTCTAGCATTGCATACAGAAGTATCTGGTTGGAAAAAAAAGAACAAAAAGACAAAGAACGGGCGGGAAGTGGGCATAAGCAAATCCAGGTTCAACAAAAATGGCAAAAAAGTTTCTTATAGACATAATTCACGTCATCACCTGAAGAAAGATCGGCTGAAATCGGCCATCATCAGTTGTTTCGTTTGATGACCAATGTCACATCACAACTGGAGGGTTAATATGCCAGACCTGACCACCTGGTTGTTGGGAATTGTTTCTCGGAAACACAATGCAAGGGGGGAGGGAGGGGGAGACATGCATTTTGAAAACGTGGCGCAGATTTCCCCGGGATAAGAAGGCTGAAAGGGCTCCAGTTCAGGCCCATCCCCCACGGAACAGACCACGCCCAGAGAAGGGAGAGGGGGATCGACTGGCTGAAGAGGTTTTGTCAGGAGGGCAAGATCTCTTTGAGAATGGTGATCTTCCGGCGGGTGTAACGAAACGTTGAAACATCCAGCTGCTTCCTGCGCTTCTAGATGGGAGAAAAAAATGTGATGACCAAGAGATCGAATCCCTCCATGTCGATGATTCTCTTCGTTTTCCTGACCCTCGTTTGCAAGTTTGGAAGCACAGTGTGCACACTAAGGTGTTTTTACTGTATGATACACCGTCAGATACATTGTCCTGACAGCGTATGATGGTCCGCTGGGCGGCGGTCAGCGAAGCTACTTCCACAAAACTGGGGTCGCAGTGGGGCAAAAGAGCCTGGCAAGCTGCAACTTGCTAACCCGAGTGGAAGTTCGTGATCTCAGTTCAAACTTGTGGCTGTTGACGACTGGATTTGGAGCTGACACTGTGCAGTGCATGTACCTCATATCGAGATATAACTTCTATGATAACCGGTGCATGCAAAGAAAGAGTGCATAACACACGGCATATACTCAATGGGGCATGCGTACAAAGATTGGAACTTAAATGATGACTGGAGAGGTTGAATTTATGCAATCCACATATCCCGTGGCAGGAAAAAGGGATCAAGACCAGGGTGTCATGCTCGGCAAGTGTTGTGGCTCAACATGTCACTGGAAGATTGGTCTGTCGGTGTGCAAAGACATGTTTCGAAACAACACCCACAACAGAGACAACTTCAGCTGGCCAAGTCCAAGAAACTCACAAGACAGCCCGGCCCAAGCCCCAATAAGCCTCTGAATGACAAGAAAGCCGTCTTTTATGGTAGCTTGAGGCTCGCCCCTCTGAGACTGGGAGCTGTGAAGCCCCTGAGAATAGCAATGCACATAATACGATACTTCCATGCAAGTACCGTCGATACAAAGCACAGTGCTAGCAGGTGCGCTCCCACCATGTGGAACGCTGGAGAACCAGCCCCAGAGTCCCGTCTGTGCTTGGGTGCAACATGTCCCCGCTTACCGCTTCCCGATCATTGCAACTGGTCTCCCTATCGACCGAACGCCATCATTGAGGCATCCCTATGTGCACCCTTTTTTTCAGCCCCCCAAACCTCCAGCAGCAGCTACCAGCTGTCCTGAGTCCTGACACCACGGGTTGTGGTTCTGGTTCTGTGTCGGATTTGCTTTTCTGGACCAGCACAGACTCGTGCCCAGCACGCCAGCACGCCCAGCACACGCCGTCCAGGCTGACCAGGTCGTCCAGGTCTTGATCTCGGTCGTGATCCAGGTCGTCCACGGTCCCCAGGCCAGGCCGAAGCCGCATATTCTCTGCCCGACCCATCAAGCACAACGTTACCCGTCGGTTGTGGCTCCGTCCAAAGTAGCCTGAACCTAAAGTTGAGCTTCAAGTGGCTGGCAGAGCTTCCAGCGCATCTGTTTGCTGAATGAATACTGTTCAACAGCTCGTTATTGATCCGCACCATCCATAGCATTTTGATGTCCTGAAGCCCGCGCCGAGACCTACATCCTCGCAAAAACACCCTTCAGCCCCTTACGGATACTCCCGTTCGCATCGAGGCCCGCGCTCATCGCGATCTGAGACCCCAGACCCGCCTGAGCTGGCCATACATCTGCTGAACCTACCAGCCGCTCATCGCGGAATCCCTTGACGCGAAAAAACCCCTCCTACTTCCTCTGCCCCTGCGGCACGAAGCCTACAACACCACTCCTAATCTTCGTTTCTACTACTTCTTCTGCCATACTCTCTCCCCCAGCCGTATGCAATGGCGGAAGGCTACGAGGTTGGCACGAGAGCGTGGCAGCCCGACCCGACTGAGGGTTGGGTTGCTTCAGAGGTCATCAAGAAGACAGTAGAGGGAGACAAGGTTAAACTCGACTTCAAGCTCGAAAATGGCGAGGTAAGTCGGTCCCGCGTTTGCCCCGATCGTGCCATTCGTTTGGTATTCGGTACCTGGATTGCTAAACTCCCTGGCTTCTGCAGACTAGGACAGTAGAGGTTACCCTCGATGCCCTTCGCTCGGGCAACGACCCTTCTCTTCCTCCATTGATGAACCCTGCTATGCTCGAAGCCAGTGATGACTTGACGAACCTTTCACACTTGAACGAGCCTGCCGGTACGAGACACTATCCTCGAATCCAAGCGGGACAGATGCTGATAGGCGATGCCGTTTACAGTCTTGCAGGCTATTCGTCTTCGATATGCACAGAAAGAAATTTACACATATTCGGGTATTGTGTTAATAGCAACTAATCCGTTTGCTCGTGTCGATTCCCTCTATGTTCCTGGCATGGTTCAGGTGTACGCCGGGAAGCAGAGGGCGACGCAGGCACCGCATCTCTTCGCTATTGCCGAAGAAGCTTTTATGTATGAAGACTGCAAATTGTCGGAGGAAGGACAAGGATGTGCTGACCGATGGACAGGGACATGTTGCGCGATAACAAGAACCAGACCATCGTCGTCTCTGGCGAGTCCGGTGCCGGCAAGACCGTCAGTGCCAAGTACATCATGAGGTACTTTGCCATGAGAGAATCGCCAGATCATCCCGGCTCGAGGACCAAGAAGGGCGGCGAGGCCATGAGCAAGACTGAGGAGGCTATTTTGGCTACGAACCCTATCATGGAAGCTTTCGGTAATGCGAAGACAACGAGAAACGACAACTCGTCGCGTTTCGGCAAGTACATCGAAATCTTGTTCGACAAGGAGACAAACATTATTGGTGCCAAGATCCGGACCTACTTGCTTGAGCGCTCGAGATTAGTGTTCCAGCCTCTTAAGGAGCGTAACTATCACATCTTCTACCAGCTCGTTGCTGGTGTCTCGGAAAAGGAGCGCCAAGAGCTAGGTCTGGGCCCCGTGGAGCAGTTTGATTACCTGAACCAGGGCAACACACCTACCATCGATGGTGTCGATGACAAGGCCGAGTTTGCTGCGACCAAGCAGTCTCTCTCTATGATTGGGGTCAGCGAGGCAAACCAGGCCGAAATCTTCAAGCTTCTGGCCGGTCTGCTCCATCTCGGCAACATCAAGATTGGCGCCTCCCGGACCGAGAGCGTGCTCTCTCCCACCGAGCCGTCCCTCGTCAAGGCCTGCGAGATTTTTGGAATTGATGCCGCTGAGTTCGCCAAATGGATTGTCAAGAAGCAGCTCGTTACCCGTGGCGAGAAGATCACCTCCAATCTGACCCAGGCCCAGGCTGTTGTCGTCAGGGACTCCGTAGCCAAGTTCATCTACTCGAGTCTGTTCGACTGGCTTGTCGAGGTCATCAACAAAAGCCTCGCAGCTGAGGAAGTTTTGAACCGTGTACACTCTTTCATTGGCGTTCTCGATATCTACGGTTTCGAGCATTTCGCCAAGAACTCGTTCGAGCAGTTCTGCATCAACTATGCCAACGAGAAGCTCCAGCAGGAGTTCAACCAGCACGTCTTCAAGCTCGAGCAGGAGGAGTACCTTAGGGAACAGATTGACTGGACCTTCATTGACTTCGCCGATAACCAGCCTTGCATCGACCTCATCGAGGGCAAGCTGGGCATCTTGTCGCTCTTAGACGAGGAATCTAGGCTTCCTATGGGTTCCGACGAGCAGTTCGTTACCAAGCTGCACCATCAGTATGGCAACGACAAGCATAAATTCTACAAGAAGCCCCGCTTTGGCAAGTCCTCGTTCACCATTTGCCATTATGCCCTAGATGTCACGTATGAGTCGGAAGGCTTCATCGAGAAGAACCGAGACACCGTCCCCGACGAGCACATGGCCATTCTTCGCGCCTCTACCAACAGGTTCCTTCGCGAAGTTCTGGAGACCGCGGCCGCCGTGCGCGAGAAGGATGTTGCCGCGTCCGCTTCTAATGCAGTGAAGCCGGCGGCGGGCAGGAAGATTGGTGTCGCTGTTAACCGCAAGCCGACGCTGGGTGGCATCTTCAAGTCCTCGCTCATTGAGCTCATGAACACGATCAACAGCACGGATGTCCACTACATCCGGTGTATCAAGCCGAATGAAGCCAAGGAGCCGTGGAAGTTCGAGGGCCCTATGGTCCTGAGCCAGCTCCGCGCCTGCGGTATCCTGGAAACTGTGCGTATTAGCTGTGCGGGCTATCCTACGAGGTGGACGTACGAGGAGTTTTGTTTGCGCTACTACATGCTTGTGCACTCATCTCAGTGGACTTCAGAGATTCGCACCATGGCCGAAGCCATTCTCAAGAAGGCGCTCGGGTCAGCTCCTCCAGGCAAGCCCGGCATGGACAAGTACCAGATGGGTCTGACCAAGATCTTCTTCCGTGCTGGTATGCTCGCCTTCCTTGAGAACCTGCGCACCAACCGGCTCAATGAGTGCGCCATCCTCATCCAAAAGAACCTGCGCGCCAAGTACTACCGCAAGAAGTACCTGGCTGCTCGCGACTCCGTCGTTGCTTTCCAGACCCTCTGGCGTGCTCACAAGGCCCGCGTGCAAGCGCAGGAGATGCGCACGATCAAGGCAGCCACTACGATACAGAGAGTCTGGCGTGGTACGAAGCAGAGGAAGGAGTTCCTACGCATTAGGAACGATATTATTCGTGCACAGGCCATCTTCAAGGGCTATCTCAAGCGCAAGGAAATCATGGAGACACGCATGGGCAATGCTGCCATCATCATCCAGCGCAACTGGCGGTCGAGGAGACAAATTCGTGCCTGGAGAGACTTCCGCAGGAAGGTCATTATTGTGCAGAGCTTGTGGCGTGGCAGGCGTGCTCGCAAGGAGTACAAGGTTCTGCGTGCCGAGGCTCGCGACCTGAGGCAGATCTCGTACAAGCTGGAGAACAAGGTCGTCGAGCTGACCCAGACCTTGGGTACCATGAAGGCACAGAACAAGGAACTCAAGTCACAAGTCGAGAACTATGAAAACCAGGTGCAGATGTGGAGGAACCGGCACAATGCTCTGGAGCAGCGCACAAGAGAGCTTCAGACCGAAGCCAACCAAGCCGGTATCGCTGCTGCTCGTCTCGAACAGATGGAGATCGAGATGAAGAAGCTACAGGCGAGCTTCGAGGAGTCAGTCGCCAACGTCAAGAGAATGCAGGAGGAAGAGAGAAAGCTCCGCGATTCCCTCCGCGCTACCAGCTCGGAGCTCGAGGCTGCTCGCCTGGAGAGTCAGCGTCACGAAGCCGAAAAGAATTCGCTTCGCCAACAGCTCGCCGAGTTGCAAGAAGCCCTCGAGCAGGTCAGGAGAAACGCGCCCGCCAACGGTGACAATACGCACAATCACGCCGCTCCTCCTGGCCTCATCAACCTCGTGTCAACAAAGAAGCCCAAGCGTCGCAGCGCCGGCGCCGAGCTTCGGGATATGGATCGCTACAGCATGGCCTACAACCCTCGACCCGTTTCCATGGCCGTGCCTGGCATGAACCGCCAGACCACGCTGTCCGGTTCGACACTGTTCCCCGGTGTGGACAGCATCGAGCTGGAGCTCGAGGCTCTGCTGGCCGACGAGGAGGGTCTCAACGAGGAGGTCACCATGGGCCTCATCCGCAACCTCAAGATCCCATCGCCGACGAGCAATCCTCCCCCGTCCGACAAGGAGGTTCTGTTCCCGTCGTACCTTATCAACCTCGTCACGTCCGAGATGTGGAACAATGGTTTCGTCAAGGAATCAGAACGCTTCCTTGCCAACGTCATGCAATCGATCCAGCAGGAGGTCATGCAGCACGATGGCGACGAGGCCATCAACCCGGGTGCCTTCTGGCTGTCCAATGTGCATGAGATGCTCTCATTCGTCTTCTTGGCCGAGGACTGGTATGAGGCTCAGAAGACGGAGAACTACGAATATGACCGTCTTCTCGAGATCGTCAAACATGACTTGGAGAGTTTGGAGTTCAACATCTACCACACCTGGATGAAGGTATTGAAGCGGAAGCTCAACAAGATGATTATTCCGGCTATCATTGAGTCCCAGTCGCTGCCGGGCTTCGTTACGAACGAGAACAACCGGTTCCTTGGCAAGCTGCTCCAGGGCAGCAGCCAGCCGGCGTACAGCATGGATAATCTGCTGTCGTTCCTCAACAGCGTCTACCGCGCCATGAAGGGCTACTACCTGGAGGACTCCATCATTACTCAGTGCATCACAGAGCTGCTGCGTCTTGTTGGCGTCACTGCCTTCAACGACCTGCTCATGCGCCGCAACTTCCTGTCGTGGAAGCGTGGTCTGCAGATCAACTACAACATCACCCGTATTGAGGAGTGGTGCAAGAGCCACGACATGCCAGAGGGCACTCTTCAGCTTGAGCATTTGATGGTGAGTGGCATTCTACTACTATTGGTTCAGACGACAGCCATTCTAACTGCCTCTTCAGCAAGCGACCAAGCTCCTGCAGCTCAAGAAGGCTACCCTGAACGATATCGAGATCATTCAAGATATTTGCTGGATGTGAGTTCCCTCTGCTCTGGTTGGCATCTATATTCTTTGCTTGCATTATCTCTGACCCTCTATCTCTAGGCTCTCGCCGAACCAAATTCAGAAGCTCCTCAACCAGTACCTGGTTGCAGACTATGAGCAGCCTATCAATGGCGAGATCATGAAGGCAGTCGCCTCTCGCGTCAACGACAAGAGCGATGTCCTGCTCCTCCCAGCTGTCGATATGGACGACAGCGGTCCTTATGAAATCGCCGAGCCCAGAGTCATCACTGCTCTGGAAACCTACACCCCGTCTTGTATGTCTTCTGTTTGTACCAAATTCTTCTTGCAATGATTACTAATTATGCCCCCTAGGGCTGCCTTGCCCGCGCCTGAAGCGCCTTGCCGAGATCGTCTCCCAGCAGGCTATTGCCCAACAGGAGAAGCTCGAGTACGAGCAGCAGCTTGCTGCTGGCATGTACGGCGACCAAGACCTTGGCGATGACGAAGGCGACCTTCCTCCTGAATCCGAACTCGAGCCTCCCCGTCGCCCTACCTCACTGACGGCTAGCTCTTAGAAGGATGCAGCTACCCATGGTCTTTCCCGTACCCCTCCCTGTGGTACCGGTGCCGGCCAAAGTGTCACGGATGGGGGAGTGACGGTGGAGACAGGAATAACGCTCACTGCTCCCGGACCTTTCGGCGGTGGCGTGTTGATGTCGGGTGGTGTCATGCTCGGCAGTGGTAAGCCCCGGCCGACTACCATGCTGTTTTCGCCGTGGAAGAAGGGCGGCTTTGAGCACAAGGAGATCGTGGAGGAGGACTGCGATAAGGCGGAGTTGATTCGAAAGAGCCGGAGCAGCAGCGTACTGTGAAAGGGACGGGATAATCTGGAGAGGTGTGGCCACACCTGGGTACTGCTGCTGTCATGATGGAGGCCTTCCGGAATGTAGCCGTGTGATTGATGGGTAAGCGGAAGGTGAAAGCGGATGAATGGGTGGAGGTTACTAGTGCCTGGCTGTGAGTGATGCCAGATATTGGAACTTTTCCTTTGTGCCCTTTTTCTCATTTCCTTGTCCCGCTGCATATTACTGGGAATTCAGGGATATGAAGCGAATTGAACGGGTTAGGTGTGAACTTGCCTTTTCTCTTTCTCTGTAGTGGTTTCTTTGTTCGTTAGTGTGGTCTCTTCCCCCCCCCCCCCCAAATTTCTGTTGTCTACTTTTGTTTTCATGGTCCCAAAAAGGCTGTTTGATCTTGGAGACCGCGGCCCCAAGACGACGCCAAGTTGTTTCCCTCAACGGACAGTTTACACCATCAGCAGGTTAGGAGATAGATAAAACTTTAATGGAGGTTATCTGGTACATTGTATGGGGTTTCATACAGTATTGACTCAGTATTGGACTTTTATGGTGCTGATTTCCGATGAGAAAAGGGGCAGAAGACTTATAGCAGTTCTACATACTGTGTGTGGACATGATGCTGTTTTTGTCACATGCCTTCTATGCATATATGTTGACCCTGCCGTTCTCATAAGTGCAGAACAATATCAAGTATATATCTTTTAATTTCAAGATCATCATTCTTTGAATGTTAGATGCAGAGTTGGAGTCTAATCTTTTACCCTGAGAAACAATTGAGTGTAGCAGCACAGTGGGGATCGGAACTCTGACACATGCGCAACCTGGTTGGATGCAGTAAAAATAATTTTTGGGCAGCCGAAGTCACCCTTCACTTACACTGTTACCCCACGTTACCAATCCCCTTAGCAACGACGCGAGATCTTTTCAGACCCTAAAAAGGTGGACGCCCATAAGAGGTTAACTATAGACCAGAAGGTCAACTGAAGAACTAGGGGAACACAATGGCGCCGCCGCGTAGCTTACCCAACATTATCATCACAGGCACCCCCGGCACGGGCAAGACCAGCCATGCCGAGCTTCTCGCTGAGCGCACTGGGCTTAAACACATCTCAATCAACCAGATCGTCAAGGACAAGGAGTGCCATGAGGGCTATGACGAGGAGTACCAGAGCTGGATTGTTGATGAGGATAAGGTTGGTGTTTTCTCACTCATAGCATCATCTCATAGCTACTAAACCAGTTGTGTTCAGCTTCTTGATGCCATTGAGGACGAGGTCACCAAGGGCGGGTGCATAATAGACTGGCACGCGTGTGATCTGTTCCCCAAGAGCTGGATTGACTTGGTGGTGGTATTGCGGGTTGACACAGCGACGCTGTATGACCGGCTTACGGAGAGGTGAGTTTTCACACCCGGAAACGTCTTCATGGACACGCTCTGTTGGGTGGTAAATGAGCTAATAGGCTGCGTAGGAAATACCCCGAGAAGAAGCTTCAAGAAAATATCGATGCTGAAATCATGGACGTGCTGATTCAGGAAGCACGAGAGGCATACGATGAAGAGATTGTAGTGGAATTGGAGAGCGTCACAACCGACCAGATGGAAAGCAACGTGGAGAGAATTGAGCAATGGCTGAAGCAGTGGAAGGAGGACAACGGGGTCGCTACATAGCCAGCAAATCTGCTCAGGATCGTGTTGAATTGCTGAGCTTAAAAAGACTCAAACTAAATCCATAATGATACATGAACCTTGGCCACATCTGATGTCAGGATCTTTTATGAAATGAGTTTGTAACAACTGGAGCGTTTATGCGGTAAATAGAAAAATATGCCCCCTTAACAAAATTTACTCCTCCAACAGCCCCTCCAAAACCCCGCTACAAGGACTTTCATTCCAGCGGAAGCCTTCTATCCCCCGTAAACAAGCTCAGTTCCGGTCCGTTTCCTTTGCCCGAGAACATAAGCAGATCAAGCCACGGAAATGGCTAGGCCCGCTGTCAACTTCATCACTGGAAACGCCAATAAGCTGGGCGAGGTCAAGGCGATCCTGGAGCCGGCCATCGAGGTCAGGAGTCAGGCCCTTGACCTGCCCGAGATCCAGGGCAGTTCAATGGAGGAGGTGACCATTGACAAGTGCCGGAGGGCTGCCGAGCTGGTATGTTGGCATTTGCTTTTCACGGTATATGTAAACAGGAGGCTAATTGAGAGTAATTTCCAAGGTTGGCGGCCCTGTCCTGGTGGAGGACACGTGCCTTTGCTTCAACGCGTTGAACGGACTGCCGGGGCCATACATGTACGTCGGTGCCTTGGGGGCCTGGACCCCTGAACTTAAGACGCTAATCCACCTCCCAGCAAGTGGTTCCTCAAGTCTATCGGTCATGAAGGCCTCAACAATCTGCTGGCTGCCTACTCGGATAAATCGGCCAAGGCTGTTTGCACTTTTGCTTACTCGGCCGGGCCGGGTCATGAGCCAGTCCTCTTCCAGGGCATTACCGAGGGCAAAATCGTGCCAGCAAGGGGACCGTCCAACTTCGGTATGTGTTGTCGCCTTTTGAAAAAAAATGTTGATCTTGCATTTGGTTAAGCGCTGACTCGCTGTGGCATGAAGGCTGGGACCCAATCTTTGAGTATGAGGGCAAGACGTAAGTTTCTGATTGAAAGATCCTCCTGGACATCACGTTCTCGCTGACCATGTCACAGTTATGCTGAGATGGAAAAGGCCGAAAAGAACAAGATCTCTCACCGGGGTAAGGCTCTCGCCAAGTTGCAAGCTTGGTTTGCAGAGCAGGCGTCATCATGATAATTTTGGTTGGAACACGAAACACTCTCGCCTTTCTATTATTGTATCAAAAATTGATAAGTAATATCCGCCGCTCTTGTCTGGTGACATAATCAGCCCGAACGCTGTGTTTCTCGCATGTTCCCCGCTGCGCCATGCCGATAGACAATTCCCAAAGCACAAAGAAAGCCAGAAAACTCCATGTATGCAACGCTTGCATGCCATAGACTTCTACTCCGAATCCGGCCGTAACCTTTGAGGAGTCAGTATTTAGGACGGATACAAGGGTTTGCCATCAACTGGCAACAGTTCCATCACGTACCTCAAGAGTTCAAACTCACGGAAGTTTTTGAGATACCTAGTCCCCCTCCGATACGGTCGCAGAGCCATGTCTGGCAGGGGATGGCGCCATTCCCCCTCCACATTGGTCAAGCGTGTGATGTAGGAAGCGTCGTGGAAGGAAGGATCAAACACGAGAAGGTTCTTAGAACCGCTCTTAAGCCGCTCAAAGCCAATGATCGTTAGAGAGTGGCCGACGTGCTGGAAGTAGATAGGGGGTAGGTTAGTTCGGCGGACACGCTGCGTTGGGTCGAGGACACCGGACTGGAAGTATTGCTCGACGAAATCCATCAGCTCTGCCTCGGCCTTCGCGGAGTCTTTGTTCTTGATGGCGCGAGCTTCGCATCTAATGATAGATTGTGTCAGATGGGGAAGGCTACTGAGAAGAGGGATACTGGTTTACATACGGGATATTTAAGTACCGGAACATGGCTAACGCCTAGGAAACACATGTCAGTCACCAAGTCAAACAGCCGCAGTCAATGTCACTTACTTCTGGAGTTCCAATATATTTTCTGGTGCCACGGATACCTCCCGTCTCTATGCGACCCTGTACATTGATTCCGTGGTCCCAGGCACCCTCAATGTAATCTTGGATTTGAAATATTGAGGGTAACTTGCCACCAAAGGTTTCGTGTCCCTTCATCCTTTTCTCGATTACAAACGAACATACCATCTGGATATTACGATAGCCGCAAAAGCCCCCTACGAGCTGCTTAGCCCTATCTTTCCTTCAAACACAGGCCACAGACTCTACACCTACCTTCCTTCTTAAGTTTAGAGACATGCTGCACGCACGGATGACAGAGATAAGCATACTTGACTGAAGGGCTCTGCTCGAGCAGTTTTGTTATGACAGGAATCACGCCTGAGCTTGTTAGCAGGCTGTTCCAAGACATGAAAACAGAAGAAACGTACCCTTGGCGACCACCTGGCCCTCTCGTTTCAGGAGGTTTACTAGCCAGTCTGGCATGCGCTCTTCATGGGCATACTTCCCCAATTGTGCGGTCTGCTCTTCGTTAGCCCGCTAAAGCCGTGGTTGATTAAGCAAGATGGCAGCATACCCCAAGACGCTTGATGAGTCTCGTTGCAGCAGACCCATCCTCTGTGTGAGTTTTCTCATGACGTCTTTTCTTAGAGTTATGCCTATGATTTGAGGACGAGGAACCAGGCATCCTGAGAAGATTCTTCCAGAAGCTTATTGCAGAGGCTTGGCGCTCTGACTTAGGTGATTTATGTTCCCGCTTGTGGTGATGCCCTCCCTCACGATGGTGAGGCTTGGGACTGGCAGAATGAGAAGAGGTATGCAAAGTTTGGGCACTGGTGGCGTCTTGTTTCTGCTCCGAGCTTGCAGGAATTGATTCCTCAGCCAAATGCTCAGCAGATCCAGCTGCCTCTTGTTCATGAAGCTCGAGATGGTAGTCCAGGTCGGAGAGCAGTAAGATCTCGCCGCAATCCTCGATTGGACACTCAACATAAGCAGGATCCTCGTCCGTGATCGTGGCACCAGATGTTTGGTCTTCCTGGGCAACAAATGGTGAGGGATCCTCAGAATGAAGGGTCTCGATATGCTAAAGTTATGTCAACGTCGTCGCCCACAAGACCTTTAATAGGAAAGTTGGAGGAGAGAGGTTTGTCCCCAGAGCAGCGGAGTTGCAATGGATGCTAAAGACTTACAATCAACATTTCATATTCGCCTGTCCTGCTTTTCCAGCCACAGAACGGGCAGAGAATTTCCTTGTCTTGTTCCATTTTTTTTTACGTTGTGAGCTTGTTAAACCCAATTTTCTTTGTGTGAATTTAGAGGAAGAATGAATGCCGAGGCCATGGGCATGGAGCAGGATGTGTGGTGTTTAAGGGTGTGGAAGTGAAAACGTAGGTAGAGTCCCGGAGGTGCTAAGTGAGAAGTTGGCAACTTGGCGGATAGGCCATGGCATGCGATTTTACTTTTGACAACGTACAATGAAGAACGTGTTTGACTGAGCAGATGGCAGATCGTATTGTGACAAGTCAGCCAGGCAAGCAGGCAGGTGACCGCTGACAATTGAGACGGTGTAGGGCCAACGGGTACCAAAGCCAGGTGGCCCAGCCAGACCTCAGCTGTTTGATGGCGTTTGCACGGATGGCAAGGGCCATCCGGCATTTCCTTCCTGGGCCGAGGTGCTGCATAAGGGGGTTCCCTTGGTGAGTGATGGCTTCCATGCTGTCTTTTGGCTATCTCACCATCATGGATGCGTGTCCCTTAAGGACAGAGTCACAGAATCGCAGGTTGGTGATTGTGCTAACACACTCGAAGGCAAATAACACCACGGTCCACTGCAAACTCTCAGCGAACGATGCCAAAGCATTCTTGGAATGCAATGAAATTTCACAGGTTACATTGCTGTTTACGTTACGGGTCGTGTCACATTGACGATTCATATGCCAGATATAGACTTCTAGAACCGGCCCATTCACCATTATTGCTGCTAAGTCACGAGTGTTGGCAGCACCAACAGCTACCAGATGCACAGGCACCAAGCCAACAAAGCCTATATACTCGCAACTGAAACCGGTCTCAAAGAATGTCCCGTTCCCCAGCCAGATCTTTGTTCACATTGATGCCAAGAAGCGTGGAGACAGCACACTACAAATTACTGTGTAGAAACTTAGGTCAGGATTAAATGCCCGGCTGTTTAGGCCCCTGGACAGAACTGAGCTTCTGGCATTAGCAATTACAACAGATGAGGTTCGAAGCGGTAACGGCTCTGATAGTGTGCATTGATATCATTGCGATATTTCAACCAGTGAACTACTCCAGTTACCTCGGGTACTTGCTATCGCCACCTGAGATGCCTTCTGCCCTGCCTGATACGTAATGCATCATTGCCTCTCTAAATGCATATCGGTTGAGTCACAGAAGGATGCGACACCAAGGGCTGTTTCTGAACCCCTGGTCTGGTATTGGTTACCCCACCTTCCATGTCTCCCCCACCCTGCCAAAATAATTCTGCCCCGCCATAACATTAGACACATAGCTTCTCCCCGTGCTTTTGGTGTCCCCTTGGTCCTCTCCTGCGCGATCTTGGGCTTCTCCAGTTTGCCGAATCGATCTAGTGGTTTGCGCGATCCTGAACAGATACATCAATCAAAATGCTTGATATCAACGACTTCAGTACGATCCCCAACTGCGTCTTCTCGTGGCTCGAGGCTGTATCAGAACCTTGATATGTTGCCCGGGTTTTGTACTCGAGACCAATTGCGCTCGTCTCGCGACTTGGCGTGCGGTCAGTCTTTGAGTTCGCCATGTTGACCCGATTTCTGTCCAGTTGTCGAGCGCGGCGGCGACCCTGAGAAGATCAGGGAGAGCCAGCGTAAGCGCTATGCCCCCGTTGAGATCGTCGACGAAGTCATTGCCATGTGGGAGGACCACCGCAAGAGTGAGTTAACAACCACAATGCGCTGTCACCGTCGCCAGTCTATCCCCTGACCAGTACTGTCCAACCCATAGCCGCCTATGCCGCCACCCAGATCAACGCCAAGATCAACGAGGTCCAGAAGCAAATTGGCCCCAAGAAGAAGGCATGAGCTCCAGCTGGAGATGGTTTTTGGTATGGACTCTAACTGGTGTTCAGGCCAAGGAGGATGTCACCGACCTCTTGAAGCAGAAAGGTAGAGAACCCAGGCGTTGCTCCACTGCTGAGGGAAATGCTGACATGCCGTAGCCGACCTGGAGAAGGAGAAGAAGGATCTGCTCGCCTCCGCCGCCGAGAAGGAGAAGGCCCTGAAGGCCAAGGTGCGCACCATCGGCAACATCGTCCACGAGTCCGTCCCCGTCTCTGACAACGAGGACAACAACCGTGTTGAGCGCACCTGGGCCCCTGACGGTGTCACCTTTGAGAAGCGCAATGTGCTTTCTCGTGAGCCCTGCCTACTTTTTATATGCTGAGGAAGAGGCTACTGACAGTATTTAAAAAGATCACGAGGTCCTCGCCAAGCTGGATGGCTATGATCCGGATCGAGGTGTCAAGGTTGTTGGCCACCGCGGCTACTTCCTGCGCAAGTGGGGCGTCTTCCTTAACCAGTACGACTTATATACCCCGGTCTCTGATACACGGTCCAGTTCTAACGTTGCGCAAGGGCCCTTATCAACTACGGCCTCGAATTCCTCTACAACAGGGGATATATTCCCCTCCACACCCCACAGCTTATGCTGAAGGAGCAAATGGCCAAGACCGCTCAGCTCTCGCAGTATGTGTTTCGCGAAAACTTTGCCTATGTGTTTGGCACCGCCATGTCTGACTTTATCCAATAGGTTCGATGAGGAGCTTTACAAGGTCACTGGTGATCAAACTGAGAAGTACCTTATTGCTGTATGACGCCCTCTATCCCCGCCATTGGCAAATCAGTTCTCTAGGATACTGACCAGCCCAGACTTCAGAGCAACCGATCAGCGCCTACCACGCTGACGAGTGGCTTCAGCCCAAGCAGCTGCCCCTGAAGTAAGTTTTTGCGAATCCTGCTCGTGAAGCATCATGTTGATTCCGTCCAGGTATGCCGGCTACTCTACCTGCTTCCGGAAGGAAGCTGGTGCCCACGGCAAGGATGTTTGGGGCATCTTCCGTGTCCATGAATTTACCAAGGTCTGTACTGAGCATCTGATTTGGAACCTCATCTTTACTAACCCAGTGCTAGGTCGAACAATTTTGCATTACGGACCCTGAGAAGTAAGTTGCCCAGAGATTCAACACCCACTTTTGGACCCACATTTACATCAACAGGTCTTGGGAGATGTTCGAGTCCATGATCTCGACTTCGGAGGAGTTCTATCAGTCTCTTGGCATTCCCTACCGGGTGGTCGCTATCGTGTCTGGCGCGCTCAACAATGCTGCGTCCAAGAAGCTCGATCTCGAGGCCTGGTTCCCGGTACGCTGGCAATCTTCTGATATCTAAAGACTTGAAATTGTAGAAATTAACCAGTGTTTCTCACAGCACCAAGGAGAGTTCAAGGAGCTGGTCAGCTGCTCGTAAGTTAGAGCTTATCAATGAGCCCCAAGAGGACATCTGCTGATCGCTCATGCTACAGGAACTGCACGGACTACCAGAGCCGTGATCTGGAGATTCGCTTCGGCATCAAGAAGCAAACCGATGTCAAGAAGACCTACGTGCATTGTCTCAATTCCACCCTGACTGCTACCACGCGCACTATCTGCGCTATTCTAGAGAACTTCCAAACAGAAGACGTATGTCTCATTAAGCGCTGCGGGTCTTCTACTTTAACTAACCAGTCTTCCAGGGCGTTAAAATCCCCGAGCCCCTGCGGAAGTACCTGCCAGGTGCTCCCGACTTCATCCCCTTCGCCAACACGGCGCCTGAGAAGAAGGAGAAGGAGATTCCCGTGCGGTAATGATACAGGCGATATAGAACCTCGGGAGGAAATGGTTCCAGAGAGATGAGCCTTCTGCGAGTTAGATAAATCGAAGGAAGCCTAATGGCGGCCAACGTGATGATATCAGATATGCTAAGAGTATTGAAGAATCGATGTTGATGTCTTGTCGGATTTTTGTATCAATTCGAGGATCTTTCACCAAAATAATCGACAAACTCTAATACAAAAAGACCGTCATGCTCATGGGCTACTGTCTAGTCTTCATACATCCCATCTGATAAAATTGACGTGTGAAAGCTACTCTTGACAAGACCCATGAATGCTGCCATGACCTTCGTCAACGTCCAGATACCATCATCATCCAAGGTTGCCCTTCCAAGTCCACACAAAGAAGCCAGGTACCGTCAGTTCATAATGCCAAAATCAATCCCAATATACAAAATGATAACCACAATGCCCGGAAGCCAGGCTTACTTTGGCCTCGGGAACCACAAAAGACCATTCCTTCCACAGCATTACCGTCTCGTGACAACCGAAACCCGTGTTGAAGCCAAAAACCGGCCAAGTAGAATAAAAAAAAGGGAACTTAGAGCCGAAACAGGATGGGATGAAAGCAGAAAACAAGAGGAGAAAAGAGGAAAGGCATCACTCTCTCCCAACTCTTACCGGGCAAAACCGAACTTGTAAAAACAAAGAGAAGGAGGAGTAAGAAAACACATGATATCATGCCTATCTGCCCCTGCCTAACCATCTTCCTAGCAGGGAAAACGTAAAATCAGGGGTAGGAAGCCCGTCGACAGAATGTGACGAGGACACACAATCACATGACGATACACTTGCTGCCCTCACTATTCGCGGTCGGGTTCTGTGACTTTTCGATCTCGCCGATGAGCATCTCGAAGGCTTTAGCCACATTCTCATTATAGCGAGCACTGGCCTCGGTCCAGGCGCACTTGTACTTGTCGGCCAGTGCCTTGCCCTGCTCGGGGGTGACCTGGCGCTGCTCAGGGCGCAGGTCGCTCTTGTTGCCGACGATGACGATCGGGACGCTGTCGGTGCCCTGAAGGTGGGTAAGGTTGTTAGTTCATGGAGAACTAGCGGCAGAGAAGGCAACATACCAGATGGTTGAGGATCTTGTCGCGAATGACCTGCACCATCTCAAAGGACTGCAGCGACGACACACTGTACACCAGCATGTAGCCGTGGGTGCCGATCACTTGCTTCGAATTGAGGATACTGTACTCATCCTGGCCGGCTGTGTCGACAATTTCAGTTGCATACTCTTGGCCCTTGTACTTGATCTCCTTGGAAAATGTACTCTCGATGGTCGGGTAGTAACTCTCGACAAAGTGGCCGTCGACGTAGCGGACCGCGAGCGACGATTTGCCTGTTGGTTTGCGGTTGGACTTGTGGTTAGCAGTGTGTGGTGGGGGTGTGATGCGCGTATGGGAGGGATCGGCGCTGCCGCAATCGGTTCGTCGGTGACCATGTGGGATGCCGATAATGAGAGTATTGATGCTGAGTCTTTGAGATAGTGATCACGTACCGACCGAGCGGCTGCCGACTATGGCAATCTTCCGCTGTTTAGCAAGAGAAGGCATTTATGCGTTGGCTGGCGGCTGCCGAGTCGCAGAGCCAGACAGGTATAATCGGTTGAGTTTGGTTGGGGAATCCAAGGGCCGGTGGCGTTGCGGCAGTGACTCCGGCTCGATACGATGCGACGCGATCCGGCTGGGCTATTCGCTGACGGATCTGAAGAGGCTCTTGTCAAACGATTGGACCAGCTAATTGGAAGTCTTTGTCCAGATATCGGATGGGATCAAGCCCCACGGTAACAATCGCACGATCGAGCAGTAGGTAAACAGTTCGGTTCTGGTGGCGGGTTGATGCTTTGGGATGGGATCAAAGAGAAGGGGGCAGGGAGAGGAGTCGAGACCTTCAAAGTCAGACCAAAAACACCAAGGGACACTGGCAGCGCTGGTTATACAGGCAGAACGCAAGCAGGAAGGGCAGTGAAGTGTAAAGAAAGGCGTTGTAGCAACGAAAAAGAAGAATTGGGCCAGATGGTGCCGGGGCGAGAAGATGCGACAGTCCTCCAAAGACCCAAAACACAAGCGCTTGTCAAGCACACAGGCACACGCAGGAGAGGCGACGATGCGGGGTGGGCCAGACCACTTCTGGAAGCCCTTCTGTCAATCTTGGCATCGGCTGTTGGCAAGGGTCGACCGGCCGGTTCCAGCCGCCCCACCTGAGGCTTTGCCCAGGAAGCTCTTCTGTTGGCGCACTGGCCCGGCGCTGACATTGTTAAAATGGTCCGCTGGTGGGTTCCAGCACTTTGTGCGACGATCCAGTGGACTGGCGACCGCAGCGCTGAGCATGTGACTCAGGCCCCAGAATGCACGCCGGCGACTGCAGCTGCCACGCGATGCCAGCAGATACCAAATGCCGGATGCTAGATGCTGCTTGGAAGATGCTGGACGCTTGGAGATCTGTTCCGGCTGCAACTATATGGTTCACGGGCAGACCGACCTCCGGAGCAGCACTAAGGCAATGAGCCTGGTAGATCACCCAGGTATTCATTCCGTAGGTTGAAGCAGCAGCATCCAGACAGAGGGGCAGGGATGCAATGGACAATCTTGGTCACGATCATGTCGAGCAAAGCATCAAGCACTATCATTGGAGGCCTGGCATGAACGTGTATTTTCTTTTTCTTGTTTTCCTTTGATGTTGCACTGGTCCGCGAAAGTTGGTTGCTCATAGGTCATGCGCTCGCGTCCATCATTACGCCCACCGTCCGCCCGACCAGTATAATGGCTCCGAACTCAACGTCATAGAAAGGGAAATCCTACGCGTTCGCCGTGCTACCTAACAGCCATCACCCAATCCTAGCCTACCATTTTATGCAAGCTGTGTTCCCATCTCGTTCTCATCGCCCAAGCCTATTATCCCTTCCCTTAACCCTTAACGCCCAGTCTAGAACAAGGACAGAACCCTACCATACCTGTGTATTAGAGCCCAGAAGAGAGCATGCGTCGTGTAAAATGGTCAGACGGCTAAATAGATGACCAGCCCTCAACGCAGATCGGCAAGCTGCTCGACTAGGTTCTTCAACCTCGTCAAGGCAGCCGACTCAGCACCATGCCCTGAGCCCAAACCCGTATCCTGGGCTTCAGCAATCTTTTGGTGAAAAGCAATGAACTCCTTGATGGAGTCGAGCAGTGGCTGTAAGCCCTTCTGAGGATGTATTTCAACAAAGCGGGAGCGGATCGGGCTGCGCAGGCAGAGGTATCCCAGAAGAATAGAGAGATAGCCCAAGGCAACGTTAAGCTGCGTCTCTTCCATGGAGTCGGCCTGTTACTCGTGTCAGTGAACCATATTCTTTCTTTCGTCTTTTTTTTTTGGAAATGTGAGAGGTGGACCTACGTCCGCTGTCTTGGCGTGATTTTCTGCGAATATCTTCATCAACCCATCGAGCGGCTCCGATCGTCCTCCATCTCCCTGGAGGAAGCCCGACGCAGGAGGGTAATACACACAAAAATTGATCATGGCCCCGAGCATCATAATAAGAGACTCGAGCACTTTAGTCACTGCAGCTAATTCCTTTTCCTCGTTCTTGTCTCTGAGCGTGTTGACCACGATCCCAAACGCACTACACGCTGACTCGGCCAAGCGGCGCAGCAGTCCACGTTCTGCGAACAGGCGCGATGCTTCCTCATTATGGTTGGTAATGTTGAGCGAGATGCGAAGTGCGAGATTTTCTAGATCGGCAAGCTCTTGGACAGGCTTTTCGAGCGCCTTCTCCAACGTGCTGGCAACGATAGGTGCGTACTCCCTCGTCCAGGTCACGCTACTTAGAGGCGACTGCATAGCATTAATGGAGTGGCCCTCGAGCACGTAGAGCGAGAGATAGAGGTCGATAGCTTCTGGCTGGTCGGGGAAGTCCCAACAGTCTGAATCGTTGATGCTGTCGGAGACGATGGAGAACAAGTGCTCTGTAACTTCCCCGTTGAGGAGTTCGTCTTCAGCAGCGAAGGTTTGCGCCGAAGGCTGTTGCATGAGCACATCCAAACACTTCAAGGCCAGCGTGCGTGGCGACAGTCGTGAAGGAGCAAACTTCTCCCAAACGGGCAGCTCGAGGAGCGAGTACTTTATCGTCGTCAGAGTCATCTGCCCATTCTTGGAGACATTCTGCTTTCGATCCTTCGCGATTTGGGTGATGTCCGTGGTTTGCCCGAGCAGTCGACTGACAAGAGTGGCAAGCCCCTGTGAGCGAAGCTCACAAACTAAGTGAGCCGACGTAGTAGCAGCAAGCAGGGTAGTGACTATGGCCAAAATAGCGTATCCAGAGACGACGTCAGTCTCATCGCCGAGAGACTTGAATAGGTTTCCACTATCACTGTGATTACGGAACTGCTGTCGGAAATCCTTATTTTTGATCTTCTGGGCAACTTCGAGCAGAGCACCCCGTCTCAGCAATGAGGACTTAGCTGATGGCGTGCCAACCCTGTCAAGGATGTCGTCCATCTCATCGGCAAAGCGGCTGTTGGCACCCGCTTGCCTCAACTCGTGAAGGCTTCGAACAGCACCAGAGTTCTGGGTGTCATCCTCCTCATCGAGATAGGAAAATTTGCTAGCGGTCGAGCTTTTAGTCAATTGTCCAAATTTGAAAAACGCACTGCTTGAAGAAGCGTTGCCCAGACTGGCACCGCTGCCACTGCCTCCTAACAGCCAGTCATCGTCATCGGCAAGCATCGTCCTCTGCTGGCTGTAGGTGAACTTGGGGCCGGCCTTTTTGGTGGCAGCCATGATGGGGCGGGGGATGGTTCCTGAAGGACTGGCAAGCGAAGCGTGTGACAAGTTGGATTCAGAAAAGGCAAAACGAGGAGGAATGGTAGCAGCAGCATTGCGGCTTCCCGAAGGTTGAGCCGATGGGACATGATCATCAGAATCGGATGAACTGCTTTCTTCTTCTGCCTGGGCAGCTAAAGCATCGATTAACCGTCTCTTTCGAACGGGCTGTGCAGGGGACAGTGCCTGGGCACTGGATGCCGAAGGTTGCGATGGCGGTGTTGTTTTAGGGGCGGGTTTAGACCGGGATGAAACGGAGAGGCGGAGGGGGATCATTTGTCTCCTAACGTCCGGAGAGTTGGAACTAATGCTTAAATTTTTCAAGGTTCGAGCCGTCTTTGCCGAGAAGGGCATTGAAATGGGGGCATTGTCCCTCATGTCAACATCTCTCTCGGGAGTGGTTTGTCCAGAAACGGAAGCAGTCTTCTTGCTGCGTTCACATTTTGTATTGTCGCCAACAGGTGATCTGTCTCCAGTGGGGGATGAGTCTGGTGTTGAATAAGGGCCAGTGGGCTTTCCCTGGTCCGACTCTTCTCTTGTGAGCCTGCGCTTCTTAGCCCTCTTAGCTTCGTCCTTCTCTTGCTTCATTTTAGAAGGCCCAGAGCTTGGCTGGCTTTGTGCTTCTTCAACAGCAGGCTTCACGCGTGCTCCGGCACCATATTTTTTAGTGTTATTCTGGCCAGATTTGGTAGTGTCGGCAAGGCGCATCGTCACTGAAGGGAATTCTGGAGAGCCAGAGGAGGACTTTGAGAACGTAGGAATCACAGGAGCCGACTCCGTGTGTCTCAAAGTTCCAACTACCCTCGGCTGGACCCTTCGCCTGGCAGCCTTCCCGTATGTTGTGATTCTCTTCTTTGGAGTGAAGCCGAAGAGGGCATCCGCGCTGTCAGCCATCGTGAAAGGATTGCAGTAGGAAGAGCGCGACAAGAAAGGCAAATGCGGGGACTGTGGGCGTGGGCGATGCGCGAAGATTGTGTAGAGTTCCAGCGAAAAGCGTAAATCAATTCGGCATTTCAGATGGTCGTGCTTGATATACAGGACGCTAGAAGAAGACTAATGGAGGGTAGGATTGGATGACGTCCTGGGCCAAATAGAGCGCAGAGGGAGACGGGACCAGATGCCGGATGGTTGGCCTAGGCGCGGTCGCGCTGAGACCTGTTGTCAACTGTCGCGCAATGGAAGCTGCACGGCCCGGGAGCAGATAGGGGTTAACAAAGCAAAATGTCACGATGTCGTATCCATCAAGCGACTCTGCGCCAGAGGAGTTTAAATCGAAGAGCTGTTACCGCGGGGTTCTTTATGGGCAGTGAATGTTGACGCACTCGCAGGTCGCAGGTTGGCCATGGCGCTGTTGTTGTGTTTGGAAACAACCTCAACCCCGGTCCTACGCTGCATGACTTGCCAAGAAACAAATTGCCCCACGCTGTTCCTGCAAGCAGCCCGGCCCTGCTGCAACAATCACTGGTGCCTTGATCCGTGCGTCAGTAATCGGTGGTCGGTAGTGGGGCTGGGATCCGTTAGAAGGTGGGGCGCCGTTTTCCTTCAGCTTTCGAAGATCAGTTGGCATCAAATGGGCTGATGATCTCAAAGGACTGCGTCTGCGAAAGGGAGAGCTTAGTTCTGCCCTTAGCTTTGCTCTCCTGGAAGAAAGATACGGCTTTTCTCTCTGGAGAACTGCTCGGTTTGCTTGACCGCGACCGCTTGCTTCTTCCTCGGTATAGCCACAAAAACCTCTTTGTTCCCGGAGCAGGAGGATTCCAGCACTATGGGATCACGACCCGAGTATCCAGAAAAGCAGAACTGACCTATCATACCCGCTAGAGTTGTCTTTCAGCTCTCTGACGCCTGTCGCATTGACCAGCCCCCGAACTCTTATTTAACTGGGCTGGCAGACACTTCCAAGAGCCCAGGCTAGCACCTTTAAAATTGTCATCGCCAAAGCTAAGTACAAAGCCACAGATCCTTCGTAGACCAAGTAGCATTGCTCAGGGGTTTGTTATCCATTACACCTTGCGTTCTGTGGGCCGTAGCGATAAGGACAGAACCTAATGTTAGGACTTGGATAGTGTGTGCAAGGGAAGGCCCATGTGGCGTCTGTGTCTGTGGTCCAGCCAGCTGCCTTGTATGGTGGGGTTGGACTGGATTCCCTGGCTGCATGGGAGGGTTCAAGATGCCCGATTTCTCTGCTTACAGAATCCCAAAATTTGCCTGAACCACTCAGAAAACCCAACTGGACGCATATCCGTCGTCTAAGTACGTTCTTATAACTATTTTGTCGATACCCCAGTTGTTTAGCTTGTTTCGATCACAAATTCTCCGGTATGCATGCTCCTCCGCATCTCTTTGTGAGGGGTCGGGCTTCTCCATGCTCATCGTTTCTTGCTTGTATAGAGTCCATCCTGTCACCATGTCCGACACCAAATCATCCGTCGGCCCTGATTACCAGCATGAGAGTCAAAAGCCGACAGCAACGGTTTCTACCCCAGTAGAGGGCGTCGGTTCTCTCATCGTTCTCCCTCAGACTCCCCAGCTGATTGCTCTGCTCTCGTGAGTGGCGTCTCCCCTCGTGTGGTGAGCAACATCATAAAACAGTGAGATTCTAATGAACAGCTCCTAGCATAATCCGTAACAAGGATACCAACCGCGGAGACTTTATCTTCTACGCCAACAGGATCATTCGTCTGTTGGTAGAGGAGGGTCTCAACCATCTGCCTACAGTCGAGCACACCGTAACGACGCCTGTCGGCCGGACCTATGATGGGCTGGCATTCCAAGGCAAGATCTGTGGTGTGTCTATTATGCGGGCCGGAGAGGCCATGGAACAAGGTTTGAGGGAGTGCTGCCGGTCCGTCAGAATCGGTAAAATCTTAATTCAGAGAGATGAGGAAACGGCCCAACCAAAGCTCTTTTACGACAAGCTTCCCGATGATATTGCCAACAGATGGGTCCTCCTGCTTGATCCCATGCTTGCCACGGGTAGGCCTCTTTTGAACTCTCAGGGAGCGCGTTTGTGTTCGGTATAGCTGATGTATTTTGCCCAGGTGGTTCTGCCATTATGGCGGTGGATGTTCTAAAGTCTCGCGGTGTTCCCGAGGAGCGCATTCTGTTCCTGAATGTTTTGGCGAGTCCTCAGGGCGTCCGAAACTTTGCCAGCAAGTACCCCAAGGTCCGCATCGTGACCGCGTTTGTGGATGAGGGCCTGAATGAGAAGAAGTAAGTCACTCCCTGTCTCTCTCTATCCCGGAACGACGACTGGCTCACCGGATTGCTTATAGCTACATCATACCCGGCCTTGGTGATTTCGGAGACCGTTACTATACCCGGTAGAAGACGTTTAATGCAGCAGTCTGGTAATGGAGAATATTTCATTGCACTATTAGCGTATGTATCAAGAGATTCCATTTTGCATGACCGTGAATCCCTTCCGGAATAACTGCCAGCATTGAGAGCAGTAATCGTAGAATTATGCCAGTGCCAGGACGTCAAAACTCAAACCCATATCCATATTCCAAGGTAATTTATGCTTATGTTGGGAAAAGATCAAACGCAGTCCTGAGGACGTCTCAATCATAGTCCTCATCATCAGGCACAATGCCCTCGCCTTCGTAGCCACCACGCTCATCGTCATCATCATCGTGTACTCGGCGGCTTGAGCCGCCGCCCCGACCGCCAGACAGCTTCTCAGCCATGGCTTCAGCGGCGGCTTCCTGGGCCACAGCTTCTGCAATCATACGTCAATATCTCACGAGACAAAAAAATCAAGTCTCCTTCGTGTCATACCTGCAGCGTCAACCCATTCGCTATAGACATCAATCGGAGCAGAAAGATCTATCGAACTTGTTAGCAAAGGCAACACTAGCTTAGATTAAGAGACAAGTCAGGCTGAATGCTTACAGTTGATTCCACACTGGAACTTCTGGCCACAGACCTTACATTCAAGATTGCCTACCCCGACCTTCTTATCCAGTTTGATCTCAATGGACCTTTCGTGGTTGCAGAACAAGCACATGAATGTCGTAGGAAGGGGTTCGCGCTAACGAGCAGGTCAATAAGACTTTCTCGGTGTAGAGAGAAGGGGCTATGCTCTAAGCCTACTTTCTTTGGGCCCTGTGGCTTCCGCGAACTCTTTTTCCTCTTACCCATTGCGTTGGAGGATGTAAGAGTAACTGGGGATGATAAACAGTTGGCTGCCTTGCGTGGCGGCGCTGAAGAGAGGCTGAAACGAGCTTGGTTCGATGGTTTCAGGATGGAGTTGTGATATGACTTTCAGGGCCTGTGGTTAATGTCCTGATTACTTCGGTACAGGCTAGATTTGGGTTGAAGTTCCAGCCCTCACTTCACACAGGGAGTGAAAGGTCGCGTCAGCTTTTCGAGGCGTGTTAAGGCGAGAAAGCTAAAGTGGATGATCCGTTGAAGGCAGAGAGTGGGGCCAGCTCGTGTGGACGCTTGGACCACATCATGATGGCGCAGGTACACAGTACGTCACGTTCACACACCACGGGGCTATGAACCTTCAACTTGAGACCACTCGGTGTTAGTGATGATTAGATGGGATTCATATAAATATCCCATTCGAGATCATGCATTATCGGTATGTAGCAGGAGGAGATAAGATGTGATTGGAAATCTCAAGCAAAATCAAGCTAATGGGGGAACCTACACAACAACGAGTAGGTTTGCACATGCGGCAACGCAGTCAAAACGCAGACAAAACAGGTTGCCCATATTTCCATAAGAGATCGGGATTGTTCAAGGTAAGATAATTGTCACCCCAGATGGTTTTAGAGAGTGCAGATGAAGTCAGGAAACTTTGGTCAAATGGCGACATTTAGTTAGAATAATATGGTTTCTTGGCAAGAAATATTCTCTGATTTAAAAAAAGATCCTACCCTCGGAAACATAGATCTGACGAAATGCAATGGTATCCAAACTATTTCTCATGAAAATGAAGAAAGCCTAAATGTATATCAGAATTATCCCCCCCTTCCCCCCCCCCCCACCAACTACCCAAAAAAGGTTCAATCTGGGAGAAAACATACCTGCCCAACTTTGCACGTCATTAATACAGCAACTCCCCGCCCCTGACCATCTTCTTGAACTCGTCATCAGGCTCAACAAACTGGTATGCTTCTCCCCTTACCACACGATCAACCTCCTCACGGATAAACGGGTACACATCTCTCCACGCGTTTCTACCCATCCAGCAGTCCAGATGCCCGTACCCAGGCACCATTTTGCGGCGGTACTCTCCATCAGGAAAGATGTCGCACAACACCTCGTATGTACGTTCCGTAGCTTCAGGTGACAGAACATCATTGTCGCGGCCGTGGAACAGGAAAATCGGAATGCCCTTAAGCCGCCGAATGTTCTCCTCCGTGTCAAGCCGCTCGAAGTGCGGCGCGCCCGACATGACATGGCCGCCGTCATAACCCATGCGCATCAGTAGGTGCAGCATGGTCATGTTGACACCGCCGAAGAAGCGGTCGATCTGCCGGTGCGTGGCCTCATTAAGGTTTGCGTGGTTCCAACACCGGCCAAAGACGAAAGTCGTCCGATGGCAGGACGCATTGTGGCAGAGCTCGTGACGCGGCTGCGGGAACAGCCGCAGGAGCTGGTTCAGCACACGCTGCACGTACGGGTCGTTGCGAGGGTTAGAGGACGTGCTGCATGGGAACCAGTTACCCGCAATGGCGTTGTAGATGCGATCCAGCAACGGCAGTCCGCCGCCCTTGATCATGATCTTGACCGTATTGGGAGGGGACCAGGTTGGGTGCATGAAGACCTGGCTGCAAGTGATGCCCAGAATCCAGTCGGCTGGGATCGTGCCGTCCAGCAGACCGCAGGCGAAGGCTACGCTGCCCATACAATGAGCGATAGTGTAGACCTTCTCCACGTTATAGTTCTCTCGGATATACTCGAGACAGGCTCTCAGGTCATGGCGGGTGTCGTAAGTTGTCCAGTGACTGCCAGGATGCATCAACTTGCTGATACGGTGGACGGTGACAAACACTCGGTAGCCGGCGCGACGGAAGTAGCTAACGGCGTTGTAAGGGATTGTGGGTAAGGCGAATATCTGGTGGTCGACCGACGCGCCAGGGATCATGAACAAGTTACGGATGTTGTCCCGGTCGTTATCGGGGTAGTGTGTTGGCTCCCACACATACATGCGAGTCTTGACCCCATCGGAGGACGTGATTTCGATGGTTTTGGAGTCTTCTGTATAATTGTTGATGAACTTGGGGGATGTCTGAAGAGGGTACTCCAACGGCATGAAAGGCGTCAGGAACTGCGACAATGACTTGCGTGTGAAGAAGGTCAAAAACTTAAGCGCACTATGTGTCTTGCTGAAGGCGTTGCTCCCCGTCGGCTTCAGGGTTGCGATCTGCGTCAAGAAGTCACTTGCCTCGATATGCATGATACCCTTTGCGATGGGTGCTCCTTGACGCCAGGCATCTTCATCGTCGAGGTCGGCACACATGCCGGGGACATGCTCACTGACGGTGACATAGAGCGTCGTGGTGGCCTTCCAGAACTCGGACGGGTCCAGAGCGACCGATGAGTCAACGACCTTGTAGCCGTGGAAATGATACTTCTTATCATTGATCCCCACGATGTCAAAGTCGTAAGTTAGATTCCGAGTGCCAGGCGCATGGTCACTAGAGATAAAGAGATTAAACTCTCCACGTTGAACCATGAACGGTGATCCAGGGATTGTTGGGCAGACAAGTGTGCCTGTCACCATCCCCCGGTGCTGTGCGTGCTTGACCATATCTTCCATGTTATAAGCCTGTACGCTCAAGAAGATACGGGCACTTTCGCAGAGCGACTTGGCACGTCGGAATGCAAGTTCGTACGTGTCGCGGTTGTCCATGGTCAGCTTTGGATCGTAGTGGAGGTAACCAGACATGACCTCCGTATAGCCGAACCCGCTCGCCTGGACCTCATGGGCGTCACGGATGACCTGCTCAGCAAGCTGGAGCTTGCACTGTTCCTCTATATCGTGCGCCTCATCGTGTGCGTCCGGAAGACGAGACTCCCTTGGAGCACGCTGAGGCTCGCCAAAAAGATCAAGGATGCCGTTCTTCTCTTCGCTGATGGTGAGCCCGTGAGAGATAGCCCAAGCCTCAACTGACCGCTCAGCCAGGGCAGCAATGGTTGCGAAAGGATTGGCTCCGAGGGCAGTGGGGATAACGGCTGCGTCAACGACTACAAGCCCATCATACACCTCCTTACCCTTGCCGGTGAAGACCTGGCCAACGTGGTTGGTCACGCCTGTCTTGCCAGTGTTGTCTCTAGACATACATGCTCCACTGTTTTTGGTCAATATCCGTCAGCTAGGAGCCAGGATCACACAAGTAATGGGGAAAATGGGATGATGGAAATGGTATTACATACCCAATAGGATGGACGGTGACCTGTTGGCCCAGCAGTTCATAGAATGGATTCTGAATGAATGTGCCACCCACAGCTTCGGTAGCTTTCTGAAGGATCTGATTCAGTTTTTTGACATGGTGACTCCTGGCAACACCGAGGAACTCGAGGACGGGCTTATCATCTTCAAGTCTTAGAACAGCTTGGTTGCCTGGATCTTATGTCAGCCTCTGTGGCTTCGCTTATGAATCTGCAAGTACTCAGATGTTCACCTACTGTCGTGCGACATAACAAGATAAACTTGTGTCCGTCCAGCAGCGCCTTTCTTGTAGTACGGACCAAAGACCCTACCTCCGTAGCGAGCCAGGGCTGCCTCAGTCCTTTTGAGAAGGTTCTCTTTGGGCTCTTTTTTGTTGGGCATGAGGTCGAGCATAGCCTGGAAGAAGTGCGCTAACGCATGAGGGACAGCGCCTTCTTCGATCACAAAGCCGTCCATCGGATTCTCGTGGCCCTCTCTGCAATCGATGACACTGGTGATGGTTGTGCCAACTGGCTGATAGGGGTTGATACGTTCCTTGCCGATGGCGTTTACACGCTCATCAAGATTGTAGCTGCTATCAGTCAGCAAGAATGTTTCCTCCTGCAGTTGCAATGGGTTTTCGTATACTTACCCGAAAGCCAGGATATCGCCATTCCCACTCATGTTCTGGCCTACCATGTCACTCATTGCCAGCCCAAAGGCCTTGCTTCGCAGCAAGATCTCAGTCGTGGCGATTGCGCCGGCTCCCAGGAACACGGCCTTCTTTGCCTTCACCCACAGAAGGTCGCCATGAAGGTTGGCCTTGAAGACACCCCTATTTCTGCCGTGCCAGGCAAAGTACACGCGCCACCCGCCCGCTGGGTCCTTTTCAACGTATCGCACCTCACACTCACAGAAGATTTCGGCACCCCAGTTCCAGGCATCGGCGATGTAGGTCACCAACGTTGTTGTCTTAGAACCGTCGTTGATGCCAGTAGTATCCTGGCCGGTAAGAGTTGAGGGAGACATCTCAACGCCACAGCTATTGCGACCGTTGCGGAAGCGCGTTGTCTGGCGCACACGCTTGAACTTGGCTTCCAGACCGAACTTCTCCTGAAGTTCAGCCTTTACGCTTTCGGCCTGCTTTCTAAACACCTTTGCTTTCAGCGGCTCTGGCCAATCAGCCGGGAACTCCTCCGGCTCCAGGACATCGGCTGCTTTTTTGTAATCTGTACCAGAGTAAGCATGTATCTCGAGGAGAAGTACTAGAATGTTAGAATAGACTCACATTTGTCTAGAACATCGGGATTGTCCCGGATCTCGGGAGGCCAGGCCTTCATTTGAAGCGTCTTCTTGTCAGCTTCCATAAACACATTAGCGTTTATAAGACTGGTTCCTCCAAGACCTAACCATTCACGTGGTCAGTCAGCATCTGTCCTTGTCAAGGGATACCCGAGGTCAAATGAACTCAGAAACTCACCATTCCCAACAACAGCACTCTGCCCTCTTCCCATGATCAGATGGTACATGCCAGTCGGGTCTCCTCCCTCCACGGGCAGGCCCTTCAGTGGTCCAGGAGCAAAAACGCCTGAGCAGTGCAGCTCACTGAATGCATCTAAAGAGCGTTCCGGGTACTCTCCGGGCCACCGTTCACGGCCACGTTCAAGCACACAAACGGATAGTCCAGTCCTAGCCATGCGGGACGCAGCAACACCGCCACCATAGCCTGAGCCAACAACCACAACATCATACGAAGTCCGCAACAATTCAACTGGTTTGGACAATCGAGGAAACTTCTTTTCCGGAGTACCCGGGGCGTAAGTCCGGCGTTTGCGCTGGGCATAGGAACCTTTAGCGTGAACGTCACACGAGGGACTTGGCTTTGAATTTTGCTGTCCTACATCACGGGGCTGGGAATCCTCATAGGAAGTGGCCGAAGGGGACTCTGGCGCTGGTGCTGGGCTAAACTGTCCGCTGCGCCCGGATTCGGAAGTGACAGGTGAAGTATCATGTGCAATTTCATCTGGGGCAGCGACCTTAATTGAGATCCCATTGACCTTTGCGTGGCTTGCAATGTCGCGATTCTCTGGCCCTCCATTGAGTATCAGAAAAGAAGAAGTGGGGGCTTTTGCCTGAACCCCTGCTGGGGTTTGACACGACAAAGTCTGTTCCATTGAATAAGGATAGGAATTAGTTATACGGACAGATGTACGAGACAACTTTCGAATAGCAAAAATGAAGGGAACAGAGCTGTTGAGACCTCGAGATGTCTCAGTGGGTGAATAAGGTGCGCAAGTAATAGGTGCTAGAGACTAGAAAGTCTAAAAAATTGAGAACAGGGGATTGAGTCAATAATTAAAGACCTAGGGAACTACTAGTCTAAGCTGAACCAAGGAGGTGGAGGCAGACAACGGTGCTTCCCATGATCGCCTACGTACCCTACATATATACTACCTCCCTCTCTCCATTATGCTGCAGGGAGGGAGTCAGCCAAGCGATAGGCTCTTCCACGTTAGACGCCCAGCCTTGATCATCAGGCAAGAGGACCTGACCGTGACGAAGAATATCATTGCCGTATGCAGTCTGGAAGCCCAGTTTCGTGGTCACGATACGCTTAGCAGGGGGATGGTGTGCTGCGTAGTAACATCGCAACTGTGGCCAGGAACGGCCCCAACCGTGCCACCCCTCCACGCTTCCATCAAGGCGCTGGCATCAGCCCCACGGTCATGGAGTTCGAGGCTGGACATAGACGAAAATATTCTATTGCTTGTCTAAGAAGCTTTTATTGGCCAAATTACCAGGCCTAAGAATGCAAGCGTCTGCAAGTCTGCTGTTGGTTGTGGGATTGGGTGGAGCCCTCTCGTCTTTTTGGTCAGCGTGGAGAAGGCTGACTCCAGCATGCAGTAGTGCCGGATCACAACCGGCTGGAGAGATCACCGATTGGCACCGATTCGAGTCCATGTCAGATTGACGAAGCAAGATTACACTATTTCTTGCACGAGGCGCACACGGTGAATCAACTTGGCGCCAACGCAAGGAACAATGTATGTAAACTTTGTCCTCGTGCCTATCCGCAAGGGCGTGCAGAGTGCAGAGTGCAGACAGGATCCTGAGCCCCGAGCTTTCGGGCAACGCGTTGACTATGTGACCCCCGCGCGGCCTCCTATCAAGTGATGTCGTCGATCTCGTCGCCGTCGATACCCGTTGGAATCATCCGCCGGGTCAAAAGGGCGCCATCACAAAGGCTGGCTAAACATAGACGTCCTGCTTGGATGGATGGTCCAACAAGATGCCTCGATCTGTATCCCCTCTCTGCAGGGACTCAGACATGGAAGGGTGGGCCATTGTTAGCCTTGGAAGTTGTGCTCGGTGTCTTCTTGGGTCGCGCACTGGAAGGCAAGGACGCCTGTCTGTCTCGTATATTGGCGATGACCAGGGTCTTTCTCTCGGCGTAGCTATTATTGGACGGGAAACGAACTTGAACCGGGACGGGGTAGGGGAGCCACCGATGATGCATGTACCAGTTTGCCTACGCAGATAAGTTTCTAACCGTTGCACCTAGCAGCAGCGTGGCAACCACTTCGCGCGAAAGCATATCTCGCGACGGCAGTAAGCATTAAGATAGCTTTATCTGACTGACAGACACCAGAGATAAGTACCTGAACTTTCTCTCCCTGGGCAACTGGAATGTTTTCAATGTCAAATGATCTGGGGAGGGACAACCGTCTCGGGTCTTGGAGAGAAATTCCCGAAAATGGCGAAAAAAAGATTTCCTGGTGCTGGTGTTCTATTGGCTTGCGGCACCTCCGGGGGTGTGTTACACCGCCATCGATCAGGAGTTGTGCCCTTCGTCTCCCACTCCCTCCTGAGAATTGCGGGAGCTATGTACGTATGTTATGTGGTCGATCCTCAACTACCAGGTGTCTTGATATTTCGAGACAAAGCCACAGTTGTCTTTTAGCCTGGTTGCCCGGACCTGCCAACCTTGCTGCATGTGAACAGCAAGCGTCGATAGACAGCGCAACAGTGGATAAGCTCCCAAGAACAGCCGCCACCAACAAATGCGATATTCGCCGAACCCTTGTCAATTCGGAAGAAAAGTCCCGGCATAGGGCTGTGGCTGGCGAGCGGTTGCTACTCATTTATCGTGACTCCGCGAGCTTCCAGAACAAGAAGTTTGACTACTGTAATTGGGCGTTTGGACCCGAGTATCTGCCAGCGCTAAGAATAAGACCTGTTGTCTAACCCGGAGAGAAGTTCTCAGCGGACGTATGACGGCGGGCAGTTGCAGCCGCGCGCTCGCCAGATATGCGTGGAACATGTGCAGCGCACCGTTGTTTAACGCTTGCAGCAACTTTAAAAGTTTCGCTTCTGGGTTCGCCTATCAAAATGCCATCCTTAGCATGTTTTCTCAGCTGCAAAGGCCACGAGGAGCACACGGCCGCTGGATTGGTCCCTGAGAACTGAAAATGCCTTGTACATCTCGTTCCAAAGTTAATACACGGTGTCAAATGCCAGATGAAGCCACTCCGATCAACCGACGCACGTGGCGTGGATTGTTTCAGATTTCAGCTGGCCCGGACATCGAATGTGAGATGTGATAAAAGATGGCTGGTGAGAAAAATAAATAACGTCATCAAGCAACCCTAACCCTGATAACAGCAGTGGGAGAGGAGGATTGTCGGGGCTCTCTGACCGTTGATTGGGGATAAGAGCCATCAGCAACTCGGAGCACCTACCTGCCCCAGAAACAAAAGAATATCATTGGAAGGAGTTTGCCCAGGCTGTCAGATGATTCGCAAAAAGAATACCTTATCGGGTTTCCAGACCAGATCGAGACTCAATTCGAGTGCCTTGGACCATGGCACTGGCCAAGTCTAATGGTAATCGGAATGCAAGCATGCAATTTCCACAGTCTGCTGTGTCTTACGAGCTATCCATGTCACTCAATCCGAAAACTATCAAAACCACTTGGATGCAAGCTTTTCATGTTCATGCAGATGAAATTTCACTCAAAAAGTCTATCAACTACGGGCTACCCCGATCCGCCTCAGAACATATCCTTGGATTATGCTCGTTCAAGACCACCAGGGCCAGTCGAGAATAAGGAATAACCTCCGGGGAGAGGCACACCAGCGGCATCAACCAATCTCTCAAAAGTCATTCCAACATCATCGCTGCAGAGACGACCCGTAATGTACACCGCCGGCCAGCCCTGGGAATCATTATTCATGCGAAACACTTCTTCCGACCATCCAACTCCGAGCTGATGACAATGCTCAAAAGTCCCAAGAACGCCGAGTCCAAAAACCCAAAAAAAATGCTTCTAGAATGGTGTTATCGAGAAGCGAAAAAAAAAAAAAAAGGGAGCGCATTAAGAATGCGGAACCTTTTTCTGTGTGGCCAAGACGACACTGTCCCGTTCACCACCAGTCGCCGTGCTCGTGCATGGCCTGGGCAACCTTGAGGAACCCAGCAATGTTGCTGCCAGCGACCAGGCTGGGCAGCTCGCCCTCGCTAGCCTCAACGTACTCTTGGGCGGTCTTGAGGCCGAGCTCGAAGGCGTTCTTCATGATGTTCTTCAGCTTCTCATCGACCTCCTCCTTGGTCCAGGCCAGGCGCTGGCTGTTCTGGGCCATCTCGAGACCCGAGACAGCGACACCACCGCAGTTGGCAGCCTTGCCAGGCGCGTACCAGATGGCATTGCCCTTCTTCTCGCGGCGCTCGTTCTCGAAGACCTCAATGGCCTCGAGAGTGCAGCCCATGTTGGAGCCCTCGGCGATGAACTTGCAGCCGTTGGCAACAAGAGCCTCGGCCTCCTCCTTGCTGACCTCGTTTTGGGTGGCGCAAGGCAGAGCAATGTCGACCTGGCCGACGTGGACCCACGGGCGAACGCCCTCAATGTACCGGAGGTTGTCCTTGTACTCGTACTCAGAGAGCGGCCTGCGCCTCTCCTTGAGCTTCATGATGGCCTCAATATCCTCGACGGTGACGCCCTTGTCGTCGACGGCAATCAGGGCACCCTTAGAGTCGGAGAGAGAGACGACGGTGGCACCGAGCTCAATGGCCTTGAGAGCGGCGTACTGGGCGACGTTGCCCGAGCCGGAGATGGCGACGCGCTTGCCCTCCCATCCGCCAGCGCCGGCGTACTCGAGCATGTGGGTGACGTAGTAAACGAGACCATAGCCGGTGGCCTCGGGGCGAATCAGGGAACCACCCCAGTCAAGACCCTTACCGGTGAGGACACCCTCGAACCGGTTGCGGTAGTGGCGGTAGGCGCCAAAGAGGTAGCCGATTTCCCGGCCGCCAACGCCGATGTCGCCGGCGGGGACATCAGTGTCGGCACCGATGTGGCGGGAGAGTTCGCGCATGAAGGCAACGCAGAAGCGACGGATTTCGTTGTCGCTCTTACCCTTGGGATCGAAGTCGGAACCACCCTTGCCACCGCCCATCATGAGGCCGGTGAGGGCGTTCTTGAAGATCTGCTCGAAACCGAGGAACTTCAAACTGTTTTCCGTTGTGTTAGCACTCCGGATCTTCCTCTTTCCGTCTCGCTCGGATCGGGCCGTTTCTTACATCGAGAGGTTGACAGAGGGGTGCAGACGCAGACCACCCTTGTAAGGGCCAAGGGCCGAGTTGAACTGCACGCGGTAGCCGCGGTTGACCTGGACATTGCCGTTGTCGTCCTCCCAGACAACACGGAACTGGATGACACGCTCAGGGACCGAGACGACCTTGAGAGCGGTGCGATACTGGGGGTACTTCTCGAACAGGGTGCTGTTCTCGAGGCACAGGGCGAGCTCTGTTGTCAGGGCAGTTCGATCAGTACTCAGTCGCACACAATGACGTCGAGTTGAGAAGACTGATGCTCACCCTTGTAGGCCTGCTCGAACTCGGGCTCGACGGGAAGGTTCGACATGTTGGCGATTGAGTTGGTAGAGAGTGTCGTGGTAATCTGTCAAACGAGATATATAGACTTGCTGGGTATCCGAGGCCGCTCGACTGTTTCCAGGGCCGTAGCGAGCAGATACTACGAAAGAGAGTGTGATGACGATGAGAACGAAGGGAGAGAGAACCGACGGAGGGAAAGACCAGTTGGAATATATATAACCAGAGAAGGGCAGTCAACAGTGGGGGGGAGGGGGGGGAGTTAGAGAGGCCGACCGGCGGCGACGACCCGAGATTGCGACGAGGAACGATGTTCCCCTGTCCCGACTCAGGGAATCCAGGTCGGTTCCAGCAAAACTTGGCTTTTCCTGCGCTGCGCGCCTCCCGCAGCTCGGTTTCACGAAGTTGGACGCTTGGATTGGACGATGGATGAAGGGTGGAACTGGGCTGGGCGGCGTAGCGGCGAGCTTGACTGACCCTCCGCACGAGGAGACCCTTGTCCGGGCACGAGTGGCCACGTTCTTGGCGAGGGTTTGCGCTAGGTCGCGCCGGTTTTCGCTGGCACGGCGTGGATGAACGGCACAACGGCCATCCACCACTGCATCAACATCCCACGCGCGTGGGAATTTCACGGCCAGCAGCGCCGTGGTGCTCTGATACATCTCACCGTCATCTGTTTACCGCCGTTGCGCAGTCTGCCTCATGTTGATGATGGGTCTCGCGATTTTCTGACATCCCACGGCCACATCAGCAGGCTTTGGGAAATTGCCTCTTGGGGGCAACGGACGTCATCGCGGGCGGCGTCAGAACAGGCTCACCTGTCAGCGCTATCAGCACCCTGTTGCCGCGCTTATCGATAAGATTGGGAGGAAATGATTGGCGGCAAACAGTCGAAAGTTTCCAAACTCGGCCAGCCCGTCGTGGGTCCGTCTCATGAATTTGGCGAGGGCCCTGTCTCTCAACAGGGCCCCCGTCAACCCCATCAAGCGGGTGTTTGTTCGCCTGCCGACCGGTCCCCGGACCGTCGCACGTTCGGGTTACAGTGGGTTGGGGGTTCCACGGTCCCCTGGCAAGTTGGCCACATCCTTATCACGACGACATGATTGGCCGCCTTTTTCATGTTGGATAATTCGCACATGGGAGCGATTCGGCGGGGTCAAACGGGAGCTAATCCCGAGCAGCGGATTCCCGCAGGATGTGGGGTCTACGACGACAACGAAGGCGGGTCTGGAGGGTCTGAAGGGTTTGGAGGACCATGAAAGGATAGTGGAGGGTCTGGAAATGGAAAGGCTGTGGCAGGGTACCAGAGAGTGCCAGAGACGCGTCACATATTTTGGTATCTCACCCGGCTTGTTTTCGCGACCCTCCGACTTCGCTGCCTCTTACTCATGCGTTTCCCTCCGGCTAGTTCCGCTTTAGGCAGTTAATGGCGGGGGTACCTGGAAACACGACGGCCTTTCGGACGGTGTTTGGCCTTTTTCCAGATGTCCTATCGATGCTTCGTTGTACACGATGCTAACTGGTAATTGTTTCGCAGCGTCTTTTGCGAAACCGGGCCGTCTCATTTCGGGGGTCAGCTCGGTGTGAAGCCGCTGCTCAGCCCTACCGTGCCCGAACATGGCCGGCGCTGGCGGGTCCTCTTTCATTTGCGAAAAAAAAAAAGTCCCTCAGCAAAACTCAGAAATGCCTGATGCTCTGCTCAGCGCGGGATGTAGTCCCTCTAACGTCATGATCACCAACCTCGCTGGCGTTGTGATAAAAAGACGGGCATCTCCCATCGCTCTGAGGGCCAGAGATGGGCGTGGAACGGTATACCTCGGCCGGAGAAGCTCGAGCCGTGCGGTCTGCATCGCAGCTCATTGCCGTTACGGCGCACAACAGCACCTTGTACAGGCGCTAGCTACAGTCGTCAGCCGTGGGGTTGATGTAACCTGGCACGTCCCCGCAGCTGCACGGTACCCAGTCGCGCAGCATGGCCTGCATGCTACTGGGTCGACTGGAGCTGATGACAAGTCGTTATGCAACAATGGGAATTTTGTACGTAAGACGTTCAAGTTAGAGTGAATATGTTATTCAAATCAAGAAGGCAAGCGTGTGCTCTCAAGAACAGGCTGGTCAACCTCTCAGATTCTCGCCATCAACGCCGTTTTTCGACTTTCATCAACATCGCCGGACTGTCAGTGTCGCCAGAAGAGAGAGGGTTCGGTTCTGCGACCCTCGTCCACGTGCTGGGAAGGTTCCAACGCTCTGGAGAGGCCCTTGGCGCGCTAAAAATGCAGGGTCCCGCGCCCCAAGATAACCTTATCTCGCGGGCGCGGCATGTCACTCCCAAACGGTCGAGCAGCCATGTTTTCTATCAACCGCCAGTCAGTCCCCGACCAATCTTCGTTCTCGGTTGGCAGCGTCTTTCTCATGTCGCACCCTCTCTTCCCGCAAGCCCGCCGCCGCTAGGGGGGTGAACCGGCCACCTGGTCGAGCAGATGGCTGACCGCATGGCAATGTCACTCCGCTGGGCGCTCCCGTCACGATGGGATAGCCGATCAGATGGAGATTGTGTTTGGGAGGGCCAAGACGGAGCAAGCCCACCTTGTGCCCAACAACCCAGCAGGGATGGCTTCGTGGGCATTGTCCCGGTGGCTTGGTACGATCTTGTGGGCTATGCACTTTGTACGTCTCGGCCCATGGATAGAGGAGGAGCACGTAGGTACGTACCTACATTACATTGGGCCCGTAGGGCACCTTGTGAATCGGGGACATCCGGGCACAGAACAGTGCTTGGGGTGTTTCGGATCGGCTTCGGAGGAGAGCCGTGTGCTTGTCCCAACTGCCTCCTGCGCAAACCTCAAATCCGTGGAGCTTGTATCTTTGATGCCCCGTCCGCCGAGAATCGGATTTGTTACCCCACGGGCCGAGATTGTGACTCGGCGGTAACCGTTTCGGCCCGACGTGCGGGTGGTTCCGGATTGAGAACATGTGTCTGTGATTTGCCGTTTTTGGGGACTGAGGATGATGAAGTTCTGCATCTTTTGTGTCGCGTTGGCTGCGGCCTTCCCCCGCCGGAATTTGAAGTTTGGGATTTTCTGGCTGGAAGGTATTCCAGTGCATTTTTCTTTGATTCTTATATCTGCAGTAGGTGCTTGGAAATCTGGATTTTGGGAGCTTGGTCACAAAAGGTAGAAGTAAAAAAAGGCCCCCATCTACACGGGCAAAACGTAAGAAAGTGACTCCATTGCACGACAAGAATACGTTAACAGATACAAGTTTTCGAGTCTTGGCCTTGGCGTGGGTCTGAATGTCTGAGCTGGGTCCGGGATGCTTTTGTTTATTCGTGACGCATTAGTATTGCCGGTTGGACAACATCAGAGATGCCAGCTGCGAGACCAAGGTCTAGATGTGAAAAATGACTTTTTTCCTATACGGTTTCCCCCTTCCCCCTTGGGTCCTGGCCGTAGGCTATCAATCAAACCCTCTAATACATGAGCAACTCTACAAAAGAGCACTACGGTACTACTTCTGTTGGGAGATGGGCATTGAAAGGCAGCTTTCCGGAGTCTGTATCAGGTGTTCAAGTGTGCCGACCAGCAGCGAAGGTTACAATATAAGTCTTCAAAATATCCTCTTATGGGTATATCTCTCCCATACTAGACCAGAAACATAACCAAACCTGTCCAATATAATATCTAGGTAGGTATCATTTGATGATACAAAGAAGCGAAGCAGACAGCATGAAGTAAAGTCAACATATGAAATGATATAAACAGCGGCTTCCATTCAACTCCATCTTTCTCCTCTCTTCATCATATACCCCGACAAAACCTCCACGTTTACGAGACCTGCATGATCATCGGTCCAGCAACAATAATATCATCAGTCAAGACACCGTTGAGCGGGCCAGCGCTAGCCAGGTTGACATAGACAATGCCAGCCAGACCTTGAGGCACCACGCAGCCTGTCTCCTGGTTGAACTCAGTGAAGGCCGTGCCGCCGGGAATGCCTCCCGCAGTGAAAGCGCAGTGCGTCGCCCCAGCCGCCGCATCACTCTGCAGCTGCACGGTCGAGCCGGCCGTCACAGCCTGCGCGTTCTGGCCTGGCGCCATCGTCAGCGTCGGGAAGGCCTCCAGAACGAGGTTGCTGCCGTCCGGGCAGGAGGTAATGAAGGGCGCGGCAAGCGAGAAGACCTGTCGTGGGGAGAGAGGGGTGTCGAAGGCCTGGGGCACGGCGACGGCGCCGGTAGCGGCCCGGACGAAGGTCTGGTGCCGGGCTTCGACGGTCAAGATCGAGCCGGCGGTCGTGAGGATCGAGCCGTCCGAGACGAGGGCCGCTGCGCCGAGGTAGGCGGAGACGCCGACGTTTTCGAGGACTGCCGCGGTCGCGACCATGGAGGCGGCATCGGTGAAGCCGAAGTTGTACGTGCATGGCTGGACGGGCTGCACGCCGGCTTGGGCTATGGCGCTCTGCAGGAGGATGACGTGCTCCTCTTCTGTCTTGCCGATCTTGAGAAGATCCTCGATCTGCCGCTGGTTGAGACCAAGAGCCTGGAACTCGGTGGCCGGAATCTGGGCGAAGCCTTGTTGATAAAAGGTGGCCTCGAGCCATTCAAGGGTAAGCGCGCTTGGTATTAGTGTTAGTCTATGTCATGCAACTCAGGGGGAACTCGATGAGTCTGGCATGGAAACTCACAATTGCAGGATGTCAATATCTGTTAGCCCAGCAGCTGCTGCGGCCTCATTCTGACGTTTGGCCAACTCCCACAGCTTGAGTTGATTCTTTGTGAGTTTGGGAGCAGCGGGCAAGGCTGATGTGAGGGCAACCAGGCCTGCCACGATGGTGCCGAAAGTCTTTCTAAGGGACGGCATTTTGACTGATATGTGTTGCAATATGTCGAATATTAAAGCTACTGGATAGGAGACCAAGTTTCTCTTTTCTCCTCCCGTTCTGAGACCCGGAGTTGTCTGTGTGCTTGTCGAAAGGAAAACGAAAGCGTCGAGTACCAAGCGCCTGGCTGGACCAAGAGTCGACGTCAAAGACCTGCCCTGGGCGAAGTCTATTACAAAAGTATTAACAATAGGCAAAACAAGGCACCGTGAATTGTCGAATCGAATTTGATGACAGAAAGAAAGACAGACAAATTTGAGCTGCTTAAGCAAAGAGAGAACGAAAGCAGACCAGTGCTTTTTTGCGAAACAGAAACACCGGGCGACGGGGGTTTAAGGATGGAGAGAAAAAGAGAGGATTGAAGAGCAAAAGAGCACACAACCTCGGGGGAATCCCAGACAAGATGTATACATAAACACGAAACAGACAACCCCTGGCAGGGTAGTAGGAGGGAGCACAGGATGACAAAACCGCCAAGAGCTCAACTTCCACTCCGCGCCGTCACCGCCGAAGCAAAGCCCGCGCGGCTGCTGGACGTTCCGGGATCCGCACCAGCATCCAGCATTTCCGGGGCTTGGGGTTGGATTGAAAGGGGGGGGGCGGCAGATATGGGGAAACGAGGGGCAAGCATGGGAAGAGCGAAGCAAAGAACAGCATTTGCGCGGGGGCCCCAGCGGCCGAATTACCCCTGAAGGGCATGCAAAGAGACATAGTCACGACGCGCCGAGAGCGTTCATTGGAACAAGAACTTCAGATGAGAGGACCGAAGACAGGGACATGTTCATGTTTCGTTTCGTCGTTTCTCTGCGCCATGCCTGTCTGCGAGGCATCAAAGACAGGCTTAGCTGGGATATTCCTCCCTTTCGACCCGTTACGAGACCCTCCTCCAGGCGGCTGGAACGGGGCGTATACCCCGTCCAAACGCCTTTGATGAGGCTCTGGAGCCGTTCTCGAGCCTTAAGCTTCCTCATCGCCGGCCAATCAGACACGGCGAAGGGGTATTCTAGGGTTATGATAAAAAAAAAAAGGATTCGCCGCCCGCCACACTTGGCTCTCGGATCCCAGCTCTTGGCGGTAACGTCACTCACATATAGCATTGTAGCATACCAAACGGTTGCTAAGACAGGGCAGGGCTGCACTAGGCGATGTGTAAAGGAGATTGTGATACCTGCCCAGGGTTTCCATGCAGAATTCCCATCTCTTCATCCTTACATCTCGATTAGCCGCTCCAGTCGATCGTTGCCGATAAAGATGCTAAGCGGTTGCACAGATAGGAGAAGTTGCTTCTTTGCAACCAATGCCATGGAAAGTTTTGTAGGGTTGCAGGTTTGCCGAGAGCTTGCGACACAGTAGCGCTTGTGATGCATGTCTCAGCTGTGTTTCAATGTCACGGACCGCATCAACACCGACGTCTTGGTCAAATCTTAGTTTCTTGGCGGTGTTAACCTCAAAATCGCGCTGCTGAAGCCTGCGCTTAGGAGCTGCCAGGCTGTGAGGAGTCGATGAACAATGAGATCGTATAATTTCTTGACGTGGAGTACGCACAGAGTAATACCTACTTAGCTGAGAGTGACCAACCACAACTCACTATTGCAGGCCGGCCATAGGCTTCACGACTTTTGGGCGTCAGTTAGGATACGTACTGCCTATTTAGCGGCATTGGTCTGGCTGTCTCCTCTACCAGACCATCCCCCTCCTGCATACAAGCACAAGCACATACAGGCACAGTGATCTCCCTTGGCATGTCGCAAATCTTAAGATCCCAAGCACGACAGACATGGGGTTGCTCCTGAGCACCCATCCATTCATCTAGAGTCCCAATGTGATTATCAACCCGGATCTCCGATTCCTCATCTTTATTGATCCCAAGTAGACGCTTGCGGTAGCCTGTACCGTTCCCCTTGTTGTGAGATCAAACCCCTGCCATGAAACCGGCTGATCAACATGCCATGCCTCCTGCCTTATCTGGGCCATCGCTAATACGTAAGTTGGGATGCGAATCGCAAAATGCCATGTCAGAGAAGGGAATGCCATACCCACCATCCTTTCTCAGCTCGTGGTTCTCCTACATGCCCTCGCTTGCGTGCCGTGCAGGTGGTTGTACATATCAGGCAATTCTCCTAGGTATGCTCGAAGATCGAGGTCTCGGGCAGCTTGACAGAAAGCGAGCTACTTAGGTAGGTAGAGACACATGGCTTGGGACCACATCACGAGCCGACCAGTCATTAGGCACCTGTTTGGGGAACTATTAGATAGTAGACCTTTCGCCTTCTTCAACTATTCATGCCTTATCCTCCACTATTTCTCCATTCAGTCCTTTCCCTTCCAACCAACCGACATCCTGGATTATTCCCCCACCCTTTCCCAACCTCCATAACTGTCCATGCATCCATCCCTTCTTTTCTTGCACCATTACCTCTCATTGCAGACTACCTGCCCATCCTTGATGATCAAGGAGAGACTGTCTGCCTAACTGCTGAACAAGAGCTATGGCTCTTGGCCCAGAAACTATGAGATAAACGAACCGCGCGCGCGACCATGTCCATACAAAAAGCCTACAACTTATACCTTTCTTTTTTTGCCCTATCGAAGAAATGACCTCTCTAGGGATATCAATCTTTCACTAACCCAGTCTTTGTATCTCTCATTCCACTCCATCAACCTTCTAAGTTGCATATCCAGTCTCCTTACAACAGGGCAATGACAACTGGCTTAGTGCATGTGTAAGATAAGTCTCGGTCATGCGTGCGCTTAGAGAGCATAGGGGTTGACCGAGCGGATGGTCAAGCATCTGTGATGCTGTTAGCTTGCTATTCACTGCTCATTCAACATGTGAGTACACTTACGGAGGGCTCTTGGTGAGATCCGTCTTGAGGATAATAGGAACCCTAGTCATTTCCGTGACGTCCTGGATATACTCGCCACCTTCCTCCCTGAGCTTGAACAACTTCAGGTACTTCTCCTTGTTGGTCAGGCGTGCCTCCGGTACATCGGTTGTCGGCACCTTGGGGTCGGACCGCGTGCGGTGAAGCTCGCCAGCCGCATCGGCAGCCGTCTGAGTAGGTGAGCCCGGCACGCTCTGCGTCGGCCGCTCCGCCAGGGAAGCACCGGCCATGGCCTCCGTAACATCCGAGATGTTGCTCTCATCGTCGTCATCGAAAAGAGCCTCCTCCTCGGCAGTGTTGATGCTGCCGGTATCCATGCGCTTCCTGGCCTCTTCCTCACGCTCCTTCTTGAGACGCTCAGCCTCCTCAGCACGGCGAGCTGCCTCCAGGGCGCTCTGGGCCCTAGCCGAGAGCGCCGGCTTCGGACGCTCATCCTCAGGCACGTAGGCCGAGCTCGGTACGCCCTTCTCCCAGTAGAGCTCCAAGATGCGCTTGTCCTTACGGAACTCGGCCTTCTTAAGCGGCAGCTGATCACAGTGCACGCGCTTCTCGAAGCCCCACTCCGGGATGAGGACGTCGAATGCCGACTCGTATACACAAATGACAATGCCTTCGGTAATCAGGTCGCCGTTGACCTCCTGGCGCTTCTTGTCCATCGCGCGGCAGGCAGCAATGTGCATGCTCTGCTCCTGTGCGTTCTGCGCGCAGTCCTTCTTCCAGTTGCACGAGTCGACAATCTTGACGAGTGCGTCGGCGTCCTCATTGTACTCGATCTTGCCCTCCGACAGGACAGCCTCTAGCTGACGATGCACCAGGATATCGGCGTAACGCCTGGTAGGAGCCGTAAAGTGGGTGTAGAGCGGCAGGTTCAGGGCATAGTGAGACCACAAGTGCTTGGCCGTCTTGCCAGCGACGAAGTACTTGGCACGCTGGAACGACTTGTGGAGTAAGGTCTCCATGCCCTTCCTGATGTCGGCATCCTCAACCTTGAAGAGGCTATTTTGCAGCGTGCCGCTGCTGGTAGTGTCGATCTCGTAACCGAGTGCAGTCATGCGCTCCACAAAGGTCTGCAGGCGCCGAGGGTTGGGCGGTGCGTGCTTGCGCAGGATAGCCTTGTCGGGCAGGCCGCGGACCAGGCGCTCGGCGACGAATGTGTTGGTTTTGCACATGAGTTCCTCAACAAGCTCCATAGCCGCGCTCGTGTCAAAGAGATTGCCCTTGACGGGGACGTTTTCATCATCCAGCAACTTGACCAGACGAAGCGGGGCAATGGGCTCGCCGTCGGCCTTGAGACGGGCCTCGCGGAATTTCTGAGTCAGGACCTGGAAGCAGCTGTTAGCATGTCGCGCTATATGACTGTCGTACCCAAACTTACATTGAGAAGTTGAATGTCCTTGGCCTGAACGACATCATGAGTGAAGCCAGCAGGGTTGGATAGAGCATTATCCATCTGATCAATGGAGAGCTTGCCGTTGCTCTTAACGATACTCTTGCCGATCCAGATGTCGCCCTCAGCAACGGCACCGGTATGGGGGTTGACTTGGAAGACGACACTGACGGTCAAGCGGTCCTCATTAGGAGTGATGGAGCAGATCTCGGTCGAGAGCTTCGGTGGGAGCATGGCACAGAACCGGTTGGTCAGGTTGACGGCGGTACCACGCTTCTTGGCCTCGCGGTCAACAAGCGAGTTAGGCTTGACAAAGTGTGTGACATCAGGAACGTGGACACCAATCTCGACCTTGCCGTTATCCAGGGTCTTGATGTGAACGCCGTTGCCAAGTTCGGCCGAGCCATTCAGGTCAAGTGTGAAGACCTTCTCCTCGCGGAAGTCTCGACGTGCAGCGATGGCCGCCTCATCCTCCCCTGCAATCGACCAGTCCTGGAGACCGACGCTGCGCAGAACAGCCTCCGAGAACTCGTCGGAACCGAAGTTGTTGTCACGGAGGATGGCATCAGTCTCAACCTTGAGGTCACCCATCTTGCCGAGCTTCTCAACCAGAGTACCGAAGGGGTGCAGCGAAGTGATGGGCCAGCGCTTGATGCAAGCCACGAAGATCTGGTCGGCATATTCCTGGTGCTTCTCGACGAAGTCGCGGGGAGCCTGTTCGGTGGGGATGGCAATCAGAGGAACACGCTTGTCCGTCGGCTTGAACCACACGATCTTGGGCTTCTCTTGAGGACGGGTCTCCTGGCGCGGGACACTACCGTCGCGCGCAGCGCGTTCCGCCTCCTGCTTCTCCTTGGTAGCCTGGCTGCTAGGACGAAGCAGGCCAAGTGTACCGGAAAACATCTGGCCGGCCACGCGTTCAATAACAGCAACAATGTGGCCGGCATATAGGGGCTTCTGCTCATCGCTAATCTCTTCTTCCTCGACAAGAAGAAGGCTCTGGCCCTCGACTTCGACATCATCGTTCTTCTTCTGGGTTGGACGCTGACGGAGACTGCCACGTCGACGAATGCTGCCGTCGGGAGCAATCTCTTCGCCGTTGGTGCCGGCCGTGGAGCCGGACCGGGTATCAGTGATGTCTTTGCGCTTCTTCTTTTCTTCTTTCTCACGCTTCTGAGCCCAAACCTCATCCACATCAAGCAGCTCAACGGCAACCAGATCGCCCTCCAATGCGCGGTTGCGGTCCTTGCTACCGCAGATGAAGATATCGGCATCGAGCAAGCCATCCAGAGTAGAAACATAGGCATCGCTCCGGTTCTTCTTGTTGACGCGGAGAATACCGGCGACGAGCCTGCCGTCGTTCAACAGAGCGGGGAGGTTAGCCTGAGGAAGGTAAGGAGTGAAGAGGGTCTTCCGCTGCTGCTGTTGCTGCTGCGACTGCTGTTGCTGGGGTTGTTGAGCGGCGAGCTGAGGGTTATGCTGGCTGGCCTGAAGCCCAGCGAACTGCTGGCCATTCAGAGAGGCAACCTGCAAGGCCTGGAGCTGGTTCAACTGCATGGGATTGATCTGCTGTCCAGCGTACAGACCGGGAAGCATCATCTGACCAGGAAGTTGCATGAGCTGGGGCTGGCCAGGATACTGGAAGGCACCGAGTCCCGAGATAGACTGGTGGCTGATGGAGCTGCGGCTACGGTGGCCAGGCTGGAAACCCTGGCTCTGAGCAGCCGTCTGGTCCTGAGCCTGGTTCTGGTTCTGGGTGCGCCAGTTGGCATCAAAGTTGCGGGAAGGCGTGCGGGCATGACCGCCACGACCGGTCCCCAGGCCACCACGACCGTTGCTGCCAACAGCCATGCTCTGGCTTCTGCCATGGCCGGAGCGGCCGGCACGGAGCGATGCGAGCGACGGGGTCGTCGTCGTAGTGGTCGCAGGCTGATTTTCCGAACCAGTAGCAGTGGTGGTGGGAGCAGACGAGGTCGATCCCTTGCCGTCGTCCTCAGTCTTCTCAGCCGAGGTCGAAGAGCTAGGAGCTGGGAACTGGAAGTTCGAAGCGGTACGCTTCTGCTGAGCGATCTCAGCAGCCTTCTTGGCGTCTGCAAGGGCCAACGAGTGACGTCTCTGGTGACCTCCTCCAATGCCGCCGGGCCTGCCAGTACGACCACCCGAGCCTTGGGTCGTCTGAGCCTGAGAATTGTCAAAGTTGCCAAAAGCCGATCCGGCAGCACCCGACGAAGGAGCGGGTGGGGGGCCCATGCCCATGTTAGGAAGTGCCGACTGATTACGGCGATGCGACAGAGGCTGGGTAGGAGGAGCCAGGGCAATATTCTGCTGCGGCAGCTGGGTAGGGAACTGGAAGCCGGCTTGTGGCGTCATGTTGGTCATGGCCTGCAGGGGATTGAAGGCACTGGCGCCGAGGGTCTGGCCGCCAGGGAGCATGGCCATCTGCTGGTAAGTAGCCTGGAGCTGCTGTTGCTGCTGCTGTAACAGCTCGATCTGTTGCTGGATCGCCAGCTGCTCCACTGTGTGCGAAAAGACACGTTAGCCATCTGTGTATATAGACGAACATCATCGGTTATAGTGCGGGTCAAGAGAGCAGCCATCACAAGTAGCATGAGGGCCTCTCGTACGTCATCATCATCGCTGTCATCGCCAAGCCTGGATGGAACGGTTGGACGAACCGCAGTTTCCAGGGAACCAGAAAGCCAGGGAGCCCGCTGGGAGAAGGATGACGACGACAAGATAAAGATAGCCGTCATGACGCAAAAGACGACATCAAGTAAACAAAGAAGAGCAGGAAAAAAAGAATAGGGACAGAAGCAAACGAGCAAACGGCAACTCACTGGTGGGGGTCACAAACATACTCATCAGGGGGGTCAGCTCGGAGGGGCTACGACGATGGGCGATGTGCAGCCGACGTCCAGCGGGGCCGGCAACACCGCCGGCCTGAGGCTGCTGTTGCTGCTGCTGCGACTGGTCCATTGTAAAGGCGCTTCGCAGACGGTAGCGATATTAAGAATCGGTCGGATCAAGGGTCGAGGGTCAATGGATGCACGTTGAGTGCGGTGTGTAGTGTGTAGTTTGTGGTAAGTGGTGAGTGGTGAGTGGTGGGTGGTGGGTGGTTCTAGCTTCGTTGTCGGCTGGTTCGATGGAGAGAGACGGAGCCGGTAGAATGGAGTCTGGAGCAGAGGGGCTCTGCACGTCTGCGTGTCTGCAAGCAGCCAGTATGCTAAGCTACCAGTAGGGACAGTACGGATAGAGGAATCCAGAATCGAATGCCTGGAAATGCTGAATGCTACTGGGGAGCGGGCCTGTCGATCCGTTTAGGTTGTTTGTCGGGAAGGGATGGCAAGCAGCCTGAGAGAGCCTGAGAGAGCCTGGAGAGCTGGGACGGAAACTGACGTCCAATCGATCCAACCGACGGATTAGAGGTCGAGAAATGCTTCCGTGGCACTCTTCTTGCCTGTTGCCGGCCGGCAGTGTCGCAAACTTGAACGGCGAAATTCGCTGGGCGCAGATGGCAAGATGTCTCGTGGATGGCGGAATGGTTCGTGGGGACCAGGAGTAAGAAGTCCAGGACTCAGGATGACGCCGCCGAAAGATTTGGAGCCAAAAAAAGGGGGGAGGTTAATGAGAGATTGAAAATTGCCAAGAGGGAACGTCAAGGAGAGATGGACGGGCTTGCTAGTCGATGGCAGGAAGCCAGAAGCCGGGAAGCCTATAGAGGGCGGCAGAAGTGGCTGATGATGAAGGAGGGTGCGAGTGAGGAGCAAGGAGCAAGGAGCAAGGAGGAGAAGAGATGGATGAGGAAGAGCCTCAAGCTTTGGTTGGGGGTTGGTGCGGTGATGACGATGGATGAAAGCTCACAGCACTGGCCTGCGTCCCTCCGCTGGAAGCCCACACAGCCCACACAGCCCACCTCACTCGCTGCCCCCCCCCCCCCCCCAAAGTGCTCGCTGCTCGCTGCCAGCTTAGAGTGCGGTGGGAAGGATGGATGCCCCAAGGCCTGTGCTCTTGGCGCCAATCCTTGGTGCTCTGTGCTGCCCCCCCAGCAGCCCCCCAGCTTGCTACCGAAACGGTAAGAAGTGGGGCTCTGGGCCCGCCCGCCCAAGTCTGAATCGCTGTGACGGGGCCACATCGAGTCTGCGGGCTGCAGCACATCCACCTTTGTTTTCTGACTTGCACCACAAAAGCCCCTGTGTTTGACCTCGTTTACACGCTCGTGGCCTTCGTGTCCAGGCGGAGAGATTGTGAAACTCTGCAGCTAAAGATACGTGCAAATGTGTCCTGCAGAGGTTGTCAAAACTTATCACTCATCCAGGGAAGCTGGTAGCAAGACAGTGGGAGAATGACTACCTAGCCCAGCCAAGGAAGTCCAAGCAGCCCCTTTCCCAGATCGGGGCCTCAAGCTTGTCTTTTCCTAAGTCCTGATCCCGAGAGATGCCAGGGGTAGCTGGACTGCGAAGCGCGGGGCAGCGGTCCAGAGCTCACGATGGATGGCAAAGTTGCCCTCCCATGATCGCAACATGTTGCCGCAGCACCACTGCTATGAGCGTTGACATGCTGATAGGCTAATGCAAAACTTGTAAATGCCGATTCACAGCGGTTTGTATAATATTTTGTTTAGTCAAAGGGCCAGGCCCTGTTTCACCAAATTGCTGGTTTTGCCTTGTTCCAGGGTTCGCGAAGCGATCAACCTCAAGTTGCGATGATGCGACCCTGATGGGGAAACTCACCGATAGTGTGGCATTGTGCTGCGGGGCAGAGGGCAGAGGGCAGAGGGGAGCTAGCGGCAGCACTCAGGGGCCGAGAGCCTGAAGCAGAGAGAACTGTAAAACCTAAATATTTTTTCAATAATAATGCATAGAAGTGAAACAAAAAGTCTTCTCATGGCATGATGGCATAGTCATCTCGGTGATTTGGTCATCAAAAGTGGGCTTTTGACCAAAGTGTGCACAGTGAATGGCCACATTCTGGTCCGTCTCATGAGTCTGCTGAGGGATCTTGTGGTTCTGGCAGCCTACTATTCCAGACAAATCTTTAGCTACACCTGTTCTTTGGAAGCGTCACATACCCACGGTAAAAGGCTGTGTTTTGCAATTCCCACACCACACCCAAAACCAATCGCATACACACAGAGAAAAGAGCGTTTCGAAGCACAGGAGCAAAGGTTTTCAACGATGCAAATCTGATTCTTATGCGTATAAAAGAATATCGAGACACTTCTTGACTTTCGGTCATCATCGTGGGTTTGTGATCAGAAGGTTCTTGGCTTCGGTGGCCTGTCGGATTGGGCAAAGAGACCCGCCAGCGGCACCCCTGATTGGCTGAACAAGGGGGAAAATGTAGCTCTAAGAAAACAAGTGTAGCGCTTCAAATCCTAAATTCTAAACATGATAACAAGCTACTCCATCTCCACGTAATATCAGGGTTAGGGTTGACGTGACTCCGGACCGCCCAGCATGGGCGTGGGCACGGTGGGCCCGATAACCCGAACCCGTAGGGTGTCTCTAGCAGGCGATTCATTACCCGAAACAGGTCTCCAACAAACCACCAAAACACTGCGCCTGCATAACCACTCTGGCGATCGCGGTTCTTGACCGAGCGCGACTACAACACGCGAGCAGCTCGAACGTTGACTTTGCATGATAATGGCCTGGTAGGGCAACGAGTTAAACGAAGTCAGGACTGCAGCAATGGCCGGTTCTTCTCCTTTAAATCATCACCTCTGGTCGAGCCCATCGCGAACGGTCGAAGAAATCCTCGCCGAAGACAGAAACTCCGAAGCGCGCCACCGCTACTTGCTCGAACTCGCTAGAAAGGAACATGAACGAGTGAGGGAAGAGGCAGCGCGCATATACCGTGAGCAGCTGGCTCGAGAAGAGAGGGAGCGACTCCTCGCAGAGCGCCGAAAGGAGGAAGAGAGAATCAGGCTTGAGCAACAGATTGCGGCTGAAAATGCCCGGCTGAACGCTCTCAAGGCAACAAGGATCGAGATTCCTCCATTACTACCGGATCCTGTGCCTGCTCCTTCAACAGTAAACGGAAAGCCGACTCTCCCTGCTGCTGTTGCGACTGAGGCGAAGCGCTGCCCTTCCGAGCCTTCGCTGGTGAACGGCATCGCCTCGAATGGCGTCGTCGAAGCGCCAGCAGCCGCTTCTATCAAGACCCTAGAACCTGCGAAGCCTGCGGCGTCAGCGTTTAAAGCAGCGGGCTCTGCTACGACTGCCGCGCCCGTTGCGCCTATAGCGAGTGTGCAACCATCGACAAATGGGGTCGTCTCGGCTGTCGCGTCTACACCCAAGACAGCTCCACCGGCTCCAACCGAAACACCTCCCGACAGATATGTTGAGATTCATAGGAACTTGAAGGGCCTCCGAAAGTATATGGCTGAGCAGGCCAAAACAAACCTTAAATTGAAGCAGCGCATGGGCGACATGAGGCGTGAGATCCGAAAGTCGGTTGGCCAACTCACCACAGGCGGCATGGCTGCCAACAAAGACAAGGTATTGCGATCACAACACCATGTTCACGCCGTGAAGTGCTGACCCAATAAATGGTAGCAACAAAAAATCAAGAGCATCCTCACCGAGGCTCTTTCCAACCAGGTCGAGTCTGCGCTAGTGGACCCCAACAACTTTGTTGTTGAACCCAGGAAGCCAGTTGAGGGGGCGACAAATAACGACCCTCTGCTTCCATCCATCTTTGTTTATCTCATCAACATCTTTGCAAAGGCTGCCATCTCCCAATTCATCAATGAAGCGGGAGCGCGGCCGGAAACCGCAGATCCCGTCGGCATTTGCGTGGCCGCCATCTTGTCAGAGCCTGATTTCTTATGGCGCGGGGCTTCCTTGATTGACATCCTGATTGCGAAGTTCCGAATTGTCTGCCCTGTCTTGTTTGGCTATCGAGGGAGCGAGAAGACGGAGCAGGGTAGACAGAGACTCGGCTGGTGGAAGGAATCAGGCCAGTGGATTTCCGAGCAACAACACATGGACCGTATGACAGGTCTCGGAGCCGGGTTCGCTGCCATCTCTCTTCGCAAGTTTGCTCTCTCAAAAAAGCAGAATCCTTACCCTCCGCGGTTTTATTGGATGGCAATGGCAAAGATCGTCAATACCCCTCCTGCTGAAATTTCCAACACCCAATGCGTTGTCTTGAAAGCGATGGTGCAAAACTACGAGGCAAAATTCATTGAATTCTACGGAAGCGCTGCCATTGCGGCTTTGCGTACGGCGCTCATTGACTTCCCTGCTCGGGCACCGCACAAATCAGCTGCGGTGAACTCGCTGGAGGTTCTGGCTCAGATGTTGAAGAGAGACACTGGGCTGGATCTTGGATAAGGTGTATGTTGATATGTGGGAGAATCAGTCATGGCGAGCTGGGTATATCTGGAGCATGTATCATATATACACATGGGTCAGGTCTGGCTTCTGAACTACAGGGATGACAGCATTGGTCAACCGCATTGCAGCGGCCCTAGGGGACAAGCTCGACTAACAGAAATCTAAGCATGTTGATGGCACCATCGTTGATACCCAAGTAGGAGCAAAATAGATCCATTAACGCCTTTGTGTTCAAATATCCCCATCTAGGTACTTGTCCTACTCCGTTGCAAACCCTATACAAAACCGCTGCTTTAGCAATAGAGGAAACGGAGGATATGTAAGTGAAGAAGTATCTAAGTTTTAAGCATGCCACCCATCGAGTGACCCAAACTTCAAGGCCCTCATGCTTCACAGTATCAAAAGCAGAATTAACAAAATAACCAGCACAATGATCAAAACTCCAATGCATAGGCTGCTCAGACGATCCTCGTTTTTCCGCATCACGTACCTAAGCTTGTCCATTCCAGTCTGCAAACGGCCCCCGACACGTTCAACCAATTCGTCTGCCACCTCGAGCATCTCACGCTGTTCCTCCAATTCGCGACCCATGTCGTCTGCTTGCCGCCGCAAGTTGCCCACGGTAACAAATACATCTTCCAGGTGTTCATCTTGCTCACGGAGCATCTGCAACTGCTGCTCGCGCTCGAATTCCGCTGCGTAGTCGGCAGAGCCGCCAGTCTCGCCATCTGGGATATGGAAGGTCGACGGGTCCGGAAGGTCGCTGGATCCGGGGGGGTGGGATTTGGACGACGTCCCCATTGCTGCCCCCTTGCTAGAGAGCTTCTTCAGCTCCTCGCGGATGTCGTCCACTTCGCCACCAACTTCCTGTAGTAGACGCTTGCGTCGCGCGATCTCGGCCTCGGAGAGTGCATATTGAGAGGGGTTGGCCTCGATCACACGAACGGCCTCGGTCAGGTCAGAGAGGTCCTCGGAAAGCGACTCGAGCGCAATATCGAGGTCTGCGCGGGCTGACGCTAGTTCAGGGGATGTCGCTGAAGTAGTAATCGAACGAATGCGCAAGTATGAGTTAAAGAGGGAGCGAGCAGACTGGAGCTGGGCAAGAACATCTCTGCAGTTGTGAGGATGATGTTAGTCCTGAGAGGGGTGGTGTGTTCTGTGCAGAGGATTACGCACTGTTGGACTTGGAGGAACGGGTCCTCCTCGTTGGTTGAGGACATCATCCCCGCGCCGTGGTCGGTCACGTTAGAGAGCGGATTCTGGCATCACAGAGCCAACGCATGCGCATATCGCCGAATGGTGTTGCGTACGCTGAAGACGGGGAGTCGAGTGATGTTGGAGCCGGGGCGCTGCAGCCAAAAAGGTGCCTTTGTCGTCGCACCGAAGCGTCGGCTTCCACACTGGGAACTGTAGACTCACCCCTGGGGTCGGCATGACGCTATCGATAAGAACACTCCGTCTTTCCTCTTTGGTATTAGACTGGTGCTTCGTGCTGCCTAGCCCCGCAGCAGTCGTGGACACTTCTGCGACTTTGGTGCGGGCCGGGCGGATACCCCTGTCGAAGCTGTTGCTAACGTGTTTGGGAGGGGGTCGAGATCGATAGCAATTGAAACGTAGCTTCAAATGCTGACGTTGCCTTTTCTTCAAATCCCCCACCATCCTCCCAATTGATCGGAATCTTTGCCAGCCAACATCACCAGAAGCTTGATATCAAGTTGTCCCCAAGCCAGACGCAAGAGTACCGCCATGTTCAACCTCAAGAAGCTGTTCCTCGCCGCCACCGCGCTGGTGGGCGCCGGCCTGTTCATTGCTCAGCCGGTGGAGGCCGTCAAGGGACCCAAAATCACCCACAAGGTGTACTTTGATATTGAGCACGGCGGCGAGCCTCTGGGCCGCATCGTCCTGGGCCTGTACGGCAAAACCGTCCCAAAGACTGCTGAGAACTTCCGGGCTCTGGCTACTGGTGAGAAGGGCTTTGGCTATGAGGGCTCTACCTTCCACCGTGTCATCAAGAACTTCATGATCCAGGGCGGTGATTTCACCAACCATGACGGCACTGGTGGCAAGTCCAGTATGTGTCTTCTCCAAAGTGATTACTGCTTAATTGGACGTGTAATGCTGATCACTGTGGCTGCAGTCTATGGCGACCGCTTCCCCGACGAGAACTTCAAGCTCAAGCACAACCGCAAGGGTCTTCTCTCAATGGCTAATGCTGGCAAGGACACCAACGGTTCTCAGTTCTTCATTACCACAGTTGTTACCTCGTAAGTAATACAAACAACTCTTTGCCGAGCATTGCTAATCATTCTTCCCGCAGTTGGCTGGATGGTCGACACGTCGTCTTCGGCGAGGTCCTTGAGGGCTATGACGTTGTAGAGAAGATCGAGAACGTCCCAACCCAGGCAAATGACCGCCCAGTCAAGGAGGTCAAGATCGTCAAGAGCGGCGAGCTCCCCGTCCCCCCTGAAGGTATCCACGTGGAGCTCTAAGCCTTCTCTTCTGTATATTGTGTGCACTTTGTCCTTTGTGCTCTATACCCTTGGCTTTGATTGTGGTCACACCCAGCCAGCATCCATCGCCAGCAATGACAATTAGTTGTTCCCTGTTGCAATGATTCTTCACTGTCCAGTTGGGCCATGTGCTGATTACTTAACTCTTGTCGTTCTCTAAACGGCTAGATTCTGACGAGTCTGAAGAAGCTCCACAGGCGCAGCCCGGCGATATCGACGGAAACCAAACTCGGCTTCTCCCAAGCAAGCTGTTTTTCTTTGTCTTGGTTCTCGGGTTGATTGCTCTGTGGATTCGGGCTTCAAAAAACCAGAAGGTCCGCAATACCATTGTCTATCCGAAAATGCGGTAAATGAGCTTAGAAGAGCGTAGGAGATTCCCTGTTGCTGATAATGGCCGTCGTGTGTTGTATTGGGGACGCTCCGCGATCATGTATTATCATCGTAGCCTCGGTAATTGCATCTGTGTTTCAGGTTGCCCCGTTCCAGGAATGCATTGATTTTTGTGGAGTTAGTTCAAAACTTCCACCGAGCAACCTCAGCAGTCATTGGCCTACACAACTCACATCTTAAAGCACAAAATGAAGGTCCTTACACTTAATTTCTTAACCTGTGCCGTTAAGGCTTGCAAAACCAAGCCTGAATCATTCCCGCTGCACCCAAAGGATGCAGAACTTGTGAGCGATGATGTGGAAATCAATCCTCAACTTTTAATAAATCTCCTGCCCCGCCTTGACTGGAATGCATTGAGGATAACGGCTACTGAGGTGAGTCAGACAAGCCCTTACAGTATTGTGCATGAAAGACAGGGAAAGGAAGTCTTACAAAATGAGGTCATTGGCCAAGAGATATCGTGATTAATACCACCGTGATCACCATTGCTCTTTCATTCTCATTCATCATACTTACTCGCTCTCTTCATCGGCTTTTGCTGACACTTGACATCACTACAGTTGGGCTTTCCCCAACTTCCAGAGCAGCCCCCGACAGCAGAGGATCTGCAGTCAGACGAAAAAGTCCTTAAAGACTTGCACACCCTGCTCATGGAGACACAAATCATGGAGGGCAAGCTGGTGTGCGCTGCTTGTGGGCACGAGTATGCCATCCGAGAGGGTATTGCAAACTTCTTGTTGCCAAGTCACTTGGTTTGAGGCTATCGGATAATGGGGGAGATAGTGGATAGGCAAAAAGGGACTAGGTTGAAAGCAAGAGGGAGTTGGCTATTTACTTTTCACTGTGGCGTTATGATTTATACTATTCTGCTATCAACGATCATCTAGCATTAAGTCAAGTCATCACTAAATGACCAGGAACTGTCATTTGCTCTGTGGACAGAAGTGATATTAAGTTTCAGGCCACCATGCGGAATACCTTGTCTCATCAAACGGTCACCTTGTGTTTAAGGAAGTCCAACACTTAAAGCTGATGCCATGACGATACCCAATTCCTCTGAACTCCAGCCCAAAGAGACCTATGCTGCAAAAACCAAACCAACCATACCATGTACAATGAGAAAGGAAATGCTGCTTTCTACATCTGCTTCTTCTGTGCCGCAGGCCCCATCTCCTTGTCAAAGGCACCATACGAGACCTGAAGGCTCGCGATGGCCTTAAGTCCCGCTCCAAGGATAGATAGAAGGATAAATAGTGTGATCAGTGCCATGAATACTCCTACAACTAACATTAGGAAAGGGCCCGTTTGCAGGCAAGAAAATATGAGGGAGCATACCTGGGGTGAAGAATTGATACTTTTCAAATAGAGATCTCTTATCCGCCGTAAACTTGGCTTTTCTATTCACGGGAACGATTTTCTCAGGCTCCGCAGACCAACGTTTCTGCTTCAGGTTTGCGTCGACAACAGGAGAGCTGAACTTTGGCTGGTACGGCGTAAACTCGTTGGAGTCTGAGAACATTATAACTGTGTAGTCGTCATCCAGAGCTTCCAACAAGCGTCCAAGCTCGTGGTCTGCCACAAAGTGTCAGTAACTGAACCGGTGTTTCATAAGGAATCGAGAAACCAAACATACCATTGTCCCCCAGGATCAATTTCCGTTCTTCGTCCGCGCTCCCTACGGCCGGCAGATGCTTCAAGCCTAACTTTTCAACTTCGACGTCCACGGCACGTTGCTTAGCGCACACGTCCTCAATATACTCGGCCAGCGATTGCACAGACAGCTGGCCAATCACCTCGGCGACACTAAACACCTTGCTTTTATCCATGGAGGAGACAGTACGACAGAGGTTCGGCATGAGGCAACCACCGCTGCTGGTTTCGTCGTTAATGTTTTTCCGGAGATCAGCCGCATGGACGTTAGGCTGCGAGACGAGAATATACCGCCGGGTTGGGCATTTTGCGAGGAGTTGCTTCACTGAGGTGAAAACGGAGTCGGCTGTCTGAAGCTGAGGGGTGTTGGGAGCTGCTGGCAGGCTTGTCCTATGTTAGTACTTGGAACCAAAGATGAGGATTCAGGCGAACAAAAATTGGATAAGTGATTTAACTTCGAGAAAACCAAAATCTACCCGTAGGCTTGACCTTTGGTTTCCCCGGATAGAGGGTGAGGGGTGAGAACGGTTGTGTAGGGAGGCAAGGAGAGGTTGACGTACTTCGCCGTTGAGAACAAGACGAACGGTGATGAATCTGAGAAAGCGTGGGCCTGGGCTGTCGCACAGGCCAGCAGCGACACTGCAGCAAGCAGATGCATTGTGATGATGCTGGTGGTGATGCTGATCACGGCCGTCGGCTCACTGTTAAAATAGAGGTTGGTTGACGATGTTGCATGGCTGGCTGGCGAGCTCCTTGTCTTGGCACAGTTGCATCATGCCCCTGGGTTCGGGTTGAATTAGAATTAAAGGCGGTGTGTGGTGGCAGAAACTCCGATAAGCAGATTTGTCTTGTACCCACTTATGCATGAAGTGCAGACCCGCGAAGTTGCTACCAACAAACAAGCTACATTTCTAATTCTTCACAGCTTGCTTCCAACCAACCCGACACATATCAGACATGTTTGGGCACCCAAGGATACGAAAGGCAGCACCCCTGCCAAAGAAGAGAAAAACAGAGCCTGCGGTGGAGGAGATCACCTTTGACAAAGAGGCCCGCATTGAGTATCTCACAGGGTTTCGGAAGCGCAAGCAAGCTAGAATCAAGCAAGCCAAGGAGATAGCAGAAAGGAAAGCTCGTGAGGAACGGCTTGCAATAAGGAAGCAGGTTCGGAATACTCCAGGAGTGTCCGATTCGAAAGGAAACATCTATTGACCGCTCTACAGCTCAGGGAACAAAGGAAACAGGCCGTCGAAGAGCACATCAAAGCCATCAACAAGATTCTACGAGAGGCCGAGAGCGCTGGTACCGGCGATATCAGCGAGAGTGGCTCGGAGGGGGAATGGGGAGGTTTTTCGGACGCTGAAGATACAGGTGTACCGGAACCACCGCCGCTTGATCTCGAGGAAGAGTATATCGATGAGGATAAGTATACAACGGTCAAAGTAGAGGCTGTGAGCGTTGACCGGGAGGGAATGCACAAACCACAGCTGGATAGCTCGTCAGACAGTGAAGGTACAGATCAAGAAGGGGAAGAGGGCTCACAGAAAGGAAAAGAGCAAGTGGACAAGGAGGCGTCCGCAAAACGGATAAAGAACCCGACTAAAAAGAAGAAGAAGAAGTTTCGGTATCAAAGTAAGCTTGAAAGGGAGTTTGAATCCCTCAAGCAGAAACAGAGGGCAAAGAGAAAACGAACAGTATAGATACCTAGTAAGTAGGCAGCCTGAACTGCCTCGAATGCTCTGCAGCTCTGGCGCAACACGACAGATACACGCACATACTGAACCATGTCTTGCTGAAAAATGGGGGGGCGAATGTGTTGATTATAGTAATGAGTCGCAACTCAGGGTAAGTACTCGGTGCAGTGTGACAGGGACCGATCCATCTCCAACTCCTACTCTCCGTTGATGAAGTGACAGGCCGTGAAGTGACGGGGAAAGGAAACCCAATCACCAACAATCCACCACACGCGGTCGGCAACCAAGCGCCCCGATGAATCCAGCTTGGTGCAGAACGGCTGCACTTAGATGGCGGCGATTTCGTTCTGGAACTCCTCGAGCTCCTTCTGGACTTGAGCGTACTTCCGGGCCATCTCCTCGTACTTGGCCTCCCACTGGTCGCGTTCCTGCTCGAGGGCCTGGACTTTCCGCTCGAAGTGGCCCGCCCTGACGTCGGTCTGTCGCAGCCTGGATAGAGCGAGTGAAAAAGGCGGTCAGCATGTACACCTTGCCTTTCGGTGTGCTCGGGTGGAGTCGACTTACTTCTCGTTGGCCTCCCGCAAAGTCCGGTCCGCTTCTTCGGCCTCTTCCTCGAGAAGTTGGAGCCTTCGAGTCAGCGCTTCGTTCTGGGTTCCGGCCTGCTGGCCCTCAGAGGCCTGGGCCTTGAGTTCCTTGACTTGCGCCTCGAGTTTCTCTACCTCGGCCTCCAGAACGCTATTCTTGTGCGTGAGCGAAATAATCTCTTGCTCCTTCTGCAGGTTCTCCTGCTCAAGCTGCTTGATCTTGGCCTGGAGCTCCTCGACCTTGGCCGTCGCCTCCTCCGCCTCGAGGCGGAGCTGGTTCATTTTCTGGAATCCGCCGCATCGAGTCAGCCAACTGAACCATCATCGTGTAGACAAGTAGTTGAGTATAGCGTAGTGTTTTGGCCTCCACGCATCCACAGGGAGCGACGAGATGGTACGGGATGGCGACGGTCGTGATGGTCGAGCGTGCTCATCGTTGAAGGTGTTGTGAACCCAATGGTGGGGCCAAACAGGGGTCAGCTAGAGGGAAAGGGGGAAGCAGACTGACCTCCTTGATGCGATCCATGGTGATGTGGTTATCTGGCGTAGGGAATCGAGCAGAGAGAAAAGAGGGAGAGAAAAACTTGTCTAGAAGCAAGAAAACTCAAAGCAGGAGTGTCGCAAGATGTGGGAGGTGGTTTGGTTGAAGAAAGAAGACGGTGGACAACAATGGTCGTTGGCGGAGGAAATGAGGGACCACTCATGACCAGGGGGGAGCAGTGCCCCTCTCACCCCCCAAGCGGCGGTGTTCCATTCGTTGCGGTGGCCTGCACTCTCTCTAGTTCCGTCTGTTCGACCCCGGCAAAAGTGGTGGGGCACCTTGCAGCTCGCGGTTGCTGTGCCAACGGTTTGTATCACTTGTTCCCAAAAAGGAAGACCGCAGGGGCAAATGCTGCACGAACGCGACGAAGCCGGCGTTCACACGACTTTCCCACTACCTTTTTACGCTCGAGTCGGTGTCGCATTTTGCACTTACACACCACACCGATATACAACCGAACATCTTATTCAAAGTGGATATTGTGACGATGCTGGCAGCCCACCACGACCAAGAGAACTTGTACACCCACCAGGCGGGCGCCTCGAAGCCTCAGCTTCAGGCTAAGACCCCAGGTGCCCGATTTCCGAAAACCCCGCTCAAAGTTCCGCTGAACGACGAGAATACTCATCACGGTTTCGGCGGGAAGAATGTCTTGAAGGCAAAGGGCAACAATGAGAATATTCTCACCATCGGGAAGGGCGGTCATGTCCTCGGAAAAGGAGGAAAGCAGGCCCTGGTGACGCCAGCGGGTATGAGCAAAGTCCTTCATGACACATAGCATGCCATCATTGAAGCCATACTAACCATCTCACAGGACCTCGAACTGTCCGGGCTCCTCTGGGTAACAAGACTACTAATGCAAAGGCGAGAGCTACTCAGCAGACTCCTGCCGGCAAGGTGATCCTTCGCGACCCCCAGAAGACAGCTCTTAAGCCGACAACAGCCGCCCGTCCGAAGCTTGCTGCCCCCAAGGTTGAAGCTTCAAAGCTCGAGGTGCATGTTGATAAGGATCCCCTCCAAGTTGAGGAAGTCGAATATGCACCACCGAAGCCCAAGGAGATGCCATATGAATCAGATGTCTTCCCCGAAGGAGTATTGACCTACGAGGGCTTGAAACCCGGTAGGCTCTTCAAGGGTTATTATCAGTATTATTTTAATCCTATCGGTGAGGATGGAAAAACGCTCCAGGAGCGGGACCTGGAGGAACAGCAGAAGCATTGTTTTGAGCGAGGCGAAGAAAACATCCTAAAGGATATGGAGGAACTCGACTGGACCATTGGCGACCTTCCGGAGAGCAAAGAGGTTTTGAAGAAAAGAACAAAGCGAACTCCTCTTTCGGCGGCATCGAGACCCTCTGCTAAGGGCCTCCTTTTCTCGAAGAGCAAGCCGAGTACCTCTGCTGCTCCGGCATCTACCCTCCCCGTCCGCGAGAGGCCAACCGCTATAGATGCGTTGCGCGTTTGAAGGAGGAGGTGGGCATGGCGGTATATGGTTGGCTTAGGGTTTTTGTTATTCATTGAGTTTTCACGTCTAGGTGATTGTAGGTCTTGGGTTTTGATGTACATAAGTCGTTGATGGAGAGGTGGTTACTGTGGGATTGGGAGCACTTCAGGGGAAGGATCAGGATGATGAACCCCAAATATCCATGTGCGCTTTCTCTTGTTATAGAAATTGATGTCTATGTTTTGTACCATATTACAGCTAACATGTCCAAATGGAACATGTTCGCAGTCCTTTTCCCTCTAGTGCCTGTGAACTTCAAATGCTTTTTTCGAGGTTCCGGGGTTTACGATCACAGGGCTCACACAAAAGCGCGATCCATTGCCCACGAGACTGGGACTGAGAGAGAAGTATTAGAGCTCATCAATAGGCCTGAAATCTTTATTTTGCTTACAATGCCTGAGGCCATGAAATGGCTGCAAGAATCCACTTGCTGTGACAATAGTTTGCCTGAACAAAAACACATGGACATTGACCCCATTCCAACCTCCCTCTTCCTGCACCGCCACCTGCCTTTTCAAGTTCCGCCACACACACCGCCACATGATAGCAGCGCCCCACTTTCACATTCCTCCCGTGCATTGATTGATCACCTATCCTCCATTTCAGGCGCTCGGGCCAACTTGCACGGACGCATTTTGTTGGAGGCCAGCCAACCAAGTTTGGCTTAGCGAGAAGCAAGCGCCTCGCGACTTCACACGCCCTGGAACGCTCCTAAACTTTGTGACCTCAACTCCTTTCCGCTTCACCCTCTAGCAGCCTCAGCTCGCCATCCAGAGCTGCCTGCACCGTTTCGCGTGGCCAAGGCTTGTCGCATACACTCTTTGGAGCTTTTGACATACTGCTTCTCTCACGAAGGCTGGATCCAACCGTGCCTGGGCTCCCAGCGGCGACATTCTGCGGCGCAAGTTCAGCGGCTCTCCTGCTACAGACACAAAGGTCGGTCGCGCGGGCTGCACAAGCGCGCGTCATTCTGCCAACATACCGCAGCCTCATCGTTATCGAGCCGGCACTCCTGCACGACATATTTCTGCACCACTCCATCGCTGCACCGTGAGCCCCGGATATGTCGGCATGAACATCGAGGGAGCGCCCAAAGTCATCGGTTCTTGCCATGTCTCGCCCTGCGGGTGCGAGCTTCGCACAGTTCTTCCCTGCCGCCCCTAGGGCTGCCAGGGACAGGGCATTGGAGCGCGAACGGGCCAAAATCAACTCGCAGGACTCACCTCTCCCACAGGCTGCTGAAGCCTGTGGACAAGACACTGGTTCTACCTCTGCTGGCTCATATCATCGGCATGGCCCTGCTGCCAATGGAGCTCACCCCTCAACTGACGACAGCGAGTCGCTTCCAGGAGATACTCTCACTTCTAGTGGATCGGCAAGCTCACATGCCAGTTCTAGTTCTTCACTGTTTTGTGCTCTCTCTCGACCCGGCACCGCCGCGGCTTTCAAGGGCTCAAGCAGCCATCTCACTCCTCCCACATCCGATGGCTCGCCTTCCTCATATCCCTCAGCTTCTCTGCATTCCAAGGCACAGTCGACTGCTTCCCAGCCCACGGACGGTGCGGATTCTTCAATGTCAATACCCAATGGGTCGAGCCATGATCATTCAGCGACCTTATCCAAGCTTCCCAACCGCCTGCCACCTTTCGACCCTTCCCACAAGGTCGTGTGTGTCAAGTGCAAATATGATCCTGCCCTGGATGCCACGATCTCAAGCTCTGAAAAGAGGAAAAGGAAACCCGAATATGTGGAGTTTGGATTGGTATGTACACTCAATAGCATGAATACTCTCACGATACCGAAGGGGGAGCGTCATCTTGAATGTGAATTAATGGCTAATACTATATGTGTAGGGAACTCAAGATGGCGCTCCCCCCTCGGACCCCCGTCTGGCCAAGGGCGGGCGGTTGAACTACATCAATGTCGACTTTCACCTACCCAAAGCTCGACTGCGCCATGCCCCCTACATGCTGAAGCCTTGGAAGTATGACCCCAAGACCTCTTGCGGCCCGGGCCCGCCGACCCAGATCGTTGTGACTGGCTTCAATCCCTTGATTGCCTTCTCCAAGGTGACCGCCGTGTTTGCTTCATTTGGTGAGATTGCTGAGAGCAGTAACAAGATGCACCCAGAGACCGGGAGCTATTTGGGCTTTGCTACCTTCCGCTACAAGGACTCGCAGCCCAACCGCCATCGTCCGTACCCCATTCTTGCGGTCGATGCTGCAAAGCGTGCCATCGAAGCCATGAATGGAAAGAGGATCGAGGCGAACACGGTCCGTGTGGAGTATGACCCTGAGGGTCGAAAGAGCTCCCGTATGCTGGAGGAGGTGCTGAAGAAGGGCGATGAGACTTCCTATCCCTCAATCGAGCCTAAGATTCCAACAGGCCCCAAGCCCAAGGATCTCACAGCGGGCCCTCCTCCCACCGCACCCAAGGGTCCAGCTGCGCAGCGCGGTAGCCTGATCAATGTTAATGGTGTCTGGATGCCAAAGCCTAGGCCAGATTCCATCATCGAGCATGAGCCCATTGCCCCCAAGCTCAAGCATGAACCGTACATTTTTGTCGCCCACGAGCATGTCCCCGTCATGCCCACCACTGTTGCTCATATGAAGAGACGGCTGAAGCAGTTCCGGTTCGATGATATTCGTGCCGACAGATCGGGCTACTTCATAGTCTTCCCAGACACAGGTTATGGTCGCAGTGAGGCAGACCGCTGCTATCGCGCTGCCGATCGAACACCTTTCTTCACATATTGCATGGTGATGGATCTTCGTCGCTACGGCACCCTTGGGAAGAGCGCTCATCCTTCCGCTTCTCGACATCGCAGTCGGACTCCAGACCGGCGTCGGTCAGATGATGGTCGCTCTAATCATCATCATCATCATCATCATCATCATCATCATCATCATCATGACCATGACCGCAGCAAGAGAGATGAGGAACGAGCCAAACGTGAAGAGCAAGAGCGGCGTAGGAGGGAAGAGGAGGCAGATTTGGAGGAGGAGAAACGGCAAAGAGCTAAGAATTTTGACCCGGTTCTTGAGGCCACCGACGTCATCGTGCGAGAGATGAAGGAACAGCTCATCAAGCACATCCGGACCAAGATTGCCGCCCCTGCTTTGTTCAAGTTCCTAGATCCGAACAATCACATCGCGAAACGCCGCAAGCTTAACTTGGAAGATCCCCAAGGTGCCGGACTGCCGCCGATTATTTTGGACGATTACGAGGAGGGATCGCCTGTTGGCACACCGAACTCAAGGGCTGATCCCATCGAGCGGCGCACGGGTCGCCTTGATATTTCGACTCTCCCTCGGATACGCAAAGTCAAGACTGCTTCCGGCCTTCCGGCTCGCAAGTATGGCTTCAACGATCCATTTGCCCGTAATCGACCGCCCACTCGTGGCAGCGCCTTCCGGTCTCTCCATTACCGTCTTAGGGATGACAGTGAGGATGAGTCTGATGATGAGATAGAGTTGAGAACGTCTCTTGGCAGGGACACAGAAGAACCGGAGTCGCGGCCGAGGAGTCGCATGAGCTCGGATGACGAGGGTACCAGAGATGACTTTGGGTCGTGGGGCCCTGGAGATGATGATTCCATTACAGAGACCAGCTTTGTGCTCAATGATGGCTCAGTTCTGCCAAAGAAGAGGAAACTGGATCTCCAAGTGGAAGCAGTTGTCAAACGGCAAAAGAAGTCTGACGAAGAGCTTTTCGGGGCCACTGTGGACCGCATCGAGAACGAGTTCGTATCAAAAGAACCCTCGCCTGAGGAGATACCAGCTCCTCCTGCTCCTTCACGGCAAACAGACGTGCTTGTGGAGAAGGAAACAGATAGCTCTCGTCTTCCAACTCCCCTGCCACAGAGCACAAAAGCTCACAAAAAGAAAGCCGCCAAGCCGAAGAAGAAGTCCAAGAAACAGCTGTTCGAGGAAAGAGAGGCTCTCAAGCGACAACAACAGGAGATTTATGAAAAGGAAGCGGCTCAACAAATTGAGGAAGGTGAGGAAACAAAATTGGCGGTTGAGGTCGAAGATGAAGCCAAGAAACCTGAGGTTGTTGGAGAAGAAGAGGAGAGGGCGGACTTGGATGAAAATCTCTATCCGCCAGAAAAGGTCCCTGCTCTCCAGCTTCCTTCAGACTTCCATCTCGAAGTGGCAACATTGCAGGAATTGGGCCTTGGTGAATACGATCAACCAGATCTGGACAAACTGCGCAAGAAGTTTGGTCCTGGCAAGCTGGCCGATGCAGAGCTCTGGCTGTGGAGAAGAGATCGCATCCGAGAGTTCAACTCATCCGACGGGTCGACGAAGAACCCGGTGCGCATTGAGGGTTACTATGTCCCCAATTCGACCGGCTGCGCTCGGACTGAAGGCGTCAAGAAGATTCTCAACTCCGAGAAGGCCAAGTATCTTCCTCACCATCTCAGGGTTCAGAAGCAGCGCGAAGAGCGGCAGGCGCAAAACGGCAAGAATGCCAAAGACGCGGCTGCAGCGGCTGCGGAGGCATCACGACTTGCTGCCGAGAGCATGGTGGCCAAGGGCAACTCGCGCGCAAACCGTGCACACAACCGGCGGTTCGTTGCGGATCTCAACGACCAGCGCAAGACTCTAGGCCAGGACTCGGATGTGTTGCGGTTCAACCAACTCAAGAAGCGCAAGAAACCTGTCAAGTTTGCGCGGTCCGCGATCCACAACTGGGGTCTGTATGCGATGGAGAACATCCCCAAGGACGAAATGATCATCGAGTACGTAGGCGAAGAGGTACGGCAGCAGATCGCCGAGCTCCGGGAGAGCCGGTATCTCAAGAGCGGCATTGGCAGCAGCTACCTGTTCCGTATCGACGACAACACGGTCATCGATGCGACTAAGAAAGGTGGCATCGCGAGATTCATCAATCACAGCTGCATGCCAAACTGCACGGCCAAGATCATCAAGGTGGAGGGCAGCAAGAGAATTGTTATCTATGCCCTCCGGGACATCGCGAAGAGTAAGTATCTCTGCTGTGGCCTACATACCTTTGCAGACGGGGCGAGATCGGCTGACACAACGTACCACAGATGAAGAATTAACGTACGACTACAAGTTCGAACGCGAGCTTGGCAGTGCCGACCGGATCCCTTGCTTGTGCGGCACGGCAGCCTGTAAAGGTTTTCTCAACTAAGATTCGCGACTCTGCCTGCTTGTACCTCACTCATATATTTCTTCACCGATTTACGTGCTCATTAGTACTTCATGGTCATATCAACACTTTGGGGATGGCGATCGACGGCCCTGATGTGTGGTTTAAGGCGGCTTGGAGCTGGATAGAGGTCATTTCGTATATGGAGATCATGGTTAATTATCGCTCTAGTGTCTTACTGCAGAGCAGCACGGAGAGGGGCTACTTGATGTTGGACGTTCTGGCTGGATGCTGTCCAGCTAGAGAGGGAGGTGCAAGCCGCTGTTTGTGGAGGTGGGAGAGGGTCATAATCGAAGAGACGGGATGATAGCTCCCCTTGCTCTTCTACAGTCCCATCTCCATGCATTCAACACGGCGCTGTTGAATCCAATTGGTATTGAGTTTTTCATTCAAGCTTTCGTTAGTAAGGTGGTTTGAGTTGATTGAGTTGAGACCAGAATTCTGGGACAGGTTCACGGTTGGGACCGGGGGGTATGGAACAAAATAAATGCTTTAGGGCGTTAAGACAAAGTGATGTGTAGTCTACTGTGTAGTGTATCTAACTATTCGGTATTGTTGGTATTAGATGGCTTGGGGTTAGGGTGTTTTGATAATGCGAAGAGATTTGCAACCGAGCATTCTCTGCGAGCGTCGGATACCGATTGGTATGAGACGCAGCAAGAGCATTAGGCAAAAGAGAGCAAGGAATGCATATGTCATAAATTGTACACTCAAACATCACTGGATAAGCAAGTACCAGAATGTGAGGAAAGTAAACATTGGGGCCAACTGTGGTGTAGTAGAAAGAAGGTAGGGAAATGGCCCCTGTCAGCTAGTTGGTTTGAACTGCATCAGTTTTCTCAATGCCTATTTACCACCGAGCTTTGTCTTTTTTTTTTTTAACTTTTTCTCTATGATAAGTGGTAACTGTACAAAGGCAAAAACCACACCGCACTAGCACACCAAACTCAGGTATTGATACTTAACTACCTTAGTTCTTACCTCTTATCTTCACAGAAGCAACACGAAGTACAGATCAAAGCTCGGGCCAGCAACCACCTCCATCATCCGTACCTCAGTTAAGGACCTCGAGCCTTGGTCAGACCAACAGAACATTCGAAGCATCCCAGATCTCGATATCCAACGGCCTGGCATTACAAACTACTTAACATTCGGACCGACATCAGTGTACGACGCGGCACACGATACAAGCTAGAAGTGAGCTGAATGCAGGTGGGATTGCGGCCACAGTTGAAGACGCGGCGGTCGCTGGTCGACTTGTTGGTTGGCAGCGGCAGCAGTGAATTCAGCGCGCCGTCCTCTTCCACGCTCAGCAGGCCCAACAGCGGGTCCAACAGCGGGGTTGGGGGGTCTCAAGGGTCCACTGAAACCAGTGTTGCCGCATTTGGATCGCCCATGGCGGCAGGCCCATCCACTGCGTCCATTGCGCAATTCCCCCAACTCCAGTCGGCAAGCACCGCCCCGGTCTCCGACGCCCAGCAGCACAAGCAGCACAAACAGCACGAGCAGCAGCAGGCGAACGTGGACCTCGAGCTTCCAGTTCAGGTTTCCGGGCCAGACGACATCCAACCACCACCATCTCCTGCAGCATCACAACCTCCATCTACCCCCGACTCCGCCTCCGCATCACCAGCACCGGCCCCGCCATCGTTGACGCCGGACCCGAGCCGTCACTGGACTTCATCTGTTCCTGCAATTGTTGTCCATTCTGCACCCTCGAGCCCCGCATCACCGAACCCCGCGGCCCCAAGATCGACACCAGCAGCACCCGCGTCGTCAGCTTCTTCAGCATCGCTAACCTCGTCGCCCACCATGGCTCCTGTAAGCAGTCTCTCCCACCGCGATGGCTTAGATTGGGGGTATATGATGATAGCGACCATCACTCTCCACAATCCATCGCTGCTACCAATGGCCTAACAACGCTCGCTGACTATGGGGTGTGTTTGCAGTCAAAGACAGACGACAGCCAGGAGGGGTTTCATCCCGGTATGCTTTCCCTGGACGTACATTGCCTTGGTCGCAAGAGTCGGGGATGCTGACTACAGGTTTGCAGGCAAGATCTACTCCATCTCAGGGTCCGTACCGCCAACCATCATGCCCCTGACCGCCCGAATCACACACAGTTCCCGCTGACATAATGGTTTCAGTCCGGTCGTTGTCGCTGAAGATATGACTGGCGTTGCCATGTATGAGCTGGTATGGATTGCCTACGCTCCCAGAGAGGGCGTTCTCGACTAAACCGTGTGACAGGTGAAAGTAGGCCATGACAAGCTTGTCGGTGAAGTCATTCGGATCAGCGGCGACCAGGCGACCATCCAGGTATACGAGGAGACAGGTACAGCTCATGCCCTACCAACCCCTTTCGCGTCTTTGCAACACTGACGTCCTCTTCCACACAGCCGGTGTGACGGTTGGTGACCCCGTCATCCGGACGGGCAAGCCCCTCTCCGTCGAGCTCGGTCCTGGTCTCCTGAACAACATTTACGACGGTATCCAACGGCCGCTCGAGAAGATTGCTGGCATTTCGAAGAGCATCTACATCCCCCGTGGTATTGCCGTGCCTGCGCTTGATCGCAGCAAGAAATGGGATTTCACCCCGACCATGAAGGTCGGCGATCACATCACCGGCGGCGATGTCTGGGGTCACGTCTTCGAGAACTCGCTGATCTCAGTGCACAAGATCATGTTGCCGCCAAGAGCTCGCGGCGTCATCACACGCATCGCCCCGAAGGGCAGCTACACGGTTGAGGAGAAGCTTCTTGAGGTTGAATTTGACGGCAAGAAGACCGAGTACCCCATGATGCAGACCTGGCCGGTTCGTGTGCCACGTCCCATTACGGAGAAGCACTCCGCCGACAAGCCATTCCTGGTCGGCCAGCGTGTTTTGGACGCCCTCTTCCCGTCCGTTCAAGGCGGCACAGTCGCCATTCCTGGCGCCTTCGGCTGCGGCAAGACTGTCATTAGTCAATCCGTCTCTAAGTTCTCCAACAGCGATGTGATTGTTTATGTCGGTTGTGGCGAGCGCGGTAATGAGATGGCTGAAGTCCTCAAGGATTTCCCCGAGTTGACCATCGACGTCGGTGGCCGCAAGGAGCCTATCATGAAGCGCACTACCCTCATCGCCAACACCTCCAACATGCCTGTTGCTGCCCGTGAGGCCTCTATCTACACCGGCATCACGGTCGCTGAATACTTCCGTGACCAGGGCATGAACGTAGCCATGATGGCCGACTCCTCTTCCCGCTGGGCTGAGGCTCTTCGTGAGCTGTCGGGTCGTCTCGGTGAAATGCCTGCTGATCAGGGTTACCCTGCCTACCTGGGCGCCAAGCTCGCATCCTTCTACGAGCGTGCCGGTAAGGTTCAGGCCTTGGGCAGCCCATACCGCGAGGGCAGCGTCAGCATTGTCGGCGCCGTTTCCCCTCCTGGTGGTGACTTCTCTGACCCCGTCACCTCTGCCACACTGGGTATCGTCCAAGTCTTCTGGGGTCTGGACAAGAAGCTTGCCCAGCGCAAGCACTTCCCATCTATCAACACCTCGCTCAGCTACAGCAAGTATACTGCCGTTCTGGACAAGTGGTATGAAAAAGAGTATCCTGACTTCCCGCGCCTGCGCGACCGCATTCGTCAGCTGCTTTCCGACAGCGAAGAGCTCGACCAGGTTGTCCAGCTGGTTGGTAAGTCGGCTTTGTCCGACCCGGACAAGATTACGCTCGACATGGCAACCCTCATCAAGGAAGACTTCCTCCAGCAGAACGGCTACTCGGAATACGACGCCTTCTGCCCCATCTGGAAGACGGAGTGGATGATGAAACTGATGATGGGCTTCCACGACGAGGCGCAGAAGGCTGTTGCCCAGGGCCATACCTGGGCTAAGATCCGTGAGGCGACGCAGGATCTCATGGCACAGCTGCGTCAGCTTAAGTTTGAGCTGCCTAGCGATGGGCGCGAAGCCGTCTGCAAGCGGTATGAGGCGATACAGCAGGCTATGTTGGATAAATTTGCTAGTGTTGTTGATGAGTAAGGGGGTTGATAGGAGGAGGCGAGTGCCTACTTGGGAAATATTAGATAATGTGAAAGTTTGAATGAGGAGGGTGTAGCTTAGGTTGCGAGTATAGGATGAAGGTGTAGTTTAGGGTGCTATTGTTGACAGCCTGGGTTATTATGTTTTGTGGTGAATCTTCCTTCTTGTTCCTGGTGATGGGAGGTAGAGGCATATACATTTTTTGATCATCAGTGCAGAAAACCGTAAATTTTAGCAACTCATTGGTTCCTTGTTGTGATGCATGCTGTGTTTTATGTCAGTATCTGCACGCGATTCAGTTTGTTGGTGGTGGTAGGAAGGATAAACAGATCCGTCAACAGAGGAAGTGGCCAAGGCCGTTTACAACAGGGGGCTTTGCGGATTAATCCCTGATGAATATCATTTTTTCAACCTTTGAAGGCAACATGCGAAAGAACGAATGTTTGCTTGAGCTGCCATGTGTGTCATAATGCTTCATACATCATCTGGTCATCATCATTAAACCTTTTGAATCTCTCTTAAACGCAGTACCCTGACCGGACCCAAGCCGAACAAAAATCCAAACGAGCAAATCCAAGTGTATCACCCAAGTGGTACTGCCAACATTATCAGACGGCAGCCCATTATTTCTCCTGCCCTCTCAAACCAAACCATAAAGGGCGAGGAACAACGTAATACCAAAGACAAATCCAAAGAGCCAACCCGCCTGTTCCTTGTTTATCTCACCCAAACCCAGAGCAGCAGCTCGACCAGCAGCGCAGTAGTTTCTGAAGAAGAGGAAGAATAATGACTTTGCGAACTTCACACGCAACCCACCATAACCAGCTAAGAAGAAAAGATCCATCCGCAAACAGCCCGCTCTCCGAAACTTCACACACGCTTCTCTCCTGCTCCTCCTCTCCGCTTTTGTTGCTGCTGATGGTTTAGGTGTTGTTGTGACTGTTGCTGCTGCTGCTGCTGCTGTTGCTGCTGTTGCTGATGGCAACTATAACCATCAACCGCGGCCACAGGAGCATTCACCGTACCACCACCAGCTGCTGCAGCAGCACCAACCCCCTGCCCCCTGCTGCTGCTGTTTGGCATCGCGTCGGGAGGCAATAAACTGCGCTCCCACTCCTTCATCAGGTCGGTGGCGGTCCGCTTGATGTTGCTGGGCGTCAGGCGATTCAGCATGGGCGGTAAGAGATCCTCCAGCTGCTTGACGACGGGGCTCTTGAGGCCACCGAAAACGGCCGCTGCGCCGACTAATCCTGTGGTGGAGGCTGACGAGGAGGATGACGCCGGCGCAGAAGGGGCGGATGAGACGCTGCTGGAGCTTGCTGCGCTTGAGCTGGAGGAGGAGGATGTAGAGGAAGAGGAGGAAGTAGAGGCGACGCGGGGTTTGGAGGATTTCTTCTTGCTGAGGGGGGTTCGAGATTAGTAGATGAATAAGGAGAGAAGGGGCTAGTTGAGAGTGAGTCGGAGACTGGGGAAAAGGGTAATTAGTTGGGGAAGGGGCATCTTACATAGGAGTTGACGTCTCGGGTTCCCTGCGTTTTTCTGGGGGCGAGGGAATGATATCCCCGTTGACGGTCGTACCGCTCCAACGAAGAGACGAGCCGCTTGGGTTGTCCCAGTTTGACCAGTCGTTGTCGTCGTACGCATCGGTACTCAGCGGTGTCCACGAGAAGCGCTTTGTCGATTTTGGGGCCTCGTTCTTGGATCGTTGGGAGCGTTGGGAGGCATCTTTGTCCATTGGTATTCCATCTTGTCGAGATTCTCCATTGGGCGCTACCGCTTTTGGGGCACTGTCGTCGAAGACTGCAGAGGCCCGCGGTCGAGAGTTGTTTGAGGACGACGCGCGAATCGTGTGTTGGTCGCCAGTCGAATAGCCGTTGAGCCCCCTCCGGTAGGTACCCTGGCCGGTAATCGGTTCGTCGCCCACCGTAGCCTGGCGCAGATCCTCCATGAACATCCAAAGTCCTGTCTTGAGATCCTGAGCAAACTGCTTGACCCCGCTCGTTTGCGTTGACCGAGGGGCCCAAGAGGCTCTCTTGGATGATGGGGCAGAGAGAGACGTATAGGCAGACGCCGCATAGTTGTTGCCATCGCTGTCGTCCTTGGAGCGATCAGCATCGTAATCCGACAACCCGTCGGGCTTAGTTGGTGATAACAACGACAGTTGACGTGTGTGCGTGCCGGTGAAAACGCGTCGACGACTTCTCTCAGGGGCAGCTTGTGAAGTCTGTTGCTGAGTAAGCAGGGCTCTTCTCCGATCGAGCTCCAGGCTACGTCGGATGGCCGTCTCGTCCTGCGCATCGATACCGCGGGTAGGATCCGTGGCTCTCCTATCCGGCCTCTTTTTATAGGCCTCGTGAGTTGCCCATTGCTTCTTCAGCCGTGCAAGATCCTCCTCAGCACGTGACAGCTCTTCTCGGAGCTCCAAGACACGGCGCTCCTGAGCCGCAATTGCCGTGATCAAGTCATTAGCGTCAATGGGGGACATCAGAGCAGGAGTGTCGAGAGGTGTGGGCGGAAATGCAGGTGTTGTCGCGGTTAACGGGGTAGGACGTGAAGGGTAGGGATTCGGAGGGGCGATGGGCAGGGTCAACGACAGTCTGTTTGTGCTTCGTGAGGCTGTAGACGCGGAACGGCTTGAACGCGTCTCGATCAAGTCGTCAGCCTGGGAGGTGGCAGACGAGACAGACTCGTCGGGAAACCGGCGTGGCTTCGTCTCATCCCTACTCCCTCCACGGCTTGAACGACGCCTCTCGTGGAGAGTGCCTGACGGCCGATTCGGACCCGGGATCGCGCCATCCAGGCTGCGTTGCTGAAGCAGAACCATCTCGTCCATCTTAACTGCGTCGGAGTTCTCGCTGGATAGTCGATGAGCTGCCTGAGCTCGTCGGGATATTGATAGTCGGAGGAAAACTAAGATGAATGAGCGTGAGGGAGAGGGCTTGCGCAAAAAGTAGGGTCGGGAAGAGAGCCACGGCGAGCTTTGGCGACGGCGGCTTGGTAACGCTGGAGCAAATGCAGATTCAGACGCAGGGGTAACGAACGGAGCACGGGGGAGCAGCAACGAGGGTCGGCGGCGGCAGTAATAATTGTAACGGGGATAATAAAGAACGTGGTTGGATCTGGATCTGGTCGTTCTTCCGGCGACGACGACAGCCTTGTCCAGGTTTAGCGGATTCCTGTCGCGGGTGGTGAAAAGAAGGTTCGCGCAAGCAGAGACGAGGCAGATGCGCAGCAAGCCGACAGAAGAGGAGGTGGTGGATGTGGATGCGATCATGGGAAAAAGTAGGTACTGTTTATGGAGCAGGCTGGGAGCATGCTGCGCTGGTTGCAGAGGGGGTCGACAGCGGGTGGAAACCTCATCTCGCTGGATTCATGCAGGCCCGCCCTCTCATTGGCGCAGAAGCGCCAGACCGCTTGCTGTGAGTCGCTGGACCAGGGGCCACTAAGGACCACAGGGGACCACTTGGGGAGGTTCACTGGGACGCGGCTGGACCGCTGGGAGAGCTCGGGAGGGAGGTTCTGCCACTTCGGGCGGCTTCTTGGGGCAGCGCCAGGGCCTAAGCAGGGGTTTGCCGGGCTTGCACCCCTGGGTTGCGCGTTTCGCCGTTTCACAGATCCTCGAGTTGTTTTTTCTCGAGGACCCAGGGTTCGTCCGATTTTGTCTTTGTTCGCCGGGACTCACAAAGGCCTTGACTCGGCAGCGATGCAACCGGGAATAAACTCGAAATTCAAAGAGTCGTCGTGTGAGTCTAGTCCAACAAAGCCAGCAGGTCTGGCAGGATCTGGCGACCAAACGCACAAATAAGAATAGAACCGCTGCGATACAATGTCACGCCGCCTTGATGGAGAGCGTGGGCCCAGAGTGGCAGCGCTGGATGCACGTCGTGTACACCCGCAGCGAAGTCGGGTGAGCTGGGGGCGGGAGGAATGTGTGTTGCTGCGTTCCAGATGCCAACGGACTGCCAGATTCCAGATCCCTCGGCGGCCGTTGGGTTGCGGATAGGTCAAAGCCGATGCGATGGGGAAATGTGTTGTCAGAGACGAGATTCAAGGACCGCGTTGGGGACTTGAGGCCGCGGCAGCACCATCTCTTTTTGAAGAAGCAACAGATTACAGGGGAGATTGCCATCATCTCGAGCTCCTCAACCGCAGTTTGTGTGCTGACCGAACGCTGCCGCTCCGCAACTCCATGGCACAGAGACCGTAAGTCCCTTCCCCAACGAAAGGCGGCAGTCCGCAGGCGTTTGTGGTTCCACAGCGCAGTTGGTGTCTGCCGACAGCCAAGTCTCGTGGTTTGAAGGGTTTTACGCTTTTTGCTGAGAATTTCAGGGGGTGTTTTCGCCATGACAGCATAGCTTTCCATCCATGGATATGCCAAGTGCATAGGTAGTGTATTCACAAATGTCAGTCGGAATTCCCGAGCCACCGCATGAATGTCAATTGACAATCCCTTCTCTCATTGTAGCCGTCTCCTTTCCGACGTAGTGCCCAATGGCACCTTGAATGCCAGCGGCCAGGCCCGGCTTTTCCAAGCAATCTGGGCAGCCGATGTCAATCCATCATCCGTGGTCCGTCTCCTGTCTGATCCCACCTGACCAGGGTTCCCCCGCTCCCGGCGCTGAGGAGCAGGCTCTGCAGGTTCGCAGGTGCCCTTGCAGATCTCTTGGTCCGTGCACCATGTTCAGTCTTGGCTTGGCTTGGCTTTCTTTGTGGTTGGCTTGGCACTGACACGAACGCGAAACCGCACGTGACAGCGCGTTCTTATCACGCCTTTCAGGAACGGACAGAGAAGATTGCATTGCAATCTGAGGGATGGCAATTCGAAGCAAACTACCATTTCCTCAATAAAAGAAAAGGAACTCGCTGCGTGATTGGTCGCTCCAGCATTTTAGAAGCCAAAGTGCAGCACGTCTATTGCAACTGTGATGCAGCATCCAGTACTAGCCTGCCACGCACTTGATGAATTGCTTGCAGAAAACACAAGATGCGTGTGGCCGCTGAGCGATAGCTGCGATTTGCTTTTGCCACCCAATTCCATATAAATGACACCGCCTACCGTCCTCGTTGGCACGCCCCATGTTCAGGAGGGGCCCTATGATTCCCAGCAGGACACTCTCATATGCGGCTATTCTATTCTAAAGAGTCATGGAGTTGAGATTGTATGGCATCTGCTCTTCTTTTTTGCCTATGCCTAGCCCCAGACTTCCCGAACCCATGCATGGCAGCCTGGGAGCTAACCTCTCGGCAGACAAGCAGCTCTCCCCTCGATGAAATTCCACTCTCCCCACCCAACAGAAGCACACAACTTCGCAGTCACAAAGCAAACGCTGCCGGTATGTCTTTTATCAACACACCAATGAATGCTGTTCTCTTTCGCACTGACTGATGGATGTTCCCAAACAGGTGTCTTGCGCCGCTTCGAGACAATGACGTCGAGGGGCATGTGGGAGTACAATGAGGTGAGCCTGTATCCTACGCATAGTCCGACGAGCAAGCTGTGCTGACAAAGACTTGGAAGATGCGCGCAGCTGCTTTTTTCGACGTGGCGGACACGAGCCAGCCAAGCTCTCTGCCCGATACTGAGCGCTTCTCAGGACTCCGCGATGAGAATGAAGCCCCGATGGACGATGGGTTTCCTAACCCAGAAAAGTTCCATATACATCACAGTTCCTCTCTCCGCAGTTCACATGCTGCCACACAGAGAAAAATAATGGATTCGACCCAGGAGTTGACCCAGCCAAACACGGACAGAAGTTATGAAGAGCGTCTGCGTCGCCCATCTCCAAGTTGCGAATCGACCTTTCGACTTCCGCATTCTGCAGAAGCTCCCACTAGCCCGATAAGGAACGCAGCGCTGGAGGAAGATGGTACGGGGGTGGTTCAATTCGACTTCGCCAGGTTTGGAGAGACAGACGAGACCGTCTCTCCTGCCCAAGATGACTCTGGTTTCGTCGATCTCGGTGGTCCTGCCCACCTAAGGTGTACCGACCCCCAAAGTGCAACTCAGTCGCCATCCGCGCCCATACGATTTCCAGAAACCCCTCTTGGGCCCCAGAATCCGTTCCGGAACAGTCGCTCTCAGTTGCTCCCTATGTCGCAGCTCTTCCAGGCGACACAGTTTACATCGCCCGCAAAGATCGCCAGTCCGACTTCATCGCGGCCGTCGCCTGCCGATTTTCCCGCCCACGCGATCTCTTCCAATCCACCGATTTCTTCGCCCCTAAAAGCTCGTGGCCTGCGTTCATCACCTCCCCAGAATGCTGCCTCGAGCCCCCAAGTCCTTCCTGGCACTACTTCGCCGCGCGCCAATGAGAAAGTTAACAGCCCATCCCCGTCCTCCACGCAAAACCCCGTGGTACCAGAGTCTCCTCATGATGCCTTTCCCAGGAAAAAGGGAACTCCAGAGCCCATGAGCACATGTGAGCCCGTGGTAAGATCTCAGGAGGAATGGTTGATCGCTGAAGCACCAACGAACCCCATTGCGTCTGATGAGGACGACGTTGTCTACGATTCATATGCGAAAAAGAGGATGATTCAGGCCAAGAAGGATGCTGCCCTTAAGCAGTTGTCCGCCATCAGCATTACCCGTCCGCGCAAGAGGGATGATGATGTCGAGGTGCCTGCGACAAGCCTGCGCAAAAAAAACAGTCCAGCCGATTCCAAGAAGTCACGGTCTCGCCGGAAGGCCGTGGAAAAGAGTGATAATAAAACCCCAGCTAATGGAAAGGAAACTCGGGAGGACTGTCCGCTACGTGCACACAAAGTCGCAAATGAAGATGACGCCACTCAGTCAAACGCAGAAGAAGAGCCAGAAATCGTGACTGAGTCAGTACCGTCAAGCACGGCTGCTGTGCTGCCAAGGTCCTCGAAGTCAACAACCCGCCTTCCAATTGGATCTGGTAAGCTCGCGTCTAATGGAGGAGCCATTCCGGAGACAAGCCCAGCTGGGACGCATATCGATCCCCGTCAAGGAGGGCCGTCTGTCTCCTCTCCGACATTAAAAGACGGTCTAGCCCCTAATCACAAGTCCTCCCCACCAGCCCTGGATACGGAGATAAGACATACTGCAGCCGAGGATGCGACGTCCATCCCAACGGTCAACCCTAGAAATTCGGAAACCACACCTCATCCTCCCTCTAGTGATGGCCCATCTGCCCTTACCCAGGCAACAGCCTCTCCCACACGCTCTACTGGCGTCGCTAGTTCCTCTCCTGTCGTCGTTCAGCGAAGGCGACGTGAGGCGCGCAAGAAAGCTCCAGCTCCTCAAAGTGTGTCGTCTGAAAAGCTCAGGCGCTCTGTTCGGTCGACTCGACTGTCTTCAGAATCGACAGATGAGCTCACCAGACCTTCAGCGGTGCCCACCTTTGAACAAAGCGTGCGCACCAGTCGGCTAGATGCGGTCAAATCGGGGCCTGGTGTCGAGCGCGTGAAGCCAACTCAGCCTCACAAAGATCGAGGGCTCTTCGAGGGCATGGCGTTTGCGATATCATTCCAATCCAAGAAGCCAGGGGAGACCAGTGAGCAATACAATACCCGAATGGAACTGTCGACGTCGATCCAGAAGCGAATCAAACAAGCTGGCGGCAGAATTTTGGAGAATGGCTTTGACGAACTCTTCGAGCCAGTACCGTTAATAGCATCAACCAGTTCTGGCTCTGGTTCGAGCTCCGAGCCTAATCTAACCCTAACCGCCGAGGGCAACTCCACCGGCTTCACAGCCCTCATTGCAGATGGCCACTCCCGTAAAGTCAAGTACATGCAAGCCCTCGCCCTCGGTCTACCCTGCATCGCAGTTCGCTGGGTAACTACCTGTCTCGACCGAGGCACGCTCGTCGACTGGGCGCCCTACCTCCTCTGTGCCGGACAGTCCTCTTTCCTCGGCGACGCCATCCGATCTCGCACTCTTGTCCCATACGACACGGCCACGGCCCGCTTGTCCACGGTCATTGCTCAGCGGGACAAGTTGTTGGATGGAAGCCGCATCTTGGCGGTGGTGAAGAAGTCGCAGGAGAGCAAGAAGTCAGCGTATGTGTTTTTGGCGAAGGTCCTTGGTGCGTCGTTGCGACGCGTGTATACCCTGGATGAGGCGAGGGTGGAGATGAAAGCGGCCGAGGAGGCGGGTACACCGTATGATTGGGTGTATGTGGATGGGAAGCAGGATGAGGAGGCGTTGTTTTCGGGAGAGGTTTCTGCAGCTGCGGGGGCGGCTGCTACTACTGGGAACTCACGCGGCGGCAAGAAGAGGAAGAGGGCTTCAGCAGCGTCCTCGGTCATCAGCAGCACTGTTACGGAGAGACCGCCGAAAAGAATCAGAGCGTTGAGTGATGAGCTGGTGATTCAAAGTCTGATTTTGGGGAGGATTATTGAGGAAGGGGAGTTGGTGGAGTAAAATGTGGGCGGCAGGACTGATTTGGGGCGTAAGATGGGCGATAACCATGAGTAAGGAGGACGGGTCATGAACAATGGAGTTCGGCGTTTAGGGTTGACTGGTCAGGATGAGCGATGGATGTACACTTATAACTTATGAACTAAGGACGGGTTAGGCACATTTATTAATTGTGGGTTCCCAACATGAGCCCGCCCGATTGCTTCTTGGTTCAACGGTCTTGACCTCTGAAAAGTAATGTCAATACTGAATTGTCTGCTAAGTTTCCATCTTCAAACCGTAATCATAATCAAACCAACGAACGCTCTCTGACCTCTTCCGGCTACCTGTCAGAGGTTGCTGTCCTCAGATCTACCGCGCGTGTCTTCGATTCAATATAGCGGCCTTTTCTCGACAACGATTTTTCTAGTTCATTCTAAACAACGAGAGCAAGTCAGATCATCCAAACTGGCTGTTTCCAAAACGTACCCAAAAAAAAAATGGACTACCAGGCATCCTCTAGTCATCCATTTCCTCAGCTATCCCCTAAGGCATCACTATTCTTTTAGGTGCAAGGAACATCACACCGTCCAATATGATCTCCCTCAGGATTCATGCACTTCCCACTACAAGCACAGAGCAACTCGATCTTGTTCCCCGGCCGGGGCAGGCTCTTGGCGCATATTTCATCAATCCCATTTCCATTCCCACTATTGGGGTTATTCCCTCCCTCATTACCATCGCCATTGCTAATCGTCGTATTAGACAACGGCGTAGGCCAGGGTGTAGGGGTTGGTGTCGTTGCCCCCCGCGTAATGGTAATCGTTGTCGTTGTAGTTGACGTCCAGCCTTCCTTGAGAAACCTTCTCGGATTAAGAATATGTGGGAAACGGCCGCTACCAGCCCCTCCTTGATTGTCTTCGGCGTCCGCGGGACGCGAGTGTGGATCGAGATAGTAATGGTGGTGCAGTTCGTACGGGTTGGGCTGGTCTGGCAGACGCGGTGGTGGCACCGGGGACTTTCCATGGGGTTGTTCGGGGGCAGCAGGGGGTACGCAGAGGTAGAGGGCTTGGTATGGGTCTGTACGGGGCTTGCCGTTGGGACAGTTATGCTTGTGGGCGGAGCAGTAGGTTTGGAGGATGTCGTACTCGTTGAAGTCTGGGTGAGGAGTTGTTAGCTTTGCACGAGTAGTCAAATATGAAAGGGGGAAAGGCAGCAAACGTACTCTGGCTATCCCGAAGGATGTAGCCACAGTAGGTAAAGCCGGCACCACAAATTGGGGGATTTGGGTTGAATGTTGGAGTTGGTGCGAAGTCAGTGCTCGTCTCTGGTGCTATCGTCGTCGTTGTGGAAGACTTATGCTTGAATGCCCCGGAAAAAGCAGGAGCTAAGCCGATGAAGGCGGCTGCAAAGCTGTATGGATGCTTCATCTTGGAGTTGTCAGCATACTAGACATCCGGATCTTGACTGAGTCGTGTCTCACTTCAAGCATTTAAACTATCTATATCCATTGACACATGAGGCCTCCTGGATGAAGTGAAGTAGCTCTATTATAAATCTCAGAAGATAATTTAGTAAGCCTTACCAAAGCCTGCTCGGTTGAGCAATTAAGAGTCGTCATCTGTCCAACAAACATACCGAGACTTTCACCCGCCCTCATCCGTACAGCATCACCGACTAGCATGTGTACTCATGAGGACGGGTTGAGCTTGTGTTTATGTTCTTGGCAAGGTTTGGTGAACCTTGCGCACTTGACTTGGCTTACCGGGTTTCCATCGCGACATGTGTGCCGTGGGACATAAGATGTTTCAGCTTACTACAACATGATCTGCGAATATGTATGTTAAACAACCCAAGTAAGACCTCGTGTTATGGCACAATGAAACGTCGGTCGGAAAGCCATTGAGTTAGAGGCATGAGTTGCAAATGGAGATCTAGAACATGGTCTTGTGAAGGGTTCAAAACAACGGGAACCCTCATCATTCCGAAAGCCTTCAGAGCAACCTTCACCAGACGGCACGTCACGATTCCGAGGCCATAGGTACAATTCCATGGGTTCTCAATTAAAAGGTGGGAAAAAAAAACGAGACTAGGCGGAACACAGACGGGAAACGTCAGTCCCTCCAACGGGTAATTCACGCCAGAACGACCGAAAAAGCAGATAGCTAGATAGAAACACAGAGAGCCCCATATGTCCCAATCCCAGTGTGTTATGATGTGTGTTTCCCTTCCTTTCCCTCCCCTTCAAAGGTCAATGCAACTGTCAAAGTACAAACTTTGCGAGGAATAGTCCCTCCCCGTTGAGTAGGTGCATGCTTCGCATGCCTTGTGAAGTGAAACCTGATCCTCTTATGACGGAATCAATCATTCCTTCTTGCTTTCTTCGGTACAAATCGGGAAAACTGTGTAATGAGAGGTGAGTCTCATAACGTGCTCTAAAAAGACCCCCTTAATTCGGATGAGGCATTACTGCCGATAAGCCGGACATGAATCTGTAGCCCCTGTTATGGTAGAAGCCACGATCAAAACTGGGCATGGGGCGCCACTTAAAGGGACGATGTTCCGTCCCATCTCTTCGGAGGATGCTTGAGAGACTACGTCTTGGGTTCCCTCTATTGCCCAAGTAGATCGAGGGTCAATAGACCTCTCGCCAGGGTATCTTCTTAGACATCTTTGTAGATGAGAAGCGGCTCGCCGACATTAGTAATTTCAGGAATAGTGCATTTCAGGTCAAATGCCTTCGAAAGCACAATCTTAAAGATCTAGATGGCTGTTAGATGAATCTCAAAGGAAGCAGTATAGGGGATATGGCGCACCTTCTGGACATTGATGCTATGGCTGGTGCTGCTGAAGATCAACGATGCACGCATGGCCTTAGCAAACCGACGAGCCTATAGTAGTGGTGTCAGTCCAACGTCGGTTGAGCTACGCACGGAAAGCAGGTAGTACCTGGTTGGAAATTTCCTCCTGCTCCTCTCGCGACAGGTTCACAAAGTGGTCATATTTGGTACCGACCAGCACAGGAATGGCGGTCTTGTTGAACCCGCGCCCCTGGCGATACCACTCCTTAATGCTGTTCAACGTGCTCTTCCGAGTCAAGTCAAACATGAAAAGGATGGCCACGGCATCGTTGCACACCAAAGGCAGCATGTTGACGAATTCACGCTGGCCGCCCAGGTCCCAGATGCTGAAGGTGATCTCGGTATTACGAATGCTGATGGTCTTCTCCATGAAGTTAACGCCCAAAGTTTGGATATAATCCTCATCCCAGCTTCCCTCAACGTACTTGACCATCAAACTGGTCTTGCCGATCTGGGCATCGCCCACCATGCCAACCTTGATCACGACATGGTTGCGCGCTGGCGGCTGCTGAGACTGCTGTTGCTGTTGTTCTTGTGAAGCACTGTTACTCCCAGCCCGGGATCCCTGATCCGTCGCATACCCGGCTCCTCTCTCTCCCGATAGGCCGGACGGAGGACGGGATATCTGCTGCCCTGATCCGGATGGAGTATTGTAGCGGGCTGTTGGTTCGCTTTCAGCGGCATCGTCTTGGTCATAATGCTGCGACTGGGAATAATGGTGATCGTGGAAGCCGTTATTCTCGCAGTCGGACGAAGGAGCAACTTCGGCATCGGCCAGAGAGTGGTCGCGATAATCAGAAGCAGCGGACTCGCTGGGAGCGGGAGCCGCTAGCTGGTCACGCTCCATGGTGCCCACTGCGTCGTGGAATTGGGCCGACGACCCTTGCGCGCGATTTGACAAAGAAATCAGGATAGGCGTGGCTAAGGAAAGCGGTCGTAGAGCCGCCGTGCTGGCTTCGAGAATCGAGGGCTGCAGGGCCCGAGAGAGCGGGGAATTCGGGCAGGTTCGTCTGATAAAGGCAGAGAGGTGAGGAAGGGCTGAAGGTTTATCGAGCGGTGTGTTGTCAGGCTAGCCGAACAGCGACTTCATGGAGCCCAGATGGCGAGGAGGAGCACAACTGGGCCGTGTCAGACGGCGACGAGATGTGTGGGCGTGGTAAGGCGGGCAGATGTTCGGGAGCAGAGCCAGGTCGGGATGATGGGCCTCTTCGGTGTTGCCGCCGGGTCGCAGTTAAGCAGAGGCAGAAGGTCAACGGAGGAAAGTCGGTAGTTGCTGGCGTCACGGAGTCGCGGGCACGTCGTCGCCTGCGATTGTTATTTCTTCCCGCCAAATCCCAAATCCTCGAGGTCGCTTGGTCGGCTCGGCCCGATGCGCACAATGAAGAGTGGCCGCTGGGCGCGCTTTGCTCAAGCAATTAGTCGGCTTGAGAACGGGAAAGGCTTTGCGTGTGATGTGGAAGGTGAATGCGAGAGATAGGAAAATGTGGATGGAGGGCTGATAGCCTGGAGAGCGACGGGATGGAGGGGAAAGAGGGGTGCAATGCCACCTCGGCGGGCAGGCAGTTGACTGTAAGCTGCTCGTTGTTTTAACGGGACTTCCTCTTGTCTTGGGTTGCACCTTGCGGTCTTGCACACGGGAGCCAGACAAGCAATGTTGCAGGCAGAAGACGGAACCAGATCGAAGCCGCCGTGCAGCAGAGCGCACCTAGTAGCAGCGCTTCAGCGAGGTTGCCTCAGGGCAGACCCAGGCTGCTGCCAATCCAAACGCGGAATGCACCGTTACCCACAGTGTGCTGGGCTGCTGGCGCCACGGCAGCTGGACGGACCGTGGAGGACAGTGAGGCATGCATGGACTTAACGATGGGAGGTGGCCCCCTTGGCAGCCCACAAGCGCCCGCATTTAGCGCCGTTTGGGGGAAGCTGTGTCACTCATAGTGGGATCCAGCGCTGAAGCACGTCAACCAACACGCCCGCAAGTTTCATGCAGATGAGGCTGAGATGCCGTCCGCCGCGCTGAGAGGGAGCGCCAGAGGACAGACGAAAACCAGGACGCTCTCGAACGGGGACAATAACCTAGGACTTGTGCAAATAGTCGGAAGACACTATCTGAGCTATTATGTGGAGCTGCGTGCAAACATCAGCCCGCGACCTGGATGGAATGTTTGTTCCAGTTTAGGGTAGGAGGGCTTGGTAAACAATGCAAGATGGACTGAATCGCGAGGTAATTTCAGGAATCTCAGGAGACTTGCAGCAATTGCGGCTCAGCCTATCGCGTTGCTCCTTTAAGTGTTTTGACACACCCATCCAGAACCAGCTGGCTGCTGGGCATCCACGGACCAAACGTGGGGTGGCGGCTTCGAGTATGGAGAGCCTAAGGAGAGTTGCTCACCGGTTGTTGGGTGCTTGTTAAAAGCTCTGCTGCCCCTCGTGGGTCTCTCCCCAACCTGGGGTCCAGACTTCAGCTTACAGGATGCACAGGTCCTGTCTGCACGGAAGCCAAGACTTTTGATTATGTAAGCTGGTACCTCGGCCCCTTACGGGCTCTCTGATTGGCTGGATCTGAACTTGGCAGTTGGCCGGCTCCCGATTTGCAGCCATCGCCAACTCGGCCCATCGGCGTCATTCGATTTCGACTTTATCTTCTTCCTAGACCTCGCCATCTCTCTGCGGTTGCCGTTACGCACCTCTGCTGCTCACCCCTCGCTCTTCCCAGCAAACAGCCTCCCCGCTACCAGCCCGACTCCTTCACAATGGCCTCAATTGCCCGGTCTCTGCGGCTCGCCCGCCTCTCTGCCGTCTCGGCCACTATCAGGGCCCCCGCCTACCGCGCCGTTTTTATCCGGCCCTTCTCTGTTACCGCTTCAAGTGAGCCAACCAACCCGCCTGCTCCAATAGACGGTGGTGGGTGAACATCCAGTGCTAACCACGGGCATCGCCATGGGAAACGACAGACGCCATCCGGAAATATACGAAGGAGCACGAGTGGATTGACATCTCGGCCGACAAGAAAACCGGCGTCGTTGGTATCAGCGAATACGCTGCTAAGACCCTCGGCGATATTGTCTACGTCGAGCTGCCCGAGGAGGGCCTCGAGGTTCAGGCCGGTGACGCCATTGGCGCTGTCGAGTCGGTGAAGAGCGCCGCCGACATCTACTCTCCTGTGGCCTGCAAGATCACTCAGGTCAACCTGCTGCTCGAGGAGAAGCCTGGCACGGTCAACCAGGTTCCCGAGGACGATTCCCATGGTGGCGGCTGGATCGCCAAAGTTCAGCTCACTGAGCAGGGCCTGAAGGACTTCGAGGCCCTCATGGACGCCGATGCCTATGCTGAGTTCACTGCGGCCGAGAGCGACCACTAAGCTCAGGGGCTCCATATATTTCAAGGGGTTGGTTTTATGCGGGAACGCATGGAGTGAGGTTAGCATGCCAGTGGAGGAGTCAATTCATCACATTTTCTTTGTCTTGTGTTTATCTGCAGAACAGTTCAACCTGATAGATACTTAGGGTCGAGGTTATGTACCACGAGGGATCGGCCACTATGGTAAAAACGGTGTTGGTGGGTTTTGCATCTTGCTTTTCGATGGCGATGACGACAAAAGCTTCAACCCAGTGGGGTGAGACAAAATAGATCAGAAAGAAGAAATCATCGCCATCTATGATATGCCTGCCTGTCTTTACGCCTATAAGGTACAGGATTAGTCATCAGACGTCGCTCACTTTGAGCGCGGCTCCGGTGACCCGGCCCTTGTTGATGTCGTCGAGGATCTTCTGCGCTCCGTTCGTTGATAGCTGCTGGGCCAGCTCCTTGCCGAGCACTTCGGCCTCCTCCAGAGTGTTCACATCCGCCGTCTGCTCGCCATCCACGGCTTCCTTGCCGTCCAAGCTGACGACCGTTGCCCGCAGACGCAGTTTTTTCTTGCCATCTTCCTCAACCCAGGCCGTCTCCACGCCAATTGGCACGCTGCAGCCACCCTCCAGGGTCCTCATCACAGCCCGCTCCGCGAAAGTAGCCAGCATGGTTGGCCGATCTTCTGCGGCCTTGAGCAATTGAATCACTGCCTCGTCTCCCTCTCGAGCCTCAATGCCCAGTGCACCCTGGCCGACAGCATGGAGCAGCCCGCCACTTTCAGTCGTAGAGTCCAGGTATTGCGAAATCCGCCCCTCATATCCCAACCTCTTCAGGCCGGCTGCCGCAATAATGAGGGCGTCATACCTCTCCCCTTTCCCTTCCTCAACCTCAGCGTCGCACTTCGCCAGCCTGGTCTCCACATTCCCCCTGACATCCCGGAAGACCAGGCCGGGATACCTCCGGCGCAATTGTGCCGCCCGGCGCACACTGCTCGTGCCCACCACGCTACCCTGCGGCAGGTCTGAAAGCGTCTTGTAACGTCCTTCCTCTTGATACCGCTTCTTGAAGACGACCACATCGCGGGGATCTTCGCGCGCCGTAACGCAGGCGAGGACACAGCCCTCCGGCAAAGTCGTCGGCATATCCTTGAGCGAGTGCACGATGATGTCGATCTCGCCCGAGGTCAGGCGCGCCTCGAGCTCTGACGTCCACAACCCCTTGCCCAGCGCAGGTAGCGGCGTCGTCTTATCGCGATCGCCCATGGTCGCCATCGCGTGCACCTCGAAGGTGAGGTCCGGGTGGGCGCGCTGCAGTGCCGCGATCACGAGGTTGGTCTGCGCGAGCGCCAGGGCTGAGCGGCGGGTGCCGACTCGGATCGTCTTGGGGCCAGGGGAGGACATTGCAACGGACTTCTAAAGAAATTAGCTGCGAGGATATTGGTGTATAGTTGACAGGAAGTGACAGAAAGAAGTAGCTTGGCTGCGCGAATTGAAACAACCTTGGTTCAAGGTGAGTCAAAGCCGCAAGGCTGGAGAGTCAAGTTCGTCAGGGGACTCTCCTGACTGTCGCAGAGGGTCCTCGGTGTTGTTCGGGAACCCTGGCGGGGCAGAGTTTTAAGAACCAGCAGGGGCAGGAGTTTGGAGAATGCGGGGGCGGGGTAACTTAACTGCCCCTCCGCAGGACTTTTTTTTTTAAAAAAAATACTCCTCTTCCCTCCAACGCTCCATAGGGACCATTCCCCTTCCTGCTTACGATCCATTGGCAAGGTTCGATCTTTGGTTGACTTTGAAGAAAATCGATTGGATATTCACCAGAATAACGCATAACTAGCGTTCTTGTCTCCTATCGAACTCATAGCCTCTCATCTATGGGTTGTTTGCCACATGGAGTCGTGGGCTACCTCCCGTTCAGTGTTCACCATGGTCTGTGCCAACATTTTATCTTCCAAAACGAGGAGCACGCAGGTGTCTGATTCACAGGACAGCTGTATGTATGACATTCTGGTAGACTAGACGCTTTAACCCCTACAGTTGGAACGGGGTTTTGTCGTTTCCAATATCTTGAAATATCTTAACTCTTCACTTAATGATACCGCTTTAGCCGCTACCAACTTGCCAGCTTTGAAGTTCGTTGCTCGATCACACCTCCCCACTCGAATCCCCTCTTTTTTATTTCTTTCCCATACCAACCATCTCCTTGGCTGCTTCGCCCATCTTCTCAGTGGTCTGAGAATAATCAGTACCATGCTGCGAGATTGATAGAGGATGTCCAATCACTTACGGCCGACACAGTGCCAGCGGCCGAGCTCATGGCCGAGGAGACAGACCCGCTCGACGGAGTGTTTGCGCCGGCAGAGCTGCTACCGCTGCTTCCAGGAGTCATCGACTGCATGGCCTGGGATGCCTGATCCCTCAGCGGCTCCGTAGCGGTCATCAGGTCAGAGATAGCCTCTGCCGCTTTTTTGCCTGGCTTAGTATCCTTGAGCTTTTTGCTTCCAATCTGAATCTCGCCGGGGTGTTTGGCGTCTAAGTGACGGGTGGCGCCACGCCTGAGATAGTAGACGCCGGGAATGGTGATTGCCAGGGCGGCCATCTGCCTATTTGCTTGTCAGATACAGAGATTCTAACTGACAATATGGCTGCGATATTTGACTTCATCCAACAAGGTATCTTACCAAGGCCGATCGCTGGCCATTCCAATACGCTCTTGGAGATCGGGCTGATGCTCAGTGGCATAACTTCGCCGACCCAAGGCCCTCCTGAACTGTAGGGTAACACGCTTGGCAGCTAAACGGAACATGATCTCTGTCTATCTTATTTCGCTATAATGGATCCTGCTTCTACCAAGATGAAGAACTTCAAATGATCTTTCAGTGACTCGGGATGCCAATATGTGTTGGGCAAAGTCCAGAACTAGCAGAGGATAGCAAGATAAGGCACACGACGGAGGGATCCTGTCATGGTTTTAAACGGCTGAGTACATAGTGACGTTCACTCGGCGCTCGAGCACTGGAGAATTATGAGGACCTGGATAGCATGAATCAAGGACATGGGACGCGTGGCGCATCATTCAGGAACTCTGGCTGCGACAGTTGCCATAAGGAGCATTGATATAGCCGGGACATTTCCATTCTACATCATTCTTTGTACTTTAATCATAAAAACTCTCAAATTGTCGTGTGTTGTTGCACGAAGCCGGTTTAGTCCTTATTTAACCGCTGAACACATCCTTCTCTGGAGGATGAATCTCGGTTCCTAGATCGTCGATCGATCATTGATGACGGGACCAAGACATGCGGTTGTGTTGTTGTTTTCCCCACCCTGCATCCACCCCTGCCTCCACCATCGCAAGCTGGCTTGGCCCGTGCACCAGCCCCGCTGGTCCCCACCTGCCATGATGTTGCCCCGCCAGAGGTTCCTGTTTGGGTCTCCACAGGTTCAGCCTGGCCGTTGCCTTCTGGTTGCCGCGGGGTGAGCTAGCGACCAACACCACCCTTGGCCCGTTAAGACAGATTCCTCCGTTTCGATTATTTTGCCAGAGCTTTTGCAGCCGCCAACTTCCCGCTTCAATACTTCATTTTCTCTTTTGTCCGCAAACAAAGGGCGGTGTTTTGGCGGCGAGTCTTTCGTCTTCAGTGCTTTCCGGCATCCCACCTTCAGCGCTGCAACACTGCCTGAAGCTCAAGACAACCCACTGTATCCAAGGGCCACTTGGGGATGAAGAACTGTTTTCCTCAACCCTGTATCACGCAGTACTGATCCCTTTCCAACATCTATAATTGATTCCATTCGTCAATCGACAATAGTTCCTACCATCCCCGGGGTCAGCAACGTCGCGGTAGGCACAATGGCGACCTCATTGCCGGCGAATCCGACCCCTCAGACGGTCATGAGCTTGATGTCCAAGATCAAGGATCCAGACCCGGATTTCCGCTTCATGGCTCTGAACGACCTTCTTACTCTTTTCACTACTTCCAAGATCGACTTCCTAAGCCATGACTTCAACATGTCCAGACGGACTGCCGACCACGTGGTGGAGGCTTTGGACGACCAGAATGGCGAAGTCCAGAACCAGGCAATCAAATGGTACGAAGATGGTTTACTGATCTCATTCACCCTGTCGCTAGATGAGATGGAGCATGCTAATGGTCACTGAAAACAGCATTGGCCCCATGGTTAAGAAGATCAACCCCCAAATAGTGGGGGCTTTGATCGAGAAAATCTGCAGCCTGAAGCTTCAGAACTCGGTCGACAACTCCGTGCAAGCCCTCGCCCTTCGCGCGGTGGTGGAAGCCCTTCCCCGTCCCGTGCCAGGTGCTATGCAAGGCAAAGAGGTGAACGAGGCCTATGGCAGCGTCAGCAGGGTTCTTATTCCTCGCTTTCTTGGCCATCCAAGTCCCGCCAGCAGGCCTACGACAGGCTTGCTTAACCTCGAGGATCCTAACTCCGATGCTGTCGATGTGCTTATCGAGCTGGTGAGGTGCTTCGGCCCCATTCTCCAGTCCTTCGAGATCGAGGCTCTGCATAGCGCTGTCGTCACAATCTTGGATAAGGACCGAGGCAACTCTGTTGTTAAGAAGCGAGCCGTCGTTGCCCTCTCCATGCTCGCTCATTATCTCCCTGATGAACTCCTTGCTGACTTCATCGGGAGGAGTGTCGAGGTTCTTTCGAGTGACAACATCAAGGATCAGACTCGCCGCCTTTACATCACTGTTCTAGGCTCCATGGCTCGCTCGATCCCTTATCGGTTCGGCCGCTTCATTCCCACTCTCGTCCCTCATCTGCTTCAGGTTCTTAGCGAAGATAACCTCCAAGCTCATCTTGATGAATACAATGAGAACGGAGCTGGCGCTTTCGACTTCAACGAAATTCAAGAGTCGGCCCTGGTTACCCTTGAGGCTTTCCTCTCTTCATGCCCAATCCCCATGCGCGACTACACCTTGGATGCCATCGAGGCTTGCAATCGTTATCTGAAATTCGATCCCAACTATGCATTCAATGATGAGGATGAGGTCATGGAAGACGAAGAAGAAGAGGATGAGTTCGATGAAGATGATGAATACGAGGATGCTGGAACCTTTGACGATGATGACGACTCTAGCTGGAAGGTTCGTCGCGCTGCTGCTAAGGGCCTACATGCCATTATCTCGACGAGGAGCAGTGGCGACCTTCTCGAGAGTGGCGTTCTTTACCAGAGGGTGGGTTCAGCTCTGGTCAAGCAGCTGAACGAGAGAGAGGAAAATGTGCGCCTGGAAGTTTTGTCGGCACTATCATTGCTTGTCCGCAAGACTGGCGAAGGGGTGGTGCCCGATCTCTCTGGGGACAGCTCTCAGAGTGAGTTCATCAGCATTAGCCAACCTCCTCCGAGCAGGAAGCGCCGCCGTCAAAGCAGCGTGGCTGGCGCGACCACTTTTGCCTCCGAGACTGCGGCCTTGGACTTGTTTGCTGCTGGTTTAGCTTCTCCTACATCTGTCAATGCCCCGTCAACTGGCCCTCGTGCTGACCTGGCCGCTCTCACTCCTGCTATTATCAAGTCCCTGACGAAGTGGCTCAAGAGCAAACTGATTCCTACCAAGCAGGCATGTATCAACTTGTTGGATGACTTGGTTGCTGTTCAGAGGGGTGGGCTGGCCTCATACTTCGACCAAATCATCGAGCCCATCATCGATGCGGTCAAGACTTCAGCTGGATCAGCTTCTAGTGGTCTAACCTCCACTGCTGGCAATGCCTCGGCCACTGCAGTTACTCTGAGAATTGCGGCGCTCCGTCTTATAGGCGACATTGTGAAGCATCACTCTTCCTCCGTGCTACAACCCTACCTTTCCAAGATTGTTGTTGCAGTGGTTTCCGTTGCGCACGATCGCTTCTATAAGATCTCGGGCGAGGCCATTCAGACGGCTGAGGAGCTTACCAAGGTCATTACTCCGCCGCGCGCCCGTATGACATCTCAGAAGTTCGAGGGCGATCTTCAAAAGATCTACGAGGTTGTCATTGACCGAACGACAGCGAATGATGCCGATGCTGAAGTGCGCCAGAAGGCAATCCATGCGCTTGGAACGCTGTTGGCCCGAACTAGTGGCACGGATGGTTCGTCTCTTCTGCCCGCAGACAAGCGTAAGGCAGCCTTTGACTGCTTGCTGGAGCGGATTAAGAATGAGACTACCAGACTGTTTGCTGTTCGTGCGGTTGATACTGCGGCCGCCGTGTCGCAGGACACAGCTCAGTTTGACTCTCAGTGGGTTCGTGAGGTGGTTGTTGAGCTGGCTGCTCAGCTTCGGAAGTCTAATCGTGCCTTGAGGGGCTCCAGCGTGATGGCCTTAAAGCACCTCATCCTTTCTCCGGGGTCCAAAGGCACGCTCGACCAAGTGACTGTGCAGAATGTTGTTGGTGCTTCAATTCCTGTTATTACAAACAATGATGCCCAACTCCTTGGACCGGGCCTTCTCGTGCTCGCCCATCTTGTTTTGGAGATGCCGGCTGTTGTCATGACTCCGCAACTCATCAGCGCACTTTGCCATCTGCTGCATGGAACCATTTCTGGTTCTGTCCTCGAGTCACTGCTCGTCCTGGTTACCAACGCTGGTCGGGCTGGCCAAGGAGGACCTCTTATGAAGGCGCTTCTCAAGGAGGTTGGTGTTGCCGGCGACCCTGCTGTTGTCGGCAAGGTCATCGGAACGCTGCTGGTGGCCAGCGATAGCACTGCTGGAGTGACTCTGGATAGCTTCGTAAAGGAGATTGAGACTAGCGCAGGTGACCAAGCCCGAGCCAGTCTTGCTCTCTCTGTTATCGGTGAGGCAGGTCTGCGTCTTGGAACCAAGTTCCCCATTCTGCCGAGTCTCTTCCTGAAGCAGTTCTCCCATGATTATGACAAAGTTTCGGTCGCTGCCGCCGTCGCTCTTGGACGGGCTGGCGCAGGCAATATCGCCACCTACCTTCCCGCCATTCTTGACGCTATGAACCAGGAGGGCGGCAAGCAGTACTTGCTGCTGCAGTCAATCAAAGAGATCCTGCAGCAGGCCTCCTTGAACTCGACCGATCTTGGCCAGTATTCAGCTGCCACATGGGACCAGATCCTCGCTGCCACTAATAAGGACGACAACAAGGCCGTTGCGGCTGAGTGCATCGGTCGGATGGCGATCATTGATCCTAAGACGTACATGTCGAAGTTGGAGGTTTGTGTCCTCTCTTTGGATAGTGTTTTTCCAGAATACTGACATTTCATGTGACTAGGGTCTGCTCAAGAATCAGTCGTCTGTTTTGAGGGCTATTGCTGTCCAGGCCCTTCGATACACTCTTCCTGATGATAACGAGGTCTTTGATGCCTTCCTCAAGAAGCATCTTGTTGACATGCTCAAGACGGCTCTTGCGGACCGCGAAATGGAGATCCGTCGCCACGCCATGTCGACTCTCACGTCGGCCGCTCATAACAAGCCCGAGCTCATCCTGAGCCAGCTCAGTGAGCTAATGCCGTTTGTAATGGATGAGACGGTAAAGAAGCCTGAACTTATCCGTGAGGTCCAGCTCGGCCCATTTAAGCACATCATTGATGACGGTCTGGAAGTGAGAAAGGTACGTGATACATTACACTGCGATGCTTTGCGTTTAAGGATTGTTTTCTGACCTGCTCACCCTAGGCTGCCTACGAGACCCTCTACGCTCTCATGGAGACGGCCTTTTCTCGTGTCAGCATCGTCGATCTGTACGAGCGCATCATTGCCGGCCTGTCGGACGACAGCGACATTCGCGCGCTCTGTAACCTGATGATCGCCAAGCTGGTCTACATCGACCCTGACGAGACGGCTCGCCGCCTGGACGCCATCGCCGAGGGCTTCCGCAAGACTCTGTCTCACAAGCTTAAGGATAATGCCGTTAAGCAGGAGATTGAAAAACAGGATGAGGCTATTAAGTCAGTTCTGCGCTTGACACTGCTATTGAGCGATAAGCTCAAGAGCCCTGTCCTGCGCGGAGCGGGTGCGAGTGCTTCTGGCGGAGCTGGTGGTGCTGGTCAGGTGTGGCTCAGCTACCTGGAGTGGGTTAACGATGATTTTGCTGGACATTTGAAGGCTCTAAGGGACGAAACTAAGGAGTTCAGCGGCCCAAGGGTCTGATGTCGTTGAAAAGATCATAGCCTTGAGAACGGTAGAGAGGAATAGGTTGTGATATTAATTGTCGAATGACACTTATATAAGAATTGATCATGTGTAACCGCAATATACCAATATCAACGCAATGGCATAGGTTGTGATGGTTGATAGCATCATGATAGCACAAGTGAGACCATGGAAAGTATTCTTGGTTGCATATACTCGCAGACTTCCCCAACTAGGGCGTAAAGTTATCAAATTATTGTTTATGCTTCAGAGAATACTGCGTTGAAAGGGGGGGGGGAGGAATAACTGCTTTATATATATTATGCACACCAAAATACTCGTCATACCATTCATACGACAAACCTCTCCTCTTCAGTCATCATAAATCTTTACGTCCGGGTATTTGCGTGCAAACATGCCCAAAGCCTTCATCGTAAAGGTGAATTTGTAGTTGGGGTACGAGATCATGCAGCTCTTGTTGAAAACGCCCTCGATGGCCTCCTGCAACCATTCACCATTGGGCTGCTGCCGATCCATGATCAGGCGAATGCCCTTCTTGATCGGCTCGATATGGGGGTACTGCGCCTTCATGAGGCCGATGAGCGCCCACGCGGTCATGACGACCTGCGAGCCCGTCGGGTGCTCGTGGTACTCTCCTGTTTCACAAGCCTATGGTATATTAGTAACACGACATATAGGATGACTGAAGGAAAGGAACATACCTTATAATGCTCCGACCAACCGCCGTCCTCGCGCTGCTTGGAGATGAGGAACTCACAGCCGCGGCGGGCATGCTCGCTATTGGCGTATGTCTCGCCAATGCTAGCCAGACTTTCGAGCGCGAACATGGTAGCGTACGTGAAGCAGATGCCCCAGCTGCCATACCAACCGCCATGTGGCTTCTGGGCCGTCTTGATCCAGGCGACAGCGCGCTCGATGAAACGCTCAATCTCAGCAGCACGGTAATCGGGCCAGTGCTTGTGGAACAGTGACAGGGCTGTCACCACCGCAGTTGTACACTCTGGATACTCATACTCAACCATGATGTTGCCAAACACCTCGGCCGCATTAAGCATCTCCATCCACTTGCCTGCGCGGGGTGGCTCATAGGACGAGCAGCTGCCGTTGGGGTTCTGGTAGGTCAGGAGGGTGTCGATGGCGTCAAAGATGCGGCGGTCATCGATCAGCGTGGGAAAGCCCGGCGTTTTTTGCAGGATAATGACAGCCTTAAGTGCTTCTGAAACACAGTCACTGACAGCATAACCCTGATCCTTATTACTGAAAGCCCAGGCACCCTTGCGTTGCTGGCGGTAGCACTTCTCCTGATCCTTTACGTTGTCTCGGATCTGCTGGTCGTCCAGAAACTTGAGTGCCTTCAGCAACATAGGCCGCCACCGAGGATCTTCGGTGAGACCTGCATCCATAATGGCTTGAACTGCGAATGCAGTATCCCAGCATTGAACACCGTTGGTGCCGTTGGCCAGCATGCCCTCGCGGTTGACCCAGAGGAACTCGGCAGATCGTTCCTGGTGGCGGCGCACAGCGTATGAGTCGGGGCCATAGCAGGCATAGAGGCAGACCATATTCATTGGACCGGACACAGTAGCCAGATCTAAGTGGTCAGTGTTCTCATTCTCCATCTCAATCAACTTCATGGCCCATTCCTCGGCACGTTCAACGAGCGGTTTGACTCGGAAATAGGGCTTCCAAATGTTAGCCAAGAACCAGTTGATAGTGTTGAGGAGCCATGTTTTCGGGTGATAGTTGTCAATTGGATTGATGGTGTTGCGGTTCCCGGCCCAGTCGATCTTGTCGTAATCCTCGACGTACAACTCCTTACGAAGAGATCGGATAAGATCGGTCTCCTCTGCACGCCATCCCTTTGACCACAGATAACTCATAGGCAAGAAGACCTGGCGAATATGAACCCACCATCTCCAGGGATGGAAAGGAACCCAGTCAGGGAGCAGCCATAGTTCTGGAGGGACCGGGTTGACGATGTCCCACTCGGCAACGCCCATTACTGCAAACCACCACTTCGCCCAATGCGGGGCGTGTGTTGCACCGCCGAGCTTGTGAAGGGTAGCCCGGGCCTTGACCATGACAGGGTGGTCGGGGTCAACGCCAACAATTCTCAGAACCGTGTAGTTGAGCGAAGTTCCGAAAACCGTGCTCTCGCCCTCGATGTGCAGACCCCATCCGCCGTCCTCAGGATGAGCACGGGCGAAGAGGTAATTCTTGATCTCTGTTGCGACATACCAGGGAATTGGTGTCTTCGTCACATACCAAGAGATCACAATGCAGGGAAGGAGAAACATGGGACCGCCATACTCGCAACCCCAATGGCCACTAGGGAGCTGGAGCTTCTCGAAAAACTCCAGACCATTGCGGACCGCATCAAGGGGCGTTTTTGCTTTGGGAAGGTCGGGGAGGTCCTGGAGCGTAGAAATGTTAGCAGCGTCAGGGCAAGGACTGACGACATGTTGGCGAGAAGAACATACCAAAGGAAGACCCAGGTAGTACTTGTCATAGTAAGTTTGCGGCCACTTCTTCGCCGCCTCGTCGTCCTCGAGATAGTGCCATGTGTGGCAGCCCCCCTCGTCACGCATGCGCCATCTCGTGTAGTCAGTCTTAGTCTCGAGCATCCGGGCTCTTTTAGTGGTGTGGTCCTCATCGCCGGCATTGCTGAGCCGCTTCCTTGTGTTGCCCTTTTCATGGAGCGGCTCGGCGTCCGAGGATGTTGCCGCCTTAGACTTTTTCTTTGCCATTTTGACCGAGCTGTCGTTGTCTCCCAAGAGTATGGCGGGTTGGGCAGGAACTAGGAGGGGGAGGTCGTGGACGAACGACACATGGCTTACCAGACACCTCTTGAGGCGGTCAGGGTCCAAGCCTCATGTCAGCCTGACCATCGGCCTGTTCCTGCTAGACCCACAGGAAAAGACAGCTTGATTGGCCAATTGAATGAGGACCACAATTCCCACATTCCTTGGCGGTCGGGTCGGGCGGAACGCGATCGTTATAGAGAGCTTGCAGCCAATCACAACGTGAAGGGACCTGCAGCGGGGGATCTGGCCTCTTCTGGGTCCACCTCCAAACATCATCACATGCTGAAGCTTTGAAAATTGATACCCAGGATTGAAGCGATCGGAGATGTTTCGTGTTGAAGACCTTAGGAGATGTTTTATACTGTGGTATCTCCGCAGGAGGCAGAAGTGTGAATAGCCCAAAGGCATAACGCCAAGTAGGTAGGTCCTCTCCCGGCTCCCCTCGCCGCAACTCGTCAGCAGTAGTCTCATCTTCCATGAGACCTGAAAAGCTGCGAAAGTGGACCAACGCCCCTCTTTAACACGGAATGTCATTCCACAACGATCATTACATTTACAAGTAAGGCAGTAATTGGTTTTAACGCAGTTATGAGCGATCGTTGAGCTTCGGAAGCCTCTTTTAACGTGGCAGGCGGAAGGATCACATTTGGTAGTTGGCGTTCCCTAGTAGCTTCCCAAAACAAAAAGGCACAGGCTAAGCCGGACAGATGGACTCCTGTCTCCAGTTGTGTCGAGGCTGTCTGCATCCCTTGAAATGTTTAAGAGGTCGCTTCATCTGGTTCTGCTTTTCAGCATCCTCCGTCAGTTTTGATCGCCATAGACATCAAACTATCATTAGTACTATTACCATACTACTACGATAACGAAGTTCAGCCTTGGCAGTTATGGACTACCAAAAAATTCCTTTCAACTCTCAACTTCGCGCCGAGGATTCAGTCTCAAAAGTCGCGACTTTTTGCAAAGGAGTTATCAGAGAGATACCACCAAATTCTCGAAGCAGTGCTTTGTCCAAAATCGAATCTCTCCTGGAAAGGATCCTGGACGCAATGGAGGCTGGAGATGAGCTTTCCATCCCATATCAGACTATCCGGTCAGCACAATCCTCCAAAACAACGGAACCAGCTAGGAAGGAAAGCCGGCAACCTGATTTCGTGAAATTTCCAGGAAGAAGTGTGCAGGAGGCCAAGAAGTTTGGTACGAAGTGACAGATGTACATCCTACAGTATCGTGGTAATAGTGAAAGGCTTACCTCCTTACCTTGCCATTTAACACACAGAAGCACTGTTCCACATCATTAGCATTTCCCACGAAGCTTTACTTTCGGGGAAGTTGATCACAAAAAGGTTCGTTCTGTGATATCGCTACTTCATGTCAAATCTGACTAGCACCTAGAAACATCTACTACCAAAATCCAGATCTGTTCAAGTCGCAAAGCGTGGTGGATGACATGGTCAATAACCTTGCATTTACTTTGGGCGTCAGCAGAGAGGATTTGAACATTGTAAGTATCCTCCATTCCATCAGCAGTACGGAGTCCTCTGATCGCAATCAACGGTTCAGGTAGCGACAGCTAAAGGTCTTATTGCTGGCCCTTTTGATTTGATCCTCCAAGACGGTTCCGTCCATGCGTGTGCTTCTCAGACTGAAACAGTAAGATTGTGTTTTCGGATGTCACAAACCAGGGAACTGATCACCATATAGGGGATGTTGCTACCCTCGATCGCCTCCGTGGACAAAATTAATTTTCGACATACTCGATGGTTATTGGTCATTGAGAAAGAAGTAAGTTTTTGTGTTTAATCACTTGAACAGACATCTCATTGGAATCAAGGCAACTTTTAGAACTCTCGCCGCATCTCAATACTGCAAGACCTCTAAGGCAGGACATGGCATTCTCTTAACAGTTCGTCACCTTGCGCAGCTCCCTTTCTCCTGCATATAAAATTCCAATCTACTGATCGCTTTTGTCTCATCACGTCAGGCAAAGGGGTTTCCAGATCTGTCCACACGACGGTTTCTCTGCACGGTACATAACATTAACACTAATCTGCTGCTCTTAATCTTGGTTGACTTTGATCCACATGGTATCGCGATCATGAGGACGTATAAATACGGCAGTCAGCGACTTGATCACGAGGAAGGCGCTGCTACTCCTTCGCTTCGCTGGGTTGGAATTCGTAGTGAGGACATCATTTCTGGGAATATTTCCGAGAGCAGTGTCGCGTTTCCAGGACATGAATATCAAGGCGATCCGGAAGAGTCAAGCCAGAACTTTGCACAAGACTTCCCTGAAGGTAACGCTAACCTATATAGAGCCGGCCAAAAAGAATGAGGAAGTTGGCTAACGCAGTACCTGTCTAGACTCCCAGCCAGATCGGCCGATCAAGCGAACAAGGATTACCAAGGACAAAGGCCCTCTTGACTCCGTAGTTTCGTCCCTTACACCAAATGATCGAAAGAAAGCCCTTGAGATTATGAGAGAGATAGAAAATAAAGCAGCAGGGACTAAAGGCGATGATATGACAGATCAGATGCTTGAACTTCAGAGGATGTTGCTGCTCAATGTTAAAGCCGAAATACAAACGATGGACAATTATGGTGATTTGACTGAATGGTTGGACTCAAAATTAATGAGACTTGATGAATGGTAATAGCAGTTGATACCATCTTAACGAATAAATGATTCTGAGCAGGTTTCAGGATGGCCTTTATTTTGCGGCGCTTCTGTTGTGGATTTTAGTTTATAATGTTATATGCTACCTGGATAAGGAAATAACCCCTGGTCATCCAATTTGTTATACTTCGACCTTTCTATAACGATGCACTAAACCACTTATTTCCGTGTATTCATGTGCATCCTTGTTTCTGCCAAGCTCCGGCAGCACAACTAACAAGCTTGGAATACGCCTCATATATTTTGGCGGTACCAAAGGAGACGGCGAGGTGAGCCGATAGCTCTCTCAGCTCTGCCCCATTTAGTGTACATTTCGCCTCTTCTCACCACTCATTATCACGGATATTGCAACTTTTCTCAATCATAGTTTTTGTCTTCTGGCCTGGCTAAGATCTCCTCACAGGTCTGGAACCAGGCGTTGTGCCATGCGGAAGATTCTTGGGCTCGTAGGGTGCGCCAAGAAACTCCTAAACTTGGACATCTCTTCGATTTCTTTTGAATATTCGACGACAGCCTTTGTAGTTTTCGGGACAAGTCAAAGTTCAAAATGTGTCGTTCAGCTCCTTCCTACCGTCACTGATAAAAAATTCCCGTGACGCCAACTGACTACAAGGATGTCTGGGTGGTTTTCCCGGACATATTTCTAGATATCAGCGTAGAGAAAGCCACAAGTTTTGCGAAGACCTTCCATGGCCGATTCTTCGTTTTTTGAAACATAGGGCCAAGCCGGGGTTCTTGTGAACCAATTCTTCATACGCATCGTCTTGCTGTCGTCACTCCTGTCGCATAGACTTTAAACATGTGAGCAACCATCAGACATGTTTGTGTCACTTTCATGGCTGAAAACTATGGAAGAGATTGGAGTCGGGGTCTGGCTGCTTGGAGCTGATAATTTAGCCCACAACAAGCCCTTGACTGAAGTAAACCTCTTGTAAGCAGCCTCACACATGCTGGCGGCAATGTCCAGACTTCGGGAGCGGCCCGCATTCGTGTCTCTTATGTATGTGGGCATTCCTTTTCACCACGGCCTGTATGTTTTGTGGATAGGCCCTTCTCACTGATGATCTTCCATTCAGGATACCAAAATACGATGTTTTGCGCCCGCTTGTTGATTGTAACAGGCCGGCTGAGACCTTGATTGACGGGTTGTGTTGTCAACCCATCGGGCTGCTGCTCAGTCGGCTGGGATCGGGCACGAGAGGCCTTCGCTGGCTTCGGGTATGACGGGATACCGTCAGCTGGCGGAGCCGACGAACCAGAAATCGATGAAGCTGCTTGAAGTGACAGGCCCCTGTTGGGGTTGGTCCTCTGTATTCCTGCGGCGGCCACCTCGGGGTTTCTGCACAACAGTTTTTTTCGTGCCGCGAATTCTGGTTCTCTTCTTCCTCGAGCCCAGAATGGCCCTCTTGGCCAGCCAGAGCTCATAAGCTGCAGAATTAACGAGCCTCACTCGACGGAGATATGAAGAATATTGCGGTATGGCTTCGACAATTTCAGTGGGGACAAAATGAGATTATGCTCCGCGGAGAGGGGAAAAACGCCGTATTTGAATACTTGTTTCTGAAATAAGGAAGAATGTCGGCATGAGGTAACAGAATCATTGACACATTGTATGAAAAGTGAACGTGAAAACCGTCATAATCTGTGACAATCACCGACTGTCAGCGGGATTAGACGGAATGGTACTGTATTGCCATGTATTGCTGCAGAGTATCCCCTTCATGACCAATTTTGGCACTTGATGCTGACAGCTTGATTGCCTTGCGTGATCCACTCATGAATTAGAAACCTCAATCTTTCACATGACTTCGGATGAAAACAGCAACAACATCATCATAGCTCTAGGTAGATTTTCGAATATAATGACATTTTATAAGTATTTTGCGTAGGATGCCCACATATGCATTATAGACAGCCCTTCGGTTTGTTAGATTACGCCGTCCTGATTTTAGAAGTGAAAATCTATAGCGGTTACGCTTACATAACCTACACCTAATCTTCTTCCAGAATGATGTAAACCCAGACTTTGTTTACAGAAGAAGTGCTAATATATATTCTTTAGCCTATTGGCTTCACATAAGTACGACAGAAACCTCACAGGTGTCGACCGTGCTTGCTCGCTGCTCTCAAGTGACATATGATCTATTGCTCATGCATCAGTGAGTCGCTCTCTAATGGGTATCATGAACAGGTATTCACTCAGCATTGTAACTTAAAGTGTCTGAATACTATCAAGATATGTGCAGCAGGTAAATTTACAGAACCCGGAGAACGCGGCTCGACGTTCCTGCGACTAAGGAGCCCAGGGGAAAGTAAACAAGGGGTAGCTGACAGTAGGGAACGTGCAAAACCCGATTGTATGCCGGATAGCACAGTAGTAAGGGACTTCAAGGCTAATAAAAGCGTCATTCGAGTATTATATGGGTATGATTTGTCATGGGTTCATGCGAAAGGTGTTCCTTCCCTTTGCATCGTCCTGCTTGACCAGCGACTTAGGTGCTGACGGGGCAACACACAGTGCGGATTTCGGACGTGTCGAATTTTGCACAGTCTGGGGTCACCACAGACCTTCCAAAATTTTGACGGCTGTAAGGTGAGCAGGGAGTCACACATCGACTCAATCCCACTTTCAAGCGACAAAGGTTACGAATAAGGAATCCAGAGAGATTGCTAGACATAATAAGGTTCATAAGATCACTATGGCACCGCAACTAACGGAGGATGAAATTGATGATCTCGTTTATCTGGCGCGCACTGGGGAGAACGAGGAGCTGACCACATTCCTTGGATCACTTGCGGAGCGGGAAAAGGTGTCGCCGGCAGAGATACTTCTGAGTGCAAAGGACGAGGGCAAATCAACATGTCTGCACATGGCAGCAGCAAACGGCCATGTTGGTGAGTCATAGACAACATTCTCGCTCTCCAGGGATTTGTCGCTCCTCTACACAACTCACAGCCCTCCCTGCTTTTTTAAGCCTTGTCTGCCCCGCCAACAGAACCCCACCTTCTCACGTCACTCGCCCGGCTTCATCATCCATGGCTCCTGAGCCAACACAAGGCCATAACATACCGTGACAAGCTTAGAATGAAACACTGACCCTGGTGCTAACTCCGCAAACAGACACTGTCAATCTCCTTCTATCTCATTTCGCTTCAAGTTCCGCCGAGCAGAAGAAGGCTTTCCTAGATGCTGCCAACGAGTATGGCAATACAGGTCTTCACTGGGCTGCGCTAAACGGGCACCTGCCCGTCGTCAAGCAGCTCGTCGAAGCGGGCGCCTCAGTTGCGCTTGCAAATGACAAGAACTATGTGCCCCTAGATCTGGCAAACTTCGGCGACAAGAAGGATGTCGTGGAGTATTTCCTTAGACAGGCAGGGCTGGACCCTGCGAAGATGAACCCCAATGACGAAGAGGATGAGGAAGACGCCAAAAAATGCGGGAGCTTGGAGGAGGATAAGTTGAGTGCTGGGGTGGAGGGGGTCAAGCTGGAGGAATGGGAGGGCGAGAGCAAGGATAAGGAGAAGACAAGAACTGAGAGTTAAGGAGGGAGAACATGTAGGGTATAATTATGCAAGTGGTAATGACATGACCTAGTTATGATCAACGAAGACAGTATGCCATGTTTTCGCGGATCGTCTTGACCGTGCGAAGCTACTGTTGCACCGGCTTCAGTGCGTACATCCTGACAGGCAGGAGGGCTATCGGTGCGACATGGAAGCCTTTTTGAAGTTCAACCTTAATAAGGCGTAGGCCTGCCTGCTCAAAGATGCGTCGGAACGAGGCATCCTCCCTAGAGAGAGAGAAACTAGCGTATCAGCATGCCGCTGACTCACGATCACCGCGATATTAGGAACTTGGATGAACGAACCTAGTGACGGAACTGTCGGTCTCATCGAAGTCGTCTCCTCCTGACGTGCTGTTGTTCTCCTTGACGACAATCAAGCCCCACTCCGGGTTCAATACACTCTTGCAACGCTCCAGGAAACCCACAAGCTGGGCATCTGTAAGATGACCTACGCACCACTGGATCCAGATCAGGTCGTACTGTACGCCTTCTTCCGGTTCCCAGTCTTCGAGGCCCATGTTAAAGATGTTTCTCACGCCCGGCTTGCCCTTCAGCCCCTCGGTGAATTTAGCAATGGGCTCGATGACATCGACCTGCTCCGCAATGCCGCTGAGGAGCAAGCCTTCCGTCACGCGCCCGATGCTTTACATGTTTATCGTGTCAGTTAAATGCTTTGTGACCAACGTTTTCAATGAAGGATGATCGTACCCAGCCCCTCCTTCCAGAGCAGTTTGAGCAACGCGTTTCCCCGGCTTATTTCCAAAACCAAGCTTAGCTAGAAAGTTCTTTGATCCCTGCAGATCGACGCGAGAGACATGTGGGAAGCCGCCCAGCATGCCGTTTACAGTCGCCTCAACACCCTCCCAGTACCGGCGGCCATGGTCTCTATCGATAAGAGTGTCCACCTGTTCTGGAGGGTTCGGTGATTGCTCTGGAGAGTCCTGGTCTGACATGTTGAGATCAACGTGGTTATAGAAGCATGCGGTGTTGCGGTGATGTTGCAGTTTCAATCAGGTGTAAGAGGTGAGTGACGAAGGCGGTTGAGAGGAAGGTCCTGACTCAAGCTTCGATATAGATAAAAAAAATCGCACAAAAAAAACAGAAAGCTTGCTGAATGGCTGTAGATGTCCTTGAAACTTTCAAGTTAGGCAAGCAATCTTGGATGTACCTTATTAAACGATCTTACGTCGGTCACAAGTGAGACCGTATCAAACAAAGGGTTCAACCAGCTGGGCTCAGAGCCTGACGACTCAGAGGAGCTCAAGGCTTGTCGCTGGTGACATTCTTGAGTCAATCAAATGTGTTCGCATTGTTCGCTGTGGAGTATGTATCAAGGGTTAGGGTTGAAGCTGTAACTTCTGTAACTTGGATGGCCAACCTCTGAGCTTCAGTCCAGACAAACAAGAGCTGGCGTGCTTATAACTTTTCCGCCAGCTTACTGCAAGTGGACGGCACCGCCTAAAAGGCTGAAGGTGATAAGCGAAAGCCCCATTCATCAGATCTACCACGTTGGCATTTCACATGTTTCTTCCTGCAACCCCACAGGAGGGCGAATAAGGATTAGGGTGGTCTCTGAATGCCTGTCCAGTCAACTCTTCTTGGATGTCATCTACTCATGCTCATCCGCCAAAGCATGAACATTATGGTGCTCTATGTACTATTCATCCTCAATTGGCCAAATTACTGGCGATATCGAAACTCACTTCCAATGCGTACATGAAATGCCGTCATTCCCAACTTAGGGCGGGGCATTGTCTCAATGTTGACCTCCTAACCCTTGAAAGTTGATACCCCTCACTTTCAACCCAACCACAAACGCCACATACTTCCACAATCCCTTGACAAACTCCCACCATCTCCCCGTGCCAAACGCCCCCAATATTCTCCCACGCAGCCACTGCGTCTTCCCCCAAGTCTTTGCTTCCTCTTCCCACTCCTGGAGGGTCATCTCCCCACCCCAGACCCTACCCAGCCCCAGGCAATGCCTCGCCGCTTGCTCCGTCGCCACGGCGAAGTGCGGCCGGAATGTGGCGAATGCATCGCCAACCAAGATGACCTTCCCGTTGAAGAACACGGCCCTGTCACATAGCGCATCATTGACCTTCGTAATGAACGGGTGCCTGGTGAGGAGATGGCTTCCGCAAAGGGGGCTGCGAGACCTGCGAGGTGGGTTGCAAGGTGCTGTTGCCAGAGGGTCGGGTTTACTAGGCCTGCTGGCACGGTATTGTTATGTTGGTGGCCGTTTATATCCGTTAGGATTTGGGAGTGGAGAGGGGAGGTGGTCGGTAAGTTGCAGTACCACACCCAGTTGACCAGGCGCGTGCCGGGGGTGAAGGAGCCCGAGTCTGGAGGGATTATGTAGCTGGAGATAAAGTGAGTTGACCATTAGCTAAGTCAAAGAGCGCAGAAAACTTACGAGACAACATACGTATCCGATAGGAAGTTGAGTGATGTTCGATCAGCAAAATACAGGGCTGTGGCGGGCACAAGTTCACATTCGCAGATTGTGCCTCTCCATGCCACATAGCCGGAGTATTCCTTAGTCACTTGGGCGTGGACTAAGTTCCTTATAGTTGAATGCACTCCATCGGCACCAATGACCAAATCTGCGTAAAGAAAGCCCTCCTCCCCATCGCTAGTTATGAAACCAACTTTAACCATGCCATGTTCGGGCTCGAGGCTCGTAACTCTGCGTCCCACGAGGTATGCTCCTTCACCATCCCCTGGCATGGGAAGGGGAGGGTTCGGGACGGCATCTGACATCATTCCGTCGAAGTTTGCGCGAAGAATACGATAGAGGAGTCCCCAGCTGGTCAGATGGCGGATGATTCCTAGTTGCATAAAGTGTTGACGCCTATGGTAGGCAATTCGTGTTGCCACTGACGGCGTGCAGGGCTGCAGGCCTGTCGCGTCGTATCTGTGTAGTATCTCCTCCACAGCGTATCCATATGCGATCCCTGCTTGATGGCTACTACGAAAGTTGTTTGGATCTTGCTCAAGGATCACCACATTGCTACCATTGCGCTTGAGATAAAGGCCGTGAAAAAGACCGGAGAGTGACCCCCCTACCTGAAGATTGCAAATCGCACTGGTTAGTAGCCGAAACAGTAATCCGGATATCGGGGTCTTCTGGAGAAAAACTTTACAATGACAACTGATTTCGGCAAGCTGTTCATGGTTCTAGTTAACCCGCTTGCTCACAAGTACCTGAATGGACCAAAGATCAAAGAATTGGATGAATGAGATCCCATATGATACCAAAAAACAAGTTATATATGGTGATCAACGAAGTCGGGGTCCTACTGGCAACAATCTGACTGGACCGTTCGCTTTTTGCTGACCATCCCATACTTCATTTGGAGGAGTCATCTTCCTGCTAAGGTCAGCCACTCCAGTTAATCACTGGACTTCTGCCAAGACAACAACAAGGTCTCATTGATTCATGCTTCTTTAAGCGTCAAGTAGCACAGATCCATAGTTGATCCCGAAGATCGCGAGTGTTCTTGAAGTCGCAAATGTAGAAGTTTGGTAACATGAAGGGCCGTTCCTGATTACTCTAAATGTTCCCGTCCATATTGCGTCGACCAAGCTCTTCCCAATGACCAAGAATATTTTGGAAGTGCAAAAATTCATGAAATCAGCGATTGCGAGCTTCATAATGCATGCAGTGGATCGTCGAGCATACTTGACTAATGAGCCTAGAGAAGGAACTGACAGGAATTATGGTTGCCAGGGTCTCACATTTCCGTCCGCAGCAACTGATTCGGGCTCAGTGGGCATCCTCAGCTGCCAAACATCCACTGTCCAGCTCTTATAGCTGCCTAACTATTGCTCCAGTGTGGAACCATTGCCAAACTCCCGATAGCTCAGTAAGTGTTTTATACCGGTTGTTGGCTGTGGATGGTGCAGTAAGGGATATATTACCGTATTGTTGTCCAACTCACACACGTAGTCGTGATGAAAAAGCATGGCTATCCGTGGTTGTAGCTCCGTGTTTGAAAGTTTTCTCACGATACTGTTGAACTACCGGGAGCAATATACTCTGCACATGGGCTCGCGATCAAGATCACTTGCTATGGGTGTAGTGTCGCTATCTAATGTGCGACGTTTTGCGGCCTAGGAAGTTTCCGTCTGGAATTGAGACAGTGTGAGCGTTTTTCTTGTTTCCTGTTAATAAGGTACCAGCTACAAGCAGAAAAGTCGATCCTGTTGATATGGGGGTTCGGAAGGTAATGCCTGACGCTTGGCCTCAACTGTGTCGTCAAGAACTAAGAGCTGGTCAGCGTCAGAGGGCATGATCGGTACAAATGAAGTTTCGTATATTATCAGAGAAGGCCTCAGAGGCAAGTGAGTCAAGAACAATCGTTAAACTTCGTCAGCCCCCTGGACTGTCGATGATGAAATTTTGATTGGGAGCTCATGAAAGAACAGAGACATTGCACCTCGATTGACAACAAGAACTGGGGATCAAAAGACGCATAAAAGCCAGCAACAGCTATTATTATCCAGGGAATAGCGCCAAGCTCTCTTTGTCTCCGACTGAAAATTGTGCCAACCTTGAATACAAAGTCGAATAGACTAATTGTTCGAACGAAGCCTCGATTGAACGAAAGATGACAACCCGCACGAGGATAGAAGTTACATAATTCCGAAGACAAGGGATCAGGTGTCCACATGGAATCAAGACCCTCGCAGACTTAGGGAACACCCCTTACATTTGGTTATTCAGTGGAAAGTACATTGGTCAAGTCCATGCTGTATTTCTATTTGATCAAAACTGTCCTAGTTATTTTAAGTTTGAGACGCAGAAAATTACTCAGTGGTTAATATAAGGACACTGAATTTAATCTTTTCCGTTTCTTTTCAATAGTGTTGCGCACCAAGAAAATCCACGAACCAGTGTCAGTCTGGCCGATACTACTCATTTGGCTAAATAGAACACTGCTGTCACCATCCGTAGAAGTATAGTTTCAGGAATTAATCGTCCGAGAATCAAAACTATACTAGTAACTATAAAATGATCCAGCTCTCCAGCGAGTCCCAAGGGTGAATCATGGCTGAAGTTGCACTCTTGTTAAAGAGTTCGCAAAGAACTGATCCGGATAGCATTCCTTTCGCTGATCACGCCTATCAGTCTTATTATATCAGCAATGGTACTGATCTCTCATTGGGCTGCTCTTGCAGCCAGCTGTATGCTTCTTCCATGGAACAGCGTGGCAATGCCGACAACAATGAATGCTCAAGCTGTGGAGGATGAGGATTACCACTGGGTAGCCGCCTGGACATCGATGCCTCAGTTGGTAGAGCCAAATAACATGCCTCCATCTCCATTTGTAAGTCAATCGGATCTTTGTTTCAAGATGTAGACGGCCGTGTAAGCTGACCAGTCGCTTTGTGCAAGAATGGAGGTGGTGGGGTCTTCCGTGGTGCTACCCTCCGCCAAACCTTCTACATGACTCTTGATGCGGAGCGGATCCGCCTGCAAATCAGCAACACATTTGGTGGCAGTGATCTGCCTATTACAGCAGCGACCATTGCTTTGCCGGCTGGTGGGGGGGCCGGCGTGGCCGGGATTGACACGTCGACGTTGAAGGAGCTGACGTTTAACAATGGTTCGCCATCGACCACGATCCCGCGTGGTCAGATTGCTTATACGGATCCTATTGACTTCAAGATCTCCTCCCAAACGAATATAGCTGTGTCGTTGTATTTCCAGCACGGCCAGTCCGGTAGCAGCATCACCGGCCACCCGGGCAGCAGGACCACGTCTCATATGCAGTCCGGGAACCGTATCCGCGAGGCGACACTGGCAGGTGGCAACACCAATCACTGGTATTTTGTCAGCGCAGTCGACGCTTGGGTTCCTAAGAACTACAGTGCGTTTGTGATTTTGGGCGATAGTATTACCGATGGTAGAGGAAGCACGGACAACAGGAACAACCGGTAAGCCCCTTTCTCCCAGAGTTTCTAAGCAGTCGAAAGCGTTTGCTTACCAGAAGATAAGCTGGCCGGATCTTCTCCTTGCTCGCCTGAAGAAGGAAGGCATCAACCACATTAGCATTGCCAACCAGGCTGCCGGCGGGAACGCCATTCTCTCGGGTGGTCTTGGTCCCACGCTTCTCTCCCGTTACAAGCGCGATGCTTTGGGGGTAGCCGGCGTCAAATACGTCATGATCTTCGAGGGCGTTAATGACCTCGGCAACAGCAGCCCCGACTCTGGGACGCAAAATTCTCTGGCAATACGGCTGCAGCAAGCATATGGTCAAATTGCACGCGACTGCCATGCAGCAGGCATCAAAACCATTGGAGCCACTATCGCACCTTTCAGTGGCAGTGGCCAGTCGTACTCGAACCCGGCGCGCGAGCAAACCCGAGTTCGGGTGAACAACTGGATCTTGAACAGTGGCACCTTCAACGCAACAGTTGACTTTGGAGTTGTTCTGGCCGACCCAGCTCAGAAGAGCCAGTTGGCCAGAGAGTATGATGGCGGGGACCACTTGCATCCGAATGTAGCAGGTTTCCAGGCCATGGCGGACGCTGTCCCTTTGGACTTCTTTAACTGAAGTTCGGAGACAAAGAAGCACTCGGGGCTGACTTCCGAAGAGGTGCAGGCGAGGGAGCTTGAGAAAGAGACCAAAAGAGGCACTGTGACTCTGTGACTCAAAGGAAACGATGTAAACTGGGAATTTAAGAAAATATGACGCAGGTTGTGTGTAAATAGGGCACTAAGGACATGCGCGGAAAATAAAGAACTAGTTGTTGGATCCTATCCATCGGCGGGTTGGCTACCTTGAGATAGGAGCTCAAGTCTGAAGTGCGTCAATCTCCTCGTTTAAGGCGGCCATAGCTTTTTCCGACCGGCTGGTAATGGAAATGCCGAAGGGTAAAACGATGCTATGTGATACGAGTTAGTTATGAAGCAGTGGGAATAACAGAATAGCGGGTCGACTTACGCTTGGCCCCTGAAAGACCACTCTGGCTCAAACGGCGTTGGTTGACCATCAGGCCCAAGTGGCCAGTCAATATTCATGGTCGCCAGCATTGTGGCCAAGATTATCAGCAGGCTGTTTTCAGCGAGGTATTTGCCGATACAGATGCTATAAGGGTTCGTTAGTATAACCGACTGTCATCGCTTCAGCAAGAACAACTTACCGCCTGCCAAAGCCAAAGTGACCTATGGGCAACGGCTCCCCATTCCCTCCCTCCTCCTTTGGCAGATACCTGTCCGGCCAAAAGCGGAACGGATCGGAGTACACTTTTGGATCGTGCATCATAGCCCAGACGTTCGGGTACACTATGGTGCCCTTGGGAATGAACATGCCATTGTATACGTCATCGGCGATGCTAGCATGGGGAATGCCCAGGGGCGATAGAGGGTTAATCCGGTAAGTCTCTTGAAGCACCAAGTTGGTGTACCGTAGCTTTGGGATATCGTTCCAACTCGGGAGTCGGTGCTTTCCAACGATACGTTCGATTTCCTCCTGGGCTTTGCGTTGTACTTCTTGGTTCTGCATCAGGTAAAGGACAAGAAGCATGACTGTGGCTGCGGTCTTGAAGGGAGTTAGGAAGTTTCCGAACACAAGACATTGCCCATAAATACTCATGGGTATAGGTTCGACATACTGTGTCGTTGCCTGCGATTAGAATGGTAGCTGCAGCTCCTTTGATATCCTCCAAACTGAATCTGTTTGGACATCCCTGACGGCTGTTCTCGAACCAGATTTTCATTCTCGACTGAACGAAGGACTCCTCAGCCTTCTCGGCGTTCTGAAATATTTAAGTCGTTAACAACTTAATCCAGAGCCAAAGCCAAAGGATAACTTACCATCAGTTTTATCGCAGCGTCGAATGGTAGCCGAGTGATGGCCTCGATGGCTGGCCTCCAAGTACGAGCATACCGAAGGCGTTCCATGAATGGCAACCAGCTTGGCAGATAACGGGCTTGCAGGTGAGGAGCTTGATTAGCTGAGGAAACATGAGCAAAGAATATGCCACTTACCAGCTGGGAAGCGATCCATAATGGAGCTCGCCGGGGCACCAGACTTCCCGACAGCTTCGGACGAGTCTTCAGCTAGCTTGATCCATGGACTTTGAGGTCCGTCGACATCTAACCCATAGGCTATCTTGAGTACAATTGCAACCGAAAACCTTCTGACAGCGGTCAACCAATTTATGGGGTCATCAAGCATGCCCTTACAACAACGAAGGGCTTCCTTTCGCTGCAGGTTCTGATATTGGCTGACCCTGGACTTGGTAAAAAGGGGCTGCAGTGTTCTCCGGTGTAAGTTGTACCTAGGTCCCCAGCGAAGCCAAGTCAGAGTAGGGGCCCAACCCATTCTATTGCAGAAGTTAGAGTGAGGTATCTCGGTGATACTCGTAGCATGTCTTAAACATACTCCTCAAACATGACAAATCGGGGTCGGTCTGCGTAGAGCGAGCCACGCCTTTCAAGCAGTTCGGTCGCCGAGCTGAAACTATGCAGAACGATCCACTTGGTGCCGAACGTATGGAAAAAGAGCACATCGCTGCCTTTGGTAGGACGCATCGTGATATTAATTGAGCCATTAGATAGCATCGAAGGGCATTCGGATAACGTACCGTACTCTTTACTCCATTCAGCGTACTGTCTAAAAGCCGCATCCGTGGGCACAAGACGGTAATGTCCAAGGAAGCGTTCAGCTGGAGGACCAGGAGGGAGTGGAGGTCTTCCGGGGCGGTTTAGAATCCATAAGGCGACCAGAACGGCAATGAATAGGAACAGAAATACGATGGCGACTCCGAGGCCGGTCAAATGAACAATCCAAGGCATATAGCTCATGGCTCTAGGGAACTTGGGAGTAACACTTTTCCAATGGAGCTGGCGAACAGTCAGTCGCCGGGAGCAAGGCAAACATTTTAGATAAATTTATAGGGAGCCATTGCTTGGTCTCCCCTCGGCCAGCGGACAAAAAGCTTGGATCGAAGAGGCAGACCCCACGGAAGGGCTGGCAGCCTGACTGATAACTGCGGTTATGTTGCGGGACCAACAGCGGAATTTCATCACGCACATTGAATGCCGCTTCGTGTACCCCAGAGACGTGACTAGAGGAAGGAGAAACTCTGTGGTCCTGTGCAGTATGGCCTCGGGCCTAAGGGGTGACTGGCGGTTTGCCATTTGGCGAGTATTATTATCGTGGGTCAACATATCCGTTGTGTACCCCCATCCTCCAAGAGCCAGCACATCTCTAGAGACAGCAAGTGAGTGGCCAAACTATGACGCTAATGTATGTCTGGGTCCGCAAGCGGGCAGCACAAGCCTGGTGGTTGGTGGTCGAGACTAGAAGTCTTACCACCGTGGGATTGTCCGTCCACGATGACCAAAATATAAATATCGATTCCGTAGGCCCAATCGCCTTACGAAATAATCGATGTCTGCGAGTGTCGATCTAGAGAAATGCGTGTATGTGTGTTATCCACCACACTAGAGGCTAGCAGGGAGACTCCTCATGTTGACATTCGAAAAAAAAGGGGGGGAGGGCATTGGTGGTGAAGCTGGCCATGTCTAACCCTAACCCGAGAAAACACCCGGGGCACTCTCTGCCTTGTGCAGGGAGCCGGACAAAGGTCGCGACAAGAACCCTCCGTAGATGGACCGGAGATTTTGAGGCCCTGCGAACAAGCGGCATGATTCGCATACAGCCGGCAACCTGTCAAAAGGTGTCAACATGTGATGGAATGTAAGCTACAGGGTTGTTAGACAGGCACGCGTAGCGGTCCAAGGGGATGCGAGGCCATCATCAAATGCTGGACGTGGCGTTGCCCGGAGCCTGGTGTCGTAAACCAAAAGGAGTCAACTAGGCAGGAAGCAAGATGTCCAGAGGACAGAAACAAAGGGGATAGTAGGGATTCGATGAGACCAAGATCTACGCGCTGTGCACCTGGCCGCTGGTGATGCATGCTGACTTGTAGTCCGAAGTCTTGCAGGATTCCAGATGTTGTGCTGATGATGATGCAGTGCTGCAACCCCCCCGTCGATGAGGTTAAGGGAGGGTGTGCCCAGATGCGTGAAGCTCAGACGTTAGCGAGCGCTAGTCCCTGGTTCGTCTAGTGGCCCCTGCAGAGAGGTGGAGTTGATGACCCCACACTTAGCTGTTGGGGTTAGCGTTTGCAGGGTTGTTCCAGCGCGACCGCGTCCCAAGAACCAGGATTCCTTTCAGGTCCCGGAGTTGGCGGGTGACCTGGTGTAATTTCCGTTAACGTATCGCTCCTGTCCATCTCCAACCCTGCTTCTTCCCTCCAGCGTCCTTCTCCCAGCACCCTCGTTTGCACTTATCTGACCATCGACCGTGCTCATCGCGAGCCGTTCTGCCGTTCATTTAGTTTTGTCTGGTTCTTCGCCCGACAGCCGCTCGTTATTTTACAGACTTGATCTCGAGCCGCGGCCACAGCCGTCAACGACCGTCATGACGTCCAAGGGCCACCACCGACGTCGCTCGTCGATCGATCGGGTCATCGATCTTCTGGCAGACCTCGAAGAAAGCCAGATCGCACTCCTTCTTGAGGATTTCAATCACACAACCCCAAGCAATGTGCCCGTTGCCGAGGCCATTGCACTTTTCGAGCAGCATGCCGCCAAGCAGAAGCGCAAGTCTTCAATTCCGCCCTCGCAACCTCCCATGATCAAATTGCAGACCGAGCTGGAACGGCGACACAGCAAACGCATCTCTGTGCCCGATCCCAAGCTAGTCCAGTTGTCGCAGACCACAGCAGCTGTTTCTCCGACGTCTGACAACATATCTCATTCGTTTTCACTTTCGGCTCACCCGAACCCTTCCCTCATTCCCACCAATCATTCCTCGGCCGACCGTCACGATCGTAACAACCCGCCTTCACTCACGCTTCCTCCTCCTCAGTCTCCGGTACACAATCAGAACGCCGACAACAGCCGCCCCGGAACAGTGTCCACTTCCCAACCGCAAACTCAGTCACAGAAGGCTCAGCCCCCCTCCCCTTCCCATTCACTATCTCGTCCCCGCTCTTACAAGCGCATCAACCGGCCGGCGCTGCTTTCCCCGACTGCGACAGCGGAGCTCCATTTGCTCCTCCAAGCCTTTTTCAACGAGCTACCCTTGTCATCCTCTCCATCTGACACAACGGCTACGCCGTCTCCGACAACCCCTCACAGTGCTCACATGCTTGGGGGCAATGGCTTTGCTGCCCCGCTCTCTTTCTATGGCGAGCCTGAGCCGGAGTTGATTGCGCCAGGGTTCGACCTGCTTGAGCCATCCCCTATGCGGATGCCGTATAACAAGGTGCCACCTGGAGGTAGAGGATTGCGGACGATGTCCAGCATGAGCAGCATCTTTGAGGTTCTGAGGTCACAGTGAACTAATCCTTCCATTCACGGTTCAAGCGAGGGTTTTCGGGTAAATCTGTTATTGTTGGGTCACCTACATATTTTACGGGCGTTCTATTCTGTTTGGGCTTCTGTGTTCGGTCTTCTGCTCTGTTCGGTTGGTTTGGCTGCATTCGTATTTTTTTTACGTCAGTGGGCGGGTGCTACTTGCTTCTTAGTACAAGATTTATTGTCGCTGGTTTGTTGGGATCAGCATCGAAAAGTGATATCCGAGCCGTGGGGCTCTCTCTCTGGGTTTTCTTCGTTCACTTCTTTGCAGCGCACTTCGCTTGGTTCGCTTAGGTTTTCGTCTTGGATGGACGGGAGGATTGCTGGGACGAGGGTTACAGGCCTCAATATGCGGATGCATGGCAGAGGCATGGTTGTAACCCATTTTGGTAGTGTGATGGCTGCCAACCCATATCGGAAAACTAATTGCATGTATGCTTATCTTCTGGCTATCGATATTGGGCCGTCATGATCCTCCTGCCAGTGGCTGCAGTTGCCAGCTTGACATCGGTGTTTAGGAGGACCAGTTCAAACACGGCGTCCTCTGCTACAGCAAATCGTGGAGCATGTGGTTTGAGAAACTGTTCTATCCTATCCAATGGGACGCTACGGGGTATATCCTCTCTAAGCGGACATCTGTATCAATACTGTACAAGTTAATATTCAAGACATTGTTGGTGTCCCCTATGGCAATCTCATAGGGCGCCGCCAAGCATTTTGACAATGGCCATTGCAATGCGCACATGAACTCCAACGCGACGCTCTGGTGTAGCAAAGTCATCTCTTGTCATTATAGTGGTGTGCTCCTTCAGCCAGCGCTGCTCCTCTCCCAGGCGCTTCTTGAGTTCCTTATTCTCCGTCACAACTAGAGCGTTTGCTTCAAGATCGAGCGAATAGCTTCGTTTGGTGTAGTTGGAGCTGCCAATCATGGTGATGGATGGGTTCTCCTCTCCAGGCAATGTCACCCAAAGACCCTTGGCGTGATATGTCCAGCCCCCCGGTTCACCAACTGTGCCCTTTCTCCATTCACGCAGAACGGTCGAGTCCTGCTTTTTGTGGCGATGGATAGCCTGGACGAAGCGACGGGCAAGGAGGGTGTATGCGTCTGGTAGGAGACCGGAGACTCCAGGAGATTTGTAGAAGCCGTTGGCATATGGCGAGGCCGTTATTACGGTGTTGTTGTGGGATTGGGTGGAAAGAAGGAGCTTCGTCAAGGACGGATCGGGGTTGAAGTACCCGGCAGTAAACATCCAAGATGAGTTGGCATACTGCGGCAACGACAATGTTCTGAGAATATGGGTAACAGCTGGCAGCTCTGTAGACGTGTCTGGCGACAGTAGCTGGGAGAACTGGGCAAGCATGTAAACGGACGTGTCTTTGTCTTCTTCCGGAGTAGGATCATAAGACGTCAGGGGCGCCGTTTTGGGGGAAATCAAGCCCGATAAGATGCTTGTTGATTCTTTCACGAACTGCCGTGGATCCTCCAAGGGTGACGGTGCAGCATTGTCCCGAGGCCAAACTAGCTCGAACTTCGGCGAATCGGAGGGACGGACCAAGAAGCTAAGGGATGACACGGCATCTTGAAGATTCGCAAAGTATTCGGTGATATCCTTGGATGAGAACAGATGATATCGGTCCTGTCTGTTCGTAAAATAATCATTGGACAGATTGGCGCCTGACATAATGATCTCGTCGTCAACGCCGTACAGCTTCATATGCTGCAAGCCCCAGCCCTCATTGATCCTCTTGGGTATGTACTTCTTCCTCAGCCCGGTGAGGTTGGGGGTATGATACATCCGTATTTCGACCCGATCTGATCCAAACTCGGCGATTAGAGGAGCGAGAAGCGAAGCGCATGACGGATTAGGGGCTTCGCGGGTTCCCCGCAAGGCATCGGTAAGAATGCTGAGCTTGAGATCGGGCTTCGCGCGCAGTGCTTCTTGGAGTGTGACAATCTAGGAACTTCCAGTCAGAACTGCCAGAAAACATGATGATGTGCTAACTGCACTCACCAGCTCTTGCTCAGACTTTCCAATGTAGAGGGTCGACAGGAAGATGCGTCGTTCAGCGTTACGGATCTTCTCTTTGAGGGTCTCGTAGAACTCGCTGGGCGATTGGAGGACGCGGATCTGGGAGCCGCTGATCCTGAACGAGGGCGCAATGCGGTCAAGCTCGTTAACAAAGGGGGCCAGCATCGCAGCAGTGGTGGGAGGGTGAGCTGCCGGAGCACTGGCCCCGGCCGAAGGCATCGACAGATGTCGGCGACATGGCTGTTGCGGCTTTACAAGCCGGAGGAACGGCCGCGAAACCGGGGCGCTGAGTCTACCGGAGCATCGTGAGACACTGCTGACAAGCATAGCCGCTACTCACAGAAACCGGAGCTGTGGAAGCGGTTGTGCAAGGTCGAAAGGTCTTCTGGAGGTTGTCGTCTGAAGTCCTCAGATTTTTGGAGCAGGGCCTCGGTCTTCAACCCGCCGAGAACCGCGAGCTGGCACAAGGAATTGGTCTTGGCATCAATGGAAATTCCCTGGTGCGCCATTGGGCCGGAAAGACCCGGTCACGACCCACCCTCTGTGCCCCACTGCATCAGGTCTTGGCCGCAAGCGTGGGCAGCATCAATGAGCACAGCGAGCGCATCCGGGCTTCAGCTCCTCAGCAGGCGAAGTCAACACCACCAAGCTGCTACACGGTCGATTGGCCTGCTGCCGCCACCATGTCGTATCCCACGAGAACCCTTGCCAATCTGCGCAAGATTGGCCTGAAGGTGAGTGCTCCTCTTGGATCAATGGAAGAACTTGAAGCTGACCATTCCATGTGCAGGAATACTTCCGCCAACTCTTGGTTTGTTCTCCCCCCTCGTCGGCCCTTTCAAGACCCTTGACGACCGTATATTGCTGACCACGGCACTCGCTCCGGACAGTACATTGGTAGCAACCACCTTATATTCGACAAGCGACGTGGCCGCAGTAGCTGACGACAGCACAGGTGACACCAAGTACGGAGAGCTCGTAGGCGTCGATAAGTTTGGCAACAAGTTCTACGAGAACAAGGAGGAACTTCCCCGTACGGCATACCCTGGTCAACCTAATTCAATTCTTCGTTGCTGACATGAGGGCTCCAGTGCGCACTAGATGGGTTGACTACGCCAAGCACGACTATGATGCGTATGTTCCTCACTTCGCTGTGTGTCCTTTACTTAACTGGATATGATTCCAACAATACCTGCAAATAGTGCCCACATCGAGCCCATGTGGCATGCCTGGATCTCGTACCAGGTCGATACGCCTCCGACACGAGAGCCCCTGACACAGATTGAGCGCCCGTGGGCACCGAAAGAGCACGTACCGAACCGCTCGTTTACCCGCGGGGCATACAAACCCTATAACACGTACGCCTCACGCTTCTCTATTGGATTTCCAAGTTTCTGGGCTCCTTTGTTATGTTGTCGGCATACCGTTCTTGCTTGCTAACAAGCCCGTGTAATGCGGGGGAACATAGGACACAACCAAAGATTCAGTCTTGGGAGCCGAAAGCTGCTCCGCGGTGAGGTGGCTGGCCGAGCTTGACAGCTGAGGTTGGGTGCCTATGCACATAAAAAAGGAAGATTAGCTGTGTACATGTGCCACAGACGTATGGCTCTCAATAGACACCAAGTCTGCCACTACATGAGCTTTTCATTGACTTTGCGGTGTGTAAGTTTTGCGTAAATCAACAGCAGCTGTAGTTCGATCAGGTGAGAGGGAAATGACTGTCCTCTTTGGGAGTTCATCGTTGGACAATCTAGGAAAATATACCCCAGATCATTGCTTAGATCACTGGTTGTCTCTTGCCTGAGCTCAAGAGCAAATGATCAATTCAGAGGCCTAATTGACTGCAGATATAGAGCACAAGAAACCCATTCATCAGCGTAGGATGGCCACTAAGCCCAGTAAATTGATTCGATTCATCCCAATCATAAAGTTATCAGTAATTTCTTCAGCATACAAAAAAAACCTGCAACAATGAGAACAGGCCATAAATAGGCCCACATGACTCAACACAACCTCTTTGCACTCTCCCCTTACCGTCTCTCATCTTAAAACGCTGCACACTCACTATAACAGCTGACTTGAACAGCCGAGACTGGCCGCCTGAAACGTATGTACAAGTGCTTGCTATATATTCTGCTGATAGATAAATACCGCAGTGTATCTAGCTCAAGAAGCTCACTTGAGACGAACCTCAATGGCTGCCTTGATAGCTGTTGGACAAACATTAGCGCTTGTTGGAGTGGGGGTGAAAACTAACGTCAAGTTACTCACCTTCAGTCGTGACTTTCGCATCTCCGAACAGCATACGGGTGTTCGGCATGTAGAACATGGGGTTCGGGACGTCGGCTGTTACACGCAGGTCAGTTCGTCTCACATTCCTCAAAGAAAGAAAGAAAGGCTTACCATAGCCGCTAGCCATGCTTCGCTTCATCACAATAACCTGCCTGCTCTTCCAAGCATGCAGCACCGGCATACCAGCGATGGGGCTGCCAGGCTCGAGAGCAATAGGATTGACCGTGTCGTTGGCACCAATAACAAGAGTCACATCAGTCTCACCAAAGTCGTCGTTGATCTCGTCCATCTCCAGGACAATGTCGTATGGCACGCTAGCCTCGGCGAGCAACACGTTGCACTGACCCGGCATGCGGCCAGCCACGGGATGGATGGCAAACCGCACCTTGATGCCCTTCGACCGGAGCATGCGGGTGATCTCCGAGATAGCATACTGCGCCTTGGCCACTGCCATGCCGTACCCAACGACAATGATAACGCTCTCCGCATTCACTAGCGCATCGGCCGTGTCCTCCGCCGTCGTCTGCGTCACACTGCCATCGATCTTGTAGTTAGACTGCGTGGTGGGAGTGGAGAGGCCGCCGAAGAGGACGTTGATGAGCGACCGGTTCATCGCCACGCACATGATGTACGAGAGGATGGAGCCTGATACGCCGATCAGAGCACCGACGGTCGTCAGAAGCGGGTTATCAAGCATGAAGCCTTCAGCGACGAGCGCGAAGCCGCTATAGGCGTTTAGCACAGTGATGACGACAGGCATATCGGCGCCACCGATGGCTGCGGTGGTGGTGTAGCCCTTGATGAACGATAGGGCAGTGTTGGCAGCTAGAGCGCCTGCTGCGATCATTGGGGAGCCAGGGGCCATTGTCAGGAAGGGAACCATGGTGGCTAGGTTAGTTGCCAGCAGACCGGAGTTGATGGCATGGCGACCGGGAAGGATTGTCGGGCGCGAGGACATCTTGCCGGCAAGCTTCAGGAAGGCAACGATAGATCCAGTGAAAGTGATACCGCCAATGAGGACGCCCGAATATGCCGTGATGAGATGAAGCAGGGACACATGGGACAGGTCAGCCATGACACTGCCAATGCTGGTAAGCACAGCAGCGAGACCGACGACCGAGTGCAGGGCGGCAACAGTCTGGGGAAGATCTGTCGGCGTGATGCGCTTGCCGATGATGAAGCCCAGAATACTGCCGATGGTTGCCAAGCCCGCGAACTGGGCTAGAACCTCGGGAGAAAACCCTGCGGCCAGCAGCGAAGCCAGGACACCGCTACCGACACCGAGCATGCCTAGCATGTTGCCCATCCGCGCAGTTGCCTGTGACGCCAACCCCGAGATCGAGAGGATACAGAGCACAGAGCTCACTAGATAACCAGCCTGAACGAGGCCAGCCGCACCAGTCGAAGCAGCCGCAATGAACCCGCCACCGAAGAGCAAGCCCGGAATGGCATACAGCCAGGGGTACTCCGGAGGATCCCCAGGCCGCCGAAACATGTCAAGCATGCGCTTGGTGATGATAAACCCTCCCGAGACGTTCACAAATGCTAGTAGAACTGACGCAGCGCCAAATGCTTGCGGTATTGTCTCCGGCAAGTATCCGCCACCCAAAATGAACAGACCACCGACGGCTACCATGCCTGAGATGGCGTTGGTGACGCTCATGAGAGGCGAGTGCAGTGCCGGCACGACGCCCCATACAACGCGGTACCCGATCAGCGAAGCCAGCGCGAAGGTGAAGGCGTTGCTCATGAACATTGGGCCTGTGAACTTGCCTAGGGCTAGGATGGAGCTCATGCCGCCTGTTACGAGGGCAACTTCGCGAGACACCTTCTGGAAGGGGGTCAAGGCGACAACCTCGGTCTCCTTTGCGGCAGTTGCCGGAGTTGGAGCAGGCGGAGGGGTAGGCCGTGGCGCAGGGGGAAGGATCTCGCCATTCTGGACGACGATGGCGTCGCGGATGACTTCGTCCGTCAGGTCTATGCCGTATTCCTTGTCCTTGGGAGCCATGGACAAGAGGAACTTGGTGATATTGTTCGAGTAGAGTGTCGAGGATTGGGTCGGCAGCCGCGAGGGGAAGTCAGTGTATCCTGAAGATGTCAGATAGGGAGGACCCGGAGTGTCAACAAGCAGAGAAAGGAATCTTACCGATGATTTTGACATCCTTGTGCGTGATCATCTTGCCAGGTGCAGTCAGTTCGCAATTGCCGCCAGACTCTGCAGCAAGGTCGACGATAACGGAACCCGGTTTCATAACTTCAACCATTTCCTTGGTGATGAGCTTCGGTGCAGGCTTCCCGGGGATTAGGGCCGTGGTGATGATGATATCCACATCCTTGGCCTGGTCGGTAAAGAGCTTCATCTCAGCCTCGATGAACTCCTTGGACATCTCCTTGGCGTAACCGCCAGCTCCAGCCCCTTCTTCCTGGATGTCGACCTCGATGAATTCAGCGCCGAGAGACTGGACCTGCTCACGTGCAGCAGAACGAGTGTCAAACCCGCGCACAATGGCTCCCAGCCTCCTCGCCGTCGCGATCGCGCTGAGACCAGCAACACCTGCACCAATGACCAAGACTTTGCAGGGGGGGATCTTGCCTGCGGCAGTCACCTGTCCAGTCAGGAAGCGCCCAAAGTTGTTGGAAGCCTCCAGGACAGCCTTGTATCCGGCAATATTAGCCATGCTGCTGAGGGCATCGAAGACCTGTGCTCGGGAAATTCGGGGAATCATGTCCATCGCAAACACAGTGGCCTTGCGGGCAGCAAGTTTCTCCACCAGCGGCCTGTTTTGAATTGGCTGAAGGAAGCTGATGATGGTTTGACCTTCGCGGGCCTTCTCGGCCTCGGCAGCGCTGGGTCCTCTAACCTTAAGGACGATGTCTGCCTGGCTCCAGACCGCAGAAGCATCGTCGACTAAGGTCGCTCCGGCGGCTGCATAAGCTTCGTCGAGGAAATCGGCCTGAGCACCTGCCCCCTTTTCAACAAGGACGCTCTTGAAGCCTTTCTTCAGAAGCAGGGCAACATTCTGTGGCGTCACGGCCACGCGCCGTTCATTGGGGTACGTTTCTTTGGGGATTCCGATGGAAAGTTGGGAGTACGGAGTGGTTGGTACCACAGTGGCTGGGTTTGATGCTGAACTGACGAAACCAGCTGTAGATGGTTTAAGCGGAATGCTGGACATGACAGAGGCGTGTCGAATGAGCTGCAACGGCCTATGTTTGGCGACCAACGCCAGAGAGGGTGTGCTTAGCTGTCCCTTGTGAATGGTTGAGTGCCATGCTCTTCCAGTTGCGCGAAGACCAATTCGGGTTGTGTGATTGTCTAAGTTCATATTAGTTGTCACCGTCACCTCATCGCGCAGGCAGTGCATCGCCAAAGACCATGCTTACCAAGCAGACGAGCAGTCCTCTGAAGAAGGCCAATTTGCGACTGTCGCGACACCCAACAGACCTGAATGGCCGATGCTGGCCGGATCAGCAAGAGCAACATCATTGTTGCTGTCGAGCCGTGGTATTGTCGCTACAGCCTTGAGGATATTTGAATGTTTATCCATCCGTGGGATGGATGAAAAAAAAACAGTGCCGAGCGCCTTGGAGGATTCCAGTCAAGCGCACACGGCACTGGATGAAATCAAGGTTGTGGAAAGCCGCAAATTAAACCTGTACGTCACCAGTGCTGTTTCATACACGAGTACTGGCAATGAACAGAGTTATCAAGACATTTCACCAGATGGTGTCGCACGTATCACGATGGAATGACGAGAGAGTTGGTCATTGTGAACAGGAGACGTGAGGAGAGGGTCTGAAGGGTCTCGAGGTTTAACCCAAGGGTTCAAATGGTATCTCTATAACTGCCCGGGACACATACTCCCCGCGAACCGTTGGCCTATGCACGCTCTCTGTCTGGCAGGTCAGAGCTCTGCGCGTAATGGAACGTCAAGAGACAGAAAGGATGGGATGTGCAGCATTCTGGATCCGCTCTGATCCAATGACGCTCTGCAAACTACCCCGCTCATCTGCGCGGAGATAGCTCGGATCTCATGTGATAGCGCCATTATACCCGGCGGTTATTTATGAGCTACGCACTGTATGGTATATCTCTGTTGTACAACAGCAACAAGAACTGACCTTCTAGCGACAGGCGGGATGATGAGCAGAGACACCCGGCACAGCTGGACTTGGGTTGCTTCCAGACCTGCGCCAAGCCAGATCTGCAGTTGTCGTCAACTGTGGAGAAACGCCAAGACTGTTGAATGCGGGGGAGTGGAGAACACTTGCTGGCCAGACAAGCCCCTTACACATGGTATTACATACTATTGGTGAAAGAAAGCTCATGTATCAACACTGTGGTGTCGTACATTGAACTTTTCCTCCTGCTCTGGTACTGACACAGCTACCACCCATGTACATTACGCCAAACTTCAAGCTTGAATAAACTCATCAAACACTCAATATTATCACGTAATATGAGATACGGATTGATCAAATGCAAATACAAAGTATATAAAGCTAAATCGCGTCGAGTATGTTCTTGGCTTAGTGTACATGTGCAGATGTTGAGTTCGTTAGGGGTACCAAGCCCGTACCAAGCCTGTATGTGACGGTGGTCTCTGAACTTCCATTAGCCTTTTCACCACAGTAGACACCAACCACCAACCCACAGCTACTTAACAAGCCCACTCTTGAAGCAATACTCACAACACAAACACACAGTAACTCCGTTGGAGCCGCCTTTATTGCGAGCGTTCGAATATTTCATCGAGATCTATTCGGATAATTGCGTAGGAAGAAAACGTTGTATGACTTTGAACCTAGCTGTATCGGTTTTATAGATCTGCCTATCCAGAGCTCTGGTTGGACAGAGCCTGCCGATAGGGGTTTCCGCCGTTGAGGATTTGGTTGCTTGTTGGAAGCAGGGCGAGAATCCTGTTTGCCTGTTTGCCTTTCCTCTACCCTCCACATACCTACCTACGGAGCTGGATAACCTCGTAACCGAATACAAGTATTGCGATATCATTCTGCATTCTGGATTTGAGGCCTCAGGCAAGAGAATGTGCCCTAATCGTACAAATACAGCGCCAGAGACTGCTACCGGATTTATCGCAAGAATGCGGATGCGGTAAAGGGGCTCGATTATAATTGGGTAGAGCACCCCGAAACAGGTATGTACACTGCTCACTCCCATCAAAGTTTTGGAAACGCATCTCCAACGTCCGCGCCAAACGGCGCTGTCAGCTAAATTCTCCCTAACTTCACAGCATAGGTTTGATCAGGGTGTTTGATCAATGATTAATGATACTTTACACTATGATAGTGAGTGTTGAAAACCAAATCAAAAATATGTGAATGGCATGTGGAAAAGTGCCCTGCTGACACTCAAAACGGGCAGCGGGCGTCAGCCAAAGTCTTAAGATAATCGCACCAAGCTATTTCACCTGGCGCCACTGCAGAACTGAGTTGAGTTCCAGGAGCGTCGCAGGAGGTACCTCCCGTACATCTCCTGCCCCATTTCGATCCTCATTTCTGAGCTTTAATTGATCGACGACGCTTCAAATTTCAACTTATTCAATCTCCCAGGTTCAAGCCAGACCCTGCCCCATACTCTACAGGATCTGAAAGATCATCTGCCACCTTCCATTGCTTTCCTCCTCGTCGCAGCACTCAGAGACACGCAAGACAAGTCAGCCATACAGATCCCAGGGGGGTTGTGGATGCGTCGAATTCATGATGTCTCAAGATGCAAGAGGGGACAAATCTGACAAAACGATAAGAATGTCGGAGACGGGAGTGGAGGACTATGAGCTAACTACCTCGGACTCTCGCTCACACATTACCCTAAAGAAAATGTACGCTCGTTAGTCCAACTATTCACAACACCCGAATCGGTACAATTCTCCTCTACATATCCTGCAACAGACTCGAGCTTTCTCTGTCCGTACATATCGCACGACCTGCTGCATATTGGTGCACACTTGGGCAGCCATGGGTCAGAACAAATATGCTCCCCAGCCCCTTCCCCAGTTAGCAACCCTTATAACCCGGTTACCGCTGAACCTACTCTGACGGAATCATTGCGATCTTTTCCATTCGCCTCAGATTCGTTAACATCTGCCACAAACAAGCGGAAATCGGAAGATTATAGGCGGCTAGAGAAAAGACCGAAAGTACTTGAGCCAGCGTCTTCTTCCTCCAAATCGCCATCACCCAACGTTCCTGGTATTTCAAGATTATCCTTGCCATCTGAAGTCGAAATAGCAGACAGCAATGACTACCCTCTACTAGCCGGTGCTTATTCCACAACACGGAAGCTCAATGACTTTCCACATCATACACAAGAGAATCATCTCTCTGGTGACCTAGCGCTGCTTGCTGCAGGTGAAGCTGGGGACACGGGTGTGGTGGAGCAACTACTCAACCGTGGTGTTGACGTTAACGGGGGAACAGGAACAAGTTCTCATCCGAGAAGCTCCCGAGTGGTACCTCTTTTCGTTGCTACGGAGATCCGGAATATACCTATGATCGAATTGTTGTTGCACAAAGGCGCAAGGGTAGATCTTCGTGCATTGATTGATCGCGGTCCGGCACAGACTTTACATCGAATTTATTTGCCAGTCGAGGTTGCCGTTGCGAACAATGATGGAGACATCCTCGACGTTCTACTCGCCGAACGGAGCAGCACCATCGATATCTTTTCCTGACAAGATCTCATTGCTGCTGCTATTCGCTGCGACAATCCCAGCTTTGTCAATCGCCTTCTCGCCAGCAGGAACAAAGCCCGCTTTGACATACCGTTCTTTGATCTCTCTAATCTCGAAGAAACAAGAACATCATCTTCAAAGAGGCCTTTGTTAATTGAAGCAGTGTGTAACGCTTCTGACTTGAACAGAATGGTATCAATATTGCTCCGGTGGGGAGAAAGCATACCCGAGACTCATAGCTGGTTAGACCAGCGTTTCTCGGCGATACAGAAAGAAAAAAGGCAACTAGATGGTGTCAATTTCTCTTGTTTCCCACTTTCCAATATTCTAAAAGAGCAAATCGTCCCGATCCCAACAAGACTCGCCAGCTGCATGCACTTGACATCCACTGAATGGGTTTCCTCTCAGTTCCCATAAATCGTCATCTGTAATTCTGTCAACTTTCAAGGTGATGATGCCCAGCTTAGCAGCCAAGATAATGGCCTCCTCTAGTATCTCAGCTGGACTTGATTGTTTGAGCTCCAGGAAATTAAGTCTGTCCGCATCCGTGATCTCTCGTTCACAAGATAAAGGATTTTAGAAAACTTTCTGTGGCAGTATTTAAGGTAGTGAATGTTTCATTGCAAAAACAAATTCCAGAATTTGGTGCTGTGGTATCTGGACGATATAAAGCATGAAAAGAACACAGAGAGTTCAACTTCATGTCTGATCATCCACCCTCTTTCTCTTCATCTCTCTCTCTCTCTCTCTCTCTCTCTATCTCTCTCTCTATCTCTCTTAACTCTTTGCTTTTTGACGAATAGGTATGCACATCGCCTTGCTCATCCAATTTTTGTACCTCTGTAAACAATTTATGAGACGGTAAAGGGTGACTGTGTGCATTCAGTATCACACTCCAAATTAATCGCCCAGAGATGTGAATGGCATCAGGGAAGCTACGCACAGAAGGGAAGATTCAGTCCTTCTTACCTAACTATCTTTACAAACCACGAGAGTGTCAGGGCCTATACTCTGCAGCTTACGCTTCAATTCATGGAGCCAGCCTCATTGCATGGCAACTTCATATTCTTCTATGATCTGGATGTATATCTATGTAGGTGGCTGGACCTTAAGTGGATGACTCGGTGGAAGCCCTCCCGGGGGTTCGGAAAGCAGAACCTCACATTCTGCTGAGAAGGAATGTCATCACTGGGTGCTCTGAAACTCGAGATATCCGGTCCTAGGGGTTTCAATGGCAAAAAAGTCAGTAACCTTCCATATATGATATATGCAGTACTTCTGAAGGCTCGCTTACCGTTCGATGCCATGGGCGAACCCAAATTACCTCGCCCAAATAGCTGATCTTGTGGTTGAAGCCCAGTGCTTAGCGGTATGTAAGATTAATAACCAGTGCCTCTTGAAATCCGAACATCATTAGGGAGTTCCCATCATTCACCTAAGCATTTTCTAGTGAATGATAGTAGCTAGCAATGTGGTTACACTGGTATTCACTGGCAGTTTGTATGCCCGTCTCCGAGGGGGCACCAGCCACCATCTGCTACATAGGCGTTGCCCAGTCCGAGAATTTGATGTATAAGTCCTAATCAAACCAAGTGAATCGGTCCTCCTGGTCAGTTTGGAGTTGACTACGCCTTCATCACCACCTCTAATATCAACATCATGACAGCTCAGCATAAGGCCAACCTCCACTTAGTGCATTCCTTCTTGAGCGCATGTGCCCCTTGTCCCACGGCCTTGGTGCCAAGTACAACGAGATACATTTTGAGTACTTCAAGGAGGCCATCAATTACACGACAAAGATGATGGGAACTTATGAGTGTCAGCGTTTCCCCTTAGGCTGTATGCAGACGACTGTTAAATAGCAAACGCAATTCTTGACCCACACACGAGTTACAATGGCCCCTCTTCACAGTCTTCAGCAGCAGCATTGTTGACGACATGTCTGACCCCGAGGCTGTAACCGCTGCTTTTTGGGGGGGAGCTAGCCCCGCACTGTGCTGAACAATTAAAAGGTCATCTTTGGCCTCTATGAACGAGCCTCATGATATACGAAACTCCCTGCTGCTGGCCAACCTCCAGGCTGCTATCGACACCATCCGGGCCACTCACGCCAGCAATCTCATCCTGGCTCCCGGAAACCACTGGTTCGGTGGTCACTCTTGGACTAAAGGCGGCTATGAGGCCAACAATGAATGGATTCGCAAGCTAGTTGATTCTCTCAACAACCTCGCGATTGACGTCCACAAGTGTCTTGACGAAGACTTTAGCGGTAGTCGCCCCTTATGCTGCCAGGCCCCTGTGAGCAACTTGGCTGGAGTGACTGCCTAGCTCGAACAGCACAAACAGAAAGCTTTCATCACTAAATTTTGTGGTTCAAACACCACAAAGTGTACGACCATGCTGAACTCACTGCTGAACTAAATGGCCAAGAATGTGGAGTATATCGGTTGGTCTGCATGGGTTGTGGGTCCCTTCGAGGGCTCTTATAGCCCATTCTGCATGGATCAGAGCAACTTGGCAGCTTTGAAACTAAGAACGAAGGCGGTTGATGGAAGTTCAGGTCTGCATGAGACTGTTTAGCTTGGTGTCATCCAGAAGAAGGTTCCTCGGTAGTTGCAGTGGTCTGGTTCGGCCAGCGTAAGCGGTGGGAAGCTCGAGGTGAAGCCATGAATTGCGTCACTGGTAACACCTGATTAGAGCTCCTGCTCAGACATATGCCTGTGATATTGAGCCTATTGATGACGAAGTGAGATTAGAACTCAATAGAGCTTCAGACTTGTGCATAACACAGGTACTCGGCTCCTCGTTCAGTGTAAAGATCTCCCAAATGCAAAACTCAACATTTAACACCAATGTTATATTTGCGGCTCAGTCACCAGCCCCTGATGTGTGGAAGTCCGACTAAAAGTGGTAGGCATGTAAGCAAGATGGATAACAGCAGGCCGTCAGCAGATAAAGTTAAGTCCATGTTCCAAAACGCAGCGTTGGCTGACGGGGTTGCGATGTTTCAGATCATTGTGTGGCACAGCTCTCTGATACCGCAATATCGTACAAGTTGGGAGATACAATACCAGCGCCACAAGGCCGGAGCTACTGCGCCGCCTAGAGAGTTTCCTATCAATGGGGTACGGTTGCAATTGCAAACTTGTTATCGTCAGCGAAAAAAAAAGGATGACATTTGGGAATTCGGTAAGTTTGTAAGACTATAGTCACATCAAAGGAGTCAAATTGCCACACTGTTTGGTGTTGGCTTCGAGTTGGTGTTGTTCTGAGGAAGTATGAGCGTCAGCAAGTTCTGTATATCTGCTCACTGGAAAATTTCTCAAGGTTGATCCTGTTGCTCGTGGACGACCACATAACATATCATGACCAAGTCAACTATCGGTTTTATTTAACACCTGACCAACCGGCTCCGCGACACACACTTCTCATTTTAGTTTTCGTGCGCCATCTCTTCAAGTCAGTCCTGCAAACGTCCTTATCGCTTGCTGCATCGAATCTGCTTGTCCTAGCTGTTACCCTCAACAAAGCACTTTGCACTATGTTGACAGCTATCCCCATCAGACGAAGCCTGTCGCGCAGGGTTATAAGGATCATTCAGCGGACACTACCACTGGTAAAGAGCAGACGTAGATCGTGGACGACAATAGCGAAAACAAGGGTGCCGATCGACTTATGAGAGTGCCAACATTGGCCTAAACGACATCAGTCTATAGTCATCTATGTCCAGAGAAGGCCATGTCGCTCATCTTGGATTGGAAAACATCGCCACTCTCAACGAAAGACTGTCTATACGAGACAGTCCTAGGCGAAATTATCGTTAATAAGGACGGGTGGAAGCTACGCGATAAGGATTTCACAACACGGTATATTCATGGGTAGTCCAAGGAGGAAACGACGAGTTTTGTCTCCAATTCGCGGATTGAAGGCCAGTATGCACAATAAAACATGGCGCTTGAATGATCAGAATCTTGTGCTTACCAAGCTTTGGCATTGTTCTGAAGATGTTGCTGCGTGCTCAGGCAATGAAGTCTCATATTCCGTTTTGGTGGTGATGTACCCTGTGGTATGCAAGTCCTCTTCGACATGTCAAGTGGAGTTGGGAATGTAATATTATTATCATCATAAATTCAATCTAACCATTCCAAAAGCCCTACACATCCACGTATGATTATCGTGAATATAAACAGTCGTAACGTCATTAATCATAAATTAACACTCCCGTAAGCGGAACCCTGGCCGGATCTCTCGCCCAGCAACGGCTGCTTCGTCCAGTTTGGCCCCCTCCTCTCAACCTGTGAGGGCGTCACGTCAATTTCACTCACAACGACCTCGAACTCGGAACGCTTTCTCCCGAGAGTCACATGAACGCCATATCTTGGCAAGATATTGGTCCAGACCAGCCAGTATACAACGCCTAAAAGTAGAACGCCAGTGCCGACCAGCGGGAAGGCGTAATATGGGTAGCCGTCGGCGTTCCAGTCACCGTTCGGCGGAATAAATGGGGTAATGACGAGGAAGAGGTTAAGAAGTAAAAATGTGACAGCAACAGGGAGTCTTGTCCGCCAAGGCGAGGACCAGTTTTCGGATTTGCTGTATTGCAGGTAGATGAGACCACCAGCGACGAAAGTGTTGATCCAGGCACCAGGATAAGTATATCTGTGAATGTTAGTTATGAGGCCTTTGAAATGACGTCAGCAAGGTCCTTACAAGTTAACAAGGAAATTATATGCCGGCCCTGGAGGAGGGGCGATGAGAACGATGATGGTGACAATCCAGTGGAGGAATAGCTGCTTCAGTCAGTCACAAGATCCAAAACTGTGTCAAATGGTTACTCACTGACGCTGCTGGGGTGCCGTAAGGCTTGCTGGAAGCCCAGAATTTGCTCCATGGCAGCAATCCTTCCCTGGCCAACTCCTGGTTTACTCTAGAATGTGCGAAGCTCACAGCCAGCACATTGCCGATATTGCTGAGGGCCACAAACGCCGGTAAGCTCCTTGCGGCAGTACTCTCCCCAAACATGTTCCTAAAGAACAGCCCTGCTACAATGACTTCAGACTTTGCTAGCTCCGCCTTCGGGATAGCTGCAAAATAGGCCACGTTGGCGAGGACGTACAGCACAGTCACTCCAATGACAGCTAACGGTGCCGCAATTTTAAGCGTCCTGCGTGGATTCTTGAGCTCGCCCATCACGTAGTTAGCGTTCTCCCACCCCTTATAGCTGTACACTACCTGCAAGAGAGCGGTGGCATACGCATACGCGCCACCCCCTCCATAGCCATCCCCCTTTTCAATGCCCCAGAAATTCTTGAAATTACCTGGATCTGAAACGAGTCGGTGCCCCCATTAATGCTGCAAATCCGGCAATCACAATCACAGCCAACACTATGAGCTTGAACACTCCCAGGGCGCTTGTCAACCGCAGCCCCCATCTGGGAAAAACGGCATGGAGCAGCACAACCAGTGTGACTGCGATGACAGCAATCGCGCGCGGAACCCATCCATCGGGCATGGGGTGCCCAATAGCAAGAAGAACATACCGGCCAAAGGCAAGTGAGTTGCCTGCAGAAAACCCGAGCAGAACCATCTGAACAGCGAAGATGCTCATTGCCAGGTATCGGGGTCGGCGGAAAACGCGCTCGAGGTAGTTCTTCTCGCCTCCAGAGAGGGGAATTGCGAGCCCAAAGGAAAGGTAGACACTCAGGCCTGAAAGGGTAAGTAGGCCAGCTAAAATGTCCGCGTCAGTGATACTAGCCATCTCTAAAGGGTAACAAAATTTTTCGCTCACGAAACAGGTACTCACCCGCTGCCCAAAGAAGAAGCGAAATGCCAACAGAGCCAGTTGAGGCAAAGATACTAGAGGGCGTCGAGAATACTGCCAACGACGATGATGTTAATTGCTCTCCAAATGGTAGGGGCTGAGCAGGCGAGGAGAGGGTGACGAACTTCCAGTTCCGATCATCTTGTTCAGGATAAGAAACACAGCTCCCGTCACTCCGATTGTCCTTGACCCGCCGCCCTCCTCGAGCAAAATATCGTATCCATCCAGCACCTCGCTGACTGCAATGCTCGAACCGGGATCATCATGCCCCGCCCGAGAATGGATTGACTTGTAATCCGAATCATCTTCCATAGCCATGTGATGTTTGGCACAGGCCGCTGGAATAGAGCGGCAGGGCAGTGGTTCTGGTGCTTTTCGTGTGACGAAGGATGAGCTCAAGGGCTTGGCGAGGCCGCGGTTAAGGTTAGCTGAAGTTCGGAGTTGTTTGGCCTTCAGGGCTAGCGTTGCGTCAATGTGTCCGATTCTCTAGAGCCTCGAGTGCCCCAAGATTCCAGAATTCCTAAACTTGTTGACTTTGAAACTGTTTTGTACAGCATGGTTGTTATTATGTCTACCTATGAAGTGGCGATCGCACCCTTATCAAGGAGTTAATGTTCAAGTCTCTTCCAGCTGATGGCGATGGCGTGCTTCCGCGGCAGAATGGCAGCAACCAGTTAGACCCACATGGTGGCGGCCATCGACGTCATTTTGCTTGGGGACCGACCTCGGCCGTCTTGGCACGGGGCAGATTTCTTGGCATATGGAGACGACAGGGCTGCTGGCTTTCCCCGGGCCCACAGGCAACTTCAACCGCTTCTGCAACATCAACACTTGTATATCAGTATCAGCTGACTGAATCTTCTTAGTTTTCTCAATCTTTCGGACGATGGCAGATGGAAGAAATATTCACAGCCTGTCGGATATCATCCTCGAATATTGAGTAGTTGATGGGACCAAAGCTCTGGGTTGCGAGGAAGTGGGGACAGCGCCATGGGCAGTCCTGCCTGTCCTCCCTCCTTCTCAATGCATATTCCTTTCGCGGCGCCCCTTCCAACAACCAGCACTTCCCGCTGAGCCAATTTTCAAGTGGGATGGTTGCGGCCATTTGCAATTACAACAGTCTGAGTTCGCCAACCCGAGGTCGGCGGGTTCAACTCGAACAAGAAATAACGATTCTCTCCATCCCGAAAAGGGGCCCGGGGGATGGGTAGGGGCTCGTTTCTCCCGTACTGCCGCCATCGCCATACGAAGTAAGCCCTCGCGAGTGAGTTCGTAGCTGGCTACCTCATTGCACCAGGCAGTGGGCTGGCCAGTAAGCTTTTCGAAATTTTTGGCCATGATGACCATATAGTCCTGATGTTATTTTGTCCTAGCACACTGTTCATGCTCCCTGCTAGTTTATCAAGAAAGTCAAGCATCAGTTTCAGGGACATAAAATTTGACAGCACATTTGTGGTGATGTTTTTTAAATACCAGGCCTCTCTAGGTCAGCGTAGGGAAAGATGGGCACCGAGATAGAGCCGAAGTGATCGTGGAGCCAGGCTCTCAAGGACTGGATTGTTGTTCTCCTTTCTGTTTTCCCGAAAGCCAGAAGCAAGCTGTTGAAACTGTGGGGAAATTGAGTCAGAACCTAGTGAGAAGACGCTGAACGATATATAGGCTCTCTGAATCCCTAACCAAGCTCTTAATGAACTATTGAACTCGTGGGTATTCCGATAACCACTGAAACCTGCTGTTTGGGAGGAAGAATTCCGTCACGATGGGATAGGCAGTATCGAGGCCGAACTTCTTAACAATATATCTTGGTCCAGGAAGTTGCCATCGGGGATCTTGATGTGCTCAACGTTCGTTAGGTTGCTGAATAATCCAATCCGAGATTAGTTTATGCGGCTGTTTTTCTTTAACTAATAGGCTCCAGATAGCATTTTTGAAGTGGCTCCTTGGTCCGGAAAACTTGCGGTCAGCAGTGCTTCATCAGATTAACGAACTAAGACATGCAGAGATAGCGACATCCAAGATGCACCATGCAGAATCTGTCAGCAATGCAGACATGCTTTGTGAGATCTCTGAGACGTCCAAGGCTGTCTGGGTGGACATTTTATACAGCGAATTAAACTTATTGGACAAGAACATCTCAAGTAGCATGGTAAACTCAAGGACCTACAGCACGGAAGTTGATCAAGTCACGGGCGTGATCAAGGAAACATGCGATCCTTGCATCAAGTCAAAGAGGCAAAAGCCTGGAATGTCGCTATTATAAGTCCAGAAGCCAATCGCCTTGATAATCTGTGCACAATTGAGCTCAACGACGTTTGGGCATGTCAAGCGACAAACAGCTGAAGAAAACTCATCAACGACCGAACAGTCAATTGCCCAATTTTAAGATGAGTTACTATCCAAATGTTGTTCCTTGTTGAGACAGTGGGCTATGGCTATTAGTTGGCAGCAAATTTTATGATTTCCCCCTGAGATCCCACAGGATATCAGAGAAAGTTAACTGGCCACTGCTGACGCACTTGAGGGGTGAGACGCACTAAACAACAAAATGATTACCTACCTACGTAACCATCTCAGGACATGGGTGGAACGGAGATACAAAGAATGTACACTTCATCATTTACAGTAAATATGGCCAAGAGTGTCAAACTCCTGACACAGAGAAATGCCATCTACATTAGGTATATTTCTTTCTCAGTAGTTGTAACGCTCCCCCTTTTGTGTCAACATAATGTCAACACAGGAATGTCAGAGAACATGTCACAAGCTCAAGGTGCAATAGCAGAATAACGGTCTCTGCTCCTGGAAAAGCAGTTGGCCGGTAGTTGCAATCTCAAATGTGATGGACAGTCGGTTCAAACACCGTCCATTTTGCGGTTTTCCTCTGTCTCAGACTCATTTTATTGTTCTAATCGAGCTTAATGTAACCAGCTGTTAGGTCGCTGCGCCAAAGCATATTCCCTGTTGTGTTTCCGTGTGAACTTTCACAGGCAGCACACTTTACTGTTTCCAGTAACTGTTGTTTCCCAAACTTGGTTCAACGAGAGTTTACACTATAAGCATTTTCGAAATGAGGTTGGTTCCTGGAATCACTGGACCACTTGGCTATTGAAGAAAAAACGAAAGAAATGGTGTGGGCATGCTCTGGATAGACATTTGGCATCACTGCCAACACAACCTAAACTCCTCACTTGGGATGCACGTGATGAAGAAGCAGTCATTCTGGATATGGTTGAAATCCACAAGGCCATTAACAGTTGGTCGCCAATGGAGCCAAGGTTGATACACACAATGCTTGTCTCGAGCTATTTGACTAGGACTGATGCGGAGTCAAACTGCATAGGGCACTGCCGCTAGGATCGTTACTAGAGACTCTATGCAGCAAGGGCATTTAAAAAAGGAACCAGGCAGGCCCAGACAGCATTGTAACTATGTTGAGCCACAGCCCCGGGTAGAAGATGCTGAAATGTAGATCTTGAATGAAACAATCGCCAGACCAGGGAGTACTGACGAAAGTGATTAACGACGGATCTCTTTATTCTCTGGGCATCCCTAGACACCAAAGTGCCCACTGCCATAATTACATTGCCGATTGAAGCAGCAATGTTATGGCTGAACGCCCATTGACTATCTGAAGAAAGAAGGAAAAGTCGATGTAAAATTTTGGGAATCGCTGGACGATGAAAAAGTGTGCCAAGCAACCAGGGTGGGGCGTGCCGAATCATCACGTGCTTTAAGTATCGTTGCAGGCTGCCAGCCAGCCAACCAACCAGGGAAGATCGTGAACTGAGGAATGAGGGGCTTCCCATTGGTCACTTCCAGCCGAGGAAGGCCGACCTGCCGGGGCGATTCCGACCAGCAACTCGTAGAGGTTCCATCGTCGCCCGGCATCATCGACCTCAAATCTCGCATCCCGACCACCCCGAAGACAACATCGCCTGGTTTCGGATTTGCCCTCTGCCGCCAGCCCAAACAAGATGATTGCCCAGCGCGCTGGAACGACGGTGCTGCGCCGTGGTATGGCTCCTCTCTTTTTCGGTTTTTTTTGTTTCTCCGCGTCAAGCACCGGTTCATGGCTCCGCGGGACCAGCGGAAGCATAAGGGTTGATGACGACCTGGAACGAAGTTGAACGCTAACATATCGACTACCAACAGTGGCCGGCAAGCCGAATACCTTCTTCTCAGCCAATGTCGCCAAGTTCGGGCTGGCCCAGCCGCTGTCTACCACCCAGTTAAGGTCCGTTCATCCCACCCGCAGTTGCAGATGTTTCCCCCGCATTAGCACTCGACCAGCCCAAGCCCACCACGTTTACTCCCAACATTGTCACAAGCCCAACGCAGGCTAGCCCCACGACGAAGCTAACCGTTCTTTTTCTACCCACACAGGCCCGTGGCGACCCAGAAGATCACTGCTGATGAGGCCGCCGCTCTCCTCGCCAAGCAGCGCCTGAACCGCCCCGTCTCCCCGCACCTGGCCATCTATGACAAGCAGCAGACCTGGTTTGGCAGCTCGGCCTGGACGCGTATCACCGGCGCCAGCCTGAGCGGCACTCTATACCTCTTCGCGACGGCGTATCTGGCGGCACCAATGCTGGGGTGGCATCTGGAGAGCGCTTCGATCGCCGCTGCGTTCGGCGCCCTGCCCGTCGCTGTCAAGGGCGGCATCAAGTTTCTTGCCGCCTGGCCCTTCGCCTTCCATACCTTTAACGGCGTTAAGCACCTCCTCTACGACATGACCATTGGCTTCCACAGGAAGCAGATTGTTAAGCAGAGCTGGTACCTGTGGGGTGCGTCGCTCGTGACGGGGATGTTCCTCGCCTTCTTCCTCTAAGGGGGGCTGAGGTTGCGAGAGTGTGGGATCAGGGCAATGTATAGAGTATTAAGTTGGGAACGTTGATGATAAGGGATAGGGGGATGGGTTATGGTGGGTATTATGTGTTAGGCCAAGTGACAAAAGATTGCCATGATAGCTGGCTGGGCTTTAAAAGAAACGACAGGCATTGGTGTTTTGGGGGGGTGGGGAGGGAGGAGGTTGGCTTGGCAAAAAGGAATGAGCACCCTGTATGTAACCAACACAATAATTACCAAAGAGAGGTCTTGTTCCTTTGTCATTGGATTGGCTTTTATTCTTTAGTGAAGTAAATGACCGTGAAAAAGCACTGACCTGGCCCATGAAGATTATACCGTAACCTGAACGCCATAACTGCATAGGTATCCCATCTTGCATCCGATATGTGTTTGAGCACTGGGATATTTGCCACCGACCCCCAAAATGAAGTGACACTTTCCACTTGATACGCCATACGCCCGACCGGCCAACCTCCGTAAAAGCGGAACATAGAAAGAGTGCTGCTACTCCAAGTGCCGAACCTCCAAAATTGACCTGTTCAGAGTATGATTTCTGAGCTGCGCAATACGCTGGCCAACGATTGGTCCGAGAAATTCAATGACCTGCTCCCCTTCCCTGGTTAAATCTGCCCCATTGATACCATTGGTGAGCGCTCCCAGGGCAGCCTGATCTCCAACAATGCTCTGTACTGCCTTCACGATCCCGCCCACGAGCATCTCATACTCGAGTTCGGCCACGGGACCGGCCTTCTCGCGCAACGGCTGCAGCACGGCGGAGTCGAATGTCTTCAAGTTGGGCAGAACCAGAACGCGTACGGCCTCAGGTCCGCCCGAAGCAGCCACGCCGCTGATAGCACCAAAGAGGACTGCAGGAGGGCGAGTGGGATCCAAGAAGTGCTTCAGACAGGTCCGCGTCAGCTTTGGCCGTAGTAACGCATTGCTCGCGCCGTACTTGCGCGCAATCATTGACAGTAGGCTTGCGGCCAGCTCGCGAAGCGAATACTGCTCTCGAAGCGTGGAGTCAATGCTGTTGCCAGCGCCAAGGGCGCCCTCGTCGTTGCTGCTGGGATTTTTGCCCAGCTTGCGCGACATCAGGCAGGTAAGCACTGGGGCTGCGAGCGCACTCGCATATGGATCGATGAAGAGTGTAGGGTTCTGAACAACGGCTTCGGCGAGCTCCATCATCTGACGCAAAATAAATAAATCGTCCAGGTGGTGTGTCACTTGATTGGTGATGAAATTGACAAAATACGGTAAGAGCTGATGCAACCCAGGATCCGATCGAACAGACTCTAGAGCTGCTTGGCGAAGTCTCATCTTTTCCTCGTCCGGGTCGTCATCTAGTATGGCGGCTTGAATCTTGTCAAAGTATAGAATCAGTTCCTTGCTGATGACGTGCTTGACAGAAGGTCGGAAGGAGACATTGTCGTTGCCGGCGAGGGCAGCCAAGGCAGGATTGGCACCAGGACCCTTGGGCAGAAGGTCTTTGGATGATGTTTCGGCAGTGGTTGGATTCTGCGGAATCGATGGTTGAACACCCTCGACGGCGAGCCAATGGGCTAAACATAACAGTCAGCAAAGTCGTCACACAGCAATCGACAGCATATTTCACAACACACCAGTAAATGTCATGTCACGAGGGACCTTAGGCAACGGTGCATTGATGACCTTCTCGAAGTCGACCTCCTCATCATCGATGTAGAAGAGCGGCTGGCCTGGACCGAGGCTGGCTTCGCCATACCGGAGAGGACGTGTGGACTCGTAGCCGTAGAGAGGCTCAACGTCAAGAACTCTGAGCGCCAGCGACACATCCTGGACCGTCAGAGTAGTGCGATTGGCTGCACGCATGAAGCGCAAAGATTCGACAATGACCTGGCCGATGCGGTACTCGACATCTTGGGCAAGCAGCCGCAGCGGCTCCTCAGACAGCGTGATGCCTAGTGCATCGGCGACATCGCGGACATTTTCCGGATTCCAAAGTAGTTTTGGGCCTTCGTTTGTCGCCATAATCCTTGATTCAGCGCGTGACCTCCCGCGCTGTGAGCTTGAAGAAACGGACGGTTGCTCCAATGCAGATGGTGGCGGTAGGAATATATGGTTCAGAAGCAAGCTGCTTTTGCTTGCGTTGCGTTGCGCGAGCCGCGCGAACGATGATGTGGGGCTCCAAACGCGAAGACCTCCAACCTGGAAATGTGATCCGTGCGCCTCTCGCTTCCTTGGCTATTTGTGAGGACTTCCCTAAATGGGGAGGGGAAGGTACGTACCTGCCCTCAACGTAAGGGACCAGAATCCGGTCGCTACCAAATTGACCAATCAAGCGATGTTCGTAGTGCCAAGCCATCGGTTTGACATATTCAAAATCTCGAGCGCAGTTTCTTGCGCGGCAAAGCAGCGCAAACCATTCAGTAAAAATTGCTTGTACGGTATGTATGAGCTATGAATTTCTCGAGATCATATTATGGCAGAGGTGAACTGGTCAGTAGGAATGCCTAGCTGTCGCAGGGTGTTGGCAGCCCAAGCAAAAAGAACGATCTGTGAGACGGTCCGACGAGGTGGGCCAAAAGATGGCTCCCCCACCCGCCTTGACCAGTTTTGGACGTTCTGAAATTTAGTCTCCACCTCTTTCAACTTCAATGGTATCAATCCTTAAGGCAACCTGACCCTGCATCTAGCCACACTCTGTGGAACACTTGCATTTATTTCTTTGTGAAATGACCGCTTTTTGCTCAGATCAATATGACAGCCCTCATATGTCCGTACTTTGAAGATACACTGTCGACTCCAGACTGTTTACAGCTCAGGAGGGAAACACGGTTGTTCTTTGGATCTCATGATCGGAGACCGCATCTGTGATATTGCAATGTGCTCAAGATATGACCGAGTGTTGGCGTCCAAACAGGTTTATCTTATTTTATTAGGCAGCCATCTGTTCGCATGGCTATGATTGACATAGCTTGGGCCGGCATCAGCCGTTCTCCTGCATCATGGCGAATTTAACGAGAACAACTGAGTATCGGATGAAATTTTTTTCGAAAACACAACATGGAGTGTTTTCGAACCACCTTTACCGTCCTCCCACGTCTTTGGGATTCTGGGCCTGGAGGAAAATTGCCCAGTGATGGCTACGCACACAACTCACCCAGCACTTCCGTACCATGCATGTGTGATGCAGGTTTCTTATCTCCTCTCATATACACGGACCAAATCCGTCCCCCTTGCAATACTTCCCATTCTCTTGCATCTCAAACGTTCTTGGCCAAGGCCCCCAAGGAATGCCTTGCCTTCCACACCAGTAATACTCCCTAGGCATTCGATGTCGCCTATGTGCGGTAGAAATACTGAGCTGAAAACTTTCTGCTTGGTGTTGCTGGACTGCCGTAATTAGACCGCTTCCATGGGTAATTACGCTGTCACTTCTCTTTTTGTTAGCGTTGGATGTTAAGCCGAAGGGAGATTTCTGGCGAAGAAAATCAATCAGGGAGATTCTTTCGATCTACATATTCTTGACCGACAGCTAACCTAAGCTAACCCCAAGAGCTTCAATTATCCTTTGCTAAGATGAAGTCCATCCTTTGCCTGGATGAAAGCCCATTTCCGCACCCCTTCCCCGGCGGTCTCCGTACAAAGGTGTCTTCGTCCTACTTTTTCTTCATGCATACTCCAACCAAATACCCTATCACCCTGATGTTCTTCAATACATGTAGGCTCACCATCCTTCGCGAAACCGTCTGGTTCGAAGCTTTCAGATAACTTCCGCACGCTTGAGCAAACCAACAGGTTCCATTTTTCAATCTTTACTTGCATGATCACCATGCCAATGCCACCAATGGAAACTCAAACAGAAAGTGTAGTCCATTCAAGCTATCTGGCATGCCCATACAGGAAACAGAACCCATCATGGTTCAACTATTAGGCCTATTACCAATGCAGTGTCGGGTTTGGGTGCCTAAGTTCCGCTATCCTGAAACCAGGGGAAAGCGGTTGAACATCTGCGCAGAGACATGTGAGAAAATGTCACAGGAGGGGTGAGCAAGCTATTACACCAAGCATAATTAAGTCAATTTTGAGAGCGTTCTGCTCACCACAAGATGATCCTGGGCCTGGAGAAGCGACCTGAAAGACAGGATTACTGATAATCTCGCATCCCCAATGATCAGCAGTTCACGGACGGCAAGAGATTGAAACATGCTCTTGTTTCCTGATGACACAGGGATCCCCTTTTCTTGTAAGAGACGTTCCTCTTCAGTGGACTCTGCTGTTCGCAACATCGTTATTCAACAGGGAATGTAATTGGACGCATCGTCCACGGCACCCTGCGAGGGTATGACAAGCCAAGAGATTAACCAGCGCTACTATTTGGATTTGACGTACAATGCGACTATCCTAACCTCCTTTTGCCGCCACCATCGACAGCTTGAGGATGATACTGCCAACGAATCTGTGACTTCAGGATTACTCCCTGGGCTCGATTCGTTTGCTGACACTTACTTTATCCATTTTTCACCAGACAATAAAACCGCTGATACAAAAAAGGGTTGAGAGAGCAGCAATAAAGACATAGAAACATAACTGTCCACAGCAACAATATAGATATTTAAACGCATTAGATAGGTGTGCTCATATGATAGAGCAGTTCAGGCTCTATTAGTCCAATAGATACATGTTTGCTAGAAGTACAGTATTTCATCCACAACAGAGCTTAATAATGAAGTCATTGGTGTTCCGCTTGACCCAGAGCAATCAAGGTACTATATTCCAGAAGGTTGTGCATCCATTACTCATTAGACATCAAAGAAGCCAATGCAGCAACTTGCATCCCATAAATTTGCTTTCAAAAACCCATTGATAGCTTTGAGGACACCACCATCACTACCAAGGTACTCATTAAGTTCTAACCATTAAGTCGTGGATTGGGAGTAGGCCTGTTCAAAGCCAAAGAAACCTGGAAAGCTGCAAAATAATTGATGTCGTAACCTGATGTTCAAGCAATGTTCATCTTGAGAAATCATGATGTTTTTAAAAGTTACAGGTACGCCATTTCACATGAGTGATGGTTAGTTTATTCTACAACTACTTCTAAAGCAATACCCTTGCCCACAACCTCCTACGACTTTGATCGCATCTACCCAGAGAGTAATGATACATTCATAACTCGTAGCCTGTTTAACCATTTTTTCCTTCCATCATTTCTCTTCTGAATGACTAACATGAACCCCTTCTGCTCCTGCATCGCCCTTGACATCATCAAGGGCTCCCATTTCCAAGTCTGCCGGCTTTCTCTCCTGCTGCTCCTGGTGTAAGATGTTCATGCCGGCTGGCAATGCCTTCTCAAACTCACGACTGTGCTTCTCAGGCCCAAATGCAGTGGTAATCATAATGCCAGTGGCAATGATCGCCGTTGCGATTCCCATTGTAGGACCGTAGGCATCAACCTTCTTCCCCGAACGGCTAGTGACTGAGTGGCTTTCGGCGATGGCGTTGACAATCTGAGCCGAAGGCGAAGAGATCATGTTGCCAAGTTGATAGGTGATGCCAGGGAAGGATGAACGGAAGGCAGGAGGAGAAAGCTCGTTCAGGTGGATGGGGATGACGCCCCAAGCACCCTGGACGAAAAACTGGAGAAGGAAGCCGGTCGCAGAGAGAGGGCCCCAGCCTTCAGGAAGAATCCAGGCTGGGATCAGCAAGCCGCTCATCAGAGCTGCCAATATGATCGTACGGCGGCGACCGAGCCACTGGGAGATGTAGCCGAGAATAGACCCACCAACACAGGCACCAACCTTCATGATGATACTGGCGCGGCTGGCCTTAGAGTTGTCAAGCTCCTTCTGGGTCAACATGAAAGTCGTGTAACTGTCCTGGGAAGTATGGCTGTAGACTAGAGGCAGTGTTAGCATAGTGGACATCATTGGCCCGTATTACAGCGAGGCTTACAGTTGAACCATGTCAAAAGGAAAATACTATACAGACAGAGCTTCCACTCTTGGGCAAGCATTTGCTTGGTTTCCCTCCAAAAAGCGGAGGCCGGAACGGCAGTCTTCCCGGCTTTGCGGGCCTCAAGGAACTGCTTAGACTCGGGGAAGAAGCATCGGATAATGCCAACGCCGATTGAAATACCAGCTGCGATCCAAAACACAGTCGTCCAGCTCTCATCCCCACCACCCACACCGAGGTTTGCCGAGGCAGCACAAACATAACCCACAGAGTACCCTTGCTGAAGAATGCCTGACATGAGACCGCGAGCATCCTTAGGGCAATTTTCGAGGGACATGGCGACTGCATTGCCGTATCTGAAAACCTGTCAGCATGCACCGGGAACCTTGATTGGCAAAGACGCCTTACACTCCACCCATAAACAGCCCAAATAGGGCCCTCACAGCCAGGAACCGGGAAAATGTTTTGCTATAGATTGTGGCAATCTGCAGAACACCAAGGACAATCATGTTGAACACCATAGGCCACTTCCGACCCCATCTGTCTCCAGCCAGGCCGAACATAGCGGCGCCAACAGATCTCAACAAAAGAGTCAGGGTGATAGCTGTGGAGATCTCCGTCTTCGTCCTGCCATAGTACTTTGCCAGTTTGACCTGCTGAATCGATAAGGCGTGAAAGTCGAAAGCATCGGCTGTCCAGGCACAGAACCCAACAATGAAGAAGAGCCAGTCACGGGGTGAGAGCTGGGCCAGAAGACTGATCGGGTTGCGCAGTGGTGGCGGGGCCACCAACTGGGTGGTCGTCTCTCCGTCGGCATTGGTCACGACGACACGCTGTCTCCAGTGGAATAGGTCGTTCCATGACTGGCGTGCCGTCGCCCATACACCCTTGGCTAGAGGTTCAGAGTGTTGCTTGGTTAAATCCATGGCTGTGGTTTTGTCTCGGGTGGCTGTCCGACACGGGCTGCTCTATTTTCTCCGAGACTCCAAGGGCTCAGTTGGACAGGTATTTACAGTCCAGGAAGGGATCAAGGTACCGGGAAGGGAGAAACAGCGCAGCTGAGGCCTAGGCAATGAAAGCCACAGAACAGTGGTGTTTGATACGAGATGTGTACAAGATTGATATTGAGAAGCGAGTCTTGCTAGGAGAGACCAGGTACTGATGCAGAGCGAACCGTTCGCCCAGCATCTTGTTATCTGCCAAATAGGCGGATGGATGCCTTGCCCTTTATAGTTTCACCATTTGCCCTCCGCGCTCTGCAGGCGGCCAATGGTTCCGAGACCTGGCCATGCTGCGCAACTGAAGTGGTGTTAGTGTTGGCGCCGCTGCTTGCCGGCTCAGCTGCAAACATTTGAACTTTGATGCTGGTATCGGTGGTGTGACCTCGGACAACAAGGGCGTCTCCAACCTGTCAGCGGGGCCCAATCTCCAGAATCCCTGCCTAGGTAGACTCTGCAGACATGTTGCTGTGGGATGAGGAGGATGGTTAGGATGGAGAGAGTGTGATGCAGGCGTCACGTTGGTGACCAACAGAGTCGCGGAGTTCCGGGGAGACAGGGATCCTTGTTCTTGGCTTTGAAGAGCCTCGTACTGGCTTGCACCAAGCCCGCCAAGACTGCGGCGTGGCTTGCCAGGCCGGCTTGGCAGATGCTTGATTCCTGCCAAGAAACCAAGTGATAGTCAGCCTTATCCTTGCCAAGTCAAACTGTTCCCCACGCTAACTTATCAACTGCCGATCGAGGTTGGCCCCTCTTCTACATGGTCTGATTGCACACAGAGACTTCGAATAGCGGCATCTTGTCCCTAGCCTCGTATATTCTTGTAAGGTCTGGAAGGGTTACAGGCAGTCGAAAAACTGTAGAAAAGGTGGTTGAGGACGTTTCGCATTTCACAAACACCAGCACAGCAGCCTAACTTCCTGTCTTAACTTCTTCCCATGGAGTATGCGCATTGACAGCTCTGCAAGCAAGAATTGTGCCCAGATTTTGTCTACAAGGGTGACATGGAGATAGGCCTTTGATCTCAAAGCGGCTTAACTCTTCACTTGGCATGCTGACAATAATCTACCGCACTCTAAGGAGTATACTTTCATCTTGTCCCGAGGTTCATTCTTTCAAGACGGGCAAGCGGAGGTCAAAACATGGGATAAAACCGTTAATCTTTGCAGGGCCCAGGGGAAGCCAGCAGAAACATCCAGGCTTTCTTCCGAAGTTCTGACCGACAGTAGCTCTCCCCATGGTTGAAAGCTGCGGGGGAAGTTCTTGCTATAACACCATGTGTGGAGGTGTCCACAGTCCACGCCGTGGTGTCTCCTCGTTCTCACCCATTCATTTTCTAGATCCAGCATATCCATTGGTGGCCTTGGTGGAGAGCTGCCGGCCCCTTGCGCATAGGTTCGGGAATCCTTCGAAGCTAACAAAACCTAACACCGTCCATGATGGAGCCCATGATAAGGAAGTCGCCGTGAGCCGTTCACGTGATGCAACATAACTTTTTTTCTGTCTAGTGTTCTCACTGCCGTCAATCACTCCCGGCGGACAATCTACTGGCGCCAATAACAAGGGGCTCTGCAGCTCAATGCATGCTAGCCCTATCACATGTCTCCTTTGGATTCACAACGCAAAACTGCCACTAACTTGCTGCCACAACAAGCATATATTTTCCGGAGACAGTTCGGAATTGCTTCGGGGTGCCGAGGGAGAAGACAAAAATCTCCGGTAGCATCCCTCTCCAGGACAGGGTCAAGGAGCCTTTCAGCTTTGGAGAGAGTTTCCCCTGTTAAGTTTCATGATCTAACGAGCTGAATGAGATCAACTCAACCTAAAAGCAGTGATTTGAGCCTTTTGACTCTTGCAAATAATGCAGCTCAACGTGGCAAGTATGTTTAGGTGAGAGTGTAGTAAACAAGGTCACGATGACCACCTGTTTACCTGCTAATACTTCAGTGCTGGATCACTAGCCCCATATCTGTTGGTTGGTTTTCTTTCTTCCTCGTTGGATTTTCTCTCCTTGAAGGGCCTCATTTTCTGACGTAGCTTTTCAATGTACAAGAAAAACTTGCTTTCAGCGCTTTCATTGCTGCCTTTCCTTGCGTGAAAACAATAGTTAACTCTTTGGATATGGAAAGAAGAAACTGATAATAGGAGATGAAGGAGGATGTTGGGCTGACCGGGATACCTTGACTGACATAGTTTGCATTGTGCTTGCCGGCCTGCCGAAAGAGCTTAACAAAAGATTAAACTTGGATATAGTTGTGGAATTCCATTGAAAAGTCAAGACCGATATAGCTGTTGCAGCTCTATTCTCAATAAAGCCATACCATTGGTCGCCTTGGATGTGATGTATCTGTCAACACTCCCTTTCTTCTTAATCACATATCACACTCATGTCGATTACCTCATCAATGTCTAGTTAATGAGTGGCTTCAGCAGTTAGTATGTTGAGTATCTTGAAACATATTGGTAAATAGCTCCGATTGAAGTAGGTTTGTCATTTGTCTGCCAATGTTCCAGATTGTTCCTATGTCTGGCACCATGCATCTGCGCTATCGACTATCACCTCACTTGTTTACTGCTCTGGTTGTGCTTGTTTGACCAAGATGCAAGACTTTATGCAGTTTATTCCGTAGAATTGCCATATCGCTTGCATGGTATTCGCATGAGATGCAAGATCAGGATAATGCCTGGGCAGCTTAGCCGTTAGGACCCCGAATTGAAACGACACAGCCTCGATCTTCCCCGATCTTCAGCATGCCAGATCTTGAACGATATGGAACGCGCAGTTATCTCAAAGCCAGCCCAGGCTCAAAATTCATGATTCTGATGGTAAATCGCAGAGATATTTCCTTGTCACTCTGAAATGGTTGCTTAAGAGTCCTTCCATCCACTTGAAGTTGACTTTACCCTCCACGGTTGACATAGCGGCGGATATCGATGGTGCTGTTTGAGCAGAGAATGGGTTATTGACTTCAGAGAGACTCCAATCTTCTCTAATATCACTTCAATCTGACGATGCTGGACCTCAGCCTTCCACATCTTTCCAGAAAGCCTGTACTTTATGACTCAGGGGTTGATAACCGCTGAACCTTCGAAATGTTGTTGACAACTCCTGCAACACATGCTCTCATTTCTAATCCCACAGAATCACTCCAAGTTAGCATCACTGCCTGCACCGCCATCACATGGGTTACCGCAGCCGTCTTCGTGATTCTGCGCTTCTACACTAGAGGACAGCTTCTCTGAAACATCCTGGGTTTGGAAGACTGGTGCATACTGGTTGCGTTAGGGTTTTCAGGGGCAAATGTGCTGGGATGATTCGACGTGAATACGCACAGTGTTGAGAAGGGTGATATGAGGTAAAAGACATACTGACTGGTCATAAAGAAGTTGTGTATGGCCTTGGGAAGCAATTCTTTGATGTCAACCTGACTGTTTGTTCCATTTACCAAGGTAAAGGGAACCTCTCTCATAACCCTTTCAAGACCTGACTAGCCGCTTCTAATAGATGGGCTGGTACACCATTTTATGGTATATGCTCTCACTTCTCTTTACCAACATCTCCATTTGCCTACTATACTTACGCATCCTACGCTGTCAGCATGCTTGCCACGCCCTTTATGGTATTCTTATAATTGTTGTTGCCACCAATGGTGCCTGGACACTAGCGACGGTAGTGACAGCCTGTTAACCCCTTTAAAGCTGTTTGACAGCTTGAGATGCTCTTGACTTCAGGAAGCAAAGCTTCATGCCGACCAATGGGTGTTGGTTGGCTCATACGGCTTTGCATATCGCAATAGATATGCTGCTCTATTTGCTGCCATTGCCCGTGATTCTCAAATTGAAGGTAAAGACAAGGCAGTAATTGGGCTTATATGCTGTCCTGATACTAGGCTTCGGGTATGTCTGGGGGTTTTCATATGGCCTTATCCACATGAACTGTGCTATCCTGGGGAAACGGACGGGCTGCCTTATATCTTGCGTCCACCTTTGGAACCTCGTCCAACAGCCGAAGCGTGCCGACTTCACCGATGACAACGTGGGCATTTCACTCTTGACAACACTCGAGATCAACACAGCTATTGCTTGTGCATCTGTGTAACCCTGAGAGCGCTCGCAGCAAGACTCTTTCCCCGAGGACGGGGAGTCATTCTAGCTCCTTTTCCTCCTTTCCCACCCGTCCCCCATTCTTCTCCACAAAAACCAACGAATCGACCCCCATCACTTCCAAAATCACCAGAAACTCTTGTATCTTCTCTCTCGCCCTCGTACCAGAAACATGTGGCAGAGTCAGCTTCTAGGTAACAATGGGCAACTGGGGGGATGCTTGCAAGACTAACACGAGCTATTGAATGGCGTCGTGGAAGTAGCACAGGCTTCAGCGACGATATCGAAGCCCAAGTTGAAGGAAACTGGCGCCAAAATATTGGTGGCAATGAAGCTCCTCCAACAATTGGCTCTGGCCGTCAAGGGTGGCGAACAAAGAAGTAGGGAAGGCATTGTCAGGGTTTCTGGACCATAAGAGCGACCACAACACCAAATTTGTGTACTCACGGGTGGTTGGACGGTTTATGCTGGCTGAAAACGCGATAGGAGATCAAGCGACAAACCTGCATATGAGGAGCGAGGAAAATTGGCACGTGACTTCGCAAAATCTCGATATCGCTGAAGATGATAATCCTGAGCTTGAGAGGACGTACTGCTTCAACACATTGTTATTCTGGGGAAATGGACAGATAATAATCAACAGCAAACCAGTTGTAATTATCACAACGCCACAACCTGCTTACGAAAAAACATATATCATTGTTTTCATTTCCAGAAATGCCATTAAATGCTTTAAGGCATTCAGTACTCTCATCACCAGCTTATTCATAACGTAGCGCATACATTCTGAGTGACAATCTCAGCAAGGCCTATTAAATCCATTAGCAAACTGCGTCTAAGTAGATAGACTTGAAAAGAGGGAACAGTACCTCCGAAGAAGAGGCCCCCTTTCCTCCCACATGTTCACGGCTGAACCTGACAACAGCCGCTCCTGGATTTGCAGGCATCCCTTGCCTAAGCTAATTGTGAACTTGAATAAGGCCCACTGACCGAAACCGCTTAAGAAATGAGGTCCGCAACATTCATGGGCATTTCATCGATCTGAGTAGAGTAGTATACTGGAAATAATTAGCTGGGTTCACAGTAAAATGCACTGAGACTGAACGCTTACGTTCGATATCTCGGAGAATCCGGACGTCCTCGCTTGTCACAAAATTAATAGCAACGCCCTTGCGACCGAATCTGCCGGAACGGCCGATACGGTGGATATAGTTTTCACGGTTGCTTGGCAGGTCGTAGTTGATGACCAAGCTAACCTGCTGCACATCGATACCACGGGCCCAAACGTCAGTCGAAATCAGCACTCGGCTATTGCCTTGTCTGAAATCCTGCATAATAGCGTCGCGCTCCTTTTGCGGCATGTCACCATGCATACTGCTGACCGTAAAATTGGCCTCGCGCATTTTCTCCGTCAGCCAATCAACCTTCCGGCGAGTGTTGCAAAAGATGACAGCTTGTGTGATAGTCAGAGTGTCGTAAAGATCACAGAGAGTATCGAACTTCCATTCTTCCTTCTCGACAGCGATGAAGTATTGCTTCAGACCTTCGAGGGTCAACTCATCACGCTTGACGAGAATGCGGACGGGATCCGTCATGAACTTGGTCGTCATCTCGAGCACGTCGTACGGCAAAGTAGCCGAGACGACCACAACTTGAGTCGCCGGCGGCAAATAGCGATAGACATCATAAATCTGCTCTCGGAACCCCTGATTTAGCAGCTCATCGGCTTCGTCGAGTACCAGCATCTTGATGTGCCGTGTCCGGAGATGGCGACGGCGGATCATGTCAGCAACCCGACCTGGCGTGCCAGACACAATATGTTGGCCGTAGTCGAGTTTCCGAATATCCTCCCCGACATTGGTGCCACCAATGCAGGCGTGGCACTGCACATTCATATAGTCGCCAAGGGCCATAACGACATTTTGAATCTGAGTCGCAAGTTCGCGAGTGGGAGAGAGGACAAGTGCCTGGGTCTCGCGCACAGCCGTATCGATGACCTGAAGCATGGCGATCGAGAAAGTCGCGGTTTTACCCGTACCAGACTGGGCCTGGGCGATGGTATCACGGCCCTTGCAAATCTGCACAATGGCACGCGACTGAATGGCGGATGGAGACTCGTAGCCATAGGCGTAGATACCACGAAGAAGGCTCTCTAAATCAAAAAGTAAGTAAGAGCCAGACAAAAAAGACGATGAGAAATCGAGAGAGCTTACCCTTCAAGTTCATGGACTCGAAGGTCGGATGGACTGTGACCTCTTTTGAGGTCGTAAATTGAATCTTCTCATCCGCTTTGCGGTCAATGCCTCCTTCGACCATCTTGTATTATGTGCGTATGCTAGTAAGGCAAAAAACTTGTGTAGTTTGGTTGGCCTGGAGGAGGGGGTAAGCTGGGGATGAGCAACTCTACTTCGTCGTGGTCTAGTGAAGTCGATGAGGCGAATCGGAGGACAAAAATCGAGTGGGCCTAGAGTTGCAGAGCACGAGCTTTGGGCCCACAGACCCACTTTGTTTTGACGTCGCTTCACAGTGATAATGTACTGTATGGACTACTGTGAGTGCACGGCCCAAGACTTTTGGACGCGTTTTGCACGCCGGTCCTCCTGCGTCAGAAACACGGCAGTTCTGGAGAAGTGGGACTGGTGCTCGTTCAGCTGACAACACCAGCGCATCTACAAGTTTATTGTCAACTCTTGGGTTACTTCAATCTCGAACCTCAATATATCATCGATACCCCCATTTTCCCCTAAAGTGGACAAGCAGAGCATCTTCTATCATGATTGTCGAGGATCAAAGATTTATCCACGAGGACCTGGAGCGCCTCGAACAGGGCATTGCTGATCGCATGCTCGAAGAGCCCAAAAATGTGAGTCCAAGGATATTGGAGTGTACGCAATTATTCCTTGAGACAGACGCTGATCATTGGATAGATTCGTGACCGTCTCAATAGAGATCACGAAGTCGCCCAGTTATTAGATCAGATTCAGCGCCAATCCGCAGATCTGCTGCCCCTTTACGAGGATAAGAACGGTCTCCGGTCAAAAGAGATCCTCCAAATCAGTTCAGGGGATCCGTTTGAAGAGTTCTACCGCCAATTGTCACGCATCAAGGACCATCACGCACGGTATCCAAACGAGCAAGCCGAGAACCCAGAGCAGTGGTACCGCCCACGAAAGAATGACGAACAACACCCATACATTGTGGACAATCTGTTCACTGGCGAAGAAGCATTTGGCCGATTCTTCGATCTACACGCGTGCCATGAGCTCTTTCTGAACCTTCCGAACGTGAAGCGCCATGGGTACATGCAGTACCTCGAAGTTTTCGATGATTTCCAGCCGGGCAAGGGCGGTGTGAAGCGCGCTGACAAATTGACGGATCAATACTTCCGATATCTCGGCGAGCTGATGGATTATCTCGAGTCATTTATGCGTCGGACTAGGCCCCTCGAGAATCTCGATAAAGTCTTCGACGGTTGGCAGAAGGAGTTCGAGACCGCATGGGAGAAGGATGAAGTGCCCGGGTGGCAGAAGGAGTCCAAAGCCAAGATCAATGCTTCAGCACGAACTTTGAGCACGCCAGAAGCTGTCTGGTGCGAGGCGTGTGAAAAGGAGTTCAAAAATGAGAATGTCTACAAGGGTCACTTGAACGGCCGGAAGCACATCAAGGCAGTTGAACTACTGGCTAAACGGGAAGAAACTCCTGAAGATACCCCAGACGGCCTCCTTGCCAAGACCGCTCACCGGTTACGAGAGCGCGCTGTTGCAGAGAGAGAGCTCCGCATCAAAAAGCTGGTCAACGCCATGAAAGTTGAGCGTGACGATACGCGGGTGAACGTGGAGCGCAGGCAAGGCATGACAGAGCGCGAACGGCAACAGGAACTTGAAAACTTCTACAACATGATGTCAGGATCGGCAAATAAGGATGACAAGGATGAGAAGGAAGAAGGCGAGGAAAAGCTCTACAACCCGCTCAAGTTGCCGCTTGCCTGGGATGGCAAACCCATCCCGTTTTGGCTCTACCGGTTACACGGCTTAGGTCAAGAGTTCCCGTGCGAGATCTGCGGTAATTTTGTCTACCGTGGCCGACGTGCCTTTGACAAGCACTTCAACGAGACCAACCACATCACAAATCTTAAGAGGCTCGGCATCACCGAGACTTATCTCTTTCGCGATATTACGTCTATTGAAGAGGCTCTTAGACTGTGGGAAAAGATTCAGAGAGACAGAAAAGCGAAGGAAGTTGATGATGGGGCAATCGTGCAAATGGAGGATGCTGAAGGAAATGTCATGCCAGAGAAGGTTTACCTTGATCTTCAGAAGCAAGGACTACTCTGAAGCGCGGCGTAGATAACTTCCGCCGATTGCTTTGACTGTGGCATAAGGTTTAGGTATTGTAGTTCCTGAAAGATTTATTCGATGTATGGATAGATCAAGCTGATACCCAGCGCGAGTTTCTGTTACCTATTTCTGGCATTTTGTACTTATTCCTCTTTTTGCGTTCAATGTGATAACGATATCCATACTCGTAGCAACCTGGAGCAAAGCTGAAACCTCGCCTTCAGCCGTTGAGTCTTGGCGCGCAGTGCCAAGCCCAGGTATATTGGCTCCACTCGGCGGAGCATAACCTGGAATCTTGCTCGTCGCTTAGACAGCAAACTGGCACACACCCTCTTACAAAGTAAACATGAGAAAGAACAAGAAAACTTGCATACGACATGCATTAGCATCATTAATAACATATTCTGGTGAACTCGAAACAAGTATTGGGAAAAAAATAATTGCCGTTTCGAAACGAGAAGACTTTCAACGTGCTGGACCAAGCTTCTCGCTTCTCCAGAACCCAGGCCATGTAAACGACAGACACCATGGTGATTCAATGCAAACCGATTCCGGCACTCTACACTGTATACATCCTCCGATCTACAGTTCGCCATGCCTCATTATACATCGGCTCAACGCCAAACCCGCCACGGCGATTGAGCCAACACAATGGGCTTGTGCGAGGCGGCGCGGCCAAGACATCGCGATACAATCTGCGCCCATGGGAAATGATTGGCCTGGTATCTGGATTTCCGAGCGCGATAGCTGCGCTTAAGTTTGAGTATGTTCATGCTCCAACCCATTAAGTTAGATTTTACTGACATGCTATGCGCGAAAGGTGGGCTCTCACGAACCCTCATGTCTCAGTACACATCCCGTCAGAATCCCGCATTTCAATTTCCACTCAACGTAAATCCAATGGCCAGCCACGCCGACCGCCGCGCAGCTTGGCCTCAGTGCTGGCAAATCTTCATCTATTGCTACGAGTACCGAGCTTTGTTCGATGGCCACTGCGCCTGCATATCTTCAATCGCGAGGTGTATCGTGCATGGCTGAAAGCGTGCCAGAACGCAACCGGGCCGCTTCGTCCGGACTTCGAGGTGGCTACTAGCTTTAGGAATCGGTCGCTTCTCGAAAAAGTTTCGAAAATTGGGCAAGGCACAGAGGCTCGCGAGGAAGATGATGTTGATGTCTTGAAGACGGTGACGGAGATGCCCGGCATCCATACATTACCTTTGGATTACGAACCAATTAGAGATTACGTGGCAAAGGGTCAAGAAATCTTTGAATTTGAGCGTCAGGGCAAATGTGTCGTCTGTCACGAGGACCTGGTCCCTTCGGAAGAAGGCAAGAAGGACAAGGGAAAAGGGGAGGGAGCGTCTGGAGCAAAGGGAGGAGCCCTGCAAGCTGTGTGCAGCAATCCCGGATGCGACGCGGTCGGGCACCTGACGTGTTGGAGCCGACATCTCATCGAATCCTCGGGCGAGACTGGCAGCGGTTGCATTATTCCAATCCGCGGGCGGTGTCCCAAGTGTAATGGCAAGGTGCTGTGGGGTGACATGATGAAGGAACTGACTCTGAGGGTTAGGGGAAAGGAAGAGGTGGAGAAGCTGCTCAAGCGGAAGCAGAGAGGAGGTGGGAGAAAGAAAACAAAGCAATCGTTTTCTGAAGAGGATGAATGAGAGAGGATTGCTATGGGCCAGAGTCTTGTATTCTCGTCAAGATGGACCTCTTTGAGGTGAAATGGCATTGGCAGTGTTTCAGGTGACGGCGTTCATTAGGGCATGGCGTTGAGTTCAATGGACCACAGTCTCACACACATATTCTGGTTCTTTTTGCGTTGTCCTGAGTTTAACTGCCAGCAGTTTGTATGTGTCAACAGATCTGCAAGTACATAACAATCGCCATACACCAGTAGTTGATCATAGACAAGTATGTCATAAGTTATGGCATATTGAGGACCTCAAGCAATTCCATATTAACCAAGTGAAGTTACAAATACGGCACATGCTTCCCGGAAACTGCGGATCAATAAAAGCTGATTTTTCTGGTTGCGCAGCCAGGACCCCACTCATCAGCTGGGTCCGCAAGCCCGGCTCCCCATACTTTTCCAACGTCGTGTCGTGTTTGATTGGCTGCCCAGCTATCTCCCCAGCCAATATCAGATCTGGCTCTCAATGACAACTGCACCGCTTCTCTCTGGGGCAAGACCATGACTTATTTTGGTTCATATAGAGCCCCAAGTTCATGGCTCTTTATGGGTACATGCGAAAAAACGTCATGCAACAATCAGCTTACTAGCCGATCCACTGGAAAATATAGGAATTTGGCGGTAGTAGACAAGATGTTCCAAAAGCTTGCAGATGACAAAGGGTTGAGGAACCTGTGTACATACGTGCCTGCATTAGAGAATTTTCTGAGGCTGTCCAATGGAAGATGAGAGGCAGAAAAACTTACCCTCAATTCGGACCATGTTCCAGCTGCCATCAACAGAGTCCATAACAATTCCATTCAAAACAGGCACTCGGACCTGTTGCGGTTCCCTCACATAGTTGAGAAGCGCGACGTATTGGTTGAGTTTTGCCTTAATCGTCATTGATAACGTGTTCCAAAATGTCGGTGCGTCTAGGAGGCTCCAAAACAATCCCGATGCAGTTTGTCCAGGCACATGACCTGACCAGATAAGGCACTCATGGTCCAGAGTAGACAAACCAGCCCAAGGCTGGAAGTCGGTTATGGTGTTGTGATGTCTTGTGCACCATGCATGATCCCCAGGCTGCCCAGACTGCATGGACCCACTTTTATTCCGATGTCCAAACGTCAAGTGCGCTCCTGGAGTTGTGACCCACTCGCTGGTGGCCCTGTCGCTTGGCTCCATGTCTCTGCTGCGAGCGCGTGGGTTTGCGCCTCCCCAGCCTGGAGGTCTTCCGCAGCAGGTCGTCCCGACCACTGCCGTAATGCCGCCTTCCTGCTGTCTCCGGCACTCCCATGACCCTCCACCCACTGTCCACCGTTCATCCACTCAGTCTCACACCCTGTTGTATTCTGCGCACCCTGGCCCATCTGTCATTCTCTTTCCTTGTGCTCTCGGCCCTCTCTTCCATCTTCAAGTCTCTTCAGATTTTGTCTACACACACTCCTCCACTTCTACCACTTCCCTTCCTGTTTGACTGATATCTGGTATATGGCCATGTCTTCGTTGATGCGCGATTGACTACGCCTGTGCCAGCATCTGCATGCCTCATTTTGTGCAGCTATCAACCTCATCATCCCTACGCCCGTGGCAGAGCGAACTTCGGTCTTATGGTATGCGTCTCTCCTGCTTCATTAGCCTTGAAAAGCACGCGTCATTTCCACGACACGCTCTGCTGGGAGTACCACCTGCCCTTCGTCTCGTCTGTTGCATCCACGAGCCCGAATCCCTTTCCCAGACCGAGCCTGCTGCTATATCATTTTTTTTCAAGCCCGACAGCTAACGGCTCGCTCCTCTCCTAATCTGCAGAAACCGAGTTGTCTTGCCATGCAACCAGCAGGTCTCTGACTGAATACCCCTTGTATCGCCAATCCCCCTCCACGCGAACTTCACCCAAGCACATCACGGTTCGCAGTTCCAAGTTGATCACAGATTTTGCGTCCTGAAAGTGCGCATTCCGACAGCTGATATCGCAACCCCTTCCGCTTTTCAACTCACCAAATCAAGCCGGGAGGGGGTTCGACGACCTGTGCAATCATGAGGGGATCTTCTAACCTAGCCCCTCCGGCCGCCCTCACAGGCGGCGCAAAGAAGAATTCGCAAGCCAACCCAAATGGGTCGCAGCCGTCCAAACCACAGCCTCCCCTTAGCTCGCTTCGAAGCCCTCCGCTTGACCTTAATACGGTTGAACGGCGTGGTGGCCCCAATGCATGCCCCGAACCCCCAGCAAAGAAGAATCGCCCACATGGCCTGCAAGAGGCTCCAACGTACCGACCGACTGAGGAGGAGTGGAAAGAGCCTTTCGAGTATATCAAGAAGATCGCTCCGGAGGCTCGTCAATACGGCCTCTGCAAAATCATCCCCCCAGACTCATGGAATCCCCCTTTTGCAATCGATACAGAGGTGAGCAGATTCAAGCGATGTCTATCTTGCTCGTCGCGCCTTCCGGATCGCCATTGTTTCCTTCACGAATATCTGAAAGCTCTGCGCTGGCTCCGCTCGCCAGCTAAATCGTGTGGGTTACATGGTTGTGTAACAGTCACTAACGATGACAATTACAGAGATTCCATTTTCGAACTCGCAAACAGGAATTGAACTCTGTAGAGGGCAGTAAGTTCCCCCATCGTGTGTCCACACCAACCATTTTGCAAGAGCACTGAAACTGACGCTCTTGTGTTAGGTACCCGTGCGAACCTTTCGTACCTCGATGCCTTAGCCAAGTTTCACAAGCAGCAGGGGACTAATCTCACACGTTGGCCCTATGTTGACAAGAAGCCCCTCGACCTCTATCGGCTGAAAAAGGCCGTTGAGGCACGTGGTGGCTTTGAGAAGGTTTGTAAACTCAAAAAGTGGGCTGAAATTGGTCGCGATCTTGGTTACAGCGGCAAGATCATGTCTTCCTTGTCAACCTCTCTGAAAAATTCTTACCAGAAGTGGCTTTGTCCGTATGAGGAGTATCTTCGGATGGCTAAGCCTGGCGTCCATCAACAACTTGAATTGGAGTATGGTGGACCTTTGACTCCCAGCCCCGTGCCAACCCCAATTAAGCGAGCTAGCGCGCAGTCCTCATCGAGTGCCGACTCGTCTGGCAAGCAGGCTCCGGATACAGATGTCAACGCAAAGGACAAGGACCGGGATGTCATTATGACGGATGCCCCTTCTACTTCGAATAGCACATCTGGTTTCACGGCCATCAATCGCCCCACTGGCCCTTCGTCTTCCGAAGATAAGAGTATTTCAGCTTCGAAGCCGCAAGGCACATCTGGTGTTAAGCGCCAGCTGAGCTGCGACAGTCAGGATTCGTCGAAGAGGGATTCGGGCGACAAGGACGAGGGCGAAAACGGAAGTAGGAGGAGCAAGAGACTCAAGAAGGGTAGGTTCTCCTTTATCCCAGCTGTATGCGCATTTGACTGTTTATTAACAACCCAACTACAGACACCGTTCCTACTGTTGCTGGGTCCCACATGTCTCTGTTCCGCACACCGGTGCCCCGAGTTCCCAGAGATGAAACAGTAGCGCCCGGAGAGCGATGCGAGCAGTGCGGCAAGGGTGCTGAAGAAGGCTCTCTAATCCTCATTTGCGAATCTTGTGACCACGGCTATCATGGCACATGTCTCGACCCTCCGATTCGGGTGAAGCCAGAAACCGAGTGGAACTGCCCCCGCTGCCTGGTTGGCGATGGTCAGTTTGGCTTCGAGGAGGGTGGCCTGTACTCACTGAAGCAATTCCAGGACAAAGCCAACGAGTTCAAGCAAAGCTACTTTGAGAAGAAAGCCCTTGTCGATCCCGTTACTGGAGAGCCTCGTCCGGTTACGGAGGACGATGTTGAGCAGGAATTTTGGCGCCTCGTTGCCGATCTGGAGGAGACTGTGGAAGTGGAATATGGTGCCGACATCCACTGCACTACCCACGGCTCTGGATTTCCTACCATCGAGAAATTCCCAGATAACCCTTACTCTACCGATCCATGGAACCTGAACCTGCTCCCGCTGCACCCTGACAGTCTGTTCCGGCATATCAAGTCCGATATCTCTGGGATGACCGTTCCCTGGGTTTACGTCGGCATGATCTTTTCGACCTTTTGCTGGCACAACGAGGACCACTACTCCTACTCGGCTAATTACCAGCATTTTGGCGCCACCAAGACGTGGTATGGAATCCCCGGAGACGATGCAGAGAAGTTCGAAAAGGCCATGCGTGAGGCGGTCCCCGAGCTCTTCGAGACGCAGCCAGACCTTCTCTTCCAGCTCGTTACCCTACTCACTCCCGAACAGCTCAAAAAGGCTGGTGTCCGTGTCTATGCTCTTGACCAACGAGCTGGTCAATTCGTGATCACTTTCCCTCAAGCCTATCATGCCGGCTTTAACCACGGATTCAATTTCAACGAGGCGGTCAATTTCGCCCCTGCGGACTGGGAGCCATATGGCTTGGCAGGTGTCGAGAGGCTGCAGCTGTTCCGGCGCCAGCCTTGCTTCTCTCACGACGAGCTCCTGTGGACTGCAGCCGAGGGGATCACTAGCGGCGGGCTCAGCATCCAAACCGCTAAGTGGCTTGCGCCTGCGCTGGAAAGGATTCACAAACGAGAGCTTGATCAACGGGAGGATTTTATCGCTAAGCACGATTTTATCGCCAAGCATCTCGATGCGAAACATCCAGCCCAGCACCACCGTTGTGTCTTCAACGGAGAGGGCAATGATGAATGTCCGATGACATTCAGAGTCGATGATGCTGATGTTCCAGAGGAGGAGTATGGGTGCTTTTACTGTAAGGCCTTCACCTACCTCTCCAGATTTATCTGTCTCAAGACCGGCAAGGTGCTTTGTCTCCTCCACGCTGGCAACCATCCGTGCTGCGATTTACAAGAGTCGGATCGGTACCTTGGCAAGGAACACGCACTCTACTACCGCAAATCTAATGAAGCCATCCACATGATGACAAAGAAGGTGTCCGACAAGGCTCGCGTTCCCGAGACCTGGGAGGAGAAGTATGAAAAACTCTTGGATGAAGAGGCGACCCCGTCGCTGAAGGCACTGCGCAATCTCCTCAGCGAGGGCGAGAAGATCCCTTGGGAGCTTCCATCCTTGCCTGTTCTCAGGTCTTTCGTTGAACGCTGCAACCATTGGGTCGAGGAGGCATCATTTTATACCGTACGCAAGCAGCAAAACCGCCGCAAGAACGAGAAGGCTTGGCAATCTGGGGCTCGGAAGTCTGTTGGCAGTGCAGTGCAAGATCAAAAAGAGCGGGAGATGCGCAACCTTGCCAACATCGACCGTCTTCTTCATGAGGCCGAATTGCTCGGGTTTGATACAACAGAGATCGGACAGCTTCGGGAACGTGCTGAAGCTATCAAGACCTTTCGTGAGGTGGCTCGGCAGCTCCTTGAACACCGCCCATCGCATTCCATCCCTGCCGTCGAAAAGCTGCTGGAAGAGGGCCAGAGTTTCAACGTCGACATTCCTGAAGTAGAGAAGCTTTCACATCTCCTTGATCAACTTCAGTGGAACGAAAAGGCCAGCAGCAGGAGAGGCACCTTTATGACCCTCCAGGAGGTAAGAGAGCTTATCGAAGAGGGTCGTCGACTTAATATTCCCCCATACAACGACCACCTTGCATTCTATGGCGAGCAATATAATGCTGGTTACATGTGGGACAAGAAGGTTCAGGAGATCATCAATGCCGAGTCGATCCATTATCCCCAGCTCCAAGCCCTTGCGGATCAGGTGCGGAGCAATAACTGGCCTGTGTCACCAGAAATCATGGAACGCGTGGATCAGATTCTTCACAAACAACGCGAGGCTCATCGCCAGGTCATGGACCTGAACCAGCGCTGCCAAGACCCTGACTACCGAAAGAGGCCAAGATACTCTGAAGTTGTTGAGGTGATGAAAAAAATCGAAGAGCTGCAAGCCAAACCTGCGGGTACCCATGAACTCGAGAAGGAGCAAAAAAGGCATGAAGATTGGATGCGCAAAGGGAAGAAGCTCTTTGGCAAGACTAATGCCCCGCTTCACATCCTCAAGAGCCATATGGACTACGTCCTCGACCGAAACCTTGACTGCTTCGACATCGAACACGACAAGCCGCGTGTTCCAGCGGAGCCTGCATCCAGGGAGCCGAGCCCAGATGGAGAGAAGGGACGCTTCGAGGACAAATTCCGTGAAGTGTTCTGCATCTGTCGTCGGACAGAGGCAGGTATGATGATTGAATGTGAACTCTGCCATGAATGGTATCATGGCAAGTGTCTCAAGATTGCCCGCGGCAAGGTCAAGGAGGACGACAAATACACCTGCCCAATTTGCGACTGGCGCGTCAAGATTCCCCGTGATGCCGCTCGCCCTAAGCTGGAAGATCTTATGGCTTGGCGGGACGAAATCCCGACCCTGCCATTCCGGCCTGAGGAAGAGGAAGTCTTGAACAAAATCATCGAAAACGCCTCCGCCTTCCGCCATCATATTGCTCGGTATTGCAACCCACTTGTGACGACACCATCCGAGGTTGACACCCAGAGATTCTATCTTCGGAAGATTGAAGGTGCTGAGATCTTGTTGGCGTACGAAACCAACTTCTTCCGGCAAGAGCTGCACAAGTGGAGCCCCGTCGCTCCCGAGCCGCCGCCAATTCTGGAGGTATCGAAGAGCACTCGCAAGCCGCGGCCGACGAAGCTGCAGAAGATGCTTGCCCAATATGGCGTGACTGACATTGACGAACTCCCCGAGAGTGTGAGGGGCAAAGCAAGCAGTCTCAAGCGCAAAGCACTCATGCATGCTGAGAACGAGGCTAATCAGTCTGGGAGCTCAAGTTCGATGTCAATGCTGGGAAGCTCCAGCTATGGTCAGCATCCTTATTTCACGCACAACCCATCTGCCCAAGCGGGAAGCTCCAGTATCTCGCAGATATCTCAATCTAGCCCCGCTAATAAATCAGGCGAGTCATCAGCTTCGTCCCACAACCAGCAACTCGGCGGGGGAGCTCGGCCCGAGCCAGGCTCTTCCTCGTCTCTCCTCCGTCCCGACTCCACTACGACCCACCCCTCCTCGTTCAACCCTCATGATGACCATGCAGGCCCGCAGCTTGTCTCTTCTGGCGACCTGATGCATGAGCTCGAGGAACGACTTCTCCGCGGCGCTTTCGATGACATTGACGAAAAACTCAGCGCTGCCCTGTCTACGCCCGCAGGAAAGGCACGTGTATTGGAGATCCTCTCGCGCACCGAGGAAGGCCGTCGTCGGGCCGAGGAATTGTTTGGCCACGATGTCTGGGCCAGCGACCGCAACAGCGACCATCATCGAGCTGCCGACCGGCCCGCAGTAGCGCCAATGAGTCGGGATAATGACCCGATCGGGATTGGCGTGGGTGCCAACGAAGGTGATGGCGACGACAGCATGTTTGTGGATTTCAATCAAGAAGATGAAGATGAAAAAAAGACCAGGGAGAACAGTGAACAACATAATTGTCAAGAGCATGATCAGGACCAGCAAGCGCTGGCGGTGGCTAACGAAGCAGCTGCCACGTCGACAGCTAGGGAGATGCTGGATGAGCATCATCGCGGCTCTGAGGCAGCTGCATTGATGGATGCGGCTTCTTCTGGGAAGGAGTAGACATTGGTTCGGTTTTTTTACATTGGGGTGTAGATAAAAGAATATTGGGATTGGGGTTTTCGGCTCTTTGTGGGTGGTTCGTTTTTGCCTGGATTAGGATGGCTGGCTAGCGTGGGCATTTGGGCATGGAAGGGGGTTTGTCTTACGACATGTTCTGGGTTCTTTTCTTTGCGTCTTTAATTTTCTGGTACTTAATTCCTCGATGAGAGGAGTGGGAGTGAGAAAGTTGACGAGACTTTGGGTCTTATTACTTCTCCGTCTTTTTCCTTTCCTTTTCTTTCTTTTTTTTTTTGCCATAATAACCTGTTTCCTTGTTTCCAGTGCCAGCAGCCGATATTTATGTACCATATCTTGTAACTTCCTTTTTCATGGGAGGGATACGATGGGATAGGCCTTGGGACTGGCCAGAGTTAGGAAGACAGAGGAAAAGGAATGTGTACGATGGAAAGGACGTCATGGTTTTTGATATTCCCACTAGTGCTCCATCGGCAACGTTGAGGTACCTACCTACCTACCTGTCTGCTTTGGTAGTAGAACCTGAGAGAAAAAAACACCAAAAGCTTTCTGCGGGTGTTGCCATGCTTGTTCGGGAATGTGAGATATCTAGGCTGCTCAGCTGCCGATCGCTATCAGTACCTTCTGGGAGCACAGGAACTTCGTATCAACAAGACAACGTCCCACCAAAGCAGCAATTCGTGCGCCGAACATCTGATCAGTCGATGCGTTGGACGATGCGATTTCTTGCTTGGACTGGGTCCAGGTATCAGGGTCCAACCTGTTTGCGAGGAGAAAACATGGGATGATGTTGCAAACTGGGGGCAGGGGATGCTTGTTGTCAACAACAGATCGATCTTCGCTATCTCTTGGCTACCCTGTTGGATGGGGAACGTTGACTTCCATCCGTCGTCAGGAGGGGCAGTTTGCGTTGCTCTACCTGCTTTTATTAAGTTTCACCCCTCCCCCTTCTTCGGTGTTTACCTACGGTTCCTCGTCCGTACGCAGCAATATGAGGTGAGGTGAGAGGGGACGTGTTCGATATTGACTTTGTAACGGGTTCAATACTCCCAATAGTGCAGTTGACTGGAATTTACAAGTCAAAATCTCCCACGGACCACGTTGGGATATTGGTCTCATTGAGATCAGCAGCTACCAAAGCACATGGGCGACGCTCCATTCACCACGCTACCGACCCGGGTGCTTGGATAAGGCGGGAAGCCACGTGAGGGAGGAGGAACCGTGGCGATGATTCACCCGCAACAACACTCGACGATGGATGCATGACAAATTGGGCGGAGTGCATTAGGGTCGATGGCGATTTTCAAAGCTAGAGTCCGCTCCAGCAAGTGCCGGACTGAGGTCTGAGATGAAGATTAGCTCTTCGCAAGACGTGCATTGCCGAAGATCCCAGCACGCTGGTTGTGGAACTGTTTTGGAGCCAGTGGGATGTTTTGTGTGGAAATCTGGGCGAAGATGATGGCCATCGAGGTTCTCAAAATCGTAAAAGGCTTTTCCTGCGCGACCTAGGCCCTGTCCCGAATGCGCTATGAAATCGAAATCGGGGAGTAAAGAAAAGGGAAAGGTGAGACGCGAGACCACAGTTCTACCAGTCTGCCTCTGTTCTCTGGGGCTGGAAGACCGCCCGCTGGCCAGTGCCTGGAACAGTGGAGAATCCCACGATGCACGCTAGCGGCTCCCCGAATTGCGACCGGCACCTCTTGGCATGCATACTGCGACCTGGAAATGGTAGTTCGCTCAATCTTGGCTTTCTGCGCTGCCCTCTCACGGCTCGCTCCGTGTCCGCCGAGACCTCGCGCTGCACAACGCCACAGGTCCCAGGCCCTTGGGTTGGGAATGTCATTAGCTTAGCAAAGTCCCATGATGTTGAAGCAGAGAGTTTGGCCTAGTGAGCCGTCAGTAGGCGAGCGAGATGACTACAATCTGCATTCCATATGAAGCGACACGTAGCAATGTGGGGGGAGACGCGATATGGGAATATGAGATGCTTATATTACGGCAGTGCAGTTGGTACGCGACACTGGAGCCCGATCGCTTGGGAGGTCCGGGTTGGCCACTGGCCGTGGGTCTGGAGGCCTTATTTTTCGGCTTCTGGATCAACAAGCCTTGTCTGGGCTATTGGGCCGGAGCGATCCCCGAAATTCGGCTCAGGTCGTTTTGCCGGCTTGGGCCAAATATGAATTGCACCCTGGGGCTTCGGTTGCCTGCTGGAGCTAGGCACTGGAAAGCACCTAGGCTGTGGCAATAAAATAGCGTTGAGACATCGAAGCTTTCCGGCGACATGGCCAAACCACAGCGGTGGGATCCCCATCATCTGTTTCGCACCGCTAGCGTTGTCTTTGCACGTGTGTGTTCCAGGCTCGAGGGCCCGCTACACCACATGTGGTTGCATATCGAAGTCGTCCAAGACCGGGGCAATCGGCCGTGTCTTCCCGATATGGCATGTTTCTGCACGACAATCCAACTTCCGGAAATGCGCTTGCAACACAAGCACAAACAAATCAAACCAACGGCCAGCTTCGCCGACCCGGGATCCGTTCGCTGGAGTCGTTGGAGTCGCCTTTGGAACTGCTGGAGCCCGGAAGACGCTCCCCAGCAAGAAGGGCGGGTCGATCCGGAGGTAGACGGTTTTTACCACTTTCGCTGTGCACATACCTGCAGTTTGTATCCGAATCACAGCCGGGAAAGAAATGGTGTGCGATAGGCAGTCCTCGATCTGCTCGCTTCGAATCACTTTGACCTCCTGCGAACAGACGGACAAAGGGGTCCCCTGAGTGTTCAGCAGAGTCAACCTGCACAGAGCGCTGTGACACAGCCATGATGAGATCACGCAAGCCCCTGACACTGAGCCGTTGGGCTGCTGAGCTGCTGTGACGGCGAAGGTGACGACAGGCAATTAACTGACTACGACTGCGACTGCGGCATTTGGCTGCCAAACCCTGGGCAAGCTCATCACCATGGCCGTGAGGCCGGGCTTAAGGTTGCGCGGTACCTTGCAGACGAGCCACAATTTCGGACAAGGGGATCCACTCGGTGTGGCCCAGCGGGCGGCGTCATTTTCTTGACGACCCAACAGGAAAGCTTCTCGGTGAGTGGCCTGCAGGGGACTCAAAGCCCGTCCACACGCGTGGATTCAGGATTCTGTGGAGGTGGTGATCGGTGCGCAATGCCATCGATTCGCTCAACTCACTGGCTGTGTCCATCCGCGAAGGCCTTCTGTGGGCTTCTGGACACACTGCTAGCAGTACCCGCGACCAGTGACGGTATCGCTGGTGGTCGGGCCTGTCGCTACTTATCACACAGACTTCGACAACGTTACTTTCTAGAAGAGTTGGCGATCGCTAGTCGTTGCCTTTTGCATGCACTACCAACTCCGTACCGCCACTAATGTACGCCGAGTGTTAGCACAGCTACGTGTAAGAAGGAAACCTGGAGTATGAAAAAGCGAGACGTGGGAGCATCGGACTGGTAATGGACTGGCAATGATCAAGCTCGTCTTGGCGTTGCAGGGCAGTAAGGCGATCTTACACGACAGCAACGCTCGCCCAAGCCGTCGGGAACAGGACAGGACGCGAAAACTGATCACCACAACAATGGACTTGAACTTGACATGAGCGTCAAAACGCTCAAACGCAAAACGCTACAACAGGCAAGGCGGAAAAAAACAGGAACAGCAAAACCGCTCAACGCTCTGATTCGCCTCCAGATTCTCGCGTGGGCTCCAGACCTCCATATCCCTAGGACGTTGTCGTTGATCAGACCATCCCTCGTTCGATCCGATCCCAGAAAAAAGTTTCGTTTTCTTCACGGATTAAACATTGTACCATGGGCCAGTCAGATCGACGAACGTCCAGGTGGCAGTGGGTACGGCGCAGGGTCCAACTCGACAAAAAAACCTGGAAAACGTACATTTTTTTTGAGTTGCCCCGGGCGTCGTCCGACATTGGCACAGAAGCCGTCCGCAGGCAACAAAATTTTGAAAAATTTGAAGCCATCAACGCCGCGGCCGACGTCGTAATGTAGTGCGGATTAGCTCCAGTACCTGCGGATTACGCTACAACGTGGATGCACAAGTCGAGGCTACAGTGCAGGTACAGCGTAGCACGCTAGCGCACATCGCAGCGTTCCTTTCCCGCCGAATGCACCTCCCCTTCAATTTCCCGTCCCAGGAACGCTGGCGTGCTGCGATTTGAAGGGAGGGAAGGTGCAGACCGTGAGGAAAACCCCACCTTATTACCCCTCCGGGTCCTGAGCTTCACTTGGCAGTTCCCCCATTGAGATCCACGTGAAAGGGACAAGGTCTCAAACCAAAACCAGGATCCACGATGCTTCGCTCTGGCAGTGTCCACAGCGAGCCGTGTATTTTGTTTTTTTGTTAGCGCAAGTTTTTTTATTGTACCTGGTGCCAGCAACAGCCGCCCCAACTGCCACCCCTGCCAAGTCCCTCGACTCCGACGGCAACCCCTGCCGCACAAAACCCCTGCTCCCTTGCTCCCCTCCACGGACTATCGACTGCTGCTGCGGGAACCAGAAAACAGAGCGACTGCCCACTTCCATCCGCCTTCTTCTTCAGTCGCTCAGTCCCTTTCCACCACTTCCTCCAGGACTTTTCGATTCTCCCACTCCTGCGACTCGACTCCTCTTGCTGACCGCCGCCGCTCCCACTGCGACAGCGGAGACCATCGGGATCCAAACTGAGGACGACGAGCCCAGCAACACCCCAGCAACAACGACGACTTTTAACTGCACGACCACGGCAATCATTCAGTCGCACAGCTCCCCGGTCGCTGTCTTCTGCATTAGACAAATCCAGACGTTCCTATCCCCCCAGGATTCTAGGAATCCAAGGCGTCGGCCACCCAATTGGCATTTGCAGTTTCCAGAACTCGCCGCCTGTTCGTGCCCCACAGCGTCACGAGCACAGCGTCGGCTCCAGCTTCAAGCTCCTATTCGTGCTGCCACACGTAACTCGGCCGACTGCAGACCGCCCGTCCGGTGGCCGATCAGCCGCCGCCACCGCCCCGCTGGAAAGATAGCATTGAGTCCCAGTCCACGTACATTTGTGTACAACGTAGCGAACGAATAGCACAATCATGGGTCTGTTTTCGAGAAGGGATCGGGGCCCGAGGGCGGGCGAGAACCCGCAGCCATCTGTCCCCAACTCTCAGTCAAAATCGTCGCTCACCTCGGGATCATCGAGCTACATTGCTCCCATCAACACAAGCGCTCGCGTCATGAACCGCACTTCGGCTGGCACTACGAGCACCATGGGCGGCCCGGGTACCCCGCTGACTCCTTTCTCGCCGAGTCCCATTCCCAGCATCCCCATGCCGAGGCCCCCCGACCCGCAGCTCGATCCCGCGGGCTACCTTCGCAGTCTGCCCGCCGTCAGAGATCGCTGTAAGATTATCATGACAAAAGCCTGTCGAAATGAGCTGCGTCACTTCGATGTCGATATGCGAAAGTTCCCAGATGTCGTTTCTTTTGTCGCGAATATCATCAAGGTAAGTTGGTTCTGCTGCTGCGCCATGAGGTGTACCCCATCGATGAAGACTGTGCGACTCGCTGGTGTTCCCCCCCCCTCCATCGAAATCACTCCAATTGTGTTCCACCATTTTTTTTTTCGCCAAGTGCATCCGCTAACCAAGACGCAGCGTGATTACGATGCGCCGTTTACGAACATTCCTCCTCATGGACGTTATCAGCACTTCGCCGTGGGCGGTCGTGACAGAATTGCCCACCTGCTAGCTACCTGGCCTCCTGAAGAGGTCGACAATACCGAGAAGTGTAAGCGCATTATCGATCTTTTCCTCGTCAGCGTGCTTTTGGACGCCGGCGCCGGTACAAATTGGAGCTACAAGAGCCCAGAAAATGGCCGTATCTACAGGAGATCAGAGGGTATTGCGCTCGCTAGCTTGGATATGTTTAAGTCTGTAAGTGGCTGTCTGGGGGGTTGCCATGGCAAGTTTTACACTCAGCCGCTGACCAAACACCCACAGGGTTTGTTTTCTGGGAACAAGAGCAACAAACATCAGGTAGACAAGGAGGGCCTCAAACACTTGACCGTTGAAGCCCTCGCCCAAGGGTTGCAGTCGCGCCCCGGGAACGAGATAGCTGGCCTTGAGGGCAGGGCACAACTTCTGATCCGTCTCGCCACGGCCCTTGATCAGAACAAGGAGTTCTTCGGCGAGGAGGGCCGGCCAGGCAATATGCTCGGTAAAGAACATGTCATTCCATCCGTTGAGTTGACTCGGGGCTAATTTCGCAATCGCAGACCATATCCTTTCTCATCCCGCGACACAGGCCTCCAGTGTCATCATCGTTCCCGTTCCTGTGCTCTGGAACGTACTCATGAACGGTCTTGCCTCAATCTGGCCGCCTTCGAGGACAGCGATTAATGGTGTCTCACTTGGCGACGCTTGGCCATGCAGCTCGATGCCGCAACCCACTCAGTCCCCCACTAGCCCAACCTTCTCGCCTTTCCCAAATACGACGGGCCAGTCTAACGGAGTGGCCCCGTGGGAGAGCATTCTCCCGTTCCACAAGCTCACTCAGTGGCTTACCTACTCCCTCATGCAGCCAATGCAGAGTATCATGAAGATCCAGTTTGCTGGCCAGGAAATGCTCACGGGCCTGCCCGAGTACCGAAATGGTGGCTTGTTCATTGACATGGGCGTTCTCACCCTTAAGCCAGAGGATATGGAGCGGGGCCTGAAGAACTATGCTGAGTACTGCGAGCGGACTGGAACCAAGGGCGTCGAAGTTGCCCCTATGTTTGAGCCTGGTGATGACGTCATTGTTGAATGGCGTGGTGTGACGGTCGGCTTCCTAGACATTTTGCATATGGAGGTCAACAAAGCGCTCAAGAATGAGCTGAATGGGAATGAATTGACCCTGGCCCAGGTGTTAGAGGCTGGAAGCTGGAAGGTGGGTTCTCCCAACTATTTCCAGCTAAGATCCGTTGGCATATGAAACTAACTATAAACAGGGTGGTCGGGAAATCGCTGAGGTTAGCCGGCCCAATACCAAGGAGCCGCCTATTTTGATTGACAGCGACGGGACTGTGTTCTAAGGGTTGCTTGGGGCGAGGGAGGGGAATCGTATGTTGGAACTGGGTTAAGCAAAAAATATATAGGGCATGAAATACCTTATGGGCGGTAGCAAGCGTTGTAAGTCAGGATGGGCAGGAGGCAGGCAGGGGAAAGTGGCTTTTCATAACACGGATTGGATGGAACAGGAGTGATGGGAAATCTCTGTTTTCATGCTATCGTTCCGTTGCATCATTGTCTCATTTTGTTGCTGCTCTCTTCAGACTAGGTGCTTCCTGCCTTGCTGGAAAGGCGTTGCATTGTCCTTGCTCACCTTTCATATGTGTATTCTTATCGTTGGCTGGGATGCCAATATTCATCAAGTTCCAGATATTCCTGGTTGAACGGAAGATGGTCATGGCTTGCAATGAAAGTTGGATGTGATACTGTCATCCATGGTGCTTGAAGAGACTAGATGCCTTGATTTGTTTATCTGTGCCAAGTTTCTCATTGTCCATCTCCAACCATGGTTTTCACATAAAATATTCACATGGAGATAGAGGTGCTGGGAAGTTGGGAAACGGCCAATCATTGAGTCCAGCATTCAGGCTACCTCCCGATGTCCCCTCACATATCACAACCACCCGTCGACGACGCACAAAACCTAGTTATGATTTAAAACCTAACAGACCATTATCTACCTCCTGTTCTGTCCAGATACCCTCGATCAGCAATTGTCAGCTTTTAGTATCAACCCAACTCATCCAAGCTCTCAAAATCCTTCCTAGTCTGCGCAAAGCGTCAAAGTAACATCCTTCTCTGCCGTGCAAACCTTCACCTGGCTACCTGCCGGCGGCACACCAGTAGGCCAAATAATCTTCTGGCAAGTCGGCTCAGCGCTGGCAACAACAAGCTTCTTCCCAATGAAAGCATCGCCAAACACATCGCTCAGGTCGTACCAGATCCCAGCGCCATCGAGGTTGTACGCAAAAATTGTCTGTGGCACGCCAGGGGTATAGAGACCATTCTCGGGGATTGTGATTTTTAGCGCGCGGCCGCCCGTGATGGGGTCGCGAGAAAATTGCTCTGCGTAGGAGGCGCCCTGTTGCAAGCGGTAGGGCGCTGAGATGTTGGTGCCGACAGACCAGAGCCAAACAGTTTCGGTGCAGTTGTTACGGACGCGGGCGTAGCCTACATTGGGGAGGGCCACTGTGGCTAGGGGGAGGGTGAGGGAGACAAGGGAGAGCTTCATCGAGGCTGTGTTGATTAGATCTAGAGTCTTGGGTTGAAGTGAGAATGAAGACTTGTGATGGAGGTAGTCGTTGAGATTCGAGTTGAATGAGCTGAAAGGCCAGAAGAGTCGCGTTCTTATATTATTGTCCAACAGACATCTCCAGGCATCCTTCAGATCCCGTCTACCCTTCCCATCGCCGGTCTTGCTCCGCTCCTCACCAGCTTCCCTGTCTTTCCGATCCTGACTGCCATCACCTGCCACAAGTTCTCATGGAGTAAGAGAAACTCTCAAATACGATGTCGAGAGGGTATGATTGGAACAACCAGGTGACTTTGAAGGTAAACGCTGCTTGGACCTTGGCCTACACTGACAGGGTAAGTCAGGTGGTCTCCAACTGCCACGATACACCCTAGCAAAGATCGTATTTGAAGAAGGATTGGCAATGGCTATGCCGAAAAGAATTGCAAGGCGTTATGTAACATGGAGTGTGGAAGGCAAGAGACTTGCTGGCATAACACTTTGCTGACATGCTCCTGAACTCAACTGTGCGGTTGGGCCATAACACGTGGGAATGAAGAGTGTACCTATGTAAGAAGGATCTGAACGATGGTCTATCCTCAAGATGCTGCAACAACAGATTCTGCTCGGCGTTGACCATCTCCTTTGCCGGGGACTACATACATCGTCGTAGTAGCCGTTAGAACCCAGCCATGCAGGTCTCAGTGGAACCGGAATTCTGACAACCAAGCTTTTGAAAATTGAAAAAGTCATCTCATCCAGCTCCAAGAAGTCAGTCCGAGATCTTGTCCGAACCGGCAGTGCTACCCAAACTCCAGGTGAAGATCCCAGCCCTGCGGATAAAGCTTGCGCGCAGGTCGGTCGGTTGGTGGCAACACCAGCCGGAATCCATCTTACCGTCTTACTGAGCACAATATCAAATGGGTGGTTGCTCTGCAATAACGCGTTGGGTGCGATGAACTCATTGCTGTTTACGGCTTGCCCAAGTGGACAACCCGACCGAAGCGGCTCGTATATGCAGCCAGTGAGCATGCGGCTATGTCTTGGCAGACGCATGTAGCGCTGGTGATCGTCCTACTGAGAAGCATCCGAGCTCGGGAGTACCCGGTCGTTCCGGAAAAAAGCTCAGCTTGAGGTGGTAAGCAGCTACGCATCGAGATGGGACATGTTGTACTAGGGGCTGATGTGGACATTGCCGATGTCCCGGCAGCATCGATTCTTCAACGTGACCTCACTCACCACAGATGATCTTCCAAGATATGGTGTTGGGCAGTTTAGTCATGGCAGTATCTCGATAAATATAGAAATTGTAGTTTAACGAGGATCAATCAATCAGGTGACTGAATTAAGCAGGGCCTTCAACAACTAAGGCTTGCGGGATCCTGCTCTTCATTCTTAAAAATGATTGGATGATTGGGAAAAAGACTGGAATAAGACAACTTCAGAAAAGGCTCCGAATCAAGCCTTTGCAAAACATACACACCAGATCCTTTCAGCATGATTCCTTAGGCACGGCAATCTTGTTTCTATTGGGAGCATGAGTCAAATCAGAGAGAGCGCTCGAGTGGGGGGATTGACACCTAAACATGCCAACAGAAATTTGCACAATTGAAAGGATTTAAACAGTTCATTCGTTTGAGGGCCTGAGACAAGTCTGGATCTGTGATCTTTCTGACGGGCACGTGGCGTTGGAACGAAGTGGGGTTTGGCCGTTCACCGCCCGCCAAGATCAGTATTCCGCCATGCTACCCCGCCTAAATCTCAAGAAATTCACTGGTCATACAGCTGCGCAATACCGCGAGTCTACGGCAACCTCGAACATCACTCCATCTGGATATCATGGAGTCAAATGCTTGATCTGCTGCCAATTATATCGCTTCAGGACCAATCTTTTACCAAGAATCTCTCAATGGAGCAAGACACGAGCTCTGCTGCCCTCCAGGCAGTTGAGCATCAGGACCCCACCCCCACTGTTACGACAAACACAAGTGCGACAGCCAGCACCAGTGCTTTGGCGGTCTCTGTCGCAACTGGTGCTTCTACGCCAGCCTCCGAGAAGCCTATCCACGCATTGGTTATTGATGCCAATGCTATCATCAAGAATGACCCATCGGTATCGACCCTGCTTGCCCGGGCCGATGAATTGTATACCATCCCCGCTGTAGTGGCTGAGAGTATGTTCTTCGCCATCTCATCGTTGACAGCCATATGCTGAACCTGTACCTAGTCCGTGATGAGGCCACAAGACTTCGGTTCCAAACAACACTGGCCCCCTTTTTGAAGCTTAGAACCCCTCGTCCTGAATCCGTCCAATTCATTATCACCTTCGCCCGGAAGACGGGTGACTTGCAAGTCCTGTCACGGCCTGATCTGCAGCTTCTTGCCCTGACCTACGAGTTGGAAATTGAGAAGAATGGAGGTGATGTACGTTCTGTTGTTCCTGGCCATTATCACAGCAAAGACTGACTCATGATGGTTAGTGGCGGTTAAGAAAGGATCCTACCCAGAGAAACCTGAATGGGAAACCCCCCGGGATTGAAGAGAAAGCAGATTTGAGGCAAAAAGAGAGCACAGAAGGGTCAGATATTGCCATACCCGAAGAATATTCAGTTGCTGTTACTGAGAAGAAGGAGGGGGAAGAGGAGAAGCAGCTAGAGCAAAAGACCTCTGCATCAGACACAAAAGCGTCTCAGGCAATGACCGAGCCGGTGACAGAGCAATTAGAGGAGCTCAAGTTGGATGAGTCCACTGCCGGTGATAATAAATCAGAGGAGGAAAACCCAGATGATGAACCGGAAGATGACAGTGATGGAGAATGGATCAGTAAGCTTCCTGACACTCACATGAACCTGGCACCTGCTAACACGATGAAACTACAGCCCCGACCAATATCAGAAAATATCAAGCACGCGCAAATGCTTTGACTGTCCCAGAGCCTGTTCAAGAGACAATGAAGGTAGCCTTAATCACTGCTGATATGGCAATGCGCAATGTCGCCTTGAGAATCAACCTCAAGTGAGTGAAGTGAAAGTCAATTGTGATTTCTTAACACACACGCTGACTGTTCCAGCCTGCTTGATACCGGCTTTTCTCGCATCACACATCTAAAGACTTGGATTTTGAGATGCCACGGCTGCTACAAAGTGTGCAAGGACACATCAAAACAGTTCTGCCCTTCATGTGGGCAACCAACTTTGACAAGGGTGTCATGCACCACAGATGCGATGGGCAACTTCACACTGCACTTAAAAAAGAACTGGCAGTGGAACAACAGAGGCAATGTGTACAGCATCCCAAAGCCAACACATGGCTCAGCAAGCGGCAAAGGCACCCATGTTAAGGGTGGAGGTAAGAATGGCTGGGGGAGGGAGCTGATCCTTGCAGAGGACCAGAAGGAATACCAGAAGAAGCTTCAGGAACAGCGGCGGACAAAATATCAGGACCTCTTGGATCCCGATTATCTTCCTGGGATCCTGACAGGTGCTAGGAGTCAGAGCAGTGGTGGGAGGATTAGAGTTGGAGCAGGTCGCAATGTTAATGCAAAGAAGAGGAGGTGAAGATGAAGGGCTCATCGGTCACAACAATCCTAATCACCAAGATCACGAAATAGAGAAAAGTTGGTATAACACTATGACCCTCAAAGAGCCAAGCGCATGTGTTTTATTCACTACCGAACGCCATGTACCTAAGGTGAGCAAACCAACCGATCAACGCCACCATTTTTGATCCATGATCCGGTCCGATACGCCCATAGAAAACACAAGTTGTTCCCCCGGAAATGTCAGAGTTCGCAGACGCAATTGCAAGTGCTAGATCCATTGGGGACGCAGGTTAGCACTGAACTCGTAAGCATAGCAAATCGAGTGTAGTAGCGCGTACAGTTCTCAAGCAGAAGAATTGGTTAATGCCTTATTCTTGCCAGAAGTCTGCTCAGCGAGCTCCTTCTGCGTGGCAAGTTCCATCTCTATGGCAGTCTTCGCGGCCGCCTCAGCGGCGGCTTGCGCCTTCGCAACAGCGGCGCGGGCCTTCTCGTTCTCCTGCGCATAATGCAGAGCAAACAGAGGAGCATAACGCTTGTGCATCATTAAGCGGTGACGGGACCACTTGTCATCAGGCGAAAAACGAGCCGGGTGGGCAGACTTGGTAACCTGGCCGTTCAGAACCTTCTTCAGGGTGTAGATTCGACCACCCTGGCCGTCGGGAACAAACATTAGATGCATTGCTGCAAGACTGCCTTAGTATTTGGTTTGGGAGAAGAGTGGTTGTGACTGAGGTGCTTGTTTGTAAGGTTCGTCAACTTATTGGTTTCGTTGCGAAAGAGGGAAGGAGAATGAATTTGCGTACGTTCTGGATCAGCCATGATTATTTTCTCTTATCGCTAGCGCGATTGAAAATCCGTTAATTTACCGTTATCGCACCGTGGATAAAAGGAATGCGTGCCGTTCAAATGTACCAGATTACGGTAGCGACTTACTCTGGGTCTTTGGAAACGGTAAATCTCGGTTGCTTGCATCGTTTGTGGGGAAGGGAAAACGGTGGTACACGGCTTGACCGACCGTTTAGATTTTTTATAGTTGATGCTCCACCTGTGCGCATCCCACCAATCGAGTCATCCTCTCCACGGCGCAGCATACCCCACGTAGCAATTGTGCACAGGCCACAACCGTCTTTGCACACCAGAGCCGCTTTCTCTTTCAGGATCTGAAGTCCTAAGCTTTCGGCATAGCACAATGAGAGGCACCATTGCATTGAAGCTGTAGACTTTGAATCACGTGACACTTTAGCATCAGCAAAGTCTTTGATACCACTTTTCTCATCGCTCATTTTAAATGTGAAAAGCTTTTGATGTGCCTGGCTTTTGCTTCTAGGTCTTCAATCACGATAGCCTATTCTAAAGCTATACTGAAAGGCCTCAACATAGTTACAGTTCGCCTGACTGCAAGCCATTTGCTTCTTGATTTTCAACTGATGAACTCGGCATCAAGATATGGGGGCGATGGAATGGCAACTAATAAGCTAGCAATCCGCAGTACGATGATCTTCCAGCAGCCAGACAAGTACTCACCATCTGTCGACTGTTAGCCCTCAGCTATCCACCCCTCTAAAGGCTCTCGAGCTTCATAGTACTGGCAGTTTTGCAGGATGCAAGTTAACAAGTGTCTGACCCACTAACCGTAAGGCAAAGTTGACAACAGGGCATACCAATATCCCATATCATTGAAGCATAGCCCTGCTGTTGGTAGTCGGCTTACTTCTGGAGAACAGGGTCAATTAGGCTGTTCCTAAACAATACTTATCGACAGGTCTCCTTTGCTGCTCCTAATGACGTGCACAGCCTCGTCGTCTCCCATTGGACACGAACACCTGCGTAGCAGCCGCTGCCTGAGTAACGAAGCGAAGTATCGTCGAACGAGGCATCACCTAAGACCAATAACTTCGCCCTACAGTATTGCCCCGAAACTGTACGACCGAGTCATATTTAAGCCACACTCACTCTCCCATCTTCTCCTAGCCAAACTTAATCTATAATCCTCACTCTCAGTGTCTTGCGATTGTGCGCTCAGCTCTTGCCGTATACCCGCTTGCTAACCAAGCATGTCTCCCAGAGGTAGAAGCCCAGATGAGGTCAGCATGATGTCCGATGATGATGAATGGACAGTTTGGAGTAACGGCGATGGTTCCGAGTCCTCAGACTCAAGTGACTCCGACTCTGCTTTGTCGTCGACGGATCTTCGGGCAGACCGTGCTCCTGTAGTGTAAGAGAGTCGTTCTTGCAGTATGGTCATCAATCTTGTTTCTGGCCGATCTGTTTTAGCTCTCTAGGGCAGGGAGAACATGATCGTCCCGTTTACGAGTGTTGAGAATTTTCCTAGTTCCCAGAAAGGCGACATGCAGTTAGCTGCCGGAAGCTTTTTGGTGTCAAGTTCGAGAAGTTCCAGTACAGGAAGAATAGCGTTTGCTATCGCGCACAGCCGTTGACTCAAGATGAACTGGCTGCAATGCACCTTCGAGCTATTGAGGAGTATCAAGCCAAACATAGGCGTTGTTGGTTTTCCTGTGCTTTGGACAGTGGCAAGACGTATGAAGAAGATCTTGAGAAGCGGTGCAGAAAGCTGCCGAATCTCATGTAGAAGGCTCTCACCGCACTTCTTTTGGAGAGGGACCGAGCCACCTCAACTCGCTATCGCACAAGGACATGGATCGTTGTCGCCATGGAAGAGCGGGTTCGCCATCGGTTTACCAAACCCGGATTTGTCGAGCCACAACGCCGTCGAACTTTCTATAGCAAACGGCGTGGTAACAACGACGGCCCTCTATGCTTCAACTTTTTGATCCGAGGGGTTGAAATAGGAGATCATACCGAAGCTGGCGCTGTCAACACATTTACCAAGTCCTACAATCCTTGCGGAAAGGCCGATATTGCAGAAGCCCGCCAAAAGATTCACGAACGGTAGATCCAACAGGAAGCCGACCGTCGTAAAGCTTCAGAGAACTTATGTGAACGTTCCGTATCGCCTCCGCCGTATCACTCCCGTCGAAGCCCTGAGGACCAAGTCAGTCATGACAGTCAGGACGAGGAGGACGACGACGATAGTGCCAGTCGTTCTACTACGTGGTCGCAATCCGACTGCACTCGTCGGGGGCCGTATTACTCGGGTAGACTTACGCCTACTCCATCCCCTCTCCCGCCCCTCCCCCGCTTTTCAACAACCCACCCTTTCAGCCTCCTCCATCGTTCCAGGGTTCCAATGGCAACAATGAGTCCAATCCAACCTTTCCTCTTCACAGTGCTTCATCCGAAAAGTTCAGTACGAACCTCCCGCTGCCCTCTTACAGCCCACCAAACCCCGCTACCTGCGAGCTCTGCCACGTCTCAGTTCCCTGTTCACACGTTCCTCGATATCTCCCCAGTTCTCGCCCCATCCTGACGTGGGTCGGCGTGAACTACCATCCGCCTTGCCCAGCTTGCGTTTGAATCAGGCACTACCCCCAATATCCTCTGCTACCGCCCTAGTCCCCTCCTTCGCACTACGTGCCGCCGCCGCCGCCGATGTTCATCAGCCCTGCTCCGCAACCTTTTACTTCTGTTGCGGTTCCCCCGGTCACGAACCGTCCATTAAACCCTCCTTCTCCGCCGTCGGGGAACACCTCACCTATCAGTCGGACTCCCCCGCCGCCGCCGTCTCCTCTTCCATTGACGGCTCCGAGCTTGTCGACCAGGGATTGGTCACTGTCGTCACTGTCAGATGGAGCCCGTACGCCGATCAACGAGGCTTCTGGAGATAAAGATGCCGTGAGGGCTGTGTCCGACAGCAATGACAACAATATGTGAAGCAGTTGGGGTGGGATCAATAATCTTTGCTGCCGGTCGGGGATGATGAATGGGGAAGTGGGGAGAGGGGTTCAGCCTCGCAGTCGGCTAATGTCGAAGACGACGAGACCGATGTGGAATAGCATGGTGTAGGTTGGGGAGATCGTGATGGCGCTCTAGTTCTGTAGGAGGAATGCAGTAGAGAAGGGAAAATTGGGTTTTGTGGAAAGGACAGGCTAGTTACGGTTGGTTGCTACTGGTCTTGGTAAGTCGGAGTTTCCACTCTTTGTGATGATCGATGATTTTGTGTCATGTTAACAGCTCTTACATGGAGTCTAGTCAATGATGGCAAACTCATGTGCAGATCTTGGCATGTTCTGCGCTCATATTCCTTGTTTGGGTACCTAGCACACTTTCTAGAAGTACTTATCTTCACTGTTCTTTACATTACTTGCTCATCAGAGCTTGGTTCATACCATGATGATCCTGGCTTTACGAAGTGCTCACTATCTTTCCAGTCTTATTGCGCGTCAACAGATTATGTTACTTAGACGGTACCTTTCGCAATGAGCAAATGCTTACTATTCAAGGACTGAGTAGCTTCCAATAGCTGGATTCGTTGCTGCACTGTGTCACTTCAATTATCTTGACTGGTCAAAGCTTGAACCTATTTGACTTTCCTACAGTGGAATTGCGGGAGTGAGTCGACGGTCACAGGGAAGGAAGGCCGCGTCCGTATGATTTAGTTCCAAAGACGCTGACAAGTCTAACTGCAATAAAACGTAGCTTCGAGCATCCCAAGTCCCGTATCATTGACAATCGGTCTCGCAAATGAAAGCGAAGGATATTGCTATGGAAAGAGAAGCAAAAATGACCACTTGACAAAGAACTGGACACGTTCATGTTGAATGAACGTTGAAAACAGCTTTACAGCATGAAAGTATACCTAACTATAATGTGTGGATATGGCACATGAGCCGATATCAGCATACATGTTCCCCTAGATGTCCTCGAAGCACTATAATCTGCCAAGCTTTTTTTCGCTAGCGTCTTGGCGAGGTCTGCGGCGCTCTAGGGCACTTTTGGACAAGAAGCTAACACAAAATAAACCGTGGAACATCTTGTACATGCCAGGCCTCTTCATTTCCCGCAGCTGCTTAATTCATTACTCGTCCCATTGAATTGAGGTTTCTGATAGTCCAGGAAGACGATGTCAGCACATGAACCTTGTTAATTTGCAGGTCCTTGTCGTCGACCTCTTGAGGACATTCTTCTGTTGGGGTTCTGGATGATAGACCAGTCAAGTTGGAGAACACTATTTGAGACTTATTATTGGTTGAGAATGAATCTGGTGAACAATTTAGGAAAGTGGAGTGCACCTAAAATTAGTGATGGATATCCACCGTTAAGCATCCTCGGTTTTGATTTAAGCGCCAGTATGGGACAACATGGAATAATTCTTTGGAACGACGATGTGGCCGTTCAAACCAGATCAGGTCTCGACGACGATTGGGCTGATCCATGAGATTTCACGGTCTTGGAAGTATAGATGCTACAGGCCAAAAAAAGGAAAAAAAGGCCTTTGGGTTTAACTCAGGGGACAGCGGTTGACCAGGCCGAGGAGCGCTTACCGGAAACAACGACAGCAAACCAATTAGCGCGTGCCAGGGAGCGGTTAAACCATACATACGGGGCTTGTGGCTCTCCAGCTAAGAGCACATAGAATGAAGAGACGGAACACAGCCGGCGGTTCTCCATTCTTTGACAGTAAAAAAACAGTTCTTGATAAACATATGTATAAAGTTGTCGAGGACCCTGAGAAAACAAGCGAGCAATCCTTTGTGTTCTTAGTACAGACCTGTTCTTTGTTGTTGGAGGTTTGCAGTGGCCCTGGTTTTGGCCGCCTCGCAATATTATATATTGTAATCGATCTGATCTTTTCTTACCGTCCGGTCCTGTGATGCCCTTACTCGTTGCTCATTGTTTTGGAGCTTTGTTGCCGGTTAACAAAGCTGAGACTTTGTTTTGTTTATTCTTAATTTTCATCCCTTACTCTGGATACCCAACTTTATATTCTCGATAATCTCCAAAATGGCGTTCAAATTTAATACTACAATTTTCTGGAAACTAGCCAAGATGGCTGTTCAGCGTGAGTAATAGTATCCTATGTTTCAAGTTCAAAGCCGACTGTTGGAGCTGACGAGTCAATAGCTGCCAGTATTGCCCGTGGAGCGCACTTCTTCTTAATTATACCCACAGTAATCCTTTTTGGTAAGCTACAGACGCAGCTATCACGTCTTTTCTTGTTATTAGGGAATCTAAGATGCGCTGACTACTTCCTTAGCACTCTGTTTAACAGGCTGCATCTCTACTTCACCAGGATTACCTAACATCTACATCGTTTCCCTCCGCTCCAACGCACCTATCACTATCAGCAACAATATTACCATCAACCTTCCTACCCAGATCCGCATCGGCTACTACGGTATTTGTGCCATTGACAACGATGGTACCCGTTGCCATTCAGTGCCGGTAGAAGCTATCCACCATGTTAATGATATTACGGACAAACTATTCAAAAACAAGCATGAACCCTTGAGCAACTCTTCTTCGCCGGTTGTCAACCCGAATGATCGCACCCTCGTCAAGACAGCCGTCACGCTCCAGTCTCAGGTCTTCTTCTCTGCCCTCCCCTTCGCAGGTGTCTCCTTCTTGCTGGGTGTCCTCCTACTTCTAGTCTTACAGCGTCTAACTTCGTCGTCGTCCGCTACCTTCTTCCGCCGCAGCACTTACACGTTCCTCTTTGGCTCGGTTGCTTTGACTCTCTGCGCCGCTGTAGCAACCGCGCAAGGAAGTGCCGCGCTGGAGCACTTCGGTACCATTTTTGAGATGGACGAGGAAGATGGCATCATAGTAAAGAGAGGTTTGGCACTGCAGATCATGCAGTGGTTCATACTTGGCTTGCAGATGCTGTTTGGGATCCTCGTTCCGTTCGTGATAAGCTCGTCTCAGAGGGACAACGCAGTGGCTAAGGCGGAGCTTGAGAGAGGTGACATTGGGAGCATCCACTCCACTTTCAGAGGACCGAGGGTGCGCGAACTGGACTAAGCAGATATTCGTTAGTTTGAGGGCTAGACTGGGGCAATAGAAAAGTGATACATTGCTGGCAGATGCTGGCCACCTGTTATTTTGAGAAGGTCCCCGAGAGACAGCTGCAAAATCACGGGACTAAGCTGAGATCAGTTGAACTCAATAGCGAGGACTCTGCATATTTCGCCATTACCTTGCTTTCATTAGTATGATAAAGGACGTAAAAGGGAGATTTCTCGATCACCGATCGTTCTTAAATGGACCAAACTCCTCTGTTCCATCGCTCACGATATGGAAACTGCCCTTGGAGGTAGATCACTCTTGCCCCGTTCTCAATATCCCATTCAAATCTTGGCATCAAGAAAAGCTTATCACTTAACTCCATGATCAAGCGGTTAGATGCCTTGGTGGAGCCATAAGCTGGCTGCTCTATCGACTCTTCGACCACTTCCGTGTCTGCCTCAGAGTCAAGACTCTCACAGCCTGACTGCTCAGAGTGCTCGGATGAGCTAAGAAGTATCAAAATGGCGCTGTGGACCTGTCTGGCGTAGGTTCGTGTGACTTGTACTGAGAGACCCTGTACTCACAATCGCCCCTCATGACTAGCTCTTGAATGGGCTGGAGTTTTGTCAAGGTCCAGAGGAGCTTGGCGTTGTAGTTGGAACCGTAATTTATGCACTTGTTGAACGGACTGGATAGTGAATCTTGGACGGTAAACCAAGCATCTCCGTCCAAATACCTGGCGAATGATCCAGTAGACAATCATCTTTTTGTAATTGTATGTAAGTTTCTCTTCCTTACTGGCACAGGCAGAGCAACGAACTGCGGTCCCTTCCACCATGGGCCTCAGTCCGTATTATCAAGCCAAAGCATAACATTCCAACACCAATTTTTGATGTCACTTTTTAAACCTTCGCCCATGATTACTGACGGTAAGTCTGGAAACAGAAATGATCGCTAGGGAATCTCTGTTGTGACGGTTGTGAAGGATTTCCCCAATGCGTGGCCAGGTCGATCAGAAACCTGATGGGAAGTTGGAGAATAGCTGCTCAAGAGCTTTCTTCACCCGACGCATCACTCGCAAATACTGGTCATAGAGATTGTTTATTATCTCTTAGCGGACAGCGTTGAGCGCCTGAGTTGACGCAAGAACTCGTGACGCTAGCAAGAGCGAAAAAAATGGTCAGTAATTCTTTATGAGCAACAAAAGGAGAACGCAATTTTCGATCTTAAAGTTTAAGAGTACATTTGGCAGTTCGGAACAGGGAGGTATTCTGACCCTCGTTTGGAGGTGGGTGAAATATATGTAATTGTTGAAGAAGTCATTGGACTCGATACTCAAAAGCTGTGAAGTCTTCTTCGGAAGTCAAGCGAAAGAGATGAAGATAGTTTGGGCGCGGTTGGAGAACTCAGAAGGAAGGGAACGTCCCGAACGGAGTTCTGAAAGAAGATGCCTGCCTGGTAATGCCTGGATAGCAAGTGATGACTAATTTTCGATAGAAAGCCCTGCACGCAATCAAAGTACCCATCACAAAGGACTCATCAGTCAAGTTTCGTTGCGGATAGCAGATTTATCAGGTAAACTCTGATAGATGCTACAATATCTGTGATGTGTATTTACACTGTGATCTCCAGAAATGAGATTTCAAAACCACTTCGTGCGCCAAAGAGCATTGGATCGAGAAGCTGCAGTGGTCACAGATCACATCAGGCCCATAGCTCCGAGGAGAGCAACAATTGTACCAAAAGCCGCTATATGAAGCGGTGCACCCTTTGCGAAGTCGCTCGCAGCATTGTTGTCTGTGCCTGTCTCCTGCTACATGCAGTTTAGCTACGAACTTTGCAGTGTTTGCATTGAAGGGACCAAATCGTACCGCAGCCGCAGAGGTAGCAGCCAACTGACTGGTATCTGACTTTGACTCCGTTGTGGACGGCGTTTCCGTCACAGGAACCTCAGATGCTTTGGTGTGGGTCGCGGAAAGGAACTTCGTCTTAGTCACCGTTGGTGTCGGTAAAGCCGACGAAACACCATTTTCATCGGCTGGAGAGGGTGTGGGTGTCAGTCCGCAGGAGGACGCAATCGCGCTGATGCCAGCTTCATAAAAGCGCCAGATGTCAAACTCTAAAGCACAGTCGAGACACTCCTCATAGTAGGCTGTCCAGCTATCGCTCTCGCAATGGCTTGGCGTGCGGCCGACAGAGATAACGTTGCCTGAATGGTGAGATTACTGGTCAGCGGGATCTGGTATCCTTAAAATGGACACAGAATGGATAAAATAACTTTAAGGCGTAGTTGTTTGCTTCAAATAGAGGACTCCTCACATACCGCAGTTTTCATGGCATTCATACTGTGGTGTCCCAGGTTCGGGGTTCTGCCGTTGGTTAATCAGAGCAGGAGTTGAGTCTGCCACTGCGTTTGGAGCATGTAGGCCAATGAGTCCGGCAATAAGAACACTATCCAGCAGTGCCCGCATCGTTCGTTGCTCCGGTCGGTAGAGCTTGACTCGGTAACTTAAATGAGAAGATTAAGTAAGAAAACACAAAGATATAGAATAAGTCATCACCGCACAACAAGAAGAAAAGAGAGAGAAGTTATGGTGAGAGCCCGGGAGGATCGCAGGAGGATGAAAGGTATGGGCCGCACTTGGCCTTCCATGATCATTGGCGTGAGCTCTTATGGGAGATGCCGAGCCAATGTGTTCACTGCAACAATGCGCCAAAGCCCTGCAAGAGGGCGGGACAAGACAGCTGAGCTGCGGCCCAGAGGTGCCATGACGACAACTTCCGCGTAAGCTTGGAACGGTCGACAACCAGCTGAACATGCAACAGGTAGGTGTCCTGCACGGCGACTTTGGTCATTAGTCAGAGCCAGGTCTCAGCCAGTGAACAACACAGCCAACGATAGGCTGCGAGAGCTTGGGTAGTAACCGACTACGGCCCCACCTGTCACCTCCGTCTAGTGATGCTGCGGTCTCAGAAAACCAATCGTGGTTGGTGATCTAATCACAAGTGGGGTAGCATGCTCACAAGCTTATCTGATCATCTGATAAAGTTTTAAGCAATGCCCAGCCGATTATCTGCATGAGAACGCTGACTGAGCCAACAGGAGTACGACTCGACAATCCCATTCGTAAATCAAGGCACCTGACTGACCATATAAGAAAGGAATGTGTCGTTTGTGATTATGGTGGCAAAGCAAAAACTCGTGAGCGGCAACCTTACGATTGGACGACATGGACATCGCCTACAGTCCACGATCCACAGGTACAATATCACTATCATCTAGTTTGTTTCCCCCGAGCAAATGCTCCCTTCAAACACAATGAAGCATACTTCACGAGCTTAGAACTAGTTCTAATGGGAAGTGAATGGCAGGATTTAGAAGCAGGTCTATATACGGAGGTTTGAAGCCATGCTCGCAAGCCGATGGTTAACCAGACACCGGACCCCGGTTGGACACCATGGATGTCAATGGCAAGATAACCCTGAGATCCTTGTGTTACCTGGCCCCCCCGGGGTGGTGGTGCTGGTACAATCGTTAAGATAGCTGTCTGGGTTCGTATATCAGCCGGCGTTCTGTTCCCGCACTTTCTTCCCCAGAAGCATCCTTCAAAGATAGATCATAACACCTGTTGCGAAAAGCGTCACTCTGTTCATTATACTCTTATCCAAGAGACAGAGCCTCTATCAGAGAACAGGCTATATCGTCATCTTATGACAAAAGATGGCTGCGCTAAGTTCTTGCTGCCTTTAGCAGCCACAACAGGTGTCATGGGTCACTCCAAAAAGATGGGCCCTACTGCCTTTGGTGGCCGCCCGACCTGGCATGGTCAGAGAAGGCCGATAACACGCCCCCATGCTGCTCAGTCGTAACTGCGACAAATTGGACTGCCATTCAAATGGATAATCTTCCTCCGTATAATGGAAGTCTGAAGTTTCATACTGACAATAGCGCCAGAAGAAAATGGCAAAATTAGCCTTACAGCTCAAGATGGCTCCTACAACGTCGAATTGAGCATCTCATTCAACATCAAAAAGTTTTCAAAAACAGTTTTGCTTCAAACAAACCTCTAAGGTCTCCCGTCGAGTTCAAGTTCTACTCACCAAGCTCATAGACTCTCATTCCCAAGCCGACTTCGTTCCCCCGATCACCCAAATAACCCCCGAAGTCGGCCCCGCTTCTGGGACCGTCTTCCCAGGCACCAACGCCACACTTCAGCTAAATACATCGCTGACTTCGACCGCCCAGAGAGCCGAACCTTCTACACCTGCACCGACATCACCTTCGTCGATGCTTCGCAGTTCAACCCGGCCAGTGTGCCCTGCTTCAATGCCACAGACTCCGAGAACGACGTCCCTCCGCCAACAACTACCGGGACTCCGACAAACCTACCCGATCACGGCGAGGACTGACCGCCTTTGGAGATTCCGGACAAAGATTTCGATAGCAGTGGCAGCAGTGGTGATGGCCTGTCAAGAGGGCCATCGCTGGTGCCGTGGTAGGATCTGTCGGTTGAGTGGTCTTGCTGATAGGTTGGTGTTGTGGTTTTATCGGGAGAGACTGAGACGGTGGCTGTTGGAGAGACAAGTAGGCAATTGTGATACGTCTACAACATTTTTCATTACTAACCGTTCCGGGCCATGACTAGCTTCAACCACAGCGCGATAGGTCAGGAGTCAAGTGGGTAGAGGACCCAGCTAAGGACTCGACTGCATTGGCACCTGAGACAATCCGTATGGGAAACTTGTCTTAGCTGAGATATGATGATACGGTATAATATCAGCTGGTGGACAAGGGTTTAAATAATTCTTTGTTTTTTGACTTAACGGGGAAACTACCAAGAACAATGATTGGTGTTTCTCTGAAGATCACGGGTACAATGGCCACGGCAACCTTATATTACCGACAACTCCTGGGCAACGATCACCCCTCAGCAGCCCAACCCTAGCGGGTTTATTCAACTTGGTACTTACTTTGCCCAAGAGCCTTTGATTCTGAATTGTCAGTGAAACAAAGAGTTCACGGATTGTCATAACCCAGAACATGCAAGCTGATATTGTTGTCAAAAAGTTCCATGTTTGGTTTGCATTCATGAATTCAATTCAGATCATTGACAAAATATAATTAGCTTGAACTCAGGGTAATTGTCCTTCATTCTGACCTAACAAATATGCTAGTAGAATTTAGTTCACAAGTTACTTGAAACGTCGACTACTTGGCACAGAACCAAGCTCAGCTTACTAGTCCGATCTCATAAAGAGTGCCCATCGTCTCTGTCAGCCATTACACTCCTTGGCCAACGTAAAGATCACCTGTGGACTCAGTTCAACAACTAATCTTACAAGAATCTAGAGAAACTACCATCACAATAACGACCCAGATCGTCTCAATGACACGGGTGCTCATTTAATTCTTATCCAATCGCACGTACAGATATTCCCTTTGCACAAGGGAGAAGTGGCGTGAAGAGCACTATTGGTCTGGAACTTGTACAAGACGTCTTTTTTATATGCCATCATGGCGAGCCTATCCCTGCTCACTATATAAACCAAAAACTCGGGTGAGGAAAGTTTGTTAAGGGTATGGAGTCGTAGAGTTTAAGAGGGTAGGTTGACGATCCATGAGTCGAAGACGTTATAGCACCCCTTTTAGGTAAAGGCATTCAACACCGAGTCATCAACTGTTTGTAAAGGAGAGTACAGGGTATCTCCGGATGAACTTTTGCAAAGGTACATCCTCGAATCGACTGTTCATGACAATCGCAGCCAAATACAACATTACTCATGTCTCCGGAAGAAGAAAGCACATGAACAGATGTACGGTAAGAAGTATTTCAAGTAGACAACCACAGATGCCTGCAATCTTGTCGAAAATGACTTCAAACCTTCATGAGTGCCTCACTTGTTGCTGCTGTTGCTGTCATCCTTAAAGTCCTGATGTTATACCTGGGCCATTAGCGTTCAACGTAACAAATGCCCTATCAACAGAAAACAGTAGCGGTGCAACAAGGAATACACAAGGATACTTCACATACTGTTGGAAGCCCTTGATAGATTAGGACCTTCAAGAAGGTTTACAGATTTGACTTTGGTCTGCGGATGGTTGGCGTTTTGCCTAGGGCCAGGACGAGGCTTCTGTGAAGAACGTGCAGAGGTAGCAGATGCGATCGGCTTTCGAACAGTCTTGATATCAGCTGGTGTCGGATGAGCAGGCAGAACGTCACTGTTGTGCTTGTTCACCCCTGTTCCTAACACCTCCCCTTTAAGACTGTTCTCCTGATGCTTCTTGTTGGCCTTTCCAGCAAGCGCATTCATCTTCGGGGTCTTGGAATATGCACGAAGGTCCACTTGAGGAGCCTTGAACCCGTTAGGCAGCATTTGAGTGGCATACATGCAGGGAACAGTGCGAAATCGCTGGCGTACACACGCGATACCACAGCCACGCAATTTGTTGACTTCCGACGAAGTCATTAGGGGAGCCATACCCGCCTGATAGAGATCATATTGGGTTTGACAGGGAAGTCTGAAAAAGCTTGCACGGTAATAACTCAGGTTTGAGCCATGTTTGTTTCTTGACGCCTGTTTAGCTGATTCAGAATGGACCCCAACAACTCTGAGAGGCAACCGAACAGGCGTTGTGGTTGTTGAAATAGTTCGGGTGACAACTGTGCGGGTAATGCAGGCTACGACATGCTGTTTGTGGTCTTCTGTGGTAAAGAATGCGCATCTTAGTATGTTCAACATTGACCAAAACGCTTCGGATGTCATTGACCGTACCAGCTTTGCAGGTTGTGCTGCTTCCAGATGTAGCCAGGACTGCTTGAGTCTTTTTGGGAATATGTGAATTCGGTATGATATGTTGTAGGGTCTGTTTCTTTTGCATTCGCCCGGTTATTTGTCGAGGCCCCTTTTCAGAGCTGGGTTTGATGCTATTGATTACCAACATTCAGTCATACCTCTAAAATGGCACGGAGGAAGTTGACTATGTTGCGATCCATCAGTAGATAGCCCTCGGAAACTTCCTTTCTATATAATAGAGAATCCCCACTTCAGTTTCACGTAAGAAATACTCGTACATATGGATCTTAGCATAGCAAACATGGCTTGTATTACTAGGTACGAATCAAATTATCGTGCGTTGGAGAGTTGCTACAACTCTTTCCCTCCAATCATACAATCCTACGGTGATGATGCTCTTAAGTGTCATTGAAGCGTTGCCAAGAAGATCTAACAGCAAACCCGGCTGCTCTCTGGACTCAGTTTACAAGGGAGCTTGCTTATGAAGATTGACTAGAGCGGGCCAGATGATGACTCGGTTGGCCTGTTTGAGTAGCGGCCCTGAGACTGGTCCCGACCTACGGTCTCTTTCGCAGGTGAGGTCGGTGGCCTTGCCGAACGAGACTCCAACATGGCCACACAAAGCTAACCCAGTCCAAAATACAGCATCAGTCGACAATCTGGTCCCTTTTACGTCCGAAGAGAAATTATTGTGACTTTTCGTGATATTTGCATACTCCAGACTCCCTCTATGCCTGTACCGATCTAGTTAATATCTTCTACATAGCTAAAAATCACCGCAATTACAGTTGAAGCCAGAACACAAAGATGCAGGTTCAATGACTCTGTAAGATACTATATTGTGTTCTTGAAGACGCTAAGGATAGAGTATATCTGAGCCTGTCTAACCTGGTTCAGGTATTTCCAACATTGTACCTTAATATTTGAACATAGCCTTTATTTCTCATAAATCTGCTTAGAGACTTGACCTCCTGCGTTATCAATTCCTGATAGTTCTCGAAAAAGATCCTATAGCAGCATTAATAGTAGGTTTTCCCAACTATTTTTCGGCGTGAAAAGGCTTCGGGTGCTTATGTCGTTGATGCCTATCACAACATTCCCATAAGCAGACTGTTTCCTTCCACGTATCTTCTAGGCCACAGTAATATGAGCATAAGAATCCATCACATCGCCTCGCAGTTGAGTATGTGTAACCGCACCGGTAGCTGTAATTAGTGGTTGCGCACATTGTGAACATTCATAGTCTATGTTGTTATGTTATTTTTCCTGAGCAAAAACGGCTTAGGTACAAAACTAGATCTGAACTGTAATATTAGTGAATCTTAGAAGCTGATGGTATGTTGGGACTTTGGAACCTTGAGGGCACAAGTCGATTTCATCCTGAACTCCTGGTACAACGTCAAGGGGCTTTGCAGGGTTATGACTACGTCTTCTAGCATTGAGGACACTCCACTCTTTGCAGAGAATTTAAATTTGTTTTAATCCATTGGAGGTGAAATGCCAGAATCCATAATCACTCTTCAGGTGCTTCATAAGCATTCGTGTTTGCTCTACCATGGGTATTCTGCTCCAATGTTGATGCATAATGTCCTTTAAGGTGAATGGTTCATTGACCCAGAAAAAATGTAACCTTGAAATATGCAACAAGAACCTTGCACATGTTAGCACATATTCTTTTGATAAGACGACTGTGAAAAGCGCCTTAACATTTGCGGATGTGGAAGACTCACTCGAAGGTAACCATCTCTATTTTTCTCGCCCCAGTCTTAACCAGAATTCTAATACTGTGACAACTAAGCAAACTATGCAATAACAACAACCAATACAGAGGAAGCTTCCGACTGTCCTGTGGCTACTGATACGAGTGCGGCCCACCTCCGTGCCGTCCATTAAGTATAGCATGACGTTGCCCCGCCAGGAATTACTTCATGCCACAATCATAGCAGTATCAACCGACAAAAGTGAGAGTGCTAATGCTCATGCCAATGCACTCGACATTGGGGTCTCATTGTTTGGTCTCGCATTGCTTCAATATTCTCACTGGCTTCTTATGCCAGCAAAATGTGTAGATGAACATCTTCAGTTTCACACATCCTGAGCAGGGTGTTTCTAGATCTTGTAGCTCTGTGGCAGATAGAAAACATCTTCGCCATTGGAGCTACTCAGAAATCATTAGTGTGGGTTCAAGCAAGAGCTTCAAGGTTGCAAACCCAAAATAAGTACAGGAACTGGAAATAGAGGTGAAGAGAGCAAAAGGCTTTTTATCTTCGCCTTGAAGGAAATGGTACCTCCTGCTAGCCTGTAACCGCTCACATTGCAAGTGGGGTGATGCACATTCCAAGGCTAGTCAGCGAATAGGTAGACTTTGTTCATGGCAGTTTTATATAACAATGATAAAGGCCCCTGTTGTGTCAGTGCCTAGAGCGTCCAGGCTAAGAATAGCTGCGACTAACCTCACATAAGTCTTATGTCTTGGTACTGTTCATGTTTGTTGACTTTCACAGTCATGTGGTAAACCAATGTATGGCAGCACAATTCGTCTCCAAGCGATATCATTGTCAAAGATGGCCAATAAGACGATTTGGCTAAACTATGTATTGCACCCACTCTTCAAGCCTGTAAAGCAACATGTCGACTAAATAAAGCTTTCCAAGTCTTTGAAAAACAACTGAGGGTGTTTCTTGGATATCTCAATCAGTGATTTAGGAAACATTTTGTTTACGTTATGCCTAAGACTGCGTTTCTCTATACGGAATGATCTCCAAGTTACTTTTTCTAGAGCCTTGGCCCAGTAGACCGACTGACCTTACACAGAGTTGTTCCTCCTGCATCTCCAACACTTTCCGTCTTGCTTGTCAAGCGTGACAATAGTAATTTGATCACACAGAGCATCATTTTTGTGCCAGGGACACTCCTGAATCGTCTTCTCTTTGCAGTAGCAATCCTGCTCCTTTTGCTTTTTCTCGCACATGCTCGCAGCTTGATGCTGTTGGTAGCGGGTGACACAGAGGCTCGAGATCTATCAGGATAACTTAACACAAAAAGTAAGTTTGATGAACTGGAAGGATGTGGAGGCACAAATGCTTGGAAATGTCAGAGTTGCAGATTCAAGGTCACCGAGAATCCTTTGTGTTCATATTTTGAGGATATAATATCGAACAGGCTTATTTTAATAGCCAGTTCCAGTGTCGATATTGCATCGCAGTACATCTTTAGTTTCTGCTCCCATGCCCTGTTTCAGTGTCACTGGGTAAAGAAAACATGATCCTGGCACCTTGTTAGGTTCAAGCTTTTCTTTAGATCTGGTGGGGCAATGTTAGAACGTATTCAACCTAGAGAAAATATATATTGTGATGGCCTCCTGATGGAGTTATTGATCATCGAAATTCAAGAAAAATCAAACTAATGTTTTATCAATGGACAGCAGCTGTTCCACAGTTCTCTCAGGGATCAGGTGTGGCTTATTTACATTTTAAAGTTCGAGACCCAGCGGTTCAATTGCTCTCCTCATGTTTGCTGAGGAACCAGAGTGGCGGAAACTAAAGGCATATATTAGGGATAATATACTTTTTTACAGTCGATCAAAGTTGCCTGTTCTCGAAGCGGTCCATCTTAACAAGTCAGTAAATGGGTACAAACACTCCACCATTTGACAGTACAGGCAGGATATTAGTCGTCGAAGTTGAGTAGCCCTTATCTTCAAGTGTGCCAAAATACTCGTTGGTGCTCTCGGAGATCTTGATAATATTGATTCAGAATTACAGCAATTTATTTAGCAAGGACGGTTTATGAACATGCATAAGAAGTGTCCATGGATCTTGACTCTAGAAAATCGACTAGTTGTCCTGAAACTGATTGATGTGTTCTCCTCAACGAAGAGTCTGCTAGCTTAGCCCTTTCAAGATAGTTATGGAGAGTTTGTTGGAGAGAACATCCACGGTACCGTCTGTGAGGAAAGTCCAATCTTGACCATATTTGTGGTATCTAGCCCTCAGATGTGTCCATTTCCTCGTCTGTCTCATCAATTGTACCCAGTGTACCAGCCTCGCAGAGGCTGTTAGGCCTATGCAGCGTTGGGTTGGTGTTTGCAGTGTCGGATTCGAGCTGCCGCTGTTGCCAGTGCTCGCGTAAGCGATCCCTCAGCTCGTATGCACGCTCCCTTGCAAAATCCTGAAGATTCTGGAGCAGCCTGCAACCCTTCTTGAAGTCCGCATAAGAATTCAACATATTAGTGCTGGTAATAAGATATTGGTGGTATTCAATAGCACCAGCTTTCGTTGGTGATGGAGCTGCATAGTGTGCCCAAAAGTTGATGAGGACTCCATCCCAGGTAAAGGTAATAACAGCTGCATGTCCTGGGGGATCATTAACGCCAATGTAGGAAAGAGCTCGGCTCCTGGCGTATACCAAAGCGGCGCCATCATAAGCACTCTGCACTCGAGCGCTTTCCATGCTCCTGCCCCGCCCCTTCCACTCGCCAGCCAGATGCGGCAGGGTGATCGAGTTAGGATCATCCAGAAGCACTGCGGCGCCGCCGATTTCTTGGCGAATTGGAAACGGCTGAAAGCTGGGCTGTTGGAGGCCCTCCATCAAATCAGGTTGCGGGGCAGACAGGCCGTCGTTGAAGCCAACATTATGAGGAAAAAGGTTGAGTGTTTGGTTATAGACCTGGGTGTACTGAGGGTCGTCCTCGAAGTCATTAAAAAGCCTAGCGGCGATATGAACAATAGAGTCTTCGTTTGGGGCAGTTTGAACAGCATGCGAATAGGCCCGAAACCTAGTCTCCGATGGAGACGAAGACCTGCGAGGCATGTTTAGGCGGGTTCGTAAATCGTCAATGTTCACTGGTGGTTTTGAATTTGGCGGGTTGAGAACCCCATTGTCAAATGCCCTGGCCTCGAATCCGGGAGCTGTAGTAGAGAGTGTCTTTTCCTTTATCCTCGTCTGCGTTGTTCCGGTGTTATAAAAAGGTGTGGAAGAGAGAATACTAACCCGCAACGTCTTAGTCTTTCGCAACCGAGTAGTCATTTTCTCAAGCAAGCGCAGGTTTTGCTGTGTAAGGGGGAGCACTCGTGGTGTCGCAATTGATGGGTTCTCAACCCTGTACTCAAACTGTTCCTTCCCAAAGACTGTTGAAGGATCAGAAGATGTCGGAGAGGATTGTGTAGTCGGTATATGTTGCTCTAGCCAGTGGAATATGGAAGAAAAATCAGTTTCTTCCTGGCTAACAGAGTCTGCCGGAGGTTCGGGAGTTCGCTGTTTTTTCCTTGGAGTTAAATGCTGAGGAGATTGTGTTCTTTGGCGTTTCCCAGTGAACTTCACACAATCAGATCTGTCGTTGGCTTGTATCTGTGGTATTGAAGGATCCTGGAAAGCCTCGTGCCGAAGGACTGCATTTCTGTAAATATATAGGTCAACAATATCGAAAGGATCTTAATGCTGCATGCATACCTTGACCCAAGGGGTCAAAATCTCCATGCTGTTCTGATACTGACGCTGTGTGACCCAAAGTGTCAGATCGCTTCTTAGACTCGCTGTCCGCCATTGTGGAAGAATGGCTCGAGGAGTAACGAGAGGGCCACCAACAACAACAGGGAGGCTAACGTCAACATGGACGATCAGAAGCTAAGATATATACGCGAGCCAAAGGCTCATGGAAGATTAACTTCTGATGAGATCTCATGTTCTCAATTTTGGGTTTCTCATGGATATAAGTCCGTATTTCAAGCAAAGAGTTGGAGGATGTGGTGCAGATTGCACAGGCCAGCTGGGCGGCTGCAAAAGCCCACATTGCTGTCCGCTTTGTGCATCGTTATGTCAACAAAGTTGTACTCGTTCCCCAGATAGTTCAATCAGTTGGTTGAAAAGGCATGAAGCAGTCTTCAAGAATTTGGAGTTTGGCCGACGGATGGTGTCGCAGCCAAAGAGCAAGTTGGAGAGATGTGAAGTTCAACAGATTTGCGCTGATTGGCTGCCTGGTCTTTGTAAGTGAGTGGGTCTGACCCCTGGTCACGCTAAATTAGTCCAGCGTTGAAGCGGGGCCCCCGCGAGACTTTGGATGGAACAACAGGGAAGCCAGACAGATCCCAGCGAGGAGCACATGCTTGTTGTTTCAACAACCAACACTCTGACATCTCTCCCAAAACCCTAGATCCGCCGCCAGCACATAGAGTCGTGTCAATCCTGTAAAAGCCTTGAAAGTAAAATGTATCACCTCGCCAAGGGTCTCTACCGACTGGCCACCAGCAAGGAGGGTAAGTGACAACCGCCCCTGGCTCGCCCCATCTATTGACAGGAACACGACGATCTCACATCACACAGAATACTCTGTCCTCCTCCTCGGTCTCGACAACGCAGGCAAGACAACATTCCACGAGCAAGTTAAATCCATTTACCTACCCGACAACCCACCTCCTAAACTCAAAACCGTCCCGACCGTTGGACAGAATGTATCGACTATCACGCTACCAGACATGTACCTCAAGCTGTGGGATGTTGGCGGACAACTAAGCCTGCGCAAGCTCTGGCAAAGTTATTACGCCAGCTGCCACGCAATCGTGTTTATCATCGACAGCACTGATATCGGCGACGGTGATCTGGAGCATGAAAACAACGGGCGTCTGGATGAATGTCGAGCGGTGCTTGAAGATGTGCTGCAGAACTCGGATGCGGAGGGAGTCCCGCTGTTGATCCTGGCCAACAAACAAGACCGCGAAGACTGCGTTGAAGTGGTTCGTATCAAGGAGGGGTTGGTCAAACGCGTTTTCGAGGGTGAGAAGTCCGGCGGCATCCGTGACTCTCGGGTGTTGCCTGTGTCTGCCCTCACGGGGACAGGCGTCAGGGAGGCGATTGACTGGATTAGGTCAAGAGTCAAATGGAACAAGGAGAGCCGGCCACCTGTTATGAGGTGACGGGCTTGCTGGTTGTGGGTGCCGTCTATATGGGATGTTGCTTGGGTCAGGCCTGTTTCCCATGACAGATCTTGACAACCGCTTGATATTCTTTGCTCCATGCTGAACGCATCACTTTAAACACATCACCGCGCCGTTAGGATCACATACGGCCGAATTTGGCTGTCAGATCGAGAACCGCCAACACCGCTCACCTCCGTGTCGGCATCTCCGAGCTTGCCCCTTTTTGGAATACAACCATAGCCTGTTAACGGAGCTTTGGCACTTTTTGTAAGCTTGACACCTTCAATAGTTGAAGGTGACCGAAGCCTGCAACAGCAGGTCAACGACCACTGAATTTGGTCTTAGAGCTCTGATTTCAGAGTGGTTACTTTGGGGGGAAAGGGCTGGGATACAGGGCAAGTTTATACAGCTCGGCTTATTCTGGGAAGCTGATGGGTTTCTTAGCTTTCCTAAGCTTGGTACCTTTTCTCAAGGGCGCAACAGTTAAAGGTACACTAGAGTCGAACTCTATCTAATCCCTAAGTCGATTCTGGTCATCTGTAAGAGACGCCATGTGTTGGCCTACCAAGCCGTGCGCAACGACTAAATGCTCCCTTGTGCTTCCAACGTTATTTGGGCGCCTTGTCCCCAAGAGATTCCAGACGTGTTCTGACTCGGGAACTCGTAAGCATTTCTGGGACTGGAATGCAGCCCCCAAGTCTTCCCTGTGCTGGGCCCTGGAACCTTCTCTAGGCGGCAGCCCGCTGGTTAATAGATATGGTATGCGGCTGAATTGGCCGCGGGTATCTCGAAGTGACATGCGGTCTTGAGGGCGATTCCCAACTAGGATCAATACGTTGTACGGCAGAGTCACCTGTCGTTTTCAGCCTTCAGCTCCTTCAGCAAGCCCCCTGGATTCCTTCTCTTGAAGTCCTCAGCCAACTTCTTATCCACCAAATCTGAAAACTCCTTCACTTTGGTCAAAGCAATACTTGTGCACTGCAATAATGAAACTGCTTCAACCGGAGTTCCTCCTAGCTTCGCAATCTGGCAGATCTCGCCGTGCTTGTTCATGGAAATCGTGCAGCTGCCAACTCTGACCTGTTCCTCCAACCACGTAGCATCCAGCACCGCAATCTCCCCCTCGTCGCCGAAAAAGCTCCAAGTAACGCAGAACGGGGTGTGCAGCCAGCTAAGGGGGACCGGTTCCCTCTCTGCGGGAGTGTAGATGGTCAGAACACCCGACTCAATGCTCGTATCAGGTTTCCGGAAGTGACGAAGGGCAGCAACGACAGCAATGCAAGCAGCGTCAACGAGATTGCCATCATGCGACATAACGTGGACGTCGACGCGGATTGACCAGCATTTTTGGCCAGCAACAAGACACAAGGACTCGGTATCGAGGGCGCCGGAACGGCGTATTGTCTTTTCAAGAAGTCGCGACAGCAAGACTTCGGTTTCTGTTGGCCGGTTGACTTCAAAGGTGGGAGAAGTCATGGGGCTGAGCTCAGTCGCGATGGTGAAGATTCCATCGAGGGGGCGGTCGGCATAGGGAACGGTGACTTCGGCGGATGCCTTGGCGAGTACTCTAAAAATAATAAGCTACTGGCCAGATGCTGTGTTTTTACCAAATTGGTGAGAAGATGCGGCAATTGTTGTAAGAAATCAATACGCACCTCGTCTTGCCGAAAGTGACGTCGGCGACACCATACTGGTCACCAAATGTAAGACTCAAAGGGCGATATTGGTCAAGCTGGCGGCCATCGAGTCTGAGACCCTCCTGAAGGGCCTGGAGCACAAACTGCCTCTCGCTGAGCGACGGTTCTACTTCGCGTGGCATCTTGCGTAGTTCCCAACGCGGTGGAATAAGGCAAGGGCAGCTTCAATGATGAAGCCATCCATTGATTTGGTTGGAGGGGGCTGCTTTCTGCCACCCCACACCGCTTAATTTTGGCGTTTCTGCCAGGCGGTCAAGGCGCCGCAGACGCTGACGACGTGCCTGGGCTTGAGCCAAGAGACCTATTCATGTACCTTTGTGACGATCATCGCCAATCCTCATCCGCTTCGACGAGACGCTTGTCTATCTGCAGAATCAACATTATACATCATCAAAAGCTGCTTCACTGATGATCAGTAAGAGACATCACTTAAACTGACAAAGCCGCAAAATGACAACAGCACATAGGCCGACATTTGATCCGGTACGCGACACGCTCTTCAAGCGACAAGCATGACAAGCAGCTAACCTCTCCTTCTCAGGCCCGTGGCAAAGAGGCACTTCGTGGCCCAGCCTACCACCAGCGCCTTCTCCCCGCCTACACCACTCTCAAGTTTAGACAGCCCGGCCAGGGCGGCGCCGCGGACAAGAGCACTCGCGACCTTCGTGCTGAGCTCGAGGCGGCCGAGGCGGCGCACTACGCGAAGCTCAAGGGCGCCCCGATCCCCGGCACCTCCTCATCCTCCGAAAACAATACACCCGCAATCGCCGGCTCATCAGCATCTTCCGTAACCGGCAAGCGTCCGCTACCATCATCATCTAACGGTGGTGGGGACAGACCGCCAGACGACGGTGACGAAGACCCCGAAGCAAAACGACGACGAATCTTAGCCGAGACGCGCGATATCGACGCAGACGACGATTCATCATCTGGGTCAGACAAAGACTCTGATTCAGAATCTGGCTCGGCTGATTCGGACGACTCATCTGATGATGAAGAGGCAGAGCTGCAGCGCGAGCTGGAACGGGTACGGCGTGAGCGCATGGAGAAGCGCGCGCGTGAAGAGGCAGAGCGCAAGGCTGCTGAGGAGGCACGGCGTGAAGAAGAGATTGCTCGCGGCAATCCGTTGCTCAACAAGCCTGATTTTACAGTGAAGCGGAGATGGGATGAGGATGTTGTGTTTAAGAATCAGGCAAGGGGTACGGAGGATAAGGGGAAGAGGAAGGAATTTGTTAATGTGAGTCCCCCATATCGCAAGTCGCCTTAAGCTGCCATCACTCTGACATTTAGTTAGGACCTTCTGCGCTCTGATTTCCACAAACGGTTTATGAGCAAGTATGTCCGCTGAGACTGGCTCGTTGAGATACCCTAGGAGCGGACTGGCTGGGTTGAGTGTGAGTTTTCATTTGCATATACGTAATAACCGGAATATACATGTCTGTGGTCGTCGCAAATCCTCCACATTGTCATTTTATGCGTTGATATTTATTCTTCTCGTCTTAATTTGCCTTCCTGTCCTCTTTTTGGCCTCCATCTTGGCCAGCCTTATCGAACGCCCTCACAATCTCCTTGATACTCTGCCAGAGAAGCACTAGTCCTCACTGTCAGTTCCGGTTTATCTGTGGGCAATAATTATGCACCTACCAGCTGGGACAATGGCCCACGGCGCATTCAGGCCAGCATAATAGACCCAGTAGTACATGAACTCGGGTCGGCTGAAGACAATACCACGCATGCGCTCAGCATAGCCGCATGTGCCATAATAGAGCGCGACACCATAGAGGTGACCGATGCAGACAATTATCTGGACGATGTGACGTTGGGCCTGCTTCTTCTTGCCTTGGGTGATGTAGTAAGCTGTCAGGAGGGATAAGGGACCCCAGATGAGCTTTCAGGGCCATGCGTCAGCATATAACGAGAATGGTCAACACATTGGACTTGGGAGAGGGTAAGTACAGTCGTCAATGTCTCGATGCAAAGCATAAACGGGTCAGAGCTGAGATAACGTGAGTCCGACAGTCCATATTCCTTCCATAGTTGCGAGAACAGAGACTGAGAAGACGCGAGAGTCGCATGGTTTAGAACGAAATATCCTGTTCCCCGGTTAGACACCAACCCTTACAGACAAATGAGAACCATGAAGGTCACATACCCTCAAAAAAGATATGCAACCATCCGCCTAGCCTAGAGTATCAGCCGTGTCCATGTCTCGCGAGCCGCGTGGAAGGGTACGAACACAACGCGAACCACGCCACAACAAGCTGGTCCCCATAGCCCTTCTTCAGCTCCGGATTGCACCTGCGTGCAACGACTACTACACGGTGCACAAAGACTGAGATAAGGGCGCCAAAGCCGACGAGGATAACGGGCAATGACGCGACGTTTGGCGCATAGTTCTGGATGGGCGCGTCGCGTGGGAAGTACGGGTGAGAAATTTCGGTGTCTGGGGAATTAGCGGCGGTATGATGGGTCATTTTGACTCAGAAACAACTGCTTTCTCAGAGCGAAAGTGATGAAGGTTACGGATATGAAGTGCCTATTGCTGGAGCCAGGGGTTGAACATGAGCCCTTCAACGTGACAGGTTGGGTTCGGACGGGCGGTGGAGACCCGGCTCAGCCGATAAACCTTGACGCGGAGCGGCTCAGCCCTGCTTCGGGTACGATACCCGAGCACTAAACAGAGCAAAACGATAATTGAAACGCACAGTTGCAATGCCGAAGGCAATTTCGAAGCAAAAATATACAGGATAGTTCCCGGAAAGAGTATTATTATCTTTCTGCAAGTATTGCAGTCTTTCAATCGTCAAACCCGTCCCACTCATCCTCTTCCTCCTCGTCGTCCTTGTCGTCTTCATCATCCTCCCTTCCCCCATCATCATTCCCTCTCCCGGCACCCTGTTTCAACACAGGCATCCCATCCTGTCCTCTCACTATCCTCCCATGCTCATCCCTTAAGAACGGACCCTCGCCGTCATCATCATCAGGGTTGCTTAGCGATTTAATCATGGGTTCCTCCTCCCCATCGTCTTCCTCTTCCTCTCGAGCTCGTCTCAATGCCTCAAAATCTACCGCCTTCTGGCCCGTAGCCTTCAATGTCGGGATGCCATTCTCATCCCTGATTATCCGTCCATTCTCATCTCTCAGATACGGCCCATCATCATCGTTATCTCCTGAGTCCCTATCCCGTACAAAACAAGCCACAAAGAACCCCATCGTTCCCTTCCCATCTCCCCTTACTGTCCTGATGCACGCCTCAATTTCTTCGTCAGTCAGCCTTCTAATATCTTTCTTTCCCCCTGTCCCGATCTGTTTTACCCTTTTCTCTCCCCTCTCATTGCCCTCCACTTCCTCGATATATGCATCTTTGTCGCCACGAACGGGCCACTCCTTCATCCCTCTGACCATCTCCTCGCGCCTAAGGACCCTCCAACCTCTTGCTCGCGCAATAGGACTTGAAACAGCGGCAGCTACGACAGCCTCGTTCTCTGCTGCGTGTATAGAACATGTCGAGTACGTGATTTTCGTCGCAGCCGGGAACTTCATTGCGTGCTGGATGATGGCAAGCTGAAACGCAGCTAGAGAGGCGAGTCGGGCTTTGAAGGTAGCTGGTGAGGAGAGGACTGTTGTGTTGCCGTTGTCGTCGGCGACGGTTATATTTGGGTTTGAAGATGAGGGTTGCGGGAAACCTGAAGCCGTTGTTTGGTGTTTGCGCTTCTTTGGGTTTGACTTAGCGTTCTTCCCTTGCGAGGGAACACTAGGTAGATGGAACTCGGGTGCATCATCTCGCCCGACAATCCCTGTTCCGGAACAGCTCGGGTCGAGCAACAGTGCCCCGACATGGGCATACTCAGGAGCATAAGGGTCAACCTTGAGAAAGTCCTGCCCTCCACGGATGACCACGTCCCGATCAGCGCCTGCCATGGCAACCATCTTCTCGAGGGTCTTGGCCCTCTCTGGGTCCTTCTCGAAGGCAAATATCCTTTGCTTTCGCTTCTGACCTGCCGCGAAACCCCTTCTTGGGTGCAAGACAGCAGCTAGATGTGTCGTCTTATTCCCCGGTGCGCTGCAAGCATCAATAATATCCCCATCCTCGGTCCTAGGATCCAACAAGTACGCTGGGAAACAAGATGCCTTATCCTGCAAGATGATCTCACCCGCCTTGTACGCATCAGTCTTGGTGAGATCAACCCCCGGCGAAACAGCTAACAAATTTGGCACATGCGGATCGAGACAAAGAACCTTCTTCTCCATCCCCGCGGATGCAATCACCTCATCAATCCCAGGCACAACCTCAAACCCACGGAAGGTAGTCGCCAGCTGGTCGTCGACAGTCGTCTTAATAACATTGACGCGGACCCAGCGCGGGTGTACAGGGCCGAGCTGAGCTTCCACAGCAGCCTTGAGGGCATCAAGGGTGGGACATTTTCGGCGAATTCGGGCCTTTGTGAATTCCGCTTGTAGGCGAGCCTTGTGGCGCTCCACAGCGACGCGCAGGCCATGTGACGGAGGAAGGGAGATGCCCTTCTTTGCTAGTAGCAGGTCGTGCACTAGGAGGATGGCGACAGCGGGAGTGAGCTGATATGTGTGAGCCACTGTGTTATAAAGCGCTTGCTTGCCAATGAATCTTGGCTTACCTTTCGCTCATGTTGGAGCAGTTGAGAATTTTCAACAACCTCCTTTAAGATGGCACTCCATTTGCTTGACTCGAACGCGAGAGCATAGACTTGCGCCGGTGGTGACTTCAGACTCTTATTTCCATATATTCTTGTCTTGAGACTCCCCCCGGTCGATGGTCTGGTGAGGATGGCAGCGGTTTCGTAGTAGAGGGACATTGCAACTGGTGCTAATAAGCTACTTGAGAGAATCTCTGATCAGGGAAAGCGACATGAGAATCGCGGATGAAGCGCGTTTTGCGCTCAGACGCTGAGAGCGCAGTACTTCAATAAAACCGCTAACTCTCTCTGTAGAATGAACCTTCAAACCGTAAATCAGTTTTAAAAATCTCAGAGAAAACAAACATCAAGCTTGGATTCTGTAGACTGATGAGTTTGGGAAGGCTGTGCGATGAAGGCTCATCACTAGCTCCGAAAAATTTCATACAGGGACTGAACATCAATACCAGGGTTAGGGTTAATCGAGGTTACCACTTATCGCTAACATCTGTTATATGTACCTGTTGGCGAAAGCATCTCGATTGCAGCTGCTTGTGATTCTTTTGCATCAAATTCAAAGATATATCTTCAGAACTGTTCAAAGTACCCGCAACGTCCGGCGGGTACTGAGGTACAACTGGCACTCTAAGTCCCAGCGCAACCCTACGAAATAAGTATTCTTAGGATATAACGAAAGCGAACGTAAGAAACCTAAACGTCACCAAACCAATCCATGAAATCCAACCTTAAAACCGATTTCCTAAATGGTTTGACGAAGAAGGAACAAAGTCATGTCATCATGAAACCTGTTTCCAATCCTGGTATCATGTCCCATACGGTTCCTTGTGCCAATGCTCTATCTGGCCACCATGACCTGCTGTAGTGGTTAGTATCTTCAGAAGGCAATCCTGCGAGCGAATCCATCAACATCACAGCTTAACCCAAACGTGTTGAACCTGAATCCTGTCTGGTTCTCAATCCAGTCCATCATCTCCTACATGTCCGCTCCATCTAAATGCGAAACTTGCTCAACATATCCTCCAGGGTAACCTGAAAAGAGAAAAATGGCCGCTCTACACAAGGCAGAGCGGGAACAAAGATAAACAAAAGAAAAGAAAAGATGCAAAAATCTCCAATCCCTTCTAATCCAAGGCGATGAGGCTAATCAAAACCATTTACCTCCTTAGCTTAGCACCTCTCCTCGTGGCATGACCATGCCCATGCCTACGATCCAAACTTCCATGCTTCCGATGCTGATGCTTAGCCAAGTGATGCTCCAAATCCAACCCGGATAGACCGTGAAGCTCCTCCTGAGCATCACGCTTAGCCTTGGGAGCAGCAGTCGGCTCGAGGGTGTCGAGGTAGCACGTGGTCGTGACGTATACAGTCGTCGTTTTGTAGACATATTTTGTACGCAGGGCGCGAGAAGTTGTAGTCGTCTGCAGAGTGGTGCCTGGGGCCTCGGGGGTGACAATGGTCGGCTCAGGAAGGGTAGGGGCCACGGTGGACGAGGTGGGCGCCTGGGGCTCCTCTACCTTAACTTCTTCCTCAGGCTCGGGCTCTGGCTCGGGCTCTGGCTCGGGCTCTGGCTCGGGCTCTGGCTCTGGCTCGGGCTCTGGCTCTGGCTCGGGCTTGGGCTGAGGCTGAGAGTTGCCCTGGTTCGGAGCCGGTGAAGGCTCGAGGGTAGACGAAGAAGGGGCCGGTGCCGGTGCGTAGGTAGGAGGAGGAGCCGGAGTACCTGTTCCATACTTCCATCCAGCCAAAGGATTGTTGCCAGGGAGCTTCTCCATCGGACCCTTGACATCCTCATTGACAGGGCACTCGGCGTGGCATTCTCCAAATACCGCCTCGGGGTTTTCCCACCTCTTCAGCACTGCGTTACACGCGTGAAGACCGGCATGGCCTGTGTTGCACTGCTCATCAATGATCTCCTGCAGCAACGCCTCGTCCCAACCAGAGATAAAATCGCCGTGAGCCGAGAAGCCAGTAACGTCACCGTTGGCGAAGACCCAGGGGCTCTCTTTGCCGATCAACTCAGCGAAGCGATCCCGCAGCGAATGCGTGTCCCAGTAGGCCTCATAGAAGAGGTGCGGTACGTGAATCCAACCCTTCGGGCAGTCAACCTTGCCGTCTGCCGTAGGAGTCGGGAAGGCCATGTTCTCACGGTAGTTGGTCAGGCCGGCGTTAGGATTGTAGCATGACGGGAAGTGAACATCCACACGCAGTGGCGAAGCATAGCCGTCACAGTCCTGGAAAGGGAAGCCAATGCCGGCGCCCTTGTTGATAGGGTCTCCAATGCCTGCAGACGACCCATCGGAATCAGCGGGCCAGTTGGGAGGATTGAAGCTGGGATCGAGACGCGGGCAGGTAATCTGAACAGGCTGAACTGGGCCCTTCGATGGATCTAGCTGCAATGCACCGGTCTTCGCGGGAGCCGTTCGAAGCTGAGCGTTGCCGCTAACCATATGCAGGCCCAGAGGGAATGCTTTTAGATCATCGTTAGTTGCTTCGAAGAAGTAGTAGACGTTCATATAGAAGAAGGGAACCAGCTCAAGAAGTCCTGTCTTGGGGTCCTTGAAGTAAAGGGATGGAAACCAGTAGGCACTCATGTCGCCTGGAACCAGAGCCGTAGTGCAACGAGACTGAAGCAGTGACTCGCCGGTTGAGTTGAAACCAAAGTTGCTGGCGCCCATGACTGTGTGTACATGAGCTGAAGGGCCGCCAGGGGAGACAATGGGGTCAGCCCGGCAAGTCGTCAGGGGCCCACCACCACGATGACGCAGCACCGCGAATGTGCTCTGCTGTCTAGCTGCACTGGCGCCAACCACGAAGGCGGCTAAGACCGTGGTGAAGAACATGTCGTTTCCCTTTGTATCAACAAATTGTGGGGTAGTGTCGTTGTGGTTGCTCGCTAATCGTCAAAATGCTCTCTAAACGAAGCTCGCTCGAGTTGGGAGGTAAAAGACCAAAGCCCAAGTCTCTGGGACTCTTGGGATTAAAGCTGGATTGTATTGCCCTCAATGCCAGCGTATGTGTTGCAAGATGCGGTCCACACAATGGCAGATGACTGCAATTGTATTACTCTCGACCAAGGAACAATGAGGACAACGGGCCAAGTTGATGATGAAAACGGCAAAGGAGCGGGCAGGTGCTCAGCAGGCTCAGCAGCTTGAGATGAAAGAGAAAGCAAGAGCGGGTGCCTCAGACCCAAGAGAAGGAAAAAGGAGAGACTGGCAGCTGGAAAGTTGCCGAGAAGGGAACGACAGCTCGGCCCGATGAGAGCAACCTGGACTCCTGGAGCTGACGATAGACAAACAGCAAAGCTGGGAATGGAGAATAAGACGAAGGAGAAAGGGACCGCGAGAGCGGGGGCCGGATGGGACAGTGGCTCAGATATTAAGTATGCTACGGAGTCTGCGGCGGAGCTGAGCTGGGCCGCCCTACCGGCCAACCATGACAGGCCCGGACGAGGAGGTGGTGCTGATGTGCTGCTGATGGATGCTTGGTTCCACTCACAGCGCCCACCTCATCCACAGACACAGCTCCGCTCGGCGCTGCAGGGTCGGATCGCGGCCATGGATTGGCAGACTTGGCAGGCACAGAGACGGGCTGGAAGAAAATGAATGGCTCGGCACCTGGAAGGATTAAGAGGCGAAGCGTCTTCCTTTCGTCAGGATATCAAGAAGAAGGGGGGAACCAGGCCGCGAAAATTTTGAGGATTCAGGCACTGAGTTCCATCGGCAAGGGTCTTGTTTAGAAAACTGCCTACTAACCTTCCAAATCTGGTATCTTTAATGGCATATACGGTTATCTCCTCTTGACGTCACCCTGCTGAGCGGCAGTTAACTGGTCCTGAAGTCATTTCCTCGCCCTCAGCAACCGCTTATGGTCCAAGTATGGGATGAGAGAAGGGAGCCATACACAGTAGGACCTGTCTCTCGTGTTGCTAAGCTGGACGACAAAGAAATTTGCGGATTGGCGGAGAAGTCCAGTGCAATGTGGCCGAGAGCTAACCGGCCTGTGACGATGTGTACCTGCGTTTTGCAGCATCCGGTACTATCCCATTGGTCAATCGACCGCCGACACACACTCCGAGGATTAAGGTCAGGCATCAAAGCTCAAGTGTAGTGCAAAAATTGCAGCCAAAAAACACAGAATTTGCCACACAAACTTCTCGATTCTTGGCTTGCCATAAACCCCAGCCGCAAAGGTTCCGTTTCCACAGTGCCTAATGCTACCACTGGCTTGGGTCATGATTTTCCCACTTTCCATCCCGCCGGTCCCCGGAGCATTTCATCCACAACGTTAAACAACGTTACTGATGCCTTAACCTGAGGTTGCACCAGCTTGACATCTCCGAACTGTTTGAACTACGTCCCTAAGTACACAACAACAGTTAAGGACCAGATGTCCCATCAGCGTTCAGATATCCATTCCACTCTCTTCGCGCCGGTTCGTCTCACCAAGCCCAAAAAGCTCGGTAAAACTCTTGTGCGCCCGTGGAGCCAACCTAAACGCGCGCCAGGGAACACAAATCAGCGCCCTTTGATCCCCGCTGGAGAGCGGACCAGCCAATCGGCAAATCTCAGTGGAGATGTTTTGTTTTGAAACACTCCAACCAAAACGGAGCTAGCCACATCCTTGGCGCTGCTTCCAAGCCTTCGACGGCTGGCAGTTGACTTCGCAGTCACCAGCTGTATGACAGCTGTTACAAGTGCTCAAGTAAACAAGTGTTGCCTGAGCTGCATCTGCAGGCTAGGCTTCAAACCAACGTGTCTCTCGCTGTTTTTTTTTTTTTTGTGAACACTCACTTCGGCGGCTTGTTGGGCGTTCTACGTCTGGCCAACCTTGGGCCCGGGTTTGCTGTTTCATTTCCTAACCTTCCGATAAGTGCTTACCTAACAGTACAAGATGTGCCGGGGTTTGTTTTGCTGGCTCCTTCGCAAGAAATGCTTACCCAAGAGTGTCCAAGAGCACCACAAAACTTCGCCAAGGAGTTAACAAAAAAAGGCACCCCTGTACATCCACAGCCGTCGGTCCGTCGTGGCTGACACTACTCAAGATCCCTTTTATCCGTCAATAATAACATGACCTTGTCAAGATTGATCCAAACTCCCGGCGAAATCCGTTGTCGTATTAGGCTTGCATTCACATGCGATGGCAGAGTGACTGACAATTGTCCTTACCTGACAGAAGGTAGCTTAGGCGGGGATAACCTCTGAGGGATTCCTTTTCAATGCTGAACATCCACAGTAGCAAACATCTTGTGTGTGACTGCTCCTACGATGCGACCGACAACGTGAGTCACCTTTGAGTGGAAGATACTAGATAGATGCACACCCCAACACTGCTCCTATCAACCAACCTTCCTTCCACATACAGGAGCTGCGCGGCCCCCAGCAACAACATCTGTTTGTCAGTAGGGCAACGGCACAGGAGACCAACCATAGGACCCTGATAGGTAGAAGCACATGACAAACCCAACGTCGGTTAGCTACCTATGCTCGCTTCACGCTGCCGAGCGATGCGTGCGTACCTGCAGTAGCCCCCCCATCCAGGGTAGCTTCGTGGCCTCCCGTCCCTTGCAGCAAGCAAAAGTTTTCCAAAACCCCTCACCTTAGTCACTTACCCCTCGCTAGCATTGACGACGTGGCCATCAACACATGGTCGAGTTCATCCGCTTTTGCGCGATGACGCGGGATAAGCTCGAAGGCTTTTTGGTGGCACATTTGGTCTGTGGGTGTCCCACGTGCGTGATATCATGCCTCTCCGGACTCTTTGGGGATCCGGCAACTTTCCCAGTTATACAGGGTACGTCATCGTCCAACTTGACTTACAAATGCAAATGTGTCGTGGTTAGAAAATATTCCAATGGCACAGCCCAGAGTCAAACAATGAAAAACCTGTCTCTCAATTTACATATCAAACTCTTATCGCCAGCCAGTGGTAATCATTTGAAACTAGGACAATACCAAGCCAATGATCTGTTTATAATGCCGTTGGAACACCCTGACTTCTGGAAAAGAGACCTGTCAATGGACAAACTCGCTTCACCAAGATTTGCACATGTCACTACCCGATGATGTGGCTGGCTAACCGGGTAAAACCTTACTATCCTTCTGTCTGTCCATTTTTGGCATCTACTGGCTGTCAAGAAGCTCGCAGACCTGGATTGTGAAAAAAGTTCATTATACTTGTAGACGTGAGGTCAAAAGCGAGGAAAAACTCAAGTTAAGCTCCGAGGGTCAAGGGCAGAGGATTTTGACTTTGCTAGCAAATATTCAGCTTCTGAATATTCAAAAGTAATTTGGGAGTAAGTGAGTAGCCTATGACATCAGCGTTGCCTAATATTGAGGAAACGTCCAGTTGAGGTGGCCTTCCTCGTTTGACTGGGTAGGTGGTAAATGAGCATTGGTGAGACGTCTCTACACTGGATGCCTTCTGGAACATATGCTCCTTCAGAATTACATACATCAGTTCTGGGCGACTTGAAGAAAATCCCAAAGCGATCCTGGCATCCCCAACACCCAATCACCCTATTTTTCAGCCCTACCAACTTTTGTCCCCTTCACGAAAGTGCCGATTATTATACCCATGTTTCACCATCCTAAGAAGCCCCGAACACAACTAAATCCCACATCACTCCAGAACCAACCAATCCCTCGTAACTCTCCTTGCTCCCTCCACATCACCCAGCAAGTAACACAAACTCCTCACATTGTACGCCGCTTCAACCTTGAGATCCTCGTTCCCCATTGCCCCTCCCCCTTCCCCATTCTTCCCTGCTGCATCCTCCTCTTCCAACACCTTTCGATAGTACTGTACAGCAAGGTTAGCCAACCCAATCAACGAGTATGCTCGCGCGATGTTGAAGTGTGCCTCCTGTCGCTCGGCGACCGTGGCCTTGCCGTCACGCAACCGGTCGCGGTAGTACCGGAAGAGAAAGGCGAAGCCTTGAGTTAGGAGGTATTGCCGATTGGTGGCCTGACGCTTGAGGGCGTAGTGTACGTAGGCTAGGCCGGTGCTGAGATTGATGAGGCAGTTGTGCGGGTCGAGAGAAGCCGCGCGAGCGAAGTAGGACAGTGCGTATGTGTAGGAGGTCGTGGTGAAGAGAATGTGGCCGTAGATGGTGAGGAGGGCAACGTCAAGTGATATGTCTTTGGCGGCATCATTCTCTTCTTGCTTCTTCATGACGATGCTGTCCATAGTTTTGATCTGCCGCAGGATGAACTTTTGTGCCGGGCCCGAAGTGTACCATGATACCGGAGTTTGGCAGACCCGACACATAGCTGAGAACATGCGATATGAGTCTGTTCCTGGCATGTAGTCACGCATGAAGTATCTTGCGATGGCAACACAGGTTTCTTCGTCGCCGGCGTACACAGCGCACGATGCCCACGCAACGTGAATCAAGAAAGTCGACTCCGTCGACGTCCACACAATCGAGTCGCGCGCTGCATGGCAGACCACATACGCATCTCGATGATGACCTGACCGCACCAGTGCAAAGGCATAGTTGAGGAAGACGTCCAGCCAAACGTCGAACGAGACGCCCCGATGCTCCGGGGGGAACCGGACCGGCACCCTGGTTGGCTGTCCCTCCTGGCCTTCAGGAGGCGCAAGTCCCTGACGCAGACGCTCCTCCATGGCCGCCAACTTCATGTTCCGCATCGGCACTGCTGCTTGACCATGTACAACTGTATTGTATCCCAAGTAACGGATGTACTTCTCCCAGGGGTAGAACTGCTTGTGCGAGCGGAAGTCGTCAACCAGTTCCTTGGCCGCGCGCATCCAGCCCGCCTTGGCCTCTTCGTCGCCTGCAATCGCTCTGTCCTGTAGCTCCCGTAGAATCTGGAAATTCTTGGCCGCTTCGGCTGCCATCTTCGCATCCTGTTCACGCCGCTTCTCAGCATTGATAAGACGCCGCGGCACGTACTTGGACTTGCGATTAGGGTCTCGTGGTTTTCTTGGTCTTCTGGGCCCAGTTCCGGGTTTCCTTGAACTGTACGGATTACGTCGTCTGCGAGCTCCAGGATCTCCTCGTTTTGCTTCCAGGTTGATGGCCTCTCTGACAAGGAGGAAGGCTTCTTCACGGCCCTCTTGCTCTTCTCCCTCATACATGTTGGCTAGCTGCACACGAGCCTCAATGTGGTCTTCATCTTCCTCGATCGCAGCAATGAAGCATTCTTCAGCCGCTGCCTTGTCCCCGAATGCCATGTGGCAGCGGCCCTGACAGACGAGAAAGTCGGCATCCAAGGAATTTTCTGGTCCATTGATAGTGGTAGAAATACTCTTGTAGAGGTCCAGGTACCTAACCGCCTCTGACGCTCTACCAGCATCCAGTAACGCAGTAGCAATGTCCTTGAGGCAGTCAGGGAATGCCATGAAGTCCTCTTGCCTTGTTGGGTCCAGCAACTGGAGATGCAAATCCGCCTCGTACTCAAGGCCCAGCTTACAGCGGTAGACATACAGCTTCGCGCGCAGGTCGGTTGGTAGTCCCATGCCATAGGCCTCCTGGGGGTATTGAGTCGGAACAAACTCAGGCACGTGGATGCGTCTGTCGTCGTGAACGTCAAACTCCCTGTCGTCATCAACGAACTGTTCCCAGAACGTCTCAGCTTGACGACCAAGCAGCCAACGAGCAATCTCTTTGAGCTCCCTTGCCGCCTCCTGCCATTGCTCAAGGATGTTGAAAAACTCGAGGTAGATGCGCAAGTCGGACCACTCGAAGCGACCTTCTTCGGCTTCATACGTCCCGATGGCTTTCAAGTGATCGATTAACCTTCGATAAGCGCCCTTCGCAACCTCTGCGCTTTTTCGGGGGTCCTTGACGTCAAGGGCGACATCGGCAATGTTGCGGACCGTGCGAATATTCCATGGTTTGTAGTTCAAGGCCTTTTGGTACTCAATCAATGCTTTACTGGCATTACCCATCATCATAATAACATCCGCGCGGCCAGTACGGGCGACAATATTGGACCGATCTGTCTCCAGTGCTTGAGTATAGCATGCGTACGCCCGCTGGAGTACCTCGTCCTTCTCAGGAGTGCCATCTTCCAACTCGTCTATGGATTCTAGCGCGTATTCAGCCGTGCTGATCCATTGCTGCACATCGCGAGGAGTCAAATGAGCAGCAGAGATGCGACACCAGATGGCCTGTTCCCGATTCCCAAGCTGTTCATGCACTGTCGACAGCAACATCCACGCATTGAAGACCTCGCTGTTGATCCGAATGATCTCGCTCAACTGGGCAATTGTGCCTTCGTAATCCCCTTGCTGGAAGGCCTCGTTGGCCAAAGACATGCGAAATTGAATCTCCGGAGGAAGTTTGGCTGGTTTCCTGGGCCCCGTTCTTCTTTTCTTTCGAGCAGCTGCCCCAGCCTTTTTAGGAGTAGGTGGCTGATATGGAATACCAGCAGCTTCGGCACGCTGACGGGCGACAAAGGCTTCTTGCTGCGCGTCGAAACGCTCGACTTCAGCACGTAGCTCGCGGGCATCTGAGTCGATCGAGAGGTTGCTCGCCACTTCGTCGTCTTGGCCTTCATCCATAGGAGCCGTCGGCTCTGAGACGGTTCCCCCATAGATTCTAGGGTCGATTACGCTAATTGGAAGAGGAGGGGCTGTGTGGCGAGGTTGCGAAGCGAACACGACGGACTCATCGATATTCATTCCATCCATCTTGAGCGGGCTGAGAACGGATCCTGTCAATGGTTATGCAATGCCCCGAGTCTGAAAACAGAAGTTGATATGCCGGTAGGCATCCAAGAGGACAGCTCAAGCAATGGCCGCAACCCTCCCATGAACAAGTAACTGAGCCTGGGTGTCAATCTCGAACCCTTTAAAAAGTGTCTTGCGGCCTTAGCCAAACTGAAACCAGAAGTGCCAATGCGTGTATGGTACTGTGTAGAGGAAACTGTATTGGTGGCTGATCGATCCTAAACCATAGGAGAACATGTATGTTTGCAAGAAATCTGTAGATAGAGGAATTGCCTTTAGTCGATACACTGTGTATTAATTGGGGAGTCTTTCGCAATGTTGGAATGTTCTTGATTTGGCGACGTATTTTGCTTGAAGTTTTAGATGTTAAAAAAGCAGGTGGAACTGGGTGTTGCACAGAATCTCGAGCTAGAAGCAACACATGTTTTAAATGTACTGTGCTTATCGTGCACCGTCACACTGTGTACATCAAACTATATCTACCTAAGGTAGGCAACTACCTACTTTTATCTTCGACCAAACTTCGACGACACCTAAGGACAATATCTTAGGAGATTCCTGATTCAAAGGATACAAAGGTTTTTTTACACTAGTTGTTTTCATGGGCTGACTAAGGTCAGCCTACTATTCTGCACTAGCCTGCCTTCCACGCCCCGCATGTCAGAGAGGATGGTACTTCATGCTGGGACTCTAGAAAAGAGGCAGGTTAACTGCTAATGCAGAGGACACTGATCACTTTATTAGTCTCCATGCTTGCCAGTACATGATAAACTGATCACACACGTACAAGCCAAGCCGAACTGTTGGCTAGCAGTGTTGGTGAATCGAAGAAATGTTGCCGTCTCATCCCTACATCCCCCATATTGATCATGTTGCCAAGGCATGCAGAGTGGCTAGCGCTCTCTAATTGACAGGTTTCGGATGTTAATGATCCAGCACTCAAATTCATTTTCAAAAGCCCATCAACAGATACAATACCTACAAATGCCATCCAACCTAGCTCATTCCTCCGCCAAAGAAAGTGTGCAGCCAGCCTGGCAGTGTGCCCCTAAAACAAGAGGTCCGCATCCAGCAGAAAAGATGCAGTTGGAAGGACATACAAATCCGAAAGAAAATTATCATCATTATGAAGGAAACTCGTTTATTCGTCCGTCCGCTTGCCAACTCTCTGGGTTGGTAAAGCAAAAGAGACTAGACCAGAGTCCTTTCCAGATATTGAAGAGTGGGTAGGAAAAGTAAAGGACCAAGGTAGGTATCCACGCTTGCGCCTGGCATCAATTACTTTGTACTTTTCCCAAATCCCCAAAACTAGTTTCCACCTCTAAAGCTCGAGGCAGGCAATTGGTAAGCGAAGCTAGGTATGTAGAAGTAGGTAGCATCAACTCATCAGAAACTGGGTAGTAGAGTGGCAAAAATGGCTATCCTCAAAAGTTTGAGAGCAAAAAAAGACACAAAAAGAAAAAAATGAAAAGAAAATGAATATGACTCATGTTCCAATGGTGGCGCTAGTCACCATCCTGCCTTCAGTTGCCCAAAGTGGCAGTCGTACAAATCTCTTCTATGAGTTCCCCCCAAATAGGCCGTTATCTCCTGATCTCAAGCGGGCGTTGTAGATATGGGAAGCAGGCCACTAGCCCGGAAGCTTCCCCTCTCTCCTGGCCTCTGTTGCAACTTAATCAGCATCTTGTACTTTTGAAACGGACTGTCATGAGACGGGACAAAGACTCACCTTTGACCTGCTCGAATACCTTAAGCATCTTGCGTCTAGCACCCAGCGCATTGACGCCACGCTCCTCAAGCTGCTTGTCATCCAGCTCAATGAGCTCTTGCCACTTCATATCCTTGAGATTCTCCGTGTACTTGTGCAGGCGCAAGCTCCGCAGCCAGGCAGGGATGTCCTGCAGAAGTGTCGGGTCGGTAGGATCCTCAGGAGGCTTTGACGTGCCTCTCCGGCCACGCGGAGACCGGCCGCGAACCATCTCTGAGTGGTCCGAATGGTAGCCTTCGTGGTGCCCGCCCAGCCCAAATTGCGCAAAATTCACTGGAGCCAGTCCATTAGGCAAAAGAGTCGACGCACCGTTATAGGCGCTCAAGAAACCATTATTTTGCGGAGAAGCGAAGGGCAGCGCCGGCGCCCCGTAGTTCTGCAGCGCGATACCAGGAGAGTTGGGCCGCGACCGGTGCGCAGCAAAGCTCATGTTCTGCTCCTGTGGAAGCATCATTTGATCCCGGCCTAAGGTGCCAGTGCTATGATCGCTGACGGTAATCGTTCCGGGAATCGCTGGAGCACCCGAGCCTAGAGTGTTGTTGGCGTTATTGTTATTATTCTGGCTCTGACCACCCGGCTCATTCGACCGAGCACGGCGGTACTTGCGAACATCATCGAGCGCGAACCGATTATTGACAGTTGAGAGAGCCGCAAGCTTCATGGCCGTGGCATTCGCAACCATATCAGCAGCGGCGGCGGGGCTGTTCACCTGCGCTTGGCTGAAGGTCGGCGCCAAGGGGGTGTTTACCATCGAAGCCCAATTACCACTACCACCGTAGGGAGACAGGAGGGGCAGATCGGTAAGCGGTTGCTCCGGCGCAGTAAGCGTGGTCGACTGGATATTGGTGTTGCTCGTAATCTGAGGACGGGGAGAACGCAAAGCACCAGCCGATGGGGGAGGCTGCACAAACTGACCCATCGGAGCCTGTCCCATGGGGGTTTGGCCAATGGTCGAAGTCTGACCCGAGGACTTAGGACGTGACGGATCATTGGGATTAGGCCCCCAGGGTGAAGCAGGATTCTGTTCCTCTTTGGGAGCCGAAATAGTCGGGGCAACCAAAGAATTACGATTGTCCACCATGCTGTTCCGAGCCGAGCTAGGAGTGGTGCCCATCTGCTGCGCAAACTTGGCCTTCTCCGAAGCAATGGCCGCAGCGGCGTCGGGGAACATGGCATTGATCGTCTGGGGATCGAGACCTGACGAACGCTTGACGTTCGTGCTGCCGCTGGGGCGAGCCAACGAGTTCCGAGCCGAATCGTTAACATTGAGTTTGCTCATAGCGTCGCTCAAACGGTTCGACATGGGGTCTATAACAGCATGTTGTCAGCACAACTAGAGCAATAACCGAATTTACGAGAGCGAACAGAGAAACAAACCCTTATCAAAGTTCGCAGGAGACAGAACGCCCGCCAGAGGGTGGTTCTTCGCCATCTGCTGCAAGACCTGAATGAAGAAACGGATCTGGACCTGCGTGGCCTGCTGAAGCAACGCATACAGAGCAGCCGTGCGTTCGGCTTCGCTCAAAACGCGAAACCACTGCTCAATAGCGCTCAGTTCATCCTTGAAGTCCTGGTCGAGAGTTGCAGCAGCCATTTCCTCGAGTGTGGTCTCGCACTGGTCAATGTCTGCAATCCACTGCTGGGCGAGCTTTTCCTGCGGGTCCAGGTCGGCGTTACCCTGACCGGACCCGGTATGCACCTGGCCATAGAAGTCGGACGAAGGTCGGATCCTGCCCGCGGCACTTTTTCCGGTTAAGGAAGCCATGTCGGCCGACGCACGAAGACCGTGGGGGGTTGAACCGACCGCGCGCGACGAGGGCGGACGCAACGACGAGATGCTCGAGGCCTCTGGAGTGCTGTTGCGGTTGCTCATGATGTTGGACATGTTGAGCATGATCAGATCGAAAGCCAAGAATGGGTGTCGAGAAACTGTCAAGTTTCTCGGTACAACGATGTCCGGTCGAAGGGACGATGGAGAGGAGAATCAAAACAAACGCCTTTCCTTGTATGTTCTGGATGGAATAAATCGCCCAGTGCCAGGTGCCTGAAAGATGAAACAGGACTCGCGGCTGATGATTGACAGTTAGCGGGTGCAGATAGAAGCAGGGCGGCCGTGCAGCAAGTTTTGGCAGTGATTTTTGGCCGGATTGGGATTCGTGCTATGGAAAAAGACGTGCGCTGCAAACATACCAAGGGGTCCTAAGATAGCAATCGCATATGCATGCGCAGGATGATTAATTTTTTCGGGATAGGTATTAGACTCGCAGTCGCAGACCTTGCTTTGAAAGTCGATGCGAAGATGGGATGTCACGAATAGGCACAAAGATTTCGAAAGCTCCTGCAGTAACCCGCTGGCCTCAAAGGAGGTTCGAAACTTTGCAGCGTCCCAGAGAAAGAAGAGTTACCCGAGGGCACGAGATACTGTGTGTCGAGTTAGCGGAGTATTGATGTATTATTGAGATGTTGCAAAGATATGCATCAGGCAGATCATCCGGGCAGGAGACTGGAGTTTGAAGTTGGGGATTGAGAGACGTCGGCAGTGTTCTGTGAGGCACATCCACCGCCAAAGACCCGTCTGAAGTCCAATTGTGCCTGGTCTTCGCGGCAAAGACAATAACAAAGGCAATGAATGACAGAAGTTCGCGCAGTCAATCTGCTGCTAATGCCTGCAATCCAGGACCAACGCAGCGTAGCCCTGTACTACGATCAAAGCGCCGACCAGACGGGACACTGAAGCATCAGACAATCAAAAGGGAAGAAGGGAATGGGCTGCTGTGCATCGGGTCGAAACACATACCCATTAAAGTAGCTTCCAGACTATTCAGAAAACTGGGCGTGCCGAATCGAAGAGGACAGGAGACGAAGAGGGGAAGAGAGAGGTGGTGTTGCTGGGTTCCGTGATGGACCAGCCGAGGACCTCGAGGGAAAGAAAGTGAGAGTGGTGAGTGGGTGAGGTGGTTTCGCGGTGAAGCGAAAGGGGGAGAAAATGTGAACAAAAAATGGACAACCGACAGCCCGAGCAAGGTCTGGGACACGGCGGGCACTGGAACACTGACAACTCGAAACTCAGGTTGGGGTCTGGCCTGGGCAAAGCACAGAACACAGAACGGAGCCTGGAGGTACTGGAACCTTAAAAAGCCAACCGGAACCTGAACGATGGAGTGGAAAGGACGACAGGCCCAATCGAAAGCGGGCCCCGGATTTGGTCCCAGCCGCTCCCAGCTGAGCCTGGCACCTTAGTTGCCCATCTTGGCTGTTCAGGGGGGCCGCCCCCACCCAGCAGTGTTTCGTCTTTTCTTTGACGTGCCGTTCGGTCCCGCATTGGAATCTGGGACTTGATTGTCAGGACTTGAAGATGTCCATTGATGGAAAACCAAACTGCAACATAGAACCTTCCATGAGCGTGTGCTCTAAAGCATCGGATTCCTTATCTAGATTGGAATTTTACTGAATGTGTCTCGTTTCAGATACTGCTGCGTCCATTGCCCAAGGACTCGGTTGCAGGTACGTCGTCTCATTCTGTGTCTTTTAACTCCTGACTTTCTTGAAGGGCAGACGCTTCGCTATAACGTTTTAGCTCATCATAGCGTGCCAACAACCTCTGCTCCTTACGACATTGGCAGACAAAAAGCTAATCCAGAAAACAGGGGCTGGTGGTGTGGGCAGGGCAGTTGTAAACGGACAAAGTGTCTGTCGTCAACGACTTCCTTAATCGCTGACGGGGTATAGAATCCGATATGCGTGCAGTTCGAAGTTGGATAGGGTGGCCAGCTCCCTGTTCCAAAGGCATTGGCAAGCGTCATTGGAAGCTCCCAGGAAAAACAAAGTCATTGCTTCACAGTTTTACCGTGTCTTGATATAGATGGCAACAGAGTGATGCATAGGGTGCCAAATTTGATTCAAGATCACAATAGTACAATATTGTCGGAGCTACACCAGCATGAACCTGTATCAGAAGGCTTCCACTTCTCAATTTCGAAGCTGTGCTGATTACAGAGGGACCAGATTTTGATATACACGGTAAAGTCTTCGGTAGACCAATGTTAAAGGCTAGGCTTCCCCAGGTTACACAAAAATGGATGGCATTGACAGGGAAAACTGATACAAAATGAATGGAGGGTCCGGGCAAGTATGTTGCCTGGCTTTCATGCACCTGAGTCTTTCGGAAGAAGAGCAGAGGTGTTTGGTAATAGCAAGGCAATTGATCTTGGCACGGTTAATCCTTCAGCGAATGAGCACTGAACAAGCCCAAAGCTGTACACACTAATGCCGTTCTTCAGGTTGACTGTGAAGTCCTGGGACAGAAATAAGGTTGGGAAAACAAAGGGAACGAAGGACAAAAGCCAGTTATAGAAAAATTACCAGGGCATTCTCCTCACACGTTGGTCATGATTGTCATCACACGCTCGGGGTATCTTGCTGTCTTAGATCGGGTCGAGTCGCAGTCGAGGAACAAGAGGGGGTGCACCCTCGGCTGTTCCGCCTCTAGCACGAGGCCCATGTATTCCGTTGGTTGATCGAATGAACGCCCTAGAAAACACCAGAAACCGGCCCAGTAGTGACGATGCAACGAAATTGTCATCACCGCAGAAACCCTTCGTCAAAGGTCATGATCCGAAGATGCCCCCTCTCCTCAGCCCCGTGATGCAAAGACAAGGGATGGATTTAAGCCCGCTCACGCTTGCCCTCCCGGAGCTCCTTCTGCATGGGGATGTTAGTCACCAGAACTGAGCTCGGGCAGCTCTCGACCACCCAGTCCATCGGGGGAGGGGAATGCATACCAGAGCCTTAGCTGTGCCGTGCAGAGCATGCCTGTGATTTCTCCGGAACTTGGGGTCGACACCCTTCAACGAGGGGTACCTCTGGGTCTTGGGGCGCTTGATGCTGTCGAAATAATTCTATTAGTCTCCGGTATTATCAATGCAGATAGTCTTCGTCAAAGCTCGTACCCATTGCGGTGCGCCTTGCGCGACTGGTTGTGCTGGGACGCGTTCTTCGACTCTGTTGAATTTGTCAATCTCTGCAACTACAAAAGAGTCTTTCGGCATAGGGAGTCACCTACTGGCCATTGTGACGGATTTCGACTCGAAGCAAGACGGTGACTGAGGTCTCGTAGCTAGGGTGCAAAGTTCACAAACGCACAGAAATTCGAGGAAATTTGGCTACCCTAATTTGGTGGGTGTGGCTGTTGAGGTTGATGGGGCTGGGTGTGGCTGGTGCAGGGAAAATTGAGCTTCTACAGGGCCGTCAAAAATGGCCATCGTAACGTGTTAGGTACCATAGCACACGAACGCACCTTGAAATAGGGGCACAACCTTTATTGCCCATACCAAAATGATTTGCCTTCGAGAAAAAGTTATACGTGCATTTTAAAGTGAAGAAATGCACACTGAGAAAGTATTGCACTTAACACTACGTCTGCATTTACTGTCAGGTTGAATATACGCCGGAAAACTATACGACCGAATACAACCTTTTCCTGTAGCTAGATGAATGGCACAATCAAATTAGCTTTTCTGGTCGGAAGAATGAGCCAGGGTCGTCCTCAGCAGGTAAAACCAATATTCTGTCGCGGAGTCTTGTTAATGGAGGTATTTTTTCGGCTTGAAATACTTTTATGGTTATATTGGCAGAGAGCGCATCCGTAATTGTAACAGCCAATCCCTGCCTGCTTCTCCGGAGGTATGTGTAAACCCCCCTATGGTAGTTCGAATGATCCAGTTCGTAAAGTTAACAACAACAAATTTAAACGCTTTTATTCCATTAAATCAAATTATTCTGGAGATCCGGGGCTCTCTCTGGGTTCTGGATCCGAGTTACAATGAAGCAGCAATGCGCCGCTGTTTGTTTTGCTCGCTCCTTGGAGAGGTTTTGCAGCATTCTTGGTCACTCTTGGGTGAGTATTCTTGCCATGGGGCTAACATAACAAACTCGGCACATCTTGTAGGCACTTACATCCGAACAACGTAGCACACAAGCGTTGAACGAGTGCCACCCAGATATTCAACCAAATGGGTTGAAGATGAATTGCAACTCGACTCAATTGAACTAGACAGCTAGCCCAAATCAATTGCTGATCATGCAATGCATTCATTATACTACCCAAGAAAGAAGAGAAAAAGAATCTATATGCGCTACCCACATCCAAATACCCGCCGCCGCCGCCGCCCCATAAGTCCACATCCGCTAAGGTATTGGCCCAACTGGACCTGAGCTCATCGGTCAGCCCAGCTTTTTCAATTTGAATTCTGAAGTTAATGTAGGTATGACATGCCGATGTTTCCTGCCACCTGAACCATGTCTCCTATTTAGTTCTTTATTTAACAGTAACGGGAGCAACAAGCTTTGCCGCGTTCGCCAGGTTGCCAGACTTGAGCTGCCGGGAGCGCATGAGCTGGATCCAGCGGATGAAGAGGATAAACAGAAGCTCGACCCTAAAAGTAGGTCAGTATATGTTGTCCTTAAAGCAGACGCTTAACGACCGAAACGTACCGCTCTTTCGTCATCATCAAGATACCCTGAACCAGCAGGCCCTTGAGAATTTGTGGTCCAATACCCTTGAAAAGGCTTAGAGGACCCTCATGTTGCACAATGAACTGCATAACCTCGACGAAGCTCTTGAAAGGCTTGCCCTGGCGGGCCGCAGGTGGCTTGGACTGCAGGCCGACCTTGGCGACAATGAGCGGCTGGGTCACAATAGTGGCAAGAGCCTTGGACATGGCACCAAGGACTAGGTAAAAGAGTCAGCATGTCCGAAGTTTCAGATTCCGAGGAGATCTCATCCTTACCGAAGGCCTCTCCGGGAGACAGGTTCTTCTTCCCAGGGAAAAGAATATCCTTCAACCTCTCATAGGCACCGTATGTGATAGACGGATTAACTACCAACACTAAGCTGGCCTTCAGCCCCCTCCATAGACCGGAAATGCCATCCTCGCCGATTATCTCGCGCGCCGTATCAAGAATGCCCTTGCGCTCCTCCTTGCTTTGCGTCTGTTGCCGAGTGGTGATAACAGCAACGGGGATAGTGAACAGCTGCGCCAGCGCGCCAGCGACAGCACCGAGAGACAGCTCAACCACCGTGGAAGGATGTGCCGTCGTCTTAGAGTACTTGAAATAAAGAGTCCGGACAACCGAGTACCAATAAAAATAGGCAAAGTTGGTCGATGCGACTCCAATCAAGCAACCACTCATTCCGGCGTACAGACCTGACAGGCCTTCGGCAGACATGATCTTGGTGAGGGCATCCCATGTCGATGCGTAGTGCTGCTCTTTAGAGTCGCCTTTCTCGGAGTCGGCAGTCTTTACTTGGACTTGGAGTTTTGTCTTCACTCTGCACAAACCGTCCTGGTCAGCAATTCCGCGGTGCGCAAATAATGGGCGTACATGTAAAGAGTGACGCACAGGTCAAGAGGATAAACGAGGGCATTAGCAAGAACGGCGCCAGCAGCGCCAGCAGTTGCTTTACCCCAGGGCCCAATTGGGGCCGGCTTTGACTGCACCGCCATCTCTATGTGTCCTGCTCCGCGGTACGGAATGCGCCAACTGTCACTGGGCGGTTTTTACAGGTTTGCGATGCTGCGAGGAGGTTGACGAGGCCAGCTTATCTGGGGTCCGGAACTGAATAGGTAAGTTGTCCGCCGGTAAAACTCGACCGTTGTTGATGGCGGCAGTTGCGTCCGCGGTCGGAAGTCGGAGGGGCTAAGACGTGGACACGAGTCAAACAAGGGTCGAATTGGAGCGCAACAGCACACCAACGCCACGCACAGTATGGACAGAATCGGGGAGAATGACGACAGGGACGGCGACAAGCAGGCGCAGGCGAACCGTCCCTGTATTTCAGTCGGTCGACAAGCTCCCGGCGGAGCGGTGGAGTCGCGCGCGAGTTCTACACCCCAGCGCCCGTGATATCGGTAGCCGGATAACCTCGGCTGCGCCTCCACAGCGATCGAACTTCGGGGTAACGCTGGATCTTCCATTGCCCCGCATCCTACTCTCTGCACTGCCATGCGCTGGAGCCCTTTCCAGGCTCTGGCTCGCTCAGGGCAGCACGCTTTCGACAACAGCGGACCGATGCTCCACGCCGGATTCTCGGAACGAGCCGGTCGCTGGAAATCGGGCGCTGGTGGCTGTCGTTAGTGGGCGAAACATAAGATGTCGTGCTTGCGTCATTCCAGAAGCTCGAGAGCTGCGCAGAAAAGGAAATGCAATTTTACTGTACGGATGGCTTTCCAGTGTCCCTCCCGAGCACCTTATCGATTGGGTACAGACAAGGTTGGCCAAATGAAACCGCTCCTTTGCAGCTCAGGAAGCTGCTTTTTTCAGGTAAAATATCAGTGACCATATGAAAAAGAGCTAGCTGTCTGGCCCTGGGATTGGTAGAACATCATCTCCGACTCTCGGACACTGCAGCTGAGGATTCCATGAGCCCTAACCCTGGCTTAAGGGTTCGACTGGTTCGACTTGAGCTTATCCAGAAACCTAACCCCAGAGGCTGATGATCCCCGCTTGCTGATGTGAGTGAAGGTTCATGGAAGCCCTCCAGGGTTGAAGCAACTGGAAACTGCTGAAAATCCGGAAGTATGACCAGCCATAAGTCTTTTTCCTCTGGATCCATAGGAGCTTGCACTCCACCTCAACGGTAATTATCATTCCCGAGAGCTTTTGGTTTCTGAACTCACACTAGAAACCCAAATCCCATGCTCCATCGTCACAACGCTAGGCTCACAGCTTGCTTGGAACTTCTACATCGTCCTGTGCTTGTTTAAACCCCTGCAGCCGGTAAGAATTGTCGACTGGGCACCGATGTGCCTTGAGCCACTGACTTGGGCTTCACGCATGCAACTTGCACGCAGCCCGCTCTGCCCAGTCCAATCTCAGATTTCCGTTCCGGGTGCCGGTAAGGCTGCATGCTGGATGTTACAGTGGACGCCGCTGGAGTGGGCCTGTCGTCGTGAAGTCTTGGTTCTGGCCACGGCTGGTTCGTGGCTGAACCATTAGAATCAACCTGCTGCAGTGTTGAACTGGATGTCGGATACCAAGTTGAACACCGTGAACTGGGCCGAGAAGACGGGGGTGGCGAAGTCTGTGGAAGTGTGTCAATGAAAGTGGCCTGGTGAAGATGATGGAAGCGAAGGTCAAGGCGCTGGTGGGTAAACACCACTCAGAATGTGCAACCGCCATTCTTAGCAGTGACCCAATGCTTTTCATGGATCGCGATGTGATATCTGACAAGTGCATCAGGAGCATGAGCGTCGGCTCTCAAGAGCCCGTGGCGAGCAAGCGCTGGAGTATGCTCGCGCTGCCGCAGAGCTGTACATGCAGGTAGCAGAGCGGGCAGCCTTGCAGGAGCGTAAGCTTCTCGTAGCAAAAATCAAGGAGCTCATCGATCTAGCAGAGCTCCTCAAACGGAATCCTGCAAATCCTGCTACCACCAAACGCCCCAGCTTGCCTATATCGACTCGAGAGCGCACCAGGACGGAAGAAATAGTTGTCCTGAGAGCTTCACGTCTTCATGGGAATACGTTTCCGCCATGGAAGGATCCGCCAGACGAAGAGTTCTCGAGAGCCAGCTGTCCGGAAGGAGTATATATGTGCGTGAAGGATGTCACCTTGACCAACAAGACCCCACTTACTGACCTCAAAGGCTTGCTCAGTGATGACACGGCGTTTACCCTCTCCCATGAACAACAGACTACATTCTCTGGCTGGCGTCGTGCAGCTGAGCTAGTACCTCGCACTGAGAATGGAAGCCTCGAAAATGACGCTAAGCAGCTTATGGCGGCCAATTCCGATTTAGATCTAGCACAAGACCTTGCTTCGGACTGCTCCGTCGTCGCTAGCCTGTGTGCTGCTGCCCGGTATTTCAGTCCTGGGCCAGGTTCGGTTAGTGCTCAGAAAAGCTGCCGCTTGTTTTGGTTGTTGTTCTGGTCGCTGACTGACTACTGAGATTGCTAGCTGTTGGGCTCATTGATGTACCCCTATAATCATGAACTTATGAGACCAGATGTTTCCGAGAACGGGAAGTATGCCTTTCGGATGTACTTCAATGGCACTTGGCGCAGGGTCACCATCGATGACCGTTTACCCTCCTCTTCAACCGATCGTACCTTATATGTCGTCGACAGGCGGAATCCCCGGCTTATCTGGCCTGCTTTAGTTGAGAAAGCCTATTTGAAAATCCGCGGTGGTTATGACTTCCCCGGAAGCAACTCTGGAACAGACCTCTACGCTCTCACTGGCTGGATACCTGAGCAGATATTCCTTCAAAGGTAAGCTTTCATGCTGTCTAATAGCAAAGAAAGTCCGCTAACGCAAACTCATATGAAGTGATGACTTTGAGTTGGACGATACATGGGATAGGATCAAAAAAGCCTATGATGAGGGAGATGCAATACTGACGTTAGGAACTGGTAATATTTTGCCTGAAGAAGAGCAGGCACTGGGCTTAGTCAAAGAGCATGACTATGCCGTCCTTGATGTCAAAGTCGAGGCAGAAAGCCGTCTCCTTCTTGTCAAAAATCCTTGGGTTGATAGTTTGGTATGGACCGGCATTGGATCCTCGGCAACGCTCCAGGCACACACAGTGGGATCTACATCAGAAGGGCAATCCAATCAGTTCTGGATGGCCTTCGAGGATGTACTTCAGCACTTTGACTCCCTCTATGTGAATTGGAACCCGGCGCTCTTCCTCTATCGCCAGGATCATCATTTCAAATGGGACATACCAGACAGTACCGAACAGCTGGTCTACACGCGCAATCCCCAATTCAGCATTCTTTCACCTTCGAAGAGCTCTGTTTGGGTGCTGCTCAGTCGCCACTGGCAAGATGGGGAACTCGATATTCTTCGTGCTCGGAGATCAGAAAGGGACCACCATGGTCTCTCGCTTGCCGCAGTATCAAAGCAGCTAGGCTTCATGTCGCTCTCCATTTTTGCATCCACGCCACCAGGGACACGCATTCCCCTCGCCGATGGACATCACTGCCTGCATCAGGGGCCTTACGTCGATAGTCCGAACACACTCTTGCGCTACACTCCGACCCCAAATATCGCTCAAACCCTCGTTGTGACTCAAAGCGAACTTCCCCTCCCATCCTATTCCTTTACTCTCTCCTTCTTCTCACTCGACCCTCTAACCATCAACCCCGCCGACGAGCCTCTCAAGCACACCACAACCGTCTCCGGAGCCTGGACCCGCCGCACAGCAGGCGGCAGCGCCGCTCACGCAACTTATTTTACAAACCCGCAATACGCCCTCACCTTAACCTCTTCCTCACAACTCACCCTCGTCCTAAGCACCTCCTCGCGTGACCTCCCCGTCCACATTGCCCTCATTTTTTCCCCACAAACCGCCCTGCGCGGCCGCTGCATCACCTCCCTCCACGGCCGCGACATCCTATCCGCCAGCCCTGAATACCAGCGCGGTTGTACATTCCTCTCAGTCCCCCTCCTTGACGCAGGTATCTACACCGTCGTGCTGTCAACGTATGAACCGGGGCAGACAGGACAGTTCACACTCCGCGTCAGCGCGGATGCTGAAATCGCCCTCAGCCCGTTGCTGGCTGATTCCGCGGGGATGCTGCGCACCCCGGCTCCAAAGCCAGCCGTGTTTCGCTCATCGGGTGAGCATAGACTGCGCATGCGTCTTTCCGTTGTCCGGCTGACGAGGTTGTGCATCCTCGCCCGATCTGGAGCGCCCCCTGCGGCAAGTGAGCTTCCCATGTTCTCATCATCAGGTCATCGTCCTGCCCTTGGACCTGACTCTTGCATTACATCGGGAACAGCAATCCGTATCTCCCTCGAACTCGGCACCGGACCGCATAGGAAAGTCCTAGCTATGTCTGGCCGTTCTTTACACACTAACGACGGCAACATCGACCACAATGAGGAAGGGGAGTTCGCCGACGCAACAATGGGGTTATGCACGGGTGAAGCGGACGTTGACCCGGAACTTGTGAGGGCATACGGACCAGGTGGGCTATGGGTTGTCGTGGAGAGAATTGGGGGCGGTACAGTAACTGGTGATGGTGATGTAGCAGGCAACAGTACTGAAAGGGGATTGCACGAAGGAGTATATGTAGAGGTGTTGAGCGATGGGGCTGTGCAGTTTGGGAAGGTATGGGAGAACGCAGATGAGTGACAAGGATGAAGATTATCCGAAATTTGTGGATCGTTTCCTGAAGATCTAGTTGACATAGTGATCTCTTTGGAAATAGTGTCCCTGTGTTGTTGACTGGAAATTTCTGGTTTCAAAGTTTCCTTTTTGGGTATCTCGTCATTACCAAATCAGGCTGCGATATCAAGTCATTGCATAGATAACTCATACATCCTCCTTAAAATCTATCGAGAAGCAATGCTGCAATGCGGCTAAAGGTAAGCCATGTTACAAGTGAAGCTAAGAGGACAAGCTCAAGCAGGTATCTAATTATATGGAATTTATCGTCTATTCCAAAACATGCATTACCACAAATGTCCTTTCGGCGATTTATTACTTGCCAGCTTCCCCAAATAGCCATTTGTGGGTAGAGGCTTTAATTCGGAGCGACACCGTTTCATATTTTGTCTCCTTAAGTTCCTCTGCCTCTTACGCGCCGTTTGGCAACCAATCCCACATTGAGGGAGCCCTTTGATGCATCGGCGCTAGGGCTCGATGATCTCATTCTGCCCTTCCACGGCTTTTTCTTCCAGCCGTCCCTCTGTCCTTATCCCTTCCCATGTTCGCCCAGTGCCTCATATCCCATTGTTCATCCGGAACCATTAACAGCAAATCAACTCAGGGATAAAAAGCAAAAGTGGTATAATGGGTCCCATCCCGGTGCGACAACTATAGAGCAGACGAAGATGATACCCCCAACGCTATCCATGTGAGCAGCATCCTAGGGACATGGGCACGCAGCAGCGAGATGACATACCACCCTAACCCTGCCCCCACAATAATACCTCTACCTAGATTGATTTTGCAAACCGTTCCTTCCAATATTTCCATAACAGAGTGGTTGGGTGCATTCCAGTCCTTGCCCCCTTTCGCCGATAAACGCCCAACAGTAAACCCTAGCAAAACAGGGATATCAATTTAGTACAAAAAAGGGTGTTGGCACGAATAAAATAAAGAGAAGGGACATGCCATACAAACAGTAACGGACAAAGCTTATTATACCAGCTCAGGCCCGATAGGTTGATGGCATCCCTTCCAAATATATGTATATATATATATATATATATATATATATATACAGTCCATAATAAACAACGTAGGCAAAATAGAAGGCATATCCTCGTCGCAATAAACGTGCCGGCCACATCGTCGGCGATATGTGCAGAAGATATTGATGAAAACGAGATGAATTGGTCGAGGAGTCACGTCACTGGGCAAAGGTGATGTTAAAAAGTCAGTTGTGCGCTGTCCTTCGTCTTCGCTCACGAACTCCGTCGCGGCGTTGGGAAAGGACCTCGCGCAGCCTTGGGTCGTCCTTGTCTTTGTCGGCGTGATGTTGTCGGACATGCCTGAGAAGTCAGCAACGAAGAGTCAATCCAAGCCAGTAAAACAAATGCATTAAACCCTTACCTTTGGAGATTATCTGGCCGAGGATACTTGTGCTCCCGGTCCGAGCAGAATGGACAAATATAGCCTGGGGATTGGTGAACAAGGCCATGACGAATCATTTCATTCTTCCGCTTGAAACCTTTGCCCCCCTTACTACGGGGACATCCAGGCACGGGACAGTAATGTGGTCTCTCGGAAGAATGAACATTCGCATGAGAATTGAGCAGATACTGTGTCTGGAAGGGAGGGGCATTGCATCCAGGATAAGTACACTTGTATCCAACAGTTTGAGAGGGGGCATGAGTACTCGTCCGATCAGCGACAGATGCCGTCATCGCAGTGGGCGTTCGTTGTGTGCTCTGCGTATCAGGTCGAAGAGCGCCGTTGATGGGTGCATATGAGTATGCCGGACCTGGTATTGGAGGAACCATTGGAGAGAGAGGATCGCGGTATGAATCGACAGGAAGTGGACGTGGAGACGTTAGTGGTGCTAAAGATGGCAAGCGTGTGATGGTAGACGGCGGCGAGCCAAAGTTCGGATGTGCTCCTCTGATACCATTTTCTGTTGAGTGACTGCTTCCACGCCGCGGGATATCTCCGAGCTGAGATCTGATAGATGGCAAAGTCTGATTACTGGCATCGGACTTGGGCGAGTTCAGCTGAAGAGGCGGCAAACCTTCTGAATGGCTGCCTGATTTGTTAACGGGTGGTGACATGGAGTTGGTGGGCACGATTTCCGATCCAAAAGGCGGGTATGGTCCTTGAGGACTATGTAGAGCGGGTGATGGAATAGACGATTGCGCCGTTCTTTCATCTCTCAGTGGGTCAATTCGACTGAGAGACATCGATCCTGGAAGTGTGGTTGTCGGGTGTCTATCCCTTAATGTGCCTTGTTCGGTTATTGGGGGAGTTGGCCCAGCATTTGTAGATTGAGGGCTCCTGGTTGACACCACTTTCAGGGCGTCAGCCGCCAAGGATGTAAGATCATATTCATTCAAAGTGAGGGCCCCCATTTTAGCAGCATCCGGAGAGCCGACTGACATAGTTTGCGAACGATCTTCTCCCGGTTGGCCCTCAAAAAGCTTTCCCTTCTCGGTAATCGACATGTCGTCGGGGGAGTTGTCAAGATACCGCGGCTCCGATTCGCCAGGACAGTCGTCGGATTCGGGATCAGATGGCAGAGGCTCGATCTCGGCATAGGCCGACGTCTCTTGCCTGTGACCGTCAAGGTGGGCAATCAGAACGGCATAGCCTTGGTTTGGCTTGCGATTCCCGAAAGGGGGACTCGGAGAAGGACTAGGCGATGGTGATTCTAAGCTAAGATCCGGTCGTAGATTGGGACGAAGTGGCTGCAGAAGCGGGCTGTTCCTGAGCAATACCTCCTCCGGGTCGTACAAGTCGTTGGCCGGAACCTGGTCAAGGCCTGGGGCAGTCGTCGTGCTCATAGCTTCTGGTGACTGCTCATGTGCCTGAATTCACTGGATAGGTGTACGCCGAGCCGCCATTGAATACTCAGCTGGGTTAAAGTGCAAATTCCCTCTTCGATCCTGAACTCCCTCAAGGGCTACCTTGCACGGCCTTCGTGAGCGATCAAAGCGAATGGCCACTCAGAGGAACCACCTGGTTAGACTTCCCCGCCCCGTACTGGCGGGGCGACTCTTTCGTGGGTGACCCGCACTCAGCTTGCCGAACGGATCACGGACAGAGAAGTAATGCAGGCGATGCCATGCACACGCCACAGCAACCTGGCACGCAATGCGGAGAGCGGGGAACGGGTCCGTATAAGAGCCGCAGGCACCGCCAAGATGGGAGAAAACGCGGGGTATAATAAGTAAGCCGCAACGGCGGAAGATCGCTCAAGGTGGTGACACTCAGGGGTTGATAGGTAGGTGGGCACGTAACGTAGTGATAAAGGATGGGGAACGGAAAGGATCCCGTGACCAACTCGGGAACGTCGCTGATTGAGCGGGGGGTTGTTGTATATTACGGACAGTGCCGGAAGAAAGCAAGGGGAAGTGGCTGGGTTCCGTTTTTCCTGTCTTTCACTGGGGGAAGTGCGGCTCAAGCTAGAAGCGAAAGGCCGGTAAGTTGAACAGAGTCAACGTTTGACGTCCGTTGGCGCCAGAAAAGGCAGGGAGGTCAAAATAACCAGGTTCCAAGTTTAGCGTGATGTGGAATCCAACGAGGTTTCGGGCCGAACGGTAAACACAGGCGTAAACGCTCCGTTGTGAATAGATTCGACCGGGCTGTTCCGACTGATACTAATGGTCCAGGATTGGATCTGGGGTGGTCTGTAATGCGTGGTTGCGACGAAATGCGTGGGCTGTGGTGTTGGATGGTGTACGAGCTGCGGCTCAAGGAAGATTGCAACGGCCAGGGTATGTCAAGGGCTCGGAGCCTCTTTTAAGCCGCAGTCAGCCACTGACTGACAGGTGCTCAGTCAGGCCAACCAGGCGCAGGATGAAGGCGTGTGTGGATGCTTGGAGGTGTGGATGTGCGTGTGGGTGTGGGTGCGCTGCTTCGTTTGCGCAACAGCCTGGGATGACAGGTGACTGGACGGCGAGGGCACCGCAGGCGACGGGAGATGGCCGCTGCGCAGCGAGCGTGGAGGAGCGGGGCGCCAACGCCGCTGCAACAAGGCAGGCCAGCTGAGGAGACGGGGTCTTGGCAGTGATGGTACTGGGGACGTTGGTGAGCTTCGGGTCCACTGCCAGCTGGGTCAGGTACAGACTGTACACTGCAGTCGGGTACGGCTGGAAACTTGAGATGTGTCGTGTATCCGTGGTGGGCGGATATGGCCCATACCATATAGAAGGCCCAGACGACACTTGTTCTAAGTCCCAGAGCTGCCAGTCAGCGTACCTAGCGCCAATGTAGCGTAGTGGTGTGTCCAGGCGGCTCCACAGCCTACCACAACAACCTGAAGACTACTAGCAGGCAACTTCTGGCTCTCTGGACGACCGACTGCCGGCTGGCTCGCTCAAAGCTGGCCCTACCTGCGCAGAGGGACGGCAGAGCGCCAGAGCCAGTTGCAGATGCCCTGCCAGGGAGCCCAGTCACGGTGTGCGAGGAGAAGATGGAGAAGCTTGGGAGCTGCTGGGTGCCGAGCCAGAGGCTTATGAACGTTCTCGAGGGCGGCAGGAACACGGCATTTAAGGCTTAAGTCAAGGTACGACTCAGTCGGCCACAGCCAGGCGGGACCGAGCCTAGAAATGTGGCCGGCGTGGACTGTGGACTGTGAATAGCAGGAATGAGAAATGAGGCGTTCGGGTGCGACGGCAGCATGCGCTGGCTGGAACGACGGGTCGGGATCGTGCTTGTGAGAGGCTACTGAAGTGATTGTGCTGGCCCAAATGGTGCAAAGTCGCACACTCCAGACAGGCGAAGTGCCCGAGAGAACGGATGAGGCTCTTGATACTGCAGATCTGCAGGTCACAGTGTGTGCAGGCTTTCGGCTTGGGCCTGGAAACACGGCGTTTCAACGGAAACTAATCTCAGTAATGTACGTATGGTGTAGTGCAGGTGTCGGTCGTGTAGGAATCCGTAACCGTTACTCGTGTTGAGATACAGTGGATGGAAGATGGAGACAAAAAACACGGAAGCAACCTCAGCAGACCCAAGACGGGACGCAACTGCCCAGCTGAAGTTGGGATTACCGTTCTCACCTATCCAGATTCCGGATCGCAGCTGCTGTGCGGACAGGACAGGAAAAGGGCAACAGGCAGCAGCAGGAACCTCAGACACGGGGATGATGTGATGGAAAGAACCTCACATATGGCACCTGGCAACAACGCTGGTGCGATCAATGATGGGCAGCTGCTCAAAGACACTTGGCAGTGTCAACGACTCAAGTAGGCATACAGCGCAAGTGCATGCCCGGACAGAATGGACGTGCATAACGAGATGCTTCCCACAGCATCCACTTCCACTGTCCACCTTCCAGGCCAGGGCTTCTCGGGCCCCAGCAGATCCAAGAAACCCACTTTCCTGTCACTCCCATGTGGGTTAGGGTGGGCCGACCGATGGGGAGGAGGAGGAAGGGCCCGCTGCGGGATGCATCGTTGATTGGGGGTAACCCTGCGACCTACCGCGATCGGGCATGCCAAAGCGAGGAAAAAAGAAAAAAGACAAGCCGGGTCGGGAAGGTTGACTTGAAGCTGAAGCTCTGCTGCTGAAGGATGCTGATGCTGACGCTGACGAGAGGCGGTTTGCGGTCTGCGGGAATGCAGGACTGCCGCAGCATAGCCCCATCGCATTCGGATTATCTCTCTCTCGTCAACCTGCATGCTGGACGCATCTGGGTCAAGACTAGGGCGTCTGCACATTCACGGTGGTCGGCCAACGACGGTGAGCCGTGATGAGCAGAAATGCTCACCTTCCGCGTCCAGAACGTGACGAGACCCCCCCCCACAAAGGCCCGCTGATCTCTGCCCCCAACGCCAACCGAAACGACCGGAGACGGCATCAGGAACATCCCTAGACAGTGCACAGGGCACGGAGCAGGTCTGAGCAATGAGATGCCTGCCGGTTCGATCCGGCAGTTCGGGCCATCTGGGAATACCTGGAGTAATCCGTACACACTACATACGGCAGGTTTATATTATTTAGAGGTCAACCTGATCTGATTCGCCATCCGTCTCCCGCTCCGGATCGAATTTTCTAATTGACAGCGACGGAAAGCCTGGGTTGAGTTGTGACCGGCTCAAAAGAGGGGCACCGTCCAATCTCCTGCCCCAAGGGTTTCTGCGGAGAATGAGGAGTAGCCGCTAGCAGCCGCAAGTCGTTTCCCCCCACCATTTACCCTGTCATTTGGACAGCATTTTCCGAGTCCCCAACTTACTGCAGTACTTGGGGCCTATCCTTGGAATTTAGCACCCGCAGGGCCGCAGCATGTTTTCCGGCGTGTGGAGGGAAGGAACTAAAAGGAAACAGGAAGTTGGGACGATCCTAACAACGCCCTTAAAACACGGCAAGAACCGAACATCATGGACGCCGTCCACAACGATCATCGCCCCTCCGTTGCTCCTCGCTTGTGCCGTTTCTTCCCAAGTTTTGCCGGGTGTCCGCTGTGCAAGCATCTAACCACCCACTTATAGCTGGCTGGCTCGATCCCTAGCTGCTACATGAGCTGCTTGGGTCTGTTATCTCTGCAATATTGATCGAATCAGGGCCTGACGACAACACCTTGTACATTATTAGGTAAACCTGCCGATTTCCATGGACGGAAAATGCCATCATGGAGTCTCGTGCTGTGTTTTGGTGGGGGATCGCTTCGGTTCGACATTGATCGTTTCGTCTTAGATACGGGGTCCTGATTGGAACGGAGCTGTGCACTCAGCCTCATCGGTAGGGAGAACAACAAACCCTATGCACTGCAGCATTGGCTTGCAGCAACCGCAGGGAGCTAACGCACTCTCCTTGGCGTCAACCCACAACAATATTTTACACGATATGCAAAGTTTGCAGCGGCCTCAACGCCTGATCACCAACCACTGAATCCTCCCTCGCACAGTGAAGGGGACTATGAGAACATCATGACAGCAACCCCTGACTCTGATCCTCGAAGAATGTGGAAGCGGCCGTCAGCATCCAAACCCATCCTCATAGGCTGATAATGCTGCTTTTTTAACCTTCCACACGGAGACCAGCATCCGGCATTGCATGTCTCTTTTCATCTCGATCCCTGTCCACGTCCCGGGCACAAAGGAAAGCCAAGTAGCTCAAACCAGCGAGCCTCTCTTTCCCGCATGCAAGGACGGCTCGTAGCGTTTATGGGAAGCCGTTACGTACCAGTGGGACCACCAAGTTGCATCCTAACCCATCACCACGGAATCCGTCCGTCGTCCAAACTGAACTCCCGGTTCCTATCCTCACGGCGTTTTCTTGTCTCGGCCATCACACTACTTGTCACGCTTCTATGTGAGATGAAGTCTCCCGGCTGCAATGTTGCAGTATCTTCCCAGCAGTGCAAAACAGCCGTCATAATCCCCTTCAGTGTACAAAAGCAGACTGCTTTTTGACATCACGCCACCTTCGAAAGTCTAGATGTTTTAAGCATCTGACGCGATCACTACCTACCGGTGAAGCATGCCCTATTTTCGGCCATCTCAGCGAACATAGCTCCTTTTCTCAGCACTCAGTACCATGCCTTGTCGCACAAGCACGCTCTCCTGCAACTTGTTCGTACCTCCACAGTACATAACCCACTTGCCGCAGAAAACTATACCCCCGCTAAGTGCGCCTCGCGTGTGACCTGTGATCGGAGCCATCCTTCACCCTCATGTTTCAACGGCCAGTCGTGGTTGGGCCACAAGGCAGGCACGTGTGCTTTGCCTGGAGAGGGGCCTACGCTAAGGAAGCGTGGCATGCCGCAATTAGGTGCGTCTTTTTACTCGGTTTACCCGGCCCAACGGACAGAGATGGAGGGTTTCCACGTTCCCCCGCAGCAGACGATGTACGTGGTAGCCAGTTTTAAGCCTGGACAGTGTGCGACTTCAGGCATGAGCCTCACCTATCCTCACACTAGCACAGGGTGATCATCAAAAACTACTTATTTACGAGTGAATGACTTGGTCATGACGCCTTCCAACCAGTCTGATTATGAGCAACCAATATACAATACATTTCTGTCCCGTCCGTCCAGAATGACTCTGCTAGTTCACTAGTGGATTGCGGCATTTTCCCTCCCACTCATCTCATGAAGGAGGGACACACTAACACACGGAGTCAACTGTACTGTTACCTCCCTGACTTGGGCAGTGTAGAGGGGGGCGGAGTATTTCCGAGTTTGGCAGGATTCCGTCTTCATCGACACAACCAGTAATCACAAGAATGGCACCTACTTACCCATTCGAACTCTGGGTTGCCCTCTGATTAACGCTACAACTGACTTGATTATCGTTCTGCTCAGGAACCCGATAAGCTAGAAACCACGCTTGTGTGTCAAGTGTTCAGACGCCGCCAATATTGTGGCTGGTGGCACCAATTCCAGACCTAGTTTCACTCATCAGTCGTGGTACCTTCTCGACCTGTCCGCCAGGGAATAAAGCTGGATGTTGTGTACTCGTCCTGGTGCTTATCTGAGGCCTCCTTGCTGTTCTCATTGTCTTATAACCAAGGAAGACGAGTTCTGTACGCCTTTCAGATCGTACAATTATGCTTCATCGAGGGTGATCCATATTGCAGCCCCTAGGTGCATGAAACAAACTTCATCATACCACAGCGTTAAGGTTCGGTATTCTCAAGTAGTCTGTGACAGTACGGTGTTGGATATCACTACGAACCAATTCGATCGAGTCACTTCGATTGATCGAGTCGTCATCTTTGATTCCGGTTGCACCAGAACCGAAGTCTCCTTTTCCGTGTTTCCTGTTTTGTAAATGAGTATCGTTTCGCGGACTGTTTCAACCCGTCTTATATGCCACTGACATATATATGCGGTCCCGTCTCGTTGCCCTTTTTACGGCCGGCACGGAATGCCTAAAGGTTCCCCTCTCTTGGTAACGCACCTTTGGTTCCGAATCTCTCTACCCACTCACTCATTTTACTCCAATTTATCTTTTCCATGGGGTCTTATCCTTGGCTCCTCGGCGTTGACAATACCCTAGAAGAAAGCTAGAGGGTTTCCTTGAAGTGACCCAACGGAGCATAAAAGGAAGAATATGAACCTCTAACTGCGCAAAGGCACGTTGCGGTTATTAGACCGTGGACGATCAATCTTCGACAAAGCATTACGGAGGGACAAAAAACGGAACCCTCTACACAAAAAGATAGAACATTTATGCTGCGTAGGCAATTATCACACACTTACAAGGAGGCCTTCCATTGCGACTAACTGCAATAAAGCATTAAACATGCCTCTATATCAAGGTTGATCTGAGCGTTCGCTTTCAATTCATCAAGAATGCTTAGTTGTTGAACCGTTGCATACCTGATAGACTAGCCTTAAGATACAACTTGTATTGCTTCAGCTGTCAACCTCTCCACAACTACCTGGGGATCCCTTAGCCACATTTTCCTCGCATGGACAATGTATGTCTAAAAAACAACAACCTCACCGCTATTCAGCAGGATATGTAGCTGTGCAGACTTTGGCAACCCTTCGGCGTTGTAACTGCTCGTAGATTTTGCCTACTTATCTATGTGAACAACTCCGCTCCGAGATCGCAACGTTGGTCCTCGGCATCCCGCATGGTGTTCTTGACCTGTTTACTGTCATCTCGGCTTCGGCAGATAGCCTCGGCCGGACCCGGTTCCGTTGTCTACAGTTCCACTTCAGTGGATTGGCTTACCCCATCTCCAGCGCGGAGATGGGGAAGGGCGGGGGCGGGGAAAGGTCTGCTATATCGTGAACCTACCGACACTGCTTGCAGCTTTGGAGATGCTATGTGATGCATCGATGAGAAAGAAATCTAGCTGAGTGACTGAGGATCACGCCACTGAAAGAAATCACCAACTGCAATATCAACTTGATCCCCCCTGTCAATTGAGCCTCCGTTTCTGTACTGTATAGTCTGCTTGCGGCCACGATCTGAGACGTCATTGAGTATGTAATTAAGCCGAGGTTATGCAAGCTTGAGAACATCCTCTCGAGTTTAAGTTTAGAAAAAAAGTTGGCTGACAGAGATATAGGCACTACCTAAATCACGGGTTTCAATTCGAATCAACCTGTAATTTCAGCACAAGATGGCTTCCTCTGAGTCCCTTCCCGAGACAATGAAGGCGGTTGTCTTCCATGGGCCTAAGAAGATTCGTGTGGAGGACCGTCCTGTTCCTAAGTGCATGTTCTCCCTTTGATGCATTACGGGAGCTGGGGAAATAGAGCTTGCTACCCTCCCAGCTGTTACTTACCAATTGAAGACTAACTCCTAGTCCCTCTTGCAGTGCAGGATTCAAAGGACATCATTGTGAAGGTGCAAGCCACGGCGCTATGCGGCTCGTGAGTATCATCCAAGAAACCTGCTCTTGATCCTCAAATTAACTAAACCACCTTGCTGCAGTGAGCTCCACGTTTTCCGTGGCCACCAGCCCTCTGAGACGGGCTTTATCATGGGCCATGAATTCGTTGGAACCGTCGTGGCAACCGGAAGCGACGTGAAGACGGTCAAGGTCGGCGACAAAGTGGTCTCGCCGTTCACCGTGTCCTGGTAAGTTGGCAAGGAATCAACAACGAAACACTATATTCAACTCATCTACCGCCATCTTTCACTTAACTGACTCCTCTTCCCAGCAACAACTGCTTCTACTGCAACCTCGGCTGCTCCTCACGCTGCAAGCACGTACTCCTCTTCGGCTGCGCCGCTCTGGACGGCGGCCAGGCCGAGTACGTGCGGGTGCCGTTCGCCGACGGCACCGTGATGCCTGCGCCGCGTGAGATTGATGACCATGCGCTCGTTCTCATGGCCGACATCTTCCCGACTGGCTTCTTCGGCGCACGCAACGCCTTCTCCATGCTCCCGCCGCAACTGCCGCCGTCGGAGGCGACCGTCGTCGTGATCGGGTGCGGGCCCGTCGGCTTGTGTGCCATTGTGTCGGCGCTCGAGTACAAGCCGAAGTATTTGTTTGCTGTGGATGGCGTGCCGTCAAGGTTGGAGCTGGCGAAGAAGCTTGGCGCTGTGCCGTTGAACTTCAATGATGGGAAGGAGGAGATGATCAAAAGGGTGAAGGAGGTGACGGATGGGAGGGGCGCTGATGCTGTGATTGAGGTGGTTGGTCTGAGCCCCGCGCTGAGGACAGCGTTCGACCTTTTGAGGCCGTTTGGCGTAATCAGCAGCATTGGTGTGCACAATGCCGAGATCCCCTGGAATGGTGCTGAGGCTTATGGGTGAGTGGTCTTGCCGCGTGCCCTGGTTCATTCCAGCCTTATTGCTGACCCACACAACAGAAAGAACATCAAGATCCAGATGGGCCGCTGCCCTGTGCGGTCCATCTTCGAAGATGCGCTGCCGGTGCTGGCAAGGAACCAGCACAAGTTTGAGTAAGTAGCCTTGGCTTGCCCTCGTGTGAGTGATACGAGCCTTGCTGACGTCGGCAGCTTCATGTTCAACAAGATCCTGCCCCTCACACAGGCCGAGGAAGGTTATGACCTATTTGACCAGATGAAGGTACAGAAGGTCATATTCACGCCATGAGAGGCGCAGATGCTGTAATTCTAGTTGAATCCGTTTGTAATAATATCACTTCCTGATCCAACACCCAGAGCCTCTCAGTTCTGTCTGGGCTTCACGAGCCCATCGAAGATCCAGTAGTATGTAACAGTCGAGTCGTCCTGAACAGTAGCCAACAGAACGCGCTTCCCGCGTTTTGGACCTTGCCAAAGCTTCCACTGGGAAGCCGGGTCGTCCAGATCGAAAGAGTCCGGGTCCGGGCCTCCAGGAGGGATGCTGTCGATGGCATCGAAGAGCGCGGCAAACTGGCCCGGCGTCCACTTCTCCGAAAGATGTAGGGGCAGCACCCATTCGAGCTCTGGTTCTGGCTCAATGCGTTGGCCGGTCTCCTTTTCGGCCCTGATGATGGCGACCTGTTCGTCCGGATGCACGTAGAGGCGCTTTGGTGGAAGCCCGTAAATCATCGGTCGCGGGAGCTCGGGCTTTGTGTACTGGTGTACCTCGACCCAGTCATGCTGGTAACGCAGATTGTGAAGCACGATTTTGGTGAGTGCTTCGAGATGATCTGAAATGACCATATTTGTGATAGTGACGAAGCGCGCGAGTTTCCAGAGATCGTAACTCGGGGACAATGGACCCGAAAAACTTCCAAGCTGGTGATTTTTTTCGAGACGAAAAACCAGCGGCTCTATGAGGTGGGGGCCATTGGTTGGGAACGGTAACGGTAGCCGTCACTGTAACGTAACGATATGTATGTAATCCGTTTTGATATATAAATGATCCGGTAATTTTCAACTTTGCCCTCCCCACGATATTTCTTTGGTCTGGTTTCAGCACGCAAACCTGAGTGATGAAGCATATCGTATGCATTTTTTCACTTGGATTTTGAACGACTTCAGTTAGCACTCTTGCACTGGCAGGTTTTCGCAGCCCTTGTTTCTTTCCGTTTCGCTCCGTTTCGACGAGCCGTAAAGTTGCGTCACGTTGAACGGACTGAGCAGAAGCTCAAGCCCCCGCGACAGCCACAATACACCACTGATCGCGGGGCATTTCAGACAGTGAAGACAGCCTTAAAATCATCAAACTTCACACCGACCCTTCGCATTGCGACGCCTACCCAGTGCCAACAACAAGAAAGCGTTATCATAGTACTATTCCTTCAATATGGGCTCAGTGCTACTTCCTCATCTTCCTTCTGGATGGCACGTCGACCAGGCCATCCTTTCAGGTACGTTTTTCCTTCCCCTGCAGATTCCTGCACTCATGGACTTTTGATGATGGCTGATCCGCGCAGAGGCTGACCGGCCGCCGTAGAGGAGGAACGCGTCGTGGTGATCCGTTTCGGTCGTGATCATGATCCCGTAAGTGAACGCCCCCCCGGGATCTGACCTGTGGACTAAGATAAGCTGACAATATCTGTATCAAGGATTGCATGAGGCAAGATGAGACCCTCTACAAGATCGCCGAAAAGGTGAAGAATTTTGCTGTCATCTACCTCTGCGATATCGACCAAGTGCGTTCACCCTCTTTTTATTGTACTACCCTATCACAGGATCTAACCAGCTTAAAGGTACCTGACTTCAACGCCATGTACGAACTCTACGACCCGTGCTGCATCATGTTCTTCTTCCGTAACAAGCACATCATGTGTGACTTTGGCACAGGCAACAATAACAAACTCAACTGGGTCCTCGAAGACAAACAGGAGCTCATCGATATCATTGAAACTGTCTATCGGGGAGCGAAGAAGGGAAGAGGTCTGGTGGTCAGCCCCAAGGATTACAGCACCAGGCACAAGTACTAAGCCTGTCATGAGGGCGATCGTTGGCGCGACTTGCCGCTTATCAACAGCAGGGACGGTACTTGAAGTGTTGGCTAAACCGAGAGACGGTTCGGCGGGAAGCGCTGTGCCAGATGGCGATGAGGGCGAGGCTGAGAGTAAGCGGTTGGTCAGGGTTCACTGTATGGCGATGCCTACTAGATCAAGAGTGGAGCTTGGTTGTGCTGCATTGTCGGAGGAGCACTAGGGTGAAACGGTAACTCAAACCTTCCTGATCTTATCCTTCATTTTGCTTCCACAAGCTGCCTTGCCAGTTAAATTTGGTGCATAGAAAATTATAAGCATGACTTGAGGACACTGAGCAAATGATGCGATTAGGTTACCATGAATTCTGTTCAACTTTCCGGGGAGAGCGAGAGTGCGGTCTGACGCCTAGGTTACCTACCTTTTTTGAGCTGCCGCGACAAGACTCAACGGTGAGACTAGGCCCTGTCGTGGAGGTCGCGGGGGCAATATCCTTGCCACGCTAGCAATGTGCGGCGCGTTCAGCTCAGCTTTGCTTGGGCGAATCTCTGACGACACTTCCCGTGCCCTGCCACAGCACCTTTCTTGGCTGTCGAGCTGCTGGACGACCTTGTTGGTTCTTTGTACGATTTTGGTGTTGTGCTCGTAATTCTTTCCCTCCCCCCCCCCAGAAGTCCGATTTTATGATATTTCTTTGTTATGTCGCATAAACCAGTCCAAAACATTCCAATATCGAGTTCTTGAGGTTCTTGCCCGCTGGTCCAACAGCCAAGCCAAATCCCCGGCTGACCACAGCATTGCGCCCCTCTAAGCTCAGGGCGGCCGCCCATGTCTACATGCAATCAATAAAAATGGCGGAGTCTGCGCAGAATGACAGCTCGCCCCAAGACCACGATCAAAGCAAGCCGAATCCCAGGTCACTCTTAAGGAGATTGTCACAGAGTTTCGGGGAATCACGGCCGCCAGAAGGTCTAATGGCTGCGACGAGCCAGGTCGCGTCTTCCGTCTTCGCGGGTCACCCGCGAGTTGGGCAGCAAGCACTGCCCTCTGAAATCGAACAGACGGCAACTCAATCAGCGCCTGCAGAGCAGACCGACGGTCAGACTACGAAAGATGAAGAAAAGCGACAGTTGAATCCCGAAGCCAGCCGCGTGCCTTCGTCCGACGAAGGAACCCTCATAAACGAAGCCTCTCATGTTAGCAACACCGAACCTCCAGCAATCCAGCGCTCACACACCGCGCCCTTCCCGAATGGTTACCATTTCCCGCCGAAGTATTCATGGAAAGAGATGATGATGCAGGGGCTGGAGCATTTCTGGAAATTCTTCACGACCCCGATGGGGTTCTTCTGGACCATATACGGACTCAATATCGTGGCATGGGGCGGTATGCTGTTCTTACTGCTCTGCAACGCGGCGCCAGCTATGTGCCACCCGACATGCGACGACATCAACTCACCACGGAGGAAATGGATCGAGTGGGACTCTCAGATCTTGACAGCACTTTTTTGCGTCACCGCATTTGGCCTGGCGCCGTGGCGGTTTCGCGACCTGTACTACCTACTCCAGTATCGGCTGTTGGGAAAGCAAGAGGAGCTTCGCAAGTTGGCTGGCATCCATAATGGCTGGTTCAGGTTGCCGGGCACACAGGAGCTAGCTGTGGACATTGGGCCGGACAATATCCCAGACCACGTTCCTCGGGAGTGCATACCGATCCCCGAGAAAAGCATGCCGAGTGCTCCGCTCACTGGTGTTCGTGCACCTGCAACTAAAGGATGGAAACTAGACCTCGTGATTTGGTGCATGGTGTGGAACACATTTGCGCAGTGTGGACTCTGCGGCATCATGTGGGGGATGAATCGGCACACGCGGCCCAGCTGGGCAACAGGCTTCCTGGTGGCGATCGCTTGCATCATCGCCATGGTTGGAGGGCTGGTGATGTTCTTGGAGGGCAGGAAGGTTAAGAGCATTGAAGGCGTGCCACTTACAGAGCGGGATCTCGAAAAGTTGGCGCGCGATAAGGAATTAGGAATTCCACACTACAACAACCTCAAGGATAAGAAGCCGAAGGAGAAGAAAGACAAGGCCAAGGACAAGGAAAGGAGCAATAACAGGGAACGAGAGGCTACAGACAACTAAGTTCAGCACTGAGGTCTCTACAATTGGGCATCCGTTGGGTAGAAAAAGGGCGAGCGCAATGTATTCTGGTATTTGTCATCTTTGGCACCAACAGCAGGCATACAACCAAGACTCTACTACGGCAGATTCATAGATGGCTGCCATAATATCACACATAAACCAGCAGTATTAGATTCAATACCTGACACCTCACTGAGAACAGGATATCTGGAATCAATTGAAAATGCTGAAAGTTGTGAATATCGAATCATTGTTTAATGGCTGTCTCTTTCGTCTCTTTGTATCTATATCGGGGCGATTGCGCAAGCGATCTGGGCGATAAGACGATACTGGAAGCGGTGGCTTCCATTGGCATGCCCCTATCAACCGGCGGGGCGAGCGCCAAGTGGGTCCCAACGGTTTGGGCTCCACTGAACAGCGTCATGTGCAGCAACCGTAGGCCACTGAGAGGCCGCTGAAGTTAGTGGTTGCTGTGCTGATCGCCCGCCTTGTCCGCTCACCTGCAGCCTGCCAGCCGGCCTCTCCTCTACGTCTCTCGTCTCACAAAGGCATCGACGGCGACGCGGAGGAGTCAACTACGATTTCTCCTCTTCGTCATTTTCTCAACCATCGCATAGAGGGACAGCCAGCTGTCCCTTTACGCAACCGTCTGTTGGTTGCATTTCGATTTTCATTTTTGTTCCACGAGGCGGTTTGGATCATCCATCATTGGTGATCCTGTCCGCACCTCGCATCGCGGCTGGTCATATCCACTCATTACTCACCTCTCTTTATTAGCCGGCCTATCTGTCGTCCTTCCCTTCACCTTCGACCGAGTCCCCGGCCTCGGTGCAGCCAGCGTCGCCACCAACCATGGCATCCGCTAGCTTTCGCTCGCGGGCTTTGATCCCGTTTTTGGTTTCCATGATGCTGTTCACGGGGGTCTGCAACACCCTTCTCACCAAGTACCAGGTAAGTCGAATGCCCCCCTCGAGATAAAGTGACTTGAAGACAGATAACTTATTCACGATACCCAGGACAACCAATGCGTACGCAACTGCGACGACCCTGATCCAGCCAAGCGTCAGCACTTCGAGCAGCCCGTAATCCAGACCCTCCAGATGTTCCTTGGCGAGATGGGCTGCTGGCTGGTCGTCGCCGTCATGGAGTTTCACCGCCGCTACTTCGGCGCGGGTGAGAAGGGCAAGGCCCGCCACACCTACCAGCCCGTTCGCACGACCGCCGACGACGAGGAGGATGGCACTGCTCCGCGCCATGCCGCTGATAATGCCAGCATCCGCTCCACCACTGCGCTGAACCCGTCTGGCCACAATGACAACGGTACCAACAACAACAATGGCTGCTGGTGCGGCAGCCAGAAGCCCCATGACTGCCCCTCCGTCCTGGCCGGTTGGCGTGTCATGCTACTCGCGCTGCCCGCTATCTGCGACATCATGGGCACGACCCTGATGAACGCGGGTCTCCTGCTGGTCGCTGCTTCTATCTACCAGATGACCCGTGGGGCCTTGGTGCTATTCGTCGGCATCTTCAGCGTGGTGTTTCTGGGCCGACGGCTATATGCCTTCCAATGGATCTCTCTCGTCGGTGTCATGCTGGGCGTCGGCGTGGTCGGCCTGGCGGGCGCTATCCAGCCCGATAGCAAGCACCCCGTGTCGGCGGCCGCTCTGGACTCGGTGGGCGCGGACGCGCTGCGCGTCATTGTCGGCGTGCTGATGATTGCCGGCGCGCAAATCTTCACAGCGACACAGTTTGTGCTTGAAGAGTGGATCTTGGAGCGGTCTGCGATCCAGCCGATTCGTGTTGTCGGCTGGGAGGGCCTGTTCGGTTTCGTGATTACGCTGCTGGGTATGGTGGTGCTACACCTGGCGATCGGACGGACCGAGGCTGGCCGGTATGGTCCTTTCGATATGGTGGAGGGGTGGCGGCAGTTCTGGGAGTACAGGCCCGTGTTTGTGTCGAGCATCTTGATCATGATCAGCATCGGGTGCGTTTCTCCTCATTGATCTCGATTGTTTGAAGCATAAAGCTAACAGACCTTGCCCCAGCGGCTTCAACTTCTTCGGCCTCTCGGTTACACGCAGCGTCAGCGCCACATCGCGCTCCACCATCGACACATGCCGCACGCTCTTCATCTGGATGGTTTCACTCGGCCTGGGCTGGGAGACATTCAAGTGGCTACAGGTTGTCGGTTTCGCCCTGCTAGTCTACTTCACCTTCCTCTTCAACGGCGTTGTCCAGCCGCCATTCCAGTGCCTGCGTCCCCGCGACCGGATCGTCGAGGAGCTGCTTCCAGAGGAGCCGATCGAGCATAACTAAAGTCTAGGGGTTTGCAAAGGTTGAAGGCCGAGCTGATCAAGTCATGCTTAGTGGATGCTTAGGCATGCAACTCACTTTTGTATTGTACATGTGTACATGTGCCCTGTCCGAACGAGCGGCCATGTGTACATAAACCGTCCAGCCCCTCAGTTGAGCACATCTGGGGGCTTCTTGTGTTTCGTTTCTGCCATCTTGAGGGTACATTCTCCAACTTCTAGGCGTTCATTTGGCGGAACAGAGGGTCGGATAAGGTATTGTGCGTGTTTTGCTTTCCTCTCACTCTTAGGAATCGGGAATCATAGGATTGGTTAGCATTCACTTCCGTAGAAGAACCGAATATGCTCAGCCTGTTTTCTTCGCCCACAAGGCAATCAGAGGTCCGGTATTGGGTAAAATAACCAAGAAAGCTGCAACATATATGACGCAAAGATGTGAACTCAATGTTGTCTGCTACTGCTGTCTGTCGGCACGTTCTGCCTAAGAAGACAAGGAGAGAGAGCATCGCATAGGTCCATCACGCCGAATCCTTCCCCCTGGACAATGCTGTCAATGTCGCAAGAAACAGTCAAATCACTAGGCTTACTGCCATCGCATGATAGTGTGTGAGAACCAAATCGAGAAATGCCAACGGAAGAAGCAAACACCAAACTCCCAACATCTCCTTCCTGCCTACCCAGCCACCAATGCTCCTCCGATCCTTAAAAGTCCGAACCTGTGAGAAAACAAAGCCAAGGAAAAACACGAAAACACTGCAATGGATTAACAGACAGACAGCCTGCCCAATGAAACAGGATCCCTTTCCCTGAGGTGATCAAACAGTCTCCTCAGCAGAACATGCCTTCCATACCCACCCCAAGCAATAGACTTGGCACAGTAGGCAGCGGGAGGGAGCATGCTCGTGCCTTTAGCCCTTGCTCAATTCACCGTGCAAAGGAGCTCAGCCTCAAGGATGAACTTGCCCTCCTTATACCTCTCGGTCGACTCGTACGCCTTGTCGTACTTCCAGCCGACAATCTCGCTACAGATGCGGCACGAGATGTCGCGCACAACATGGCGGCCCGTCGTCATGGTTCGCTCGGCCGGCTCGCCCGCCTCGACGTTGACTACCGTGTTGAAGAGGTACGCTTTGCCATGTTGACCGCGGAAGTTCTGTTTGACTCCCGAGGTGCCCGTGACCCCAATTTTGGGGAGGGGAGGGAGCGGTGAGTAATCTGTTCATTTGCTCTTTCTTTGATCTTGTTGTTTGGACTAGGGAGGGAGGGAAGGGATTGGCGGGATAGGAGAGAAAAGGGAGCCGGAATAAGGAGAAATGGGGGATAAAAATTACCCTGCTAATGATATCATCGTGGTTGGCAAGGTGAGTCTTGCAACCCTTGCACCCGTAAATGCGGGAGCTGTTAAGATAGGTGTTGTACGCGAGGCCCATGGTTGCAACTTGGGCTGTACGTATGCAAAAGCAGAAGTGACAGGCAAAAAGAATGCGCTCGAGCCGGTGTACTCAGCTAGGAGATGACCTTTTTGTGAATTATATCTGACTCTGGAGGAACGCCTCTCTTGTATTTGGCCGGTCTTAAGTGCCTGTAGATGAGAAAATGGGAAAGTGGTGGGTAATCGGCCGGGTACTGATGCTCTTTGACTCGCCGGGAGCTTGTTTTACGTGGCAGGGCAGCGGGGATTCGGGGATGTGTGATGCTCGAGCAAGCAACGAACGCAGCGGTTATCTGTAGTTCTGACCAGTATGCAAATGAAACTGGCAATTGATTCACGGATTCGTGATCGGGTGTACGTGTGCTGGGCGATGGGTGATGGAATGCTCAGTTCAAGGAAGTTACGGGCAGCTGAGGAGCACGGATCGGCAGAAGCCTGGTGGATAAAGGCTGAGTAAGTTCTAGTTTGATGGGAGTGACGGCAGCTTGGCGTTTGAGCAAGCTGCGGCCACTCGGCGTTTTTTTCTTTTATGGTCCTCTTCTCACTGTGCTGTCTTGAATGCGGTAATGCCTAAGGCATGAGGTGCGGCGGTCTCCAGAGCGGGAACAACTGTGGCCAAGCGCTCAGAGACCTGAGCTTGATCCCGTTGAACAAATCAGCCTAGTTTGTTGCGTCTGGGAGCAGAAATGCACAAGACAGTGAAAGTAAGAGGAGCAGTCAACTGCAGGATGCAGGGAGAACGGAAGGTCAGTTCAGTTAGAAGTGTGAAAGCCAGCTAGATACGGAGTGGCGACAAAAGATAAGAAGCGGGACAGCAAAAACGAGCAACAAGCAGTCGAGGTCAATGACAGAATAGCCCTTTGGTTGTAGCACTGGACGGCTTAACAGAAAGAGGCAAGTGGACTGTAAGCTGTGTGGCAGCAGGCCAACAATGAAAGTGGGATGTCGGGATGGAATCGAAGTTGGAGCCAGGTGACTCTTGCTGCGAAGGTTCGAGACAACGAAGGAACGAGCGCTGGAATGAAGTGGTTCGCGGCCACGGTGGAACAAGTCCACTGGCGACGTCACGCGCTGAGGGAGAGGTGGGGGCCAGGTGGGGTAAGGAGCACCTCACTGCTGGCAGCAGCAGGGCTGCCACCGCAGCAAGGCAATGAGGGTTAGGGTTCTCTTTGCCCAGTAGGAGACGGAACACTTGGCGGAAAGGATGGCTTGGGGGGACGCACTAATCGATCATTAGTGCGAGACATTGTACAGCCAGCAATTGATGTACACCGAATCACTAGTGTCAGGAAACTCAAATCAAAAAAGAATGTACATTCGGTATTGCCCGATTGCTGCGTGAGAGACTCTGTCTGCCGCAGCCAAAGATGGCACTGGAAATACATATACATACAAATGAAGACATAGCAAGCAGACGCAGACCGATCAATGCACAAAAGTCTCCAGCGCCAAAGGAATCCCCTATTTTCCCAAGTTTCTGTGTAGCTAACCCCAATCCCATGCTTATCCTGTTACAGTTTTGTCCTTCATTCCTTCTTTGTCCCAGGGGTGTTTGGTTGGCTAGATATTTTGATCTATCATTCCTTTACCAAGAGAAGGCCTCCTCGATAAACTCAACGCTTCCCTGGTACATGCGGTTGCGAACCGCCCTGCGGACCTCGTCACTCAACGAGCCCGGGCCGCAAACCGATACGGCCATGGTGCCCACTTGGCTCTCCATCTCCATGCCAATGAGCGTGTCAATGTTGGGCCGACCAGGGAACATCTGGACAGTGTTGCTCGGGCTCTGGATCTCCTTGGTAGACCGCGGCCGGCTGACAAACAGCAAGATGCGCAGAACCTCGCGGCGGCGCTCCATAGCGAGCACCTGGGTCATCCACGGCCGGATCCACTCCAAGTGTTCCGGCGACTGAATCGACCAAACCATGATGACCTTACGCGTGGCTACAGTGCCGTTGGCATAGCCGGCCACAAGCTCACGAACGTGGGGAACGACCTGAGTCACACCCACACCACCGGCGAAGAGCATAACAGTGCCGTACGAACCAAACCTGTGCGAACCGCGATAGGGACCCTCAACCAAGCAACGAGTGACCAGCTTGCCGTCCGGACGGGCACAAGCGCGGGAGTAGAGGGCGCCGGTGAAGCCGGTCCGGCCACGAATAATGAAGGAGATGGTGGTCTTCTTCTGACCATGGATGTCGCGGCGGGAAATAGGCAAACGGTCAGCATCAGCGTGGTCGTTCTCCTCACTCCAAGCGACGGTGAAAGGGTGTGACTGCCAAAAACCGATAGAAGGCATGTAAAGGTAGGCATGCTGACCAGGCCTGAAGGTCCAAGGGCGTGCCATAGTCACAGTAACACGACAGGCACCGCCGGGAAGGGCCTCGACGAGCGCCTTGGTACCACCAGCACCAAAGTTGTGGTAAGCAACCCGCAAGAAGCGAGCCGCGCGGTCACAGGCCCACAGGATAACGACTGGGTACAGGTAACGCAACTGGGGGAGCTGCTTCATGTCAAGGTGCCACCAGAGGCCAATGACCGAGAGAATGGCCAGAGCGATGTGAAGAATCTTGAAGGTCTCGTAGTACGCGTGGCGGAAGATACTGGCAGCCTGAATGCAGATGAAAACCATGGCGCAAGTCGAAACGAAACCCCACAACAAGAAGGGAACCTTGGTAACCGTAGAAAAGGCGGACGGCCAGCCGTTGGTTGAGGCATTGCTGACCATCCAGGCTAGAGTGTGGGTGAGGGCTTCGAGAGCAACGATGCGGCCGAACCAGCGGTGCAGGAGATTGAAAGTATCGAAGGACATACCGAGAAGCTGGATGAGAGGGTTGTTCCGGCCAGCCATCAGGAAGAGCGGGATCATGTTGACAGTCGCCAGATAACCCGTACGATTCCTGACGAGGGCTGCGACTTGCCTCAGGGGGCCGGAAAAGTCGATAGTCATGACGCAGAAAGCGACATTAGTCGCAAAGTAGCCGAGAAGGAAAACAAGTTGCATTCGGGTAGGCAGAGTGCCCATGTTGAGAGCTGAGCTGAGCTGGAACTCGCGATTGTGGCGCTTGCTGAGGATGGGCGCATAAAGAATGTTCTTCTTGAACCACGCCCACTCCTCGTTAGGGCGAGCAAAGTAGCGCTGTGTTTCGTTGTAAAGGCATGCCACATGCCGGACATAGCGAATGATCATGGTGGTGAGCCGCCAGGTAAGGAGAGCGATCGAAATCGAACCGAGAACAATAAGCAGGTAATGGGCCAAGAGCTCGTTCACAACGTCGGGGTCAAGGCTGTTGGTCGCTCCCCCAGGTCCTCCATATCCCCCTTCCTGCTGTCCCTGAGCCCCTCCAGAAGCGCCCCCGGCTGCTCCCCCAGCACCTCCCCACTGCCCTCCTGCAGCACTGCCCTGGCCTTGGCCACCGGCTGCCCCTGTGGCAATAGGAGCCGCTCCTGTAATTGCTTGACTGGACATGGCGAAGGATTATCTCGAGTTCGACGGTATTCTGAGTCTGCCTTGTCTGGTCGAGGATCGAAATGTCGTATGTAGGTATGTATGGCTTGTAGTTGCAAGATGTTGATCGCTTTCAAAGGATCAACCAGATTTTAAAGGAGTGTCGAGTTACTGGTTATGAAGACGAAGGCGGGCCCAATGATGACCGAATCCTGCAGTCGATGTTGAGCACCGTCAAGTTGGTTGTTATTCGTTGCTAGGTTGATAAGGTAGGTATGGGTAATGGGCAGTGATGCTGGTGCCCAATACCAATCGATTGAGTGAAGGAAAGGAGAACGATGGTGAACGAGGATCGGTATGTCGGCCACAAATACTCAAAGTACTCGATTTTGTTGTCTTTGGCCACTTGGTCACCTGCCCATGACAATTCAGAAGTCCAGTACGAAGAAAAAAATGGCCTTGTTCTCAGAAAGGAATGAATGTTGCCGCTCCCTTGGCCAGGCCGAATCAGAAAGGAGAGTAGTGGTGAAGGGAAAGGTAAGCGCGCTGCGTTATGAAAAGGGAGAGAAAGTCGAGTCGAAGAATGTGAATCAAAATTCTAAGGGTTGGGAGTCGGCGAGAGCAGGCAACAAGGCTACAAGCTCCGTGGTTCAACAACGGAGTTGTCTTGGGAGAACAAAATGCGAAGAAAAAAGATAGTGCGGGATAGAAAATGGCTTCAAAGGGCGTGCATAATAGAAAAGGAAATCGTAACGTAGAACCTGTGGAAGTGGAAGCAGCGCAGAGTCCTGGGCCTGGGATCAGGGTCGCATACGCACATGCAGCGCATAGGAGCCAGCGGATGTGCTCCAGGGGCAGGGAGGGCAGTGTCGTGGAATCGGGACAATCGTCCGACCACTCTCACTCCAGACCCCAAAGGGTTCGGTAACAATACTGATCTCTATGCTATTAGATCGTAATTTACATCCCCTGAACTCCAAGGCCCTGCCTTTGTCAACCCTGCGGGGCCGTATCCTCCCCGGAATTGCGTGCCGTGACACATACGTGTAAGTATCGCGAGAGATCCTGCGTCATCTCGGGAGACTTGTCACAGGCTTCACGCCCCTAACCATGCATTTCTTGGTTCTCTGGTTCTTCGTGTTTCCCATAATAAACCCACAAAAATCTCTGCCGATCAATCAGCGTCTCGATCCCAGCCCCCGGGACGCGTAAACCAGAGCTGAAGGAAGGATACCGACCGTACAAAAGGTAGGGGAAGCCGCAGAGGAAGAACGTCAAGAAGAGACAGCAGAAACAATCAGCAGACAACTGCAAGAGAGCGTTTGACCCCGCACTGGACACACGCTGCGTTCCCTATATCAGACATCATACTTCCAGCGAATCAAGACTTGCGGTTTCGTTGACATCTGGCAGAGTGGCTGGCTGGCTACTTGCTCGGTGCCTGTCTCCTGTAGTTTCTGTCTCTCCCCAGCCGGCTTTGTGTCGGCCTGCGTCTGCCGTCCAGTGCGTTTTGCTTCAATGCCCCGCTGTTTGCTTTGTGCGCCGCATCGCAGCCAGCGGTCCAGCAAGCCGACAGCAGCATCCGGCGCTCCCAGCGTATCCCAGAAACGTCAGCAAGTTCACAGCGTGGGCGGGCCCAATGGCCTCACAGCAAAAATGCCGTCCTTCCAGCGGCCGACGGTTGAAGTCCAATCAGGGCGGCAGAAAGCGATCCATGTTCCTGCATTTGGAACCATCCCCACCTTGACGCGACGCAACCCGCGAATCGCATCACAGCAGTTCCTGATCCGATTGCCCATTCGATGCTCTATGCTGCCCCATGCTTCTGGGGACTCCGCCAAGCACGCTGCGCGCCGAGGTGCCATTGGGCGAGAAGGTGAAACAGCGCATGAATCCGTGCCCGGGATTGCGCCAGTAAAAGTGCATGGAGGTTCCGCTCATCAGCCACTTACATCAGCCTCTTTTGTAACCGACCGTGACAGAGGGGGTGGAGGCTTGCAGCATCTGTTGGGTCTTGTGAGGGTTGCCCTTCGGCCAAGCCAAGAAAATTTGGTCCGTCGATGTGAGGTTGGCGATGAGGCTCATGGAGCTCATTCTTTGATCATTTTTAAAAAGAGTCGTAATCGTTGAGATCGTTGAGATGATGTGGTCGTCAAGGGAGAATAGGACGTGAGCTTACATAATCCATGTAGAGATTAGAAAAGAGAATCACAGAACTCCATCGAAAGCGTCACCACCACTTCCGGCCTCAAACAGTAAGCGCGAGAACTGCTGCCGTGCCTTCTTGGATCTCATATCCGCGAAACGACCAGCAGGATGGCTGCGTATTCGCCGTCTCGGGCCCGGTGCTGCCCCTTGCTCCACGTTAGCATTAATGGTAACATCATATGTCTATGCATGTGCCGTCTTGCCAGGCATCGTAGCGTAGGTAAATGATGTTTCAACGAGTTCAACTTCTAAGATTTCCTTTATGACGTTTGCCAAAGAACAGATATCTTCGCGGCTCGATCTGTATATGATCGACGCTGAGCCTCTACGGCCGATCTCCCGTAAAAAGGCTTCTAGGCGTTTCAAGTTTCCAACTGATGGCTCTGAAGCCAGTACACAAACTTATCCCAGCTGCTTCGTTCCGAAACAGTCTGCTTTATGATTTTCGCGGGATACCTACCATAAGAAGGGCTTTGTATAAAAAGAGCACAACGAGCTCAATATCCGACCGATCAGCAGGCATGTAAAAAGGCCAAGGCACAAGGAACTACAGGTAGGTATGCCGCTATGTTCTCAAGTCGGGCTAGGCACTTCATCGATATCTAGCAAAATGGAGAGTATTACCGTGGCTCTTGTTACCAGTGGCGGCATCGATCTCAAAACAGAAACGAGATTTGCTAGCTTCCTCAATAGGGCAACAGAAATCTGCCGAGTCATGGGGCAAGTAACTGGTGCTGAGCCGAATATTAATGGGATGTGGGATGAGATTGCAAGGGGTCGAGCACGTTTGTGAGGCACTGGTGTAACGGTTGCCCGGATATGTCTGAATGTACCAAAATTTCCACCCCGGCTGTTGTCAACATCCAGGTCGCAACATCCTTAAGATACGACCTGCTGTTTCACACAACAACAAAACATTGAAGACTACTTCGTCTGAACAACGCTCCAAACAATACATCATTCGATGTCCCACATGCCCAAGGCAGCAAGGCACTGCCATCTTGCCAACACCAGACTACCAGCAGACCTGTCAAAACAGAGTCCACGTCACCTATGCCCCCCATGGCCAGATATCCCAGAACATCCAAACAAACCCTATTACCCTGTTTATCAATTCACTCCATACACCAAGCTCCATATCCTACCCTCGAAATGTATACATCGAAGCAGTGTTGAACCTCGTCACAGGTAAAGATACTGGGTTAGAGAATGCTCAGCTCATCTCCACTATCCTCGGCCTCTTCACAGCCACGGGCGCGAAGACATTGTGCCAAAGAACAACGAGACAACGACTGACCGAGCCTCGAGTTGTTGTGACATACCTGCGATGTCTGTGACAACGTTTTCGGTCTAGGTTTCTCTGACACCAAATGTTGCTTTTTCCTTGGCTTGTTGGCAATGGCGTTGTTCGCGGGTTTCTGCTCATCAGAAGCGCTTTGTTCCGTGCTCTTGTAACCACTACCCAGGACATCGTTGATATTTTTTTCGCTCCTCTTACGAGCTAGAAGGCAATCACTGATACGAGTACGAGTCTCAGACTCGGACTGCGATCTAGCGAAAGCCAGTACAGAGGCACTGCCCGGCTGTTTACCAGATATCGACAAGCGAAACCGAGCTGGACGCTTGCGTAGCGGCCTGCTGGCGTTCTCGTTGTCAGATACTCTTGTGTCAACATTAGCGTCAACATCAAAACCAAGTTCATCCCCTGCCGCAATGAAGGTCAAGCGGCGCGAGACGCGGTGTGGTTGGCGCTCGAGGAGAGCAGGTGATGACTCATTGGCGATTTTGCTGAAGCCACCATAGTCTGACTCCAGAATTGTGATCTCATCATAGTCATGGTCTATCTGATGTTGTAGTGCTTGTTGATGTTTGGCTGTTGACTCCGATTCTGGTGGTGTTGCCCTGTCAGTTGTCGATTGGGTGGGGTTATGATCTTCCCATGTAATGTTGTCGTCATCGTCGTCATAGTCTGTTCCCAAGGATGCATCAGTCTCACGGTCAGTTTCGGATTGACTGGTCTCTCCATCCAGAACCACAAAAAGCCGAGCCAGGTGACCACTCCGTGTTGGACGCTCTGTTGTCGTTGGTGTCGCGGCCATCCACTCCGCAATTTCAGCATCCCACTTCATACCAGAGAAAGGACGGGTCTTTTTCATGCTACTCCCGGAAGTCTTCTGTCCTGGAGTGCTGTTTTTGGCCCTAACTTCGGCCTGCAACTGCTCAGCAAACTCAAGATCTCGCAGATCACCCGTCCGTTCTGCCAGATGAAATGCTCCATCAACCCGCATGTTAGCGAGTGCGTCATCTGGTAGCTGGAGATGTGCTTCCATCTTGTTGAAAAATCCAAACAAATATTCCCGAGGGGCCAGGCCCACATTTGCACGGCTGCAAGAGTGTGCTATCGCGCTCAGAAGTGCCGCTGTGGCATTGTATTGAAGCATTAGACCTTCATTGCCTATGCAAGAGTGTACCCTTCTCCAAGATGACTCGATCTGGCTTCGCGCTTTGGAGTAGGCAGATGCTTGGCAAGTGTCGTTGTGCGGGAGACAGAGGAAACCACATAGAGAGATCAGGTAACTGCCGAGTTTCCAGCCGCCTTGTTTCCTTTTCCTCAGGCTCTTGAGACAATAGTCAACAATCCCTTCGAGCCGTCTTCTGAGAGCCTCGAACCTCCTCGACTTTTCTGGCTGCTCGGATTCCTCCTCAGAACGTTCAAGACCCAACAGCACCACCGATCCGAGAGCTGCAAGGGCATTGAGAAGCCTATTCTGAGGCTTCCCTTGGAGCCGAGTCTGTAGCTTTCCTCGTGGCTTCCTTGGCACTGCGAGATCACAAAGCAACTCGAGCACAGTGGCTATTAGATCGACCGTATCCGCGCAAGGCCGTGTCTCGGTGATCGTATACAGTAACGACGACCACAGTGAATGCATACCTTTGGAGAGCACCCATTCACGGGGCAGGAGCTCCTTGTCTAACAGCTCTGTTACTATCCCTGGAACAAGGTGCTGCAAATTTTCATGTCTCCGGAGTAGCTCGAGGGGACGGAGAGCTGGTGAGGCAAACGGATTATCATCGGTCGAGGAAGGCTTGGGGTATTGCCGGATCACGTATGTCCGGATGAGCCCCATGCACTCTTTGGCTGGCATATGTTCAAGACATACTCTGATCAACAATTCGGTAACTGGATCCTCGAATAAGCCATCCAAGGCTGCCTTTTGTACAATCCTTAAGCCATGAGCTCGGGCAACTAGACAAAGATGTCTCCATCCAGCGGTTGTTCCCAATGACTCCAGCTCAGAGTATATCTCGAATGATACACTAGCCCCTTGAATTGCGGACCTGGCCCCTTCCTCCTCTTGCTGTTTAATAAGTTCTATGCACTCGGGCACTTTGCGGAGACAAATGGACAGTAACGAAGTATGTTCTGCTGCCTGGTTCTTCTGTGGAGATGTGGCCCGCAGTAGGGAGTCCAAGGCCCTGACTACAGGCTCGTACAGGCTGTATCTGGTAGAATTAACTTGTCGGCGAAGGTGGGCCAATTCTGCGTCGTAGTAGCATCTCGTTTTGGTGCAAAGGTCATTGCTGTGTTGACACCGTTTGCTCTCCGGATATGGTCGTAGCTCATTCTGGCGCGGCTTTTCCGAATCCTGGCTCAACGACAAACTAGAGGTTATGGAACCTCGCAAACGCAGGAGAAAGGGGGTAGTTAGTCTCAAATCTGGACTCTCCTGGGCACCGGACCGGCCAAGCATCTTCTGCATGTTGCGCTGGGGAGTGATTGTAGAATAGCTATCGGCAGATGTCCTTCGAGGGCCCTTCCTCGAATACTTCCGGCATGGTCGTGACTCGCAATAGTCATCATCGTCATAGGGGTAGCCTCGCTTGCCTAGCGATGACTTGGTCGCGGCCGGCCCAGATGCGGAACGGGTCAAGACGCGTCTTTCTTTATCCTTCCGGAGCGCGGCGATGTGGGCCAGCAGTGGCCGAAGCAGCCGATGGCACCGGGTCGCTGTCCACGGCTGGCTCTGTTCAGAGGCGAAGCCTGAACTTGCTGTGCTTGTACCTGCTGCGCCGTACTGCCTATTATTCGAATGCTGACTGCGATGCTTTGGTGATACTGTTATGGAATACTGAAACTCCATCGCGGGATCATCTAAACGCGCCTCGTCGCCGGCAATTGAGACGCGCCAGTTATTCAGGTGAGACACCGAAATGGAGAATATAAGACTGAGTCGCGCCGTCGAATCATTGTCAAGCCTCAGTCTGTGCTTTGATTCGTTGTCGTGGTTTCGCTTGTTTACTTTCCTTCCTTATCCGGAAGGCGGTGAGGCATGCACTTGGCCCACCCATTTGGGCCCACGGATGCGTCGGTGGATGGCATCCCGAGTCGTGCCGAGTTGTTGCGACCGACCAAGGCGTCAGTGCCAAGTGGTGGGGTGACTCTGGCGCTAGCCTGACATGGCGACCCAGCCCTGGCTGGAGGTGGGGCTGCGACACGCAGCTGGGGTTCGTCCCGCCGTTGGACCGGTCTCCAATCCGCATCATCGATCCGGCAAAGAAAAAAAGTTGAAAAAAAATTCCGTGCCCAAAAGCCAATGCCTTGGATTGACCTGAACAACAGTTCTTCCTGCCACTCTCCCCACTGTCGTTCTCTTCAAACACCACTTTGAACGCTCACAACCATCGACCTCACATTGGGCTTTGTGAGAACTCCCAATTGGGTCGAGTGTCAATTTTACAACATCATTTTTTCCTTTCTCCAGCCCCTCCTCTCTCCCCGCTTTGCCCGTTGCATATTTTCTGCAGCCGTTACTGCTTCGAGGGCGGCAAACCTGCAGTCAATCTGTAATATTTCTTTAATCTCGATTCTCGATTCTTGCCCAGTCCAAGAGTCTAGAGTCGACCTTCGACAAAATGGCCGACGCATCGTCCCAAGCCCCAGCCGCAACCAGTATGTGCAGTCGTGACCTCAATTTCAACACCCGAGCACATACTCGCACACCTACCTGCCTAACCGTCTCAACTGTTTTATCCCTCATTCCCGGCGAACCCAACTGACCACTGCTCTTCCATCTGGCTTAGACAATCCGGCGGCCGAGACGGTTCCCGTCCAGGAGACGGCCCAAAACGAGCAGCCGACAGAAAATGGCGCTGAGCAGCCCGAAGGTGTGTGTTTGGACGCAAGACCAGCCTTTTCATTAGTCTCCTGAATGCTTGTCTAACTGCTGCCGGCCTCGGCCGTCGCTTTTCTGCTCAAGATGCGCCCTTTGTTGTAAAAGTTGTCCTTCCTCACGACCCCAAGACGCCGCTCGAGCTGCCGGTAGGTGTGCCACTTTCCGAGAAAAACTGATTTCGATATTCGGAGATCTGGTATCAGTTTGGAAGCGATGGCTAAGACTGGTGCAGGTTTCCCCGTTGGAACAAATCCACGAGATTCGGCAGTCCATCATTGAGCACCCTGTGGCTCTTCAGTACTCGTGCTTCCACCTGGAGCACAACGGCCAGCGGGTCAACGACTTCGTTCAAGTTTCGGATGTCGAGGGCCTTGGCGCCGGCTCCGAGCTCCATGTCGTGGAGGACCCGTACACGGAGAAGGAGGCCAGAATCCACTTCATCCGGATTCGCGAGCTTATTGGCGCTGCCGGCGATCGCACCGACACCGCCCAGGGCATTCTCGCTGGTGTCTCTATTTTCGACGATGTCGCAGCTGCCGCTGCCGAGGAGGCCGAAAAGGACCTCGAGCCATATGACTTCGATGCGCCGGCTGATCTGTCGGTTTTGCTCCCCAAGGAGCTGCCGCCAGCACCCAAGACGGTGAAGCAGATCACGCTATCGCCCTGGAACCCTCCTCCTGCTCAATGGCGTCAAAAGGGTCACCTTCTGTACCTCTCTGTCACGACTAATGAGGGTGATCAGTACCAGATCACCGGACATGTTGGCGGTTTCTTCGTTAACATGTCCAGCAACTCCAAGTTCAACCCCCTTCCTCGTACCGATGCTAAGGCCGCGTCGGCCCATTCCCTTTTTACTCTTCTGGGCAAGATTTCTCCCTCGTTCAACAGCGCATTCTCTGAGTTCCAGCAGTACGCCAACAAAAGGGAGCCTCTCGCGACCTTCCAGATAGGCAATACTGTCCCTGCTGCCCCCTGGCTTGTTCCCCCTGCCTCCTCGTCGCATGTCGCCCATGTCTCGGACCAGACCCGCTCTCAGGAGACGTACCTGCTGGGTGGCGCTGAAAACACGGATTCGCTGAGGGATTGGAACGAGGAGTTCCAGTCTGCGAAAGAGCTGCCTAAGGAGACGATCCAGGACCGCGTCTTCCGGGAACGCCTGCTTGCTAAGCTCCATGCCGATTACAACGATGCTGCAGCTCGGGGTGCTGTCTTGGTTGCTCGCGGTGAGGTTGCTCCTCTGAACCCGACTGAGGGCCGTGACGCTCAGATCTTCGTCTACAACAACGTCTTCTTCTCCTTCGGTGCTGACGGTGTCGGCACTTTCACTAGTGAGGGCGGTGACGAGGCTGCCCGTGTTGCTACTGGCAAGGATGTTCTTGGTGTCAAGCTCGTCAATCAGCTCGACATCGACGGTCTCTACACTCCTGGCACTGTCGTTGTCGACTACCTCGGCAAGCGTATCGTCGGTCAAAGCATCGTCCCTGGTATCTTCAAGCAGCCTGAGCCGGGCGAGAACCAAATTCACTACGGTGCTGTAGACGGCAAGGATGTGGTTGCTGCTGACGAGAGTTTTGCCCCTGCTTTTGGGAAGCTGGCTCAGCAGCTGCGCATTAAGAAGCACGCCGTTTGGGATAAAGAGAACAAGCGCTATGACCTCGAGACGAGCGTCGAAATGAAGGGTCTTCTTGGCACCGATGGCCGCAAATACGTCCTCGATCTGTACCGGATTACTCCTCTCGATATTGCATGGATGGAGGAGAGTGGTCCCAATGGTGCCGAGTACCCCCACCGGATGACAGTTCTGCGTCCCGAGCTAGTTGAGGCTCTGGGCAAGCAGAAGGCTCGTGAGTTCGTCGCTGCCGAGCTGCAGAAGCGTGCTGCTCAGAAGAAGGAGGCCAACGGTACTGCCGAGAACCAGGAGAAGACCGAGGAGCACAAGGCTGAAGAGAAGGCTGAGGAGGCGAAGGCCGATGATGCCGAGAAGAAGGCTGAGGAGGAGCAGAAGGAGGACAAGAAGGCCGACAACATCGACCGGATCGATATGTCTGGCTTCAAGTTCGCCCTGAACCCTGATGTTTTCAGCGGCCAAACACCACAAACAGAGGAGGAGAAGGAGCAACTGGCCAAGGACGAACAGGAGGTGCGTGATGCTTGCAAGTATCTCCGCGACGTTGTTATCCCTGCTCTTCTGCGGGATCTCAGCGAGTCGGACATCAGCTTCCCCATGGACGGCCGGTCGCTCACCTCCCTGCTGCACCGTCGCGGCATCAACGTGCGCTACCTCGGCAAGCTGGCGTCACAGTGTGACGGCAACGCTCGTCTCGACTGCTTCCGCGAGGTTTGCGTTCGTGAGATGATTGCTCGCTCGTTCAAGCACATCGCGTGCAAGTACCTCAAGACTCTTCCTTTCCCTCTAACCTCGTCTTGCTTCTCTCACCTCTACAACTGCTTGCTGGGTACTGGCCTGAACGCGAAGCCGGTCGCCGAGATTGATGAGTCGTATCGGGCTCTCTATAGCGATGCCGACTTGGCCTTCGAGAAGGTCACTCCTGAGAGCCTTCGGGAGGAAATCCAGATTGAGACGACCAAGCGGTTCCGTTTCGTTCTCCCGGAGAGCTGGTGGACTCAGATTAAGCACCTCCAGCTTCTTCGTGAGATCTCCCTGAAGCTCGGCGTGCAGTTGCAGGCGAAGAAGTTCGCCTTCACTGTGGCCGATGCTGAGGCCGAGCCAGCGGCTCCTGTCCAAACTCCGGCCGAGGCTACTCTTGCTTCTGCCTCTTCCTCTTCGAGCAAGAAGAACAAAAAGAAGAAGTCTCGCGATGGGTCTCCAGTTTCGGTGCCGGCAAAGGTCCTACCGCCGCAGACTTTCAGCCCTGATGACTTCGTCAATGTGGTGCCCATCATCAAGGATTCGGCTCCTCGTAGCGCGCTTGCGGAGGAGGCCCTGGAGGCCGGTCGCCTCTCTATCTATCAGCAGCAGAGGAAGCTGGGTGAAGATCTCCTCCTCGAGTCTCTGTCTCTGCATGAACAGATTTATGGTCTTGTTCACCCTGAGGTTGCCCAGATGTACCAGACTCTGTCGCAGATGTATCTGCAACTGGATCAGGGCGAGGCTGCGGTTGAGCTCGCCAAGAAGGCAGTCATCGTTTCTGAGCGGACTTTCGGTCTTGACTCCGCTGAGACAGTGCTCAACTACCTCAACTTGAGCTTGTTCCTTCATCATCGTGGTGAGAGCAAGCTGGCGCTCGGTTTTGCCAAGCACGCCCTCAAGATCTGGAAGGTCATCTACGGTCCTGACCATCCCGACACCATCACCACGCTCAATAACTACGCCGTGATGCTTCAGAGCCTCAAGGCGTACCACGAGTCGCGGCGGTGGTTTGAGGAGTCGCTGCGCGTCTGCGAGAAGGTGTTTGGCAGGCAGTCTATTAACTCGGCTACTCTGCTCTTCCAGCTCGCGCAAGCGTTGGCTCTCGATCAGGATCCTAAGCCTGCCGTCGAACGCATGCGCGAAAGTTATAACATCTTCCGCAACGCTCTCGGCCCTGAGGACAAGAACACTAAGGAGGCTGAGCACTGGCTTGAGCAGCTCACGACTAATGCCGTTGCTGTGCTCAAGAACGAGGCTCGTCGTCAGGCCCGTCCTGGCTTACGTCTTGCCTCGCGTATTGGCCGGTCTACGCCTGCGACTGCCGCAACGGCCCCTACCACGACCCCCTCGGTGCCCCCGCCGCCTCCGGATCTCGACAAGCGCACTATTGATGAGCTTGTCCGCTACATCGAGGGCGGTGACAAGAAGAAGAAAAGCGGCAACTCTGGTGGCTCGAGCACGGGCAGCAGCGGTGGTAAGAAGCGCGCTGGTCGCGGCAACCCGAAGCGGAGGGGCGGTGCGAGTGCTTAGGAGCATACCCCTCCTCCCTCCTCTTCGGGATCGAGTACCCCGTGCTGAAATGGAAGTCCTGTGGGATGAAATGAAATGAAACTTGTACAATTACATAGCTCTGGTTGATATTTGTATGGTATGTTTTGTTTCTTTCTCCCTTGTGTTAGTGGACAAAACTTTCCTTTTCCTTACCAATGCATCGACGACATTGAAATGGGTCGGTTCGTCGAATGGTTGGGCCTTGGTTGGGTTCATGATGTCAAATGTCATGTCATGTCAGGTCAGGTCAAGACACACAGGGGTAAATTGTACAGGGACTTATGTAGAGCGGGAGATAGGAACAAACAAATAAGGGCAAAACAGAGAAGTAGGGGGAAGGGGAGCGAAGGCCGCGATGGCGATGGCGGTTGCTGGTAGTTGGACGGCTGATGTATTTTTGGCATTTGATATGAGCAGACAGGTAGAGAGCATCACATCCCCAATCCACAATGTCCCGCATCCAAGACGTTGAAGAATAATATTTATAGACGAGAGCAGTTAAGTGACGGAGCTTGCTCAGCTTCACTCATAATGTTGTCTCAAAACTGGCTGTCAAATATCTTGAGATTTTCATGTCCGAGAACCATGTCCCAAGCATGATATCATAGGGTACCTGCCTACCTAGGCATTCAATCAAACCTATAGCCACAAACTCAGACGGGGGGTATCTTGGTTGTCTGTCTCTGGGAACAAGCAACTATCGAGTGCTCATACACATAAAATTTCACTATCTAAACATAGTAAATCTTGAAACCGACATTGGCTCATTACATAAATGAGCAAGGGAAATTTTTCTGATGACCTACCGTGGCCTGTGGTGGTAATGATGGCGATGGCGGGGTTGGGAGTAGTGGGTGGTTGGTGAGGAGGTTGGGTGTGCTGGTTTTGGGCCGAAGGTTGGATGCCCCTGAATCCGTTCCCAAAACCAAACACAAACAATCCACAACATCCGAGAAAGGTGTGCGGATTATGATGGGTAGATAACGCTGCTCTCATGAACATTTACACCATGTTAGCTGATATGCAGATGTCAGCTCACAGAATGATCCCTTGGATATAGGTCGCTGCTATATGTAGGTAGTTCATAGGCAACTTTCAGCTCATGTGAGAGAACAACGGGATGTTAATGTTTGTTGCTAAGGATCCGTGCTCCCGTCCCACTGACAGGCTAGTTTGACGGCAGAGCAGGAGGGGCAGGTTGGGGTTGGGTGGATCGAATTCTGTAATCAACCACATAGTCCTCCACAGCGGACAGCAGACGGCGCGGGAAAGCCTCTGCACCCACAACCCCGCAGAAAAGAACCAAAGAACCAAACAAGAGTCCATCTACAGTAAAAAAAAAAAAACGAACACCAGGCTTTACTGCATAGCCGGTCTGCTTATACTCAAAACTATGGCACGATGCAGGAAATATTTTTTATGTATTCGCTTACTTTATTTCCAATGCAAAAAGCCATTTCTGCAGTAGGCTGTGGAGCCTACCATTCCTGTCTCCGTGTCTTGCCATCTGGATTTGTCATGAAAAGTTGTCTGCCTCAACAGAGCACAGTGTCTGTGGATACTTGCACTGGTCTGTAGCTCACAACCACAATGACGAGCAGAATGCAAGCGTCCATCGCCGTGCACGTGAATCCCCACCCTCTTCCCACCCGCGACTGAAAAAGACGCGCTTTTCTGATTGGTCACTGGCCATTCGTCTCCCTTCCTCGCGCCTTTGAGTCGCCAACGCGAAAAAAACTGGGGAGAGTCGTGTGGTTCAATTAAACAAATCACAGCACTGGCTGCAGCCTGCACTCTCGAGTTCAAGTCCTCCAACCCCAACCCAAGAACCAAGAAGTTCTCGCCGCAGACAACTCGCAGCTGTGAGCGCGTGTGCGCCTGCGCCTGCACCTGCGCCTGCAACTGCTTGTGTCGACTGAGGTTGTCCTGCACTGAGTCGACTCTGAACGCCGAATCGCCTGCTCCAGGTTAGGGTGTGACTGGCATTGTGTTTGCGGCATCATCAAGCATTATCATATCAAATTGGGTGCGGTTACCGTTTGGTCTGAGCGGTTTGGTTTTGATTCAGGTTTCCCGATTTCAGACACGCAGACACGCCTGAGTTATCATCACCTGCATCCATCGCACCCACACCACTGAACATAGCGGTAGTTCACAACTCCGGAACCAACGAATCTCCACGGTAGACGAAGTTCCAGTCTCTGCCTGCGTCGCTGTCGCTGTGCGTTCAGTCAGTGAGCGTCACAGTTGGGACGAGAACAAGCCGCAAGCCGCACACCTGCCGCCATACACGCGTGCCCCCATCTCAACCCCGTTTCCAGTTCCGGTTTCATTCATCCATTTCGCTTTTCGACCTTTTCGTCCAGCCGTGTCGCATCGAGCAGGCGAGCTCCGCTTGTGATCGATCACACACAGGGCACAGGCTGTACCCAAGTTGGCCTCCCCAAGCCTCAGGAAGAAAGAGGAAGAGAAAATACACGCAACTCACAAACTCGCTAGTCGCGCACGCAGAGAGCAACTCAAGTTCCCACGCACCTTCACCCAACTACATACAGCCCCTCATCTGTTGCCCCTCTCCAAAATTCATTCATCACTCTTCTCTCAACCCATGCTCTAAGCCATTTTTACAACCTCCTCAATAAGCCCCGCAGTCATGCCGACGCCACAGAAACGCGCGCAGCGCGCTCGCCGCGACCTGCGCAACGATGCTATCGCCGACTCCTCGTCGCCCTCACGCCCTTCCAAGCGCCGGAGGAAGGTAAGAAGACTTGTGCATCCCACTTCCGGTGTCTCCTACTCCTTCTCTGGACCTGTTTAAGGGCGTGTGTGCATTGTTAATTATGCACTTCGCATCTGGCTGGCGCACCCCCTCCAACCTTCCCTGCAGCTTCGGAAGGACTTGCAGCTAACCATCCATCTCATTTTCTGTGTCAATAGAATGACGAGCCCACCTCCGAGCCTGCAGAGACGACGGACCCGATTGATGAAGGCGACTCGTCGCATGTCGCTGACCAGTCCCTGGTTGAGGATGATGACCAGCTGGTTACTCGAGTCACTCAGCACTTGATGGCCCCTGCTGGCCCTGTCCAAGCGAGCAAGGATCATTCTAATAGCATCCACGAGGCCAACAAGGAGGGGGTCAAGGCATATGCGAAGATTGCTGCTTTGGACTGGACCTACTACATCACCAAGCTTCAGGTCAACATCGGCCGGTCATCCGACCCCTCGCAGCACCGAGAGAATGCGCAGGACGATCCCGATGCCGTACACATCGACTTGGGACCGAGCAAGTTGATCTCCCGCCTGCATGCTGTCATCTACTTCAATAGGGATCAGGAGAAGTGGTGGCTGCTGGTCAAGGGTCGCAACTCGCTCAAGGTGGATGGCGCTCTCTGGAAGGTCGGCCAGTCTGGGCCCTTAAGGAGCGGCGAGGTTATCGAGATTGGCGGCATCGAAATGATGTTTGTTCTCCCCATCGAGCTGAGCCCGCTTCAGATTGCCCCCCAGTATCTCGAGCGCGCCGGCATCATCAAGCCCGACCCGGCAGCCCCTACCCGTGCAGGCCGTCATCCGCTCCCATCCGGTGATACCGCATGCTCGAGTTCTCCGAGCAAGTCAACCCGTGGCCAGTCTTCGCAAAAACCCCTAGCTCCAGCGCCGCCTGACTACAAGCGGCCCGGCACTCCTCCATCGGCCCGGGGTCGCGGCGCCAGCACCAAGACCCCCCATGAACAAGGCAGCAGCAACCCCGTGATGATGGCCCATGGCGATGTGGATCTGAGTCTTGATGAAAATCGTCACATCAAGCCGCAGTACAGCTACGCCCAGATGATCACCCAAGCCATCTTGAATACCCCCGACCAAAAGCTCAATCTGGCCGGCATCTACCAGTACATTCAGCAGAAGTATGCCTATTACAGACATCAGCCGGCAACGGGCTGGCAGAATTCTATTAGGCATAACCTGTCCCTTAACAAGGCCTTCGAGAAGATTGCTCGGTCGACCGATGAACCCGGCAAGGGTATGAAGTGGCAGCTCGTCCCTGAAACGCGCGATGAGATGGTCCGTAGCGCTTGGCGAGGAGGCCGTGGCGGCCATCGCGGTTCTTCCAACCCTTCGTCTCCCAACCAGCTCAGCTATATCACTTCCGGACCCAAGGATATGGCGGCGCGGGATCCAGTTTCGGCGCGCAAGCGTAAGGTCTCGCCATCAGGCTCGCCCCAGCCCCGCTCTTCCCTCCGAGAGTCCTCAACCATTACACCGGTACGGCCTACCCGCAAGCCCCTCCCCGATGAAGCCGGTGGCCAAGCAGATAGTCCTCTGAACCCCCGTGCAGCCGGACGCAAGTCTACCTTAACCGCCAGCAACACCATCAACAACAATATCACAAACCCTGCCGCGTCTGCCACCCTGGGTATGGTCGAGAACGCCAATGTGACAGCCACCCCGGCCTCGCCGACTTTGACCTCGTCCTACCTACAAGACAACGACGGCTCGTCCTTCGTCACACCCGCGCCTCACCGCGTCCATCCCAAGCTGGCCCCTCCCAGCACAGCCCAGCGCCCCTCCCAGCACATGCCTACCAGCTCTCCCGCTCCCTTCTGGAAGTATGCTGACATCGGGAGCACCCCGCTCAAGCCTACGCAGGCTATGACTCCGTTCGAAAGCCCGTCAAAGATCATTGCGGGGAATAATGCTGCCAGTGGCGGCGGAGGTGCTTCTAAGGTTGGCGGTGGTGAGAGCGGTACTGTGGTGCTCCCTCCGCCAAGTAGTAGCCCGCCTCCGGCTGCTGTGGGTAGCCCGACTCGTGTAGCTTCGGGAACTTGCCGAGCGGCGCCTGCTGCTACTGTGGAGGATCCCACGAGCCCGCCTGTGTCGGCTCTTAGTGCGGCGACGGCGTTAGTTGGGGATGAGGAGGAGCAAGGGTTTGATTTGACGAAGTATGCTCCCCCCTTCAACTCCCTACATTTACTAGTATGAGTGATATGATGCTAACTAAGTCTCTAACAGGGGCTTCCAAAGCATCGGCAGCTACCACGCGCCCGTCGGCCACGGCAAACAGGTCCAGCCTGCCACTGCCACAGCGCCTGCCCCTGGAGCGGCCACCTCTAACGGCGATGTACCCACTGCAGCTGCTGCCAGCAGCGGGAATGCTTGAGTTGTCATTGTTTTTATATCCCCTCTTTTTTCGACTTTTTTATGCCTTATCCCAACATTTCTATTTAGCACGGTTCTGAAATCTGGTTCACGGGGGGTGGTTCTGGTTCTTATTAAGGCTACTGGTTTTGGCGCGGCTCTATTGCTTTTATCTATATTTGCCGCTGGTCTGGCTGGTTGTTTTTATTGTTGCTGTTGTGGCTGGATTTGTTGTGTCCACCTACCTACCTGGCTTTTGGAACGATGCATCGGGTTAAGGGAGAGGAAAGGATGGTATGCAGTGTTTTTTTTTTTTCCCTCGTGTGTGTTGTATGTACTACGTTGTGGAGCAGCAGTGGGCGAAGGTCTGGGGGTCGTACCGACTGCTTCTGTTATGGAGGCGGAGAGAGCCTCAGCCGAGATTACATGTAGTAGTACTGGGATGGTCTGGAGGTTTAGCTCGATTAGCTTTTGCTGGGAAAGCTGGCTGAGCTCACTGTATTTTGCGAGCTAGTTAGGTGTTAGTGTAGGAGTAATAAGAGGTTTTCCCAGCGTGGTTTTGTGTTTCGGGCCCTTGGTTTGTGCTATTATGAGCGTCGTGAAGCGGCCGTCCATCTAATTGGGTTACGTATGCCCGGGAGACCATATGTCAGAAGAGTAGGTAAGGTATCTTTTGAGGACACGAAATTTCTAAGGGGGCAGGCCGATAAAAGTTAGGCCGATCCTCGACCTCATTGACTAATATTCTTCCCTCTTCATCCGTCTGGCTCTTCCTAACGTGCCGTACGTTGTGCCATTGCGCAGGATTTGCCGTGGAGCTTAACTACGTCCTGAGCTGGGGGTAAATCGTGGCAGGAACACACACCGGCAATATATCCATACTGATTTGTCCTACCACACTGTGATGTACAGTTTGTGTATCTATTGCCTTTTTTATGGTCTGCTGCTGGACAGGATGAGCCCCAAGTGGGTTTGACTGGCGATTGGAGGAGATTTTCCAGTTCTGCTGACGATGATTCTGTTCAAAGATAAGGGTGTGTCTAGCTGTGTGCCAATGTTTGATGCCGTAGGGCGTGGGTTTAAGTTGTAGTTTCGAGCATGAATCTTATGTCCATTAACCTTAAGACTATTGTTATTGCTCCATCGATTCTTAACCTCCTCAGAATGTTGATCTCTGCCCTTGGTCCATGGAGGTACGCTCAACATTGATGCAAATATTAGCAAGGTAGTCTGATGTGAAATACTTTTCCCGAACATGGAGTAATTAAAAGCCAGTCTGGATTGTTTCCACTGCTATCTTGGAAGATGAAAATGGGAAAACAAAACTTAAAAGGATATTGCAAAGATGTCACATCCGTGGTAACTGAAGCACCGGGCGACCAACACAACTTCCGGCCGAGTTGTGTCTTCGTGATGACCGGGGGGAAGGGAACCAACTTGAACAGCCTACGGCGCAGCACTGTTGGGGGGCTGCTCATTGGTTTATTTTACCTCCCTGACGTGCTGATGTAATCCACGGCGTCCTGATGCCATATGGTGCCTGGATTAGGTGAAAAATTGTATACCAAGAGCAGAGTACAGTTGTAGCAGAGCAAGGACTGGGAGCACAATCTCTGGTGTTCTCTAGGAGGACGACCTCGGTGTTCCTTCTGCAAGAATTGAGCAGTACACTCAGGTAGTAGCCTGCTCATCAAGTACTGATGGAAGATACCTAAGTTGTTGATGTTGTCGGTACCGTATGCTCCTTGGCTTCTAGTATAACGAAGCGGGCAGAAGGTCATTACTGGCACATAAGGTGGGAAGGCATAACCGGGGAAGACAAGATCATTGATTCATGCGATGGCGCTGGCGTTGCATGCATTGGTCACGGAATTGAGCAAACTATTGAGGGAGCTACAGAGCAGATGAACAAGGTCTCATATGTCTCCCACACTTACTCCATTGCTCAGCCAGTCTGAGAGCTTAACAAGCACTTAATTAAGACCACCAATAACAAGATAAAAAAAAAGATCTGCTTGATGCGCTTAGGTAAGCTAAATTCCCATTGTTCCCAACAATCTCCTCGATAAAGTTAGCAGAACCATCAGGTTCAGAAGTTGTCGAGGCTGCCCTGAAGATTGCCATCAAATGCTTACTCTAGAAAGGGCAAAATAAACACGTAAATTTCATCGGCCGCAATGAATCCTACCACAGAACCACCATCGGCTCGCTTTTCAATGTCTGGTATCACACCCGTCGGGAACCATATCACCCTGCTTCGCTCCCTTCCTCGGTCTCTGGCAGCGACAACACTATCATCAAAGATCCCTGCCCGTAACCCCTACTGCCAGAAGAGAGGCGACGGAAGCAATACAGACTTCCTCCAGTGTAAAAAGCAGTGAGATTGAGAATGAATTATAGAAGCTTGGGCCCGATAGAGTAGCTAATGTGGTCATAGAACCCGTCGTCGGTGCTGCCTTGGGCTGCATCCCCCGCCGCCAAGGGATATCTCTCCATGGTCTGTGAGGTGTGCGATAAGTATGGCGCGCTGCTCATCTTCGACGAAGTCGTGTGTGGGATGAGCAGGACAGTGAAAATGCAGACCTGGTAATGGACCAAAGAAGAAGATGAGGAGCTGGTTGTCCCTGATCTACAAACCATTGCTAAGGGTTTCGCGGGTGGGTACCAGCCGGCCTCAGCGCTGTTCATGGGGGAGAGATCACAAACTTGAAGGAAAATGGGAAAGTGCTCACACATGTTCACACATACTAGGACCATCCTGTTCTTGCAGTTGCTGCGTTGAAGTGTAGAGAATCATTGAAGAGGAAAAGTTGCGGACAAACGTGACTGAGCTAGGCAAGCAGCTGGAAGAGAAGTTGAGGGATCGCCTGCAGATCATCCGGATGTGGAAGGCAGTCGGGGCAAGATCTTTTCGGGATGTGAAGTTTGTGAAGAACAAGACGAGCAAGGAATCCTTTGGGTCCAAACATCAGGTAGCTTCTCGGGTATAGAAGACAGTGATGAGGAAGCATAAAGTCCTGGTATATCATGGCCAGACGTGTGCTGGCAAAGAGAAGGGAGATCATGATCATCCTGGCTTATAATATCACACTGCAGCTGATCAGAGAGATTGTGATTGTGATGTTAATGTTAGAGATGTCTTCACAGAAATGCCTTCATAGATGCAGAATGATGAGATAGGCTTTGGGTCTAGAGGGCCAGACAAAAAGATCTAGAAGCCAAGACAGCAGCGCCTGGTTTTGATGGGATGAGAGCAGCTCATCCTTGGATAGCTCCATGAACACCAAAATATAAATCAACGAGATGAAAACAATACTGCGTTTATGATAAAAGCGATACTGTGATATCGTAAGACTTAGCATCGGCATCAAAAGCCCAAGCACCAAAACTCCTTGCTTTCACCACTGCTTATTTGTAGGGTCTAACGAAAATGGGGGGCTCACGGGGCTTTCGCTTCGCCTGAAGTGCCTGCTCTTTTGGCTGTGAGATGCCCAGTGCTCGGAGTGCGGCCCGGAAGTCGGGTACCTCGTCCGAGCTGGCTGCTGGCTTCGACCACACTACTATCCCAGCTCTGTCGAGTGCAAAGGCTCCTCCTATCTGCCACTTGCTGCCTCCATATTGAGGGGAGTCGCCCCTGGATATCAGTGTTAGTGATGGGCAGCAATGAAGGAAACGGATAGGCAAATATTGACGAAGTACACACCAAAACCCTTCTTCTGTTCCCAGCTTGTACGTGGACCACAACGCCAAGGGGTTGAGATTGTACCATGTCGAGCTCTCACCCAGACCCCAGTCCGCATACAAACGGCGTTCTGGGTCCGGAACGACGATGGTCTCCCACTCGCCACCGACAGAGACGGCCCACTCATCGCTGGCCGCTTGGTCAGATTCTACATGTACGGTGTTAGCAGCTGCCTTAATCAGGACTCACACAAGCAATCACTTAATACTCACGAGTCACGGCAACACAGCGGATCTCGGGATGGTGAGCAGAAATGTTGGTTAGAATTCTGAAAGTCTTTTCTGCGACTGTTTCTCTTCCCCCGACCTCCTCACGAGAAGTCGGCCATCCAATGGTCAGCAGTCTGTAATGATAGGTAATGTAAAGCATGATCGATCGTGGTGAGGGACTTTGGACAAAATTGAGTAGTCACTCACAAGGATCACCGAGTTGCCTCAGAAATACCACGAGCGTAGGCTTTGCATGAGGGAAACGAACTTTATCCCCTAGTGGCCGGGCTGGGTCACCCACCTTGAGGGCAGGGGCAATTTGCCGTGTGTTGGATGTTGGCTGTGCTTCAGGCATTGTGAACTTCAATGAACTCGGGACTTATTTGCTGTCCTAGGATTCCAAAGCTGTGATGGAGCTCAGCTGGAAGGCATTTATAAGGAGAAATGCCCAGAAACTATGATGACCATTACACACAAGTGAGGTGTAAGTGGTAACATACCACCGGACTATGAAATGCTACAACAGGCGGTCAGGTGCTCTTTTGATGACGTTAAGTCGGTGGTGCCATTGGTGCTGGGTGAACGGCTGCTAACAGTTTCCAAGTTTCCGCCGCCTAACTGATAAGGATAAGCGTGTAAGTCGGGACGGCCGGGACAAGTGTAATACGGCTGTCGGGCCATCAATTGCCGAAGAGCTCTTGTCAGCTTAACAAAACAGCTTCAGTCATTTTGATTCAAACCTGAATCAATTTAATATCAGTTTTGGACATCAACTGCGTTCGATTACGATTTTCTTATCCGAGGACATGAAGAGTATGCTGTTAACATAACCACAGCCCTTGCAAAGGGCTGTGTTGTGGTACAACTGTAGCACAACCGACCACAGTCTGTCTTGCCAACTGATTGAATGCGTTTAACATTATGATTTGCCTCTTCGTCTTTTGATTGAAATAGTACCCATTCTCAACATTTTAGTTTGCCCAAGAAGCCGTGTGGCTCAACCTTGTGGTCATTCATTTAATACGTGTCTGTCGCTGTAAGCACCGGTAACGGCGTACAACACCCAGGGATTGTAGTGATCTGGCCCCAGTTGTATCTTCCATATGACATTAATACGAATGCATCAGACTCAATAACTAAAACTTTGCAATCCCTTCCAGGTCACTGCCATCTCTTGTTGATATACGATGAAGACAAACTGATGACTTGAGCAGTGACAGCATGACGAATGGCAGGTTTCCGTTTGTGTCCATCCTGCCAAGAACCCGGCCCGGGCTCTGCGGGGTTGTGGATCCAATACGTGGGGGTACCTGGGTGGGATTACAGTGGGGGGTTCTCTTGAGGGTTGACGCCGGGAGATATCCTGCCATTCTCGAGCTCTAAGCATGATGTCGCTTGACTATTGACTTCTGGTTTGGACGTCCTTTAAAGATCAACAATCAAAAAGTCTGCGTCACTCATATATGGCTTGAATGAACTTGACAGCAAGGAGCAATCCTGGTTGGCAATGTGGGGTAAAGATAGTGTCTTCTGCACATTTGAAGTACTGTTGCACCAACTCATGTTTTAACAGATGGTGATCAGTTTCTGGCCAATATACATACTTTGAACGGCTGTGATTGCTTTGCCTTCTTTCCTTGCCTTTGAAGTGAACTTTTCCGGCCACACGTGGAATTTGGTTAAGAAGAAACGTCCTCAAGCACAACCTGATGTTGTTTTTAGCCTTCAGTTATTTAGACATTGCTGCAATTTTAGTTACATTCTTGTTATTGCTTGTTTAGAGAGTTGAATCGGGAGCAATGAACAAAGACTTAGTCATGAGGAAACACAAATACTGATACCAAAGAAAGTACAATGCCAGCCCGGGCATTTGATGACCAAAAGCCAAGTGCTTTAACCGTCACAAACAACAGGGCAGCCAGTCAAGGACACAGCGAAATGGTATGATGCAAGCAAAGACCAATGTTCTGTTATTGAAGTGCAACCACATCAAGATGTTCTCGTGTCCTTGGTAGAAGTCAGGTCCGCTTTATCTTGCCTCTGCTGGGCTTGTCACACCATGAAAACTCCTGACCTTGATCAGCCACGGGAGGAAGGTATTTTGAGGTTCGATGTACCCAGTAAACAACCCAGAGGCAAATGGCAGTAGGACTTGAGGAGGCCAGGCATCACTTGTATACGTAAGCCAGGTGATGATTATGGAAACCCAGATCAGTGCCAGGCTGTCCACTTCCGTGGGTCTATGGAAATCCGGGCAAAATACTGATAATTCCTATTAACCAGCACTACTATGTAAGATGATCAAAGCTTGGGAAAAGTATGTCATTTGCGAGGGGAAGTTGGCCGCAAGGCTGCAGCAAAACAGTGTCTGGGCCATGGCTTCTTGGAGATGCCATAGTGACAGACATACACAGAGGTGATTTTGCAGACTGAAGCAGAAGCGGATATGATTCAGGAACCGACCATCATTGAGCAAAGCTGAGAATAGCACTCATGAGTACTCCACGGCTGTGCGGCAGCTTTCCATGAAAGGAAGTTTGTTGAATCGAAAGTGTTGGAAGGTTCCACTGCGGCGGAGTTTCAGTTCGTAAGCCATTCAGCCTGCCAAAAAGCTTGGACCACAGATGGATGCCGGGTGCCTGAGCAAAGCCTGAGCCTGAAGCCTGAGGGGGGAAGACGCACGGACTTTGCCGCCCAAGCTCCGCAGTCGTCATCTGAGTGGCCGCCTAGAGCGAGTTCGCCGCTGTTGTCTGTTCGGCAGAGGCCAAGTCAACCATCGACCAAACAACCAAATCTTAAACCAAACCCAATCCTCTTGGAAGACGGCTATATCTCTCGGCTTTCCTCTTCCCTTGGAAAATTTCTCCCCATTTGCGTGAGAACGCCTTTCTAAACCACATTTTCTTGCCTCTCGTTCCTGCGCGGGGTAGCTCTAGTCTTCCCTTCTACCCACCTCACTGCCGTCGCGTACCTGTGAGGCTCCCCACGTCTTCCACAAGTGCTTGACTTTCCCACCGCGTCTCTACGCAGAAACAGCAAACATGGCTCCCGAATCCAAGGACCACAAGAAGAAGGTCAACTTGACGTACGTTGCCCCGACCATCTTTGTATCCCTCATCATTTTGCCTGCCCCGCGCCCCGCGCCCCACTAACCGATGATTGATGCAGCGATCCCTCGGGCGCCGAGCACCGCGAGGAGAATGACACCGCCACGGCCATTCTCAAGAAAAAGAAGAAGCCCAATCAGCTTATGTATGTACAATCTGGCCACTGAATGCTCCCAAATTACCGAAACTAACGATACCCAGGGTTACTGATGCCGTTAACGATGATAACTCCATTATCGCCCTGTCCAACAACACTATGGAGGCTCTCCAGCTCTTCCGCGGCGACACCGTCTTGGTCCGCGGTAAGAAGAGGAGGGACACTGTCCTAATTGTCCTGGCCGACGACGATCTCGATGATGGCAGCGCCCGCATCAACCGCGTAGTCCGCCACAACCTGCGCGTCAAGCACGGCGACATGATCACCATCCATCCTTGCCCAGATATCAAATATGTTCGTAGCCCAACCCTCGGTTTCTCTGGACTGGGCATACAGAATGCTAACTGCAGCATAGGCCAAGCGTATCGCCGTTTTGCCGATTGCCGACACCGTCGAGGGTCTTACCGGCTCGCTCTTCGACGTCTTCCTTGCTCCCTACTTCCGTGAGGCTTACCGCCCCGTCCGCCAAGGCGATCTGTTTACCGTTCGCGGTGGCATGAGGCAAGTAGAGTTCAAGGTCGTTGAGGTCGATCCTCCGGAGTACGGTATCGTCGCGCAGGACACCATCATCCACTGCGAGGGTGAGCCTATTCCCCGTGAGGAAGAAGAGAACAATCTCAACGAAGTCGGCTACGATGATATCGGTGGCTGCCGGAAGCAGCTGGCTCAGATCCGCGAGATGGTTGAGCTCCCGCTCCGGCATCCTCAGCTCTTCAAGTCCATTGGCATCAAGCCGCCTCGTGGTGTGCTCCTCTACGGTCCTCCTGGTACCGGTAAGACGCTGATGGCTCGCGCCGTCGCCAACGAAACTGGAGCCTTCTTCTTCCTTATCAACGGTCCTGAGATCATGTCCAAGATGGCCGGTGAATCCGAGTCCAACCTGCGCAAGGCGTTCGAGGAGGCCGAGAAGAACTCTCCTGCCATCATCTTTATCGATGAGATCGACTCGATCGCTCCCAAGCGTGAGAAGACAAACGGCGAGGTCGAGCGTCGTGTCGTGTCTCAGCTCCTGACTCTCATGGATGGCATGAAGGCGCGGTCTAACGTCGTCGTCATGGCGGCCACTAACCGCCCCAACTCTATCGATCCTGCTCTTCGCCGTTTTGGCCGGTTCGATCGTGAGGTCGACATCGGTATCCCCGATCCTACCGGCCGTCTGGAGATTCTCCAGATTCACACCAAGAACATGAAGCTGGCCGACGACGTCGATCTTGAACAGATTGCCGCTGAGACCCATGGTTACGTCGGTTCCGATCTTGCTGCCCTCTGCTCAGAGGCTGCTATGCAGCAGATTCGTGAGAAGATGGACCTCATCGATCTTGATGAGGATACCATCGACGCAGAGGTCCTCGATTCTCTCGGTGTCACCATGGACAACTTCCGGTACGCTCTTGGTGTCTCCAACCCCTCGGCTCTCCGCGAGGTCGCTGTCGTCGAGGTTCCCAACGTCCGCTGGGAGGATATTGGTGGTCTTGAGCAGGTCAAGCAGGAGCTCAAGGAACAGGTCCAATATCCTGTCGACCACCCCGAAAAGTTCCTCAAGTTTGGTCTTTCCCCGTCCCGTGGTGTCCTGTTCTATGGTCCCCCTGGTACGGGTAAGACCATGTTGGCCAAAGCTGTTGCCAACGAGTGCGCTGCGAACTTTATTTCGGTGAAGGGTCCTGAGCTGCTCTCGATGTGGTTCGGTGAGTCGGAGAGCAACATTCGTGATATCTTCGACAAGGCTCGCGCTGCCGCTCCTTGTGTTGTGTTCCTGGACGAGCTTGACTCTATCGCCAAGGCTCGTGGCGGTTCGATTGGTGATGCCGGCGGTGCCTCAGATCGTGTCGTCAACCAGCTCCTGACTGGTAGGTTTCCTGGCCTTGACTTGGTTTTAATGAAATAGTCTGCTAACTCCAACTCACAGAGATGGATGGTATGACTTCCAAGAAGAATGTGTTCGTCATTGGTGCTACCAATCGCCCTGAGCAGCTCGACCCTGCTCTGTGCCGTCCTGGCCGCCTCGACCAGCTCATCTACGTGCCTCTGCCCGACGAAGCTGGCCGTTTGAGCATTCTCAAGGCCCAGCTCCGCAAGACGCCCGTGTCCAAGGATGTCGACCTTGCCTACATTGCTTCCAAGACCCACGGCTTCTCCGGTGCCGATCTTGCTTTCATCACCCAGCGTGCTGTCAAGCTGGCCATCAAGGAGTCGATCGCTGCCGAGATTGAGCGCCAGAAGGCTCGTGAGGCTGCCGGCGAAGATGTCAACATGGAGGATGATGAGGACCCGGTTCCCGAGCTTACCAAGCGTCACTTCGAGGAGGCCATGCGCGATGCCCGCCGCTCTGTCAGCGATGTCGAGATTCGCCGCTATGAGGCATTTGCTCAACAGATGAAGAACGCTGGTCCTGGCGCCTTCTTCAAGTTCCCCGACAGCACCACCGACAACAGCGCTAGCAACGCTGCGGGCAACTCGTTCGGTGATGCTGGCAACGATGATGATCTCTACACCTAAACGGGATAATGTGGTCTCAGGTGTACTCTGGCGGACTATAGGTTGTTGTATTCTAGTTTTCACATCCCCTCTAGACAGCCGCACCGTCCTGACGACCGATGTTGGTCGTCTGACTTCTCGTTATGAGTCGTTTTGATCTATGGGTGGCTTCATGCGCAGATGAATTCCCGAGCAGGCAAGGTGGAAGGAATGGAACGGAGGCTGGTTTTTCTGTTTCCGGTCTGAGGAAATGGGGGATGACTAAAGAAAGGATTTGCGTTGCCGCTGATACTTTTCCTACTGCTCGGGTCTAGAGATAGCAAGCTAGCTAGGCTATGCATTCTGAGTTGCTACATTAATTGCTGTTACATGTCTTCTCCGTGAATAGGTAGTCACGTGAAATAGCTGGTGCTTGGATAACTGACTCCGACTACCTTAGGCATGCACCGTCTGGCTCTGCTGCATTTATCGACTCCGGTTTACATTCCATTTCGTCCACTTTCACGGATAGAGAGAAATGTTTCCTTGGTAGAAGATCTATTGCCTTGACTGAATAAGCCTAAATACCACGAGTGATATTTATGCCTTTGGATGCACCTGACAACGCACTCTCCAGCGGACCATTGTACAGCATGTTGGTTGTAATGCGAACCATACCAAGTAGCAACCCTAGGTTATTTGGAAAGCAGACCAAAAATACATCCGTAAAAACCAGAACAACCCATTCCATACTCTGTCGCCACTTTGCTCCCTCATGTGTTAAGTGTTCTAGTCGATCCCATCATTGCAGTTCCCTCATCCAAGCCATCACCACGTTTCTCCACAACACAGAGCTCTAGGCATCTCTCTTCATGCCGCAAGAGGCTCCTCAATTTCACACAACTGATCAAGACACTCCCTTGTCACCTTCAGTGCCTCCTCAACCACCGATTGAGGAACCGCCAAGCTGGGCTTCAGATCAGCGACGCCGCCCTTGTTGCCGTTCGTTGTAGCGCCCTTGCCGTTGGTAGCTCCGTTCGTGGTTGTTGACTCACCGTTGCCATTGGCGGTCGTTGATGAGGGGGCTAGTGCTGTGTCCTGACGAACATCTTCAACCACGCGCCGTAGCAGGGCAGGGAAGCTTGTGACCTCTCCTGAACGGAGCAGGGAGAGGGCGTGGTTCTGCACGACAGTAGGCCAGTTGGAAGGGTGGGCATGCAGGTGATGGAGGAGGTGCTCCTGGATTCTGGGAGGGTGTGTTGGTTAGGGAAACTTGACGAGATAAGGTTGTGTGCATGAGGGGAACATACTTGGCTACATGGCCTTCTTTAATCAAAAGAGAGTTGATTTGCGATCTGAGGTCTTGGTCGAGTGTGGCTGGGGTGTAATTGGCCGCTGCAGCGGGAACTTTGACTGGTGTTGGCGAGTGTTGGCTCGCCATGATGTGGTTGGTGATTTGATGACTGTGTGTGGCTTCCTGATAATTTAGAGGAGTGACTGCGCTGATAAGACTGATTATGATACACTCCCTTCGGTAGCTAAAGAACTACAGAGAAATTGCTTATAAGAGATCGGCTTGCAGATGCTAACGGGAAGCTTTGGCTGTGTAGGCTTTAATTAATCAGCAGGTGAAAAACTCCCCGGTGGTGCGGTGGCTGATGGGCAACTGAGCGTTGCGGAATAATCGAAAAAATCAAGCACCGAATAGGCCGCAATTAAAGATAAGTCAATAGGAAGTTTAGGAGTGCCCAAACGCGATGTGGCCTAATTTGAGGAACGGGAAATGGGATGGGCTCAAACAGCGACAAACACTCAGAAAGAAAAAAGGGCATTACAAGACAAATCCCTCTGGAAGGCATGCGGTGAATACGCAAGGTTCTCCTTATGCGTCCATCCCAACACAGGGGTTGTTGAAGATGCAACGTCAGTTGGGTAGGGAGGATGCGATGATGTCGTCAACATGAATCGCGACCGCGAGGCTGAAGTGGTGGCGGCAAGGCTGAAGCGGCGCGTCGCCTACTTGTGGGCCTGAAGTCTGTGCACGCTAGCACGTGATGCTTGATATGCATTCATGCCTTATCAGAAGTATGTAACACAACGTTATCATTTCTAGTCAACACTTACTATCTTGTCGAGGAGTAGAGAACTATCATTTGACCTTCCTTGACCTCTCTCTGTGAACCGTGTGGAGAAGACTACAGCGACAAGGTAGGAATCATCTAGTTATGTTCCAGAACAGCAATCCTCCCCTCATATCAGCTGAATATTGAGTTTGAAGACTGATACTCACCGGAATCTGCATCCAGTCGACAAGATTCACTTCCTGACAGCCATCGGGTTGGTGAAAGAGGCAAAGCATCAATTTCGTACGTTGAGCGGCCTGCTACAGATGACGTCCGTTTCTCAACAACCCAGCGATAGAGTGTTTGATGTGCCTGGATGTCAACTCTAGAATCCGTCACCGATTTCCGTCCCTTATTTCATTTGTTATTGGGAGCTTGGTTTGTTCGGTTAGGCGTATCATCTGTCTTTGCAGACAGCCACAGCTGATCAGTCTTGCTGTTACCCATATGTCTAATGATGGCCAGCTGCCAGCTGAATATGTGATTATCCATCTAGCTATAGTCTCTGCTTCAAGTCGTCATTGCTCTTTGTCAAGATATCGAAGACAATGCCGGGGGGGTAAACAGGTCGTTCTTTAAAACATCTGCATTTTGACTTTTACAAATTCTTCTAAGTTGGATGAAAGTTGGTGTGGAGGAAGATCAACACGTCTGCTATGGAAGCGTCAAACTACTGTGTGAAGTGGTCTCATTGGGCCGTTTGGTGGTATGTAACACAGTGGCCCAACGTCAGATCTTGATGGATTTTCAGGTCTCAGCCAACCCCCAGGCTCTTGGGCCCCTTCCAGAACCATCCCACAACATCACGAAAGAAATCAGACTCTTGCTTCCCTCATAAGACCGCCTTCACCGCCCTCAATTTATTTGAACAGATCTAGCCGACACATGCATCACAGGCGAAATTGGAGCAGCCAAAGAGAATCAAGAGATCTTTAAGAGGAAGCGCTGCTTGAAGACACGGGAGCTTGCTTCGATTTGACATCGCCAAAATCTACCTCCAATCGGCCGAAAGAGTGCATTCTCTACGACTACACGTAACCCTCGTCCTAACCATCCTAGAATAAGATCAAAAGATCGGTTCAGCAAGAAAATGACTTGCAGGTTGCCTTCACATCTCCACTGATGGTGCGTGTGTAGGTCAACATACATGCATTTGTGGATACATGCGTCAGTCCAGGAGCCCCGCTCAAGAGCGAATGAGGGGTTCAGATGAGGGGGAAGTGTCAAAAAGAAGAGGAGTGAGTGGTGTTATTGACGACAAAGCACACACCACACATTTTTCACTTCTTACACCACCTTAATCGCGTGCCCTCGCAGATCCGTGTCTCAGGCGCCAGCAGCCAGTCACAGTGCCGAGAATCTGTAGGCTATCAATAAGATGGAACGTCATGCAACGCTAAATGGTCAGTAACATATGACTGATATCATAATTGGAGACCACAGCCTCGAATACGCAGTAGCACGGGAAGGCTACACTCTTTAATCGGCCCAATCTTAATCATTGATACTGAGAGGAGGAGGTCTAGACCAATAAGCCATCTACGTATATGGCTGCTTGCCACGCACATGGCCCTGACACGAACCCCGCCTCCACTAGGCCCGGCGAATGTGAGCTGCCGCCGCTAACCAGACGGTCCCCCGGAGTTGAGCATGTACCTATTGTACCACCATCTTGCAGATGGTGTGGGTGTGTTGATGTTAAAAGCGCGTGGCAGCACGTCTCGGCGGACCGAGTGGCGATCGTCCCATGCGAGAGGTGGGCTAATGTATGCGATGTAGTATGTAGGTTATGTTCGCTTGCAGTCAAGTGATCGGGGTGTTGGAGATCCTGGGAAGGGGTGCGCGTCCCAGAATAGTCGATGTTTTGCCCTTGCCGAGTGATTGACGAACAGCCAGACAATCGCTCACCAGACACTGACGACAGACTTGCCGGACGGCATGTCTGCTGCCAACTCACTTGTCGCCGTCTACGCCGATCTTAGCTTGAAGGGTAGGACAACAGATCTGACGTCAAGATTTCCGGACTCGATGAAGCCCAGCCCCGAAGGCTTGAAGCTATGTATTAGGCCGTTTGACGCTGCTGGCTTGGATAATGCCCCTCTCCATGGCCCGATGGAGCCTTGCTTGAGTCCCTCTCCCATATTCCTTTGACCCCTCATCCGCTCAGGTACGTCCTCTCAGTCATCACCACCAGCTCTAGGTAGACCACCATGGTGACATCTACTGCAACTTCGTATGCACGAGACAATAAGCTTTGGGATTGGAGCTGATTTTTGAGAGATCTGACTGACGAACAGCAACCCACATCCGGCAGCGTAGCATCCGTCCCAGTGGGCAAAGTCGAAGTGGACCTCGCATCTTGCCACACACGCACACACACCCCGCTCCCCTTCCCGAAGGCGAGGACAGGAAAGCTCGAAATGGCGTTTAACGGCTCGACGTCACGAACATAGTTGCATCTGCATGGGACCTGATTCGGAAGCTGAGCTGTTTGGACAGACATGTGGTCTCGTCCTCAGAGTCGAATGACAGGCTACGATCGAAGATGAAACAATGTGCCTACGTCGCATGCGACCGCTGCCAGCATAAGCTGAAGCGGTTCGCTGTAGAACTAGAACCGCTGTGACTCCAATTGAAAGGTTAAAGATCCCAAATCGAAGGGATGCGGCTCCATCGGTTCGGTCGTCGGAAGGGAGTCATGAATCGTGGGTGACCCGGAAAGGGGTCCGGGTGGTGTAGCGCAGCTAGCGAGCTGCATGCCAAGCTACAGTAAGGCTGGCGTCTGGGATGAGGAGGCTCTACAAGGTGGCATGTGAGAGAGGGCCAGAGGTTTGGCTCCCCTGGTCGTACAACATCATATCTTGTAAGTGGGGAGAGTAAGCCTGTGAATTGACTGCCTCAGGAGATGTCGCTCCGGATAGTTGAATAGGAGACCTGGGAACATGCATGGGCTCATAGCACAATATAGTTTGTTTTGACTGGATAAAGAAGCAGATGGCCAGTCTCCTCTAATATGCATTTCACCTAATGAAATGAAAGACGAACAAAGACACTCAAGAGTTTCGTTTCCAGGTCGGACACTAATTGTCATGATGCTGATGGCAAATATATAAGGGCGAGATAAAAGTTGTCAAAGCTAACCTAATATCCGCGGCATCAAGGACATTTCAGTGCGGGCAACACTCCAACTCTCTCCGGTAAAGCTTGTCAAAACCTCAAATACTGCTCTGAGTGCCCAATCACTCGCTGAATGGGTAGATGGATGAGTACAAGCCTCTGAGTGGGGCATCGAATGTAGACTTGGCCAACTGCAACGAAGCCTGGTTTTAATTTATGTGAAGTGACGGTAAATTGGTTGCTGTGTCTTGGTTTCGATGATAATGATTGCCCAAGATGAAGCTGTTCAGCCAAAGAGACTAGTTTGTTCCATTCTCAAGGAGAGCACAATAGCTGCCCTCAAAGCACAGCTGTTTACCAGTTGCAGTACCTTGGCTCTAATTTTAAAATGAATTAAGAAATAGAATCCAATGTTGAAACATAAGTCTGAAAGGCTGAAACATGTTGTTTAGTCAACTATAAAATGTGATGCTGGATGTTATGAACTGAGGCCCATTAGTTGGCCTAGCTAAGCCTGGAAAAACTCCTAACTTGAACCTTGACAGTGCATTGCTGTTTCATGTCTCTTACCTACAGAAATGCTTGAATGTGTCCCTTTACTGAATCGCTTGTTGAGCTCATAGTGATTGATTCCAGAGTTTCTTGTCATGATGGTACTTAAAGCTGGCAGTTCAGCATTGGACTCTTCTGGATTACGATATCATCTAGTCAATGTTGTCTCAGCACTTGGATAAAAAAAAGGCTGTTGATATCAATAATGATAGCCTGTCAACAGGTCGTTCCCTGGGATGAGGGTGTTTTGCAAGGCTGAATTGGAGGAGTTAACTGCCGCCCTTGCTATCTCGTAAAGGCACATGTCAAAAGATTGGGCTTGAGAAACGTATAGAGAGTATTCTTTTAGGTTTATGCTTCGCTATACATAGTTGAGATAAGCCAACGAGCAGGCAACAGGAGTTCAAGGAAAAAGTACTTCTTGGATCGCGACAATACTCCCAGATACTACGGACACTACAGTGCAGTGTTTACCGAATTGATATCTCATGAGGTAGCGCTAATTCGTTTACTGATTTGGTTGCCTGGTTCTGAATTAGAAGCATAACTTAGACATCTGATACCACTTCCACTTATGATGCTTTGCAATGTTTTTCCTCATCAGATGTTCAAAACGGCCAAACCTGAGTCACGCACATAGGTCATTGGT